AAACCATTGTTTAATATTATATCTTACTTATTCTACCCCTTTCTCAACTCAACATATTGTCAAAATGTGATTTACCTTGCCAAACATCCGATCTACCCCTAAACTCTTCGTATCAAAAACAACACCCGTGGTAAAGGTCACTCGGTCAGATTAATATTGCCCGAAATAAACGCTTCTGGACGACATTAAGGTATGTAAAGGCATTTTGAGTTTTTTATTGTACCAACTTAAGTGTCGCACTTCGATCGCCAGACGAAAGTTACGCGAACATACGACAATGTAGACGAAAGTAGGCTAAGGTAAGGAGAGAACTGGTTCAGCGGATCGGAATGTAACCTGATAAAAGAGCTCAACCGGATACGAAACATGGCGGAGATACGAAGAAAGGTTACACTAACTGGGTGATACCGTGTCATTGGTATGTCACATAATGCGACATACGATAAAAATACTTTTTAAAAAGTACAGTACTCTTTCAGCATGAAAATCACTGTGTTCCAATCAAATACATAGCTACAATTATTTAAATTTTACAGAGTAAAAAGCAAAATATTTTGACCCACAGCCTTTCTACAACAATATCTTCCAACTATAATTGATTAAAGTGTACTTTATGTTGTTGGAGCAGTAGAAAGTAATTACAAAAAATCATTCCCGTGCAAATTCAATTACAAAAAAAATATTTGAAAACATGTACTTTATCAGCGATGATAAGGTCACGTGGCACTCATACAGTAAATCTAGTCACAACATCTTCTTACGAAACGTTTATCATCACTTCTACTTTTATATTTTGTTCTTCAGAAAGTAAATGTTAATGTTTATAATAGACCTTATCTTGAAAAATAAAAAAAACCCCAAAAAATAAAGTTTTAAAATTTTTAAAATTGAAATTTGAAAAGTTAAAAACCGATGAAAAGACTACCGTCCTGCCGTCAACTTGCAGCAGCCGACTGTGAAGATTTCGCAAAAAAACTGCTAATTCAAGTTATAAGAAAACTCGCGCATCGCAGCTGTCGCAGCCTTGGGTTCGTGCCCCCTCCAGGTAGAACTGTCAGCTCGCATTACACTCTAAACACGGAATGCACAACATAAACAAAAGAAGCACCACAAAGCTCCAGAACACGATCCCCCCACTGTCCACCACCCGTCTGTACACAAACCACCCCCCCCATTCAGGGAGCCGGAACAGAATTACATAACCCTCCTCACCCCCGCTGAGTCATTGCACAAACACCAACATGGGGGTGGATCAAAGCAAAGTTTTGGCATTTTAATGAGAAGCTTGGCGCCTCTTTGACCACTGTGAGGTAAATGAAACAATGGCAGCATCTTTTAGAAAAGACCTTTGTTAAACCTACTATAATATAAAGCCAAAACTTTCAAAGGCTACCTTTTTCTAATAAATACAGTACCCCCTCTCCTCAAAAACCCAATTTTGTTACCTAAATTAAAAACCTCTTCACCTAAACCTCCAGAATCCTCGATCTCGCAACAGAATCCACCAGAATCAGACAGAATAACGGCGTCGAAAAGTTGCGATCCCATAAAACTCAGGTGGTCCGGATGAGAAAAGTGATTAAAAGTCGTCGCTCTCATTGTTTTTGTCCTTCCTTAAGGCGAACTCCTCCGTCAAGGTCAATAGGGTAAGGCAACGCGACAAAAGGAGGGGGGGGGGCAAAATAAATAGAAACCATTTAAAGACTGAATACAATTACTTTCCCAGCTTGAATATTAAGCGATGATGGGAAAAGTTACTTTTACTGAGAGTTGGTATACTCAGTATGCCATAGAGTACGTTTATATAAAGTGAACTGTTGACTTTAGACAGAACTAGATTGAACTACAAATTGTCTTGGAATGACCTTAAATAACCTTAAAACAAAATAAAGCTCACCTTAAATAAAATTTACTACAGTAACTTTATCATCTGTCCCTTTTCAGCCTAATTCCCAGCACCTACTACAATATTGTCCAACACCTAGTACAATATGCCTCCTACAAGTCCATCGCTGTACCTCATTAGTCCCTCTTAAGTAGTATTCCAATCAGAATTGCCATTTCTTAAGTAATATTCAAATCGCTCTTATTCATATGTCGTCTCCAAGCCCATTATTGCGACATTAACATAGCCCAATCAACAGAAAAAACTTGGAAATATGCAAATGAAAGGTGAAGATACGGCGATAAAGTAGTCGGAATGCTAATCGGGAGAGTCAAGTTTTGAATCACATTAAACAAAACATATTATACAGTTCCCAAAAATAACCCGCGACATTTGGACGGCGATTGAGGCAGCGACAAAGTGGTATTTGAATTAAATTCGAGTTACATGACATTCTAAAATACATGACATTTGAAATAATATATTAGAATTATATGATTCTGGGAGGAAGAGTGATATCAAACTGTAATATAAGTGATCAACGATCACTTTATACTATAATGAGAGATCTACTACAATATCTATCTGGAAAATCACAGTCACATTACAGTAACTTAACTATAAAGTAACTTACTGATTACGGAAACATACTTTGAAACAAGTTGACCATTTTATACTACAATACAGTTTTTCAGCTTCCTTACTATAACATAAAGTCTATTTATAACTCCGAATACCCAAAAAACACCCAGTAAGCCAAAGAATAGACCACATAACCAATCAGTACCAGCGCCACTTAGAATTAAATTAGAAGATGAGAAACAGCTGCGATATGAATTCAAAATAAAATTCGAAAAGACCCGCAGGACACAAGATCTGAAGCTGTTTTTTCTAATTGGACTTTGTGTCTGGGACCACCAAAGTGTTCCAAATGCAATGTCACATTAAGGGTGACGAGAATTGCGACAACCGGCTGGAGGCGAGACAGTGGTAATGATTTATAGATAAAAGGTCAAAAATGGTAAAGATAGGTTTTAAAAAGTCATAAGTAGAAGTAGCGCGTCAAAAATAGACCAAAAAACACTACGCACTCGTGATGTACCTGTTGCAATATAACACGCTGAGATACCTATAGATACAAGAATAATACCCCAACCTTAAAGTACAGTTCCTCGAGAATAACCACGCTAATTACCGCCTCACAAATCTGTAAAATAATTAAAATTAGCCACAAAAACTTTCCCAAACACCAGATTTGCACTCTGGCTGGGGATTAGAGACTCGCAGACAATCTGAATATTATCCACGCCACCTGAAACCTCGGGCATTTTGCATTCTACTACAAACAAGAGACCAGCAATAAGATTACTGTAAGTATTCTTAAACTGTAATTGAACAGTAAGTACACAATAATATTATAAAGTGAGTACCAGCTGTGTAGTAATATATAAACATGTCGTTTATAGGCTAAAACTAACAAAAAGCTAGTAAAACGATTTAATTAAATAACAGTAAGACCTTAACTGACAGTAATCCTTGTTACATTTCAACCCCATATTCTGTAATAACCGGAGCCAGCTTCGCAAAAAGTGCTGGCTGGCGTCCTTTCATCGTTCCAGATTTACATTAGAAATCTCGGAAGCCATCAAATAAAAAGAGCCCATAAATTATGCATTTGTATGCATATATGTTCTGCGGAGACAATATATAATACGATGAAGAGTTCGCAAAGGTCACCGTCCTCAGGGAATTCATTCAAAAACATTCGGATTCTGGGCCAACAAATAATTATAAACACATACCATATTACTGTCTCGTATCTCACTTATAGTAACGCAAGATATATTTTAATTTTGTTTACCTTGAGATGAAGAAGATACCAAAACACTACGAAAATAATGAACAATATCACAGAAACAAAGCAATAACACCATGTTGAACACGTTGTTAAAACAAAAAGCTGCAGAAGTCAGCCAAAGCAAACAAAAAGCAACATTCAAGATACAATTTAGCCGGATTCGAAACGCGTTTTGTTAATTTACCCCGCCAGACATACCGAATGAGTCCAATCCCGCCAAAAAAAATCGAAAAACGTCTGAAAAAAGCGTTTGGGCGGCCGATAGAAAGTAATTGGATGGCGGCCAAAAGTGCATCTAGCGGCCCAAAAAGTTTCTAAGACGAACAAACCTTGAACTTTGCAAACGTTCTCTAGCGTTCCTTTCGTTTCAAAATGTTTCCAAGTGGCGGGCGACGGAGATGGGATGGATAACATCACGGAAGGTGTGGCACAATTGTAGTTACTTGATTTCTGATCAGTGTAACGTTCCAATATGATGCATTGTTTGTTGAGTTCATGGATTGGGGAGTTTGTGTTCTCTAAACACTTATTACACGTCAGACTGAGAAATGAGGTCATTTTTAATAAGAAAACACCTAAAACAACATACTTTTTTGCACAAAATCGTTCTAAAATTAGGTGAAACTACAAAAAAGACTTGATCACACATACCACTAACCCATAAAACAATATTCCTCAATATCCGATCACTCTTCCACCCCCAAGCCTCGAAACCCGTTCGAAATGTCGCAACATTGTGACCAAACAAAAGAGTAAAGAACATTGTCGGCTTAAAGCGAGCTTTTCCCGTCCTTAAACATAGTAAATGAGAAGGACAAATACCACTTGTTGAGGCGTTTCTTTTGTAAAGACATTCACATGCTTGGCGGATGTAAAATACTCTCGACTACATTATGTGACATTCTGGATATAATACTTGGCATTACGACTTACGGAGTTTGTTTTTACCGCATTAGCGGGGAAAGTAGATGGATTTCTGAAATTTCAAGACAAACAAGGAAAATTGAAGATGGATAAAATTTTGTTTTTTTTATCTAAACTGTTAAAGAACTATCAGAATTGCTGTCAAGTTGACTATTTTATCTATTTAATGTTGTTTTAGCTCAACGTTTAGTTTTTTTTTGGGTTTTTGTGAGGAAGGTAAAGCTCTTCTGACGATAAATAACATAAATAAATGTAATATAAAGTAAAAAACTGCAATTGTCAATGTTTTATTGAATTGGTTTATTAATGTTTAAAACAATATTGGAAAGACAATTATTGCACATTTTGGACAGTGGAGTTGATGTTGGCTGCGACATATTTGGAATCTTGGAGTTTGTGAGATCTCTGTGGGACTGCTTTCTTGAATGGAGTGCTTCTGACCATCTTCTTATCAATCATCGAGACCATCATGTCGATAACCGACTTCTTGGGATCGATGTAGGTCATGTTCAGAAGTTTCACCGACTGAAGAAGATAAATATAAAGGGTCAGTTTTTGTTGCGTTTTGTTTTTTTTTTGTTTTACAGGCTTGTTTATTTAAGGTTTTATTTTGTGTTTTGTCAAAGATTACCTTGTCATTGCTGAAGTGGAGTTCCGGACCGAGTCGATGAACGATGGCCGTGCTTTGCTTGTCTAACTTAGTCTTGGCATAAGCTCGAACGATCCAATTAGGAACGGTGAGAGGAGAAAAGACGTATCCTTGGTCTTTGAACTCTTCCATCAACCAGTTCCTCATTTCGAAGAACCACGTTGGACGAGTGTGAGTGACCAGGATCCTCCGACCGTTCGTCTTTGGTTCTTTCAGCGCTAGAATGTGAGCGCGAGCTACATCTCGCACATCGACTACACCAAGACAAGCCCGTGGTGCCGCCAGAAACGTGCGGAAGTCCATCATGCGGGCTAGAATAGTGGCGCTGCCGTGCTCTACCGACGACAAAACCGGTCCGGTGATGAAGGTCGGGTTCAAGACGGTCAGTTCGAAGCGGCTGGACGGGTCAAGACTCTCGAAGAATCCCCACGCTTTGCGCTCGGCGATCGTCTTTGACTTGGCGTAATTGTCGACTTTCTTGGAGGTAATGTCAGTCCAACAAGTTTCATCGAAAACTCGTTCGTCGTTCTTGTGACCATCTACAATAATGTTTATAAGTACACTTCAAGTTTACGGTTAAACTTGGTTACGTTTTTAAATAGGTCGTTTTTTGTTTTTTTACGTAAAAATTGAAGGAGTGGTAAAAAAACAATTACACAACATATTGCTTGTTATTTTTGAGCATAGAAGGTTTGGTTACAATAATCTATACTTACCATTAACGGCGGCACAGCTACTTGTCAATACGACTTTCTTAATATTCTTATCACTGGCGGCTGCTTTGAGTACGTTGAGAGTACCAGTTACGGCAGTTTTTATCGTTGATTCATCTGCTACGATTGGCCATGGACTAGCTACGTGTAAGATGTGGCTACAGCCTAGGATTACTCTGAAACAGATTTGTTGTGTTTTCGAAGCATTAGCAAGCGGAAATTAATTTTTTAAACATAAGAAAGTGTTTTTCTTTGACTAATTTAGCTTACCCAGGCCAGTCTTGTTCGTTCATTAAGTCGGCTTCGACTAACTCTAGCAGTTCCTCCGATCTGTTTAGTTTTTGTATTGGTGCTACTTTCTGTTCGTTCTTAAGCGACCTTACTGTACCCCTGACCTTGTAGCCGGCTTGCAGTAGTTGTTGCACACAATGCAGGGCGACGTAGCCAGAAGCGCCCGTTACGAGTATCGTGTCTTCCTTGTTCAACATGTCTGGTAGTGGTAAAGCTGTTTGAAATGAAATCAAGTTTAATCGCTTTTCTCGACCGACGCGACAATTAAAAGATAAATTTAAGGATAAGGGCGTAGGAAGATTACTGAAACTTTACTATAGTAGACTCGCTGAATAGAATGTTTGTTGTTGTTCGTAACCTTGCCAGTCTTTCTACTACAACTATTTATAAAAATCGTTTCGTAATTAAATTAGGCTCCGCCCCTTTTCGTCGACGATCTTTGTGTAGCCGAGTTTGTGTTCGACCTTCAATCGATCGTGCAAACGTTACAAGCTTTAAAGTACAACAGTAACGATCGGGCTTGCTGACGTCGTTAGTTGCCCCAATTGGTAATTAACACTAGAGTTAGGCGTCACAAAGTGAAGGTGGAATAATGTGTGATTGTGCTCAGTGAAGCAAGTTATCAAACTTTTTGTATTTTGCACGATAAGTAATGTAAGGTCGGGCGTTAGAAGATTAGACCTTGTAATATATCACATAAATGACTTGATAACAGTTTGGTCACATCACATAATGCCACGCCATAAAGTTAGTTTACATTGTTGTGTTCTCTTATACCACTGTCTTAAGCAAAACATAAATTACAGTAGGTAAGAGTCTAATTAAAGGTCAATCTGTGAACTTTCAAAACACGGAACATTAAATGTCATGAGATACAAACAAGTAAACTACATAAACATTTTTCGAAACATTGTTTATTATTTAACTGAGTACCTATTACAACGTCAAACGCACTGATCGCTGAATTACCGCGAATGGCACAGAATCCGAAGATTAGTGATCTATGAAAACAACCATCTCTGCGACAAAAAACAAACAGATGGCTTTACTGTAGTCTTACAAGCTTCGGATTATACGGCTTTATACAAAGTTAAAAATATTAGCGATAAATATATTTATACTATTATAAATCGAATTATATGTTGGGAAAGAGACAATAGCGACAACAACTTATGATATTGCTATGAAAAACAATCGAACGCTGACAAGGCAATGTTCAAAGAATTTAAAATTGTTTTGTAAATTTAGTTTTATTGCTACAGTTTGATAAAGACTGATAATAAAAGTGAAACCACTACAACAACTACGGCAATAAAAGTTCAGGTTAAAGAACAGTAACCAAGAACTCTTATCAGTAGGTGACAATCGAAAGCAATCTTTTTGTGTTTTTTTCACGGTAAGAATGGTTTTTTTTAAAATTAATGGCTAATTTTTGACTTAAAAACGGTCGTTCGATATTCAACAATGTTGAAAACTAGAAGTTATCGAAACCTTGCCTGTGAGGACAAAAGTTACTATATCTTTTGCAAAACTGTAGTCAGAGAAGAGTGTAGTCACAGCTGGTCAAGGTCATTTTGGTCAGTTTGATTGGAATTTACTTTCCTTTTGATAGAGTAATTGAAAAGTAAATATTTGTAATGATAACGATGTTATTGAGCTTTTTCACGTAGTTTCGTATGAGTTTCACAAAATACAAGTTACTGTGGTGTAATACGGTTGGAATGCCAGTTGTTATCGTATCTTTTATTTATTGTAGTTTAGGTTTACTATGAAGTTTGGATCAGATGGTAATAAAATATAAGACATATAGAATAACTTGTAATATTTACTACGCACTCGTTTCTACAATTGTTGACTACTGTCCGATTGTTTTGACGTACTTGTGTTCGACTGTTTGGAATCCGTGGCAGATGTGTTACTAAGCTTTTTCAGCGACCTCTTTGATGGCTTCTGTTGGTTCTTACTGTCTTCTACTTGGGCGTTTGTCTTCTGAGCTCCTGAAAAGAGGAAGTCAATGTTCTACCGTGTAAAATATAAAAAAGTAAAGTTCATCAGCATATTGCTACTTACAAAATTGAAATTTCTAAACTTACTCCAATGCTCGAAAGTTGCGTCCACGTTTGCTTGTTCTAGTTCTGTACATTGTTGATGTTGATAAAGTTCCTTTTGGCTGTAACAGTACCAAACAAAGAAAGCAACAATAGTAATGGTACAGGCCAGCAGTAAGGAGTAATACAGCATGATCAGTCCTATTGCCATGGCATGATACGACTGTAATCGTGGTTTTTTAGCTTCAGTTTATGAATCTTGACAAAAATAATCTTAATAATTAATCAAAAACTTTTAAAAAAAAACCTTTAAAGAAATTTCAAAACCAACCTAATGAATGAAAAATACAGTATGACTTACATTGGAGAGCATGTTGAAATGCTCAGTCAGAGCTCTGTTTTTTTCATTTAAGCTCTCCGCCATGTTCTTTAAGGAGAAAGCATTTGAAGGTTGCTGATTTTTAATGTGTGTAGGGCAATGATTAGTCTCAAATTCGATGTACACAAGCGTGTTACTTCTGATTTGGTACAAGTTTATGATCGAACATTCGCCTCTGTCCTGAAACAGTTATATTTAATGAATATGTTGGTCCACAGAAATCTACTCTTGGCTCTTCCGTGTAAAATGCCTTCAGCAAAAATCTGAGCTGCTGGTCTTCTGAGTTTGTAGACTTCTCGAATCCCATCATTGTGTTGGAGAAGTCATCGTACTTGCCATATTCTGTGATGTTGTCAAAGTAGCTATCAGGCTCGTGCTTGAAGGCAGTGTTATTGATTGAGATTTTGTAGGCTGACGACAATAACATTTTGGCACAGTTTTCATACGATGCAGGGCTGTAGTATTGGCCTTTATCAGGGTTTTTGGGATATTCTTCAATGTGGAATTGGAATCTAAAATTTGTTACAATATTCATAAGTAGACAATGATAGAGTAATAAAGTAGTTCGTAATATAGAGTAAGCTATATTTTACAGATATAACATCACTAAAGATACTATAAACATACGTCAACTCATCGTAGTGTCGGATCATGACGGCATTCTGGATCATTTGTTGAGTACAATTTATAATATGGTTATCTTTCGTCTAAACATGAGTAAAATTTGGTAAAAAGACCTTATACTAATGTGATGTTATTGTAAATAGTAGCCTTTGTCAAAAAAAAGTTTAACAAATATGACGATACATAACGTACGTCAATTTTAACAACAATCACACTACAATTGGCATTCGTTGGACACGTGAAGTTGTTATCAGCATTAGCCGGAAAGCTGAGCACTATAACAAACACGACCGGAATAAAAAACATTTTGTATCAATTGTGCGAAAATTAAACGAAGTATAACAAAATGAATGTTTCATAAGACAAACTAACACGCAGTTTTACATGCATATTATTTTTACTCAAGGAACTGAATGTTTGAAGTTTAAATCGGAAGGTTATGCTAAATAAAAATTCTTGCCAATCTTTAAAATAGCTCTAAATAGCTACCTATAGTTACCTGATTACGTAACAGAGTAGAATCCCTAAAACATATTGTTGTGTATTATTGGCGATGAAACCCTAACTTTACGTTGCTGATATACCAACATTTTGGCTTCAGTTTATACAAATTGAAGCCATTCTGAATACAGTACTGCAGGGGCTTCTGTAGGCTATATAAATGAAGTAACAGATCGCAGCAATTACTTTCTTTACTAACCAATTCGGTTACGGTAGTTTATCAGAATGTCTGTACCTACGGTAACTTTGTCCAACGAGGTTACAATACCGGCCATTGGCTTTGGCACTTGGCAGGTAAGTAATTATGGTTTTTTAATACTGTTACAAACGTATATTTGTTTAAAGAATAATTATGATTTGTAAAGTATATGGTATCACAGTTTGATATTGTAATTTCAGCTGAATACCACCAACATTAAGGCTAGTTTGTCAGCGGCCATTGAAGCCGGCTACCGTCTCATTGACACTTCTAGATCGTTTGGCAACGAAGAGATGATTGGCGAAGCGATTTCTGAGTTGATCCAGAAGAAGAAAATCAAACGCGAAGACTTATTCATTACGACCAAGGTGAGCGTCTTTGTAGCTAGTATAATGCATAAGGTTTAGCTTCCAATCTACGCCCACCGTAACGAAATCACTGACAATGTAATTGATCTGTCTCTGAAAGCCTTAGGCACTCCGTATATCGACCAGTACCTTATTGAGCTACCGTGTGCCGTTCAAGGCGACATCTCTGGATCGTTGATGGACAAAAACGGAATACCAATACCAGACTTGGCTCCACAAACAGAGACGTGGAAGGTACTGGAAGATGCGTACAAGTCTGGCAAGGTCAAGTGTAAGAGTTAACATAAAATAATATGCAAAGCCTTATGTTTCGTGAATATGAAGCGTAGTTATTGTATTCGTTATATTTATTACAAATTTAGCGATTGGACTAGCTAATTTCAACGAATGGCAGATCCAAGCCCTGTACACGACCGCTGATGTCAAACCTCAAATCCTGGAAGTCGAATGTCACATTCTGTTACAACAACCAGAACTGTTGGCCTTCTGTAAGAAGAACAACATCACGGTAATGGCGAGTGCTCCACTCGGCTCACCTCAACGGTCAAGCTCGGACTGGAAGACGAATTGGCCAGAAGGTAACGTGCTGGGCCATCCTGTAGTCCTAGACATGGCCGGAAAGCATCGTAAAACAGCGGCGCAGGTAATGTATTTAATAACCTTGTTTTATTAAGTTGAACCGAAAGAAATGGGACACTTTTCATCGTATATTATAATTAACTCATTTTTTGAATATTTTTTGTTTTCTCTAGTATATTATGGTTCCACTTAATACCTCTTAATGTTTGTTTTTAGATTTGCCTGCGGGCATTGCACCAACTTGGAGCCATTCCCTTGCCTAGCAGTACCAACAAGTCCCACATCAAAGAAAACATTGACATCTTTGGCTTCAAATTGTCATCACAAGAGATGGAGCAGGTCAAGGCCGCTAACGCCAACATACGATTGTTCGTATACGACTTGTAAGTAAAAACCTTTTCTCTATGTAAAATACCTTAACGTAACCAAAGCTTTAAAACTAATAAGCCTAAAGACAAAATCAAGACATAACTACCGTATTTTAGCCTAAAGATGCACCCATGGTATCCGTTCAAGTAAGATACGAAGTAACTGATATGTAGTTGAAAATAACACAATAAAAGGTGAAGGTCTATTCGTTTATTTCGCACACAATCGTATAACATAGCACCGAAAACTACAGGTTATTGTAATGCAAAAATATAGTTTACACCACTAACTGTAACTATTGTCGCGCATATATAATATATGTTCAGCGTAAGACGAGACAAAATATATACAAGATACTAAATATTTGGAATGACATGACAATATTTTACATAGTATTATACTATTTAATGGTTCAGAAGCGTGTGTTTTACCATGGTTCATTTAGTCGATGTATGGTATAGTTGAATCTACTATAACATATACGTAGATTCCAATATCATCGTAGAATGTGGATGTAAACGTATAATATATATCGTACTATATAGTACACGTACTACGGTTTATAGTTCCCAAGTTACACCATGTTGTTCTGCTGTGTTTCTCCTCCGTATCTTCGAGTGAACTCCGTACTGACCTGCCACATACGATTCTGTAGTCGTACATCTCGTATCTCCGAAGCAGACTGTGTTTCTTTGCCGAGAGAGTTGTAGTACTTGCCACTGGTGTGCTTGTAGTCCTCCCACTCGACCAGTCGGACTAGTGTCTGGATAGCGTTGGAATGGGAACATAAATGGGTTTCTGAGGCACTGATATCGTTCATGATGTAGTTCCTGAAAGCCATATAATTATATTCTCAATCTCTTATTAAATTTACTGTGGTATTATTGTAATAAAACACTTACTTGGCCCCTTTTCTGTCCGTTTTCTGATCAGCATCCACCACATTGGCCGTGACCCTGAACTCCATGTGATGTTTGAAGAAGAGTCTGTGTAGACAGAAAGTCATCATGTGGTTCATGAGCATCGTCCTCGAGTACTGCTGGAACTTGTCGTAGATCTTGACACAGTTCACGTCTTCCCAGTCGATATGATTCATTGAGTGTAACATACTCCCCACAGTTAATACTCTGGAGGGCACATTCGATTCCAACAACGGCAACAACGCATTCAGAATGGCAAAGTGGGACAGATGGTTCACCTGGAACTGCATTTCTAGTCCATCTTTGGTCTGGAGACGACGAGTAGGCATCGTAACCGCACAACATATCACAGTGTTTACCTTCGGATATGACACTTTTATTTTGTCGATGAACTTCAAAACCTTAAAACATAAAGTTTACATCAATTCAAAATGGCTAGTCGCAACAAAACACAAAAGTAAAAAAAAATTGGTACTCTTTTACGTAGGTACGCACCTGTTTGAACTCGCTAAAGTCAGCGTTGACAAAGGTCGCGTTGTCTAGGAGCTCGTGATGTACTCCATTCTGCTTGTTACCATTAATGGCTGATCCCAGCGAGATCGTACTGCCATTGTTATACTCGTATGGTCCAGCTGCAAACTCTTCCAATGTTGCCAAGCATTTCCTTTCACATCGACCGTGGATAATCACGAAGTTCTCTTTGTTGTTAACCAGCTCCCGAGCCAATTGTTTACCTAAAAAACGTCAGAATGATTTATTTAAAGGTACTAAGGATCGTTTTTCACAGGTCTAGACAATAAAGACGTATATAAAAAGAAATAAGAGTTCAGAACGACATTAATATTTCTAAAATCGTAGAGAGAACAAATTGAAATAAATTATAAAATCGACCTACCAACTCCATCTGTAGCACCGGTTATCAAGATAGTACGTTTGTAATTACAATTTGGACCCGTTCCATTAATCCCATTAGTAACCATTTTACTGTCGTATGTACACAAGTTACGTGATTTGAAGTAAAATCGAGTTGAAACTCATCCCACCGCTTTTAACGTTCATACCATGACTATAATTCACATAAATGAGATAATTATGTCCGAAGTTTCCCGAAGAGCTTGACAAATTTGATACAAAACATAGCTACTATAATATACAACAACATTTCGACTACCCATCTGCTACACATAAACATATTTAAACTATTTCGAATACTATTTATTGTCTCGCGAAACTTTCCCCAAACTTATACGGCCGAAGTAAACAAACGCGATAAAACCGAAATACTCGGCGGAGCGTTATATCAAATTAAAATAATGGACGTTTGGTAGAACGAAAGCTCACAATACACTACTTGGGCTTAAAAGCCGAGACCTTTTCCGGATTCTCTCCATTCAAAACAAAAAACTAAACAAAACCATGCCCCCGAGGCTTCAATTTAATCGTGGTTTTGTGAGGCCCGCCAAACTTGGCTTCGAAACGCCGGAATTCGCAGTTAAAACGGAGTAAAAGACGCATACTTGTGATTTAATTGGTGCTATGACAACATGGTAAGCTGTAATGACATGCTTGACTGATGTGCAGGTAAAATTTTGTTCAAAAAGATTAGGGCAATATGTGTATAATAATATTCAAGAGTAGTTATTATGCGACAGTTTCAAAAAAAACTGTAGAGCCTTATATAATATAACAATTTACAAAAAATTATTCAAGTTTAATCAACCACAAACGAAAATTATCCGTTTCTGTTAATAACCAAATCATTAGGCTTCCTGTAAACAACATCTGTCGAAATGCTAATGTTTTGATCGTGCAAACAAAAGTGCATCTTCGTGCTAACCTCGGATGCCATACTAAACCAAAAACAAGCAAATAGCCCCTCAATCCAGCAGAATTCGCTGCAAAAACTCTTGTAAACACCAAAAAACATGTGCAATGCCACCACGACCCCTATCCGTGTCATACAAACGCGAACAATAACTGGCACAGGAGCGATATCCCCAGAATGTCAACGTTCCAAAAGTATTTGTGGCACTTGCCGGAAGAAGTTCGAACGTAAAGACCTTTTGGAAGATTTTTTTAAACCACTGAAAAGACGGCAAGCTCCGATTGCCCTTAGGGAGTCGAATTCACTCGCCTGTTTTTTTTACACTTACTCTCGCATCACATTCTCGATATTGTAGACAACTGTTTTTATGACGGTACACGACAACAATACACTTGCACGTCACATTCCTAGAACGCTAGCTACATGTGGTTCTACATTATAATGTTATAGATATTCTTCTAAATAAGACAAAACCTGCCACTTTCACTTGAAGCAATAACCAAAACAACACCGAGCAAAGAAGCAGTTTAAAATGGAGTAAACTCTGTGCAAAACAGAAACGTCCAACAGCAAAAATTGTCATAAACATGGCAAAAAGAAGGCCAAAACAGGAAAAGAGTTGAGAAAATATGGATCTTTTTCTTTATGGACTCCTTACTCCCCCAGACAAAACATATTTGCATAGTTAAGCAGGGTGTTTACTGCCAACAACACAAATGTTTACTACTTGGAAGAATGCCATTGGACGCCGACAGTATAAGAAAAGGTTTTATCGAGTAAACCTATATTACAAAGCATAGTACGTGTCATGAAAAATAAATTTTAAAACTTAAAAAACCATAGTCACATCAAAGATCTCTTTATAAAGACATAAAGCATAGACAACTGAAAATACCAAGATACGAAACCAATACATTCAGAATGCCAGATTATCAATAAATTTTGTTTTCGAAAAAAATGAAATTAGTTTGGCTTTCATTCAAAACAATAAACTGTTATAAAAGAAGATTTCTCGCAGCGCCAACATGGAATTGTTGTTCCAAAACGTCTCTGGAGAACGTCCTCGAGCGAAAGAAAACATTGTTGGGTGTCGTGCTGTATTCATTTCACAACAAAGTCAAAACACAACTGTTTTGGTTTCAACCCTCCAGGGTAATTTGGGCTTAAATTAGGCGGTAAACAAAATTAATGCGTTCTTTGGCGTTGCGAGAGTAGCCAGACCAAGATCAATTTTACAAAATTGTAGCCATTACAAATGAGTATTGATTAGAAAACTCTTAATTAAAGACTTACAACTTTTATCATAGATGCTAGCAACTGTTACTTATATATTATAGATGATGGATTTAAACCATAACCCTAACAAAATAAATGCAACACTATAAACTATGTAATCCAATTCCCGTCCTAAGTGCACATATCATCAACATATCATCCCAAACATAATAAAAAGATTGAATGTGTCAGATAGCCAAACCATGTGGTTTCCTATGACATAAGATACATTTTATCTTTGAATTTTCATTTCCAGGAACGAACGGCCCAAAGGCCGGAGAAAACCCAATGAAACCGGGTTTTATGCATCAGAATGCCATTGCACGTTTGGACTGAAATGCCGTATAAATAAAGCACATTCATTTCAAAATTAAACTTCAACCTCCACAAATATAAGTGAACTCCTCAACTGTAAACATTAAAAACAACATATTATAGTAGCTAAAAGACTGAACATGTGCCAGAATGCACTCAATGACCTCGCTGTGAGTGAAAACAACTACAGAAAACACTTCCTTCATCCAAAACCAGACCCACGGCGCCATTAACACAGTAAAACTCCCGAGAAACAAATAAAAATCAAGTCGAACATCCAGAGCGATAAAACCAAAAAATTCCCGAGGAAAGTCTCGAAAGCGGCCAATGTTTTTTAGCCTCTTTTTAACCTTATGTCCTGATCTGAGTTCAGTCTACATTTGTTTTTCGAGCACATAAGGTTTCCACTTCTTGTCTCCATCATATTTTAATTTGCTGTGTTGCAATTCTTGATGTGGTAGACCATACACGGCCATTGACTATGACCACAGTCAAGGTAAGCACCTTAATTATAGAAGTTTTTATTTATTTTTGTCATGGCAATTATTCTGCGTTTAACGACTATCATATAACGCCTAACCCAAATCAAATTAAACATAAAATTGTTTTTTTAAACTTTTTAGATATTATAATTGATTTACAGACCAAACCGTGCTTGGCCGCCGCATCTCGCAAATCTAAGTCCGCCCAATTGAAGAGAAATGTCACTTTTAACAACACGGTTGTGGTATACGACATCAGTCCAGTACGGAACACTCAACCTTATGTAGACCCATTTGAAACCTATGCTCAACAAGAATTTCTTCGACTAACAAATCGACTGAAAAACAAAAAACATGTCGTTTCTGACGACGAGAGTCCAGATGAATGTGACTTCATTGATGAAGAAGCCAGACGGAATACCATTACCAATACTCCAAAGGCCAAATCAATATTTTCAGAAGTTATCACAGTGCCCATGACGTCAGAAAAAAAGCCGTCGAATGTGACGGAAAAGAAATTAACCGAAAGCACAAATCTACCGGAACATTCCACTCCTCCAGATGCCAAGAATAACACGACAGATGTCAAGGTCAAGAAGAAGGTGAGGAAGGTGGTGAGGAGGAAGAAGAAGGTTGTCAAGAAACAGGAAAGTGAAGAGGAACTCAGCTGTGAGGAGATATCGTAATATCACTTTCAGTTCATGTTTCAAATTGTTTTTCAAAATGACACTTCTAAGCCAGCATTACTCATCTCTGTTATTATTCTACCCACCTAACGTTGTTATCATATTATCCTTTATTGTCAAATTGTAAATACTTATGATTTTTTTACTTTCTTCGTCCGCTTCACATATGCTCCATAAAAGAATTGTAAGAACAATCCGGCAAATGTTACGTAAATAAAGAATGCCAAATACAAGTTGGGTAGACTGACTTGGCAGCTAAATAAAGTAAAGTATATACTCCTTTAAAACAGTACTTACAAGTGATTTGTAAACGCTTTCAAGTAAAACGCATAACAGCTGACACCAACCCCAAAGAACATCTGGATAGTTTGTAGAACAGTAATGCACATAGCCAGCTTCTTAGGCAACCGAACACCTAGGGCACTTACGGCGTAGTAAGCGTACATGACAGTATGAACTGTATAGTTCATCCACGCAAAGAATACACCAGTAGAAGACACGTGAGCTCCTAAATTTAAATACCAGTAAAAATACTACAACACTACGATGAAATGATGACATAATCGTAAAACGCTAAAAGGACTATGATAAAAGAAAACAGTAAAAATGATTACCAGAGTGGAAAGAATACACTAGTGTAACCGCATGGTGATAATAATGTAAAAATATAAGAGGTTTCTTCCTCAAAACGACAAAAACAGTATCGCCAAATTCCACGATCTTCGACAGCGCAAAAGCGATCATCCAGAAGGTAGTAGGAGTGAACTCGTTAGGCAACAAACAAACAGTTTGTGTAAACCCTTCAATTTGTAACCGAGCGAAAAATTCCTAGAAAATACCACAATAAATCATCATTACCTACCTGTCCTATTCTCCAAGCACCAAAAGTGCTAAACACGGCTAGACCAACATTCCAAGCAAAAAGTGGTGCCTTCAACGAGTAAGCTGGTTTGTCAGCCATATACTTGCTAAGCATAATAATGAAGCCGTAATAGAGTACAGTCAAGTACAACGATACTTGACAACAAGCATTAGCAAGGTTGTAGACACCTTCATTCGAAAAGTAGCTTTCAATCGCAAATATAGCCCTGAAACGTTATTTAATACCAACATTAAACCTACTCGTGGTGGTACGAAGACGTCTTCCGTAAAAATCGACCATTGTGAAAAAGTTTACCGGCGTCGACATTGAACGGATTATACCTAAAAAATACCCGAATATAGAACACAACTTACTGTTGAAAAGCTTTATTGACCTCCAGTAGTGTCTTAATGCCATTTCCAAAATAGAGCCATTTTGACAAAATTAGTACCAACCCACATGCAAACCATGGTAGAATTGCAAGTGATGTTGCCAATTGCAACCGCCTCTCCGATCTGCCAGTAATACTCAAATATGTCATATTAGCTATGACAATAATAGACGGCGCTTACAAAAGCCGCGATTTTATACAATACAAGTGACATTGTCATTCGACGCCGTTATCACACTGGCAAGACCGGATTTTAATCACACAGAGCTAGCAAAACAAGAACCGAGAAATAAAAAAAAGAGATCAAAACAAGCCAAAACTGCAGCGAAATCCCGCAAATTTTTACCTAATAGATCATTTATGCCAACGGACAACTTTTACTATCAGCAATCTCGAGATACCAACTGTTTACAGTAGTATTTTTAGTTTTTTAAATCTAATTTTTAAATTTAACATAAAACAATATCGTGTCAAAAGTTGTTCTTAAAATTAACAAATTTATAATATTTCTGGCATTGTTACCTAAAATCAACAAAAATATATAAAGAAACTCATACGATCAGTCCGTCCATCTATGTCCACAAGTCGCGTTGATACAGACATAATACAGTCGCATTTCCTCTTCAGCACGTCGAGATTGAGCATGAAAGAACACCGAGTTCCTGTGGCCACAAGCCGGACAAGGGTGGTTATCAGTTTTGGGTAAAGTCGGATCTTCCCTCAAATCAGACACAATTTGAGTCAACTCGCTAAAACAATATGTTACTCCAAACCAAGTGCAATATGCTTTAGTAAAATTTTTATAATACATATAAGTTATTCCTTCTTCCAAAAATATTCAACTTCTATCCGATTATTACCTAAAACAGTTAACTCCAACCCTTTTTGTTACCTAAAATAAAATTCAAACTCATTTAACTTACTCAACTTGATGGTGGATCCTGTTAACGTAAATACATTGATTGTCGGCATATTCTGCATGATCACAATTCCGACATGCATACATCAAAACCTTCTCGTGTAAGTTTTCACGAGGATACAACATGTTGTTGCTGAAGATGTTGGTATTACAGAAAAATCAACTTATAGCCGCATAAAAAATATGTAAAATACCAATGAATATCACTAACTTACCATTCTGGACAAAACTTGATACCTCTGAAGCCGCTCATTTCCGATCGCGACAAAAATTTGTCCAAAATCTGGTTCGAGTTCGCTCGAAATAATTTTTTGTGAAAATTTTGCCAAACCGCAGACTGCAGCGTTTTTGCAAACATGGGCGCATTAAGATTAAAAGCTTTTTTACAAGTTTTTATTGGTCAGAACTGATGGTTGAAAATAAAGTATACTTGGAGACAGTTTGGCTGAATTTAAAAATTTTCTAAAAAGATTTTAAAATATTGTAATATTATTTTTTTAAATATTATAGATGGAAGCAAGTGTTTTTGATTAATTTTATATTTTTTAAATTTTTATTTGATGTTTTGCGACCAAAAGTCGCATTTTTATTAGAAAAAGCAAAGTTATGCCATTCAACACCTGTGAAGTTACTCCGACCGGTCGGAAATGGACGCTTTGAAGAAGATCAGTCGAATCATTGGGAATGTAGTTGAACAAATCGAGGGTAATATCGTGGAGCTGCCAACGGATCTGAACACTGTCAGGGTTGATCGCCATTACCGCGAAGCTGTTAAGGGTGGGTGTTTTTGTAATTTTAAAGTTATTCTTTTTATTGAGGATATGTTTGAATAAACTACCTTATTTTAGCTCAGGATCCTTTAGCTTCGAGATCGGCTACTTCACCAATGAGGTATCGCAAAGGTCGTACTAAAAAGAGTGGTAAGTTGGTATTTTTTTTTAAATAGTTTTGCTTCGATGTTTTATACGGCAGCATAATAATGTTTGATCTTGATATTGTTTTAGTTTCTACTTCGACTTCTGACCTTTCTGAAGGTTATACTCCAACATCGTCGACTTCCCTTCATACTAGCGACTACAATTCTGATGCTGAGACGATGGACATGGATAGTAGCAATAATGTTCTTCCTGATCTCGAATCTACGCGAAACAGTGGCATGGATACTTGTAATCAATGTGGGAAAAAAGTAATTTTGAGTAATAATGATGAGTATTACTGTGTAATTTCTTCGAATTAGCGACACTAAACTCTTATTATCAAATATGTTTGTTATGTGTATGTTATCTTAATAAAACTCTTTTTCAGAAGCTAGACATTCATCTGGAGCCTCTGAAGAATCACGCGTTGGCCTTTCCTGAAGACGGAATCCGTTGTTTGCCGCGAGAATCGGACAGAATCTACGAAGAGTTGAACAGAAAGTCGCTGGTGCTGGTGCGCGACATTCCGTCTGCTGAAGTGGACCGTATCAAACGTCGGATTGCCAGAGGCAGTGGCAAGTCAGTGAATAACCCCGACTTTAACGAAAACAAGTCGGTTCGTACGATCGCTACGGGAACTCGCAAGAAATAAGTAAACTTGGCATCAGTAAACATTGTCATCATGTTGATAACATTGTCATCACGTTAGTAAATGTCAACGTTTTTTTGGTATTGTTGTCATCAGGTTTGCATTACTGTGGTAGGTGTTCTCACCTTTTTGGAGAGGAATGTAAATGTTTGACGTGATTGATTATAAGAGGGCATGTCATGCATATTTGTCGTTTTATTTGATTTGCTATATATAAGATATGATGTTGTATTATAGTAGATGTTAAACAGAACATCCTGTTTTACAAGCTGTTAACAATACTATACCGTCTTTACAATGTATAATAACAAAGTAGAGATTGCTATATTTGTACGTTAATAGTAAAGCGATGAATTACGACAAGAGGTCACTACTTTGTTGACGTAGGTAACTTTACGTGGGCGGTGACTCCCCCTACTTTTAGACAATTTGAAACTAATTTCTGTAAAGTAAGAAACAAGTTCTGGTTCGAAACCGTTTATAAATTACAACATGGTAAAGCGACAAGAGCGACGGTTGTGTTCGCTTTAATGTTATTGTAGCAAAGGTTGTTTTTACGTTTCTCCAGACGATTTATTGCAATATGTAACAGTTTAAATTGGTGTTTTTGGTGATTTTTAAAGTTCTTTTTAAAAATTTTATTTATTTTTATAATTTTTTTTAATTTTAAATTTTGAAAAAAGTGAATTTTCGGTTCTGATTTATACTCCTGCTTCTAATTTTACTGCGACTGTAAAGTAACTTCTTACTGTTTATTTTGTTTAAACTGCTGTAATGTGTGTTCGTAGACGAGAAAAGTAATGGCATTGACAGGAAATGCCCTGAGGGTGAGAATAAGGCCTCCTTTGAAGAATCCGCGGACTCCAGAAGTCTTGAGTACGTTGTGTACAACACTTACTGTAGTTAGTTTCGGGTCACATTGAGTTCGGTTCTTTATCAATTCTAATGGACAAATGACTAGCCAAGCTAGTGAGCCAGATATTCCTCCAGAGAGGATCTAAAACAATATTAAAATTCAAAAATATTTTTAAAATTTGAATATTCTTACTGACAAAAGTATATTTTATATGACCGTATGAAGGTAATAGTCGTGTCTTAATTACCTGTTGAAGTACAGTACCAAAATTGCAGTAGTTGTGTACTAGTTTCTTTGTCGCTTCATACACAGGAATGTAGAAAGCGTAGCCGATCAGATCTCTTAATGCCATTACTTTGCCTCCAGCGTAGAATCCTCTGAATCCATGAAGTCGTACGATGTCTTTGGTACACTTGAGTGGTCCTTCTTTGTTCTGGTACACTACCTGCAGTCTGGTTTTAATGGTCTCGATTGGTACGGCTGGGCCTAGCTGAGCAAGAGTACCAACTGTCGAGGCTAAAATTACCTACAGTACGGTGTACTACTGTAGGTAGCTTGATTATTGTAGATAGCACAGTAATATAAAAACACTCTTAGGTAAAATTAGTAAATAGTACTGTTTATAGTAGTTCTACGTTTAGAAACTTACAGTAGTCATAGGAACATGTTGTTTGTCATCGTATCCAGCGTAGCGTAGTGCTCCTTCGTATCCTCCAAACATAAGAGCATTCAAGAACGCGGCACTGCCTAAAGGCAATGTCATACCACGGTAAAGGCTTCGTATCTTGAAGCTACTATTGTGCCATCGTATCTTATGCCCAGTTTGTATATTGGCCTTTACTGTATCTAACGGATATCCAAGTAGTATTCCAGCTGAACCGCCAAGGCCTCCAGACGCTAGTTCTATCATAGTTGAGTTCATCATGCTGAAATTTACTTTATCATACAGTAATACTTAGGTTAATTTGTAGTTAATGTGATGTAAAATATCGTAAAGTTTAATGTAATGTAAGTTAGTATAGTATAATATTATATATTAATAGTCAAATGTAAGTGTAAATGAAGTGAGAGGTAGAAAGTCTGCGACAATTAATGGCTGATAACACTGATAAGACCTGGTTTGTGTCTGATATCTTTGCATATTGACATACGACGAATTTACGGCAAAGTGAAGTTATATACTACGTATCGTTACTGTTCTTACTGCGGTGTTTTGACTTAGATGTACTTGATATACATTAAGAAGCATGTTTAAGCCTTCCTCATGTTCAATGGGTTAAGATACCAAAGTACCGTAATCTTAGTCTTGGTATGTTGGACACAACAAATATGTGGACTACAGAATGGACTAGCACGGTAAGTACGACATAAAATGTCATGATGTTGTTGTTTAACTCATAACACGTACATATATTAAATACTATCATGTGATACGACACACATTATTCTATACATGTTACTATAACAGTAATCACATGATGCAAATACATATTACTGTCAGTAACTAAACATACCTAAAATATATAATTTCAGTCTACCACCAATGGGCTGGATGTCGTGGAGCTGGTTCAAGTGCGAGACTGACTGTGCGCGACACCCGAGTAACTGTATCAACGAGGAGCTCTACTTCCAACATGCAGATCGACTGGTCAGCGATGGATACGCGGCAGTCGGCTACAATACCATCCACATAGACGACTGCTGGACTGAACGGTCCAGGGATTGGCAGAACAGACTGGTCGCCGATCGTTACAGATTTCCTCGGGGCATTCAGGGACTGGTAAATTATGTAAGTTTAAGGTTACTGTAATATGCTACAGTAATTCATAAAAAATAATTTACTTTTCATGTTTAGATTAATATTGTAATTGTTATACCACATATGGTGCAGTTCATTACTCGTATTTTACATTACTTTTGGTACAATTTAAGATAAAATTTAGGTCCACAGTAGAGGGTTGAAGTTTGGAATATATGCGGATTACGGTACAAAGACGTGTGGAGGTTACCCTGGCAGTAAAGGATACGAAGGTATCGACGCTTGGGCCTTCGCGGACTGGCAGGTGGACTACCTTAAGCTAGATGGCTGTTGGAGTACCATCGTGGAGATGGAAGGCGGTAAGGCAGCATGAGCCTACCTTTAAATTTTGCACATTAAGTCAAATTTAACTGAGCAAACTCATCGTATCTTCTTCAGGCTATCCCCTCTTCTCGCAATACCTAAACGCCTCAGGCCGTTCCATCGTCTACTCTTGTAGCTGGCCCGCCTATCTAGCGATCAAGCCCAACATCAACTACAATCGCATCGCTCAGGTGTGCAACTTGTGGCGCAACTACCCCGACGTCGACAACAACCTCTGGTCGATATTGTACATCATCAACGAGTTCATCAAGGCCCAGGACCAGCTGATCCCAGTCCACGGCCCAGGCCAATGGCACGACCCGGACATGCTGGTGATTGGGAATGGGATCACAGAAGGCGCTTCCAGGATCCAGATGTCCGTCTGGTGCATCTGGTCCGCTCCTTTGATCATGTCCAACGATTTGAGGACTATTTCGCCGAATTTAAGAGCTATTCTACAGAATCGCATCGCTATTGGCATCGACCAAGATCCTATGGGCAAAATGGGACGAATGGTACTCCGGGTAGGGCTAAATACTTATATTTTTACCAAAAGACTTAATTTATGCACCAATTTTAACATTTAGTCTATTTGACCTGCACCGTGCAAACATTTATTCATTGCACGGTGCAGAGTTATTTTTCTTTACAAACACGTTTTCTGATTGCACAGTGCAAAATCCCACTTTCTTTGCACAGTGCAACAATGGTTCATCACTGCACCGTGCAGTCAGTTTGTCGCTTCCCGTTTTGTCGCTTTTTTCCTTTATTGTCGTTGTCAACCTTTATGGGCGACAAATCAAAAGAATCTGTCGCCAAACTCGTTAAGCATTTGAAAGCCTAAACGATTTGGCGACAATCTTGTCGCATCTTGCCAGAACATTTGTTTTAGCGTCAAAAGAAACCAAGCAACCTTTGCTGAAACTGCGACAAACCTTGTCGCAAAGTTGAAACACGAATTTGTCGCAAAATGTGAGCGACAAAAGTTTGACCCTTTACTTGCGACAAAAGCGACACATTTTTTTCCAATTTTGTCGCAGTTCAAAAATGAAAAAAGGTGCAAATTTGTCGCTTTTGAATTGCAATAATGTTTGTCGCACGACAAAGTCGTCGCTGATCAACAGCGACAGACTTTTGTCATGTGCCGGTGTTTGCAAAACGACAATTTCTTCTTTCTTTACGAGGAATTGGCATATTGCGACAATGAAAAGAACCGCACGGTGCAGTGGGGAAGCAGTTGAGCGACAATCCTTTCTTTTGTCGCTGAAAAGTGTTCTTTCAAACAGTCTGCACTGTGCAAGAGCAAAGTCGAGTTGTTTGCACGGTGCAAAAAAGAAGAAGATAGCGGCTGCACTGTGCAAGTCTTTGTAATGACTCTTTGCACTGTGCAATGGCTGGTCTTGCACGATGCAAAGATTGATAATATATTAATTTCAGACGTCGCAGTTGTACTACTTTGTGAAGCAGATTCTGCCGGTCATAAACAACTCTGCGCGACCGCGATGGTCGTTCGCTGTCGCTGTTATCAATCGTTCCAATCAGCCAGCGGTCAGTTTTTTACTGTAACTTTTACAAAATTTTAAGCGAAGGTTACTGTAATCTGAGCATTACTTGATTACTGTAGTATAGGTATAAAAACGTATTAAATAATGGTCGAAAAACTGTTTTAGGCGCGATCGACCACTTTGTCGTCGTTAGGCTTAACTGACCCAAACGGTTACGACTGTATGGAGGTATGGTCCAATAGGTACATTGGGTACTATCGGCACTGGAATGCCTTTGTGGACCCGGTAAGGGCCACTGATGCACTACTTTACAAGTGCACCATTAGGACCAGGCAGGTAGACGATTTTGCTATTCGGCGACAATTACTGATACAGTAATACAACGGCTATTGGTACTGTGGTTACTGTAGCTTAGAAATAACTTTTTATTACAGTAACACCTGATTACAATACCGTAATCATTTGTAATTACGTTACTAAAAGCTACAGTAACTCGTCAACAACTGTACTGCAAAATGTTTCCCGGTTACAGTAATGCTTTAATTTGTTTTATGTATAAAGCTTATAAATACATCAATCATACCGTAGTCGGTTACTGTACTATCGTCGCCTTAATAAAGTAAGCATCGTGCACCGGAAGAGTGCTTTGGATTACTGTATTCTTGTCATGATGACCCAATTTTTGGCCCAAAAACAGTTCTTGCACCTCGAAGCCGTTGGGACTCGAGATGTTGAAGTTGCCGAGAGTAAATTCGAATTTCTGAAGTTACAGTACACCGATCAAATACAGATTTTAAATTATAATAATAATACGGTAACATAAACCTATATAAACTTACTGCAGGATGGCGAGAGTAGTTGACGACAGCGATAGCATACGAATGTTGTTTGCCATCTTTTGATACAGGGGTCATCGGCTTCACAAAGTACCATAATTGTGGAGTCTAAAGCGACACATAATAACAAAAGAACTAGTAATTTGTTTAGTCAAATCTTTTTTTACCAAAACAGTTAATATCGCGCCCTTTTAACGCATTTTTAATCTAAGTTATCTTAAATCACAAGTTACAGTACCTTTTTGACCATTCGTCCCATGATGCCTAAGGGGTCTTGGTTAACCGCGATTACTCTGGTATTCTTGAGAAGATCGGCAAATTCTTGTGGTATGATACGAAGGTCGTTGGACATGATCAACGGAGCTGACCATATCGACCAAACTGCCATTTGAACTCGCGATGTTCCCAATGACACTCCTGGGTTGCCTACGATCAACTAAAACAATATAAATTTTAAAAAACAGTAAAGTAACTGTAAATCTAATTATAATATAAGGTGACATCATGTCACCGGTGACATAACCTCATACTTAATAGAAAAATCATCGTATCTTATTAAAACACCTAAAGACACAGCCAACATACCATATCAGGATCATTCCAATGTCCAGGGCCATGAATCGGAATGAGCTGATCCTGATCCCTGACGTAAACCTGGATAATGCCCAGGAGCGAGTCCCAACTGCTGGCGATGTCCTGGTAGTTCCTCCACAAGTTACAGTTCTCCACGATGGTCTTGTAGTCGATCGACTTCTTGTCGTCGATGTAAGCAGGCCAGCTACAGGAATAGACGACAGGTCTGCCAGTCTGGTTCAGATACTTCCCAAACAAGGGGTATCCCTTCTTGTACTGATCAGCATTAGCATTGCAGCCATCTAACTTAACATAGTCCACCTCCCAATCCGAAGCGAAGGTAAAGGCGTCTATCTTCTCGTAGTTCATACTGCCAGGGTAGCCAGCACAAGTCTTGGAGCCATAGTCTCCATAGGATCCAAACTTAAGGCCCAGTTTGTGGATCTGAAACAATATAATCGTACCTTAACTTCTTCTTACAATTAGATTTTAAAGTTCTCTAAACTTTTTGCCCACACAAGTTAACTTAATAATACTTATTTTCACAACCAAAAACAATACTTTTTATACTATAATGTAGATTATATCAGTAAGAAAAGCACATGTCTGATAAGATAACACTCATGTTTAACATAAGAATAGCTGACACTAATCTACTCAATACCTACATAATCAGCCATTCCCTTCATTCCGGACGGGAATCTGGTCTTGTTCTCCACCATTTTGCCACTTCCATCCCTCTGCCAGTTGGCCCAGCAGTCGTCGATGTGAATGCGATCGTAGCCCACCTCGAGATACCCATCCAAGGCCAATCGGTCAGCATGACTCTTGTACAAGTACTCGTTTATGCAACTGAATGGGTGGCGTTCGCAGTCGATCTGACAGTAGAACCTTGTCCATGACATCCAGCCCATTGGAGGCAGCCGAGCCAGCCCATTCTCAAGTCCAGCCACCGAGACAAACAACAAAAAGTATATCAACATAGAGTATATGACTATCAACAAAAGCAAGAGAATGACCGAAACTCTCCCTCAGCTGTATTTATTGCCATCTGATAACACGACTTAAACAACGTTCGTTATCAGATCAATGTTTGTACTGGCTAATTCTATGGTATTTGTCAACAAATTGTTTGAATGTAATCTCCTGAAGATGGTGGTATTTGGTGTAGCACATAATGCCATTTAATATAATGCTAGATTCACTTTTTAATGATGTGGTATTAAGTTGCATTATCATTGATATTAAACATGTTTTTGAACAAAAATGTTACAAGGTTCAAATAACAACATGATCTTTTAAACTTCAGAAATAGTCTTTATTAATAAGTAAACGCACTAAAATTACAATATTGGACATCATTCACATAAAAATGTTGAAAGTGCTTAACCATATAGTAGGTTAATAGTCAAAGAATTCAGTCATTCTTGGAGCGATCTTGTGACCATCATTCAAACCTTCTATTCCTGAATCCTCAGAAACAGCAGAAGATGCCGTGGCTAAATCACCATCTAAAACACCTAAATTTACATCTGCAGACACGTTTTACAGCTATATGATATCCTTGAAGCAAAAAAATAAAAAAAATATAAATTGTAACACATTAAATACTTCTACAAACCTTCATTTTTGATTCCATCTGAACTTGATCTCTTATAAAAATTAGTGCTACTCTCCACACCACCAGCAACACCTGTACTTTTACTTTCCAGATCCTTGCCATCAAACTTGAAATCTCTCATGAATGCATGAGGATGTTCAATATCAGCTGTAATAAAAGCCAATTCCACTCTGTCAATATCTTTCTCAGTACAAGATTGAATGCCTTCTAAAGAGCAGATTCCGTAGACTACATGCAGATTGTAGCGTTTCCCAGAATATGGTCTGAAGATTGTTTTGAAGCCATGGACGTTAGCCGATTCAATGTGTAATGCTTTAGTTTGGATAACGTTTTTCAGGTTGTATATCAATTTAAACTCGTCTAAGGCTTCCAATAAAACTTCCTAAAGATGAATGCTCAGATAAGTAAGATATTCTTGTCTGTACATACCATGTTATACCCAAAATTATGAAAAATACTTACCGCAACATCTTCATCGCTTTCGTTTCTTTGCACAAACTCATCAACCTTCAAGCCTAGAGTCGACTTTGTTCCACCATACCCAAAAACACATAGAACAACACAGAAGAACAATAATAACTTCAGCATTGTGAATATACATCATTATAATGTAAGTTACAATTTATATACCTAATCTTAACCTCATTATGCAATTCTTTAAATTTTAGTGAGAAAATTGTTGCCTCATCCAAAACAACATCATCAGAATATCTAAAATATCTTTCAATCGCCAAAATATGAGTAATAACAACAGAAAACTCGAAATTCAGAATTAAAATTATGGGAAAACTGATGTTTCGCAATAAACATATTGTTTAGCAAATGTACCGTAATAAAAATATTACTGAAAATACGATAGAATTCTTCAGCTGATAACATTATGTATTTTTATATGAAGTTCAAGGCCACAAGATGTAAATAATTTTTATCGATAAAATCCGTCACAAAATCAATAATTATGGGGAGCAACTCAAATATTGATGTTTTTTTTCCGAAAAAAAAAGGTTTATAATACAAAAAACTGTCGGACAAAAAGATGTTTCTGCAAAAAGAAAGTTTTGCGACAAAAGGACGACCTGTGTCCTGTTATAAAGAGGATGTCATATAGGTATTGCAATATAAATCATCTAAAAAGAGGTATGTAAATAAAATTTAGTTGAAATGAATGTAAATATTCCAATTTTAATGTTTAAAATAACTCAAAAGAAAAGTGATGTTATTGTTAATCATGTGTGAGTAATATCACTTTCAACATGGTTTTAAACACTTGAAGTCGATCTTGTCATGCTTGTTTGTTTAGTTATGACAATTAAAGTGCGTGGGTCATTCCTTGCTGTTAGTTACAAGATATTAATGGGCACTGTTCACTAGTGTTAAGCTTGTAGATATGAGAGTTGGGGAGGATAATGTGGTAAGCGATGTTAGCATAGGTGTCTTGATGATTGCATAACTGATAATATAAGTTACTTTGCTCATTCTTACTAATTGCTCATTCTTAATTTTAGGTATGAAATAATTTTAAGGATATTAAATTTCTGCTTAACAAGCATGGTATTTTAGGCGATTCAAATAGATCAAGACGATGACACCGCTTACCATGATGTGTATAACGACACGGTGGAGAACGATCCCTTCAAGAGCAGTAAAACGTCGCTTCAACAGTTGTTACCATCTCCCGATGATGTCAAATCGATGAAGAGTTCTGTCCACGAATCACTCAAGTCTGTGTAAGTTTAACTAGCTTTTTATGGATACATTATGAGTCGTTTTTTAATTTGATACACTTACAGAAAGTTTATTGGAACAAAGTTTTTGGAAAAGATAAAGAATATTGTGATGGTGACAAAGTTATGGTGGCTTACTGTAGCGTTTACTTTATTGGGTGGCTATATATTTATGTGGCTAGAGACTCCAGCTGACTTGGAACAGAAGCGGCAACAGTTGGACGAGCATCTTATGTCAAGGGATGTGTTCTTGTTCAAGTAAGTATGTTTTATAAAATTTTATTGTGATCAATTTAACCACGATTTATTGTGTGATATTTGTGAGATATTTGACTGCACTTATAGTTTTTTTAGTATAGAGATGATACACAACAGTTCGAGTCTTCAGAAGCGAAATGAATGGAAGAACGCTATCATGGAATTCGAAAGGAGAATCGGCTACACACTGCCAGAAGTTGAGACATCATGGACCTTCTGGATGAGTGTGCTGTATGCTGGCACTATTTCTACGACAATAGGTTTGTTTTTTGAATATCTATCATAATTTATTGGACGTTTGTGTATTTAATGCTGTATTGGCAAGTTGTATGTATTGCCCAAGCTTTGTTAAAACTCTTATTTTTTTAAGGTTCAAACAATTGTAGGTTACGGTAACATTGGATGTATAACAACTTCTGGTAGAATAATGACTATATTCTACGCGATTTTGGGTATTCCATTGTTTGTTGTTATCCTTGACAAGATTGGAGCTGCTCAGTTGTCGTTGTTGAAGGCTATCAACTACGCAGTAGAAGACTTTTTGTTTTTTATATGTGAGTTACCAATATTGCATGTTAATGCATACTATAGCATATTATTTTTTAAATATAGTAGTGTTTTACAATATAATTGTGGAACTATTGTTCAATTCTTATGTACTAATTTAATTTCCAGACATTCGCATGCGTTTTCCTCAGCAATTGGAGCCAGAAAAGCGACGACGCTACAAAAAGTTATCTGTAAAATACGCGAATTATGGTTTATTCAACTACAAGGTGCCTCTGAAGTTGATTACGCAGCAGGAAAGTGTAGAAGCTGTAGAAGAAAGGAGGATCGGTCCAAAAGATGTGGGATCAATGTATGTTAAGAGTGCAGTTCGACCATTGGATGACATAACAGAGATAGACGAGGAATTCGTGGAAGTTGACAATCACGAGTTCAAACATGTTACAATACAGGACACACAAAATGTAATTGTTACTTTATTTAGAAAATGATATAATAATACAGTAAATGTCATCATTATACTTATATATATTTTTTTATGACAATTTAGGTATCAACGCCAGAAAGACCACGCCCATTACCACGACAAGTGTCGATTGAAACTGGACCATCTAGAAGGTCTTCAGAACTCTCTCAAGGGCTAAGTATTATGTCAGATCAATCAGGGACAATAGAAAGCCAAGTACAACAAGAAGAGCATATTTGCGAAGAGATTGTGGAAACAGAAGAGACGGTAGAAAAGACAGAAGAAGAGGAAGAAGAAGACCGTGATCCTCCAGTAGCTGCAGCCTTGGTTCTTACTGTAGGGCATATCACTGCATTTGCAGCGATCTTTTGTTTGTGGGAGGAGTGGGACTACTTTACATCGTTCTACTTTTTGTTCATATCTCTTAGTACTATTGGTAAGTGGTACTTATGGTGAGGATAGAATTTATTATGGGTGATTTTAAATGTTATATTATGTTAGGGGTTAAGCATATTATGTTTGTTTATAGTATAATATCTTTTTACAGGTTTTGGCGATGTAACTCCTGCTTATCCAGAGTATATGGTTGGTACTTTCTTTGTGGTACTGATCGGTCTGGCTTTAGTAACTGTATGCATTAATGTGGTACAAGAAAAGATTACTATAATGTATATGCGAGTCTTGACTAGGATGTTAGATGTGGGTTTTTTTACTTATTATTATATTGCTTTAGTATCTATTTTTTAATTTTTATAGTATATTGTAATTTGGTTTAGCAATACATAAAAGCCCAAGAAAGTGGAGATCCAGAAGCTTTGAAAGGATTCGTGGAAGGATTCAACAGTAACGCCAAGTTCCTGATGCCGTTGTTGAGCAAGAACGAGAGTGCCAAAGTAATGAAGAAGTTCAGACAGACGGCAAAAGACAAGGGAGTCAGTCTGCCATCTGCTCTGACTGAAATCGACCCCCAAACAGGACAATTCTCATTTTGCAATCAGAAGAGCGACGACATTGATGGATTCATCGAGAAGAAGCGACAAGAAGCTCAGAATGTGATCAACACTTCCGTCTACAAGAGAAACACTTGTGGTACTCAGACAAACTTCCACAACAAGGCCAAGAAGGTACAGACCACGGTGCCTGAATGGCTACTGGTCAGTTACAGTTATGGAGCTCAGTTTTCGGCCGAATTGAGCGACAGCGGGAATCAGACGGACACGGATAGTGTGGACTCTGGATGTCAGGTAAGTGGTGATATTTGATGGTCAGGACGATTATTGGCTATGAAGCATTTTTATTATATTGTTTTAGTGTGAAGTCGACGTTGAATCAACAAGTGCTCAGTTTGATGCAGATTTACTTGGCATAGTCGACTGTGCAACAACTATGGGCGTTGAGTAAGTGCAACATTATTATCTTTTTTATTATAACAACCAATGTTTACATTTTAGGTACGCCGACTCTTCTATTCAACCAGAAGTGTCATTTATTCGTCAGTTACTGGAGCAAGATTCGGATGGATCGTGGGAAATGTCAGAAACCGACAGTGACGACAATACTACGGGACACAATGAATTGCCAGAACGACGGCGACGGGTTAGGGAAGGTTTTCAGAAGAAGTTATCGCGGGATGATGGACTTAAGCGACGAGAATCACGCGATAAATTGAGGTTTATGAAGAGTAGAAATGTACAGGTACTTTCATCGGCCCAAAATTTTTTATGTTGCCTAATCTACAAATTATTTAAGGTTAAATTTTTAGACAGAATTTGAACAAACATCAACAGAATGTCAAGCGGGACCGTCCACGTTCACAGGATACACATCTTCCGAAACCATGGATCTGATCATTAAGAAAGACGCTGAAACTCAACCAGACCTCACGAGAACCAAGAACAACTACACTCAAGTTAAGTACAAGGTCAAGCACGCTGAGATCCAGAATTATGTCATGGATGAGTTCCTCTTTGATACTGATACTCAGACAGATACTGTGATGATGGATTCGGACACTCAAGTAGAGCTGCAGTCGGCAGATCAAGTGATTCAGACTGACGTTGAGGTGAAGGCAGAGGAAGTTCAAACTGAGATCGTGGAGTTCGCTAACATCAAGGCAATTCGAGATGGACTAACTCAAACTGACACTGTTTTTGTTAATAAGAAGGCTCAGACAGCGTTAACGTACACGTTGAAGAACATCGATGAGTTTGAAAAACAGAAAAAGGTAAAAATATATTTTCTGTCAAAAGATGGACAAGTTATACGATGAAAAGTTTCTGTCTAAACTAATATTATATAATTATTTACGCAACCTAAAAATGTCTTTTTATGTAAATTTTGTTGTTTTAGAAAGAATATGAAAACGCAAAGTCAAAGTTCGAGCGTCTAAAACAACGTCGCGGGGAGTTTGGTGGGAAACAGCTGAATACCGTGAGGTTGGATGCTTCAGAATTAGAAGTCCTGAAGTCAAAGTTGTTCAAGATACGACTGGAACATGCCAAAAAACAAAAAATGGAGAATGAACCGATAGAATTTGATGTCAATGGGGTAAATTAATGTTCTAACGTTAACATAACCATGAAAAGATAAAATCGGTTAAAAAGTATAAAGTAGCATTGTTATCACAAACAATTTTTCAGGAAGTGCAAAAACTTCTGGATCTTCTACAGAATCTTCGCGTAGCTGACGGTGAATTGGACAAAGATGAGATAAGAAAGATTCTGGAAGAGAGCCATTTTCCGCTGGAATTAATCGAAAAAGACTTTGATTTCGACAGATTAGTCAAGTTGCTGGAAGAAGAAAGCCAGCAAGGGGATGACAGCGACGCCGAGCTGTTGGACGATGACGTTCTGGTCTTCATGAAGTCAACGGAGTGTCAGACCAACACTTTGGGACTGCAAATGGTTGATGTTGAGGTAGTTTAATTTGATTTATGTTTTGATACTTATTTTCACGTTATTTAAAGTTTTATGGCATTGTAAATGGTTTATTGGATATATTGTGTTAATTCAGTTGATGGCTAAAGATATGGTAAAAGATTCTGAAGGGCAGACTGTTATATCAATGGCTGAAATGCAAGAAAAGGGAACACAACCTGATAACAACACTTCTGAAGTCGGAGTTCAACATCAGCCTGACACTAAAGATGCTTTTGTAAGGGTTTTTAAATATAATATTCTAAAATGTATCTATAATGACTAAAGATATATAGATTATGGGAGTCAAAGTCTTCCTGCTTTAGGTTATTGCAAAACCATCAACCGCACTGATGCACTCACAAACTGTAATGTCAATGGCAACTCAAAAGGAAAAAGAAGTTCAAAGTCAAGTGGCAGTAAACGAAAGTGTGTCACAAACAGAGTTACAATACAGTAATATTGCGTTAGATCCTATTTTAGAAGTTATTAAAAGGGTAAGTTGTTTATCATGTTATTATTATTAAATCTTGTTCAGAATAAACCTGTAGTGAGTGCACAAGATACTCAAACAGCAATAGAAATTGGCGATAGTATGGTACAAACTGAACGAAATGGAATTGAAAAGGTAGGTGTACATAAACTATTGATGAATTTAGTTGGTTGTATAATCTAATTTTAACATATCGTGTTTTACATTTTTTACAGGACGCTCAAGTTTCTGTAGAAACAGCTACAGTATCTATTGACGCTGTTCAAGAGTACAAAACAGCGTCAACGTCAGTAGATGTAGCTTACAGGGATTCTGAATGTCAGTGGGCTCAAAACACGACGGAGAATGAGGTTCAAACTTCTGTAGTTCTACAGGATTGGGCAGTACAAGCAACCGTAACAACTTCTGAGAAATCTGAACAGAATTTGATTGAATTTGCTGAGAGTGCTACACAATCTATGGTGTCTTCTATGAAGAAAATGAACAAAGAAAACGATAAAGATAAAGAAGAGGCAAAGGATGAACAACAAAATGTACAAGAAGACGTGTACTATCCAGTCGATCAAGAAGTGCAATACGAAGAACCTAGAAGGTTTGTTGATACTGGAAGTAATGCTTTGGTATCAATGTTTAAGCGACCAGATGATCAGCAACAAGCTAAAGAAGGCATCGAAGGATCGTCATATAAAGTAGAAGCTGACGATGTCTACTTATCTCTTGTAGCTTCAGAAGATGAGGAATATTATTTGATGGACAGCTACACGCAGCACGATACTGAACTCGCAGACACGGCGACAATGCCTATTGTGTCTATGTTTAAAATGAAAGAACGCCAAGGTGAGGAAGAGAATGGTGCAGATGGAGATCAAGAAGATGTTTTACATCCAAAAGATACTGGAGTACAACATGACAGAGAGATGGAGGACTACATGATAGACAAAGCGATTCAACCGAATGTTTCTATGTTTAAAGCAGTTCAGAAGAAGGTTTCAGTAGGAGATGTTGAAGAAGACGAATTGGAGTTTATGACAGACGACTTTACTCAAGTTGAAGTCAAGTGTAAGCTTTTAAGGTTTAAAGGTATTTCAAATAGTATAATTACAATAAAGTTGAAGAATTATAATTTTTAAATGAACTTTAAACGTGATTTTAGGGTCAACTGTTGCTGTCGGAAGTGAAGTTGAATATTTGAATAAAGAAGTTGCTGCAATTGCTGAAACAACGGCAGCCGGTTGTCAGTCAGATATAGATGTAGAAGATGTACAAACACAATTCAATCCTACAACTTCTGACGCCTTTACCTTTCCCAATGTATCTATGTTTAAGATATCAGAAGAAATGTCAGATAGTTATATGCAACAACTCAACGTCACGGATACTCAGTTCTTACAAGACTGCGGATGTCAGTATGATGCACAATACGATGGTAAGGTGGACAAGGAGAGCCAGCATACTGTAGAATTTGTGGATGAAAGAGTAGGAGATCACTACGATGTGAAGGATAATGGGGTACAGTCGCTGTTGTCTATGTTCAAGATCAACATGAATGAGTATGTGAAGAGACGAGAGAGTGCAGAGAAAGAGGATGGTCAAGGTGGTCAGGACAAGGAGGTAAGGAGACTACCTTGAGATGTAGAGTAAATTTTGACAAAATAATATAGTGATACTGGTGTATGTCTAATCTAATTTCAGGTTGAAGAAGTCAACTTCTTGATAGATGCTTCAACTGAACATGACTACACCGTGTTGTCATCAGAAGCCGGAACTCAATTGTCGTACACAATGACTGCTACAGAACAACAAACAGTATATTCTGGTACTATAGTAAGTAGTAAGACATATTTTGCCAGTCAATTGATTTTTTGTTTATCTAATGATGTTATACTTGTTTGTTGATAATACCATTGTGATTGCACAGGTTGATGCCGAGACAACGCACGATACTCATTTTGTGAATCTTTCTGACCAAACCAGTTTTTGTTCTTGTACATTACCGCGACATGTTCATGAAGAAAGCAATCTTAAAGTTGTTGAAGTGGCGAGGAAACAGTTGCCGGAGAAAGTTGCCAAGACCTTTAGTAAGAAGGTACAAGCGACAACACATATAGATGACAAATGTGTTGGAGAAGTGGTAGAAAGAGCACCATTTGGGTGTCAGATGAGTGCTAAGTTGCATGAATGGGGAGTTCAGGTGAGTATTAATTACTGGTCTATTAAAAATATTACTTATAGTCTCTAATATGACTTTTATACTGGTATACTGTATATTCCAAGTAACATCTTTTTTAGTACGAATACTTGAACACCCATGCCCAGTACGTACAGACTGAACACTACACTCGTACCATAGAATCTCAAATGACAGTAGAACAATCGAACTCTTCAGTTCAGACAGTTCAAAGGAAGCCGCCGCTTAAAAATTCGAAAAATATTCAAACTGACGTCGTTCAGTCTGAAGTCAACGCTGATGTCTACGTAACTCTGCATGGTAAACCTGCTACTGGTTATGCGGCTACTACTAGGCTGAACAAACATATTCAGAAGGTTAAAAAAGTGATAAGAAGTCGGCGGTCGGAAGAGATTCAGACGGATTCTGTCGCTGAAGTTGTTGTGATGGAGCACGAAGTAAAGGCGACTTCTGATGCTGAAGTTCAAGTTAGTATAAGCAAAGACCTAGTCGAGTATTGTGTTAGTCAAACATTTAGAAAGCCTATCAAGATAATGAGGGTTAGTAAGGTGCTGAAGGATACTGTAACAACTAGAGTTGAGAAGAATTTAAGTATTGTCAAGAAAGGCGACATTAAACGAATGAAAATTGAAAGTAAAACAGAGAGGGTGTCTACAGTTACAGCTTCTACAGAAACTACTGATTTATTGTCAGAACCGGTCAAGAAGTCTAGGCTGATAAAGCGACGACCTCTAGGCTTAAGAAAGGAGATTGGAACTCAAACACATCAGAAACCTTACGTATCGTTGACGATGAATGCAGAGTTACGGTGTCTTGATGATGCACTTGACGTCACGGTGACTGTACCTGGTAAAGCTGCTGAATTCGCTCAGAAAACTATAAGATTACATTCGAAGCGACAAAACATAAAGGCTACAACAATATTAGCATCGAAAGAATGTCAGACGACATTCGAAGAAGTGAAGGTCAAGAAGAGGTCAGAAGGATGTCAGACGGAGATACAAGAGACAGTCAAGCTGAGAAAGGTCTGGACTATCATCTGATTGAAGTGTAAACTTATTTCTTTTTACTAACCCTGCTATTCCAAAATAGTTTGTCACACGCTATGTTTTGTAATATTTTCGAAGTTATATTTTGCGACATTTCAGATGGCGATGTATCAATCATATAACGCCGACAACACAGCCGAGGTGTCTACACAAACTGGAGTGCTGGCTAGACTGGCAACACAGTATCGAGAGGGTACTCAAGTGAAGGTATAACAGTATCTAGTAAAAACTGAAATTATGAGTTAAAAAAGCGTAATAGTACTACTTTAACACAAAATATTGTTTTAGCCTGAATCTCCGAAGTCAAAGAAGCGATGATTTTAATTACATTGCTGTCACTTTATCACATCACTTTATGTCTTAATATGGCAACATTGTACTGCGCAATATGTTGCTATATATACTTAAACCAGCCACATTTTGACAAGTAGACTAACTATGTAAACTCGAATATATATGTAAATAATCTTTGACGTGATAACCCTCGAATAATGACAGACGTTCCCAATTGTCAGCACCCGCTGTGTACGAATTTTAAAAAGAATTCCCATTTTTTGGGCACGTACACAATACTTACTTTTGGTACAACTTACGGAAAACAACTTTTATAATTTGACACTCTATTTAGCTTTGCCAATCTGCAATCTGTGTGGTAAGTTAATTTTTTGTTATAATGATTTATTTATCGTTTGGTAGTTTTTTTAGTATATTAATGTAAGTATTGTTAGTTAAGGTATTGAGATGTTGCAAGAAGCTGATCTTGCAAAGCTTCCTAACCTATCAGACCTTATTAACGCTACAAGTTTGCATAATTTTTGCAATGGGCATTACTGCAACAGGAATACTCATGTTTGTGTTGCCGATGTTGCGTAAGTTTGCAGTAATTGATATTATACTATATCAATGTATATTCTTTATTTACTATGTTAAACGTTATATTATGTTTTAAAAAGTCAAAAATAACTCTAAAACAATATAAGGCTTTAGCAACCACACTGTATGTTTACCATTGGCGTATAACCTCAGTTTTGTGTACACTTTACTTGTCATCAATACGGTTATGTTGGTGACTGTTGTTGTCTTAATGTGTCGAGGTAAGTCCTCTCCTTACAGAACAGTGTTAACTTTGGTTTAGGCCATATACTAGCTCTAATACTACACCCTCAACAACCACAAGATGAAGAATCAATGTTTTTAATTGACACTGAGACTAATTCAAACGGTCAATCTGTTACTCGGATATAACTTTTAACAAATGTTTTACTGGTTTGGTCAGAAAGTTTGAAGAGTTTTTTAATTTGTTTTAATTTTAAAAACTTTACTGTCTTTTGACCTAACTATGCTATTAATTGTGTATATTACTTTTTACATGGTTAATTAAATTTAACTTTAAAGCTGGTTTTAAAATATTTAGATATTTGAATATTTAGTTTTATGCCCCCAGGCGTTTTGGACACTCTGAGTCCAGATGGCGGTCATTCCAAACAAAAAATAAAAGATTTATGAAGCTCGTCGAGATGGCAGTAGTCTTATGTCATCAAACATAAACATCCACTGTTTTTAGAAAAGTTTCGTTTAGTGTTATACTCTTTGGTACTGATTTTTTTGACAATTTTTATTACTTTAAAATCATAGTTTTGGACTCTGTAATTTGTAGTGTACTTAATTTAATATTTATACTAATATATATATTTTATTTACAATTTAGGTTAGTTAAAAGTGGTCAAAACTTTTTCATAGGCCTTTGGTGGCAGTGTTAAGCCAAATGAAGATTTATTGCGCTGCCAAACTTGAATTCGGTTATTCAGCTGCCGGAAACAGAGCTCAGGCAAACGAGAGAAACGCATCAGAATTGCCCTATTCTTCGCTTCTGAATCTCGAGTACGGGCGACAGATGATTTCTGTGAATTCTGGGTTTTTTTCTAAATTATCATACTTAGGACTGATAACTTTAAATAGTAGGGTTACTTTAAGGTTACTGTTTTAAGCAAATTTGTTATAAACTGCTAAATAAATTTTAAATTTAAAGTTGAAAAAACATTGGCCAAGTGGTACAATACTCAGATGAAGATACTACTGAAACTACGGGTCAAAAACTTTTAGTAGTGTCTTTTTTGTCAAGATGAATAAAAGCCGTAGGACATACGAAGCTGATGTCCATGTGACCCGTTCGGTCCTTTCCTGTGGGAAAACTCGTTTCCTATTTATAATTTTGGCATGTTTCTTGGATGTAACTCAAGTTTTCGCATTAGGAGCGTTATGTGTTACTGAGAGGCCTTCTTACTTTGTGTCTTGAATATATCCTTTATGATGTATATTGGTATAGTTTATACTGTTATATTATTTATTGTGCTTTTAATTTAAAAGGGTATAAGTGGCAATTCTTTGCTTATTTATAGGTAATAAATAACCTAATATTAAGGTCTAAAATGACGTTTTGAAAGCTTTCTAACTAATGTAGTACAGTACGTAATGGTGTCATACTGCACTTTGGTATATTAATATAGGATTTTTGAGAGAATTTGGAAAAGAATGTAAATTATATTGTTTGTGGAAATTAAACAACAAACAGCGTCCACAATATAATAGCGGGGTCAAGTGTTTGTTATGTTTCTAACTGAATAGCCGCTTTATTCTCTGTCTTCATGACTTTGCAATTATGTTTCAGGACTCAAAAGCGTTACTTTCAAGTTTTTATTATAGTTATGGCAATATTAACTGTCTAAAGTAATTTTAGTTGGGTTGAAAATTAAAATCTTCTTGTAAAATTTAGATTTCAAACTTGTAAAACTTAATATAAAACGAAATTGGAGTGTAATCGATGCCATTGCTAATCGCAACATTAGTGCCCTCCGGCTGTCTCTTTTTCACGCTACAATTGACATTCGACTTGACGTGTGATAGTCGGTCAGATCGCCCAAATTTGTGTTTATTATTTGTTTTGTGTTTATGGAGTAATTACGAGACTTTGCACCAAAAGGACGTTAATTAACTTGCGATACGAACGGACGTGGCTTTATATGTTCTTGCATACGAACATCTTGTTCTGGGCTATTTTCTTGTACTAGATATTTAATAAGTGCATTTACTTTTTATTTGATAATATCTTTGAATGTTATGGTAAATGATACCTATCTTACAGTAGGTTTTAATACGTTGCAACTACAGTTCCCTTTTAATAAAAATGTCATGATTTCGAATATTATCATGCTATGACCAAGTATAGCGTTTCCAGCGTCACATTATTTAAATTTATTCGATCGTTTTCCGATTCAAAGTCAATTTCCATTTGCTTGTCGCTCCGTTCTTCGTCGTTCTTCGACGATTATTATGTCATTAGACGTTCGTAAGCCCGCTTCCTCACTTGATTTCAATGTCACAATAAAACCAATACGTTATGATGGGGTTTCTGAATTCACGACATCAATATTTCATATATTATCTTAGGGGTTCATGGTTAGTTACGTTATACTTGTTTTTCTAATTTTTGCCATTTTTTTATATCTTTAGTCTTGGACAAGGTATAACCTAATAAAATTGTGTTTTACCGTATTTTACATTACTTTGCAATATATAATACATTTCTTATCTTCTCTACCCTTAAATGTCATAACGTTATGACCAAAGACCTGTCAATCGCCTCGTTCTCACCCAATGTATCTTATAGTTGGTCGTTAAACCTTGTCGGAACCGTTTTCCCATAAAGAACAGTGATTGATATTTAAGGAACGGCCGAGAAAACATTCGGAAGACATCCACCACGAGCGATGGGCATTTTCCTGCGGTCCGAAAAATTTTGTGAATCATCACGAAATTGAGGGCAAAGGTGGGGGAGATTTGTCTAATTTCGAGCTAACATCGCTGCAAGTTGCTATTAAAGGTTACTTTATAATACTTCTGGGAAGGGGCGACATTATAGAACATTATATTAGGCCTTTTTTAAGTTAGTCTTAACGATATGTAGATGTTTCGTAACCTAGTGATGACTTACTCTTCTTGGTCATTCAGATGGCTAAAAGGTTCTCTTACTATGAAGCTACATTATAAGGTCAACATGCACGTTTTTACCTCAAAACGGACAGAATGTAGACCTGTATGTTGTTGTTTTACCGTGACATGCCCTGTTATCTCCCTCGAAACACATAGAACAGTAGCATAGTAAACCGGCGGCAAAAGGTGTGTTGCGAACCGGTTTTGCGACAGATTGTCGGCTGTTCTTCCCCAATGTTATTTCCATCATCACTGCATAACAAATTTCGCGTTCGTTTTTTGTCGGTATTTCATCGAAATCCCTGATCTTCTGAATCCAGACAGGGCTGGGTTTTGTACAGATTCAGAAGGTATCATATGTTATTATGTAGTTCTTTGGGTAGTTACGTATGTTTTGTAGCAAGATAGAAAATAAGCCTTTAAATTATTGTAGTTTTCGAAAAGGTATGATATGTTTTAATAGTTACCCTCTACTACTTTTTGAATAAAAATAGTTTGAACTTATTTATCTTTGTAGCTGTCCTTTTGGCCTTTACTGTAATATATCTTATAAACAAATGATTTTTGGTCCAGAAACTTGAACTAAAAAAGGATGATTTAATTGAAGTGAGTCACAAATCAAACTTCTATCATAATATACATCCTTTACATCTATTATTCATCTTCTGTGAAGTGTTTTAATGTCCCCCCCCTCAAAACTATAAAATTATATTATTTTGTTATTGTAATTATTATGATGCGATCTGTATTATAATAGAAACTTTCCAATTCCCAGCCGCCGGCGGAAATGGTTTTTTATTGTGTGAAAGATTAGTGTTATCATTAACCTTCAGTTGTCGAAGTTTACTGGCTTAAAAGTTGTCGGATTTGAAAGTTTTACTGTGTAACTTTACTTTTTTAATTTCTCATTACTTTTTGTGTTTTTTATCTTTTTTAGCATGTTTTGTGAGTAGAGATGTAGTTTATGAGTTTTTAAGAAAAATTTGAATTTTGGGTTTTACAACCAGTGGCCAAAGCTGCGTCAAAAGTAAAAGTCAGAAATATTTCAAGAATTTGGCGACAAAAAGCGCAAAATTTATTTCCAACTTTGTGGCCTTTTAAGTAGCCTTTGTTGGGACCAAAAAGAAACTAGAGGGATAAGGTCACGTAGGAGACAGTTAGACGGAGAAAGAAAAGGGTTAATTTGCATAAATTCAAAGTTGCTTTCCTTTCGGGATAGCGCAGAGAAAGAGCTAGCGAAAAAAAACGGTTGTTTTAGCTAGCTGAGCAAACAAAAACAGTTTGATGGCTACTCGGAGTGACGTTCTGGCCGTTTTCTGTAATTAATGCTGCGTGGAAACGTAAAACGGACGATTTGAATGCCTGAAGCAATAGTTTCTGAATTTTGAGAGACTTTTGAAATGAAAAAGATTGCTCGTCACAAGTTAAAAACGGTTCATAAAGTACTTGCCCTAAAGTTAATGGCTGTTAAACACTAAAATATCTGCCTTTGAAACCTTTTCCATGCTACCAACCTCAGTGAATAATTAACCACAACTTGCAAACGACAAAACCGACCGCTGGAAATTAAAATTTTACCGACAAATGTTTGGACCGAGAAGGCGCGCAAGAAAGGGGGATAAGCGGATATAAGGCCGCTGCCCCTTATAGCGATGGGAAGCCCACCGAAAGCGCTCGCCCAGTGCCTGCTCTTGCTCGTTTTTGGGTTAGTGAGTGGCGACCCGAGAATTCTGAGGCCCATTCGGGATCGAGGGTCTTGGTGTGTGTGCGTACGGCTGTCCAGCAAAAATCGCCTCTCAGAGGGGTTTTTGCACTCTGTCTCGACATTTGATCCCGACAAAACTTTTTCGGATCAGCAGCAGTTTTTTCCCGTATTTTAGCCGCGCATCCAGTTTGAGCGACTTCGAAGTGACCAGTACGACGTGCAAGGTCATTGTTTTGTTTATTTTGGCTTGAGCATTCATTAAGCCGTTCATTTGAATCAGACTTTGTAAATAACTATGGCGGTTGTCAATAACTGCTTTTTGGCTGTAAACGACGTCTCTTTTTGTACTGTAACTAGAATAGTTAACTTATTTGTATGTTTTTTAATATTTTTGATCAAAAAACCTTAAAATAGATAACATTTTCTTTACTTTTAAGCCTTTTTTATCCTAAAAAACAATGTTTTTCTGTAATAATTACTTGTAAAGTAAATTGTGACTACTACTTTTTGATAACCGCATAAAAGTGGACACTTCCCCCACTCACATACAATCTCTTGCGACAAACAGTTATCGCGTGTTTCCAAGTGCTGAACTTAAAGTTTTGTCGCGCATCCGACCTGTCATGTCGCTTATCATCATTTGCATCCATCTCTTGTAATTGCTCGTTTTATTTGCCAGTTTTCCCACATTTCCCTTCGCTTTTCGGCGTTTTATCAGTTTGGCGACGCCCGCAGGGGACAAAGTAAACTCAATTTCGCTTCGAGTTATAACACATTGTCTCAGTAGGAGTTGTCGTTACGTTCAGTACCGTTTGTTATCATTGTTTTTTGTTATTAGAAGTAAGATGCTTCCAGGGACTTTTAACTGTCAAGAGTAGTTATCTAGTAAGTTTACGGCTTAAAATTCAAAATTTTAATTAAATAATAATCAAATTATTCTTTCAATATTTTTTTTCAGATTTATACTTATTAATAACCATAAACAACGTTTAAAGTCATAAGGATACCTATACAAGCCTCTACCTTCCAATAACAGCCCCAAAAAGTGCCCAGAACGCCGTTAAAAGGCACAAACCCATTTGATGTCAATTTGATTTCGAATATTACGAAGAATCGGACGCAATTAGCGGCTGGTAATATTATTATTTTTACGCGGGATGACTCAATTCTTTTGTTTAGCTAACGGAACTGACCATCGCTACAGTGTTTTTCCAATTTTAAATTATTTTTCCATTTTTTATGAATTTAAAGTTTCTGATAATATGAAACTTTAAAAAAATTAAAAACCTGTGAAGTTTCGGAAAGAAATCCCATAAAAATAAACGATTCAAACTTTACGAATTCCGGATATTAAGTTTGAGGCCTCTCATGAGGCAATACCGAGATCTCAATTATATTGGGTTTGTTACACTAAAACTGTCTTGATCATTTATATCATATAATTTTAATGTAATGAAGATATAAAAAATATTACTTTATTGGCTGTAAGTTGTTATATAAGCTTATATAACAAGTTACGTATAAGTAGTCCTGCGACAAAATGCCAAATGGCGCGAAGTTTCGGAAAGAAATTAAATTTTTCGAAAAATTTTAACAAAATTTTATTTTTTACCATTGAAACGAGGTGAGAGCGCTGTTACCTCCTTGGAAACTGGACGCTAACGGTTTTTCTCTCATGGTCAACCTTTTCTTTCCGTTTCTTTGCCGTTTTACCTCGTTCGGAAAATTATTTTTGAATCATGAATTATGTTTTCGGGACAGTTTCTTTCGGTTTTTGGCTGGATTTTGGGTAAAACTTCCAAATTCATACCTGAAACAGCTGCTTTACCTTGTTTAAAACGGTTTTTTGGCTAATTTTTGACTATATGTTGCGTGTGTGAAAATATTTTCGGGTTTTGGCTACTTTATATTGTGGTATAATGTTGTTTAAAGATGGTTATTTGTTTTTACATATATTTTGTTACCCTAAGTATAATTTGACATTGTTTCAGAACCAAAAACTGGCCGAAATAACTGCCAAAACTCAGAAATCTCGTCGAACTTCGACGTAATCTGAGTATTACAAGGTCCACAGGGTTCTTGATTGGCTGTATTTGTTCAGAACAAGGTGTTTGACATGGAGTAAGTTTTTATTTTATTGTTTTGATTATTTAGGTATGAAAAGATAAAGCTTGCGTAATATTTGTTACAAATCTTGCTATTTCTGGTAGTGAAAGATAATTATAATTTCTATTAGATTATGACTTACAATTACTGTTTTAGGCCTTCCGTGTTGGCCAGCGCCTCATCGGCGAAAATGATGAGACATGAGAACAAACAGTGGGTGGTACCTTTTGATCAACAGACTGCCGTTCAGGTGATACAACAGCAGAATCAGTTTTTTCTTTTAATTGTTGGGATATCGCCGAACCACAAACCTCAGACTTTGATGGAGCAGGACATTCTGACGATCACCAAGTACGATGCTGACATCAACAAGAACTTCTTGGTCTTTCGGAATGAACAGCGGACAGTAAGTTTGTCGTTTTACAATTTTTTAGGTATTTAAAGCACAAAGAGGGTTTAAATGAGTATGTTATTTTAGTAAGGTTAATGTTTTTTGTTCTTAAATTGAACTTTCATGAAGTATATTGTTTTAGGTGTACGGTCTGCAGTTTGGTGATAGAGGAGAAGCTCAACTTATTGATAGCGTAATTGAGAAGATAAGAGATTTGGTCAAACCAAAACAAAGACCGGTGTACCAAGAGCCCCAGACAGGGTTTTATGCTCAAGGTCAAAATGGCAGTGATTCCGGCTTTCGAAACGAAGGTGATGGAGATAGTCTCGGATCAAATGGTGTTAGGTAGGTCATGCTATTCATTAGTATACGTAACATCAAGTGTGGCATAAAGGTCTTATTTCTTTTTATAGAAAAGTATTTTGTAAAGTTTATGTCAAATTTCAAAATGACTTAATTTCTTACTTGAAGATGACATACTTTATACGATGTTTTGTCTTTAATCTACCATAGTTTATGCCTTACTTTGTTGTCATAAATAACTTGAAAGACAAACAAGTTTGTTTTGAGCGACTGGGAGCTGTGGATTGTGACAGTATTATCGCATGTTTTAGATTTGTTTTGTGAGTAATAACCGATGTGTGGGCTATTATGTTAGGGTTTTCACAGTAAAAAAGCATTTTGTTATGAGATAACAGTTTATAGACGCGTTTATGGGCTTGGAGAGGTGTAAAAGTACTATAAGTTAGTTTTTTGGTCAAAAAGTTAATAGAATAAGTTTAAAAAGATTTCTTAGCACTAATTAAATTCAAATTTGGGTATCATATAGTAAAAAATAAGTAATTTTTGCTGTTAGAAACAATATTATGGTTGGAAATGACGAGTTTAGTTCAATACCGTCTTTTTCCAAACAGTTTTTGTCTAGAAAGTATGTCAATTGTGACCCAATAAAAGACTGACCTCCGGTCATTCATTAATAATTTAATTAGTGTGAGAGAATTTGTGGGAAAATACTCGCTTGGCGACAAAAAATGAAAATTTGTTGTTCTGAAATAGCCATTGGGCAAGAAACGAGGAAATACGACAATTACAACAAGATCTTACTCTGGCACACAGTTTTTGGCATTAAAAAGAAGCTGTTATACAATTAGGGATTAACAGTTAGATTAGGTATTAAATTTGAGTACAAGTGAGATTGGTTCAAGAGTATATCTAATATTAGATTGTATACTTGTAAACTATCACTTTACATCTAGATTTTACAGAATGTAAAAGTACATTAAAAGCATTAAGATTATGTTAAAAGATCTTAAGTTTGATCAAATCATTGAATAATATTAAGGTTAGTTTGAAGATTAAAACTAAACGTAAAGGTTACGGTCGGAACGATCTCTATAACAGACGAAACATATGGTAAATGAAGGATTGTTTTTGGAAGTTTAAGGCGATGAGTAATACTTTTACGAACTATTTTTTGTTATTTGTTAAACGCTGCGTCAGAAGGAGCGGTGATTACATTATCTACTGCAGATGATGATAGGTCTATTAGCTTGGGGTTGTATTAATATAGGCATCTTTATTAACTCTATATTCTTAAGGCTTACTTTGTGGTCATTTATTGTTAAGATTAAAACTTGTCGCAAAAGCGATTAAAAAACAATTTAAGCAAATCAAAAAAAATATTTTCTTAAGAACGAGGACAAAGACTATTGCCAAATGGTCTTCATCTCACTTTTTTAACTGTTTTCTATTTTTGTAATTGAGATCAGTCTTCCTATTGAAAACCTTATGGGAACGTGTTTGCAACTCTCCTGCTAAATAAATATTTGTTACAGTAATCTAGAGTAGTCGACATTAAACTAAAAAGCTTATATAAGCACAAAACTTTTGCAATTTCAATTTGATATTTTTTCGTATGGTTATTGAGTATTAGAGTGTGTTTAAACTAGCTTTTGATTATTTTGAGTGTGAAATGTCATTTATTTTTATCTTTACTGTTATTATTCATTGTTTTACTGTAAAGTTTTTGAATTTTGGTGAGTTTGATTGATTTCAGACACTACAACAATTATCAACAACAACCGCAACAGATTAGCCAGCATTTAACTCTACAACAACAACGCCGAGCTTCTCAAACGTCTTCTGGCTCTTCCTCAACACTACAACAGAATATATACGCAACGGTAGGCTTACTTTCACTTACCATGGGTTTGGGGGTTATGATATATTATAACTTATGGTTTTTGGAGAGTTATACGGTAGGATTACTGTAAATACATCGCTTTGCGTTTAGGAATTCTTTTTTATCTTATAGTAGGTTTTACTCTAACGAAGTAGAGCCATCGAAGGTTCGTCATGTGTTTCAATTCATTATACGGTATCTTGAATAGTTTAGCTACTGTTCACAACCTTTCAACTATCTAATGGGTAATATTTTGAAACGTTGAGGGTGGTATTACTCTAAAAAATAACTAGCCAGCTACATGTCTATGAATAATTTATGGATATAATAGGCTAATATTAAAGCCTGAGTGGATTTCCCTCAAATTTTGAGCTTTTGCTAACCTTTCTATTATAATATCCAGTGAGGAATGAGTGGTCGGTTATACAGAGTAGGAGTTGTAAAGGACAGTTAAGGGATTTTTGAGGGATTGCTGTTTTAGGGTACTGTAAAAAGTGGTTTTTTTGGGTTTTTTGTTGTTTTTCGAGCTTTTCAGTGGCTTTATGAAACAAAAACACATTTTATGCAAAACAACATTACGTTTCGTAATGTTTATGCAGGATTTAGAAGCGTAGGGATGTTCTATCTGGCCGAACAACGTGCCGTGAGATGTTAAAGCAGAATGGGATAAGTTAATCGTCTAATTAGGTTTGGGCAGCGAGAGAGTTGAGAGACGTTTTTGAAGCCGTTAAGCCGTTTAAAACTCTTTATTCCAAAAATACTGGGAAGCGGATTGGCGTGGACCTGAGCCCTTTTAAATTTTAAATTCCCTTTACGACAATGTTTTCGTATTGTTGTGGCTCACTCCCATTACCTTTCAGCCAAGGTCAAGGTGGGATAATGTCTGAAATTGGCGGAAAACAAGAGTTTCTCAGCTGTTTTTGGCTACAGTACCCCGTTTGTTTTTGTAAAGTAAAAGTAATCAGTTTGTATCTATAAAAGGTTGTCACTTGGCGAGAAAATTGAACTTTTACGTTACTGTAGATTCTTGTTATTGTAGCTTTTTCTATAGACATGGCTTTTTGGATTAATCTACCGAGGTGTTGTTGTACTACGGTAAAATGGCCAGAGGTAAGACGTTGCTTACTATTATATCGTTCTTTGGAGCTTAGTACTTTTGAAATCAAATTTGGTTTTTTACATTGTATTTATATTGAGAACGTTATTGGTAGTTTAAACATATTCTGGTCGGTCCTTTTCGTCTTATAGTTCACGTCTTGTAGTAGTTTATCCTAATTTAATTTGATGAGAGTAAATCCAAGTGAGGAGAAAACAACTCATAGCTAGCGGTGATTGTTGTTTAGTGGTCCGTAGTGTAAATTGGAAGGAATGAAGAAGATGATCATATTTTCATATGGATCCTCGCTTCTGTTCTTCGGGTTTCTTGTGACTTTTTACTCCGTTTTACTGAGCGATATTATTATTCTAAAGACGGATGATCCGAGCTCCCATCTCACCCAACAGCCAAATGTTTTGGACCGTCAACTTTGTTAGTGAAAACCAGCAGTTGGTTAAGGTAAAAGGGCAAGTTTAAGTGTAATCAGAGCCATCATATTAATTTTTTAAATATTAAAGTCTGTCTTGAGGTAATAGTAATATGAAGGGAAAGTGTAAAGGCTTAACCAACATTAATGTTTAAACATTCATTTTCAGGCCCAGCTGAACGGCTTTAACAACTCGCCCCAGCAGCCTAGCCAAATGACCATCGGTCAACTCCAAACACCTCCAAATGGTCACCATCCCTTCAACAGCTCGAATGGTTCTATGAATCATGTGCAAAATGGCATGAACGGACACACGAATGGACATTCGAATGGTCATCAACAACAACTGCGACAAGCCGTAGCCCCACCCCAACCTCCACCTGCCCCAGCGATGCCCCAAGGCATGATGAATAACCTAATGAACAATGGACTTCCTCAGAATGGCATAAATAATGGTCATAACACGAGTAATGGCCAGAATCTGAACCATTTGAATCCGGCTCCAGTTTCGACGTCGGCCCCACCTCCACCCCCGCCTCCTCCTCCACCAGCTCAAGCCAAGGTTCAAGTATCATCCTCAGCCCCACCACCACCTCCCCCACCACCCCCTGGTCTATTGAAAGGAGCAGCCACTCCAGCGACAAAACCCAAAACCATGGCCGACGCTATCAAAGCGGCCAGTGAAGCCAAAGCTGCCAACAATGCCAATGGAGTTCAGATGAAGGCTCCAGAAAAGGCCCCAGTTCCAGCACAATGCGGTACTGGTGCTCTGATGGATGAGCTTCAGCAGAAGATCAGGAGGATGCAGAACAACGCTGAAGTCGGTTCTGTAGGTTCAACAGCTTCCACTTCTTCAACATTGTCGTCAGCTTCATCAGAAAGTCGCGAGAATCCACCAAAGCCGTGGCAGAAGACGTCGAACGCTTCTTTGAATTCAAATTCTACACAGAACGGTGGCACGTTGACGCTGCATCCAACAAATAATGGCACAGATTCGCCCATAATCAGAAGAAAGTAAGTCGAACTGGTTCTTCTTATGTTAATATTTATTATAAAACGGTATCACTACTCATTATAGTTTTGTGTGTCATATACTTATTGTAATTTATACTTCTTTCAGGACGACGGTGACGAACGGCTCATCAGAAGAACGTTACCTTACGTTGGCGGACCTGGAGCGCTTCAAACAGGACATCCTGACAGAGTTCCAACAGATCGTGGACAAACGGACCAACGACATGATCGAGATGATACGACAAGAGCTGCAGAAGCGTTGAATAAATGAGTATCCATCTAGTCCCCCCATTTAGGTCTACGCAATGATATTACCCAGAAAACGTCTCGATCCTACCGGTTCCTCGTCCTTAATAACTGCCGCAGGTGTGTCGCATTTGTTTTCGGCCGCACAAGATGGTCTTGCTTGGATACAATGTTATTACCAATATTGTCATACATCAGTGTTATACAGCAATTTTATACGACCGTGTTATGTACAATATCATACGATTACAGATGTTATTGTGTTGTGTCTTACATGTCATGATACGTCGATTGTGTAATCACAATAACATTGTAACAAGACCATGTGCAAGGTCGTCTCTCTCATAATTTAATTGGCTTTACTTTAGTTTGTAATACCATGTACAGTCGCTCTTCAACTTGCACAATTATCATATTACTAATTAATCGAATATCTTGCTCGGATTGTATTCGAACTCAGGTGCTATAAACCACAAACTACGTTTATATTTTGTCAGCGAAAAGTTTTACGAATATCAACATAAATATTTTTGTTTATTTAATGCTGCCAGCAAGTGTAATAAACCAAACATCAAGTCAAAGTTACAGTATCCAACTTTAAATTTGAATATTTTACCATAAGGGATAATATGAAAATACTTTCCATTAGTATGTTACACCACAGAGAGATGACAACATATGGCACTCAAGTGAAATTCCTCGGCAAAGCAAAGGGATCGATACTCTTACTGACATTGTTCTTCAACAGATCTTCATCATAGTCATCGGGGCTGTCAGTACTGTTTCTACTTGCATTCTGAATCGTATCTTCCTTTTCAACATCGCCGAATGGTCTTATGACACTGCCATTAACCGTGTTACCACCACTTACTGTAACATCAGGTCTGCTGATAGCAACATCCATTCCTGGACAGTACAACTTCTTGATCTTGTTAAAGGCACCGTCCAGGTTCTGTTGCTCCATGAAGTCGCGGATGTTGTTGACGTTGGCTGGATCTCGGGATCGTGACAGTGCAATGTAGTTAGCACAGGATGGCCAGGAGTCTACTTGATTCAGAATGACAAAGTCTGTGGGCTGTGGGACTTGGTTTACTGTAGCAAAGGCTACGCACACTAAAACTCAGGTTTATTTGTTGTATTATAGGTGAAGATAGGATGTTAATGAAGTTATGTTACTTACATCTCGTGTTGATAGTTGGTGCTACGCGCCAGAAGAAAGTACCGTCTCTCAGATTCTCCCAAACTCCAATGATCGACTTCTGACGACCATCTGGAATCTGGTAGATGTACTCGAAGCGAGTCACATCCGTCGCATTCAGTACTGAAACAAACTTAATTGTGTTACTACTGTAACTAATAAATGAGGCACCTAAATGTAAACCAACCAGTAAGTCTAGGACAGTAGATATCAGGAGCCAAAGTCAATAGCTCATCCAACGAGGCTTCTGTGTAGATGGGCTTTCCCTGCTCCAATTTGTCGATGACATTGTTCACATCAGTCATTGTGGTGGTTTGGAAGTTGTGAGACCAAAGGACAAGATTCCAGGTACCAACTATCAATTCTGGCCGTGCTGGAAGACAACGTGGACATTTGCCTTCTGGCTCCTGTAATATACAAAATACACATGTTTATTGGAGATACGCAATATGACTTTGTCTACTTACAGTAGCAGTGTCGTCCAATTGAAACGAAAAACCATTTTCATTTGCGACAACTCGAGGAAACTTTATTCGACCGACTATCTAAAATACACAGTTAGATTTTAATATCGAGACTAGATAAAACTAGGCAATGAAGTAACAACTTCAAGTCTAATCGTGGTTAGAATTTATCATAACATCTATTTGTAACGAGAAACTATTCCAGAATAATACCTGCTCCCATGCATTTTTGGCTATGTACGCCACATCTCTGACAATACCATTGATCGGATCAGTAGAGATTACACTAGATATGCTTAAGTTCAGTATTAGAATAATGAATACTTTACTTAACATTGTAATCCAACACTACCATGGTTAAAAAAACTTATAACCGTGTTAGATATATGTTTTTGACTGTTGGGTAATACCGAAATCGTACAAAAAAGTTATGAAGTAGGGAAAGCGCGCCCTAAAGAGGTATTTACCCTTTTCAGTTGTATCTGCTCTTTCAAGGTTAAAGCGTGGGATATGTCGCAGATACTCTTTGTATAGAAATGACAGTTATACACAATAAAAACCATTACTTTGCAAACATATTATGTTAGAGACTACTACTCCACAATCTATAATTATCACCAAACCAAATGAAAGGTTTTTGCATAAAATCTATTCGAAAAACAAAAAACATTTTTTATTAAACCGCGATATTTGTGAAAGCCCGTTGCCATTAAAATATTATACAACATGAGATCGTCACCTAAGCTTCACGATGATCAAAATACTTTGTCAAAAAAGCATCCGCAGCCTTGAAGATCTCGTAGCATTGACTGTTCATCAAGAAGTCAAGCTTCTCTGGAGCGTTCACACTTTCAAGTTCTGCTACATAGTCGTCAGCTTGTCCTAAAATAAAAAAGTAGATTTACGTATTAGGTTTGCATATAATTAAAAAATAACAAGTACTTCAGGCACTAAATAAACATTTAAATCTTAGATAACCAAAGAATATAAAGGAAAGAAGTGGGTAGCATACCAGATAAAACTCCGTATTCCATTGCCTTCTGGAGACAACTCAGCGCTTGTAATACTACATCAACATTCATTACTGTTAGTAGATCACACACTGCTCTGAACAGCCCTTTATTAACACAAATGTCAATAAGATTGCCATTCTTGGTACTCAGGACTTCATGCAATCCATTCATCGCCTACAATATTACACGTTACAATAAATTGAAGATTGAAAAGCATAACTTACATTACTAAAACAATTTAAAAAACCTCAAAGCAAGCTTACGTGTTTCCGGATGTCAAATGCAGAATCCCTCAACAAACACAGGAACCTGTCGATGATCTTCTCGGCACAATCTTGTCGATCTTCTAATACTCCATTCTTCACAAATTGGGTCAGCATGTAGAAACTGGCAGCTACAATCTTTTGCGGAGTCTTGTCATCGTTGGATATTAACATAACTGCATCGAAGAACCCTTTTTCGTATAACTGCACCAATATCTCCTTCTCCGCGGCCAATGTATTTGTAAACTTGAGTACATTACTGGTCAGTGCAAGATTAGGTAACAATGCAAAGCAATGGTCTAGAAAACCGGCCGCAAGAACCATTGAGATGTGATCGTGTCCAAACAAACAAATGCCATTCAAAGTGTCAAGGGTTTCATTCAGAAGAACTTCATCAGACTCGTTTGAGAGGACAAACTCCAACAACAACATCATTTTGTTGTTCAACTCGTCTACTGGCGTGATGAAGGTAAAATAACCGTTCAAAAAGGCCATCAGTTGACGTTTTAGCGCGATATCGTCAAATCTAAATAACATTGTCTTAACAAAGCTTATTTTTTAATTATTTTAAGCTTTTTATATTAAAAAACCTAAAAACATTTCCTACGCCAATATAAATCCATGACTTACCTGAAATACAAATCCAGCGCTTTTGGCAAGACAGCCACTTCATCACAGTCACAACGCCTGAATGGATCAAATGAAACAATGCCTTCAAGGATAAACAAAGCATTTATACATGTTCTTGAATTGTCGCTTCTGAAAACACAACATTAAAGTCAACTTAGCACACTCTTTAATATTATATAGTTATAGTAAAACCAATATAACCTCTTCCTTATTTCAATCTAAAAAGATTTGTTAACTACAACTTACTTAAAACAATTTACAAGTTTTGCAATCGGACCTGAAGTTAAACGCCCAGCAACAGGTCGAATATCAGTGCTCATCTCTGACAAAACCATCACAACTTCAGATTCCACCAGCGTTCCCGATGCCGACTTCATAAACACATCAATGAAGGTGTTGAACAACCCCATCTCCAAAGCCTCCTCTACCGCAGAACCTAAAACATCCGTAAATTCAATGACAATATAAGCAAGAACTTGCTGCACTCAGCAAAAACTCAGTTTACATGCTAAACCAATGTTTAGCGGTCTATTCATATTCACCTTTGGTCAAAATTCGAGAGTAGGCATGAAGTGCACCCAGAACTCTATTCTCGTCGTCGCAGAGAAGATCGGCAATCAAGTCTGGGTCATAGACAGCCCTGGCACAATCCTCTTCACAATAATCAGACTAAAAATACAACAAAACCAGAAGTTACCCTACCGTCATCCGTCGAGCTCGGTCGAATCCATCGTCGCGCTTCTTCTTTCTCAACTGGACAGCTTCAGCACGATGCTTGAAATGTAACACATCAGAATCAATCCCTGCAAAGTCAAATATGTAATACACACCGAAAATAACTCTATAAACCAATAAAACGCAAGAAAACTGTCAACTTACCTGCATTTTTGTATAAACCTGCATGAGAACAGCCGGCCGGACTCGTAAACTTCTCCATACTCTCGTCGCAGCCGTTCTGCGTCAACATTCCACCTTATACACGTAAAACGTCGACTTTTTCAACGATATTACACCCCTTCCTATTGATCAATTAAAAATTATTCCAGAAAAAATACATAAAAAATAAGATTATAATTCCCGAAGCGAAAAGAATGAATGCGAAAAACAGTGGCCTTCTGCTCCTCTTACTTTCGTTGTTCTGCCAACATGTGGATTGCGAAAACGGTCAGGGTTAGAGACTGTTTCATTTCCTTTTTACCTTTCACGCTATTTATATTGTAATCTACTGCAAACGAAGACACAATAAGGATTAGATTGCGCGATTGATTAATTTTAAGGTTGTTACGCAGTTTGTAAATTGAGCGAAAAGTAGTTAAATTGTTCGAAATGATGTCTTTCGGGAATATTGATATATGTTTACCACTTTCTTTAAAGCTTTGAAATGAGGAAGAGTGTTATATGTGTGTGAAATATGGCTAAAACGGTGATATTTGAATAGACACGTGACTGATTTTCCAATAGCATGTTTAATATCGAATTTGATTGACGTATTGTTGCTTTAAAGATTATAAAAACTTTCGAACAGATAAATAGTTACAGGATTGTTGATTTATCAGTGCATTGATTACCATTTGATATTTGTTGGAAGTTTATCATGAACATCGGAATAATGGGTTAACTGCCATCTGAACTATGATGCAAAGACCTATTAAACTTGAAGATGATGGTGGTCACATCATCGAGCCACTCGAGTTGACTGGACCATTGAATTGCCTCATTTGTGGTGCTTCTGGTGCTAAACATTATGGTACCATTGCGTGTTTGTGAGTTGTTAACAATTCGCTAGGGAGGACATTGCTTTGGAATTCTAACGTGTTTACGCTAGAAAGCTGACGTACATATTTACTAAAAATATTGTTTTGCAAGAGGTGTTGATGTTTTAAAGTGCTCAAACATATAATTATAGAGGATGCAAGGGCTTTTTCCGACGTTCAATATTGTTGAACAAGGTCTACAAATGTATTCGGAACAAAACGTGCACAATGAGTCCAGGTAAAGCTTGAAACAATACACTAACTAAAGGTTCTCTTTAATAAAATTAAGGACAGATAATGTGATTATCTTTAATCATCACATAAAAATTAAGTAACAAATAGTTTTAATTGATCACAATTCTTGAATTCCAGAGACTCGAAACGGCTGTCACTACTGTCGCTTGCAAAAGTGTTACGCAGTCGGAATGAAGACATGCTGTAAGCTTACTCTTTCGTATATACCTCTAGTTATTTAGATTTGCAAGCCAGTAGAAAGTCGGGTTCTAGTCGCAAAATAATCGATTTAAGTCCAAAAGGATCTCCCACACCACCATTTCTTCTTGTTAATCAGCAATTGAGCAAGGTACGGTAACATATCAATCTAAGTTATGAAATTAAGTTTTGGAGTTACTCAATGATGGTTTACTACATCATTTTAGGTTGAAAACCGTTGTGTGTCATTAGGATCTCTGAATGCATTTAAATCTCAGGGAAACAGTTCTACGAACGACATTGTACAGTACTTTGGAGAGGTCGAGAGGTACTGTTTAGTTATATTTCTACTTTACATTGCTGTCTTTTATGTTGTGGCATAATTTTTACAATTGTAAGCTTTGTTGACTTTGTAAACCATGATTATACTCTAGGATATGTGATGAAGTGTTTGATGAACGGACTATGGGTATGCCTTTAAGTGTAATACGACAGCAATGTAATGTAGATGTGGACGTTGATCTGGCTGTAAGTGAACCAGGAAGAATTGCTCCTAGAGTTGATGTAAGTTATAAAAGCCGTGTATTTTATGTTGCAAAAACCGGAATAATTAAAAAAAGAATAATAACGGTTGCAAAAGGAACTGATTTGCATTTGCGTAACGATTTGTCTATTACAATACGAATGATAAAGGTTCATAGATTAAACTCTTCGATTGTAGACAAAATATAGAACTAGAATATAGTTAAGTATATGTTGTAATAGAAAATGACGTATCTTGACAATAATGTGCCTAATTACTTCAGATGGAGTGGGGTATGAGGCTTCCATTCACCGACGATGCCTTGAAGCCGATCTGGTGTCGTCAGATCTGTAACTTCTTCGACTACGCGTCTTTCATGCCAGACATGGAGATGATTGACGAGAAAGAGAAGAATCGACTGATTCTGGCCAACTCGACCAGAATCCTGTCGCTCACGGTAGCGTACAAGACTCAACGGTTGGATCACGGTGTGGATGCGATTACTTTTGGTCTTGGCTTCTACTACCCAGTAATCGAGGATCAGAAGCCGGCTGAACAGACCAGCTTCACGGAGTTGTCGCGGATTCTATTCAGGGATTGTATCGTGCCAATGAGAGAGATGCACTTGTCGCTGGCCGAGTACTGTATTGTCAAGGCTATGTACTTCTTTTCTCCAGGTAAAATACGAAAAGCTAATTTGGTTGTGCTTATGAGTCCATGGTAAAGAAATTCTAGGTTTATTAGCATGATTTTTATTTTTACTATAAAAATATTGTATTATGTTTTGGAAGCGTAATGTATATAACATTTATGCTTTTAGTGTCGACTCTGAGCGACAGATCTCTCCAAATAATCAACAGAATTCGCGAGAAATATGCAAATGTATTGAACGACTACCTCTTGAACGAGATGGGCTACATGGAGGCGGTGGAGCGAATTACTAAAATACATTCCATTCTTCAGGTCATTGAGGTACTGGTACTATTACAATACAACTTGTTATTGTGTTACATTATAACTATAGCATTTGAATAACTTTCACTATAATGACAAAGTTATAGTTATGTTAGTTTTATCTTTAATTTTAGGTAACAAGTAATCGCTTCGACAAGAGAATGGCGGGCCTGGTGATGGTAGATTCGGCAGGAATGCTGGGCCGGCTGTCGTATGACATTCATGTTCGTACAAACTAAGGGTTACTGTACTCACTTGTGATATTACTCTTTTATTTTGGCATTTTGGAAGTTCCGGTGGAAAGAAAGTCTTTTCATTTTTGTATGTGTATACGTCAGCTAAAGTAATATTTTTGGTATATACAGAAGAGTTTAATAAACGGTCTATTTATCTTTGAATGACACGTTATATTATAGTATAGACATGTATACCTACGTATAATAGTAGTATATACTGATACATTTATGACTTGTCAGTTGATCAAGTTTTAGAATTGAGCTTACATTATCTTTTTACTGTCAAATGTAGACTGACACTACTTCTTTGATGTCTCCCACGATGCCGCCAATCGTTGGAAGTAGCTTTCGAAGTCATCTTGATTTACCACCCGGTTGTTCTTATTACTACATACTAATTCTGCCGCAAATCTCCTTCCGATCAGTTTGATCAATTTTTCCTGTAGCGCCGAGTCACCGTATACCAGAAACATGGTGTAGAACATCATGTAGAAGGAGTTTACTAGGTCGTATAGGTTTGAGGATGTTCTCCATGGTTTTTTCATGCCCAAAAGGAAGCAGATGAAGGCGATTAATAGTAGGATTTTCTCAATCAACCCGATCACGGTGTAGAAGTACACCCAGTAGCGACACATTATCAGCGTTCGTATGTTCTCTGATATCTGATACCGTGTAGTGAGTGTAGTAGCGTTGACAGAAGTAGCACGTTGGTTATGTAGCCAGCGTCGCATCAAAACGATAGTCTGAAGGGTATGTTGTGGTAAGGAGGATATTAAGGTTTATAGTATAGTTAAAAAACGTTATTCTACGTTATTTGTTAATATATGCTACTGTAACATAAAAGTTTATATGGTATAATACATTCTGAAAGTATACTAGGCGTGGTAATGTTATACTCGGAAACTGTGCGCAAGATTTGCTTATTTATAATTTACAGCTATTCAAATCAACTTATACATATTACTCTGGTACTTACCGATACATTAGCAACGAAACTGATACTTTCAACTATGACTATAGCTAAAAGTAAATAAATGTTTACATTGGTGTATATAAGTGCAGTAAATACGATATAAAGAAAAAATGGAATGGACTTACAAGGACCATAGACCATAAATATTGTCATCGACCACTAAAATCAAATTTAAATTAATTTTGGTTAATTAGGTAATAATTGTTGTACTATTATCGTAAACAGAAGTCATATTTGTTTTAAAAAACAATAAAATTTAAATTACCATACTGTGGTTATATTAATGTACTTTTGAATACCAAACTAACTTTTTAAAGGTAATGTAAATGACTTTTAAAGGTAACGTACCCAGAATAACAATATCGAGAATCCAATAGAGATAGGTGCCTTTTCGTATTTGGAGATGAACCTGATGGCCAACGTTCTCTCAATGAAGACGTTCAGAGCACAGAGGTGCACTTGTAGCAAGAATACAGTACGATACCGAAAGAGAGCGTCTTTCACCGTACTAGAGACCATCGTATTACCACACAAAATGTCAGATACGATGACCGCGCGAAACATTATCTAAACGTTTTATATGGTTTTTCAAAGTCAGAACGTTTTTTTATTGAGCTTTTTAACAGCATTATATACCGGTTTCAAATTTTTAAATTTAAAAAATATTTCAAAATTTTCAAAATTACAGTAATCTTACTTCGACCACCCCACAAAGCATATTATTGAGCATTATCAACCTTAAATTAGGGTGGAACGTGTGCGATGTGATGAAAAGCCAACAGACAAGCAGATTGACTGGTATACATCCTACTTCCATAGTCAGTTCGGTACCATATAATATGAACCTAAAGGTAGGTGGGTGGTCCGGCTCAGCTAGCCAGTCGAAGTAAACTTCAGTCAAATTAGCTTTTTGATCTTTGTTTAAAAAGCTGTGCAATTGCATTTCACAAGTGATAAGAATGGCATGGAGTATTTAGTAATAAGATTTGATAGTTTATAAGGTATTGCTGTAGTTTAATTTACATAGCAAGGTAAAACTGTCAAACTATATTAACCATTATAAGAGTATAACTAGTGTAGCACAAACTGTAGACAAATTAGATAATGAAGTGTACAAATAAACTTGAGTTTGCAGAAGCACGGAGGTAAATCTAATAAAGCTGATGGCTCTGCCACTTTGAACTAAAGCTGCACACAAACCTTGAACGAGCATGAAAGTAGATAATAGACAAAATGACAAAAATGCGACAGGTGTGTTTATGAATATTTGAAATTTAAGTAGGTTAATTAGGTAAAAGACTGTAATTTACTTTTAGGTATTGTTGTTTGTCACGAACAAAACCCTGGCATTAAATGTCATAGTATATTATAAAGTTTTACCGTTTATATTTTAGTATTAAACGATTTATATTTATAGGTCTTATAAGCAGATATTGACCTTTTTTTAGTGCTTTGGGTTTTCTCACCCAAAGCACTAAGAATGGCAGCCAACCAGAAGATCTCGCCGTACAAAGCAGGTAACATTAAGACCACCAACCTTCAGGCCATACTTTTGTTGAAACGGGTCCAACATCGTTATATACCCCTTCCTTCTCATCGTTCTAGCAATTAATACCCCGCCGCAGATCAGCGATAATGCATAGCCGATTGGGGCTTGGCAGCCGAGAAGCCCGTTTTTGTAGAGAGCTTCAGCTGTATCATTAATATAGGCGCCACCTACCTAGGTTGCTAAAAATTTTTATTATAATTAGCATAACTTCAGTTGTACCAAGTATTTTAAATTAAAATTTTAAAAATTTTTTAGTTTTTCTGTCGCGTTATAAAACCGTGTAGCCAATGTCACGGTACGTGTGCGATGTTGATATGACTGGTGTATCCTCCAGAGACGAGGTGTCATTCATTTGTTATCGCACGTTAATCATTCCACAATGTGTAGAAGGCCTCGAATCCAAGAGTCGAGCGGAACCGGCTTCACGGAACGGCTTCAATTCAATCAGAATAAATTTTGGAATCTGCGAGCATTCGTACTGTTTTAGGTATTTTACTTTGGAACTCTTCTTTTTACAGTACTTTTCTAAATACAGTAACTTTGTTATACTACTTTAAGTTTACATTATTGTACTTTATAGTATCTAATAGCGGTAGTTTTGTACTACAGTGGCAGACTAGTACAGGCAAGTTGCAATACCATAACAGAACAGTACTATCAAAGTACAATTGGATGGCCGTCTCGCCGAGTTGTCGTTTTCGATGTGAAATTGCGTATCCGAAGACGTAAGTGGATTTTCTTCATTGTGTTACTCTTGAGCTCTCCAACTCGATAACATCACTATTTCTGGCTGAACACGACATCGGGAATAGTTAAACTTATTTTTGTATCTTCTAACTATTTACGGCTCTCTGACAATTTGTGAGCCGTCTGCGGCCATTGGGCTAGTCTGGCCGTCTTTTTACCTTAACTTTTATTTGTTAAGGTAATACTGGCCAGATTTTGCCATTTTTAGTGTAATGTATTTGACTTTGATGAATCTTGTTACTTTTGAGGCTTTCAGGCGTGTATCTTTTTTTTTTTAGTAATTAACTGTTACATCGCCTACTTGTCTTATATTAGCTTTATTTGGGTATCGTATCATCCTTGAGTACTCTTTATAACTCAATAAAGCTAACTGACAACACTTTTTTGAGCTTTTGAAAAACGTCATTTTGGTGCAGAAAAGGTTAATTTTTGATTCAAAATAGTAGCCAGACTAAAATCAGTTTATCAGATATTTACATAAATGTAGCGCCTGGAGGCTAACATCATTTGGCGTACGCGGAAACTGACAAAAAATAAAACTGCTTAACAAACATACGATGTGAGATTACGTAGTAAGGAAGTGGCTTTGTTCACTGTTTCTCCATTCTCAGTTAGGCTACTATGTCAGTTGTCCGAGGGTGGGAGTAATTAGTACAAGTTGGGTTGAGTTATCAATATTGGTATAGAAAAAAACTTAGGACCTCATTTTAGAATGGCAATTCTTGCTTACTAAGATGGTGCTAGTTGTGCAGCTTTTGTAATGATCTATATGTATGATTGTCAAACTGCCGCTTTTCATTTCAGAACAGAAGACTTGGACAGTCTCATAATGGCGGACTGGCTCGGCATTTCAGCCATCTTCTTCTTCTATATTGTCATCTTAGTGGTGGGTATTTGGGCAGGGAAGAAGGCGGACAAAAGCAAAACCAAGTATGGAGAACAAGTCGCTGAAATCATGTTGGCAGGTAGAAACATCGGGTCGGTTGTTGGCATCTTCACCATGACTGGTAAGTATGAAATACTATACATTTTGACGTTTTTGAAAGAGTATGTTACCTTTTGTCATGGTTTGTTATTTTGGTTACAACCTAATTTCCAGCGACCTGGGTGGGTGGTGCCTATATTAATGGTACAGCTGAAGCTCTCTACAAGAACGGGATTCTCGGCTGCCAAGCCCCAATTGGCTACGCTTTGTCGCTGATCTGTGGCGGAGTATTATTTGCTAGAACGATGAGAGAGAAGGGGTATATCACGATGTTGGACCCGTTCCAACAAAAGTATGGTCAGAGGGTTGGTGGTCTCATGTTCATACCTGCCCTGTTCGGCGAGATCTTCTGGTCGGCTGCCATCCTCAGTGCTCTGGGTAAGAAAAAGGGATCAATACTTGTTTGTAAAAATCAGTTGAAGATATGATTTGTTCCGTTAATGTGGTGTTACATTACACTTTTGTAAAATGTTGAAAAGTAATGTCAAAGTATGAAGTTAACTTTAAACCTTAAAAAATGTTTTTTAAGGATCTACACTGGCTGTTATACTGAACATGGACATTACTGCATCAGTAGTGATATCAGCATTCATTGCTGTCGCTTACACGCTCTTCGGCGGCTTGTATGCCGTAGCCTACACTGATGTTGTTCAGCTTTTTTGTATATTTATTGGATTGGTGAGTTTTACTACGGCTTAGACATGTTTTTCTTTCATCTCCTGTATTATTTTTGACCCAAATTTCTTAATATCATATGATTACTACTCTTTTCAAACATATTATTGTAGTGGCTCTCCATCCCAGCAGCATTTGCCCAAGACAAGACCACAAGTATAATATCGAATCCCTCGAAATGGATCGGAGACCTTGGCCCCACGTTACCAGAAAAACTACTTTGGTGGGACAACATGTTACTTACCATCTTTGGTGGTATACCATGGCAAGTCTATTTCCAAAGAGTACTATCGTCCAAGACCTCGCGTGGTGCACAGTTACTGTCATATGCAGCTGGAGTAGGTTGCATTGTAATGGCAGTACCACCAGCTATCATTGGTGCTATCGCTCGTAACACCGACTGGTCGTTGACTGACTACAGACCCTACAACAATGCTACAAGAGTGTCGCAGATACCATCGGAACAGAGCAGTATGGTGGTACCACTGGTACTACAATATCTGACTCCAAAATGGGCCACCTTCATCGGTCTTGGAGCAGTCTCGGCCGCTGTTATGTCATCGGCTGACTCGTCTGTGCTCTCCGCCGCCTCCATGTTCTCTCACAACATCTGGAAGCTGACGATTCATCCGATGGCTTCAGAATCAGAAGTCATCCTACTGATGAGGTTCGCCATCATCATGGTCGGTATCTTGGCCACGATCATGGCGTTGACTATTCACTCCGTCTATGCTTTGTGGTATCTCTGCGCCGACTTGGTATACGTGATATTGTTTCCTCAATTACTGTGCGTCGTATACTTTGAGAAGTCAAATACATATGGGTGTTTACTTGGCTACGGAGGTAAGGTGGACGAAGTATATAAAAGTGCAGTAACAAAACCAAAAATGACATACGATTTTGTTTTAGTGGGTATGATACTACGACTAACAGGTGGAGAACCCTTACTCCACCTCCCAGCCCTAGTGCACTACCCGTACTATGACATCAAGTTCAATATCCAGTACTTCCCTTTCAAGACCCTGGCTATGCTGGTATCTCTGATCGTATCTATGTCATGTTCCTTGATCACCAACTTCTTACTCAAAAACAAGATTCTGGATGAGAAGTTTGACGTTCTACAGTGTGTGGTGAACGTGGAGATGAACGCAGACAGACGGAAGAGTGAAAGTAGTAACATCAATGGCACTGTCTTCGACCTCAACTACCGGTCGGGTAGTCTGCCCATGTAAAGATACTGTAACATAATTCTTAATAGAAGCCAAATAAATATAAATTATAAAATATCATGGTAAAATGAACACTTTTAACTTTGAGACCATCTTTCCCTTTACTTTTCGAGTTAAATAATTTTATACCTAAAAGTCAAAACTACGTGAAGCTATACCTAAAATAATATAGTATACAAGTTTATTGTGTTCTCAAACAAATGATAACCGAATAAATGTAATACGCCACCTCTTTTCCACTATGTTACAGTATGTCTAATCGTCATACGACTTCTTGGCGTAAGGATCATCGAAGGGAAGTCGTTGGCGGAACTGACGAGCCGTGTTTGGACCCATCATTGGGACAAAACTTAAATTATGTTGTTATAACATGTGAAGCTCTTTAAGAATAATTAATGTTAAACGTATGGCTACTTTACTATAACATCTGCCATTTACTGAAAAACACAAAAAATAAATTACAAAATATTGTTCGGTGCCAAGCTGCGCCCACCAAGAACGCAGGCTGCAGTTCCTTATTTTGCTGCAGGCTATTAAACTTTCGTAAATTGGTGTTTTGTTACTTTTAAATAATAAAAAACGTATTTCTTTGCAAAAAAAAGATAATTCTTACTTTCTATGCATATAATTGTAGACAGCGTTCTTCACGTCCATCTGATTGGCCAGAAGCAGTTGAGGTGTCAGTTTATGTTCCATCTTCTGAGGTGGGAACATCATCTTGAACGGTAGGCTCTTTTGCTGAAAATTTGAATAAATTAATCGTGAGTTTGCATTATTTTAAAATGTATATTCAACTTTCGCATTATATTCACCATGGCATTCATAATATTTTTTAAATTTATAAGCTTCAGGTCAAAAATTGTGTAGAATCGTTTTTACACAAGAATTTTAACCAAATTTATAACTTTCTTGACCAAATCAAGGTATATATAGGCTAAAATGAGTCTTTAAACTGAACTCACGTCGATTGAGCTTTTACTGTGCGAGTTGATGTAGAAGGCGTTAACATAGAGGACCTGGAACACCACCAACATACACAGTCGGCTCAACATGACACCTGAAAGTGTAGCCTACAATTACTTCTGCTTCCCTGTTCTGATGACATCTTGTCAACAAATAAAAAGTCACGAAATACGATGTCAACATACGACTACAAGGGAGGGGGGGGGGTTTAATTTCAAGAAATCTGACATTATTAGACAAACAAAGCACGCGGTAACACGGACATCGTATCTTTACGGTATGATAGCTATAACAACGTAATATACATATGAATTGTGGTATGACAAGGTTGATTATTATGTTATTTTAGGTACAAGAATATCTTGTTACAAGACCTTACTTTAAATTGAACTTAAATCTATTTAAAAATGGCATTGTAAAGCTTTATATAAGACTGCAGAGTACAAAAGTTACTCGGTAATTGTATTTGAGATCAAGATGAGAGTACTACAAGTTAATGCCATTCTTTAACATACCGAAAGGCTAAAGGTAACAAAAACTTTTGGACCACAGTAATATATTACATTATTTAACTTCTAAATTACATTACTGCGACAGTAAACGCATTAAGTGTCACTGTAAATGTAAACACGTGGCTATAAGAGGTCATGTACTAATATACAACTTGTATATTACAGTGGTATCGTTTGACAGTAAAAGTGTAATATGTTAGTAGTAATACAAACTGCTTTTACTACAGTAGTACTGATGTTTTAAATGCAAAATGGATGAGAAACAATGTAAACACTCATCGTATCACATGATAATCTTGACTTTGGTATCTTAATATATTACATTTTCGCTTAAAGTTGTAAACCAAATTAAATTACAATATTCATCATACATTAATATTTAATAGTTTTGAAGAAGAAGATAAAATTCTAGACAATATGACACTAAGAGGACCGAGCTTCACTATGTACAACATAAGGTTACATAGAAGGAAGAATAACACTCAATTTGATTGACATGTTAACTTTTTTTATCAAAAAGACTAGAATCAAAACGTAAATAAACAGTAAACTGTAGATACTATGACTACGTGACATACCATGGGCAGGGCCGGGCGGGGACTTTTGGTACCCCCCCCTCGTCCCCCCCCACCCTCGCGCCCGGCCCTGACCATGGGTGTTAAACCAACTTTGCCATAATAACGAGTAAGAGTAATGTAACAATTTATAGTAATGTAGCTTAAACCTGCGTGGGCTTGTTATTTTACACAACTTCTTTTATCAATTACATTACTCTCATTGTTGAGAAAGTTACTACAATAATGGGAAAACGTATCTTGGTACGATTACAACAAATTTAGTTTGGGTCAATCTAAAACAACATCTTGCACATGAACAACCTCATCTATATAAAACATATCATCACTACAATAAAATCGTATAATCAGATTACTATACGAGTTTATGGTATACCAAGTTACATTACGGCGCCCATAAACTGAGCACAAAGAGGCATATTATAGTTATTTATACCTTTTGTGATGCTACTGCTACAAAAATAGAATCCAAATGTCGCAAAACTTGTAGCAAAATGAATCCCAAAATAAAGTGGCCAAAGGTCCAGTTTGGACCCGATTTCGGTGGAATTCGAAACGATTATGCAAATTAACAAGTCACGTTGCACTAATCTCAGAATATGTTAATGTTTAGTGCTACGGTGACGTCAGCAGCGCATCGTGCGGAATCAGAAAACTTCTGTTGACGTGCTTTTTGAAAGAAAAAATATGTTTTTGGCACGACAACTCTTCATACCTACAGTATCATACTTCCAACCGGTCTAAAAGTTGATAGAAAAGTTGAAAATGCAGGCATATAAGGCTATAAACTTTTTGACAGAGTAAAAAGATAAATGTTAGCCAGCAACAACGGTTTATTTCTGAGCATACTGTAGAGTACTGTAATTTTTCATTTTGGCGGACCTGAGGACACGGGCGCTGAAGCATCGGAAGCCGAAGGGTTTCCTGTAGCACCAGCAGCTGGATTTGAGGCCGGAGAATTGCCAGGTGCACCAGTGTTTGAAGCAGCCGGAGCTGAGCCAGTAGCTAGATTTGAAGCCGGAGCAGGCCCAGAAGCCGACATTTGGCTTCCGACAATTGAAGCAGTACTACCTGGAGACCGGGCTACTGGAGCACCTGGTACTGGTGTACTACCAACAGCTGTGGAAGCACTAGTGCCGGTTGTAGCATCAGTAGACGTGGCTGACGCTGAAGTTGTCGCTGATACTCCAGTTGTGGCGTCAGTGGAACCAGATGTCGCAGAAGTGCCTGTAGTAGTAGCCGAAGACCCTGTATTAGTTGCAGTAGACCCTGTAGAAGTTGCGGACGGTAAGGTTGACCCTGTGCTCGTTGTAGAGATCGTGGAGGCTACTGAATTCGTCGACACGGTAGACACACATTTGGGTGATGTAGCAGTGGCAGGTGCTGGTGGGGCATCCATCTTGGGCTGTCCTTCGTAGAGAGAGCCGTCTGCCTTCAGGAACCGACACAGAAAGCGACGGACGCCTTCTGGCTTGGCTTCTGGAGACCACAGCTCTCGAGGTGTCTTGTCGAGACTGTCAGTAGCAAAGTGGTAGATGGTGACGAAATGGAGACCAGATGGAATGGACCTAGCTTGGTACGCTATCTTCAGTACGACAGTCTCATTGGGTTCGATGAAGCCGAAGGGAGACTTGACTCGGAAACAATTCACGTTTGTCACTTTTACCTGAAATAAGAAAGTAGAAGTAGATCACAGTTTTAAACTTGTTTACAATTTAAATGCGCATTTTATAACACTTATATATAATGTTACAAATGATAATAGTGACGTGAACTCTCACCTTGTAAACATGCCGTTTACCGGTCGAATTAGTGATTTTGAGGTCCTGAACATGTTGTTTCTCATTGAGAGTGTCACTCTTGAATTCGATTGCACCATTCGGTTCTGGTACCAGTTGGAACTCTGGTTCTGTTGGCTTGTTTCGAATAATACCAAAGGGTTGAGCTGAAATGTCATAGATTAACCTTGTTTTTACCATAAAAACATTTAACATTAAGCTGAGGTATTTCAAAAACACAAACATAAAAGAACATAACACAACAGATTACGGAATGAATTATAAAGTATGACTTGGTGTACGTATGACAACAGAAAAGTCACTTACACATTTATTACCAAGGTTTTACAACCGTTCCGCTGAAAGTATAATTTGAAAAAAGACTTTTCAAAATTAATTCTTAAATTTAAAAATTTTGAAATAAAAAATGATTTTTTTTATTTTTTGTGAACGTCACTCAAACAAACATCTACGACTTCCACATCCAAATTCGTTTATATCATTCTATCGAATCTTTCGTATCTTCGTATCATAAACAATTTTTTAATTTATTTCAGTATTAAAACATTTACTACAACGCTATTTACATACACATCTTCTGCGCAACGTATGTAATCAGAATTGAGTTTTATTGCTTGAAATTCGTATCATCGAGCCACCGTTCTGAAGGCTGCTTCTCCTGCTGATGTACAGTATCCTTGTAGACGTATCTTGCTTCATATCCAACTTCTTCGTGAACAACCTCAATATACTCCTATTAAGTATCGTCCTGTACGGTCGTACTGTAAGCAAGATGGAGACACAGTCCACAGTAGAGTGCATTACAATAACACTACTTCCCAATACCGACAAGACTGGTGCACTCTCCAGCTGGAACAGTCCACCGGCTGTCCAAATAGCGGCTGGCAGTAAGAGAAAGACGGCTGCCACAACTACTTGGATGAACAGACTTCTGAACAGCATCATCTGAAGACGGTAAGTCTGCACTGACACTCGGTTCACCATACTCTGCAGTACGGTATACATAAAGTACTGCAGAAAGAGCATGAATACGGTAGATCCCACGAATAAGACCAAAGGTATAGCAAATAGGATTGGCACTGCGTTGGTGGAGACACACAACATCTGAGGATGGGACTGGAACACCTGACTCAACACTGGTACTGTTTCGTTTAAGACCTGTTTCACGGCTTCTGGAGACTTCATGTTTAGTAGCAGAGGGCCCTGAAATAAGCTTACTATCAACATAACAACCTTTACATACATGTTTGTACCCTTTTTACTTATGTGTTATTTATATCTACTTTTAATAAGCAATCAAAATGTCAGTCAACTTACCATGAACATCGTGTACAACACAAAGAAGACCCCATTTTCTATAGCCAGTGACACTGCTCCTCGAAATTTGAAAAAGTTAATGATATATGATGGTGGATATGCTTCGAGTAGTCGTCGTACATTCAACGTAAAGAGAGATACGCCCTTTCCTACTCCAAACAATGGCAATACGAACATGACAGCTAGCTGACTATTAACTGGGAACCTGTCCATAAAGCCACTACTGTGAACACAAACATACGGAAAGTAACATACGGGAGCATATAGGCCCATAGTAAGTTCATACAAGAACGACCATATCACTTCTTGCATTATATACATACGATACGTCGACATCTTCTGAATCTGAGCTGTAAGAGAAAGAGTAAGAGGTTACTCTGCCACAAAGCCAGTAATATTTTATAAAGTAATTATATAAAGTATGTTATCACTTAATACTATCGCTTCATGTGTAAACCTACATCGATGAACTACAAAAACAGTGAATCCCATACTCAGAAGCGACGAAAACAAGGCGAAGTGGAGTAACCAGCGATAAACATTCAACACAAAAACAGATGGTATCGAATCGTATGTTAACATATTACGGTAACTTTTATGTAAGATACGAAGTCATCATTTTTACAATAGACTTTTGTTTGCTATGGCTTTGCCCATCTTGAGAACCAAAGACCCCTAAAACAACCGTAACATTGTCTAGTATGTATAACATCTTCCGCGTACAACATACAATTCGAAATTAAAAAAAGTTGTAAACTTTGAAAGCAGGAGATAACTGGTGACAAGTTAACATATATCAACATAAAAAAGCACGAATAACCATAAAAAGCAGAAAAATTAATGTCACAAAGTTATGACAAGCGTATCGAAACAGGTTTTGAAAGATTATATTAAGATAATGTAGTAACTGTAACATCTGTACAAAAATAAAGTTGAATTCGAGTAAATCTGATATCTACAACTTGTTAAACCACAAATGCCCATCCCCGTGACCCTCCCAAGCTACAAATACAATATTCAACTACAATGACATTTCCAAATACAGCTAACTTTTCAATCGTGCAAGGCACCATCAGAAACCAATATTACACTGTGAGATTGAAGATAAAACAAAGAAAATTTAAGATATCTGAATCAAATTTTTGAAAACATAGAGATACTGTTACTACACTACAAGATACCACGAAATTGCATTGTAGAGATATTGAGAAAAGTAACAGAATACATTGTACAAGCTAACCATAATCGCTTGTTGTATTCCTGTTTTTACAAACGTTACAAGGACTACAAATTAAAAAAACATTGCTATTGTAGTACTTGGGAAGTTGTATCCTTAAAATTGAAAAAAAGTAATGAATTAGTGAAAGATTGTGACTTTTTATATTATGTCATCAAAACATAGCTATACCTTGCCTACACCACCCTGTCACTTGTGCCTGCGATCAAAAATCTATTATAAACTATAACATATCTATAGCATAACAGTTTTTCTAATTCTATCTATAGTAGAAACTTCTTTACCAACTACAATATCAATTAAACTTTCAGTTTTGTAAAGAATAAAAATTTAAAAATAAAATGGAAAACACAACTATTAAGAACGTCTTTGAATTTTCGAAAATGTATTCCCATGATGTATGGACTAAACTAAACATGTGATTTAGAATAGGTTCAAAAAACACGTTTACAATTTAAATTTCCTCAGGTTATTAAGTCTCGGCTTTGCCTAAATGACAACCTAATTAAAGCCCAGTTGAAACAAATACGTAAAAACAAAAACTAAATTATAACCTGAAATATGTTTTAGGTAAGGTCTGACAACCAGACTGCTATAATTACTTTCATTGAAACCACGGTCATAACAACAAGGTTTCATTGTAAGAAATGTCAGAAAGACAATAAAAAAATCTAACAAATTATAATTATTTTAACCAAAAGCGTTAACAAAGCATTAAATTTCTTAAAACTATCTCATTTTCAGATTTATACACTCAAAACTTTCAACAATATACCCTGAGGCCAAACTATAAATATACTGTAACTAAAACAATATAGTAATAAATTAAAAGCAGATATAACTTTAGTTGGCTTTAGCTACACGTCTAGCCGTTTTCTTTTCCTTGGCCGGCTTCTGTAGAGTGTTCATGTGCTCTCGCAGTAGCCCCATATACTGGATATGAAACCTGTTCACCTCTTTTGCTCGCAACTAAAGTTAGTTTAGATAAAATTGAATTTAGGTGAAAACGTTCACAAAAGTAAATATATGCAGTTGAAAAACCTCTTTATAACCATCTTAAATATCTGTATTTTAAAAAAAGCATTTTTTGATCAAGATAAACCAACAAAAGCCTAAAATAAAAGAAAGAAAACCAAAAACTCACCACAGTACTGATATGTTCATCACCTATCTTGGCCCTAATCAAACAAAGATTCTCCTTTGGAGGTTCTTCGGCTCTCTTCCTCTTCTGTGTCTTCTTGGCTCTCTTTCCTAATTTGGCTTGCTTTTCAGCAGATCTCGGAGCTGGCTTTGTCCTTCCATCGTCTAAAAATTCATTTTTATATTAACCATAAAGCCAAAAACAAAGCTTCTTCACAAATCAACAACACTGCTTAATTCACAATAAAGAAATAAAGAACATGTTCTTACATGGCTTGATAGTCAATCTAACAGCAGGTGGACCTCCTTGTCGGCTTTTGATAAAGTACTTTTCCAAATTATTCAAAAACAAATGTTGATCCAACAAAGTCATAGCAGTACAATATATATTATAACTTATTAAATGAAACAAGCCTAACTATTGCAACTTCATAAAACAGTACTCGAAAGACTAGATCTATATTTTTACGTCAAAATAAGAATCCAATCTAAAGCGGAATGCCATAAATTGTTGGAAATTCGTTGTAGTTTCATAGATTTCGTGGTGGGACCCAAACTACCCAAAAGTGCACAAAAATTTTCGGAAAACCGGCAAAACGCCAGTTTTAGGTTGAATGAAACAAGAATAAGGAACATAGGCGGCTAGAAATATTATTCTTTTAATGTTGTTCTAGGTAAGTTGACGTTTATAAAGGTATATTAAGGTTGTGTTGTATATTTGTCAAATTATTTCGAAATATATTCATCTTGACGGCCGTTGAGATCGTTTAATTAGTAGTATTAGTAACATAATTATGTTTGTCAGGGAAGTACTCTTGTCTAAGACCGGTCGAAATTAAAATTTTGAGAAAACAAAGATTATAATGGTTTAAGATGTCTTTTAGATGTCGAAATGAATGTTCGCACGGCTATTGTCTTCACCACGACTTATGTTCGTCTTGGTCATTGTGTTTAACCGTCTTTTCTAGGGTTGTTGACTGTAGTGGTGTACTACTGCTCTATGTTGTTATACGAATTCAGTACGAGTTCCTACTGTAACATAGGTCGATCCTATGAAGTTACTGTATAGCAGAGTTTACTTTTTGGCAAAAATAGAAAATTCGTCACAAAGTGATTTTCATCGTTCTCGTACAGTAGATCTATTATTTCCCCGCAGGAGGCAAGAGTGTGGTAACAGAGAGGCGACAGAGATACGAAGACCGGCGAAGGACGGTCCCGTATATCTTTGAGTGGAGCGACGCAGGGATATATTCGGACCAGGGTGGTGGAGTTGAAAAAATTCAATTTTTTTTCGAATAAGACGACGGAACGAACGAAATCAAGAAAACCTTGCGATAGGATAGCAGTATTTCGAGGAGTTTTCTTGTGTTACATAGTCATCTTACTGTAGGGTATTGTCTGGCTGTATATTGTTATAGTGTAGTGCTTTATAGCTTCCAATTTGTACTGCATATTTAAGTCATTTTTTATGTTGTACTATTGCACTCTGTAACATATACTTACAAAGTGCAGTAGTGTACTATTAATACGATGCTTATGTTATAGTAAGGCACGGTAGAGGGTTTACTGTGCTCGGAACGACGGTTGTGTGACGCAGCGATATTAAATCTTGATTTATTTATTTTGCTCATCAAAATATTGACATTTCCAAAGGGCTTTAGGGGCGTTTCAGCTCTGTTAAGTCAACATAGGTAGCCGTACGGTGCGGTCAATTAACAGACCATATCGGATACGTTTAATGTGCCTGAAAACCAATTTGTTTTTGGGATTTTCCAACCGACTGCCTTTCGAAAATAGCCCTGGTGTAAAAGTGCTAGTGCACAGCGACAAAGACGTCGAAAAGAAATTATTTTTTATTAGGAGGACTGGGAGGGAAAGAACAATCCTTGTTCTCCGCTTCGGCACAAAAAACGACAAGGGTAGACGGCGGTCACGTTACGGGGGCTACAGCACGGTTCAAGGGTGGAATGGCGTGAATATGGTGGTGATAAGATTGGTATAAAATGTGGCAAAATTAAGAGATAAAGAAACTCAAAAACTGGAATAACAAGGTATCATGGTTTTGTTAAACTTGAGTAAGGTTTTGAGCACTAATCTAAAAATAGTACTGAATTCAACGCTTTTTTGTTTTAGATTTGCTTAAACTTGGTACGATTATCGAACAGGGCTTTTATAAATGGGATTCAATTTAAATTTTTTTGATATTCATTAGCACAAGATTTCCACTGAAAACTTCGAAAAAAGTTCAAAGTTTTACTAACTATAATATTAGGTTGTTCAAATAATTTTGAGCCCCCTTAGAAAGCAATTTTGCGGGGTTAGGGAGCACAGAATTATTTGATCAACCTCATATTTTAGTATAAAATTGTACATTATTATAAAGCACAATGCCAAGATAGCGAGTTATTCCTTGTAAGTTTTTTGTACTGAAGCTTTGCCACTGAAAGTATATTCAGCACTATATCTTCTATTTCTGTCCCAGAATGTAAGACTTGAATTATTTTGAAGCGGAATTGGAATGAGCTCGATTTGATTCTTGTACGAGTTTTAATTGAATTGAGACAATAATTGAATTAGCTGTTACCAGAACTGGTAGTTACTCCCAATAACTTTTGTTTTCTGAACTGTTTTGGAATGTCGTGTTATTGAGTATTGTTTACGGATGTTAACTTATTTTTAAAATTCGAATTTGGTCAAAAAGCAATTTTTACATTAAAAACATATTTTGGATGTTTTGGTAGGCCGTTTGTAGTAGAAGGCTCTAGATTTTCTTTATAAAGTTGTAGTGGTTATGAGGTTTTATTGCTTTTCATGTCAGTATCTTATCGTGAGTATGTTATTTTTTGACAATTCTTTATATTGTTTGACCCAACTAGTGTAAACTTTCAGTTTTAATTACTGTAACACGAGAGTACAGTGGTAAGAATAAGCATTGTCGTAACATTGTATTGTACTTTAATGTGCAAATAGGGAGTTATCTGGGCATTCGGGGAATACTAGTTTCTTGATACTCCCCCGGGTTTCTGGGAGTTCAGGGGGGGGACTGTTGTGGGGGCGAGGCGAGTGTTGGGTGGGGGGACTGAAACATGGTGTGTTTGAGGGGGGAATTGGCGGCCAGCGTGTTGAATATTTTTTGTCGAAGCGCTGCGGATTTCGGCCACTCTCGTGAACCGCGTGTGTGTGTTGGTTTTTCTCGACAAAAAAAGGAGATTCGTGGTCGTCTAGGTGCGCGTTTAATGCAATAAACAGGCTGGTGCCATTGTTCGATGCGTCCGAAGGTTACAGCATATTATTATTGGGATTGTTTTCGTTTGTTTGAAATCGACAGGAACAAAGGCGGATTTCGGTCGACTTGCGGCGGGGTAAACATGTTGATGGCAGTACGTATTTGGTTGTGACTTGTTACTTTGTTGTCGCGAGGCTGTTTTTCCTTGTAATTTCGAGTTTATGGTCTTGTTTGGGTACTTGAATCTGATCTTTTTTCTGCTTTCGAAGTGAAATGAATCGAGGGGCTTTCCCCATTTTTAGAAAAAAATTAGTTTTTTTGCTTCAAAGTTATGTTTATCGAGCCAAAAAGCTTGTGCAACATGGCTGTTGGTACTCTACTTTAATATTTTTCGATTTTCTGGGTAATTTTTGACCGTGACATTTTCTTCTTATGGCTATACAGTTCTTAAACTTGTGTTTTTCCACAAACTTTTTGACCGACAAACATCCTCATGCTTACCTCTTGACTCTGGCCTCTGAAACTTTTGTATTCCTTGTTTCAACAGCGTACAGGAGACATAAAACACGTCTACTGTAATTTTATGTGTTTCGCAAAGGGATGAAAGCGCTAATACGAGAGGAGAAATCGAGATAACCTGAATAAACTACCCTTTTATTGCGCCCAGATCGACGAGAGACAGAACGACAGGTGGAAAAGGTCGGATGGACTTGATGCGACTGCTGTAAATGGCACGTTTAGGAGTAGTCGGGCTGTAAAAGTAGTCGTTTACAGAGTAGAATCCGTTTTATTGACATTGTATACGGGTGGTTAGAGGCTTCACAAAGATTGGCATGACAGACACAATTGACGCTTTTTTGGTCGAAAAGTCCATAGAATAGCATTTTAACCTTAAATTAGGCTTGTGTTTTATTCCTTTATCATTTTGTGTTCAGTTAGTGCTGTTTAGTACTATTCTGTATAAAAATAGGTATAAAAAGAACACTCCTACGTTTAAAAAGGTTCCTACACACTTTTTGGAATATTGTACAGTAAACAGCCTGAACCCTGCCATTAAGTGAGTACAATCATCTATTTGAGTACTATCCCCAGTATCTGATGACGTACTGCTCCCACACGTCTCTCTCTCTCCGCGGCAGCTCGCGAGCAGCGGCGGCTCGCTGCAAAAACAGACCACAACAACAGCGAGTTAAGTATCGTTTTTTGTCTTTTCTCTGCCTGTCTGGCGGCGAGAGAGTGTTCTTCCGCAAAGTTTTGGGAATTTGTTTATTTAAAATTATTTTAATTCCTTCGGCTCGCGACTCGTCTGGCTTCAAAGGGTTGTGTGGCCTCGCATTAGGAATAATGATAATTTCAAGGATAAAATGGCAAAATAGGAATCCGAGTCGAGACGGCCGTTAAGAACTAATCAAACTCCGTGAAAATAACAAGGGTATGGTAAAAGTGACAAGTTAATTACAAGCTTAGAAGTCGGGCCTTCAGAATCCGCAAATGAATCAAGGCCCGAGAATGTCAAGAAACGAGAAATTAAAAGTGCAAATCGTCCGCGGAAAGAGCGCGGCGAACGCGGAGAGGCCAAGGCTGGCGGAGAAAGCAAAAAAATGTTTACAGCTTTTTCGCGTTTATTCTCCATCTTCATCTCTCGACCGTGTTTTTCAACTTGGTTCGTCACAAAATTATATTTATTATCATATGATTGTCTTTAGCGATGACTATTCTCTCAGCTAGCTAGCGAACTCATACTAGTCGGTATTGGTTTCGGGTTGGTCTTAAAACAAAGTAAAAGAACCAATATTATTCAAAAAGTGCAATTTTCATTTTAAAATGTGTTTAAAAGTATTGCTTGGTATTATACCTTTGAGGTGTTACGTATTTCTAAAATATACTGACAAGATGACAAGACTTTTTTATAACTACAATGTAAAAAAATTTCATTTTTTTGCTATTTCAAAATAATTTTTGGTTATTTTCAAAACCAGTATATTCAAAAGTACAAAACCAGTATACCCAAAAGTACAAATTCTTACTGTTGAGCCTACAATTTAATGAGTAGCTACATTCTAGATAATGAGAATACAATGTCAGAAAAATAGGATCATCTACCCAAACTTTGGTCCGAGAAGGAGCATTTCCTTATTCAATTAGTTATGGTCCAAAAATACCTAGAACCTTTTCTTGAAATTATGATCTAAAAGTGCGTAGAACCGAGTTCTGTTTGTGGAGAGAGATTTGCATAGTTTATAATGTCGGTAATCCGTCTTTGTGGTGTTGTGTAATGTTATGTAAGATCTAGGTCAGAACAATCTCAATATCGCGAGAATCGCCTTTCAGTAGTGTTGCGTAATCGCTCCCCATCTCTCGAAATTAGCGTAGAACACTCACGACATTGTTTTAGGCTGAGAATTGTGTTTATCCATTATATGTGGGTTTAGGTTATCATTTTAGGTAACGATTTGGTCTTAAAGTCGTATTATATGTATTAAATTTTGTTTTATCGGTTAACAACTTGTAGCTAACGTAAAGATCGCACTTTATTTTAGTCATAGTGTCATATATTCATTTTATCTACAATAAAAAGTTAAAATTTTTATTTAAAATGTTTAAAAAATTATTTTTTTACCGCAATATTGTCGAAACACCCCACCCCTGCCCAATAATCAAGCCGAAGGGTGTGGTAACTGTATTATGCATAGGGAATTAGCTTTAAAACGTAGTGAAATTGAATATTCTTTGTCTTTGGGACAACGAAAACGGGCGAAAAGTGTGGAGATCGCTGTTGAGTCTTACTTTTTATGGTGCGAGTAGGGAGGGGACGGTTGATATATGGCTAGCGTGCTGCGTGAGACAGCTGTTTCCAATATTAGTTTATGGAATATTTGATCTCGTATAGTATGGTTTGTCTGGGATTGGGTGGTTTGTCGTGTGTACTATGCCCAGACAAGATATGATGGATTACATGACTAAATTGCTGTGTCCTCTTATTGGGGTATAAAGGGGGTGATATGGTAGTTGTGCGTACTAGCTGATTATCTACGGTGACATTTTAGTTTTAAAATTTTTTGAAATTTGAATAATTAAAGGTAAAAACTGGGTACAGCGATTGACAGTCCGGCCACTTAATTCTTGTCGCGACCTCGCAGCGTGCATCCACTCACTTATTATAAAGTTATGCAAATATGATCATCATCTTCGACTGCATAAAACTAACATTTCTATTTATTTTTTGACCGGAGTCTGCTTTATATTACTCTTGACAATGCCTGAAGGTGTTCTTGCAATTGTTTTAATTTTGATTCTATGAACTTTTTGACCGGGTGCTAACAAACTGAAAACATTATTCTTATTTTCATTAACTATGTAACACTCTACTGTTACTTACAATAAGATACTATTTTACTGTTACCTACTGTGAGATACGAAAGTATGTAATACCAAAAGTGCACTTCTGTTAAAGTAATCAACAAAAAATGTCAGTTTGGCTAGCGACAGATGGGAGTTTTAGGAAAAGTCAAAATATTTTTTTTCAAAAAACGTTTTAAGATCCTACTGTAGGAAGTCTATTCACACCCTACAGTATTCTTAATATTTACAAACAGAAATGATGTTAATTATAACTAGCAATTGGTGGGGCTGTTTTATCAGTCGGATTGATCTCATTCATCATTAAAACCTTTTTTGCGTGAAAAAAATTCTCGACATTCGTTTCGCTCGAGAATTGTTATCGTTTATGGGTTCTAGCGGTTTTTTTGTGTTAGTTTGTAGTACTGTAACATCTTACAATTCTAGCTTGATTAAGTATGTTTATGTAAATTTAGTATGTTTATGTAATTTTTTATATATAGGATAGGAATGTAGAGTGTTTTGAGAGGAAATTACAGTAGAAGTATTTAATTTTAAAATTAGTTTCTTTAATTTTATTTTATTTTTAAGTAATTTTAAAAGCATTTTAACCATTTATGTCATCTCGAGTACAGCTACGTCAATTCACGGTCTTCTGATTTCAAATTCTCAAACCCACTTTCTGACCTCACTACCTTCCTTTCTAGACCCAGTTGTACCAGTGGTGCTGCACTGCTGGATCCCTACTCTGTATACTTTGTCGGAAAGAGAAATGTTTCTCTCTCGCCGTCCCTAAAATCCATCTCGTCGCTCTTTTTTTCTCCATTTTCCGCTCCAAAATGCTCCCTCCGACTCTTTTCGCCTATTATGTTATTGATTTTCGTGCTGAATTTGGCACTTTCCTACAACTTTGGCATAACAAATTTAATTGCTTGGGGTTTGAGCTGTTTTGGGCTGGCTTTAATTAGGATTTCGTGTTTGAATTTTTGTGTAAAATTGGGTTTCGGACACGTTACATCGTATTTTACACCGGTTTTGGCTGTAAAGTTATGGTTTTTGATCTTACTAGGGCAGTAAATGGGATTTGGAAGCATTTTTTGTAAAAAAATTTAGTAAAAGCGAGCGATTTTTGTATTTTTCTGCGAGTTGAAAGCAGAAAAGTTGGGGTGGAAGAGCTGGGGATTGATAATATTGGCGTGATAAGACGTGGAATGCTCGCAGATCTATGTTACACCGACTTTTATATTGTTTTTGTATATTTCATAGCTTTGCTCTTGCTTTAAAGCTTTAATTTATTGTCGAATAGATAATAGCTTGGTCGCAATGTTAATACAAAATTTTATTTTTGACTGATCTTTGCCTATAAAAAATTATTTTGAATACGTTTTATCCATTAATATAACTTTATATTGTAGTTTAACGAGTATACAACTGCCACTTTACTGTTTATTCGATAACCCTTGTTTCCTTACTGTAAAGCCGTTTTACATTGTAGTATCATGTACAATCTATGCAAAACTTAACGAATAACATAATGTGAATTTGCAGCGTACTTGACGTTAACAAATCCGGCCGGTGCGATTAGTCGGGGGACACGCCAACTTGGACACACAAAAACAATAAAGTTCTCTGGATATCTTCTCTTTAATTAACTCCCAAATATCTCAAAAAGAAAAAACTTGTTAGCATTTTACTCTACCTTAACTCTGCAGTACAACACCTTTACTTTGTTTGTTTGTTACCCTACCGTGATCACAATTGCGGGCACAACAGTTTGAATACTTTACAGTGAGTTACTTTGCTTGTTTATTGTGATTTTAGAGCTGTAAGTATAGTTCGAGAGGTAGGGTAAGATGTGGTGCTTGTAGAAGCCTAAAACAATTATTAGTACTTTTTTTGTGTAAAAATATAAGTTAACATAATAGTTGTTTCCAAAATTAAACATATTTAATATTTTTCCTTAAAGTTATATATTATAATATCACACTAAATCTATTTAAATTTTGTTAAACTTTTAAAAAATTGACATTTTAGATGACAAAACTGTTCACAGAAGAAGAGGTCATACAGTTATGTCAGGCTATACGATCCCATCCATCGCTCTATGACCCGGCTGACCCAAACTTTGGCAAAAGTTTGCCAAATAAACTGGTTTGGGAGAACATCGCCAAACAGTTCGACAAGAAAAGCTTTACAGGTATGGAAACAAAGTTTCTTCCATTAGCCTAAAATCGTCGTTTCAAAGGCTTTCATTTTGCATTTTTTTATTTAAAAAATTAATTGTTAAATACACACTAATGTTCAAAAAGTGTGTAGAATAGTTTTTTTTTTAATTTTCGTTCTACTTTTATGCAAAGGTCTACATCGCTTAAAGCTAACTAACTAATACTGTATCAATTATACCTGTAAAACCATATGTTAATATTTGCTAACTTCTGGTTACTTTTAGCGGACGATGTAAAACTAAAATGGAAAAACCTCAGAGATACGATGGCTTTACTACTGCGCAAATCGAACCGCGACCCCAACACGTGGCGCTTCTACGAGCACTGTAGATTCCTGAACAACTACGAGCGACCACAAAGGCGGAATCGCAAGTCGCAGCCCTCGCAACCACAGACAAAGCCCGACGATTCAGATGCCAAACGTATTAAACTCACGCCTGACCAGCCCCCGCCCCAGCCCGCCCCGCAGTTCCACAACAGCAACATGAACCTGATGAAGATGATCAACCCGGATAACAGCAACGAGTCGCTGTTGTCGTCGCTGCAACACCGTCTCAGCAGCCAGAGTCTTCTCCTACCCACCACCACCACGGTCATGAGCACCCTGCCCATGCCCCAGCCTCAGCGACCGGTCGCTACGGTGATGGCGGCCAAAGAAGAAGAGGTATCGCCTCCCCTCAGGCATCTCACGGACCAGTCCCCACCGTTGTGTGCTGAGGATTCGTCGTCGAGGGAGCCCTTCTTCGACGACGCTTCGAGGGATTCGATACTACAACATCTCGCTTCTCAGAACCCATCTCTGTTAGCGACGCCTCTCAATCACAATCACCTGCCCAGGTTATCTTCTTCCAACACCAATACGAACAGCTTTGTAAATTCATCACAAGGTTCGACGTCTTCGCGGGATCTGTACGATGTGTTCGGTAAGCTTTATGTCATGTTATAGACTGAGAAAAGCTTAATATTGAGTTACACTGAGTAGCTAGTCGGTTAATCTTTTTCTAAAACTAAGATCTATTGTCTAGGCGAGGAAACGGCGATGCGGCTACGGGCAATCGACTCTAGCGGCGATCGTGCACTGTTTCTGAAAGCGCGACGCATCATCAACAACGCGTTGGAGGAGGCCGAGATGGAGATGCACAACCGGAATCGTCAACATTAGAGAGAGAATAAACAGAGAATAGTATTCTTCTTGTTGTGTTACCTGATTGCATTTATTTCTTTAGGCCGAGAGGCTGATTTTTATATTATTATATATAAAGATAAGTCATATAACGTCAGCTCAATTTTTTTGTTCCTTTGGGCACTCCTTGAGATAAAAATTGAGGGGTTATTGAAGTTAGCATTAGTACTATAAGAAAGAGTGCTTGCAGTATTGTTACTAGTGCCAAAAGATACAGTAGAAGGCTTAAACTACTGTAGATTACTCTACTATAAGCTAGGTAAGAGCTGTACCAGTACTAACATGGCTGCTCCACTACAATTTAAAAATGGCAAAAAAGTAAAACTTAGACTAAATTTTACATTGAAGTAGCCTAAAGGTTGTCATATAGTAGTGTAAATCTTATTCAAAGGTCACCAGACTACTATAAATCGAAGAATCATCCTAGTTTTACTATAACATCGTACAACTGTACTATTGTACATTTATGAGTCAAAAGAAAGCAGGAATCGCTATCACGTTGTGGTCGTATCAGTCTCGTTATGTCGGTCGGACGAAAAGTTTCTTACGCGATTTGTTTTATATTATTCTTGGCTATTCTAATAGTCTTTATATTCTGGGTCGTCGTTTACTTCTGGCCACTCAGAATATCTGGATAATGGTAATAGGGCTACTCGGAGGTTGCAATACCTTATATTATTATAGTTAGTAGAATGAAATAGAAGAAGTAAGTTTGATTTTTGGGATAGACCTTATGCTATAAAAAGTTTAGGGCTATGGCAGAGAAGGCACACTCAGTTTTTTAAAGTTTCAGCTAAAAAAATTAAGTAAAAAATAAAAATTAAGTTAACATACCTAAATAGTATCCATTAAACAAAGACATAGGTAAAACAGTAGCCCAACCAAGAATACGGCGATTGTAATATGACTCATATCAGGTTAATATAACGACAAAGCCTTTCCTTTCTCCTGAATATTACCTAAATTCTCATTTTACGATGGCCGAGTGTGCTGATATTATGATTGTCATATCTATCCTACTCATAATACTTCTTGTAGTCATATGTATGGGTCTTGTTGTCACTGCTAGATTTGCTTTCAAGTATCAGGCAATGTAAGGAGTACAACTTGTGTTAGGCTGAACAATATTTTGTAGAATTGTAAAATCTAAATCAAAGTTTATGACTTTTCTTTATCCTCAAACTTCATTTTTGTGACATTATCTGTAAACAAAGTCCTTGCGATTCAAAAGCTTGTTTTGAGCACGTCGGAACGTTCTTTTGAAATTCACGTTCGAACGGTAAACAATGTGATTTGCACAGAAATGTGAAACATAACGTTAGCTAACACAACATCTCGAACGACGTCATCAGCCACTCCTTGGTTCTGATACGGAATCACACCAAATTTGAATCACTTCTCGTTCCAACCCTCAGAATGAGGTTCTTTTTGTTTTTTCCGTCCTTTTTCATCATTGCCATTATAATTATTCTAATTATCATCATCGTAAAGTAAGGCATTTAAGTTTGAGTACATTTCAGAGACATTCTTTAGTACTTTACTAGAGTTTTTTTAGTTTTTTAAAAGTTTTTAAGGTCATGTTGTTAGTTTTTAAGCATCTTTACTATAAGTTTGTGCATTTCCAAACAGGATCTTAATGATAACGCTGACAAACATTACTGAAGTCATTAAGAAATATAACTTTAGGCTAAAATCAGTACATATAAAATTAAATATTCTCAAATAATTTTTTAAATTTCATTTTTAGGCGAAATCAACAGCGATCGCGACGAAATGTTAACTGTGGCGTGGCTACATACACCGTGCCAACTACTACCGCACCAATTTATCCACCTCAAAACTCATACCAACCTTCTCATCTAACTCCATTCACACCAGCTACACCCTTCCCAGCAGCTTCACCCTACCCATCAGCCAGTCCTTATCCAACTGCTGCACCATATCCTTCTGGAGCGCAATACCCAGAAGCTTCCTACCCAAATCAATATCACCAACAACCGTTCTACCCTCCACCGCCCGCTTATTCTCCTCCAAAAGTTCCTGGACAATAAGTTTGCAAAGTTAAATACCATATTAGTGGTTTAATTTTCTCTTTTTTTTAATTATTTTAAAATTTATATTCAAATGAAGTCGTACTCAATATTGTAAAATCTATCTCTACGGGTAAAGTCCACTTTATGTAGATATACCATGTTATATTGTGTCAAAACTTATTTTTGTATTTAATTTCGTATGCCAATAAAGCCTTTAATAACTATGCAAGATTAAAAAGTATACTACGACAGAAGATTATAACTGTCCTTTTAACCTATTACTCTGTTTACAACCTTTCTCTAACAGTAAACAAAAGATTGACAGCTGAAGAAGAAAAACTAAAGAATGGTTTGCTTCTTACATTGTAATCAGATCAGCGAAGGGACAAAGATCAGCGTGCATATTATAATTATTGGGTATTATATCGTCGGTTTATTGCTTTGGACGATCACGTATCTTTTATTAATTTTTATTGCATATGTTTTACTATGACATATTGGTCAAAAAGTAAGTAGAAGAATCTCTACAGGAACTTATTAAAGGGCGCAGGGACAAATGCGGTTTTTGGACATTTGCGGATCTGCGGTTTTTAGACATTTGCGGATCTTCGGTTTTTGGACACTTGCGGATTTTGGACATTTGCGGATTTTTTAAAGGGGTTTTTTTTATTTTTTAGTTAATTTAGTTGTATTATGGTACTAAATGGTACTAAAGTTTAAATTGGTACTGTTTTAATATGTTTTAGTGCTAAATAGTACTAACTTTTAAATTGGTACTGTTTTATATTTTTTGGTACTGAATGGTACTAAAAGCCCAAAAAGGTACTGTTATGTTAAAACCGCACCAATTTAAACTTTCGTACAATTTAGTACCATACTACAAATAAATTAACTAAAAAATTTAAAAAAACCTTTAAAAAATCCGCAAAGTCCAAAATCCGCAAGTGTCTAAAAACCGCAGATCCGCAAATGTCCAAAAACCGCATTTGTCCTAGCGCCTATTAAAGCTAATTTAAATTTATGTTTTAAGATCATCTTGACTGTCGATCTAATGGTATTTAAATTTAAAAATTTGTTTTTTATAAATATAGGCTACATCTGATAACTTTCTTACGTCAAACCTTATTTTTAATTTGTTTACAAAGTCTGTTTTTTACTTCTGCACATGTCCGGCCTTTTTATTGTGATTTATTACCCAAAAACCAACAAAACGATGTCATCTACCTTAGGTTGCGACAATAAACAAATAAATTTACTTAAAATTGTAAACTTTTTTAATTGTTTTACTTAAAACTATTTGAAAATCAAAATTCAGAGCTTTAATTTTACAAAAACGTCAATTTTTGAAAAAAGTTTCAAGAAATTCTTTTTTATATTATCTACGAGCAATGTTATCCACCCCAAAACACAACTGTTTCTATCTCTGCTCCCATCTGACTTCAAGGACATTCTCTATGTCTCGCGAGTCCTTCCACATGTTTGGCGGCTGCCCCAACGCTCTTACTCTGCAAATAAAAGAGCTCGTAGAGAAAACAGCGGGTCAAGGAACCTAAAGATAAACCACAGTGTCGCGCCCGAGATCTTGTTTTTCTAGTTAAAATAATAGTTTGGATAAGGGTTCAATGAAAGGTTAGGCTATGTTTGTCCTTTTAGTTTAAGATTATCAAATTATAAACAGTTTTACTATATTTTTGTTGAATCACATTCCCATACTTGCTGTTTCATAATTATTCCTTTCGTATTTCTCCGGCTCGGGCGCAGCTCTTCTCGCGAACCCATTCGGCGAAAAACACAGCCATTTCGAGCTAAAAATATTTTCCGGTTTTTCTTATCGAAAAAAGTAACGTGCGATTTTTTACTACTTGATAGAGAGTGTGTGTTCAGCTGGACTTATGAATCCAGACCTTGAACTCGGAATTTGAATTGTAAATAAGATAATATATTATACTATAATATCGCCGAGGGATGAGCTAAATTCCATGCGTAATATAAGGGTTGTAATTAGTCCAGGTGTTTCATGGTAAGGCTGGTTTTAATTACAAGAATAATATTGTTGTTACTTCTAGGGTAACAGTTGTGATTACTGCGATACGATTGAGGTATATATAAGGTAATAAAAGATCGTTGATGGATGGTTAAGTAAATAAGTTATTCATGGTAGTGGGCTACTGATAAGGTTATGAAATCTTAAAATAACTGTTTTATCGCTACTTTTGCGTCATTTCGGAGAAAAAATAAAGGCAGCCAGCTGACTGTGAAATGGTTTTTAATCGGTTTAAACTCTTACTTTACACTTCGAAGAAAGTTATTACAGTTTGTTTGTAAATGTCTAGCTGAACATAATATTTTACTGTGCAATTGTTTGCTACAATTCTTTTATTACATTAATGTTCCAACACGTCACAGTAATTCTATGATATAGATTAACCTCATTTATGATTCTTTGGAAAATGTTATGCTACTGTAAGAAAAAGTACTGTAATTTTGTTTGATTTGTTTTTAAAACAATTTTCGTTGGTTTACAATTTTTTATGTACGTTCGTTACCCATATTTTACAGTATGAAAGCTTAACAAAAGTAATTTAAACCTTTACAGTTAAAATCTGATGCCGGAGGCTTAAAAGTCTCAAACAACATCTGCCATGGCTGTTTTTCGATCTCAATCAAGAAAGTAAGGTTTCAAATGTGTTTTGGTTACTTTTAATGTTTAGAAGATCACACTCACGTCCTAAACCATCGACAATATCACGAATACCTTCAAGCGGCGAACTGAGACTGCCACCTGAGAGAGAGAATGACAATGTAGAATATAAAGTAATATTTTTATAACATAAGATTTAAAAAATTTTACACTGAAATATTTTTGAATATTTGAATTATGATTTTAATAACCATAACTTAAGATAAAATACTCTTAAAATGCCTAATATTGCATATAATATTTATTAACCTTATAGTCTCGCCTAATAAACCCTCATGCCAAACGCCTTCAACACTTGTGTACGCAGATGAAATGGCGGCTACAACAAGGTGACGGTGAAGCTATCTACGAGATCGGAGTAGAAGACGATGGTACGATGGCTGGCCTAGAAAACGACGAAATGTCAGAGAGTATGCAGACATTATGCAAAATGGCACAGAGTGTTGGAGCAGTACTAATAGTACTCCAAGACCAGTGTGTACACGGCAAGCCAGGAGAGCCTGGAGCACGACGAGTGATTGAAGCGCTGGTCAGAAAGTTGCCGGACGATCAACAGTTCTCTGACTTACGGTAGGTTATTGAGTTTTATAGAATATATTATCATAAACGTAACATTAACCGTATTTTACAATATTATTCATGAGTGATTTCAGAGTGGCCATATTGGGGAATGCAGCAGCGGGTAAATCGACTTTATGCGGAGTACTTACACAAGGGGTTCTGGACAATGGAAACGGTAAATGTAGACTTAACTTATTACGGTATATGCACGAAGTTCGAACCGGCAAGACGTCTTCTGTCAACTTGGATGCCTTTGGGTTTGACAAGTCTGGCAGTGTAAGTTAATGTCATATTTTGAGCTTTTACTATATTTTAAAACGTTTTTGAATTAAGCTTACATTGACAATACGGCACTTAACTTATTTTAAGTAACAATTGGTAAGTTATCGTATTTTACGTAACAATTAACTAAATTATTCTAATTTAGGTACTAAATTACTCAGAAAACTCATTGGAAGAGATTGTGAAACAATCGACCAAGCTGATTACTTTGATCGATTTGGCTGGCGACAAAAAGTATCTGAAGACCACCATCTACGGTGTATCCGGCTACACTCCTCATTACTGTGCTCTTCTGGTCAACGCCAGAGTGGGATGGTCAACCATGAGCCAAGAACACTTCGAATTGGCCAAAGCTTTTAATATTCCCGTCTTCATCGTAGTTACTAAAGTAGACTTGATATCTGAAGGCAGGATTCAGAAGATTTTCCAACAGATTCAGGCGGTTGTCACTAGAGCACACCCGAATCTGACCGTGGAGATGGTTACAGAAGAAGACATGGTTGAAAGGTAGGAGTCTGACTGTTTATTTGTAAAATACGCATATTATTATTGACGTTAAAGTAGGCAACTATGACAAGACTTCTACTACATCATAAAAAATAAATTCTGACAAAACTTATTGTAGCTATGCCAACGACATGATAAATGACCAAGTAGTACCCATTGTGTGTATCTCATCAGTGACTGGTGCTGGTCTTCAAACTCTGACCACTTTCTTCAGGAAACTACCAGCCAGAAGCAGCAGACATCGTCAGGTTTCAGAATCCGAAACTCGTTCCACGCTGTTCCATGTAGACGAAGTGTTCCGGGTTTCTGAAGTCGGATGGGTAGTGTACGGTCTGTTGGCTGAAGGTAATGTGAAAGAGAACGACTGGGTCCAAGTGGGACCAGACCTCAACAACCAGTTCCACTTTGGTCAGGTCAAGTCGCTGAGGAGGAACAAACAGCCAGTCTGGACTGTGAACGCTGGGGAAACCGCTTCATTGGCTGTGTCATTTGAGGATTCTGGACCTGAGAATTGGTTGAGGAAGGTAAGGTAACTAGAGAGTGATTTATGGGTTTACTGTAATGGTGTTGTATAATATAATAATAATGTAAATTACTATCACGTTGTTATAGGGAATGGTAGTCATGAACCCAGAAGCAACTCCCAGATGTTGTAGACGATTCGTAGCTCGTTTTTGTCTTTTATCTCATGCTGTAGAAGAATTGTGTGTTGGCTTCCAAGGCACTGGTAAGTTTCAACCATTTCCTATGATAATATCAGTAAATTTATCACGGTAACATTAATCCTCATCTACATGTTCGTATAAATAAATACCGTTTACAGTGTACATACGATCTCTACGTCGCACAGTGACCATCGTGGACTTCAGTGCAGAATCCTTGAAGTGTGGAGTAACATCTGACGTCACTTTCGAGTTTTATGGAGGACCATCGTATGTTCGACCGGGAGAGCAAATCTTCTTCCGCGAACGTAATACCAAAGGAGTAGGTCAAGTACTGTCGATCGTGTGATCTACAGTAACGTGCACGGTAATTTGGACTTGTTGCTATCATTGACAGTAGATTTTCGTATCTTTATTTTGAGGTTAGTAGATAAGAGTATGATAGATGTTTACTATAGTAGACGTTAGTTTACTGTAATGACAGTGCCAAGATTACCGGAAGTAAGAGTGCATATAGGACGTAGCGAGTAAACTGTATTTAAGTGTACATACAATAACAGTTCTTTGCTTCCCATTAGTATGTTGTGTTAAGTTCATTTGATAAGATAAAGAGTTCAAGCTAGGCCTTTTCCATTTGAAATTGCATTTAAATTTAATTTTTTTATATTTAAACCGGTGTCTGTAAAATCTGTCATCATGACTGAATTGTGTTTTGGAAAAGTAACCACAATCTGACTAAGAACCCTTGATGACAATTTTACTGTTCTAACGACTTACAGGTCATTAACTTGTTTACATTGTAGTAATCAGTAATTATACCATTGTACAGTTTAATAAAGTAAGCTTAATCTGTGTTACTGTAAAATTGAAAAAGTATAATTTGAATCCGAAATATTGAACTTCAGTTTTATTGATTATATGCTACATTATATTAAACATGACACTATTAAATGACATGTTTTGGGCAAGGTTCGTATTCCTTGGCTTGGAGACCGGTCGATGTGTTTTTAGGTACCTCCGACCACAGTAAAATGTTATTCTCCATTGACTTTTGTCTGTCGTCGAACAGGATCTGCATACACAAGTTGGTGCTCATGGTACCGTTGAAGTAAATTCCTAATTAGCATGTAAACAGTAATTCACCGTGAATTCATGGTATAAACTTTAAAATTGTCTGGTACAATAACTTACCTGAAAGTAGATACTCTTGACCCTTCTCCAAGAAGATACCGCACAAACTGTCATCAGCCGGAGTAAACACTTCTGTAGGTAGCTCTGTCACGTTGAGATCCTTCAAATCTTGTGATAGTTTGAATATTTTTTTGAATTCTACTTTATACTTTACATCCTTTACTTCCGGGAAAGAGTCGTAGTAATCAGAGCCATTTACTATTTCAAAGTCTATGATCTTGGCATGGGATACTGTAACAAATGGTGTTATCAAGAGTGTTTAGAAGTGATTTACACCAAAGTTGAAATACTTACCCCACTCAGCGTCGCAATACTTTTGTTTTACTTTCCCAAAAGCACATGTACAACAATATATTGGATAAGAGACAAATACTAGTAGGACAACCACTTTAAATATACTTTCTGACGTCATTGCTAAAACAATCACTACATAATATTCAAAAAAGCAAAAACCGACACATTTAGTCCAAAAACCCGAAAAAAAACAATAAAAATTGAAGAAATAGTACAAAAATAAACAATAAATACGATATTAATGTACAAAAGCGGTCGTCTGTAATTTACAGAGATCGGTAATGTGAAAATATTTACGAGAAAGAATCGGAAAAGCTCTTTAAGAAACTGGGTGAGCGTTTATTAGGTAAGTGAGTAATGTAATACGGGGAATTGGAAACTAACCGACGAACATAAACAAACGTCAAAGTTTATGTTCATATACATCTTGTTTTCAGCTCCTAAGAGATCATTCCGTTTTGGTTTTAAAAATAATTACAGCTGTGTTAAAACTAGTACAGTTGTGTTAAAAAGAGTTACTGAGCTTTACTATAATGAATTTTTAAAAAGCTCGCTATCAACATGTATCCCGTAGTAAGTTTTCGTCATTTTTCTGTGGTCGATTTCGAAACCGAACTGGAGTTGTTTGAGACTTGGCTACTACAACACTCTTTTCCTCTTTCTCGTCCTCCAAACCCATCAACTTTAGTTCTTCCGCCTTTTCCGCTATAAAGTCACGGAAGAGAGCCTGAAATTAATATAAATAATATTCAAAAATATTACAGTACGTTTACATAGTAAACAAATTACAATTACAACGTCTGAAAATAATTAACCAGTAATTCAAATAATAATGATTTCACCTACTTTAGCACTGGCGATAATCCTTTGTGCCTGTGGCAACCCGAGGAACTTGATTTGGCGACAAAGTTCTTCTGGCGTCGCTCTCGAAACGGCACCAATGTTCTTGTACCCCAAATCAAATAGCTGAATCGCTCGAGACTGCTTGACACAGTCAATCTCCATCAACGATGCCACTTCCTGTCGTGCACACACATTCAGCTTCTGGAGAAGGTCTGGCAACAACTGACGGTATGCCCAAAGTTGAGGTACTTCCTGAAGGGTTACTTTCACACAAGAATAAAACAGAAATAACTTGATTTAAATATTTTAAGAATTCAAAATACAAAAACTGCTTTGAAAAGAGTGTCATCTTTGTACAAAGCATACATTAACAAACCGTGTCAGTTGATTTGCATAGGACAGGGCTGACTGGACTGCAGAATTCAACCATCCTCGACTGACTTTGAATCTTTCAGCGACAACTGACAAGTTATCAGCTGTCCACAAGTCTCGTAGCATAAATGCAATGTAAACTCGTAGTAATGGTGTACCGGCATTCTAAAATTTCAAATTAACAAGACCATCCGTTACTTTTTATGCTAATATTATATAACCGACTTATAACTTTTAGTCATACTTATAAATTATACTTACCAACCTAGGCTTTTGAATAATGTGTTTCATTATTGTGTTTTGAGAAATGTCCCAATCTGCCAGCAGTACCTTTTCTCCGTGCGACAAAGCGTTAAACTAAAACAAGTTTGTCGTCACTGTATTCCCACCCTATTATGCGATAACAGAAAACACAAGTCCCTTAATACAATTTTCTCAAAGAACAAAATGCTTAATACAAGTAACGTACATGTTTGTTAAGTAGGTTGTAGTCCACCACTGGCAGTTCAACATCAAGTGGAGCAATGGTGCAGAGAAGGTGGAAGTGCGAGGACAGCACCAGACCTTGATTCAGATCATAATTGTTTTCTTTAGAGGTCTTATAGATATAAAACCTTGGGACTTACCTTTGTCCAGAGCTCGAACTAATTCGTTGTAGATGGCAGGACTAGTTGTTGGTTCTAGAGCTCCTTTCGACGAAGCTAGGCCTAACTCTGTCACTGTTAGGTCTTCCTGCAGATAATAACAAAAAGATTTTTATAATAACGTTTGTCATCTTGCTAAACTAAAGAAAGTGGTTGTTTTTTATTAGATGCATAATGTCAGTACCAAAATAAACTTACCTTGATCATACCCATCAATGTTAGCCTCCTCAAAGCTTCAGATATTATCTTGACAGCATCTTCATCTTCCAAAAATGACATTCTTAATGCTGCTTGCACTTCCTCCTCTGTTTTGCATACCTTCAAAGCCAACAAGTCCAAGATAAAGCTCTCCAACTTGTGGATATCAGACATTCCACTCACAATCGCTGGTAAATCATCGTATCTCATTTTCAAAAACTGAAAAAAATTTTAAAACTATATAAAAAAGTATTAAAATACTCATTGATCACAACATAGAATTAAGCTATGACCTACCGCAGTCCGTTCCAGTTCTTGTACAATGACAAAACTCTCTCCTTGATCGTCCAAACCAGCACGTCCAGCCCGGCCAATCATTTGAAGATACTGTGCTTTTCCCATGAAATCTCTCCCAACCTTTGGCGACCTTATAATCACTCTTCTGGCCGGTAGGTTCACTCCGGCTGCTAATGTTGATGTCGCACATATCACACAGATAATGCCGCTCTAAATCTTCATTAAAAACTGTAAAACACTTTTAAATATTACTCTTTTACTAATAAAAGACAATAAAGTATAAATATTGTATCTTCGTAAAGAGAAAACTTAATATTATTGCCTAAAGGTATATGTAACTCATAAAAATAATATGATTTACCTTAAATGCACTTTCCACCAAAATTCTCTCATCTCTCGTCAGTCCGGAATGGTGGTAGGCTATGCCACTTTTGATCCCTGACTTCATTATGGGACATATCACTCCGTCGTTGCTCTCCATTATCTGCCCTATTATCTCCAATTTCTCATTAGCTCGATGATCACGTACTGTCCTATAATGTACACAAATCAAGTCTTGTAAGTCAACAACCTTCTAATTATGCCATTTCTAAACATACTTTGGTACATTTCGGGCCAACATTTGACACAAGTTTTCCGTATTTTCTTTCGATGGGCAAAAGATGAGAATTGACTTTTGAGGTATTACTGGTGCTATCAGTGGTACTATATTATCAGGATCGATCTTTGCATCCAGCTGAAGACAGAATGTTAAAAACACCACAGTCTTAAGTAACCTAACATATTCATGTACAAAAACCGCTTCTGTAATAATATACAAAACACTATCGAGTAAAACAATTACCAGTCGTTTGACGTCCTTTTTGTAATCGAAACCACCAGATTCCTCGTTGTATTCAAACAGTTGTTGACCTATCTTCATGTGTTCGCGAAGTTCTACTGGTCGAAAGTTGGTCGCGTAAACATAAGCAGACAAAAACTTTCTCAGTTTCCCTATAGAACTCAAGGTCGCTGACATTCCAACAATCTGGCAGCTTCCTTTAAACAGCAACTTGTTCAAGGTCTGCTCCAATATGGTACCTCTTTTTTTGTCGCCAATCATGTGCAACTAAACAAAAAAATAGAGTTAAACATTCGTATAGTTCATATAATACATTTAAAAAAAACAATATTTCAACTATAAAATCAAATGTTTTATCTATAACATCATTTTGTTACCTAGAAATATTAAAACCTACTTCATCTACAATAACTAAACCAATCTCGCCAATCCTATCTTCAGCTATAAGTGAGTTAACCAATATGTTAGCTTTTTCTATCGTACACACATAAAGTGATTTCTGTTTCCTTCTTAAGGGTGGCACCCGCCCTTTTGTGTTAGCATACTCTTCTATCGTAAATCCCATCTCTTCTTCCAATTTGTGCAAACCTGTAGTCTGTAACAAACAAAAACATCAGAATAAACAAAAAAAATAGCTAAAATACCTTTTCCTGTACAATAGCAACAAACGGTAGAATCAGAATGCAACTTCTCTTCAGCGTTAGTAATGTTCTGATAATCAACAACTCGGCAACGAGTGTCTTCCCAGCGCCAGTAGGCAAAGACAAGATGAAGTTAGAACCGCGCAACATCCTTTGATCACACATACATTCTACTTGCCAATCTAAACATTTAAAACACCAATTGACTAACTTACCATACAGTTTCCTGACGTTCCGTAAGGTTTTGTAAGACGTCGCTACTGGTTTAGGTATTTCCAACACATCAAACGGATCCCCTATAATTGACTTTGTGCTTCTTCTAACAGAACCACCGACGTTGTGTGTCTTGCTCAAAGGCTCGTTGTTACCTAAAATTGACACCTTACTTAAACTATATTTTAAATATATTTTTAAAAAATAATCCAAAAATCCAAAAAACTATTCATGATAAAAATATTATACAACCTAACAAGCTTACCGATTTCCCCAGTAATAGGGTTCTTGTAAGGTTTTGCAGCTTGGGTGTTACAAGCCAAAATCTTGCCATTTGGAGTTCTATAAGATGTTCTTTTAGGTTTGGAGACTACAACACCATCTTCTTCGCCAGAAACACGTTTTTTGGCCAACCTTGGACTGGTCCTGTAGACCATCCTCCGGAAATCCTCCAAACCTCAAAAAATCACAAAAATTAATTTTTAAATTTTATTTTTACAAAAGTTCTTGTGCAGCCTGCAAAACACATAATCCGCGAGCTGCGTCACAGAAGTGTGAGCTGCGGCCAGTCGTTTTTTCCTTTTGGAAATTAATGTCGCAAAGAGAAAGCTCTACTTTATTAAGTGGTGGCCATTACTTTACACATATTCAACAAAATGGCTGACGATTTGGGAGACCACACTACCCTAGAACAAGATTTCAACGAATGTCAACTGATTGTAGACAAATTGGAGAATGATGAAAGTGTTCCGGAAGAACAGGCAAGTATTAGCTGTAATATTGTCATGTGTTTAGATTGTCAAGACGATGAAGAAGCTGGAAGAACTTCAGAACATCATGACGAGTTCTGATTTTGTCAGCGCCAATGATTGTCTCGAGGACTTTTCTACCCAAACCATGAAGTTGTTGTTGATCGAGGTGTATCTGGGCCGAGTGGTTGAGAGTTTGCATGAGAAGGACAGGCGGAAGCAGTTACAACGTGTGAAGGTCTGTTAATATTATTTTGACATTTATTATTAGTTTGTCTTTGGCAATTCAATGTTGACATAATTTTTTGCTCAAAGTATTACTTAAAATTCGTTTAATAACTTCGGATACGAAAAAATATAAAACACATTTTTACGATTAACATATTCGATCGTTTTAGGGTCTTTATAACGGGTACTTGGTGACAGCAGAAGTCTATGGGTTCAGTCCAATTAACGAAGGGATTCCGAGAGATGCAGCTGACAGAACTTCATCACAAGGTCTTATCACAGATGCAGCGATAAGCCGTAACAGGAAGATGTACTTTTACTGTATGGAGGATGAATTGAAGCAGGAGATTGATGCTTTGAATGCTCAAATGAATCCAGATGATGGTACAATGGTAAGTTGTACTTTAAAATTATAATTTAAAGTTATTTTTATAGTTTGGGTTTTTAAATATATTTCTTGCTTATATCTATTAATTTATATAATTGTGGCTTCTTTACAATTATAGGGTTAAGTTATTGTAGTCCAATGTTAAAATTTTAACTTTAGTATTGTTTTAGAGGAGTTTGTACGAAAAGAAGTTACGTTTGTGGTGTTTGAAAGCAGTACGGTCTTCAGAGATGAACAATAGTAAGTTTAAGTATGTTTTTTATGTACTTTTTGTTTAGGAGAACTGGAGATGTTGAAGTTCCGAGATGAAATGACAAACGCCGATCGTGAGCAACTTGCTAAACGACCAGGTAGGTTTGTGATTTGTAAACTCACTACCACTTATCTGAGATGATTTTAGACTAACAATAGTAAATCTTATGATAAAGTAGAATATTAACTTTGATGTTTTTAGAAATAACGCCTCTAAAGACCAAGTTTATCCCAAAAAGAGAAACTGAACAAGGCAAAGTCTTTGGCATGGGGTACCCATCTCTACCTTCTCAAACGGTCAACGAATGGTATGAACAACAAGTCAGTTCTGGCCGATTTAAAACCCAAAAACCAGTAACAATAACTGGAAACGAAGATGAAAAACACGAATCTGAAGACGAAGATGCAGGCCCAGAAGCCGTAAGGGATCAGCGTGATGAAGAGAAGAGACAAAAAGACATGAGGATGGACGAGTACAAGGATACCCATCCACGAGGCTGGGGGAACATGTACGGAAAAGGGTAATGACCAATATCGAGGCTTTATCATCTTAATCAACTATCCTCTGGCGGCCGGTGGTGTATTATATGGTTTACAGTATCTTTGTAACATAATAAACTTCACTAATTACTGTAATGTGTTACAGTTTCGTCCAATTGTTTTTTCCAACTTTGTATTTATATAATTATGGGGTCACCATGATTACGTGATATAAGACTGGTTATTCGCGGTTTGTTATAATAAGCCAAATTTGATAGGATTTTGACATAAATCTTATTTTAATGAAGGTTACTCGTATTACTTTAACAAAATCATTCGTATTATAGTTAAAATGCAACGAAGAAAATCAGAATCTTCTGACGAAGGCGAATGTTCAGATGATGAAGTAGAGGTACCTCTTCCAACGACTTCTGATGCAAAACCTGTGAAGAAGAGCGCTGGAGCTATGTGGAGTGAAGTTATTCAAGATCAGAACCTGGAGGATGAGTTCAAGGCGCACGGTGTTGGAGAAGAAGGTGGAAGTTATTTGGATAGAGGGGCTGAAAGCTATCACATACCAGAACAGGCTGTTTTTGAAGACAACCAACCGGTAGAGGAAGAACCTACCCCGCCGGTAACATTTTTTTACTTTTACAAGATATTTAACTTATTTGCTGAGGCCAAATTACTCTATGATTACAGGTAATCTGATTTTTCAGAACAAGGACAAACTGTTTGAAGAAAGTGCGAATTGCGAAGGCTTTGGAGTAAAGAAAGATGTAGCAGATTCAAGAAAACGGAAACGACCGGTTACACAGGGGTCGTCACGATCGTCAAGTACTTCTAGGCCACATTCTCAGGGCTCAAACCATAATAAGCATCATAAGAAGAAGAAGACTTTGGCTCTACCTTTCATGAGTAACGGATTTTCCTACGAAAGCATGTATGATACAGAGGTCTCGAGTACGCTAGGGGAAGAGGAATTGGGGAAACAGATTGCTTTAGTGTTCGGAGAATTGGATGCGGTAAGTTACTATTGTACTCGTATGTAGTTTAAATAACGATAGTCTTGTGTCGATTAAATACGAGACTATTTTGATAACATATAATCTTTTTTGATAGGTGTTTTTTAAGATTGTAACAGTTATAAACAACCTTACGTTTTCTCGTGATGTGATTAATAACAATTTGCAGTTATTAATAAATTTATTTATTGCACTTTTACCGAAAACCTTTTTTATAGGTTACTAAGGGTTGAAACATTATATTATTATGTTGTCCTTGTCATCTTTAAATCTTTACATTTTCAGGGTTCGATTGTGTTTGCAGTAAAGACAGTTGGAGTGGAGTTAGCTCAAGAATTGTACAAAAAGACATTGGAAGTGGAGAAGAATGGAGGTATGGCGGTAGAGAACGGTACCAGAAGACGAACACCCGGAGGGGTTTTCTTCAAACTACTCAAAGACAGTGATAAGGTTGATAAGCAGGTGAAGGTGGGTTCGATTTCACAATCATAACGTAACATTTCAGATCAAAATCAACGAGAACAGTCGAAAAATGATGGAGAAAATGAGGAACGAAAAGCAAAAACAAAGGGTGAGTTATCTGTGATCATAGCTTTGAATCAAAGGCTCCAAATGTTTCGAGTTTTTAATTTTGAAATATTTGGAACGGTTAAATTAGTCATACTTTATTGCATGTTACGATAACTGGTCAAAAAGTATGTGGAATCGTGTTTTGAACAAATGGAATATTTTGAATTTCTATTTACTTTTTGACCGAAGGAGTAGTTAACTTGAAGGTTTTGAAATATGAAGAGTTAAAACATTATGTTAATCACATGATTTTCAGGTCCAAAAGCTAAAGCCTCTTCCCAAAGCTGTAGAAGTCCTACTAGACAGCGGCGATGCCCCAGTAGCGCCATCCTTTGACCTGAATTCGGAGATTAAGAACCTCATGGACTTCGATTAACTTATCTTCACTTTGTACCCATTATGTTACATTACATCATCATTAAATTTTAAATGGACAAATTGCGTTAAAACTATTATTTGTCATTTTGGGGATTGTAGGCCTCTGTAAAATGTAAATATCCTCTCATTGAAAATGATTCGTTCCCATTTTTGACCAGCGGCCCGCTACTGAAGCAGTTTACATTTTTCGAAACGTACCGCCTTGTTTTCTTCAGTTAGCTTCTGAACTTTTTTGGGTTTGTACGGCTTCATCTTAATTTTCTTTTCCACTATGCGCCTCAAAGTAGATTCTTTGATTCCCGCCTCCCGGGCCATTTTTTGTACAGGGGTCGCTGGATTTCGCTTGAAGCGCTTCATGATCATCTGACAATTGGCCACGGTGTTAACAGATGCTGGACGACCACTTCTAGGTCTGTAACAATCATGTCTAAGCTCTTCGAAACGTTTTACGGCTCTGTGGACTGTCATTCTTAAAATATTCAACAATTTCGCAACTTCGGGGTTACTTTTTCCTTCATTATTTAATTTGATGACGGCCTCATGTTTGACTCTAAAAACAGACAGACAATAGACAATGAAGACTTAACTTTTATGATTATACAATTAAAAAAAAACACGGAGAATAAGCTAAAATAAAAAATTTTAAATAATTCAACCGCAACGTTGAGAAAACGACCGGTAAAGTTTTGTAACACAAAACGTGGCGCACCCTGTAAAGATAAATCTATCTATTTTTATTTTTTTTTGTCATTTCTTGTTTACGAAGTATGTCCTGTGGGTGAAAAAAACATGTTAAAGCAGGTCGGTTGACTGTCTTTGACGTAACTGTGCCAACGTTTTGGTTATTGCAAAAGCGAGCTGGCTCAATTGTTTCAATAGGTAACATGTTTTGTTCTTGCAAGTTTTAAAAGATTTCAACTGTTTCCGCAAAAGAGAGTGAAGAGACAGCCAGACGAAAGAGCAAACATCTCGCACGAATTGCTGGCTGTCTACGCGTATATCTACGTCCTTTTGAGAGAAGCTTTTTTTATATTATTTACGGAATAAACTTGTTATTGTTGAGTTAGATTATCTTATTCATGTACACGGTTGACTCCGCGAATACTATAATTAAAATAAGGTTAAGGAGAAATATTTTGGTAAAAGCACCTTTCAATTTGAGAGCATATTCGTTGAGAAAAACATTTCTAAAGTTTTGTTTTTGACATCTCAGTCGACTAAGGACCAAATTTGAAAATGTTTTAGATTTTTCTTACAAGGAAAGTGCCCGACATGCCCCGCTCTGATTGACTTCAAACTTTTTATATAGAAAGATACAGGGTGCGACAAAAGTCCTTGGACTCATTATTTTAGTCACATATTTATTAAAACAATCAATATACTTATAACAACAACTAAAAATAGTAACATATAGCACTAGTTATAACATAGTCAAGCGGTTTCGAAGTGGCCCCCTTTTGCCGCTACGCAGAGGCGTAAACGCTTCACAAAGTTTTCAGCGATGGGCCGCAGGTCCTGAATCGTAAGTTTGTCTCATTCGGATGAGAAGATATTCACGTTGGAACAGGCACATAACCCCTCAAAATGACAGACATTACTCTACAGAGCCTCCTGGAGACTTGGCCATCGTCGAACACCGTCAACACCCTCGGGGCATTATGTGGGCCGGTATCTGTGCATCGGGCAAGACCCCTTTGATTTTTGTTGATGAAGGAGTAAAAATCAATAAAGAAGTTTACCAAAAGGACATTCTGGAAGCCGTAGTACTGCCTTGGTCACGAGAACACTTCAAGAACACCAAATGAACGTTTCAACAGGACTCTGCTCCAGCTCATAAAGCCGAAACCACACAGGAGTGGTGTCGGACCCATTTACTTTATCACTTCAGCTGGATTGCCTCCGTACTCCCCCGATTTCAACCCGATGGATTACAGTATTTGGTCAATATTGGAGGCAAGGGTGTGTTGTAGAAGACACCAAACTTTGGAGTCTTTGAAACAAGCATTGATCGAAGAGTGGGACAAACTTTCGCCTCAGGACGTCCGGCCCATCGCTGAAAACTTTGTGAAGCGTTTACGCCTCTGCGTAGCGGCAAAAGGGGGCCACTTCGAAACTACTTGACTATGTTATAACTAGTGCTATATGTTACTATTGTTAGTTGTTGTTTTAAGTATATTGATTGTTTTAATAAATATATGACTAAAATAATTTGTCGCACTTGTAATGTAAATATAGGGTCTACTGCAAAGTACTAAAATCGCGTTTCCCAAGAAATCTGGAGAAAATTGATTAAAAAAATTAAGTTTCGAAATTCCCGCCCAATTGGCATTGCGTTTCAAGCTTATAAATTAGTCATTTTTATAATATATTAGTAGGAAACCTTTAAATGGACTTAAATTTTTTAATTTGTAGGCGTAGCTTGTCTCTAAAGTCCGAAAAAGGCCTTGAAACAGAATGCCAACTTTGTTAAATTGGCTGGAAACCCGAATATTTCAAATTTAAAACTCTAAAGCGTTCAAGGTCTTCGTCCTCATGTTAAAGGTCTAGGTCCTCGGTAAAGATCTGGGTTTTCAAGTTAAAGGTTGGCAAGTTCAAAAGATGGAGTCGAGCACCAGAGGTAAAGATGCAGGCAATTTGTCGGAAGAGCTCGAAGTAAGGAAGGAATTGGAGAAAGAAATACGGGATCAACTGGAGGAATTAAAGGGAGGTCTCGGGAGACTAGAGCGCCAAGTAAGTACAAACTGTCGTGTCGCGCTTCGAATGGCGATGCGACAGTGTGTCGCGGTTGTCGCAACGCTCAAGCCACAACTGTGTTCAATGGAAGGATTGCGACACGTTTTTTTGACTGTTGCAAGTCATTGAATCCTGCGACAACCGACCGGTGCGACACTGAAGGGATTGCACTGTGCAGTCTTTCCTCACATCGTTGGCTGTATCGAGTGATCGCGCGGGAAATCTGCACTGTGCAGCGGAATTAAAAGAGCGCGATTTTCTCGGGGACTGCACCGTGCAGCTGTAACATTCTTTAGTGGAAAGACTGATAACATTCTTTTCCGGACAAACTGATATTTGTACCACTAACAGTATTCTTTAAAAAATTTAGATTTTGAGTTTTAAAATTTAAATATTTGATTTTCCTACCAATTTGGCAATGTGTGACCCGCTCTTTTTTGATGTTCCGGATAAAATATGTTTACAAATCCAAAAATTTAGTTTTATTTTAAGGTGCACGTCAAGTTGACTGCGGACTAAGATGATTTGTCACTTCGTTATCGGGTCGAAAAATAAAGAAATGTCGTAGAAAATAAAATTTTATTGTTTCGTTTTGCGTTTGGAAATAATTCCGGTCTTTTAGTAGCTTAGAACGTTGCATGATGCTAGTTAGGTCAAAAAATTAGTAGGATTTTTTTATTTCTTAATTTGGTTGTCTTAATTGGCTTTTCTATTTACTTTTTGACCGGAAAGTAGAAAATTGTCCGAGAAAAAAATCTTTTTCTTTTCGAAAGAAACTATTCGCAACTATTGATTGTGACGAAGTGTGAAAAAATTGCCAAGTCCGCGTTTTGTTTTATTTCGACTTGACGTGAGGTGGTCTGTCATTATTTCCAAAATACTAGTAAAGGCTCAAAGACTGTTATAAGCTTGAAACACTGTGGCCAATTTGGTGGAATTTCAAAACGTCATTTTTTGATCTTGCTTTTCTCGATTTTGGATGGAAAGCGCGATTTAGTACCTTGCTGAAGATATTATGTTTACATGATCTTTCAATTAAAAAATCAGTCAATCAGAGCGGGACAGTTGAGGTACTTTTCTTGTAAGCTATGCTCTAGTTTAGCCATATACTATTTGTCGGTTGTAAGCAACAAATTGGGAGAAGTTCACCTGTACGTCAAAAACGAAAAAACTTGAAAATAAGTCTACAGGAGAAATTTTTCGTCCTCCTCTCCCCCCTCAGGGAAAAACATAATAATTTAAAGTTTTTGCTTTTAACTTAACATGTTGAAGATTGAAAACAATATTTATCTGATGTAGTATTGTCATGGGCTGATTCGTAATTCGTTAATTTTTTAAGTCAGGATAAGTAATTTTAACAGTACACGTCCTTTAACAGAACTCCTACCTCGTGTTATATTTATAATCTTTGACGAATTCTAAAATAATGACTTTATAGATCAGAAGACACGGCTGTATTTTTCTTTGTACAATCTTTGGAATGTTCTTTATTTGGAATTTTATTCGGTGGCGCGATATTTTTGGTTGGTAAAAGAGGATTCACAATTCACACAACGTGAAACGTACGAAGCGATAATTTAAATGTTGTGATGTTGGTTGTTTATCTGGAAATAAAAACTATTGGAGCGATTGTATATTGATACAAGTTATAGCACCCTGAAGTTGCTTCATTTACGTCGTTTAAAGTTTTTTGTGGAGACCGCTCCAAATTTATAAATTTAGGCTGCGTAAATGGTACCAATGGGTCTGTTGGAAGATAAAAATAATAATTTATTACAATTTTTTACGCTCTGTGATATATCTCATTTCTGGGTTTGGTACCTTACGTTTGCCGTTTTAAAACAAGTTTTTTGTTAGACCACAACAAATTGCAAGAACTAGTATCAGACAAAGGTATTCGGATTTTTTCTTTCCGCTGTAAATTTTCAAACTCAACGGATCTTACAGGGAAAGTATCTGGGATGGGTGGTTGAGAGTCTGCATGAGAAAAACAGGCGGAAGCAGTTACAGCGTGTGAAGATCAATTAATTTTTTTTGACATTCTTTATTTAAGTTTTTGGAGGATGAGTTCAAGGCGCACGGTGTTGGAGAAGAAGGTGGAAGTTATTTGGATAGAGGGGCTGAAAGCTATCACATACCAGAACAGGCTGTTTTTGAAGACAACCAACCGGTAGAGGAAGAACCTACCCCGCCGGTAACATTTTTTTACTTTTACAAGATATTTAACTTATTTGCTGAGGCCAAATTACTCTATGATTACAGGTAATCTGATTTTTCAGAACAAGGACAAACTGTTTGAAGAAAGTGCGAATTGCGAAGGCTTTGGAGTAAAGAAAGATGTAGCAGATTCAAGAAAACGGAAACGACCGGTTACACAGGGGTCGTCACGATCGTCAAGTACTTCTAGGCCACATTCTCAGGGCTCAAACCATAATAAGCATCATAAGAAGAAGAAGACTTTGGCTCTACCTTTCATGAGTAACGGATTTTCCTACGAAAGCATGTATGATACAGAGGTCTCGAGTACGCTAGGGGAAGAGGAATTGGGGAAACAGATTGCTTTAGTATTCGGAGAATTGGATGCGGTAAGTTACTATTGTACTCGTATGTAGTTTAAATAACGATAGTCTTGTGTCGATTAAATACGAGACTATTTTGATAACATATAATCTTTTTTGATAGGTGTTTTTTAAGATTGTAACAGTTATAAACAACCTTACGTTTTCTCGTGATGTGATTAATAACAATTTGCAGTTATTAATAAATTTATTTATTGCACTTTTACCGAAAACCTTTTTTATAGGTTACTAAGGGTTGAAACATTATATTATTATGTTGTCCTTGTCATCTTTAAATCTTTACATTTTCAGGGTTCGATTGTGTTTGCAGTAAAGACAGTTGGAGTGGAGTTAGCTCAAGAATTGTACAAAAAGACATTGGAAGTGGAGAAGAATGGAGGTATGGCGGTAGAGAACGGTACCAGAAGACGAACACCCGGAGGGGTTTTCTTCAAACTACTCAAAGACAGTGATAAGGTTGATAAGCAGGTGAAGGTGGGTTCGATTTCACAATCATAACGTAACATTTCAGATCAAAATCAACGAGAACAGTCGAAAAATGATGGAGAAAATGAGGAACGAAAAGCAAAAACAAAGGGTGAGTTATCTGTGATCATAGCTTTGAATCAAAGGCTCCAAATGTTTCGAGTTTTTAATTTTGAAATATTTGGAACGGTTAAATTAGTCATACTTTATTGCATGTTACGATAACTGGTCAAAAAGTATGTGGAATCGTGTTTTGAACAAATGGAATATTTTGAATTTCTATTTACTTTTTGACCGAAGGAGTAGTTAACTTGAAGGTTTTGAAATATGAAGAGTTAAAACATTATGTTAATCACATGATTTTCAGGTCCAAAAGCTAAAGCCTCTTCCCAAAGCTGTAGAAGTCCTACTAGACAGCGGCGATGCCCCAGTAGCGCCATCCTTCGACCTGAAGTCGGAGATTAAGAACCTCATGGACTTCGATTAACTTATCTTCACTTTGTACCCTTTATGTTACAATCATCAATAAATTAGCGAGAACAGGTGTATGGTTGTCAAGCGCAGTAAACCGCATTCCAATCATTATTTGACGGCGCCTGACAAAATTGTAAAATGTTTCCGGTCGATGTCTCTTCTCACTTACATCAGGTATAACATGATGCGAACGTTATCAAATCAGTCAGGTGCTCGCAGTTTTTGAGTCACGGACGACGTCACGTTGGAAGGTTTCGCTCATTCATATGTTTGATAGATAATATGAGGTGTGACAGTTGGGGGTCACTGTCTGACTTCGAAGTCGACTTAAGTGTTGCTTGTTTTGGGAATTAAAGTTGTTCCTATATTGGTCAAAAAGTTTATAGAGGACTCCATTAAACTAGAAGCTACTTAGATATCCCTTTACCTTTACTACGCCCCACTACTAGTACCACGGTGTTTTGCCCCTATCACAGCGACTCATTTTACATGCATAAGCCTCCGCCCTCGGCTCCCTCCACTTTATTTTGTTTTTTCTTTGTAAACTGTGAATTGAGTAATGCATTTTGTTGCCCGGGGGTTCAAACAAAATGCACTCGGATGCGGTTTGACTCGATCGGATGACAAGTGAAATGAGAAGACGGGGCTTACAGCGTTCAAGCGAGGAGGAGGAGGTGAGAGACGGCCGATCAGCCAGCCAGTTGGCCACAAACTTCCAGGCCCATCTCTCTCTCCCCATCCAACTTTCGGAGCGATGCCGTCGATCAGGAAGGACTGGGTCGATCGACGAGGCCACAGACAAATTGGGTCAATTCGGGTTGTTGTTGTGTCCGGCCTTCCGATGCTACGGTCATCAGTTCTGCGCTTCCTGCGAGAAATGAAATGGCCATTCATCAGCAGGACTACTCTTATCTAAATCTTTTTCTAATGCTGACAGATGACCGTCAGAACGGCGTTCCATTAGGTTGTAAAATCTACATTTTATTTTACTCTGATTTCAGCCGTAAACATTGTTTCTTTGATTTAATTTGATTCTTCTGCCCGTCAAAAGCGATATTATACTAGCCTAAAAGATTGCGTTAAAACTGAACTTTAAATTGACAAAACTACTTTATTTTCCCTTAAGATCATGTGGAAAGTCTTGACATTATCATATTTATTACTCAAAACAACCATAAATCGCGTATAAGTTGCGACTCATCCCCATAGTATATTGTTTTAGGTCTGAATTGTTGTTATTGCCCTAAATTTTCAATCTTCAAAAAGAAATTTATATTATTTGAAAAAAAGTTAATCAAAGAGAGTTGAAACCCATCAATTAGACCCCATGTTTTATATTGATGGCCTCACTTTAGCTGACAACTTTGAAAAAAAAAAAAGAATATGAAAAGGATGAAACATTTTCTGGAATCCCTGGAAATTTTGTATTTACTGTTATCACCCTTCATAAAATTGTCATTAGTTATAGAAAATGTGTAATTGCTTTTAAAAAAGTTGCCATTGATTTTAGAAAAGTTGTCACCCTTTTTGTAAAACTCGTTATCGTTTTCTAGATGCTTTTATGTGGCTTTCTATAAATGTTTCACCAATTATAGAAAATAAGTCATCGTTACTAAAACTGTGTCGTCCGTTCCAAAAAACTTTTTATTGTCTTCTAGAAAAGTTGTCATTGTTTCCAAATAAAGTGTCATTCTTTTCTAAAACTTTTTCCCAAAAACCTCGTCATTCCTTTAATTTTTTTGTTTTTCCTCGAGGTTTTCTGTGATTGTTAAATGGGGCCGTTAAAGTTAACCGATCTCCGGAAGCGCAACATTTTATAGTCGAGACTCTTGAGACCAATCTCGAATCCGAGGCCTCGTCGTTTCTTCTGAATGTCATCGAAACTGAGAGGAAAATTGCATTTTCGATAGACTCAAAAAATGGCTGTTCCCTTTCTGTTGGCCTCGAGTGACCGTTTCAATTATTTCGACATGTTATCTATCACGAAGGGGATTCTGGCCGCTTTTTCGATCGAATAACGTAATGTTGGGGATGATTCATCGCCCGATCTCGGTTCTCCTAGTATATTATTAGGTCCGATATTAATTTGCAATTGATTCGGCGGTTGAGAATCTGTTGAGGATGATTAACTTTCGAATTGTTATATATTCTATTAGTTTTTTGCGTGTTTAAGTAGAACATAATTTTAAAATTCGTGTCTTTTCTTTTAATATTATTGTTTGTTATATTTTTGGCAAGTATGGTAAAATTAGCGTGATTCTAATATTTTGCGACTGTTTTAAATTATTTTGTTACCTAAAAAGGATGGGAATTTAAAAACGTTTATAATTTAGGCAATAAATACGTGATTTTGTTATTTTATATCTTTTTGAAGCTTGTTTATAAAGTTTTTTTAGTTAAATTATGAGTGAAGAATCTCCAGTTGTTGTGCCTGAACATCAAGGCGAATCCGGCGACGCTGTAGAAGTGAAAAAGGAAGTTGGAGAACTTTCCTCAAGTATTGGTGAACTTCTGGAAGGCGGAAAGCAAAAATTGGCGGATGCGGTGGAAAACGTAAGTTTTTTGCTTTATTTTGAGTATTACTAGGTAACAAAATGATAATTTGGTCAAGAGAAAATTAGATAAGGAGGAAAATTTGGATGTATAGGAGAATCCTTGGCGCGGTTCGATTCTATTTTGTATCATTTAAATATAGTTTATTGATATAATGAGTTTATTATACTTAATGATTTGTGTTTTAGGTACACCATACTTTGATTGATGCTGAAGAGAGGTTGGAGCACCAACTGACAGAGAAAGGCGCTGCCATTGCTGAAGGAGCACATGCTTTGATTGACAGTGCCGCAGAGAGAGCCAAGGAATTGAAGGAAAACGTAAGGTTAATATATTGTTGTATCTTGCTGTGTCACTAGTGCCTTATACCGATTACGTGTGTTTAACTTAATGTTAGACAAGGTTTATACTAAAAGTCCATCGTCATTAAAGCTAGTATAATGTTTGTGAAGGTTTTGATAACAGTTTTGTTTTTATGTTATTATTTATGTTTATGATTTCAGCTCGATGAAACAGCTGCCAACAGCAGAGACGTCCTTACTGATGCAGAACAAGCTGTGCATGACAAGGCCGAGCACTTGGTTGAAAACGTCAAGAGCCTCACTTCTACTGCTACTTCTGAGCTTCATGAGTACGCAGAAAAGGCAAAAGAAGCGGTAAGTTAAGGTTTAAGATGTTTTATCCAAAACATGTTGTTTTTACATAAGGTTGCTTTAGGTATTAAAAAGCTTCTAATAACCAGGATATTGTTATGTTTTATTAATAATATTGTTTTAGGTAAGCAACGCTGTCCAATCAGAGGAAGAGAAGACAAAGGTCGATGAAGAAGTCGCTGAAAAGATCCAAGAAGCTGTAGCAGAAGCCGAAGAGAAGATTCAGAAGGTCAACGACAGTCTTCTCAATGCCGTAAGTTATGATGATTTACAAAAATTATTTTATTTCATACACTAGTATATTATTAACATTACATTTGGTTATAATTATTACTGTCCTGTAAATTTACATTAAAATCGATGTATAATTTTACATCTAATTGATGAATACCAATTTCAGACAGACGACGTTGTGGAACAAGCACGGTCAGAAGAACCTGATAGCTCGAACGATGACTCCACGGTGCTGCAGAAGGCTTCAGACGATGCCGGTGCTGTTGTAGGTTACTTAAATTTGTAGGGTTTTATGATTTACATTGTTTTATGTGTCTTTTAAACAATTAGATGATTATTATTTGGTTATATTATGTTTTTTAGGTAACACAAGCCATTAATGCTGCTGTAGAACAAGTGGATGCAGTAGTACGATCCGTTAACGCCGATAACGGAGAAGAGGAAGATAAAAAGGACGAAGAACAAGTCAAAGAAGATGCTGCCAACTTTGTAAGTAGATATGTTTGTTTAATACGTTTATTTTGGTTTATGTTTATTACCTTTGTTCTTTAGGTTGCTCAAATTAGTGAAGATGCTGTGAAACAAGTTGAACAGCCTCACCCAGATCTCCATGGCGAATTCACTCAGGAGCAAATTGACCAAGCCCACAATGATGCCAAAGACATGGTACGTTTGTTTGGCTTTTGTAGTAAAAATTAGTTCATAACATTCTGAAGAAGTTTTTCTTCGTGAAAGGTTGAAATCATCATTGGTTGTGTTAATGTTAGTCTTTTTAGATGGATATCATCACCAAAGCAGCCGTAGGAAACGTAGAAGCCTTGCAAGAGAAACTACGTCAAGAAGAAGAAGCGAAGAAAGATGACGTTGAAGACGAATTTGTGAAGAACCTTATCAGTCATCAGACTCGCACTCCTCCCTCTGAACCAGCTGAAGTTCCAGAAGCAGTAGTTGACCTCACGACCGAGCAAGTCATTCAAGCATCTGAACCAGTAGCTGAAGCTGTAGATCTGACTTCTGAGCCAGCCAGAGAAGCAACTCCAGAACCAGAAGTAGTTGAAGCGTCACCAGAGCCAGTGAGAGAGCCCACTCCAGAACCTGTCAGAGAACCATCTCCTGAACCTGTCAGAGAGCCTTCACCAGAAACTGAACCAGCTAAAGTAGCTGAAGAACCAATTGCTGAGCCAGAACCCGTTAGGGAACCGACGCCTGAGCCTGAACCAGTTAGGGAACCAACGCCTGAACCTGTTAAAGTGCCAGAAGTAGCTCAAGAATCAAGTCCGGTCAGGGAACCGTCTCCAGAACCAGTGAAAGAACCAGAGCCGGTCACTGAATCTCTACCTGAGCCTGTTAAAGAGCCCGAACCGGTTTCAGAACCCACCCCAGAACCAGAGAAAGAGACGGCTGCTGCTGTCAGTGCTCCAGCTGAAGCTTCTCAACCAGCGGAAATCAAGGTAGAGGAGAGCCGACCTCAAGTTCAAGCTGAACCTGCTGCTGACGGTAAGTTATCCTGAACTATGAAAATACTTGTTATTATAACGTTTGAATTTTTGAGGTTTCGGCTGAAAAAGTTGATTTTTTCGTTAACATAGTCAGTACGATACTTTCAGAAAGTTCTCAGAACACGAGCGCGAGTCGCCGTCTCACATTGACGCAGCGTGCCGAAAGCACCATGCAGAGTGTGCGCCGTCGCTGTGCCATCCTTTAAACGCCTTCTTATATTGTTGTTGTTTAATTCTTTCATCCACTTGAACTCGCCGGTTTGTCCGTCCTCAAAATAGTATTATATGTTGTCTAAGCTTTCCATTTTAGTACTTTTGTAGCTGTCATATTGTAGCGTTTCCATATTTTCATAGCTGTCCTGTTTAGAGTAATAAACTTGAAGTATTAAATCTAGCGTTTACAGTACTATATATTACATTAAAGTATGCTTCTGGTAGTAAAATAACAGTCAAAAAGTAGAGTAACCAAATATAACCGATAGTTTAATAGAAATATATTAAAATGAGTAATAAAAGCAAAAGATGCGAACCGGAGAGTGAATGTGTGCAGGATCGGGATAAAAAGTAAGCCGTCTTCCGCTTCGGCCCGTTACAGTAATCTTCGCGACAGATCTGGAAAGTCAGCGTCCTTTCTGTTTTCTTCGATGGAATCGGGACGTCAATTGAATCCTGGTCAGGTTCTGAAACCTGTGCCAATAGCCTTCTGAAGGCTCGGTTACTGCTGCAGTCTCGCATCACGCCTGAAGTTGTAAAACTTTTTTTTAACCCAATGTATAATAGGAAGTCATTTGCATATAAGGTCTAAAACACACTGAAATATAATTCTATGAACTTTAGAAACACTTTTGTAGTTATCCACAAAACTATAAAAACATAATTACTTACCAAAGAGATATTCTTCTCCCCTAACGACACCGTATACTCTCAGCAGAGCACAATCGGCTGTACACTTGACTTGTTGAGTATGAGAAGAGGCATTCACACATTGAGGATCACTAACAACTTCTTCACCTGGGTTCATTCTGGACAAACCGACTTTGTCCCATGTCTAAAATTTGAAAAAATCAAAAATTACGTAGTATATCACAATATTGAAAAAGAGCATATTGAAAATACAGACACAGAACTAAAATTAGTCTTTTTTTATATTTTAAAATTAGAAAAACAAGGTTCAAAACACAAGATTTTAAAGTTTTATTACCTAAAAAAGCAAAAAACTGTAAAAAACTACAAAAAACTCAAAATTGACAAACTTACGCTCATAATATACGGGGAAACGCACTTGTAACATGTTATACTATCACCAAACCCCACCAAAGTGGAAAGAAGCATAAAAAGGCCCCATCTGAAGGCCATCCTCCATCTCCACTGATCGAACCGAGTTTATTGGGATTTGGCAGTGAAAAAGGGGGAGCGAGCGACAAAGCGCAACTATTTTTATGGACGCGCACTTGGCCACAACTATTGACTTGACCCTTTTAGCACCCAAAAACGAAACCACGTTTATTGTTTGTACAAACAAAAGAGCGGTCAGACGTGAAAAGTGGAATGATATCTACACAGATATCTGCCATATTATATTATAATATCGTATTTTGAGAAAAAACCATTTTTAAGACCCAAATACAACTTATATAGTACTATATTTCCCCTCTCTATGCTGTTCCATAGAAAAAGATAGTTACAAAAGATACAGTAGAATATGTTAGAGATCCCTATAGAGATAACTATCAAATCAACAAAAAAATTGAAAAAAGAAGATAAAAAATGACAAAGCAGTATTTACTGGCACGATTACAACAACTGATCATCAGTGAAAACAACATCCGCCAGCTCTTTGTTTGTCATCTCCATCTCGGGCATCCTGTTGCCAACTTCTTTTAACGTATTGTCGGCTGCCATTTTCTTGCCTGTGTCATCGACTTTCTTTCCGCTTTGGTCTTCATCTCTATCTGAAAATGGCAATTCATTTTGTTGTGACTTTGAAAAATGACCTCTTACCTTTAACATCGTCATTCTTATCACCTTTAGTGGAGTTGACAGAGTTTCTGCTGTAAAATGGCAAAGATTATTTCAACAAAATGTACTAATACTGAGTAATCACATTTCCCATGTAGAGTTATACTCAGTCTTATCACTAATATGTTAGGCAAAATGGGTAATACCGCAAAAACTAAAACAAAACTGTACGAAACTCCAAAATCTATTATACAAAACACAATATTAATGTCACGATATTAAAATAGGTATTGAAATTCAGCCAAACCGACCTTTCGTCCTTTCTGTCCGATTTGTTACTGCTATGCCTTCGTCTCCGCTGAAAAGGTAGGATAAGAGTTACCTGAGGGACGTACCTTCTTGTGTCTGGAGAAGCACATCTCGGGAACGATATTCAGAAGAAAGACTCAGACCGCTTTCTTCGTGGATAACAATTGTAATGAAATGTCATTCGAAATGTATAAATTTGAAGTGAAATCGCAGAAAAAACGACGTTTTGTACTAAAAACTGAAGGAATCTTCTGTTTTACTGTACAGTAGCCTCAATTTACAGTAAGGAGCTACAAGATTTGAATGATGAAAGCTGCAGTAGTCTTGACGTTACTTTTCATTGTGGAAAGTTGTGCTCCATCTGAATTAACCTGGGATGGAATTGGCAACTGGTTGAGGAAAAACCCAGATCTCGAGGTCAAAATAGAAATAGTAAGTTGATTTAAAGTTGACTGTTTCAAAAAGTTTTTGTGATTTAAAACACTTTTTTTACCTACTTTAGTAATAAAATTATGGGACAAAAGTCATAAAGTGAATATGCACCTTGACTATTCTACGCACTTTTGATCCGATAATTGTTTCAGTCATAACTTATCAGCTTAAAATTACACACTTTGTACTATTCTCTTCCAGCATAACATTGACTCTTTTTTAGGTAGCAGACAACGTGAACTCCGAAGGCTATCCATCTCCACTTCCTCCAAGACAAGACTCTCAAACAGTTACAGTGTCAGCCATTACTATTGACCAAAATCAAACCAACCTAGAAGCAATGGTATCCTCACAGCCTGCTGAAACCAATGACACACAAATAGTTTCAGCTGAATTACCAGTAGAAAGCCCTGACACCAATGCAACTACAGCTTCAGAATTGGACGAAAAAATTGAAAATGCCTTAGGATTAAAATTTTCGAAACTTGAAGAAAAAATTGAAGCACTCCTTTTGACTTCAAAGAATGAAACTGATAAGGGAGAAGACAACATCAAGGTGTACATCGAATCGCTCAAGACAGATTTGACCAGCGAATTCACTGCCAAACTTGACAAAATCACAGAAACCATCGCCAAGATCCAAGAAGCTTTGAAGAAACCTGCTCCACCAACTAAGCTTTCCCCACCAGCTAAGCCTGCCACACCGCCTAAAAAACAGACCGAAAGTTTACCAAAAAAAGTAGAAAACTCAAAGAAACAATAAACGACATACTTGTAAAAATATAACCACTTGCTCCATACTTTAAATAGTCTTCACACAAAAACATTTTTTTTGTCTTCGATCCGTCTTTTTGTAGAGCACCTTGTTATACACACTTATGTTATTTAACTGTTGTATATTTTTGATTTTAAATAAATAATTTTTAACATTATACAACTGAAATTGACACTTCGTTGTTTGTGACACTTCGTTTTATTTATAAAAATAATATTTGGAAAGATTTTCGAAACAGAATTCTGTCTAAAAAATGGCAAATCGAACAGTAAAGGATGCTGTTACCATAAAAGGGACCAATCCTCAGTATCTAGTGGAGAAGATTATCAGAACTCGAATCTATGATTCTCTTTACTGGAAGGAACATTGTTTTGCTCTTACAGCTGAACATGTTGTAGATAAGGGTGCTGATCTGCGTTATATTGGTGGAGTTTATGCTGGCAACGTTAAACCAACACCGTTTTTATGCTTGATATTGAAGTTGTTACAGCTACAACCTGATAAAGATGTTATTCTTGAGTTTTTGAAGCAAAAGGACTTCAAGTAAGTTGCTTATGGGTTTATCTGATGTAACACTATAGGATGTTAATATTATTGCCTATATATTTGAGAAGGAGCTTGAGTAATAAATTTTACGTGTTTCAGGTATTTAAGAGCATTAGCAGCCATGTATATCCGACTAACGTTCAATTCTGTTGAAATATTTACATTACTGGAGCCATTATACGCAGATTATCGGAAGTTAAGGTACATGAACAGAATGGGCCGTAAGTTTTTAAATAAAGAGAAATTACTCTATGTGAGTTTTATTATGTAAAGTTATTGTGTTGTTCAACTTTATATTTTTAGAGTTTGAACTGATTCACATGGACGAATTCATTGATAGCTTGTTACGAGAAGATAGTTACTGCGACATACAGCTTCCTCGACTTCAGGTAACTTTACTTTGTAATATTGATTAATTTTTAGAAACGACAAGCATTGGAAGAGTCGAATCAGATAGATCCGTATGTCTCATCATTGGATGAAGACTTGGACAATTTGTCGGAAAGTGAAAGCGATGAGGAGCCCAAAGAGAAACCTAAGGTATACATTTTTAACTCAATTTGTCTAAATCAACTTTTGTTGCATCAAGTTAAAGGTTATATTTTTTATTATCTAAATTTTGCTTTTTTATTGAATAATCTTGTAGCCTCTCACACGACGAAGAAACAGAAGCAGATCACGATCAGTGTCGCGAGAAAGAGATAGAAGGCGTGGAGAGGATGACAGAGATCGTCGACGACGTCACGACTCTCCAGAATACTCTCGCCGTGACAGAGAACGTGCCAGAGAAAAGGAACGTGAACGTGAGAAGGAAAGAAAGTCCAGGAAGAAGGACAAGACCAAAGACGATGAGGAACGAGAAATCGAAGAATCAAATGCCCTCAGGGCCAAGCTTGGGCTGGCTCCTTTGGAACGTTGAGTTTGTTTTTAAGTAATTGTTAATATAAGTTATAAACTTGACGACAAATTTTTTATCGTAATATTGTAGTTACAACTACCCTTTAACAATGAGATTTTTAAAAGGACGATGTTCTTATTAACGTTAAATTTATCATCAACAAAAAATAACGACAATATGCGAGTTGTTTCTGTACATAATACTGATTAATATTATACAAGTATTGGTCTAGCGAGCAGTTTGCGGAGGCGAGGGCATTGATATAGGGAACTGTTTAACGTGAGTTTGCCATTGCGAAGCGACTTGGAAGAATCGGATGTGTTTCCAGAAGACACCGTCGATCGAGAGTTCGAGTTCCGAATTCTTCCCACCTGAACATAACAGGCGGGAGACGTTGGCGACAACTCGAGCTTGGGAGTGGACAAAGCCCTCGGAGCTTTTCTGAAATTATTTCAATTAAATATTGAAAATTTTCGTAGTTTAAAAATATGAGTTTTGCGAAAACAAAGCCTAATAGTCAATATCGCTTACAGATTTAGGTTTTCGTCCAAGCTTCTGCAGAACCTTGTCCTTCCTCTTCTCTTTCACAAATTGGATCGACAAAAGACTGGACATCGATTCTCTGGCAATGGATAATGTTCTTAAAGATGCCTTGATCGAGTATTTGTTACCCATCACACTCGATTTGGCAGACCCAGGAGTGTTCTGCATGAAACTTTGGTCTAATTGGTCGATTTCGCTTGGTTGAGTAGCTATGGACGTACTCGGGAGATCTGTCCAATACTCGAGATGCAGTTCTTTACTTGATTCTTGTTGCCTAAAATTAATTTCAGGACTACTTTTGTAAAGTTTTTATCGAAAAGTGGACATAACTTGTGAGCTTAATGCGCAATTAGCCTTTTTTCTATATTACTTTTTGCCAAAAATGTAAAATTACGTTAACATTTTATCATGAAAATAAGGCTAAACCTACTTGGGAAGCTGAGGCGATACGGGTGGGGAAATTGAGGCGGAGTTGCTGGTTAATTGGGGAACGTTAGATTGGCTTTGTTGATGCAACAAAGCCGGCGTACTGTTATTGTTGCTTTGCGAAGCAGGGTCATCAAATGAATTCTTCATAAAGTAGAGGTAGTTGAGCTCTTCCAGGTTTCCTAGGTGGATTTCTGACAAGAAGGGCACGAAGAGTTGTGAATCCGACTTGTTTTCCGGCTGATTGCCATTATTAGATGAGTCGAAGTTGTTCTGCGACAACTGGAGCATTACCTCGCCAATGGGAAGGTTAAGTAGGCGATTCTCAGATGGATTAACGGCCGCATTCATGGCGTTGTATAAGACTTCCTCCATGTCCATCAATCTCGCTTGACAGACGTCTCCATTGTCGAAAAGAGTCGCGATTCTGCTCAAGGATCGCCACGATGCCTCTGAATGGCCAGTGTCAGATGCCTGCGATAGTAATCTCCCGAGGGCAGAGGCCGGTGGGCATAGAATAGTGAACCGGAGATGAGTAATCCACGCTTGTGTTGGCTTGTTCTGGAGGAAGTCGACGTAGGCACGCAGAATGTGGGACACATGCCGATCTGTACCATATACACCGATTAGTGTAGGTGATGGGGCCACGGAGTTTGTGTTGCAGCTAAAATAGTACGTAAAATGCAACTGGTGTTCTACTGTAGACTACATCACTAACCGATTACAAATTGTGTGGTAAATTGACGAACAAAAGACAAACTTAAGTAACAATCTACCATCTGAATTCAAGTAAAAACTTACAACTTCTGAATCCTTGATATGATATTGTGGACGACCGTTCTCACATCAGAGGCCGTGGGACAGTCCAGCACTCTCGTCCGCTTCAAACAGTTAAAGTCAACCTTGGAAATCCAGGGGAAGTCTGTCGATGAACAAATCCAGACATTCGAAGCCACTATCGAGGAATCACTGTCCAACCGGGTTAGCTATAACAACATGAGGTCAGTTGGCACATTTACAGACAACTTTACAACAAACTAATCAAATCTACAATAAGATAATCATAAGTTGTCATAAACGCTACTATAACCTAGACTTACCATGTCATTGATTGTGAATGGTAGGTCCGTGTTCTTGACGTCACTCGGGTTAAAGTTCAGGCTGCCATTAGTGTTCGAATGCTTCAGAACCCTGTCGAACTTGTTGATATTGTGACTCGACTCAACTGCGCGATTGTCATTGTCAGAACTGAACTGTTCTTCACTTTCCGAGTCTTCAGAAGCCCCAGCATCGTCGATTACCGGTAGAATGTCAGACTTGGATCCGAAGAACGGTCGATGAAGGCCTGGGCGAGGATTCGACCGGATACTCAGTTTGTCCATCTCGATCTCAGGTCCTGAATCCGAGATGTTCTCCAGCTCTTCGAATATCTCCTCCAATTCCTCAGCAGTAGGTTTTAACACCGAGTGATTGTCGCCTTCGTCGATCTGAATCAATAATAATATTACATAATCTTCTTATAAATGACACCTTTTGTTATTGTATGCTTGTTTACTTGGTAAAAGCTGTGTGTTTAAAATTGAAATCAAGATTTCGTACTTTTATCGCGACTTAAATGTTGTTTTTTGCATTTTTGCTCTTTTGACTTGATAAAACAAACGAATTCTGAACTAGTCCATCTAAATTAATATAAATTTTAAAATTTACGTTTTCTTCCTGAACTTTGAATCGTCTCAGGAGTTTGGTCAGCCGCTGCTTCAGATTCTTCTGGCTTTTCTTTGTCGACCTCCGCTTTCTCCGCAGTCTATTAGGAGTTTCGTAGTCAACAATGTCATGTACCTCTTCCTCGCTATCACCACTTGACTCATCTTCCAATACATCATCTTCGCTGTCGTCTCGAGCTGTCAGATCCTTGACCATGGAATGTTTCAGGCTCTTTTGTCCACTTTCAATCGCCACCGTCTGGCAATGCGATATGAAGATTGTGGCGACGTGCGAATCTAAACGAAACTAGCTTAAAATAACTCAGATAGACAGACCTATTACAATATAAGGTTTAAAGAGAGATCAAAAATAGATTTTATTCATGAAATTTTAAATAAGCTTAAAAAAGCCTGGAATACGTATAAAATAGCATTAAAAATACAGTTTTAAACCCTATATTATTATAGTAAAACGATAAAACATTCACCATTAACATCCACATCCGGCTTACTGAGTTGATTCATGGAGAATATCTTAACCTCCCTCGACCCTCCCATCTGCAGCAAATCATCCAGGTTCAGGAAGCCGGCTGCCAATGTTTTAAAGCCTGGAATCTGTCGATTCTTGTACTTTTTCCGTCTCTGAATAAAGATCTCGAGTACGTTAGCTTTGCGTTTGACGAAATGGGAGTACTGTATTATGAATGAGATGTCCAAGTCGATTCGTACGCCTTGTTGGATGGAGGGAACAGTAATGTCGTTGGACCGAAGGGATCTTTTATGGCCTTGGAGGCGAACACATATTACTATCGTATTTTCGGTCTCCAGAGACTTGAGGAAGGATAAACGAGACAACACCATGGACAGGGCTCTGTAAGCACAATATTATAGTAAGTGGCAGATTACAGCAATTGTTTACTGTTAAACTAGGTATAATCCTACGTTGCTATACAGCTTTTTAATTAGTAGGGTTTAATACCTAAACCTAGTCATAAACTTGAACATTACTTTTACTTTACTGTACAAATAAATGTAAAATTACTTTGACATTGAAAAAACAATGTGCTTTTATTCCGAAAGTTTAAATAACAAATTATCATACTTCGATCCATCTTTTAATGTTATTGTATTGTACATTGAATCAGCTTTACAAAAACACCCAGCTCCGAGCTTCATTAATTTCGAATTTACTCGTGGTTAAATCATGACAAGCGATGCTAATAACTCTTTAAGACTTTTAAAGTACAAAAAGTCATTTCAATTTCAAATCACCTTGTGTTATTGCATGTTTCAATAAAGTAACTTTATAAATATTTGAAACAATTTTTTTTAAATGTGAAAACTGTAAAAATGTTGTAACTTTAGGTACAGAATTTCAAAGAATTTAAAAGCTGTTACAAAACTCTAAAACTAAGAGTCCTTACCTCGGAATGCTGTAATTCGAAGCCCGGTCCGTGTCCCAGTTGGCGTAGAATCTCATCGGAACGACCCCAAAACTCGAGACCTCCATGTTGAAAGTAATGGAAATGCTGCACAGGTAAACGCGTCTGATTGCGGGTAATTTCAAATTGAGCAACAACAAACCGCCATGGTTCCCAACCGAATGGAATACCTAAAACAATCTGTCCGTTTTAACCCGCAAAAAAGAGACTAATCAAATCCCGCTTTTACAAAGCAAAAAAGTTGAAATTGCTGGCTGCTGTTCGTGTCAAATGTCAGAGACACCTCCTCGACCAAAGAGTAGAATTAGAACAACATTGTTTATAACAAATCCATAAACGGCCGCCGGAACTCGAGCAGAAATCGTTTCAAATCCTCTTATTCTTCTTCCCCAAAAGTCTTGGCCATAGAAATGCGCGGAAGAATGGGGACGAAAACAGCAGGGGATGGAAGACAATAAAGGGAATCTCTCAAGTGCTCCACCCCAAGCTCGAGGTCAGATATAGACCGAGTTATCAGTGCAGTATCCCCCAACTATATCAGACGAGCACATGATATTAATTAGATCGCAATAACAACAGTCTTTATCAACAGCACCATTAAACAAACCCAATATAATTGGTGTTCTCATGGATAACATTGCAATACAAAGGTTGTGCAGGAAAGAATGGCGCATGAAAGGAGGAACTGTGTCATAACCTACAATTTCCTTATCTATGTCATTTTAAAATGCACTTTACTCACAGATTTACCCTTTTATCCAAGAACCAATACCTAAAATAACATAACACGAGTAAACAACCCAGATTTATACCCAAAACACGGAAGATATCTCCGTATCATCCCAGCCACATGCATATAGACGCCCTTAAATGCGACCTCATTAGACCAATAACTCTTTTAACTCCCTTTTAAGGCCGTTATCAAACTCTTACTTGCACATTTTATGGTGAAGGTAAACTCCCAAAGCCGTCTGACCGTCAAAAAGTATTGTCAATAAGGAAAGCAACTGCACTTTGTGTCGTCTATCCAAAAAAAATCCAGAAAAAATTCCAAAAAATAAAAACAAGGGTTTTCGGGGCGCGAACTGCGCCCAGGCGGGCTGCGAGCAGCGCTAGACGGAACATCCGATGGACTTTGGCGATCGGACCCTGAGGGTCTATGCTCCCTCGAGCGGAAAGCCAGCCATCGCATTGAATAAAACTTTTTTCTTGTTCTAATAGTAAATTGAAGCTTTATCAATATTATCACAAGATATTAACCATGGCTGACACCGAACTCAAGAGTTCTGATGCCCAGAACAAGAAGAAGGAGCGGCCAGCCATGCAGATCTATCGTCCACCGGGTAAGCTAATTATGCATAAAGATAATTTGAATACTAGGGTTACGCGGCGAGAAAAGTCAAGATGGACCTTCACCAACCTCAGTGAAGCCGAATGCTGACAAGGTGGAACAAGATGCAGGTAAGATAACTCCAGTCTACTTTTGGCAAAAATTGTGTTTTTTAATTTCCTTTTTAAAATTTTTTAATAACTTTAACTTTTACAAACAAGAAAAGTACTGTAGTTTATTTTTTATGTTACAGTATCAAACGCAAGCTCAGAATCCAGAGGATCGTCGACGAAGAGTGAGAAGGCCAAACTCAGAAGCAAACCTCCTGTAATTAACATTTCGGCTGATAAGAAGAAACAGTTCACAAACAAAGACTTCGACGACATCGTGCAAGGGCTACGGAAGTTGGAGATGACAAAGGATCAGAAGATCGTCGACGACTTCATTTTGTGTAAGTATGTATCTTGTCATATTGTAATCATTTCTATTGTTTAGCCAATATGGAGGCCCCAGAAGTCGCGGAAGCGTTGTCGCTGTGTTTGACGCGACAAGCGATCGAAGAGTCTAATAAACAAACCCAGAGGTCGATTTCGCGGCTAATAGCGCTGATTCTGAACTGTTCGACCGGTAGTAGTTTCCACAAAGGTCTGTTTGGAGCCCTAAGTCAGTACTACGAGTGCAGAAGTCAGCTGAGGGAGACGCATCTGAAAGTGTGGATTAACTTCCTCAACTTTCTGAGCGATGTCTACGCGAGTGTGGGGTTCGAGTACGAGGGAGGACTGGTCGATTTGTTATTCAAAGTGCTGGATTATATGCTCGATGACGCCATTCTAGATACGTTGAAAATAGAAGAGGCAAGGTCGTTTTTTTATTGTGAAATGAATACTACCCTATATAACAGAAACTACAGTAATATTACCTTTGTAACTTACCCAAATCAAAAATCTTTTCTTTTTTATAATTACAAATTATCTTCAGCTTGAAAGTGTAATAGGGTGTCTACTGAGCGTGGGATACGATCTTGAACGTAACTGTCCGGATCAGCTGGGTAATCTGAAGGACAGAATCCGGGACGCTTTTGTAGCCGCGCACGAACCCTGGACTAGAAAGATGATAATGTTGTTGATGGAGCTGTCAGCCAGTGGCTGGACCCTGCCTGCCGAAGCTAACGAATACTACTTCCAATAGTCAACATACGAAACGATGGGAGCAGGAGTTTTCGGGTAGGGACATTTCGGGTAGCGACTTTTCGGGTAGGACATTTCGGGTAATGGATTTTTCGGGTAGGGACTTTTCGGGTAAGGACTTTTCGGGTGATGGATATTTCGGGCAATGGTAATTTCGGGTAGGGATTGTTCGGGTAGCTACTTTTCGGCTTATCGACATTTCGGGTAAGAAATTTTCGTAAAATTTAAAATATTAAGTTATGGATAATTACAATAAAATTTCCAGACTTAAAATTATGACTTGCAATGTTAAAAATCGTAATGTTCTAAAGTTATTGTTTTTGAACCCGATGATAACGATATCTTACGTTTACTATCATCTATTTTTGCAAAATCATTACAAAAACAGTAACACGAGAACGTTCACAGCACGGTACGATAACGTTCATAGTATTCTGGTAAGCATGCGACCTTGCATTAAAAATATACGAAAAAAGTATCATAGGAACGTTGACGGTACGATGTCAACGTTCACGGTGCCATGTCAACGTTAACGATAAAGGCACATGGCGCTAGGACAAATGCGGTTTTTGGACATTTGCGGATCTGCGGTTTTTAGACACTTGCGGATCTTCGGTTTTTGGACATTTGCGGATTTTTTAAAGGTTTTTTTTTATTTTTTAGTTAATTTAGTTGTATTATGGTACTAAATTGTACTAAAGTTTGAATTGGTACGGTTTTAACATAACAGTACCTTTTTGGGATTTTAGTACTATTTAGTACCAAAAATATAAAAAACAGTACCGATTAAAAATTTAGTACTATTTAACATTAAGAAATATTAAGACAGTGCCAATTTAAACTTTTGTACCATTTAGTACCATACTACAACTAAATTAAATAAAAAATAAAAAAACCCCTTTAAAAAATCCGCAAATGTCCAAAATCCGCAAGTGTCCAAAAACCGAAGGTCCGCAAGTGTCTAAAAACCGCAGATCCGCAAATGTCCAAAAACCGCATTTGTCCTAGCGCCAGGCACATGTGGTTCAGTCCCATGAGATTTAGTGACATGTGACTAGGCCAGGGTAAAAAAGGATATATGATTTAGTCAGGTTGTGATTCAGTCTCCTACCTTTTATAGAATAATAAATGAAAATTATATAATTCATGGTTTATATATTATTAATTATTTAATTCTTTAGTTTTTTTTTTAAATTATAATTACGATTTTTAACATTGCAAGTCATAATTTTAAGTCTGGAAATTTTATTGTAATTATCCATAACTTAATATTTTAAATTTTACGAAAAGTTCCTACCCGAAATGTCGATAGCCCGAAAAGTAGCTACCCGAACAATCCCTACCCGAAATTACCATTGCCCGAAATATCCATCACCCGAAAAGTCCTTACCCGAAAAGTCCCTACCCGAAAAATCCATTACCCGAAATGTCCTACCCGAAAAGTCACTAACCCCGAAACGATACGTAGAAGATATAGTATAATATTTTACTGTCTTTTTACTTGCTAACCATGACCATACTTCCTATTGTTTGTGACATTCTAATACTTTATACTATAATATGATCAAGAGTTTGTAGAAAGGCCACTTAGGGTTACATATTTCTATTTCTTAACCTTTTCCAATGATTATTTACCAAACTGTCAGTGATATATTACCATGCCATGAAGCTTAACATATTTTTATGTCATATATACTTAATCTAACCCTACCATGCATAATGTAGTCAACCCAACGTCTCACAACATAGTATGCTTTACTTAATGTACATAACAAGCTCTACTGACATATAAATTACTTATGTTGTGCAAACTTCCTCGCGAATTCCAGCAACTTTTTCGTGTTTTCGTCGTTGGAACTTGCTCTTATCACCCCCGTAGCTTCACGTAGATCAGCGTAACACACCGGCCTCACATGTGTCGCATTGATTTGTTGTAATTGTTGCCGCGACAACCCTCTGAGTGGTGCCATCGCTGCTTCTTTGCACAGTGCTGTCATGTCTGAGTACGAATATCCTTTAGTGAGTCGTGCTATATCTCTGTAATTCAATTTACTACATCAAGAGACTTTCAAAATATATTACGATAACTTTGAATAAAATTAAAAGACATAAATATAGTACATAGATGACATACCTGACTTCGCTGTTAGATAGCTTGAATTGGGTTTTGTTCTTCTCAAAGATCAGTTGAATCAAACTACATCTAGCTTGTTCATCAGGCAGATCAATGTAGATCCTCTTCGGAAACCGTCGAAGGACTCCATCGTCCAACTCCTGAGGTCTGTTCGTAGCACCTAACACAAGAACACGGTCCTCCTGCTTCGACACACATCCATCAAACTGAAGCAGAAACTCAGTTTTGACTCTTCTGCTAGCTCCGTTCTCGTTCTCTTGCCGCGAACACAACAACGAATCTATCTCATCTAAAACAACTCCCGCTTAGTTTTTAACTTAAATCGCGTTTTATGCGATACTTTGAAACAATATGACTAAAATTTTGTTACCATTAAGGCTTACCAATAAAAATAATAGAAGGTTGTGCATTCCTCGCCATTTGAAACAAAGCCTGCATTAACCGTTCGCCTTCTCCTACCCATTTGGACATTATACTGGCTGCTGAGATATTAAAGAATGTACAGTTAGACTCTGTAGCCACTGCTTTGGCCTAAAAACTCAAAGTTACTAAATAAGGGTTAAAAATATTTTCAAAAAAGGTTTTTGAATTGTATCATTATCAAGCCTTTATTAAAAGTAGAAAACGATAATGTAAGCTACACCTACCAACATAGTTTTGCCATTCCCAGGTGGTCCAAACAATAAAATACCCTTGCATGGCTCTCTTAAGCCGGTAAAAAGTTTCGGATTCAGATTCGGGAGAATGACGGTTTCTTCCAAAGCCGCTTTAGCAGCTTCGTTACCTAAAATATCCGATATGGATACGCCCGTTGTGTCCACAACATTCCCCATCAAGTCTTCCGCTAACTTTGAATCGACATTCTTCACCAGCAGCTTCTTCTTAGGTAGATTCGTCTCCCTAGAAGTCGATGGAACAGCAGAATTGAGTGGTTGGACTCGTCGAACTGTTTGTTCTGTATCCATCTTCAAGTACTTCACTGAACTAAAGTTAAAACAAAACTATTTCAGGCTTACTTAAGGTGTCTATCCGTTCTTGAGTTAACGTTATATGCTTTTCTATGACTTGTCGGCTTTGCTCCACGTCCGCCATCTTGCTGCGTGGACATTTGCTTGATGGTATTGCATAAGCTGATGTTAGTTCTTTCAGTGCCTTTTTATACAGAGTCAGTACTTGTCTTTTCGTGTTCAAAGCTGCAAAAGTTCAACATTATCCCCCTTAAATTTATACTTTACTTTTAAACCCATTAAAAATGCACTTACTGGTCTCATCAGCTGATATGGCCTTATTCAAACTTTGTCGACTTTCAATCAGAAACTTTTTAAATCTGTTGTAGTTGGCTTCCAACACATCCGCACTGATGGAAGCCATCAATTAGACAAGCCACTACAGAGCAAATTCGACAAAACCATCTGCCGAGAAACAATAATTGAGCGGAGTTATACGATGAAACCTGTCCGTTTTTTTTTAAATTCCCAATTCATAAAACATGAAAATTATATTTCTGGGTAATAAAACCATCGGAAAGCTTAGTTTAATAACTTTATTAAATAAAATATGTAAAATTCCTAATTGAGACCATATATTTTTGTTTTGACTGAAGAAATATCAGATTTTGCGGAAAAGTCCTTTAAAAGTAAGAAATATCATTCAAGCTTTTTGAAAAACGTCAGATCTCCAAACAATTGTTTTGCCAAGGTTTCATCAACTATTTGGACTGAGTTTGTAGGTATAAACAGAGAGTCTCCGCTGAAAGAAACATTATCTCAAGGGTTTGTTTTTAAGCTTACGAAGTAATTCGTATAAAAATTTTAAGTTATCTCAAAACTTAAGAGAAAGATAACTTTGTGCTTAGAATTACTTTTGAAAATTAAAATGTTAATAATTAAACTAGTAACTTACTCCGAGAAGTCCATCTTTAAAATGACTTTCTTGTCAGTTGGATCGTGGGTATCTAGTAGAGAGTATATTTCGTCGTATTTAACGAGTTTGTTGGTCCTTCTGCCCCAGAAAGAAAGGTATCCGAACCTGAATTCCTCTGTTTCTGGATTGAATGATACTACTCCTACGAGCTTATTAAAAGTATTGGCAAAGGCCATCAGAACACACGGAGCCAAGAAGGCGAGGCCACAGACTGTAAAGTATTCTTGAAGGTCACAACTTCCCATCGTCATACGATAGGTTTCATAAGGTATCAGCGCTATACTGGCGATCGTCTGGTAAAACTTGGCACGGGCCACCATGAAGCACATTCCAATTTTTGTGAAACGGTACACTGGTATCCTAAAATAAAATGAATGCTGTAAACGGACGTTACATTTTTACATTAAATACAATTTTGTGAAGCTTTTAAAACAAATTACGTACCACTGTTCAGCATCATTCTGATATGACTGTGCACTAGTTGAAGCGAGCCTTCTGGCCGAGAATCCTCCCATTCTTTGTTTCAATTCAGCTGGACTAAAAGGATCGACCGATACTGGTTTAGCTCTTCTCCTCAAGGTTCGTTTGGATGATGATGTGTAAAATCCTCGTGTTGGCACAAGTGCACCATGCCTTTCTACTGGTTTTACTCGTTTCACAAACTCACGAATTAACAATCCGCCGGATGTCATTAAAAACGACATCTAAAAAACATTATTCAATCCAAAACGACAATCGTAAAATGTCCTTGCTTCCAAAATAATTTCATCTTTTAAATATTATTGTAGGTATACTTTTCCATCGAAAGAACGAACAAATCAAAAAACATATTGTTCCATTCCTCATTTTTATTAAACAAGTAACAAGAAGAACAACAACAATCGGCTAAAAGTAATTCCTAAACACCTGTGTCACATACCGTACCCAAAACGGTACGTAGTGGTCGGGTTTGGCCAGTAAAACATGGTCCAATGGCCTCGTGTTTTCTAATATGAAACTCTTTTCTTCATTGATCCTCCTTTTCAAGACTTCATTCCTCGTCACGATGACAAGTTGGGCTTCTAGATCTCGTGTCGTACTACGGTAACCAAAGTTACTCGAGCCTATTACAGTAGCCGTGTAGTCGTCTGTCTTCGAATTGATCCACATTCCTTTTCCGTGAAATGACCACCCAGGTTTCTGGTACTCTAATAGTCGTATCTTCCTTCCTAACTGGTTGATTTTACGGAGTAAGAGTTCCGAAATGTAAACGTATAAAGCTGGTATGTAGCCTGAGATCCCTTTAGCTTTGTGAAATCCATTCGCCTAAAGTTTGTGTATAACTGTAAATCATATTTTTTGTAGATTTCCAAAAATATATATATAATAGTATAACATTAATATACTGCCAACACAAAAATTTTATAAAAAATGTAAAATAATCATTACCTCCGGTGACGCAAAAACAATATCAATAGGACAGTTAGATTCATTGAGCATAAGATCTGAGTATTGGTCGTATAAATTTAAGTATCCGGTAGCTAAAGTAATATCCATCTCAACATCTTGTTTCCTGAATATGTTCTTCATCAGCCGTTCTTCTTCTCGAATCTTAAAAGATCCCATCTGAACTACTGGATACACTAGGGTTTCTGTTGTCTCTTGAAACTTTCCCAATTTGGATAAAGCGTCATTCGTCTTTGAGAGAAATAAGTCTTTGTAATCATCAGGTTTACCTAAAATTAGACGAACCACATTTAAGAAATCCACAACATTAATGTATAATCATTTTAAAAACTTTTAATTCGTAAAAATGATAGAATCTTACCTTTAAAAGGATGAACATCGCACTTTGGCTCTAAACTACCATCAGATTTCAATTGGAAAGAGCATGAAGAAACAGCTTCAAATAAAGTCACAAAGAAATCGACCAGTTCTGGAGAATTCTCGATAACGACATACCGATCTTGTCTGTTAGTAAAGTACGTGTCTGACAAGTTGGCGCCAGATATAATGATCGTATCGTCAAATATGAAAAACTTCATATGTTGTAATCCAACTATTTCATTTACTCTCTCTGGCATATACTTCTTTAAAATTCCACGGAGATTTGGAGTGTGAAAAAAGTAGGCCTATAATGTAAAATTGTAATTTGTGAGACCATGACTGTTATTCAGAAAAACAGCAAACGAAAACACTTTGAAGATGACATACCTCTATCTTGTCAGAAAGATGTTTCAAGATTCCAACAGAACTCTTTTCACCTCCACGAGTGCCTCTGAGATAATCAAACAACAACTTCACAGTGATCTCATCATTTTTGTTAACTCGATCTTCTAATTTTGTTACCTAAATTAAAATAAAAACTGAAAAGATGAACTTACCAAGCTTTGTTCCAATTCACCAGTGCCCAAATAAAGTGCAGAAAGATATACTCGTTTCTTGGCTGCACCTAATTTGTCCTAAAGATCATATTACAATTAATTCGTAACTTACAATTAATGTGTTATAAAACTCTTCTGGTGTTTTTAAAAAATAAATGCTTTCAGATTCCACTGAAACGCCGTGAAAGCCCTCTGTAATCGTAGATTCATTCATTTCTCATTTACTTTGCGTAAACTTAGTGCTATACTATTAAATAAAGAGACATTTTATCAAAAAAATGTCAGATTCCAATAATTTTAGAAAATAATTTCAACGCTAACAGTTGACTCATGTGTCACGTGTTTCTTCTATTAAAAAGTTTATGATTCGCTCAACAAATTTCAATATTTTTTGATAATTCACAAAGATAACAATAATATTAACTTTGATGAAAGTCTTATTAATATTAGGAATTAATTTGCTTTTTATAATCAGTTGTTTTATGCATTTATTTTTAAGTTGACAGAATTGGGGATACTTTTATATTTTTATTGAAAAACTTATTCTGAACAAGTTTATCAGAAGTTATTGATTCACTGATTTTGATTTCTTCACAACTTCCGCCATAACATCAGTTTTATCTTGGAAGTCTGATGTATGAGTCATTTTGTTTATTTCTTCATTTTCTTTTTTCATGGCTCTCAAGAATGTTTGTCGCGAGTTGGTAAACTACTTTTTTACTTCTCTTTCGGATTCAGATATCAACTTTTACATTTCAACTTTTGTTTATCTTTCAATCTTTTCAGTATACTAACTGCAAGTCCAAAGTAATGTCCGTATCTTGGGGTACTCAATATGCCAAACTGAAGACCAATCTTCGTCTTTGTGCCAACCGGCTGAAGTTGTTGCAGAAGAAGAAGACCGAAATGGCACAAAAGGCGAGGAATGAGATTGCTGACATGCTCATGAGTAAGTTTCTGTTATTTTTTGTATTTTTAGGTATAAAGATAATTTCCTTTGTGACGTTTTACAGAATGTCTTATCGCGTACTCTACTTTAAAATTGTGCCGCAACGTTTAATAGCTTGACGTTTAGATGACAAAGCCGATCGTGCCAGAATCCGTGTGGAATCGATTATCAGAGAAGATTTTGTGGTTGAAGCCTACGAATTACTGGAAATGCTTTGTGAACTGTTATTGGCCAGATTTGGAGTAATTCAGCAGATGAAGTGTGTTTTTAAGGTTATTTTATTATGGTATTGGTAATCAATGTTTGACAGTTTTAACAATATTATTTTAGGGAAATAGACGACGGTATTGCCGAAGCAGTGACCAGTATGTTATGGGTAGCACCTAGAATTTGTCATGAAGTTACTGAGTTAAAGGTTGGTTTTATACAATTTTTCTAAAAATTATAATTTTTTATATAAATATATGATTTATGAATGAATTTTAGGTAATAAGCGACCAACTGACTCAAAAGTACGGTAAACAGTTCGCTGAAGCAGCAAGAATGAACCAACTGCCAGAGCCAACTAGAGTGGCGCCAAAACTAGTCAACAAGCTGAGTATTGGAGCTCCGAACAAGTTACTGGTCGAGAAATATCTGATTGAAATTGCTAAATGTGCTGGAGTTGATTTCATTCCAGATGCCAAAGTTATGAGAGAAGATGACGATGAAATGGCAAAGGCTGAACAAAACTTGATCAACTTTGTCAACGAGGTGAGTTCTTAAGTAGTTTCTAAACACCTGTGTTAATTTAGGTATGAATGTTTAAATTATGTGAAATTTAAAATTTTGGGTGACAATAACTTTCTTTGGAGATTGCCTGTGCTGATATATAGTGCAGTTCAATGAAAGTATTTTTTTATTCTAGGACAACAACATTGGCTGGAATGTGAACGATCCTCCAGTAAACCTCCCGAACCAAATGAACTCGGTTGTCTCACCTACTAACACGTTACCTGCTCATCCAACTCCCCAACAATACTATCAGCCTCCTCCTCCCCAAATGCCGACTTCTCAAGTCCCTCACCTTCCGCCAGCCGGCTACCAGCCTCCAAACAACTTTCAGCCACCTCCACCACCTCAGCTCAACAGTGTGGCGCCAGACACTGTAAGTTCTTTCAAAACAAAGTTATCTTGTGTCAGATGTCATTTCTTTAACAAATATTATTGCAGTATATGGCACCAGCACCCTCTCACAAGAAGTCCGATGGTCAAGAACATATCTATGAGTCACCTCCAGATGCGTCTAATGGTGAGTAACTTAATATAATGACTATTTAACTGCACTTTTAACTAATTTACTTACTGTTGTACAGGCTATAATATTATAACTGCCTTTTTTAAGCTATATAGTGTTTATGTTCAGATATATTGTACGACTTTCCCGAACCTCCATCAGACTTCGGAGATGACAAGAAGAATGGTGGCGGTGGAAAGAGCGCTCCTGGCGATAACATCAACTTCGAGGACATAACTCAGCGATTTAAACGTCTGAATCAGAAGTAAATTATACTGACTGTAATTATTTTGCATATTTTACGAGTAAACTGTCAATTTTGTTATTTTTCTTTTCTTTTACTGTTTCGACCGGTCGGGAAATGAGTTCTGAAGATAAAAGCGAGGAGCATGTCACCGTCGGACAGGTATGTGTTACGTTATAGTAATTTTTTATTATGTTTTGCGTTTTGATGGTGTTTACAAGGTAATGGAAAGTATATTAAGGGCTTTTCCATTAGTTTTCTCAAAATTTAATGGTCGATTTTAACAATTTAATGTACTTTCCGGAGGTGATAAATGTGTATTTTGTATCTGTTATCTTAGACGAGGACAGTTTTACGATCACATACGTTTACAATAGCAAAAAACAAGAGTTAGCACTTGTAAAACGAACAAGTCGCCAAAAATCAAACATTTTTTTAAAAATTTTACAGAATTTTGTTAAATTGTACTTAAACCATTTCGTCGTATTTTCAATGAGTAATACATAATATAAATATTATTTTGTTAACAATTTTAGCGTGTTTCAGGTTCTACGTCAATATCTTCGGCCATTTGACACACCCGAGTACTACTACCAGTTCCCGAACTCATACAGTTATGAATAAACTTACTTTGTCTTATTTGGTCGGCTATTTGATGTGAAGGATGTGTTGGTTTTACTTGGCTGTTAGCTTTACATAACATATTTTTGTTTGATAATTATGTTGTGGTCAGAAAGTTTTTAGTTTTGTCTAGAATACTAGTTTTGTTTGCAATTTGCACACTTTGGTTGTAAACCGTACAAAAATATTGTAAAAGGTCTAACCTGCTCATTGTCACACTTTAATACTTCAAAACTTACTATTTCTGGATGTTTGTCATAAGTTTAGACATCTAAGCAAGATTAACATAAACAAGATCAACCCACCAATCGATCACAAATATTGTTACAGGGTATGCTGTCGTTAAAACTGAACAAAGAACTGCACTTTGGCGAAACACTGTATGGGTCGATAATCACCCCTATCAGTCGGTTAATTACTCCTTATCGTAGTTGTTTTTTGTCGCAAAAAACACTGTGTCTTATCAGTGGAAAAGACTGTAAAAGATGCTACAGTAACCTTTTACTGTTGTTTTATGACAGACAGTTTGTGTCACAAGATACCGTGCTGGTTTGCAAAGTGATTGTAAAGATGTAGTTGATTGTTGGAGTTTTAAAACTGAATATTGTGGAAGTATCGTTTTAATATTGGTTCGATTGACATAAATCATATACGATTGAAAAACTAGCATTGTTAAGGTCAAAAAGTACGTAGAATAGACGTTATGAGCATGTTTTCCTCTTTGTAAACGTACTTTTACTTTTGACAATTTTAGGTAACAAATAGTATAGTTTCAGTAAAAGCTTAAGTTACACTGCAGTCAGTATACACTGTAATTTTGTTTTAAAATCGCAGTATTAAAATTTAACAAGTAAAATACTCTAGTTCACGTTAAAGCATCGTCTGCCATAGTTCAATACAAAATTTTAGTAAATCAGTTCAAAAGCTCAACAAAAACAGACGACCTTGTTGTTGTTCCACCAGTAGCCGACGTTGATAACAAAATTATAAATAAATGTTAATAAATCATTTTCGATCTGAGTCAGCATTCAATAATTCAAGATTGGTGCTTATCATTCCACCATCTTCTCCCTTGTTTTCGTGTTCGTTGGACTGGATTAATCCCATTCCCAAAAACAAACAAAAAGAAACATTGTAGTAGGGAGAAGGCGATACTGTAGGTTTAAAAAAATACATAGAAGGCAGAAATTGAGTACAATATTATAGTATTCATCAAACGTACTGTATAGACAAAAATGTTGTTTCATAGTACAATATAGGTCTAAAAGTACCAAGAATTGTCTTGAGCACGTGTTGTTTATTTTTATTTTGAATTGTCTATTTATTCACAGGCCAGAGGGTTCCTTTTTTCAAGTGTAACAAGTTATAATATTTGCTATATAATGTATCAGAATCTTGGTACTCGTGCCCCAACAGTCCCAAGCTCAGTGCTATGAAAGTTGCGAAGAAAAAAGAAGGAGCTTCTGTCCGCTGAATCCAATCACGCCATTAACGTTCTCCGGGCTTATCACTAACTCCGCCCGAGCACAATTCGATTATAAAAGTGATTCTAGGCCAGTCCGTTTAATTTTTGGGTGGGAATGACACTTTTTTTGGAAATATTACAATAAATATACGTAATACTAGAATATCTTTTTGGTTTAGATTAACGAAGACTAGTGGGTCAAAATGAAAATATTTTTTTTATAAAAGATTTCATGATCCACTAATTAACAGTACCAATAGCTAAGAAATTTTGACATGTTGGTACACTTCACAGCACGTTCAAGTATATTGTGCTCATACAACCCAAAAACAGCCGCTCCTCCGCGGAATTAGAAGCCCAATTAGGTACCGTAGGCTAGTTTCAATTAAATCGAGTAGATTTAGGCCATAAAAGCGTGGCTTTAAAACGCGGCCCGTCTGGAATGCTGGGCGAAGAGAGCGGATGACTGTGATAAGATGTGATGGACAGTTCAGATGATCGCCGGAATTCGGGCAAAGTCTCCAATCTTATCAGTATTTTAATTGCAATGGCGACGCCGTTCGGAAGTAATTTTAGCATCGTTTTTTGCCCTCCGGGTCTTAACCTTGTAATCAAATTATTTGCGACTTCAAACTTTTGTTCATAACTCTTTTTGTTTGAGGTTGGGGGTTGTTTGTAGTACTTTGGGTTAGTCGTAATGTAAATAGAAAGTTAGAAAAATGTTGTTTGTATGTTACAGTATGAGGATGTTTATTTTTGATCGAATTAGGAATAATAATAAGTCATTGTGACACTTTCTGCGTCATCAAGCTACCGTTCTCGCCGAGATACTTCTCTTTACTACACAACTGTCTACAAGTCAAACAATGTCATTCTTCTTATAACAGTAGTGCTCTTCTTACCGCATCAGCAACATACGAAACAGTAGAGTAATAACGTTTCCCTCCGCTCTCACCGACAGTTCAAAACACGTTTGGCAATCGCGGCACTCAAAGGTGTTGCCTCCGGCGCTCCTCATATTCATCATCTGAAAGTGGTGGGCTCCGATTTCATTCCCATCATTAATCTTCTTGGCCGTTTATTCTACTCTTCCATACATCACGTAACAAGATACATCAAGTAACACGATGTCGGTTTCATAGTTTACAGACTTGTATTTAGATGGGTTTTGTAATTCACAGCGTAATTGGGGGTTCGGACCCACAAGGTTATTTATGTGTTAGAGGTATAAGAGGTCTGGGGGATATTATTCTGAGGTAAATTATATTTTTATATGAATTCCGTTTTATGGGAAATTTTAACTTTAATTGCATTATGACTAGTCTGGTCCAGAGCTTTGTAAATGAAGATTTGGAACTGTTTTAAAATAAAAAATAATTTTTAATAAATTTTCTATTTAATTCATGACCATGATTTTTGCCGTCTTAATTCCTTGTTTAAAACTTATTTATGATTTGTGATCAAAAAGTTTGTAGAACTGCTTTACACGGCCTTCTGCTGTGTCTTTACGCACGTTTTCTTAAATTTATCAAAATTATATTAATTTAGACTTTTACATTAAAACAGTATCAGTTTAAAATGCTTATATTGACCCAGTTCGTCAAGTTATCTGTGCTTTTCTGACCTTTGACAGAACTTTAAAGTTCCTTAATGGGTCAAAACTGCTGAAACTAACTTCCAAAAACACCGTTCCTCTTCAACCCTAACGTGATCGAACTACCGTTCCCTCCTCAGCAACCCAACCCTTCGTCGATGGAAAACGTTGACGGGATTGTGGCCCGAAAGTTATTGCAGAGATAGGTGGGGGTGATAACGCCAACCAGTCGAACCCCCACCTCTACCTCGCCGCTTATTATCTGATTCTCTTCTGGAGTCGTCCCTTGCAAACCTCTTGACTCAGGCAATTTGCCTCTCAACAATTGTTTGTACATCTCGTCGTATCTCGTGACCTTGTTTGTTGGCTTCATCGTGGGGCCCGTGTAGCGGCGTCGGCGTCATATTTGTGGTAATTGCGCGTGGTTATCTGGTAATCAGTCTACCGGATCCGCTTCTTAGGCATTCACGCTCGTTAAACTCTCTTTATTCAATTTGAGTCTGCGCGGTATATAAAGCAAGTGTACGTTAACATGAAGCTGTTTTGATGTGGACCCAGGGGTACTGTACTTTTTGGTCGAATACCATATCAAATTAAACTGTCCTTATGACGTGTAACCACTTATATATTTTAAACTGACTCAAAAGCTCTCAGAATATACCGCATGGTCAGTTCCAAGGTGCTGAGAACATTGAAGATTTTTTAAAAATAATAGTTTTTTAGAACTATTCAGTACAATAAGTATGAATAGTTTTGAACAACGTACTACTTACATACTTGGCTTTGAAACCTTTTTGCATGAACTAGTACTATCTCTAAAATTTTTGTCCTATTTACTATAGATTATATGTTTTTCAATATTCTACTCGCGCTTCTTGGTATTATACGTATTTTCATTTAATGGTACAACTTTCAGCCAACATGATTTCAACAGAAGAACCGAGCTTGAGTTATGCCCATGGCGCTTCTACCGTTCCCTTAATCTACGATACTATCGGCGAACGGCTAAGAAAGGCTGCCAGAGAGGTAACAATTACATTTTAGTTCTCTCCACATACTTTTTGACCAATTTGTATAAGTTGGCCTTCCGGTTACTTAACACACCTAATTCTCTACCTCAATATATACATACGTCCACTTATTTCTGTGATTCAAACATAATGGTTTATTATTGTCTATACCTATGTTAATATAATTGCAGCACCCAGACAGAGAGTTCGTGATCTTCAAGAAGGAAGGCATTCGCAAGACCTACAAACAAGTACTCGATGACGTAAGTTACTGTTACTTTTGGAGTAAAAAGTAGCGCTACACTCTTATCTCCGCGAAAGTCTGCTAATAACTGGTCTGTCAATCTAATAATTGTTGACAACTTTCGTCACTACCCCAAATTAAAGTTCAAACTGTTGTGACCACGTAAGGTATTATAGTCAACAGTTTGCATAAACTACAATAATATTATCATAAAGTCAATAAGGGCTGATAAAATACTGTTTTAGTTTAAAACATGGCTGATATAGACATTTTTACTTACACTAAACTTTAAAATGTACCCCTTACAGCTAAACACACGTTACAGTAAGACCGTTTCAGTGTGAAAAGTTGGCCCTTGGGCTGATTCATTTGGGACTGGAGAAGGACGACCGCGTCGGCATCTGGTCCCCGAATCACTACGAATGGATTGTCACTCAGTTCGGCGCGGCGTTGGCTGGCCTGATCCTAGTCAACGTGAACCCCATGTATCATTCAGAAGACCTGGCCTACGCCATCGACATGGTCGGCATCAAAGCGCTGATCGCACCACCCAGCTTCAAACGGTCCCAGTACTACAAGACTCTGTGCGAACTCATCCCTCAACTGGTCGAGATGCCTGAGGGCAGGAGCGGACTTCAGTCAAACGAGTTCCCCAAACTAAAGCACATCATCATCTTTGATTCAGAAGGCAAAAACCACAGGTAAAAAGCTTATCGTGAATAACATTTCACTTTATGATTTGATCAAAAATATCAAAAAATTAATAAATGAACACCTACAATATAATAGTAATTAATGTATGCTTCAGAGGAGCCTGGAACTTCAAAGATGTTCAGAAACTAGGCACAGACGACGATGTCCGACGTCTAGCTCTTCGTGATGTTCAGCCAGATGATCCAGCCAACATTCAATATACTAGTGTAAGTCAATAGCATGTAAAAACAGTGTTCTACGCACTTTTAGACCAACAAGTGTATATACTCCAAACAACTCTTTCAAAAAATAATTTCCAATTTAGGGTACCACCGGAAACCCGAAAGGAGCCACCTTGACCCACCACAACATCATGAACAATGCTTACCTTGTAGGTCGTCGTGCTGGCTACGGCGATGCCCGTACCATTATCTGTATCCCCAACCCCCTGTACCACTGCTTCGGCTGTGTGATGGGATCTTTGACTGCTCTGATGTTCAACCAAACCTGTGTCTTTCCGGCTCCATCGTTCGAATCTGGAGCTGCTCTGCACGCTCTTCATGAAGAACGATGCACAGCGTGCTACGGTACGCCCACAATGTACATTGACATGTTGAACCATCCTGACTACCCAAAGTTGGACTTGACATCAATTAGGTCTGGTATCGTGGCTGGAGCTCCTTGTCCTGAAGCACTATGCAAAAGACTAGTTAACGAATTGGGAATGACTGGATTGCAGGTAGGCACATCTACTGTGATTTTTATTGATAAGTAATATTCTGAATCCACAATAGTCAACTTTTACATACCTTTATTTAACACAATGTCGTAGGTATGCTACGGAACCACAGAAACCTCCCCAGTATCCTTCATGAGCATCGTAGAAGACGAACCTCTCGATCGTATCAAGAACGTTGGTCACATCATGGACCATCTGGAAGCCGTTATCTGTGACGAACACGGCTCTTGTGTTCCACGAGGAGAGCGTGGTGAACTTCTTGTTCGAGGTCACAGCGTGATGCGAGGCTACTGGCAAGACCCTGAACAGACTCGTCTCAGTATCACACCTGACAGATGGTACCATTCTGGAGATATTGGCATCATGCATCAGAACGGCACGGTGTCAATCGTGGGAAGATCCAAGGATATGATTGTCAGAGGTGGAGAGAACGTTTATCCAACAGAAATCGAACAGTTCCTGATGAGGCATCCCCATGTTGACGAGGTTCATGTCGTTGGAGTACCAGACGATCGCTTCGGAGAAGCTGTTTGTGCTTGGGTGAGGATAAAGAGAGAATACGCACATCTGAACGTGAACAGTGATCACATCAAAGATTTCATGAAAGGAAAGGTAAGACTTGTTCAATAGGCTAAATCTGTTGCAACCAAGGCACTACTTTTCATATTACAGTAGATAACAAAATCAAATTCCAGATCGCTCACTACAAAATCCCCAAGTACATCTTGTTCAAGGAGAAGAACGAGTTCCCGATGACCGTGACTGGCAAGATTAAGAAGTACGAGATGCGAGAACAGTCTACCTGGGAGCTGGAGCTGATGGGGGTTCAGTCGCACTTCAACAAACTTGGGCAATAACTTTAACTTAAACGGACTCAAAGCTTACAGACTTCTTATCTTATACATAGTATTGGGGCCACACTCATTCGCTGTACATCTTGTGACAATAGATATTTCAATAAATATTTAAATATATCCATTAATAAACATCAGTTCGACACATTTCTAAGTATGATTAAACCAGTTTACTCGAAATAATTGAAATGTTTGTCATCCTTTACATCAAATATATATAATAATAGGTAGTGAACAAAGGTTTCGCTCTTTTTTAGTCAATTTTACTAAAAATGAAGCTCAAACCTTGTCTTCTACCACAAAATAATAAATTAGAATTTCTTGAGCCACTTTGGAAGCGAAGGTCCTGAGTTTGGTGATCGTACATTAGCTGGTCCATCCTTCCGTTTGTTACCCGATTCCAAACTGAGTGGATCTACCAGAAACAACTCTGGTGTGTAATTCAAATTCTCTGCCAACCAGTTAGTAGCGTCTTCTGTGGCTTCCTGTTCTGAGGTCTGTTTGACTTTGTTCAAGTTTAACAGCGATTCTGCAATACATTCAGTTATACTTTGACCCTTAGGATTAAGAACAACAACATATTGTGCTAAAATTAACCAATGAAATCCTTAAAAAACAATTGTTTACAATCATTGAGAAAAAGATTTAAAACTTACCGTTAAAAGGCACCTTCCACTGTACCGTTACAGTACTTCTAGGAGCTAAGCCTTCGTCTATCAAATCCTTTTTGGAGCTCCTTTCCAGCTTAACCACAGCAATCAATCCAAATTGATTTGTCCCGACAAATTCATTAACAAAAGTGAACAGATTTGCAACTAAAAGAACAAAAACCATTACCAATGTAAAATTTAGTATTTCAAACTTAAACTCTATCAAAGCCAATCCAAAAAACAGTTAACCTGCCTGGCTCAAGAGAATTAAACCGTGCTTGGAGAATAAACTTTTCTGTCAACTTGATTCTGATCACGGTATTCTTGTAGGCCTTCATCTTGCTCTTCTTGTTTCTGTTTTCGATAAACGAGGAAGGTAACAAGGATTGTTGTGTAGACTTCTTAACCTGTTCTCTCAGATCCTTCTGCATTCTTTTGGCATCTTCTACAGTCAGGTCAAAGAAACTGTCATCAACTTCCGTATTAACATCTTTATCAGCTACAGCAAAGATGCAAGCGTTTCTTTCCGGAGGGGTTACATCTGTAATTCGATTCTGGCTTTCTTCTAACCGTATGAGATCTGCTATAGTTGCTACTGGTTGATCTGGAAACTAAAACAAAAATATAAAGTTTAGTACAACAAAAAATCACAAATAACAATAGCGTTATATTAACATACTAATAAAACTTTAACTTACTCTAAAGTTAATAAACTCAAAAGGCTGTGGAGGGGGTGGGTTCAAAGTTATGTTCCCAGAGTCAGTCAACAACCTGTCAGCTACATCATCTACTCTACCGTGATTCAAACTGTCAGTCACGGTCGTTAACACTGATTCTAGCTGGCACAATCTAGAATTTTCACCAGATTCCTGAACAGACGCTTCCCTCCTAACTTCAGGCTGAAATTCAGTAGTATTTGAAGGTCCAGAAGCTACGTTAACAACATTATTAGAAGCTGTTTCAATCTGCTTCAGATGCATTTCTTCAGTCCGTTGTAGCACATCGTCTTCGTACTGCTTCTGAAGCTGTAACCTTTTTTCATTCTCTAATTTCTTAGATTGGAACACTTCTTCGAGTTTCTGTTTCTTCTGTAACTCTAACTCGTACTCTTGTTGAATCTTTGCTTTCTCTTCTTCGCTCATTTTGACTACTAGGTATCTGAATAACACTCGTCCTTCCACTCCAATCGACTTCAGAGTAGTCTGTGACAATGCCAATCGACCTTTAAACTAAAAAAGGTTGTTATTTTAAGCAAAAAATCTTAATAAGGAATAAATATAGTCAACTACATAAAATATAATATAACTTACAGTCTTGTGCATAAAAGAAACAGCTGGAACTGAAACTTCATCAGCAAATTTTGTCAAATGAACTTGATGAATTTGTTCCGCGTTTTCCAACACTTGCAACAGTGTATTATCTTTCGTATACTCGGCTTCAAACCTTCCGTTAGGTGTCTAAACAAATCATAGTATTAAATATCACATTACAATACCTAAATTTCAAAAAATAAACAAAGAATACCTGTAAAGCAATTCTAATTGGTTCATTCCTTGTCTCCGGCTTCTCAGCTAAATCTAAATGAGCATTGTTCGGTAGCCCTAAAAGGCGAAACGGTAACGACAAGTCGATGAATTTACGTTGAAACAGTAAACCGTAGATGTCTGCATCATAGCCTTGCTTCAGACATGTTTCGGTCAATACCTAAAAAAACAAATTTAGTATCTAAAATATCACTTAATACAGAAAATACACAAATGTCGAGTAATATCACAAATATGCATTACAACTTGAATACCAATAATAACATATTATTCATGTGATAGTTTTTACCTCTTTCATACACTGTGCCGGCGACACAGTCACTCGGCATTGTCGCGCATTTGGAAGAAATACAGTTACACTTGTCATCAAAAACCGGCTTTTTGAATTCAAGAAATTTCGAAAAAGAAAATTTTATTTATTTTTCGTTTGTGGGCGAAGTGTCACACCCAATATTATTGACTTTTCTTAAAAAGGGCTCTGATATCTTTTTGAGAGCAAGAATAATGTCGAGGCCTACTGATGGCGGGAAAACGCGTTCGAATCAAGTAACGTGCAATTTTAACATTATTTAGCCTGTAATGTATCATATATTTTTATATTTTGAAAGGTCAGATGCTTTAATTGATTGTGGGCGGCTGGCTGATCGGCCTAATATCTTTTTTCTTTTCATACCTATATCTTTCGCTTTATCCTCTCCACCTCCTCGTTTCCGACTTTCGAGTGAATGTTTTAGTCCTTGTCCTTTTATAACGTTGGGTGTTGTGATTAATTGGTCTTGTTTTAGCCATGACCATGTCCGAGAACGAGATCATCGACTCGTCGCCAGAACCAGAAGACTCTATCGATGAAAACGTGAGTTTTAAAGAGTTCTTTTGTATTTTCTGATTTTAGTTTATAAATTTCTCAGTGGATGCTCTTCGACATGTCTCTAAAGATTCAGACGACGCTACAAAGTTCGCAGAAGTGGGTGCTCAGTACAATATGTGCTTCAAGATGCTCAAAAGTGACTCCAGATTGGTCAAGTCAGTTTTGTTCAGTTATGGGTTCATTCAGGTAAGAAGTCTGTCAAGGTTAGGTTACGTTTTAGATGTTTTTATTAAAAAACGAATGTATTATGATGTATCTTTTTAGTGTTCCTCCAAAAACCAGAGCTTTAACGTGTTCTGGACGAACACCCACTTAAACACCAACTCTATGCGACAGCTGAGATCTTGGTAAGTGTTTTTACAAACGTTTTTAAACCGTTTCTTGTTTTTTATATAATAATTGTGGTACGTAAGTTTTAGGTATTAAAACTTTTAAAATGTTTAGTAAACCAGTTGAAAGTATTTTCTTTTTAGGTTTTGATTTTAAAAATGATTTTTTTTATTTCTAGGCAACGAGTGAATCACTTTCCGCGAAGCTTTTTAATAACGAAGAAGGATGATCTTTACAAGAATATAAGGGCAGCTCAGGCTCAATATGGGGAAGATCTTTTTGATTTTGTAAGTCTACTTTTGATATATTTTATGTTTTTAGATGCCTGAATCTTATAACAGTCCATTGAACGAAGAAAAACGGGAAACGTTGAAGAAGGAGATCATAAAGGCTAAGGATACTGGATGTTCGTTTATCTTGAAGCCATCAAACTCTTCCAGAGGGCGTGGGATAGTGTTCATGTCAAAGCCAGAAGATGTAAGTAGTGTATAGTTAAAAATAGTACATTCTTAATATTGATATAAATATTAAAAAGCTTTAATAAAGGATTGATGTTATAGGTAGATGAAGTTCAAGATACGGACAAAGTGATCATTTCTCGATACATTTCGAATCCTTACTTAGTCAACAAAAAGAAGTCTGATCTTCGAGTGTATGTCGCAGTCACTTCATTCTATCCTTTGATGGCGTACATGTACACAGATGGACTAACAAGGTTTGCAGTAGAAGATTATGACAATGATGGTAATGGACTGTCAGAAGAAGCACAACTAACCAATTACTCTCTTCATAAGACTAACGACAAGTTTGTAAAGTAATTGTTACTTGAATTGTTATACCGTCATTTATTATCTAAAGTTTTGGTTTTTGGTAAATTTATTACCTAAATTTCGTCTTTTTTACGTATTATTTGCAGAAATACTAATACATCATCTGAAAGTCTGGGTCACAAATGGACACTTGGAGCAGTGTTGAGGCACATGAAGAAGGACGGGAAAGACACAGATTGTAAGTTGCAAAGTTAATTTTTAACCTAATTTAGTGTTGATTGCAAGGATAGAGGACGTTATCATCAAGACATTACTGTCGATACAACGAGTTGTCGCCAGTACTTGTAAGAAACTGAATGTGAATCCAAAATCGTGCTTCGAATTGTTTGGCTTCGATATTCTAGTGGATGACAATATGAAGCCATGGTTGTTGGAAGTGAACCTGTCCCCTAGTTTGGCGTGGTAAGTTTTTAAAATTTTGGTCGGCAAGCATAAAAAACTTTTTGATGCCTAAAATTTTAATGTTTTTTGATTTCAGTGACGCTCCGTTAGATTCTATTATTAAGACTCATCTGATCTGTGACACTCTCAACCTGGCCTGTGTCCCACTTGTCTTGAAGAAGAACACTGGAGTTACAGCTCTTATGGGTACTGTAAATAATCCGATCGTCGATGAATTAGCTGAATTGGCTTCAAATGCGTCAATCACCAGTGATTCAGCTGCCGTTTCTCCTGCTACAGTGGATTCTGGGTACGATACTCATTCAGCGACAAGTGATAACAATCAGACATCAGAAGAAAAGCCAGTACGGGTGAATTCAGTCAAGCGGAAGCCTTTGAGGAAGAACAATCTCAGAGCAATCAAGATGAAGAAGGCACAGCAACTGGTCAAGGTGGGTCTTGTTGATATTATCAAAATACTGTATAAGTTAACATATTTTTATCACGTATGCCACACTAACACTAGTCTCACATGTGTATATCTGTTTTATTTTAAAGTCTCATGGCGTGCAGTTGATTGTTTTCACACATGTAGTAATAACTCAGAGCCATATGGTTCATAAAACCTTGTTTTAGCCAAAAACACCAAGCGGCGATGGACCAACAGACTCGAAGGTGGATTTGTTTGAGCGAAAGATCAGAAACGAGGAGAACAGATTGGGTGACTTTGTCAGAATATTCCCCCGCCCTGAAAGTATGATACTCTACGGTTCCATAGTTGAATGTACGGGGCCAGAAAAGTGGGACCAACTGCTCCATGAAAGATTGTATGGCAATGAATTGGAATGCACTCATCAAGAATACTTGACAGCACATCAGGAACTTGCAATGGCCAAAAAGGTAATTCATTTTTGGATATTATGATTAGGGACTTTAAATTAAGCTCCTATTAGTGGTTGAAAATGTTCTTTATATAGCGTTAATAAACTGTTATTATCTTCAGTATCCCACAACATCCAGTCTAAGCACAGTAACAAGGAAACGGTTCTTGGAATCGTCTCTCCGGACGGCACACAAATACCTGGAACCCTTCTACGAACATGAGACCGAACCTTACCCAGGTAACCAACTTTTTTATGAATTTATATTTTATATGTAACCTTATTATTATAACACTTTAATATTATTGTAGCCGCCCTACCCAAGCTCCGTCCCACGGCACGGAGACGAACCAGAAGCCAGCTGGACTTTGATATAAAACGACGAGCTGAAGTAATGGAGGCCAGAGAGAAGGCCGGCTTCATCTAATAACTTGTTAATCTCCAACCTTGTTACGTTTCTCAACTCATCTTGTAGTGCCGATTGTATTTTGTTATCCTGAATATTATACTTCCTATAGAGTGTCCTTACCTCTTCCCCGAAATCAAGAAGTCGTTAAGATTGTTGTTGGTTTCAGGCGTTACCATGTTGAATAAACTCTGGGTCTTTTTCAATTGTTCTGTTGGTTTCAACGTCGTTTCGGCTACAGGTACTACGTCTGACTTCTCTCTGAAATGTTTAAAAAATTGTATTGAGCCAAATTATAATATGTGGAAAATTACGCGGAATTGACTTCTTATGCACAATTTAAGTTTAGTTTTTGGCTTTTTGACCAAGTTGGCAAAACATTAACGGTTTTTATAAAAATTACCGTACTTTAACAGCTTGAAATCCATGTAGCGTTTGACGGCCGAACTCTTCTCGTTAGCGATCTGAACTGCCAGAGGATTCACACGGACTGCCAAATGTGGACGTGCCACCTTTTCAGTAGCTACTCCATCGTTCTCGTCCACCTGTTCGTTGTTGTTGTTACTCCGTATCACAACTTCAGAATCCAGCTCCTCCAGGCCTGGCAGTTGCTTCTTGATGTAGTCGCTGTAGACTCTTCGAGCAGTTACTGGATTTTCAGAACAGTCCAGCGATTTCAGATTCTTCAATTCTTTCAGACTCTTCATGGCAGCACAAGAACTTATTCTGAAAATGTTGGGCTACAATAATATTAAGTATAATAATGTGGTAGAGTAGATATAAAAGAATATTGTCGTACTTGTTTTTGGAAACATTCAAAGTGATAAGATTAGGCAAAGTAAGCCCCTCCAAGTCTTTGAGGTCGTTCTCAGACAGATCCAGCTTCTTCAAGTGCTTCAGATTCTTCTTTCTAATCACTTTGATGTCGTTTCCACTCAAATCCAACGCTTCCAAGTTTTCAAAATCAAACAAAGCTGCATCAAATCGCGACAACTTGTTGCCAGTCAGTATTAATCGCTTGAGCTGAGGCAGCTTTTGGAGTCCGATTCTGGCAACCGACTGACACGTAAGGTTGTTTGAGGACAGATCTAAGAGCTCCAACTTTGGTAGTATCTGAAATTGTGTGTAACATGCTGTACCGGTTAAGATAATTAGGAAAAATATCAATGTAATAATTTATTTCTTACTTTTGGAACACTATCAGTAGTTAAAGACAATATCTGGTTGTTGGAAAGGTTTAGTTGGACAAGATTTGGAAGATGAGCCAATTCGTACAAGTGTTGTAGATGATTGTCGGACAAGTTTATTGTAGTAACGTGTTGCAATCTGATAAAAATTTGTAAAGAAAAGTTGCTTTTATGTTAATTACGTTACAAGCTTTAACACAAACTTTATGAGTTGTATTACCGAATATTGTACTTACATGTCAAGTCCGTTCCTGATCAAAGCAATCATGTGGAATTGGTTGTCGCTCAAATTAAACTCTGTATCTTTATTCAAATTTTCCCCAAATTCCTTTTGCAAAAAGTCCATGGTCAATATCTTTCCAGCTTTCCTGACCACTTGTCCTGGCTGTTCTGAACTTGCACTTTCTCCATTCTCGGTTTTTGTGGTAGACGTGCTATTTAAAATGACATTCTTGTAATTGTCTTCATCGGCCAAAGGATTTCCGACCAAATCGACGAATCGAAGGTTCGGTAGTTGCTTAAAAGGTACGTTGCGATTATATGACAGCAAACTTAGGATTACCTGTAGGACGTCCACTTCTGTTTTGTCCTTCAGGAGGTTATCAGTTATCAGAAAAGTTTGCAAAGTTTTTAGTTCCTCGATTCCTTTGATTGACTTTATTTTGTTATGTGACAAGTTAAAGTAGGTCAAATTCTAAAATTACGTTAACAGTAAAGTACTCAACATGTACCATATCACAATAAATTTACTTTCACCGTGTTGTATTACAATACCTGTAATTTCATGCAAAAGCCGATAGTTGACAATTGGTTTTGTGCCGCCTTGAGGCCTGTCAATGTCCCTGGCAATTCATCAATCTTGTGAACGTTGTTATGAGAGACATCCAAAAACAGTAGTTTCTCCAAGGCCTTTACCCTTTTAATACTTGAAAGCTTGTTACACGCTAGCGACAAGTATCGCACATTTTCTAGTTGTTCTATGCCGTCGAGAGTGTCGATTTGTAGTCCTTCCAAGTTTAAAGTGACTATTTTATCCTAAATTAAAGCATAATTAAAAAAAATTAAAGAAAGTCAAAGGCAAATAGAAGGAGTCATACTGTAGTAGGCATTACTAGTGTTAACTATTTACTTTATAAAATTATTATTAGATACTTTTTTAAAAAACTTACAAAAACTGAAGGATTCTGCAAATTCATAGGCTTTGTGTAAGCCAAAGACAACTCCGCAGGATTCCGCAGGCTTAGCTCTTTACCAGTCCAAATAGGCCCGTCCAGTCTGTACCTTCCAGCACTTAGTTTGTCGCTTATCACATCTAAAACCTTGACTTCTCTAACAATAAAAAACCTTATTTTGTCCTACTGATTCGTCTTGATGACTTCTTGATTCTCCTGGTCTCCTTCGTCTTCTGTAGCTTGTTGTTGTAGAGGCGCTACTATCTTCTCCAACTTCAATTCGATGCCAAGATCTTTGAGTTTCTTTACTTGATCATTGATGTGTTCATCGAAATGATGAAAGTTTTTCAATTCTTCAAAAGATGGCCACGATGAACGTTGCAGCTCCATCACGCAAAGGCCGACCAGCTCCATTTGATTCCAGGTGAAACCGTCTTCTTTGCCTATAATATTAAGATTTTCAAAGACTGTTAAAATACAACAATATATACCTTGTAATTCAAAGTTGTTACCGTTTGCATCGTCAACTTCTTTTATTTTAGGTTTCTGGTCCTTTTTTAATTTTACTACTGGCCATATACATGTACATAACTAAAAAGGCTATAAGCAATAACGAAGTCATTTGAAAGAGATCGGCATGAATGTCAGTAATTTTATCGCCATGTCTTACATTTTTTTGCTGATAAAACGGTAAATTTCATTGTAAAAAGTCGATTGGCATTCCATACTGATCCCCTAGTTACAAAAACCCTACCGTTTTATGATTTTCGCCACACATGGCTGACAAATCTTTGACTAATTTAAAGGTCCCTTCGCCATCCGAAGCCAGTCTTTGATTACCAACGTCAACAAAGTCAGCAAAGTCCCACAAAGGACTGTCAGAAGACTGTAGAAAGTGTAGTTCTTTCATTTCAGTCTTATTCAGGGGCGTCAGACTAAACATGACTGCCGTTTTCACCTTCATTTTTGGTTCCTCTACGGTACAGAACGATTGAAAAGTGTGCTCAAGGTCCAAAAGTTCTGTCTTTGTGGCTTCTCGTGCAACTGTTCTACCAGCGCTTTCCATTTGCCAAGATGGCAGTAGGTAGCTGGATACGTAGAAGACTTCTCGTTCACATTTTATGCACCCAACTGAAAGTAATTATTTACTTTCAATTATATATACATTATGCCACAAATAACATAGTTGTCGTACCTATCGAGTTACTGAGGGATTTCAACTTCAACTGATACAAGTCTTGCAACTTGAGTGTCAATTCTCTTCGACCTTCCTTCTTGGATACAGCAGCAGAAGCTTTGTTTAACGCATTGATGAATGAAGTTAACTTCTCCTTAATTTTAGCTTCGTTCTTTCTTATCGTATCTAGTTGTTGCACCATCTTACGTGCTTTTGTAATCATCTTGTTAATCTCCAATGCCGCTTTCTTCTCAGCTTTCATCTACAACAGTAACTTTGTAAAAAAGTAGTTAGAACTATGCTTACCGTGTAGTTGTTAACAAAGTTTTCGTTTAACTGATCGCCATCAAGATACTCCAAAAACGGAAAATGGAAAGTAAGCCAAACTATTTGGTCTTCGTCCTTGATCAAGCAGTTCGAAGGATATTTGTCATTACAAATATTCAACTGTCTTAATATGCCGCAACATGACAAGCCTAACAAACTCTGCAATTTATAAGATCCCACTGCTTACAATGTTAATGTTGTTTTAAAAACGTTTGTTTACCTGCAGAAGACATAAAGTACTTCCAGATATATCCAGCAATTGCAGTTTAGAAGGCCACTGAGATATTGACATAGCCAAACAATCGTTGAACTGATCTCCACCAACTTTTAAAGTACTTAAATACTCAATATCTTTCAGAAACTACAAACAGGTCGAATTATTACCTACACACAGCGAACTTACTTGCAAACTAGTCAAACGATTGTCCTGAATCCACAAAACTTCGAGCGATTTCAAGCTACTGAGAAGACTGGCATCTGATATTTGATTACTGTACAAGTACAACTTCCTAACTTTAACACAAGTCTCTAGTCCACCCAGATCAGACAAGGTACACTCACAAATCCAAAGTTCTTCCAAAGTTTCAGAGACCTCAGATATAGGGCTAATATTCTGTATCTCTTGGCCGACCAGTCGAATTGTAGTCAGGTGATCAAAGTAACGTAATCCAACCAAAACAGGTAACCCCCCAAAGAACATTTCCAGTAACTCGTAATCAGTGGCCACAGTCTTAAGCTTGTCCATCTCAATGCCATTGGAAACACACAATGCCTCCAAGTATTTGAAGTAACGACCCTTGAGGTTCTGTTCCTTTCGATCGCCTGATAAAGACATCACAAGTTTGCAAATACACTAGAAGTCACATAAAAATACTAAACTTTTGCATTTTGGTCTTTGTTTAAACGAGTGTATATCCGGTTTACATTTGAACATGTTTCATGGCCTTTCTTCATGTTTTAGGTCTTTTCAATTTGCCCCGAAATGAAAGTAATTCAAATTATCTTTCCAAATATTATGAACCTTAAATTTAATGAATTTTAAATACTTACTTGCAAGAAAATATGACGAGAAACATAAAAAGGAAAGCTTAAAATCCAATTTTCAATTTTGTTTTCAAATCCGGCGCGGAATCTGCCTTATCCGGCCGAGACCTACCGTATTTCCGCGCCAATAGGTTCTTTGAAATTGAGAAAAACAATTTTTTGTGTTTATTTTAGTTTTCGGACGAACTTCGCCCAAAATGGCTTCTGTGTGGTCAAAAACTCCCGTCTCACCGGGATCCAGTCAATTGGAGCATCTCAATGAACACCTCAGCAATGCAACGGTAAGCACAAAATTCTTTGCGGTCGATTTTTATTGTTTTTTTGAGCCAATCTGATAAATTTTTGACATTATGATACTTGTTAATATCATTTTGTTTGAGTTTTGTAATTTTTGATGTTATGATCGCTCGTATTTGCTACTTTAAACATTTTATATTGTTTGAAGTTGGTTCTTGTCATTTATGGATATTTGTTGCCTCTTTATATTGTTTTAGGCGTACGACTTCTTCAAGCACTACGACTCTAACAACGCTGACGGCTATCGGGCACGAAAAAGGACTGATCTGACCCTTGACATCTCTTGGAACGCTGAAAGTGAGATTGTCTTCTATCGCGATGGCATTCCCCATTCTGACGATTCTGGACTGATTGATCAAGGTACTCAGACGGACATGGGCCTTTGTTTCGACGACAAGCACCACCACCTTGAGAACTATTGTGTAAGTTACATATTATTTTTGTTTAGGTAGAATTTTAATCATTGGTTTAGATAGTTTAATTTGCATTGATATTTCAAAGTATTAGGTAAAATATACCTTTATATGATGTAAAACGAAGTATTATTTATGTTTACTTATGCTTGGTCTGAGAATTTGCATTTTTTCAGCGGTAAATTATTTTTTTAGCTAGTTCCGATTACAGCTCCGTTGTCGCCGACTTCTGATTACTCATCTCCAACTTCTCCCAACACCTTCCAGTTTCCATCTCCAGCTCTTCCAGTCTCTCCAACCACTCGTACCAAACAGGTATTCGACTTTAATTTGAACTCGTTTGCTGCTGACTTTGCCACCAAAACCTTGCTCAGCGACAGCCGGAAGAAGCATCACAACACTTTCTGTGGCTTCTGCTACAACAATGCGAGAGTCAATGTAGGTTTATTTATGGCTTCTACATGGTTCTTGAACTGTTTTAAAAATAAAGCTGATCTTATTTTTTAAATATTTTCAATTCTAACGATGAATTCACATTATTTTAGGGTTGTGATGTAACTGGACAGGGAAGATGGTTGGAGCACAACCTGAGAGATGCCAATGGCCGTGTCACTTGCCCATGTCTTCGTATGTTCCAATGCCCGATCTGTGGAGGTTCTGGAGACGATGCCCACACCCAACGTCATTGCCCAAAGCGTAATCGAGGCAGAGATTAGATTAGTTGTTAAGTAGTTTGAGTAGTATATTAATATAGGTAATTATTGTTAAGTTTTAATTTATCATGGTTATATATACGTTGTTATTTTGTTCTTGTTATGGTTATGCATGTAAATTAGCTAAGAATGCTTAGCTTATTGTAAAAAGCTAATAAAGTTTCTTTTTTAAACTTGTTTGGTTATTATGCGAAACTTATTGTGAGTTAATCTACTACAATATTGGAATACCTTTTAATTGGTAGTTTCTATTAGGCTTACGGGCAAAGTCAAGGTTTTTTGTAATAGGGTGGATTCATATATTGTTTTGCGCTAACGTTGGGCATATTAATAAATTCTAACTATGAGGAACATTGTTCGGTTACAGCGATTCATGTCCTACATTTTGACTTGGTAAAAGAGAAGACTTGACCTATGTCAACTGTTTGCGAAAATAAAATAATATTTTACGTTATTTACTACGTTAGCGTCTAAATCGTACAAAAACAAGAATGAGTGATTCAGAAGACGACTACATGTCAGAAGCCATTCTTGGGAAAACGGAAGATGTCAAACCAGGTAATTTTTGCTATTTTATATTAAACTTGTTAGGTATTGCCACAAGCAGAGAGCACAGAAGACAACTTGAAATTTCAAAACGGGAGTTTAGAGAACCTCAACTGAAGAAACATGAATTGGAAGCACATAGAAGACACGAAGCCTTGAACAAGCCTGTATCTTCAGAAAACAAGGGATTCGCTTTACTGGCCAAGATGGGATATAAACCTGGGATGAGTCTGGGCAAAGCGAAAGAAGCAGATGAAGAACGAAGAACTGAACCTATAGGAATACAGATCAAATTTGGAAGAAAGGGTCTGGGGCACGAAACTCAGGAGAAAGAACATCAGGTGGAACGATGTGAAGCTCATCTAAAGTACATGGCTGAAAGGGCGAAACAAAGTGTAGGTTTTTAAAATTTACATTATTTTTAAATTAACTAGTCATTTTACGACTTAAAAGTTTAGATTTCTCTTAACTTTTTTTTGCAGGATGTTTTAGCTGAGGAATTTCGGAAAAAGAAGCAAGAAGATGTGGCAACCAAAGTTGTTGTAGCTGACATAATGAAGTCTAGGAAAGCTTGTCAAGACCTTGACTTAAGGTAAGATTTACATTGTTATTTGGCATTATTTAAATGTATAATATCAGAATTTTTTAACAACTTTAATATTTTAGGGAAGGAAAATCAGCTCCAGAAGATAGGTATCTATGGCCTGTGATACGAGAAGTCGTTGTGGACGAGCAGGAACAGTTTCAGCCGAAACGTTTGAGGTACGATGTGGAACAAAAGTATGTGTACAAGTATTCAACAGGAGAGTTGGCGTACGAAGAGCCAGACTTTTACACAATGGATTCTGAAGAATTGGATTTTAGGTAATAGTTCATTTTCAATTCGGTTATTTTGGTCAAAAACTGTATAGAAATGTAACAGAAATTTGTTTTATAAATAATGATTATGTAAACGCTTTGGCGTTATATTTTTTTAATGACTTTTTAACTTTTTTAACAAGATTTATCAAATTTATTACAGGTTAAACGCTGTAACAACGTACCTGCGATCTCATCATCATTATTGTGTTTGGTGTGGATGTACATACGAATCAGAAGAAGATATCACCGCAAATTGTCCTGGCTCAAGTAGAACTTGTCATGATGAAGATAACTTTGAATAAATTTGTAATTACTTTGTTTGTGGTTTTCTTATGTACTTTTAAGGTTTATCACCGTATACCAAATTAGAATTTTGTTTTTAAGTTTACTTTAGAATGTCAAACAAGGAGGTGAAGGTGTTGGCAGTGGGAGATATCAACGGAAACTTTACTTTGCTTCAGAAAAAACTCACATTAATTAACAAAAAGGTAGTTATTATTGATTTTCAGGATGTATCTTTAAGTTCATTGTCATATTGTGTTGTTTTTAATCGTAATTTTACTTCAGAACGGGCCGTTTGACCTCGTGTTTTGTGTCGGCGAGTTTTTTGGGCCAAACGAGGAAGAGAATCAAGACGTTGTCGATGGAAAGATCGAGTTTCCAATTGCATTGTACATTTTGGGCCCCAATTGTCCATCTACAGCACGATTCTACCCAGAAACTGGAGTCGAGTTCTCACCTAACTTAACATTCCTCGGCCGACGTGGTATTCTACATGCAGCTTCTGGTCTCACAATTGGATATTTGAGTGGAATTGAAGGAAACACTTCGAATCCATTCCAATTTATCGAAGATGACGTAGACGACCTTTTGCTTCCTATCAGAACACAGTCCGGATTCTTGGGTATAGACGTTCTGGTTACTTCAGTCTGGCCTCACGATGTAGCCAAGCATTCCATCAATCAGCCGGGGAAGGAGAATATCGGCTCTAAACAGGTCTCACGGCTAGCGGCGGCCTTGAAGCCACGTTATCACTTTGCTGGAATGGGGTCTCATTACGAACGATCGCCATACAGAAACCATCGTGTGTTGGTAGAAGCTGCTCAACACACTACGAGGTTTATTGGACTAGCAGCAGTTGGGAATCCAGACAAAGAGAAGTGGATCTACGCGTTCAATGTGAAGCCAATGAGGTTTTTGTCGAGGACAGAGTTGACTGCACAACCTCCAAACACGACTGAATTCCCTTATATGGATGTACTGACGGAATACATACAATTGTAAGTATTTAGCTTGATTTGTGTTATAAAGTGTTTTAAAATGTTGTAAAATTCCATGCCTTAATATTATTATATTATACTACTTTAGACAGCGTGAAAAAGAAGTCAAGAACAATGCCAGTCAGTTCTTCTTTGATACAGCTCATTATTCAGATGAAGAAGAACAACAAGAACAAGACCAACGAGGTTGGCGACGTCGCGGCGACAACGATAGCGGACCTCCACAGAAAAGAAAACAGAATATTACACAAGAGAACTGCTGGTTCTGTTTGCTAAACGAAAAGGCTGAGAAACATCTGATTGTGAGTATTGGCACCACAGCTTACATGGCCACTCCCAAAGGTCCTCTCAACGATCTACATGTTATGGTACTGAGTGTGGAACATGTTCAGTCATTGGCTGCTGCTTCTGAACAACTTCGGGAAGAAGTCAACAAGTACCGTGATGCCTACACAATCATTTGCGATCAAAAAGGAATGGCACTGTGCATCTTTGAAAGGAACTACAAGACTTCTCATCTTCAAGTTCAGTTCGTTCCAGTACCCAAAGACACGGCTAAACACCTGAGGTCGACGTTCATAGAAGAAGGATCCAAGAAGGGCATTGACTTTGTGTTTATGAAGGAAGAGGACCAGGTTTGGGATCTTGTCAACGAAGGATCACCTTACTTTTATGTTGAGCTACCAGACTCCACGAGGTTGTTCACAAAGTCCATGGGAGGGTTCCCAATACAGTTTCCAAGAGAGGTAATTAAAGTTATGAAAGGCTGGGTACAATGTTAAGGTGCTTCTTTATGTGCTGTAATTTGTCATGATTTGTGTTTTTTATGACTTGTACCTATGCTGTACTTTTAAAGCTGGTTGCGTAAATTTATAGTATGCCATAACAATTAGCCTTTTCTATTGTTACCGTTTTTACCCAAAGACATATTTTAAGGCCTTCAATGTAATGGTAATTAATTTAAGGTTTTGTGTTCGCCCAAGTTGTTGAACGCCCCGGGCAAGGTTGATTGGAGGGAATGTGTGCTGAGTAATGAAAACGAGATCGACTCCACACAGCGGATCAAAAAGCTCTTCAAGCCGTTCGAATTTAACGGGGACAGTGATTCCGATTCAGATTAATAAAGGATCTTCGCGTTTTCGGCCGTTATTTCCCCAGCGATTTGCAATTTCAAGCGTTTTTTGAAGTTAAACTTTGACATTAACTTGTTATTGCAAAGTTTTATGTTCTTGGGTGGGAAAAAGATACAGTAAGACTTGATGATTCTAAGAATTACAGGTTGGGACTTATCCTTGAAGAGTTTTTTCTAATAAGGTTTATACTTTGATTTCTGATGAAAATGTCATAAAAGTAATGAGTATAGCCATCTAGAGACCTTTGCCTCTGTGAAGGCCTTCCAGTTACCTTCAATTAGACATGTTATTGCCTCTGATTACAACATAAATCATGTTTATTTTGGATGTGTTAAAGCCTGTGTTTCGCTTCGTTTTGTTCCAATCAGAACCAGATGATATCCGCTTTTTGTTCGGCCGTGACGCACGGCTAGGAGAGGAGATAAGAACAACTGTTCACGTCTCATGACTTTGTCAACAATCATCCCCCCGTGTTCCCATCAAAAGGTTGTTTTTTGTGGATTTGGCCCCGCACGTGTCCCCCCGAAATACCCTAATCCAGCTGTTTTGGATGATGTGGCCATCCCCGATTATCTCGTATTTGTTTTTCCAGTCGGATATGTTCGAATAACGGCCTATCACCTATTGTATGCGTTATAACATAATATTGTAATAGCCAAGTCTAGAGACATGTCGCGTGACGCAAGTCTGGAACGGTCATCGTCCGAAGCCTCCTCCTTCGTGACGGACAAGCTGCCTCACACCAACAATGTAATCCGAGGCCAAGAACACGCCTACTCCGTGGGCAGGAAGATCGCTCCCGGCCGTTACGGCGCTGTTTACGAAGTAAGTTGAAGGTCTACAATGTGACTGAATTTGTTTGTCTGATGGCTCCTGATCAAGGTTTTAACGGGTAAAGTAAGAAGGACATTGTTATCGACAGCTCTTATGTAGCCTTTATTAGAACAGCCATGTCAAAAAGTAACTGGCAGACTAAGGTCGCAACTTTTCTAATTTCTGAACAATCTTTCTACAACTGCCTGGCCTTAGTCCAGTTTGAATTAATTGTCTAACTTTAAGTTTTAGGTTCTCCGTCGCGGCGATGGGAAGCACTTTGCCGCCAAACTGGAGATTTCCGACAGCCATTTCCATGGCTTGAACATGGACTACAATGTGCTACGAGATGCAAACCGAGCCAAGTTGACTCACTTCTGTCAGCTGATCGACCGAGGAAAGATCGAAGGTCACTTCAAGTTCATGGTCATGCAAATGGTATGTCATCCTCATCAAAAGTGACACTCTTATAAAAAGTATTCGTCCTCATCTACTGCATCCAGTTATGTTGTTATACTACATTATGACTGGTCATATAGGATAATTTGTTTCAGTTAGGACCAAATCTGGACAAACTACGACAAGAGTTTCAAGCCAACAGATTCTCAGCCCCCACGGCACTTCGCTTGGGATTGGAAATGTTGACGGCGTTGGAGGAGCTACATTCCATTGGAGTTGTACATAGAGACGTAAAGGTATTGTCATCAATTCTTTAAATTATAAAACATTTCGTTTGCTAAACGAGTTCCATTTTAAAAACGCCACAGCATCTTATAATATAGTTTAAAATAAAGTACAGCTTACAAGGAAAGTGCCCGACCTGCCCCGCTCTGATTGACTTCAAACTTTTTATAAAGAAAGATCATGTAAATATAAGATCTTCAGCAAAGTACTAAATCGCGCTTTCCAGGAAATCTCGAGAAAATCGAGATTAAAGAAAGGCATTTTGAATTTCCCGCCAACTTGGCATTGTGTTTCAAGCTTGTAACTTTGTCATTTTTTGACTTTTAATAATTTTTCTTTGATATACTAGTAGAAAACCTTTAAATGAACCTACGTTTTTAAATTTGTAAACGTATCTTGTCCGGAAAGCCGAAAAAAGTGCTTGAAACAAAATGCCAAAATTTGCCAAATTAGCGGGAAACCCAAATATTTTAAATTTAAAACTCAAAAGCGCAAGCTAAAATTTTTTATGAGTACTATTGGTGGTCCAGAGAATTCATATAAAAATTTTGAGCCGATTCTGAGCGGGGCAGGTAGGGTACTTTCCTTGTTAATATTACAGCCCTCCAACTTTGCCGTCAACTACGAAACCAACGAATGGAAGATATACATGATTGACTTTGGGCTCTGTAAGCAATACAAGTCAAAGAACGGCGACATCAAATCTCCACGAGATTCTGTTCAATTCAGAGGGACACAACGGTACGCTTCTGTTAATGCTCACAACGGAATCGACCAGTCGCCACGCGACGATCTCGAGAGTTGGTTTTATGTTATCGTGGAGTTCTTGACTGGAGAGTTACCGTGGACTTTTTACAAGAAACGAGATCGAGAAGCCGTGAAGCTAGCCAAAGAAAATGCCAGAACAACAGAAGGAGCTGTTCAACTACTAGAATATTGTCCTAGGGTAAGATTCAGACCAGTAAATAAATTTGACTGACATGGGGATGACAGTGAAGAGTCATAGGCAGGCTTGGACGTAGGGCGTTGCCCCCTGTGCCCGACCCGGCCCGGTCCTGGGGCCGGGCAAGACACATGATTGTAACCGGGCAGGGCTTGCTTCGGGCCCGGTAATGCCCTGTAAATGCCCGGTAAAAAATTTTCTTCATATTTTCAAAAAAATATAAAAATCAGTTTAAAATTGTTAAGTGCCTAAAAAGTAATGTTACTTACCCCACTTCACTCCTGAACATTTTAGCCCTACCCAACTCTACCCCTGACCTTTTAGCATTGTCCGATCCTAAGCTATCACATTGTACGTAATATGCCATACCCTATCCTATATATCATACCATAGCCTATCCTACCTACCGTATCAAACCCTACAATACCTTACCATATTATAAAGTGCCATACCCTACCATACAATACCATATCCTACTATACCGTAACATACTATATCATACCATACTGTATCATATCTTACCTTTTTCTATCTTATACAACACTACTGTGTGCTAACCATGAGTAGGGTAAAGCAAGTAAATAAAGCAAGGTAATGGTATAATATAGTCAGGTATAGTATGGTAGGGCACGTTAGAGTATGGAATGTTGTAATATGTTAAGGTATTGTAGGATTTGGTATGCTTTGTTTGGTAAGATGGGTATGGTATAGTAGGTAGCATAGGGAGTATGGTACGGTATGGTATCGAATGTTATGTAGGATTGGTATGTATAGTAAGGTAGGGTAAAAAAGTCAGAGGTAGGGTCGGGTAAGGCTAAGCAGGTTAGAGGTAAACTTGAATAAAGCTAAAGAGGTCAGAAGTAAGGTTTGGTAGGGCTAAAATGATCAGGGGTGAGGCCGTGAAGGGCTAAAAAGTCAAGGGTGAGGTCGGGTAGGGCTAAAATATGTGGGAGTGAGGTTGAGTAGGGCTAAAGGGGTCAGGGGTGAGGTCGGGTAGGGCTAAAAGGATCATGGATGAGGCCGGGTTGATATAAAGCAGTTTATTTCACTTGTTATTAGCTTTTTAAACTTAATTTACAAATGCCCTGTAAAACCCTGTAAAGCCCTGTAAATGCCCTGCCCTACCCGACCCTAGGGCCGGGCAGGGCCCGAAAGCTAAAGGCCCTGCACCGGGCAGGGCCCAAGCGGGCCCGGTGCCAAAGCCGCAACTTGGGCCCTGCCCTGCCCTACGTCCAAGCCTGGTCACAGGGGTGGATATAAAAACCAAGACAAGGTGTTAAAACGTGACCAAAGTTAATTTGAAGTCAAATATGTAGTAAAATAGTTATTGAACACGATTTCAGACCGAATTCAGACGGATCATGAAGTACATCGATGGCCTTGGCTACACCAGCAGTCCGGACTACACGTTCCTGAGAGACTTGATCCATCTGGCCATGAAAAACAACGACATCAAGCCAGATCAGATCTACGACTGGGAATACGAAGCCGAGGATTCGGACAACGAAGCTGGGCCTTCCTACAAAAACAACGCTACAGATAACGTTGACAGTGATAAGAGTAACGCAAGCGACGCTACAAAAAGCGTCCCTAACGGCATCTGTGAGAAACTTGACCGACTAGTCGAAACAGTCAACGGCAACGTGAACCCGGCCTAAATTAAGATCGAAACTTGGTTAAACCAACTACGACAACACTTTTAGTAATTCTTGGACAATTCTCACTGCACGATGAAGGTGGGATCCCAAGTGAGCATTGCCTAAGAATTGGCTACTGAAGATTCCTTTTTGTATTACAATGTTCATATACCTCTGCTCTGTAATTTACTTATTTCTTATAAATTTGGCCAAACTTCCAACTTTGAACTTTAAATTTCGAAATGTTGTTTTGATGATAAACAAAAAGTAACTATTGATCGTTTGGCCGAATTGGTTTTGGCGGGATTTCAAATTTTAATTTTTCCAAAAATTTATTTTTGTAAATTATTTTATTTTTTTACAAAATATTGTTTTACAAACAGTTTATTCTGTGCTTTATGACTTCCCTTTTATCTTCCGTGTCCCGAAATATTCATCATGGATAAGATACATTATTTATGGGATATAAACGGATCGAAACGTGTATATTCTCCTTGGTGATGGAAGAGGAAAGCCCCTTAATTGAATAATTTGAACGAACAACGAGAATAATAAACTTCTTTTGAGGGAAGAGACCAGTTTGTAAAGGAAGGAGCGTTTCCCATCGATGGGAAGCGACTGATTACCTTTTCACTTTTGTTTTCACTTCCGAAGAGTTTCTTTTCCTTATCTAGAGGTTATCTTTGGCCAGGGAATCAACTTTTACAAGAACTTACTGTTATAATACTATTAACCTTATCTTGAGACAGCTTTCTATTGTTTTTATCAAAATAATGTTGTTTTACGTTTGTTCTTTGCTTATTCTTGGGAAAATAGGTAACAAACGAAAGTAAAATGAAGTTTGAGCACACTTTATTAGGTAACCTGGCTGTAAAGGACATCTTAAGATTTTTAAAAGACGCGGAACATTACTTTGTTCTGAGCAGAAACATTCGCGGTTATGTACAATATCAAACAAAAATAAAATTGTTTTGGTATTAATTATTTTTAATATGATTCTGAAGTTGTCCTGGTTTCAGCTAGCTTGCAAATGTAAAGGCCAGTAGATTTTTGTAATTTTAATTTACATTAATTGTCTTTTTGGCCTAATTGTGATTTTAATATTGTGTTAGTCGCTTGTTTGCAGTGAAAAAGCTTACAATATGTGTTTGCAGATGCTATGGAAGTGTCATTATATCTTTTTAATTTTTAATTTTGACTTTATAATGAATTCCATATGTCATTTTGGATTGCTTTTATTAGGTCATAATAGCTACTATTGGCTAATTTTATAGTAGCGACGGAATTAATTTAAAGTCGTAGAATAAGATTTATGGTCCAATCACTTTACTATTTGATTATTAACGTTTTGTCATACTGTATTTTTTATTTTTTACGAATTACTGTTACCTTTTAATATTAACTTTGGTTTAATATTGATGCATTACCCTTATCACTGTAATTATCGTGTTTCAACCGTAGTTATTTTAAATACTATGGAGTTTGTAAAAGTAGTCGATTTATGATATTAACCTGATGTTGTTATAGGCTTTCTCATCTTTTCATTTCGTAACTTCTCAGTAATATGGTGTAGTAGGATGGGTGCTTTCAAGAAGTTAATATGCGTCATCAGTGGTGTGTTGATGTTAACAACGATCTCATTTAATACTTTGTCTCTTAATAATACAAACGTAAGTGGTTTGCTAATTTTTAGATGTTTTGCTTGATTTTTGACAGTTTGTTACCTAAAATTAGAATCTTAGGCGGATCTATGGTTTTCAATGAAATTTAGGTAATAAAAAACTTTATAAGACGTTACCTGATATTTCAGTTATACTTTGGTGCGATTTTACTTTATTTGTTACCTAACAAATTAATTTTGTTTTACTTGTTAGTATTATATTTAAAGCTCTTAAATTTTACATTTAAGTTGAGTAAAATATGTGTTATACTTCAGATATCAACGGTAACACTGCCTCAAGTTCAAAAAGCAATTTCATTGGATTTCGTACAATATTCGAATATAGATTACTGTGTAGGTTATAATTACTGGTCGTCGTCTGATGAGTATGATGGTAAAATCACATTTGTAGTACATTCCACATACGACTACCTACAGTATATTGCAGAACACGTGAGTTTTCGTATGTTTGATTAATTGTTATATTGTTGTAGGTGTTAAAGTACTGAATATTAGATCATCTTTTTACTTTTTTGTATTTGTGGATTGGTGCATGGTTGTTGTGTTGAGTTATTCAGGTTTTGCAGTTTGTTATTGTTGTTGTTTTAGATTCCAACTTGGACGGGTAGTATATCTTTGGCTTTATATGTTGACTATGTGAATGACGAAACTTTTGTGAAGAATTTAAATGTAGGTTCATTATAACTTCTTACTATTATTTGTAATGATTGTAAAATTGAAAATAGGTTTTACATTAAAAATACAAAAACATTAATGTCGCAATGTATACAATAATATTGTTCATGACATTGTTTGTTTGTCTAGGCGGTTATATCCAAATTGGAAGGTCTGGAAGAAGTCAAAAGTTCTCGGAAAGTGGGGGTTCACTTGTTTTACAAAAAGAAAAAGTCTTATGATGAGTGCCAAAGCTTCACAATATCAGGGGAGAACGATGTGTACGAGAGTAATATCGACGACATATATCCTATAAATGTGGCCAGAAACATCGCCAGAAGAGGGACCAAGTCGAATTTGTTCATTTCTGGAGACATCGAGAACTTCTTTGTACCTAATTATGAAGAATGGATGAGGAAGCTGGCTGAGACTACTCTGTTTGGGTGAGGTTCACCTTCTTTTGTTACCTAAAATTTTAAGTTTTTGGTTAACATTATTTGTTTTAAATTATTTATACTTTTGCTATAGCATTTTTAATGCTATATCGGTATAAACATATAATTCAGTTACTTATTGTTACCTTTTCAGTAAGGAACAAAAGCTGGTACTGGTTCATCGAAGGTTTGAAGTGGCAGAAGGCATGATAATACCTAAAACTAAGAAGCAATTGTACAAATTGTACCAAGAAAAGCTGGCAGTCGTATTTCATCATTATTTCTACAAAATCGGTCATACGATTCCAAGGATTGAGGATTGGTTCAAACACCCTGAGGACATGGAATCAACTTCAGTTCAACAGGTATTCTATCATAACTTTTCAATTTGTTTTACACTGTTTCGATGTACAACTACACGGTGTTCTTTCTGTTTTTTGTATTTGTTTATCTAAGTTGGTTACAAACTTGACCTTATTTTAGGTAATGAACTACCCCAACTCGAGATGGGAGCCTCAGTTTGTGGGTCGCAGTGACCAAGTACCGTACCACGACGAGACTTTCCCCTTTAGAATGAGCTCCAATACTCATTTGTGTTCGGAAATGTGCAGAGCTGGCTTCAAGTTCGCAGTCGTATATGATCTGTTCACAGTTCACGTTGGTATAAAGAGGAAAGAGAGTGCTAATGAGAAGTCGGTCAGGCTAAAAGTGTGGCACAATGGCTACAGAAAGGTAATGTTTTGATTTTAATGGGTTACTGTAATTCATTAAACTTATGGTTTTTTGAAATAAGGGTTTTACAGTAAAGAGTGGCTACTGTAATATATTTTTGAAATTTATTACGTCAATATAACTCTGATTACAAAAACTACAATATTAAAGAAAAACTTACTAGGACATCATGTCTTTAGTGTCATATCTGCACTGACCTTACTGATATACCACCTTTTAGGTGACCCAGAACTTTATTCGCCGTCTGGACGAACAATATCCTGATACCAAAGACAAGTGTCCTAAGTTTGTAATGTAATGCTAATGCTTGTCATAATAAAACGGGTATTTAACCGGAGGGCGTTTTATGTTGTTGTTCTCAATTAAAAGTATTTCCCGCCAGCTGCGGCCCGAAACTTAAAGGGTGGTTTACTCTGTCTGCGACGTTATTGTAGTGATAGTGATATCACTCATGCTCCGTCTTCTCCTTCTGTTTCTTGTTCTGCAATTGATCACGGCGTGGCCAATGTACGGTGAGTATTGTGGCTTTTTTTTTATTCTTGGATCGTTTGGTACTTCGGTTGGGGTATAGTACTAGGTTAACCAAACAGTAATTTGATTATAAAACTGATTATTTGACGAAACAAGATATGCTATATCTATTTCTTGATAAAATAAGTATAGTTTTAAAAGTATGAGGCTTTTACCAAACATAATGTCAATTTTAATGAGACTTTCTTATAAGTTATTGTGCCAAAGTGATGGTACTATTCAGGACTTTACACAGCGACTCTCCCAGCAGGGGACGCCTATCGTCACCGCATTCTGGGCACGATACTTATGAATTCGGAGACTTTCGACGCAAAAATTGTGGAATAAAGAGTAAAATTTGAATAATCGGATTAAATAAACATTCAAAAGCGTTGTTAACCTTGTTTTATTAATCAAAATGGATGTTGAGAGCCTCGCCTTAACTAAAAATCAGGTTCGATTGCTTCAGTTCGAGACTAAGAACGTTGGCTTGAAGCACTTTAAATATGAGTATCGTGCTAGAAGGGATGTGCATAAGCTCACCAAAAGTGCTAGTATATATCTCGACTTGGAGGAAAATGGCTTGAAGGGTATTTTGTCGCAGTAAGTATAGCTTTTTCGATGCTAGCATTAGTAAGAGAAAGGTATTTTTGTATTTGTTGATTACAGTATGCTAGACGGTGTGACTTTAAAGAATTGTGACAAGGATACTGTACTTCGACAACTTATAAGCGTAGACGTTCAGACAGAAGGTAGGCATCTATTACTATTTACCTTAAGTTTTAGTTAATTTTACTAAGAATCGGCTACAAAGTCTGCGAGTCGCAGAATCAGATGCTTACATCGATCAGAATTGGGTATTGTTACAGTGAGTAATTTATGATTATACGTATATTTTACTGCTTGACTGCATAATATGAATAATATCGTGCCATATAATACTACTGTAAAGTCATCGTATTTAGTGCAAACGTCGATGAAGTAACCGATCGTTCAGTGACAATCGCTCGTCTAAAACATCCAGTAAACTTGGGACCGTATCTTGAAGATGTGACATTTGTAATTATTGTGCTATGCCCATCTGATGTCATTTATTCAAAGCAATCTTTTGAGACAGCTCAATCTTTCGCTACACTATTTTCGTCGCCAGAACATCGTGTTAGACTAAAACATCTGGATACAGAAGGCGACTTCAAGGAAGCTCTGATTGAAATGAGTAACGAATTGGAAGAACGGCACGGTAACGTTGAAATGAATGGTATTGGCAAGGTGACAGAACAGTGGTGGCCAGGAAAAGGGATTTGCGACGATTTTAAGAGGAGATGGGGACATTACAGGAGCGATTACATGGATGGTGAGTGATTACGTTGTAGCATGCTTACAGTAAAATACGATTGTCTTGAAGTAAGCGCTTTTAAAAGTAATTAAACAAGGTTTCTTAGGTCTAAAGACTGGTAGAGATGTCCAGAAGACCATTAGTGCAGCCGTCTTTTTATATTTCTCCGTGTTACCTACGGCCATCGCCTTGGGCATGTTAAACGATCTGAATACTAACGGGAAGATCAGTAAGACATTTTTGATTGACACACTACTTCGTATAGTCATGTATTTAAAAACTTCAAAACTTTACTATATTATTATAGGAAACAACTTAGAGGATATGTTTACAGTACTGTATAAATGTCATTAATACTGTAGGTAGTATACTTCAAATTCTAGATGTGAAGAAGGAGATCCTGAGCCAAGTGATTGGAGGTCTCTGGTTCGGTCTCTTTGGGGGTCAATTGTTCCTGGTCATGTTGAGCACCGCCCCTATTAGTATATACATCGAAGTGATACAGCAGTTGTCTAACCAGTACCATCTCGACTTCTTCAAAGTCTACACGATGACTGGCATCTGGTGTTCTATATTTTTGATTATCGCCGCGACTTTTGAGTTTTCCAAAGTTATGAAGTATGCTAGACGGTAAGTGAAGCGTCATTGCAGAGTATATGAAGTAATATAGCCATGGAGTTAAGTTAATGTATGCAAATGTAACACATTTTTGTAAACAATAGTATATGTATGTTGTTGTAGGTCATTGGAAGAACTTTTTGGATTGTTTATATCTCTGGCATTAATAATCAGAAGTTTGAAGGCAATGGTATCTGCCATTGGTCATCACTTTCCATACTGTATTGAAGACTATGGTTTGGGAGATTCTGGTATGTTGCATTATACTTAATGTTTGCTCTTTTTTGGTTACTATTGTTATGAAATGTACATCTCTTCGAGCCATATTGCACCTCTATTTTAGCTGTGGTACCATGCTCGCGCTCAAGCGGTTTGATGTTTATTGTCCTTGCCTTGGGCACTTTCATTATCAGCTACTTTCTGTACCGATTCCGTGTGTCTTGTTACCTCGGTAAACTGAAACGAGAACTACTGGCCGACTACTCTCTACCCATTGGAGTTATGACAATGTCAGCCATTTACCTGATCGTCTTTAACGACGTCACCATGCAGAGCTTCTCATACGACGACACTCACTCTCCCTTCACTGTGACAGCCTTTTCCGACCAGTCGATCCAAGCCCATGTCATATCTCTTCTCCTGGGTATTCCTTTGGCCATTCTCTTCTTCATGGATCAACTGATAGTCACGAATACGGTAGACAACAACCAGAACAACCTTCAGAAGGGGTCCGCTTCCAATTGGGATCTGGTCATCGTAGCCATCATGAACGTTGTACTGTCAGTACTGGGGTTACCATGGATGCACGGAGCGTTGCCTCAGGCATTTATGCATCTGAAGGCATTGGCTGATGTTGAGGATAAAAGGGCAAATGGGGTGGTTGAGAGCAGGTAAGGCTTAGTTAAATATATTGTTCAAAATATGGTTATTTACCATAGTAAGATAATCTGTAAACTGTACGTTAAGTTATGTCAATTTGTTTACTTTACAATGTTATTTTTATTTTCAAAAATATTTGGTTTTCAGCATTGTAAAAAACCGAGAAACGAGATGTGCAACCTTGCTTGCCCACTTGTTGATGATACCAACGTACCTGTTTCTGTTACCGTACTTGAAGATGATACCAACAGCCATCTTCCATGGCTTGTTCTTGTACCTAGCTATCACATCGATGGACGGAAACGAACTTGTTCAACGGATCTCACTTATATTTACTGAACAAGTAAGTTTATATTATAGTAGAGAAAAACTTGCTACCGTAACATTCTTAGATATAAGATGCTTATCGCGGTACTTTAAATGTTACGTTTCTACCATTTATCACATAGCTGATAAGGTTGTAACTAAAGTTTTAAATGATATGTTTAACTACATTAACCACAACTCTTGCAGCGTTTGTACCCGCCCTTCCATTACCTGCGGCGCGTTCCTCAGAAGATCGTGCACTTGTTCACCGTTATAGAATCTCTCCAACTAGTGATTCTGGTGTCTGTTGGCCACGTTCCATGGCCAATTGTCGAGTTGGCATTCCCTGTCATAACTTTTTTATTCATTCCATTCAACTATCTTGTAGTACCTAAGGTAATCAAGCCTCACTACCTCTCGGTTTTGGACGGAGCTCATTAAGTATCGTCTTTAATCAATAATTAGGAAAGTTGAGATTCGTCCACTTGGAGACAACTTTTTGTTTTAAATACATTTTCTTGGCTTTTGAGGTAAGTTGTAATAAGAGTGCTCTAGCAGTACTATACAAATCTCAGTTTTAATTGTCAAATTTTTTATTATTATACAATTATTTATATTCTGCTATAATATATCTACTATAATATCGCCATTACTTAATTTTTTCGTCGATTTTTAAGGGTTTTATTACATTTTCTGTTATAAAATTACTGATTTTACATTGCTGTTACCTATAATACTATAAAACACCGTAAACAGTGTTCTGACTTCTGGGAATCGTATCTTTGCTCTGAATACCTTAAAATGTAAATAAAATGTGGGAACATAAGCGTTTCTTCCGCTTGTGGTAACTTGTCATGGCGGTAGAAGGGCGCAAGATAAAGGTAATATTCCCCAAGAATCCTCCTGATGTCTTCGAAGATTGTGCCCAGTTCCCGACGCTGAAGCCATCGCTACGATGTCCGTTTCCTGGAAGATGTGTCGAGGTATGCCAGCGTTACTTTATATTAATATTGATTTGCAAAGTCTTTGTTAATAGCTTGTTTTTCTAATTAAAACAACAATATAAGTCTAATCCGTGTCAAAACTTTTGTAGATATTGATGCAATTGGCAGAATACCTTCACTACGAGGTAGAACCCTTCCCTCTGACACTTGATCGCGGTACTGTAAATTGGGGGAACTATGTAAGTTGAAATGAACTCTTATGTTATCATTTGTAATGTATATATATATTCATTTACCCATTAAACTTCAGCGCAACAATACCTGGGATGGTGTTCTTGGTATGATAGCCAACAACACCGCTGATACTGTGTGTACCTTATATCAGCCCACAATATCGAGAAGAGAACACTTTGCATTATCGTATCCTGTTACTTCTGTAAGTTTTAAAGAAAGTGATCAGTATATGTTTAACCATGAAGTTTTTCTCTATAACATTCGCAACTTTTTAATTCTTTTAAGGTACGTCCCCTTTACATAGTAAAACGGAACACGGACGACTTTTCCTCAGGACTCTGGAACGCGTTCAGTCCTTACGAAAACACAACATGGCTTGCTTACTTGGCCATGTTCTTTGTCCAAGTCATATTCATGATCTTCCTGTCTAGGGTCGAGATTGAAATTGGCAAAGGAGATGTGTTCTCTCCGTTAGAGGTAAGAATGTTATGCAAATGGAGGCAGTAAACTATGTTTTAGACCATATGGAAACTCATACGACTTCAGTTATACCAACCTTTGAATGTGGGTCATTTTACTGTAGCAGGTATGTCTTAAAATAAAGTTCTGTCTTATAAGTTGTACCTTGTAACATACATGTATCTTAACTGTGTTATGTTGCAGGCAACTGGACCATTTTAGTCTTCTCAATGGTGCAATGTCGTTTGTTTTTGGACATGTACCAAAACCTACTGCTCTCTTCGTTACTCCGCCCTGTAGACAGATCACCGTTCAGTAATGCTGATGACATTTTGATACAAGTGCAAGAAAAGAAATACTCGTTTGTCACCAATTATCTTGGGCATTGGTAAGTAAACTTGACCTTTTTAAAACATACCCTTTCTTTACATTACGTATCCTATGGTTTGACTAAGGTTTAACCTACATATTATACACTTACAGTCATAGTGCAAGACCTACTTTTAGGTACTTCGAAGAGATGAACATGAATATCACAACCGGACACATGAAACTGCTGCAGAACATAACAGCAGAGAATAAGGTTCAACTGGTTCGTACAATACGACAAGCCCTCGACCTCGTATCCACTGGTCGATACATATACCCGATACAAGAAGATGCCCTAGAAGCCATCATAGCCAAAGACCGATGTGATCTCGCCTATATAAACGAAGGTATGACAGAGAGAACAGCTCACTTTGTCTTTGCCAAGGATTCGAAGGTCCAAGAAGAATTCGACCGGGCGATTCTGCAGAATCTGGACTTCATTCGACGTACTCACGAGAAGTACTTCTCCGAGGAAACCTCTGTCCCCATGTTTCAGCGACATAGACGGATATGTGTGGACAGCGGGGTGGATAACGAGATGAGGAAACCTTTAAGTAAGTTGATACCTATTACAATACAATTAATGTTAACCTTGGAATATTATTATTGCCCATATAACTATTCTAGCTATGATGTCCATATTCGGGATCGTTGTGATAGGCGCGGGCGGTTTCCTTTTATCTGGTGCCATTTTTGTGTTCGAGCTCTACTTATTCTGGCAGAAACGCCTACTACAATATAAAACCCATACTCGTAAGGTTTGGCACAGTGCCATTAATGCAGCATTGCAAAATCTGCCAGTGATAACTCCAAAGATAAATAGTAATGTGAAAGGTATTCAATTAACAATAAATAACAACAATTCCTAATTTGAAAAGTTACTGTCTCAACTGCAAAGTTACAGTACTTGCAGGGGCGTCGCTACGGATTTTCTCTGAAGGGGGGGGGGTAAAGATCCTAAATTTTTGTGGACCTATTTTTCAAACATAAAAATTGTGTTGCCTTGTAAATTGAGGTGTCAAACCCAGAAATGAGATACATCACAGAGGGTCAAAAATTGTATTAAATTACTTTATTTATCTGCCCCAGAGCCATTGGTACCATTTTCGTAGCCTGAAGTTATTTATAAATTTGGAGTCTTCGCAAAAAAACTTCAAAGTCCTATAACTTGTCTCAATGTATAACAATCGCTGCAATAGTTTTTATTTACATATAGACAAACAACATCACAACATTTAAATTATCCATTCGTACGTTTCACGTTGTGTGAATGCTCTTTTACCAATTGAAAATCGAGTGCAACCAAATCAAACTCCAAATAAAGCAGGATGCAGAGATTGTACAACGAAAAATATAGTTCCGTTTTTTGCCAATGTATTCAATCTTAAACACGTTAACTTTAAGGCAAAAAAATTAAATTATTAGGTTTTTTTCTCTGGGGGGGTTGAAAAACTTCTCCTGTAGACCAATTTTTCAGATTTTTTTCGTTTTTTATTTACAGGTGCACCGATTTGTTGCTTACAACCCGACGAATGGTACATGGCTAAACTAGTTCATAGCTCAGTCTTTGAACCTTTACTAATCTTTTTTGGACATAATGACAGAAAACCTTAAAATGAAACTAATTTTTTTTTATTTGTAAACATAATATTTGACGTTACGGATAAGATAATAATCTTATCCGTAACATCTTTTTGACTGCAAACACTTACTTGGCGCCTTAGTTCCTCGATCGTTGTATATAAATTTTCTAGTCCACTCAGTCGATCCAGTATTTCTTTCTCCTCTGCCTTCCTTAATTTGACCTCTTCCGACAAATTGCCTGCATCTTTACCTCTGGTGCTTGACTCCATCTTTTGAACTTGGCAATTATTGCGGCGTTATCTTAAAATTGTTCGTCTATTATAGTATTAAACGAAATTATATACGTACAATGTCATTTTCAACAAATAAAGCCATTTAACTTGTGGACCTAGACCTTTAACATTAGGGCAAAGATCTTTAACGCTTTAGAGTTTTAAATTTGAAATATTTGGGTTTCCGCCAATTTGGCAGTGTGTGTCAAACCCTTTTTCGGACTTTAGAGACAATCTACGCCTACAAATTAATAAATTTAGGTCCATTTAAAGGTTTTGTACTAATATTTAAAAAAATGATTAAATTTAAAAAAATGACAAATTTATAAGCTTGAAACACAATGCCATTTGGGCGGGAATTTCGAAATTTAATTTTTTTAATATCGATTTTCTCGAGATTTCTTGGAAAACGAGATTTTAGTACTTTGCCGTAGACCTATTTACATTATCTTTCTATATAAAAAGTTTGAAATCAATCAGAGCGGGGCTGGTTGGGCATTTTCCTTGTAAGAATAAAATATTTTCAAATTTGGTCCGTAGGCGACTGAGATGTCAAAAACAAAACTTTAGAAATGTTTTTCTCAACGAATATGCTCTCAAATTGAAAGGTGCTTTTACCAAAATATTCCTCGCGTCTTTAACCATATTTTAAGTATAGTATTCGCGGAGTCAACCGTGTACATGCATAAGATAATCTAACTCAACAATAACAAGTTTATTCCGTAAATAATATAAAAAAAGCTTCTCTCAAAAGGACGTAGATATACGCGTAGACAGCCAGCAATTCGTGCGAGATGTTTGCTCTTTCGTCTGGCTGTCTCTTCACTCTCTTTTGCGGAAACAGTTGAAATCTTTTAAAACTTGCAAGAACAAAACATGTTACCTATTGAAACAATTGAGCTAGCTCGCTTTTGCAATAACCAAAACGTTGGCACAGTTACGTCAAAGACAGTCAACCGACCTGCTTTAACATGTTTTTTCACCCACAGAACACATAAACACAGCTCGTAAACAAGAAATGACAAAAAAATAGATAGATTTACCTTTAATTTGATATTAGCTCCTTCTTCTATGACCTCCGGTAACTATTAAAATTTTTAATTTTAAAGTGCAAGAAAAAAAATTTTACATATTTTTCTTAAGTAAACACAGTGTCACACCCAATATTATGGTTTCTATATAATGCTCAAGGTACTTAATTTTTTTCGATCGACCGACTTCGATTTATGGTCCCTTTGAACTTTTTATACCTCATCAATACCTGCCAGTGATAACAAAAAAAACCAGTAATGTAAAAGGTATTCAATTAAGAATAAATAACAACAATTCCTAATTTGAAAGATTACTGTCTCAACTGCAAAGTTACCGTAGTTGGCCTCAACGTGACTGTAACATCGGAGTAACGTAACTTCACAATATTATAAAGTTAGGAGTTACTTATAGATCTTATAGATGTAGTTACCGCTAATAAAGTTACAAGTAACGTTGGCATCAGAATCCAGGTGGGTTCCAGTTGACTTCTCTCGGTGTCATCACGGTCTCGTACACTTCCACAATGTCATCTGGCTGGAACTTGATGGCCGTGTTCTCGAGAGCGATCCCGACTTCTGTGTTGGTGTTGGCTTCGTTTACAAATTCATTTCCTTGCTTTAGAGATTCGACCGGTCCTTCAAACACGACCTCTGAAGTCTTGGATCGGACAATTCGGAATGTGCCCGTTCTGTAACGCAAATTAGAGTTAGCTAACATTCTGGGCGTCAACTTTAATAAAAAATAAACGAAACTGTACTAACTTAAGATTAAAAAAATAAAACTTCCAGACTATAGTAAGTATTCAGTTTGTCGTATTTTACAACCTACTTTGGAAATATTCCCCAATCGACCATCGTTCCTCCAATTGGCCGCTTCTTCCCGTGCTTGTCTCTTATCAGGAACTGTTTGAGAACGTGACCTTCGCCAATCAGCTTCATTTCTTCCACTGGACCGTACGTTTCATTCAATTCAGTCTTCATAGCATCGACCAGCCGATAGATGACGTTATAGTGTTCCAAAGCCACTTGTTTATTCGCCGCTTCGACCTGAACTTTCGCAGGAATTTGAACGTTGAAGCATATTACTTTGGCTGTAAAATCTAAGATGTATAATTTATATTTAGAAAGTGACTATGCATATAGTTAATATAGTTAAAATACGATAACAGAATTAGAACTTTCTTTTATAAAATTCTTAAAACAACCATAGATAACTACCCTACCCTCAAACTCAGCCGCCACTTCGACCAGTTCGACATTGGGTGCTCCAACAGCAGCGTCTACAATCTGTAGGTCGACTTCTTTACCATCATATGTCTCCAGAACATTCAGAATAGCCTCCAGGCTTCCATCGACGTCAGCTCTGATAATGATTGGCAGGTAGGGCTTCTCTCGCTTCCCATCTTCCTTCCTCAACTTGTTCTCTTTATGGTACACTTTTCGTAATGTGGAGCCATACCTGATTCCGCGATCCACTAACTTCTGTCGATTTTCCAGGTATAGCTTGCGAGCTTCTTCTCGTTCCATTTCTATTGATTCCTGAAGATACGATGCTTGAAAATATCAGTTATATATACGTATGTTACTTCAACTTATAAGCCCATTAATCATAGTAAAACTTCTAAACAACAACTGGAAAATTAACCTACATATGCTTTTTCGGCTTCTTCTGCTTTCAGCTTATCCGTCCTAAATTTTACCACCTTTGCAGCACGTGCCTCACTTTCAACCTCCAGTACAGTATCACCTGGACTCGGTAAACCTTCTCGCCAGCCTTAAAAGTTATAAAGTCAGAAAACATAGTACATAATTAAAGAGAACACAGCTAGATCAATTTTTAACGTTATATTCACTTGTTAGAAACTTAAAGTGCTAAGCATACCTGATACTTTAACTGGAGTACTTGGCCCAGCCTCCTTAACATTCCTCCCAAATTCATCTGTCATTGTTTTAACTTTTCCCCAAGTGTTTCCGGCTACTAAAACAGAGTTCCTCTTCAACGTTCCTCGGTTTACGATTACAGTACACATCTTTCCAAGACCTAAAATGGTACTTCTAAGCTACGATACAAAAAATAAATATATATGTAAATAGTATTAATAATTAGTTTAAAATGCAATTCCTAGGCAGTTACCTTGTGATGTCTCTGATTCAATGATAACACCTTCAGAAAGACCTTTAGGAGTCGCCTTCAGTTCCATTAGTTCAGCTTGTTCAACTAGTAACTCCTAAATTAGTAAATTAAACTGACACATCCTCCAATCTAACCCACCTGCAACTTATCCAAGTTTGTTCCCCTGAGAGCTGAGATCTCCACCACAGGAATATCTCCACCCATACTCTCTACTACAACTTCGTACTGCATCAGAGATCGCTTTGCTTTCTCTACATCAGCATTCGGTTTGTCAATCTTGTTTATGGCCACAACAAATGGCACATCAGCTTCTCTGATATATTTTATAGATTCTACGGTCTGTTCGTTCGCTCCGTCATCAGCAGCTACTACCAGTACTACAAGATCAGTTGAGTGGGCACCACGAGACCGCATCGACTTGAAAGCAGCATGGCCAGGAGTATCAATAAACGTTACCTTTTTGGAAGAATGAGGTAGCACAACTAGAATAAATAAAGTAAGTACAAATAAGAGAAAATTAAAGTTATAATCTATTTAAAGCCATTAAGCTTTAAAATTACCAGAAAAAGCGCCGATGTGTTGAGTAATACCCCCAAATTCGTTGGCCGTGATTCGAGAGTTCCTCAAAGAATCTAACAATGTTGTCTTTCCGTGATCTACGTGTCCCATAATCGTTACAACTGGAGCTCTAGGCAGCAGGTCCTTTTCAGGTGGTGGAGGTTGTGGAAATATATCAACTTCTTCTTTTACCAACTCTTCTAACGCTTTCTTTTCACTTGGTCGATGAACCCATCGAGGTTTTACGTTAAAAGATGAAGCTAGCTCCATTAATACTCGCTTGTCCACACCTCAAACAAAAACAATAATGTCAAAAAATAGACATTTTCATACCTAAGTTATGAAAAACATAAATTAAAACCCACTTTCGTTCTCTTTCAGCTCTATCAAGTCCGGATTTCTCTCGACAACATCTTCAAGCACGTTTTCATAATATTCGTTCAGTGCTTCAGCGGCTTCTCTAAACGTAAAATAAGATATAAAGTAAATCTGTTACCTCAAGTTCATATCCGAATAAAACTCCACAACTTCCTTTTTCGACTTGATTTGCTTTATTACTACCGGAACTATCAGTTTTGATCTCTTTCTTTGTCTGTTATCAACTGTAGTAAGGCTAATCAGACGAATATGCCCAGTTGCCCGGCATCCACACTTCCATGGTGTAGATCTGACCAATATCGAACTGAATCTTGCTATAGACATTCGTAAAACATTTAGAAAGATTAAATCAAGTTTTTAAACCGAAAACTGATCAGTTCTACCTGTTTTACTTCGAACTTTCCTCAAATTTATCAAAAATTAATTTTTCTAGAAAAAGGGCGCGGCTTGCCCAAGCCTTACTTTATACGATGAATATAATACAATTTCAAAACAGTTTATCAAAGAAAAAGGCGCTAGGACAAATGCGGTTTTTGGACATTTGCGGATCTTCGGTTTTTGGACACTTGCGGATTTTTTAAAAGGGTTTTTTTATTTTTTATTTAATTTAGTTGTAGTATGGTACTAAAGTTTAAATTGACATTGTCTTAATATTTCTTAATGTTAAATAGTAATAAATTTTTAATCGGTACTGTTTTTATATTTTTGGTACTAAATAGTACTAAAAGCCCAAAAAGGTACTGTTATGTTAAAACCGTACCAATTCAAACTTTAGTACAATTTAGTACCATAATATAAATAAATTAACTAAAAAATAAAAAAAACCTTTAAAAAATCCGCAAATGTCCAAAATCCGCAAGTGTCCAAAAACCGAAGATCCGCAAGTGTCTAAAAACCGCAGATCCGCAAATGTCCAAAAACCGCATTTGTCCTAGCGCCAGAAAAAAAGCAAAATATAAAACGATTAGAAGGTCTAAACAATTTATTCGATTCGAATGGTATAAAAGTCATAATGAGCAAGCAGTGTTATGAATAGTGGTTGAGAAAACCGGTATAATGACACAATTGTAATATCAGATTGGAAAAATGGAATGGGTTTTCTCGAGGAAAGCAACGAATACCCGCACATTGGAACTACAACTACCAACGGAGTACTATGGCGCAGTCTACTATAATGTATTCTACGATGAGGTCTACCACTCAATATTAATATTTTTGTACAACGACGTCCTGTAGGAGTGCTTCGCCCTGCTCAACGTGCCAACCTCATCGATAGCCTTCAACACCTGATCCAGCATCTCCTTGCTGTGAGCGGCCGAAACACAGAAGCGGCATCGCGATTCTGTCATTTCTGTAGCTGGGAATGAAACCACCACCACGCCCACCTTCCTCTTCAGCATCTCTCGACCCCAGAGGCCACATTTGGTGGGGTAATATATCATGACGGGCACTACTGGACTGTCATCCGAGCCGTATACAATGAATCCCATCTTCTTTAGGTGATGACGGAAGTACTTGGCGTTACGGTGAAGCCTTTCAATACGGTCTCTGCCTATAATGTGATATTAATTAAAAATATTTTAAAGATATTTTAACTTGGTCTAAGTGTTATACAACTTCATGCATTCACCGTGAATTTGAACTCCAACAAAGTTTTAAACAAATTATTGTACAAAACAACCACAATTAAAAAGAACATACCATCAGTAGTGTTATCCCTGCCCATGATTATGCTCATCGACGAATAAACTTGAGCGGCTACAGGAGGCGACATTGGAGTGGCATAATATCCTGTAGGCGACGACCTTCTCAAGTAGTCAATTATTTTCTGAAACAATAAGTACATTACATTACAATCCCTAAAAACAACAATATAAAAGCTTACACAATAAAAAAAACAAAAGTTAAGTATCACAAGGAAAGTGTCAAAAGGTGTACCTAACGCCCAGACATGTGATATAGCTCAAAAAAATTCTATGATCATCCTGATTAAGAATCCGTTTTCAAAAGTTGCTAAATTTTTGTCTCGACCGAGTTATGGTCGTTTAAAGTTTGCACTGATTCCATGTTAAATTCCCAAAAAGGGGATGAAGAGAAACGAACGAAAAAGTGAACGTAACCGAGCGGCCGAATGGATAAAGCGTTATCCTTCGGAAATGCCGCCGCAGGTTCGAATCTGGGTGCGTGCAAACTCTTTTGCAATTTTATTTTGCATTTGAAAACTGTACCAATTGTACTATTAACCAAGTAAAATTGTTATTTTTTAAGTAAAATTGTATTTTATTGAATATTATGTTATAATATAGTTGATTAATTGTTTTTTAAAAAACTTGAACCCATTTACCAGTTCAGGGGAAACTAGACAAAAAAGTGAACGTTAACATTATGACCAGAGTTCCCAAATTTTAAATTTCCAGCTCCGGCGCCAGCTCCGGTTTTGCCTTTTTTTAAATTTTAGCTCCGGCTTCAGTTTTTTAATATTACCTTAATATTAACAACTTTCTGTGGAAAAGTACGCACGAAGGGTCTACTACCTTTGGAAAATATACCTTGTGAGGTAGTCTAAGTACGACATATTGATTGCGTTTTAATATTTTTGTAGTATAATAACATAATATTCAATAAAATACAATTTTACTTAAAAAATAACAATTTTACTTGATTAATAGTACAATTGGTACAGTTTTCAAATGCAAAATAAAATTGCAAAAGAGTTTGCACGCACCCAGATTCGAACCTGCGGCGGCATTTCCGAAGGATAACGCTTTATCCATTCGGCCGCTCGGTTACGTTCACTTTTTCGTTCGTTTCTCTTCATCCCCTTTTTGGGAATTTAACAGGGAATCAGTGCAAACTTTAAACGACCATAACTCGGTCGAGACAAAAATTTAGCAACTTTTGAAAACGGATTCTTAATCAGGATGATCATAGAATTTTTTGAGCTATATCACATGTCTGGGCGTTAGGTACACCTTTTGACACTTTCCTTGGCAAACAACAATATTTTACTTTGCTTCCAGCAATGTATCCGCCGGCGGCTCCAAAACTTTTAGTAAAAGTTCCCATAAGCACGTCAACTTCGTTTGGGTCACATCCCCAATATTCAATGACTCCTCGGCCACTGGCACCCATAGCACCAATACTGTGAGCCTCGTCCAAGTACAGGTAACATCCGTACTTCTTCTTCAACTCGATGATCGCTGGAAGGTTACAGATGGAGCCTTCCATTGAGTAGATTCCCTCAACGATGATCAGAATCTTGTTGTAGGGCTTCCTTGTCTTCGGATTTCCTTTTACAATAGCGTCTCTGATTGTTCGCTCCAGACTTTTGACGTCGTTGTGCTTGAATACCTTGATGCCGGCTCCTGATAAACGACATCCAAGTACTAAAGAAGCGTGGTTGTACTGATCACTGATGATCAGGTCATTCTAAAACGTCCATTTTGTTATTACACCACTTGGTAAACTGGCTTACCTTATCAACCAAACAAGGAGCGTTCATAGAGTTTGTCGCAAATCCCATACTGAAGCAAATTGAGTCTTCTACACCCAAGAATTCAGCGACAAGACTTTCCAGCTTACTCTGAAGTTTTGGGTTTCCGAATTCGGCTACAGTAGAACACACTGACACTCCGTTCTCCTCCAATGCTTCGTATGCTTCTTTCGAGCATTTACCGTGGTTTTCGGCAAAACCAAGGTAATTATACGATCCTACATTGATGACTTCTGTCTTTCCTCCAGTAAAGCTAAAATATTCAAATTTTAAAGATCTTCAGACAATTTAAAAAAGAGTTATCAACATATTTTATTTTTGCAAATACATAATACCAAAATTGCATTTCAAACAAGAAATTGTTATAAATAACTTGCAAGACAAGTAAACAATAAAATAAAAAAATAAGAAGATTACAAATAAGTAGAAAAAAAAGTATTCAAAGCCGATTGTCCTACCTAAAAGTCCATCCATAGTCTTTTGTCACTCGGTCCAATAACGTCATCTTAGCTCCAGGAACGGAACAAATTGGTCTTTCGAAGACATCTCTCACTCTGTTATAGCAGTTTCGAGAGTAGACACTTTCAAATGAACTGTACAAAGGCGCAAAGTCCTAAAGTATAAAAATGAACAATTGGCATTTGGTTTTAATGACTTAAAAACTATATTTTTAGGTACTCGTTCCCAAATTTAATCTCTCCAAGAGCGCTGAACTTAAAATAAATGTTGATTCAGATACTGACCCATAATATTAATGTTGAAACTTAACCTAAAATTGAGGAAAATACGTGACAAAGCGTTGACTTACTCGTTGTTGTGGTCGTTCTACAGCTGCCAGATTCTTTTCAATATTATACTTCCGTAGAAACTCTCGGAAATGAGCCATCAGCATCAGAATGACCCATGTTAAGTACACTGAAAATGACACTAAGGGGTTGCATTTCTCGAATTCGTTCAAAGCAAACTTCTTCTCGTCTTCTTTAGTCTAAATTAAGTACATCAAAGTCAGTTTTGAGAGAAAGGGCGAGTAAACAAAGCGTAAACAAAGTGGGAGAGCGATTTTAAAAGTGGTTGTTTAGTAAAATTTATATTTTACAGTAATACGATAAAATAAATGTTTTGTTTGGACAGCAGTTGATACCTTTGAGTGACAAAATAAAAATAATACCAAACTTACTTCGTTCCTCGAGAGTTTACTTCGCTCGTACACAGTAGAATTATCTTTAAAAGCCGACAACTCAAGTATGTTGGTGTGTTCGGTGAGTCTTCGTTCAATGAAGTCAATGCCACCGGTTTCCACTGGGTTCATGCTGGAATCTCGGTGGCAGTCTGTTCTGAAAACATCACTTTAGTTTTCTATGAAAATATAAACTACTTTGAAACAAAACTAAAGTTAACAATAGATTACAATAGCCCCGAAGTTACAATTTACACCTTGTTTCATAAATTCAAGCTCATTGTCCTAAAATCAAAGACTGATAAGTATTTTTAAAAATGTGAGTAATGTAAGATAACAAAAGACAAAGTTCGAACACGACCTTATCCTGTAAGAGGCCATCCCCCCAAATAAGTAGGCGAACCAACTCCCCGTTATTAAACTATCAATCATAACAAACCAGACGCAAAACAAGAACAATATCCCCAAAACAAAAATAACCAGATTTGGACATCAACAACAACACTCCACGTGAATAATACTTTAAAGTTTGTTTTACAACGACAAAGGTAGTTCAACAACAAGAAAGACTCAACGAAAACTACAATCTTACAAGAAAGATCAGTTTGCAGCCCAAAATATCGCAAATTCCGAGGTTTAAGACATTATTTTAGGTCGTTTTAATTAACAAACTTGTGATAAGATCGCAAAAAGTCTTGGAAATATAAATGAATTTCATTGTAGTCAAATTCCTTTTTATTAAAATTCAGAGAGCAAGAAATTATTTTTATTGAACAAATATTCGTCTGTAAAATTCGTCACAGTGACGCGTTTTCTGAACGGAAAAGGAACAATTTTTCGTCGAAAATCTCGCGTTGATCTTTCCGATATTGTTTTATGAAGGAGAAAGGACAATTTCTGGAGAAAAAATCGCGTTTCAGGTCTGAACTGGTGAGTAATATTATTGTAGATAGAAAATGTGGTTTATATTGTTGTAGACATCAAAATGGGGCTACCGTCGATATTGTTGTAAGTGGCGGTAAACAAACCACGAGATTGACTAATAATAATTGGGTTTGCGCTGATAAAGACGATCATATAGCGAATCGCTCTTATTTGGGGAATTTCCACTAGAAACCGCTTTGGAATATTCCCGAAAAAATAATTCTTACTGTAACTTTTTAATATATATATAACTACTCCAAATTTAACTTGAAAAAGTAATGTTAGAAGAGTCTACTGCAAAATAGGCACTTACGCGTTAAAAATGTAAAAAAGACGTAAAACGTAATTAATATAACATTATAATAGCTGTAGATAATAGTGAAAACGTTATCGTTTTATGCGGGAAATTGTTGTTCTCCTAGAGCAAGATGGTCTCTCCGCCAACGCTTACAGACCTTCTAAGATCACCAAACTTTAATATTTTGTCTGATATGGGAGGGTAAACATTGAAGGACGACGATATTATTATTTACCGTACAAAGTACTGTAAAGTCGTTATTTAAAGTCGAAGAGTACATTACAGTGGTTACCAATGAAGGTTTTCAATAAACAATCCAATAATAAATTCTTTAAGTCGATTCCCAGGTATTATAACATAAAAATAATGTATAATAAGATACAAACGAATAATATTATTATAGACAGGTACAGAATATGAAGATAATCTTTTGTTCTGTCTTTATCCTCTTATTTTAACTTTTGGTATTAAAATTAAAAAAAAACTTAATTGGCCCAAGTTTAGATAACAAAACAGCGAGTTTGGAGGCAGAACAAAAGTTTAGAATCAGTTTTCGTAACGGAAATCAGATAACAGAATTCAGGGACTGTTTTTGTTTGTGTCAATACGATTTGATGAACAATTCGCTAAGAAAAATATCAATTTTATGTGTTACAAATTGCATAGGAATGTAAAGGTTGTTATAATAACAGTTTATCAAGGGTAGTTCGAGAAAAAAGAAAAGGCCAACAGAATGGATGATTGAGAGGTATTCAGGGTAACATAGCAGTAAAAGTAGATATGGCTTCAAGCTTCTACGGCCTTACTTAGGGTTGTTAGTCTATAGCAGATCGGTCCGAACTCCACGGTAGTAACGATAATTTCATAGTAATGTTCTATGTAGTTTTTGACCAAAGAGTGATACTAACATGGTATGAATAACCTTATCACTTACATTTTGTTGATGTGGATGAGGTTGATGATGTCAAAGCGGTGCTTTTTTGTCATCTTCGGCTCACGGATTGAATTGGATAGTGAGCCACGGGTCATGTTATTATAGTTGTCGCTAAGACGACTCCAGGCTCGCTTCGTATGGCTACGTACGGAAAGGAGCCGGCTCTGTTGAAATCTGTATGAAACTGCTTTTGAAACAACAAAGGCCAGGTTCTGCTTTGTGATCGTCTAAATTATTAATGGCGTCAATGAGACTTCTATTTTGGTAACTATTATATTACAATGAATGTGACGTTGTCGTTCGTCACATGGCTGTAGAATGTTGTGATCATTGTGATGTGTGAGGAAAGCGTGTTGTTAACAGTTGTGTTGCTGTCAGTGTCTTGTATGTTGATTTTGGTGGTTGTGTTATATTTTATTTGATTATATAGTCTGTGTGAAGTTATCTTAACATTATTTGGTGTAAAAAGTGTTACTGTCATTTTAAATACGTTACTGTTACATCTAAGAAGTGACAATAAACGTATCTGATCTATTTTTCTTTCATATCACTAGTTGAATGAACTTTGCAACGTTTAAAAGTCTACTTTAACGTTGACGTGATACGACTTGACATGTTGTTTTAAGAGCGACGTAGCAAGTTTTTGCAGAAAATATTGTAGTTTAGGTAATGCAAAAGGTGATAGATGACTTTCCGGTTATTAGTGATTACATATCACTCAAACATGTATGTCGTTCCAAAAGGGTGTGCCGGAAGTGACTAACGTGAGCTCTATTGGAATCATGTTCTTTGACTGATAGAGACCAACCTTGTTAATGTCGTGATTAAGAGGTGGTATTTGGTTTGTCATTGTTGTGTGTGTTGATAAAGGGCAAATTAGGGAGGAGAAGGGCGAAAACATTATACTATCATTATAAGTGAAACTTATGTCATAAACAACAAGGCTTTGATACAAATAGCAAAGATAAATAATTTTAAAATAATTTAAAAGCATGAAAATACGATAATATAGTAAATAATCAATACACGGTCTTCCACAATAATGATAAAAATTTATTTTAAGTAAATTACTCTGATATGTTCGAGATCAGACCTAAAGCCAACAAAATATCGCAATGTTTTCTCAAATATTGTTGCTAATAGACTGTCGTCGCGAGTCGCTGGAACTGCTTGACGACCGCGACTGCGACTTGGAATGACTAGGCGTGCCGGGCAGGAAAGAGGAGGTAATGGCATCTTCCAGAGGGTTGTCGTCTACACTCTTTTTCTTCTTCCGATTCCTGAGGTAGTCCGAGTTGTTGGATTCGTAGTGGTTTTCTGGCTTTGGCAACGGGCGGTACTGGTTCTGGTAGCCGAGGAAGATCTTGTAGAGATTCATTACGAGTTCTGTGCCAAAGATGATTCCAGCATGCATTGAAACCATCCGTAGCACGAAGACCCCGTCTTGTTTCAGGTATTCATTCACAAACTTTTTCACATTCTTTTGATGCCCTGAAATGGATAAACTAAGATAATAGCGCAACATTTAAAAAAAGAATGGTTAGCATTCGTTAAGTTTGAAAGAAATTACACACAAAGAAAACAGAATACTTTTGAACAATACCATAAGTACACGAAACTTATTAGGTATTAACCTTGGATAAACACTTACGTTTCACATCAATCTCTTCTTGTTGATTTAACTCCAAGTTTGTGGCGACGTACCACCTTCCGAAGCATGGGAAAGCGACTACGAAGAACCAGTAGACAAATGAACCTATCGTCACGAAGGTCAGAAGTGTGTACCAGAACCATAACAAAATGAAGATCTTCTCGTTGAAGATGTTGATCACCAGGACGCATTGCACCGAGTATTTTTGGATTTGAGCTACCGATCTTACCTAAAACACCGTTCTATAGTGCTGTATCATTTTGGATACATTTTGCTTCAAAACCGTATTGATAGTTAACAGAATCTTATGTAAAACTTTAACAAAAACGTGCAGTTTTTAAATTTAGATAATGATAAGAGTATGCTAAGTTAGTTTGAGACTTACATCGAAGTCACAAATTGATACTCTAGGGAAGAATCCAGATCGTTCCCAGTTTATTCCTCGTACTAGATCGCTGATCACTTCAAACCCGTACCATGTGTATTTGTCTGTTTCTAGAAATCTGGAATAGTCGAAGGTATAGGCGTCTATTGTAATACATACCTAACGTGAATATGATTATCTATCATAATGCATATAATACTTTAATTTCCTAAAGTCTTATGCACTTTAAATCAATCAAAAGCATGACAAACTCTTACTTGTTCATGAAATAAAGTTGCGTTATGACATTGATCATGTACATCGCTTTGGTGATAAGATACATGTAACTGATAAAGCAGGCTGAGTATGTTATGTTGAGCACTTTGAATGTCCGGTAAATCATGATGTTTCGTCTTTGTATGTGTCGTTGAAACTTAAGTACACTACTGATATGCCCGCCGAGGACTTCAACGTTCCTCTGACGTGTCTGTTCTTCCATGTTCGCTGGGTCTAACGCCCGGCTTACGATCTCGTGGATTCTGAGACCTGTAATTATGGAAAATTGATACTGTGTTGGGCATAGTTTTAGTTTAGTACTGCTTTTTGCCATTTTTAGTTTGAGCAGTCATACTTTAAATGTGGAAACTGAACTTGAACTCTACTTTTTGAACTTGGCAATTAGATAATTAAAACCAAAAAGTAACATTCGGCATCATATAGTGTTTGGAAAGTGACGTACCGGAGTTTATGCTCATGCACTTCCACAAAAAGGAAGGCAGCCGGAAGCAGGCGGCCTGGAACAACAGGAAGAAGGGTACCCATTGGTAGTAGCTGAGCCTTCTATCCGGATGTATCCGATCTGGCGCCTTTATCGTGGCCACGTGTGTGTCTGGCGGGACGAAGTAGGTGTCTTCTGACCAACACAGATTCTCAGCGTACTGAAAAAACGAAATTATAATATTGCGACATCGGGGAGCAAACACAGATTCAAAAGACGGACTTCTTGCAGAGAACCACTGAATTTGGAAGGGAAAATACACTCCAGCGGTCGGCCTCCGAACTGTTTGAAGCTGATCAGCACGCTGAACGCGAGCAGCATGTTAGGCGTGTACAGGTAATTCATGCGATCGGCTATGTCATCGTCTTCGCGCGCCGACAGATATCGGGCCATGGAGATGAGCGCCTCAATCATCATGGCGGGGGATTAAGTGACGGAGACAATGCTGATAAGGAGGAGAGGAAACCTGGAAGACGGTTAACTTGAGAACAATCGCAGAAAAGAAGGCCGCGGTGCGAACGATCGGCTTTTAAGGGCCGAACAAAACAGTACAAAACAAGTTTTATCACTACGTTATGTTGAGGAAGATTATGATTTGAAAGGCATTACTAAATAGTCACAACATGTTACTTTTTACGCCAAATACACATTAAAAACTATAGAAAAGGTTACTATTACCGAAAAGTTCTCATATTGAAGACAGAAATCAGCAAAATGCGATCTTATAATTGTCGTAATTAAAGAAAAACAATCGAACACCTCGAACGGAAGTGTAATGTAACCTTTGCAACGGTGATAAATTAACCTCAAGTTGATGCCCGTATCCGATCGATAGGTTATTAAATTCCATCAACGAGACAAAAGCGCGGAAACGTCACATCACATTGGAAAGTGATTGCGCACCACAGCGGGTGCTTCTTAATTTCGAGGGGCCCAAAAGCCCTCCTCGCCCCCGATCAATTTCACATCACCGAAAAAGCCGCAATTACCGGTTCTGTCGTCCCGTGTTGTTCACACGTGGTCGACGGTCGTTCCCTCGAGTCGCGCGGCCCTTAATCGCCTGTCCAGCAGCATATTGTTGTCCCCACTCGAGAGTAATCTCGGCCCGCCAATTGGTGTACAAACAGAGCGCCGCACATTCCGCTGAGCTCGGTCGAGATAATAATCAAATTAGACAGGAATTATGTTATCATATCTTATCAGCGCCGGGAATTCTAATGCCTTTTATTTAATTTCGAGTTTTCCTGTTTTATTACCAAAACAAGCGACGGACAACGTGTTCCGAGCAGGAAATTTGAATAAACATAACATCCATCACCCTTACTATAACATACGATATATACAGTCTGCTCTACTATCCTAGATCACCCGTTTACTATACTATCGGCTCATTATTGAAGGTCATATAAGACAAACTATAAAAAGGAATGACACATCAACCGTAAAACAAAAAATGACAGGAATTGCGAAAACAGATATTGAGACAGTCAAAAACCACAAGATCAGTCGGCTTTTGTAAACGTTATCATAAGGTTTAAAGAGCTAGGTTCTGAAGGCTACGGGAAGAGAAAACCTGATTTTTGAAAAAAAATTTTGAAAGACGAAACATTAAACTAGAACAATGTAATAATACAGCAAAGAATGGCACAATTCCGAAGAGTACCAAACGTTTAAAATGGACTAGAAGCAGCAACAGTACTAAAAGCAAAAGATAAGTTAACGGAAGATTTAAGAGCACCAACTGATCAAATGCTGTACCAGAAAGAACAAAAAGAGCACCACAGCAGCAAAAATAAAAACGAGTACCAAAAAAGAAAAAGAGTACTAAAGAGACTAACCTGTTCCCAGCTGGACGGAAAGTGAGCTCCTGACCCACACTGAAGCGGGTGGCCGTAGTAATTGCGGGCGGCAGTCAAACCCGCGAACACCAGGACCAGGTTGGAGGTGAGCACAGAGTGCAACAGATCCACCGGGTCCGATGCCGCGTTGGACGAGAAGGTGTGGGCTAGACTAAGAAGGGCACCGACCGACATGATCGACCCTTTGCACCGCTTTTGTCTGCACCGTTTTTCGCGATCGGGGGGAGAGACTGTGGGAGCCGGCGGGGGGAGGCGGAATCTGGGGAGACGACTGACTCCTTCTTTTCTGATCACTCCGCTACACTTGCCGCCAGCTACCTTGCCTTATTAGGACGCCCTTCATTGCGGTTTCACTCGGAAAGGAGGGTTTGTCATATCACAACCTCCGTCGCTAATACGTGATGCGATAGGGGTCTCGACGTGATGAGAAAAAACTTTTGATTACTTGATATCAGAGAAACAGTTTAACTAATAACACCGAAATGGAAACATAACTAGCTGCGACTGGGCCCAATTGGCCCCACTTGGGAAGGGAAGTTTGTTCCTCCAACGTTCCATTATTGTTTCAGTCGGCGGACGGTAACTCAACGTGACAACCGCGATTATTATCGTCTGTGATGACTTGTTGCCAAGTGAGGACACAAGGTTGTAAACATAGCGTGTTTACTGCTATGACTCATTTGAATTTCGAAGTGATCTGTGGAGTTCGAAATGTTTTGAAATGGAGATCAAAGGATACCCTGTGTTTGGAGCTGAGATAGCTACGAATAATAGGATTAAGTGGGGGGGGGGATGTGATTTTAAAGTGTGATCATATTACCTAAAGTTTAAAGAATAGATGGATACCAATATATTATAAAAGTAAATTGAGTAGCTACCCTCAAACACAGCTAGAAGCCTCGTTACCTTATTTGGCTGTAGCTATAACAATCGGTTACAAAAAGCGTGTTGTTCGGTGATCATAACACATTTTACTTTTAAACTTACAACATGCACTTGATGACCTGGCTGATGCTGTCTTTGTTCTAGATGATTGCAATTGTTGTTCTGCTAAATTTAGTCTGTAGGTTGTATGTACTTTCTGGCCATGTGTACAACATGAAGCTTACTGTACTCTCGAGGGAATTGGAACGCTTACATGACAGATATGTTTAGAGGAAACGTATGCATGATGTATATGATGTCTTGTGCACTTGTTAACGTCCTTCTGGATCTAGTTAAGTGTTTTTGAATTGTGTATGATTACTTTTTGATAGTTAAAATACTTTGAAACATTTTCTTAGCGTTCTTGCTATTCTGTGCTTATTCTCTTCTTGTCTTACTCTGTGGAATAAACTACCAGGTCTTCAGGAATAATAATATCCCCAGAATCACTTATCATTAGCCTAATTAACAGATGGAATCGAGTCAAAGTGCGAACGAAGTGGCTCCGATTTAAGGGTCTGAATGAGGATGGTCTCGCATTTTCTTTCGTTTTTTATGAGCCACCAGTGCCTAGGGCGTTATTATTTTTGCCGGGATGAGTAGGGAAAGGAGGACTTTGTTGGCCAGTTATGGTAGGGGGAAGGGTGCCAGGTTCGGCCTTGCGCATTCTGTTTTCCAAATTTAATCTGTCATCGACTGATTTGCATGAAGTGATTGCCTAGGTTACGTATGTATGTGTTTAGGCCTAGAGTATGTGCTGAAGGCGTATCTGTGGAAAGCGTATTAATCATGTTGTTCATGGTTTGATGTAGAGCTTATTGTTGTACCTATTTAAGGGTTTATGATCGTACTTTTGTCATGGATAAAGTATGAAAAGGTCGTACTTGTAGCTATATTTGTTGTGGTAGACGTATGTCTTGTTGGCTTTTATTAATGTATAAGGAATTGTTTTTAGTATTGGACTTTGGTGAAAGCCAATATGTAACCATCTCTGTGCTAACAATTTATGAGGTTAAATAATGGCGTAGCCGGCGGCCTCTGGGCCGGATTGCGGGCTTTATAAATTAAAGATTATTTTTGAAATTTTCGTGGACATAAAACGCAATGTCAAGTTGATTTGGGGGAGGTTTTATTGCGGTTGCATTTCTTTAATTGCTCTCCTCGGGAATGAATGGCAAAAAGGAATTCCGGGGGTCACGGGGCTCTTATTACTCCAGGAATTCGGGTGATAAGCATGCTGATAGTGGCCCGATAATCGTAGCATTCGACAGTTCCTTCTTGGGTTAAGCCTGCGGGGCAGAGACAATCGGATTTCAAGGTCCTGGCCTTTTTGCGGATTCGATTAGAGCGCCAGAACAAGTTTTATGGGAACGTTTTCGAGCTGTTTGCTGGAGTTGCAGGGGGAAAGTAAGCATCAAACATACCAAATAACCTCCATTTGGTGGATGTGTCAAATTTAGCTAATCATGGGGACTGTGTGGCGTCGTTGTTGAGAGTAACTTACGTGTTATTGGGAGGTTTTATCGGTAGTTCTTTCTTTAAAAGGTAGGTATCCTGAATAAATTTAAGGTAGTGCCTCTGTCTAACAAGTGTTAATCACGTCTTAGTTTCTAAGGCATGAATACATATAAGACATGCATTAACTCCATGGATATATTCATGCTTCTCTGTGAAGCAGTATAAATTATTCCAAAATTAGGGTTCGTTCTCACACTCAGCACGTTATGTAGACTAATTGGGTGCTGGAGATGTTTCTAATGCAGGGTCTTTGAACCCTGTCTTGGCTCTGCATGTGTAACACAATTTGGCTCCGAATAGGGACTATTTGTTTTAAAATTCATGGCCATGTTGCAGTTGACAACATATTGTTAACCCGCTTAATGGGAATTTAAAATAGTTTTGGCGTTTCTCTCTCCCAAATTAACCTTAGGAGTTTACGGCTTAACACGTTGGCCGCCATGTTCAGTTTGATGCCGTCAAGCGGAACAACTGGTGCCTTAAGGGACACGAGCCAGGGATTTATGATGGACGACCTGAGATGACATTGAAAATACGCCAAGTCCTGAGTTGCAAAACTCTTCATCGTCTGGGGCTACAATTTAATATTTATGGGCGCTTCCCCGTCTGTTCCTTAGGTTTAAGCACGGCATGAATAATGTGAAGATTTGTATCTGTTTGAGGCGAATTTCCACTTTTTTGAGTTTTGTCTAGAGAACAGCCTGGGGAGCTTATCAATATCTCTTGAGATTTTATGTTTGAAAGTTTAATGTATCAAGGTTTATATAATTGTGGCTTCATCTGGTCGGCTCAGAACAGCTGTCTGCTGATTGTCTTGTAGTTGTGTTTTGTTGTTGTAGGTGTTACACCGGGATCAATCATGGTCGCAACCTGTTCTTTTTGTTTTCCGGCCAAGTCTTATTTATTTCCGTCACCGTGTGTCTTTTGATAATTGCGTTGTTTTTTCGAGACTCTCGACGGCGGATCTGCTCGTGTGCCGCGAGGTTTTAAACTTTTCCCAGCCGAAAAGACGGAGACAACCAAGCCTAACTCATCAAGCAATCCCATTGTTTCTTTTGTTTCGAATTAGCCGGCGGTGATCCCGAATTAGGAGGCTAGGCCCGCCTTTAATTAGGCTTTATTTTCTGGGCGGGTAACTCAATTTCGGTTGGGATTGGCGGCTTCTTTTTGTTTTTGGTTATGACAATACCAAGATTAGGACTTTCAGGTATGGGTTGGAGGTTTTGTAGGTGTAATTGTTAGCCTTTGGTTGTAGGTATGGGCAGTTTGAGGGAAACATGACTAATTTATGCAGAATGACTCTGTTTTTAGGAGTTGTTGTTGTATTTATGACTACGACAGCCGACTTTAGTTCTTTTGGCAACATTTTGCTCTGCCTTTACAACTTTTTGATGCTAAACTGTGAAATATTTTGTATTGGACTAGATTGGCAGTAGATTCAGTCTAAACTGTCAGGTGTCGCTGGTAACCCGATAACTGCCTTTACAATCTCTTTATCTTGATTGTCATATGTTTGATATTTGGTTTCAGTACACCGCCCGGGGGACATGTTTATCTTTATTCTGTTTTTTATATTCACATCAATTAGTAGAAGTTTGTTAGTAAACAGTAGCGGCGTCATTATGAAATGGGAGTCGCAAGACCAATCTCTAGGTAATCAGGTTAAGCGGGTCGCGCATTGTCTTCTGATTAGTTAAGTGGAAGCAGATCCGGCCGCATTCCGAGGCCGGAAGGCTTTTTGTTTGCGATGCACCCTTTGACTCGTCCGAGCATCAAAAACTACCTTGTTCACTCCTAAAAAGGCAGTCTTACATATGTGGGAACGGAGCGCTTCGATTCTTATTTTTTGTGCAAGGGGATATGTTGCGGTAGGGCCGGGGAGAGCTGTCACGTAAGGCCCTAATCAGCGGAAAAGCCTGAGTGACTGCCGCTGACACCCTCAGGCACTTTTCTGGCCTGGTCCCACGCAAATCGCTCGTTTAATGAGGACTCGTACTATGATATTGTACTGAAGGTATTGTACTAACAGTGTTATAATAAGTGTTATAATAAGTGGTGTATTAAAAAGATTTGCCCTATATTTGCTCAGGTGTGTCTACTATACCATGCTTGTGTCTGGCCAGTCTATGTCAAAGTCTACGTAATTACGGGACGGAATCGCTAAGTAGCATATTTTCGGTTACATTTATTTATCTTGTTGTTGTCTCCTTTCTGTTCCACAAACTTGGATTATTATTGGTCTGGGTGCACTTTTGGCTTCACTAGCAGCAATAATCCTCAATTTGTGGTATAATTAGAAGCATATCAATTAAACTTACAATTACTTATCGCGTTCTGCATGAAAAAGTTTGGCTTAATCCCCGCCCGTATGTTTTGTGGAGAGTGAGTGAGGAAGATGAGCCCACTCCTCTCGAAGCCCTCCGGGCCTCCGGTGGGGAGTTCCAATAATTCGCGCGGGGAAGGTGTCATTACTTTATGTATGATATTGTTTATTCGCTTTTTGGACATGAGGAATTAGCCGAATGATAAAGTGTTTTCTCACCACAAGCAAATACTCAATATCAACACATAGTCGGGGCGAGAGAGCGGCTCTATAACAATATAACTCTTTTTCTTACTGCGCCGCGTGCTGTTTTATGTTATGATCAACTTTTTATATGTACGTGGTTATGCTAATGGTATTCGTCTATTTTTACTCTCATATTTTCAGGGATGACACGCGTTTTTTCGAACAAATTCTTTGTTTTCCAAAAGTTTTGCTTATTTGGCCATGGCATAATAATAAAATGTTTTTACTCTTTTATGCCGTGGTATCGACAAGATGCAAACTTTAACTTACTTTCTTCAAAAAGGGTCTTCTTTAAAGGCTTTTCTAGTATTTTTTGCAAACTTTTGGACCAGCCTATGTTAAAATTATTGAAATTTAATTTTAGTAAATTATTGTACTTAAAAAAATAAAAATAAATTTTGTAAAATTTTTTGTAAGGTAAAGGTCAAAAAGTAAGTGGAATTATTACCTGACAGATAAGCTTTATTTTTCTTTTATATGAGTATTTTCACCAAACTTTACTTTTTGTAATTAAATTTTAAAACCTAGAACCTATAGTTTCTTTTTTCGCGATATTTATTGTGCATGAGCATTTACATGCTATAATCTTAACAATTTACATATTATGTCTATTTTTTAAGATTTTTATGGCCGTGGACTGAGAGTTTGTCAATGGACACGGCCGACCACTGTCAGACAGTCGTTTTCCAGCTGCCGAATGAGTCCATGATTTACGATCGGTTGGCTGATCTCCATGCCTTCTACAAGCCCATCCACACATACTTGTCCATCGTGCTGTGCGCGTTGGGGGCGGTGTGCAACTTCTGTAATATCGTCGTGCTGACAAGGTAACCTTATCGATGATGTTGCTTTATTTAGATGCATATACAGTGTATAGTTGGTGGTGCAAAAGTAGATAAAATGTTTTTTTGGGGGTGGACTGAACGCAATTTTGGTTTTTAGTGTTTTTTAGTTTAAAAGTAAGTATAATATGTAATTATGTGATTTTTTGGCAAGTTTTATAACTTTCTATGAAGTTTTTGACCAATTGCTTTAGCTCTAAACTTTTCAACCAAAAATTTTATCTTTCGCCTTATCATTGCTACTTTCAGGCGACAGATGAGGACCCCGGTGAACATGATCCTCACCGCGATGGCTTGCTGCGACACGGTGGTCCTGTTCTCGAACCTCATCTACACTACGCACTATACGTTCGTGGCGTTCGCGAATTGTCATCCGCGACACTGGAGCTACGGTTGGGCACTGTTCCTAGTCTCCCACGCCCATCTCTCACTCGTGGGACACACTTCCAGTGTTTGGTTGTCCGGTCAGTACCATTCCCTCGTAGCATTACTTTTTGTTTGTTTTAGTTATGTTGGCTCTGATTCGATATCTGACTCTCCGGAACCGAGGGAGAATGTCCGGCATGCAGGTGAGTACGAAGTGGACGGTGCAATCACAAAGTATAGTACTAGTCTTTAGTACTTTAAGATAATTTAAGCATTAGGTCAAAAATTACATAGAAAACATATGAGTAAGGTAATATGACATCACTTTTGATTTTATTTTTAATTTTTGGTCAAAAAGTCTATAGAATGTCTTTCGAAACTTATTTTTATTTACTTCCTTAAACCATTAACAGTTACCTAGTACCTTTACAAATGTCACTTCCTTCCTTAACATACCGTTATCACTCACCCAATCAGAACCCATTGTTTTCTGTTTGTAAAGAAAGTTTTTTCGATTTCAAAAGAATCCAAAAATATTTTGTGACCTTTGTGTTTACTGCACTGTAAATACGGAGGGATTTATATGTTAAGCATCTTAATGTGAGCTTTACTTTAAAGCCAATTGTAACCCATAAGGTTTCGTATTAAGGATTGTAGTTTACAACATGGCAAGTGTAATATCCAAAGGTATCGTACGTTTTGTGCTTCAGGGTTTGAAGAGTTTCGAAGCTGCAAAGTTTTGTAAGGTAATAGGTAATATTAGGAGCACTGAAGGTAATCATCCTGTTTAAAACAATATTTTAGTAATTAAAAATTGATTATTTGTTAAAAAGCTATTTGAAATTGAAAAGACAACAAAAATCACTGAATTTGCATAAAACATTATTTCCACGCACTTTTAAAGCAAAACAATACCTAATCTCAATATTTACAAACAAACTAACACAATATACACCTTCAGATCGGCCTCAAACACTCGTACATCTCGATAGCAGCCGTCATCTTCTTCGTCCTCATCATGAACTCTCCCAACTTCTTGACTTACAAGATCATAGAAATGCCACTCAAGTACACATGTACAATAACAGATCCATCGGTAACAGCAGCCTTGGCCTACTTTCCAGAAGTCTCCGACCTAGCCTTGGAAACGAACTGCCTAGTCTTCCGGATGGCCTTCTGGATCTCTGGTACCATCTTCAAGGTACTACCATGCATGTTACTCACTCTGTTTGTCTGGTTACTCACCAGGATCCTGAACGAAGTCAAGGAAAACAGAGCCAGATTGCTCAAGGGGTCAGTCAAAAACGGGAACTCAGTCCAGCCGAACGGCCTGAATAGGATACCTGATGTTAGGAAGGATTCTAATCAGTCGTTGGCACCTCTGTCGAGGAATATCAGGTCGAATTCAATAAGGTAAGTTGCGATGAGTGTTAATCCTTGACTTTAAAGCTTATATTTTGTCAAAATATTTTTAAAAATATTTATTTCGTTGTTTTTAATGTATAATTTTTAAGTTTTTTGGGTAACAATCATTAATTTCAGGGGAAATCGAGCTAGCGGACGTGCTGATCGAACGACGCGGATGCTATTGGCGATTGTATGTGTGTTTTTGGTGACAGAACTGCCTCAGGGTATAATGGCGGTGCTAATAGGACTGTTGTCTCAGGAATTCCGAAAGAATGTCTACAACAATGTCGGCGACATCCTCGACCTGTTGTCGCTGTGTGAGGCGTGTACCTCGTTTATCATTTACTGTTCTATGAGTGGGCAGTTTAGGAATGTGAGTTTGTCATGTTATGTTAGTGATTTTCTTTTCAAATTTCAATTTTTTTTTGAAATTTTTGATTTTTTTTAAATTTAAAAATTTGAATTTTGAATTTGTAGGAATTCCGCCGAGTGTTCATCCCAGCCCAAGTGAGTTGCTGGTGGTCGCCTCAGACGGCGCGTCGCTATTCAGATGCTTTGTTCTCCAAAACCGGCAACCAGTTTTTGCAGGTAGATCAGGGTAACGCCACCGACCGGTCGATAACCATGTCGTTGGTGGAGATGTCTAAGCACTCAGCACGACGACTTAGTGCTGACAAGATGGAAGAGTCGCCGTCGTACTCGAGGGCGTCCTCATCCGAACACCGACGGTCTACACAATTCTCGGACCGAGAGCTGGTCCAGTCCAACGGACAGGAAATGTCGTATTTGCTCAGTCCAACGGAAAACGGGTCCTTCCAATAGAAGCGGTCTTTCAACTACGGGTATCAATGATCTAAATAATTTGCATATTTTACAGTATTCAAGAGAAAGTAAATGTATGATTTATGAAAGGAGTGGTGATCTTTACATGGTTTATGTTATCTATGGGTAGTTTATGTCTAACAATGGCTTCAGGCAGGCGGTAGAGTTTTTTTAGGCAGTAGAGTTGGCATTTTTATATTGGATTAGTCTTTTTGCTTATTTATTCGTTATCAGACACTTAAAGCACATTTGTTATAGTTTTGCATGGTTTAAAGTTTAAAGATTACAATTATCTCTGCACTTTTACTACAATGTAGCCTACTTATTGTGTAGGTTTCAATTGTCTGTTACTAAAGACTTCTTCTAGTTTATTTTAAGACCGTAGATCAAAGTACAAGTATATCTTATTATATTTGTCATTCAGTTTTTTATACATTTTTGTGTAAATATCAAGAACGCTTAGTTCAAGCCTTTCAAAACACTCGTATTTTAGAGAAAATGCCTTGGATTTTTATGTCCTTTTTTTGCTTACAAATCCTTTTGGGTAATAAAAGCGCAAAACATAGTATTTTTAAAACATAAAATGGAATTAGATGGAGTTGCTATCTCACGATCGCATATTACTCTGACAATTAAAGTTTTATGGCTGTTTTACTACTTGTTGTCGCCTGATATTAGTCAAGTTCCAGGTTTTATGGCCATTTTTTGTCATCACAAGATTGCTTTGCTCAATTAGTGCTAACTTTCTAATCGTTTTTGATATAACTGCGACAACAACAATGAATAAAAACATATGTTGGTGTAAAGTAAAATAAAGTTTTTAGTATTTTAAGTTACTTTTTGGTACTATAAAAGCTTAGAAAAGCTAAAACATGAGTTGAATATACCAGAATCAACATAAAATCCATCAGAATGGCGACAAGTTTACTTTAACTTATGCAAATGTGGCAGTAGCTGAAATATAAATAGTGTGAGCGTGGGTCAGCGCCTGGGGGGATCGGATCGGAAGGTGACGTCGCTTAAGTCGCAGCGATTCATGGAATGCTGGATGGACTCCAGTTGTGTAGCCGATCGTGCGTCGGCGGGGACGGCGTGCCGTGCCGGCAGATTGTGTGCGAATTCGCCTTTAATAAAGCCAATTAAGCCTAGAAAGGGCACTTACCCGGCGTATTCGAATTGCCTCCGGGCCTATAAAACGCGACAATGGCCAGACAATTCTTGGTCGTATTCCAGTGGCGGGCCACGCCGAGCTCCACCGAGGATTGCCAGATCAGCTGGGTGAAGTTTTTGCATTCTGAAGGCATTAGGTTGATTAAAAATTGCATACTTTTGTTTTTTTAAATTTAATTAGGGTAATATTTGATTTTCAAGAATAATTTACGTCCTTTCTGCTTAATTATTGACCTACTTATGCTCCAATGTGGATTCTCAAAGTCAAAATTTTCGGCTTCTTTAGCCCATTCAGCGACAATCTCACTGCCAGTAGTCAGGTGATCTCCCGTTTCGTGAATAACAAGGTGAATGTTCTCTCCAATGCCTAAAAGTCTTCAAAGTAAAAGCCTAAAATGCCCCTCACCTATAAAAAAAGATGACAATTTAAAAACTTTAGTTTCTAATATTGCTTTTATAAACAATACGTAACCAAACCATACTGTTTTACATAACTCACCAGGTAATTCCGGATACATAACTCTGCCTCGATCAGCCAAACTCGTGGCCCAACTCTTGGCCAGATCTGCCAATTCTTGTGACCAAATCAAAGCACTAGATCCATACTTTTCCCTCACCAAGTTGTGGGCTTCAATACACTGTCGCTGAAAGTTGGCATCAACTACAACAACCTTACACTATGCTGCCATTACTTACCGACTGCTGTGAACTTTGGTCTCCTTTTTACGTATTTGACATCCGTTATAGTCTGCATCATGGCACGGTCTAGTTCTGGGTCAGCACGAGCGTTCTCAGCACCTGCCGAGGATGTCGCGTCCATAAAACTGTGACATTCTTCTATGCGACAGCTTCTGAAGAGTTTTGGCAATTTTACTTTGAAAAATCATTTTTAATATTTAATAGCACAGTAATCGCTTACTTTGTAGTAAAACTCAAAATTTGGCTTAAAATATTTTTATAAAATTTTAAAATTAATTCGTATTTTATTTAAAATTGAACTTTATACAGTCCTTTTCTTACCTCGTAGCATCAAAGGTTTTGCTCGGTGCTATATGAGCACCACCGTTACTAGTACCCGCTTGTATCACATCTGTCGAATCTTCTTGGACGGATTTTGATTTTCGGAGGTTTTTCCGACCAAAGATACGTTTTATCATAATGCTGTAAAGGGCAGGGCATTATTGTATGATAACGCTGTTTTTCTCAATTAATGTTTACATATCTATTTCACGCAATGAGTTATGAATATAATGTCATTTGATACTTGGAGTAAAGTGAGTATTTCATAAAACAGCTAGCCTAGCTGCAGCTCAATTCAATTAGATGACGTACTCATCTAATCAGAACGTGTGTAATATTGCTTTTTATGTTATTTTGGCAAAGGGAGGTAAAGACTAAAGATGCTTTTTGTTTCTACTTACTTCTTGACCAGCTCATGACTTTTTTCATGTTTCTACTTACTTCTTGACTAGCTCAAATCATTTTTCATACTTTTACTAGACTATGCCATTTTAAAACAAAAAATGTTTGTAAACCAAATTTTTATGCAAATCTCATAAATTATGAACGAAAAATGCAAATTTGGGTGAGAAAGAATGTCCGAAAGTCTACTCACAACAAGATTTGTTGTGTTAATGTCTCCCTCGTAAATCAAAAAGTAATCCAAGCAAATAAAAAACAGACACATGCTCGACAAACAGTGTTTGATGATAGAAACGGCAGGTAGTATTATACTGAGTTGGTCATAAAATATATAGAGAAAATTTTTAAAAAGGCAAATTTTAAAATAAAAACAAAATTCTGAAAGTTTTGAATGATAAATCATAATAAAATGGTTTGGAGATAGAATAAAACGGCCTAGGAAAGCGAATATATAAAAATAACTTGACGTTTACTGCCTTAAAAATAAGGCAGTAAACGTCATCAACTTGCCATAATTATTACAAAAATAGTGATATATGATAAAAACGTAAAAAAATTAGAAAAAAGAAAGAAATGATACCAATATTTTAAGAATACAATAAGTAATATAAACAAAAGCCAAAAAATGCCACATTAAACAGTATGAAACACGAAAATACGACCCCAAATAGAGAAAGTAATGTCAGTAAAACTCCCGAGAGAACGGCCCAACGACCTCAGGTCGAGAGCCAATTTGTCGGTTGGTTAGGCGTTCAAATTGACTGTGCCCGTTTGGCGCAAAAGATAAGCTTGAGTGCCGGAGCCGGCTTCACCAACCCCCCTCCCGGAATGGACCCAAGAAGGTTGCGGTTTTTATGAGCTGCACTGCTTTGAATAAATGGCAGGCCGTGTCGTTTTTCTCAAGCCAGAAGCCTCTGACTCTGTGGGGCCTGAGGGCGTCTTCGGAGCCGCCCGCCTTCTTCTTCTTGACCGGCACGAAAATGGCTAGCATCCTGTTGCGGTCGGTTCCATTCTGGTTTTTTCCCCCCAAAAGGGGCCTTAAAGAGTTCTCCCCCTCCCTCCTCCAAATTGCAAAATAAACCGCCAAGAACGGCACCACCACCTGCATAAACAACAAAGAGCGGAACATATTGTTGCTTTAAAGTTATTCTAAACATGTTTTAGACCTAAACTAAACATTTGGACACGTTTAAAAGACCATAGAGGGAGGATAATACCTTTTTTCAAAGTTTTTAACGATCAAAAACGTTTATAAATTTAAAAATTAAGAAATACTAATCTTCGCTAAACGTGCTGTTACACTCATGTCATAACCAGCTTTTCGAGGCTTACTGTTTGATTTATAATAGCGAGAAACAAAATATATGGTCTAACTTGCAAACACCACCAGAAATATGGCCCGTTTACATTAAAATTCGTCCGAGAATAACCAAAAAGTTAAAGATATAGGCTATAACAAACGCCACAAGTATAATATTATTCTGAATTGATGACATTTGCTATCAATAGGTGACATTAATCACAACAAACTGCCAATATTATTTATGTTTTTTCTCTAGTCAAACATGTAATCTCAAAACCAAACGTTTCAATGCCATTTTAGCCTTAAACACTACGTACGTTTGTTTAAAAATGTCATTTTATTAACAAATTTAAAATTTTTTTGTAAATTTTGGTCCCACCACGAAAGCCTGTACTAAAACACTCAAGAGTGACCATTAAAGAGTCGTAAAACAAAGTGAAAGCCAACACCGAATGTCTCTAAACTGTAAAAAACACAAGCAGAAAGGCCTCAAAACAATCACCGGCTGACAGCGACAGCCGCCCTCAGGCTATCCGAACGTGATTTACGTGCTGAGTGCAATTAGTCGCAGCGATGGGTGGCGGGTCATTAATTTGGAAGCGGTTTGATGCCTCGGGGTCAGAGGCTAGATGTCTGTTCGACTACTTTGGATCTGGGTTCTTGTCGAAAGTAAGTAATATTAGTCGAGAGCAAGGTGGAGAAGTGAGAATATTAGTCGAGAGCTAGGTCGAGAAGTGATATCTATAACATTGATCTTGTTTTAGGTGGATTAAGCCAGGTCTTGATTAAAAACATTGTTTTTGATGATGTACAGCTGTCAAAGGTAAGAGATTTGTCATCAATAATAACTACTTTACAACTAAACTCTTATAGTATTACAATACTCAAAACATGAATAATATAGTAATTTTACATACACCTAACACATTAAATAACTGTAAGCTTAACTTATGTTTAGATAGTATTCTTTGACAACACGACCTTATACGACGATGTCACTTTTCTGGATCAAACTGTGCAAAACTTAACGTTAAAAAGTGACCAACAAGATGTAGTTAATGCTACAGAATCTCCAGAAATCCCAGAAGCTCTATTTCTAGACCTTCTGCTCATTGCTGATCTCTCAATGTACTACAAGTTCTCGGAGTTATATCCATACAACTCAAATTCAGCTTACTTTGCTCTTCAGGATTACCTCAGGGTTATATTCGATCAGGTAGGTATACTGTAATCATGAAAAGAGCCTGTTGAGTTTGGCTTGGTCTCTTCTTATATATTGTGCATTGAATCTATAGTACGACGCTTAGTTTTGTTGTTTTAATATTAATATGCATGAATAGCAATGTTAATAGTATTAATGTTAGCAAAACAATTGAATAATCGATTTGTTACCAAATTTCAGATATATTCGATTTACTACCGGTTGATTTTCTTTGAAAAAACCAGAATCTTTTTAAGACTGGCGGGTACCCTGCCTATCTTCAGAGTAGATGACTGCCCATTGCAACGTATCAGTAACGCCAATTACTCTGACACTAATGAGACAACACACATATCTTTGTAAGTATATGCAGTTCCACGATTGTCATACCAAAGTGTATATCATACTATGAAAGTGGGCTATCCGAACGTGATTTACAACACCGTAAAAGTAAAATACGAATAAATATAACTAACAAGCTATTACTACTTCAGAATCCCAGACTTCTCTTCTGTAGACGCCTTAGATTCTGTCCACACAATACACGACTGGCTACAAGAACATAAGGCGGTGTTACCTAAATACGACCATGCTATTGTTTTTACCCGGTAATTTAATTGTTATGTGTATAGTAAAAATCAAGATTTTTCATCATTTTTCAAATTAACAAAATTAATTTTTTAGGCGAGACTTAATGTCACAAAACAACGAAAGTGCTACACAAGGAATGGCATATGTTCGTGCGATGTGTAGAGGAGAAGATTCCGTTTCTGTAGTTGAAGATGTTGGAGGACTGACTACGGTAGCTATTGCGGCCCATGAAATGGCTCATAGGTTAGTTATCCGGGATATTCTGACTCATCTTATCTTTTTGCGTATACCACCTCATTTACACTTATGTCATCCTTCTAAACCTAATTTTACTACTTATATAATTGACCTTATTTTAGCTTAGGTTCATTCCACGATGGAGCAGGCAACAGCTCCATCTGTGGACCAGCACTGAACTTTCTGATGGCTCCACAGACTTCTGGGAACGAATTGAATCAGAACTTTGGAAACAGCTTTCTGTTAAGTGAATGTTCTCTAGAACACATTGAAGACTTCCTAAAGTAAGCACTGCCAACTGTAGTTAATACTTTAGGTCTTCAGAATCCGACTGTTTGAAGAAGAATATCGCAAGGGCAAGACCAGATGTCACAAGTAAAAGGAGGACCAAGAAGGCTGGAGAGATCTTCGACAGAACCATGCAATGTAGGATTGCGTTTGGCAATAGCTACGGAAAATGCTCGGTAAATTTTTTTAAATGTTTTTTGTACTGTAAAACAATAAAATCGACATAAAAGGTAACTTTTTGAGGCTACAGTAACATAATACATTCAATTTTTTCAGAGGAACGATTTCAGCTACTGGAAAGTAGATCCATGTAGAAGACTATGGTGTCAAAATCGGAAGAAACCACGGTATTCTACATGTGAGACGAAGGCATTTTTACCGGTTATGGACGGTACTGCTTGTGGAATTGGAAAGGTACCGTTTAATGTCAAAAGTCTTATTAGAAAGCTATAAACGATGACTAAAATTTAAAAATATCAATTCTATTTACTTTTTGACCTATAAATAACGTTCATCAAATTATAACACATCTCAGTCTTACTGTAAAAGTTACATTTTAGTGGTGCCTACGAGGAGACTGTATCAAAAACGAGAACTACATGACAGAAGAATGTATCGATCTACGTGAGGATTACTGTAGGCGTTTCAAACAAGGTGATCAACGACGATACTGTGTAGCCAAGAGTATCAAAGGTATATGTTGCCGAACATGTCAGCACTACGATCCTGATGTGAAGAAGATCAGCAAACTACGGAGTAAAGAAGTCACCAGAAGACTCATTATCAAAACGGATTTGTGATCACATTGTTAATGTTATACTGAGCTGTTGAAATAAAGAATAAGAAAATCCATTAATTCTTTCACCTTTTTATATAATACTAGATTTAGTAAACGTTTAAACTGTAAACCAAGTTTATTACAGTAAGACCATGAGGTGCCTAGTTTATTGCTATCGCGTTTCTGCCAGCTTGAGGTTTCATATCATCCAGAGACTTGGGTTCGTCTTCCATTACTCTGATACGGCTGATGATAGCCTAAATCGATTAAAATAGTTCAAAAGCAGCCTTAAATGTTACTTTCTTTCAGATCTAACCCCCAAACCATTAAAACCCTATTTAATTCTAATTTCTCCCAACTCACCCTGTGATTAACACTGTCCAATATCAATATCGCCCCCATATTTCTGAAATTGTCCAAGAAAGCCGCCGCTGACCATACCGTAATCATCTCGGCGGGGTACTGTAATATGCCGTCAAACACGACCTGTCGACTTCTAATCATCATTCTGAATCCGTTTGCCTTCAGAAACTTCTGAATTTCCCTTTCTCCGAAGACTGGCGATCCATCCTTGAAGCGATTAAACCTGTCGGAATTAGGCCTAAACGCTCCCCAAACGCACTCTTGTTCCATAGCGAAATCAAGCGAGCTTCTGGCAGGCTTCCGATGCTTCCTGAGGCCATGAATCCCTCTCTTCAGAAGCTGAGGCCCGATGCCACCGTGAACACAGAAGTACTTGTTAGAGATGACAGCAGCGATCGGTAGCTGATTCACAACGTTCACGATGCGTTGCCAAACCATGGAAGTCTTGAAGAGCCCGCGAAGGTACATACCTTCTATGAATTCGTGAGCCTACAATAATATTTTGAAAATTGTTGTTTTTGTAACAATTTAAAAAAAACTGTGTATGATTTCCGAAAAATGTGTTTACTGTAATATAAAAATATAATTAGGTGTATATTTAGGCTTACTTTCATAGCGAAGGGATCCTCCAGTCCGCCCTTGAGGATATAAATGTGATTTGGGTATTTTATCTTAAGTGCCAGAAGCAGAAAGAGACATTCGTGAGGGCCAAATCCTTGTCCAATGTAATTACCGAGGAACAAAAATACATTTTGAGGTGGCATCTCGACCAAACTGATAAGACTTAAAAGACTGTCCGCTTGACCTTGTAAATCACCAAAAATAATTACAGTACCCTAAAAATACGTTACTGTAACATTTTGTTTCGAAAAAAACTTGTCAAAAAATAAACAACGTAAATAACATAATAAATACAAAAGCATTAAGTATATAAAGACTTACATCCAAGTCAACAACAGAATTCTCAGCCATAAGGATCTCCTCAGCACGAATCAGAATCTTCAGCACCGTAGAGGTCGGAAACGCCATTGGAGCACTTTCAGAGTATCCGTAGATGAAGGCCCATATGCTTCTGATCAACTGATCTACTTCATCCTCCTTCTTCTCATCTACTGGACCGTGATGTTCAAAAACCGGAATCTTTCGTTTCGATTCTCCAGAACTCTGGGCAACAGACGCGTCGGCCGCCATTTTACAAAACAAAATAAAGTTTTTTCAATTTCAATCTCAAAATCACATCTTTTACAACATTGCAATGCATTGTCAATAAAAATGAAACTTTTTCAAAAAAATTGAAACGCAAACAGCCAAAGAATGTCCACTAAAAACCAATATTTTAGATCAAAATCGCCCTTTACCTTAACAAAACAATCTCATCAACAAAATAAAACTTTATTTTTACCCAATAAAACTCTCATATAAATATTACAGTAATATCTTGTTCAACATTGGTCGTGGAATGCCCTCTCTATTGACGACTATAAATGGGTGTAATATCTGTATGTTGTGAGAGTGGACCTGTTAATGCAGTTATCTGAATATCTATCTAATTTAGAAACGACGACCCGTGTAAAATACAATAGAACCAGCTCTGTAAATTGTGTTATATGATAGACTTCGGCTACACCACAGACTCGGGTTTGGCAGCTAGGATCGACTCCTGTTGATTCATTTCTTCTTGTTGAAGACTCTGAAACAGTAAAAGGTAGATTCAAGTTGTTTAAAAAAGTAAAAGCAAATTAAAACTGTTACTTTGATGTATTTTTTATTTACTATACACAGGCTTTACCTTATTTTACACATTTTTCGACGAAATTATTCGAAAAACTGGCAATTATTCAAATGTTATGACTACGACAATATAAATTATAGTCTCTGTAATCGCGTACCTGTCTGAACTCTCTCTCTAGCACCTCGTTCTGCTCGTTGTGCTTCTTCTTCATCTGCTCTACGTTCCGTTCGCGTTTGATTTGGAGTCGTTTCCGCTCCTCCATGAATAATTTAACGTTCTTCTCATTCAACTCCCTGATTCGTCTATCCCGCTCGGCTTTGCTCATGTTTCGATCCTGAAATAACGTACTGTCCCATTCTGTCGTGCACAATTTCCGTTCTCGAGAAAACGTTTTTCGAAAACAAAAAAAATGTTTGCAGAATAAATCGATTGTGACATTTCGTTGGTTTTCGAAGATGGGACAAAATTTGTAAGTTTTGACAAATTTTTGTTTTTACTCTAATTTGTCGATGAAATAATATTTTTTTAGTTTACCTGTTGAAGAGCTTTGGTGTCATCCATCGACTTCTTGGTCTGATTAAGCCTCATGTTCTTCAACTCTTCATCAAACTTCTTGTTCAAAACAGTTATTTGACTCTTCTGACCATCTATCAGCAGTTTCCTGTAATGCCGAGGTTAGTTTTACTCTTTCTTTATCCAGATTTTTTAAGGAACTTGGAATTTGAAGTTTTATCCCAAATAATGTGTATTTACTTACTTGAGCAGCTCGAATTCTTCCTTGATATGACATTTTCTCTGCTCGAACTCTTCTTGTTGTTGTTTCTTGACCAGTCCAGACCATTCGTCGGTCTGAATTGTGATGAGGGACCTCATCTACAAAAACATAGTATTATCCATTCTTTAACATTTTAGCACCTTTTGCTGTAACATATTACTTTATGTCTTGTAAATGTGAACACTTTTTACCCTTTGGTCGATCTGGACTCCACTTTGTGAATCAGAATCCTTGTTTGACAACGATGCATGTCTGCTTCCGTTCGTACTCGAATTCTTCTTCTTTTTCTTGGAATCTCGAGCAGAGTCACCGACTAGTCGGTCGATGCTCATCTGTTGTTGCTTCTGAATCGCGTCGCGCTGCTTCTGATGCCTCTTCTTCATTTCCTCCAGCTCTTTGCCAAACTTTTTATTCAATTTTACAAAGCTCTTCTCTTTTTCAAGTCGCTCAAGTTGATGGGTTCGGACTGAAATAATGTTTTATAGGGATAGGATATAGACCATTTGACTTGTTAATTTATGGTTATTCTCATCAATGAAAGCCAATATTAACAACTTTGAGAATATTGTAGTAGGTATGTGTTTGCTGTAACAATATTGTGTTTAAGACAGGGTAACCGGTGTAAAACGGGGTGAATCTTTAAAACGGGACACTTTTGTAGCTAACCTCGGTGGAACGGAAAAGGCTACACGCCCGTGAGAACCGGCGTCTGGCTCCATCTAGCCGTGGACTGCCTGGAATGGGACTAGGTGGTCTCAAGTGACCAGTCCCCATGTGTACGGTCAACTCATTCGATCCCCTTCGACCGCCAGAGTATGTCTAGAGGTTTTTTGTTTATGTGTTATTTACAAATGTATGTTATCGTGTCGCTTACCTTGTATCTATTATCAGAACTGGCTTCCGTAGCCACCCGCGCCGTCTGATTACCGTTCGACCCGACCACAGGCGACGAAACCGCCGTCGATGGTCGGATTTCTTGCGATTGTTGTTGAGGCGTGGAAGCGCCGTTCGCTTTCTGTTTAGCATCTGGTTTGTTTGCTTTGTTGGAATCTTTTTTGCTGGCCGCATTGGTGGTGGAAGAAGGAGCCACCTCGACGATGTCATTGTCATCAACCCCCATGTTGTGCAGGGCTTCCTTTCGCTTCTCTTGAGCAGATAAGTAAGCGCGAGGATCAGCCAAAGCATCGACTAGGCCACTCAACTCATCAGGTACGTATGTTTTCAGCACGAGATGGACAAACAATGTGGACAGTGTCATAGGCATGTTGGACTCTGTTCTGAGCGAGATGTGGCGATAACCCGACTGGAGACCGTCCAACGGTAAAATACGTTGACCGATTTGTTTACCGCTTTCGTCGTAAACAGCAAATCGTAGTACGGCCAGTTCAGGTAGTACTACCTTTCTAAACACGAACGGATCTTCATTGTAAATAGGGTTGAGACCGTTGGCCGGTACCGTTTTGGTCCTGTGTTCTTTTCTTATCGTGTCAGTTGGTAGACCGTACATTTCTACCTCAACATAGGTGCCTGCTTTCCTTTCACACAAAAACTGACCAGAAATTACCTGAAATGTTTAATTGATAACTGCTGTTTGCCAAAAAGGTTAGAGTTTCGAATTTTTTGACTTTTTTAAATAGGATTTTTCAAAATTAGTTAAAACTTACCCGTACTGAACAGTGAGCAGCAATAACACCATCTACTGGCGACTCTGAGAACGGGTCGAACGTTCGGTCAGGTCGCCGCATAAAGTCAGGCTTCAAGAGGTATCCGGTTTGACCATTGTAATCAAATTTTCCCTGATTCAGTTGCATACACACATCTGGCGTCTGGAAGTTGAGCGACACCATTTGGCAGCCGGTGTTCCAGAAGATCTGTGGGAGGAAGTTGGAGGAATCCACCCGAGCTCCTTTCGGGTATATCCGAGAGAGTTGTCGTTTGTTGTAGTTGACGAACTCGGGAGCCGACTGCTTTAGGTACCCCAGACCCGTACTTTCGGAGAATGATGACATGTGAAAATGAAGATCGTTGGCTGAAAGCGATACGTTTTATAATGATTTTTGAAGTTTACTACTAATTATTTAGTAAATGTTCGTAGGATGATGTAAATCCTACCTTCAGCAACATCAAAGCCCGAGAATTTAACTGGATGTGTGTAATTAACAAGTGTAGACAACAATGGGTGAATGGTTGTGGTGGCTCCAGTATAATTATACTCGGCAAAGATGCGTTCCTCTTCCTCTTTCGTTAAAATTGGCTAAAAACATAATTTCATTGACTGGCTAACGCGGCCGCAACGAAAAGCACACCAGGAAAAGTAGCGGACACGATCACAGACGAGAATACCAGTGCAAAACAGGACTAAGCAACCAAAAAAGTAAAACAAATGCCTTTTTGGACTTGGACGCTCGATGCGACGAGGACCGTTTTGGAGCGGCGTCGAGGAGAGCGGCTGAGATGGAGTGGTCGGCTGGCTCGGCGGACGGACGGCGGAACGATCGCTTGTCACGGCCAAGCTGCAGAATGTTACTAATCTTGCCGCTGCTTTGGGCCTCCTTCACCTCCAGGTACATCTGCTGATCCCACTGCGGAGGGGTTTGCTGACGAATAAGGAAGAAAGCTTAGTTTAAAAGGCATGTACATATTGCTTAACCCGTTACCGTAATCAGTACAAGTTACTTTTTCAAATTAAAAGTTTTTGGTTCGAACGAAAATTAAACGGAAATGAGAAGTGCTCATCAAAGAGATGCTTAATGTGGTTTAAAACTGAAATATTATTCGATTTGAAACTCAACAAAACAAAAGAAAGTTTGAAGAAGTGCAAACATATTGTTAATGTAACCTAGTACTCAGTAATGCCCACTTAGTATGGCAAACCAACCTGCTGTTTTTTGGCGAATCCCAGAGGCTTCAGCTTGGATATAAAGTTAGTCTGCTTCAATTCAGGATGAGCTTCATCCGGAATCTTCAGATCACCTAAAACAAATGATTATGATTGGAAGATGTGTCAAATCAATATTAGTATACTCGAAATGTTAATCCCATCTAGTTTTAGTAACTGTAAGGTGCTGTGGAAGGGAAATGGTTGAGAACGAAGGATTAATAACCAAGAAATAAGAAAACAAACCGATTTGCGGCCGGACGTTTTCCTGCACGGGGGTCAAGTGTTCGTGTTCAGGATGAGCACGCTGATCAGAAGCTGAAAATACCGGGTGCACATCACTATAGAAAACAAAAATGGAAAGAGTCAATCACCGGAATAGTGCATCAACAAAAAGAGGACCAACAACAATGACAACTACCAGCACAACAACCAAAGAGCTCCAGAAGTCTCAACACGGTCTGTTGCCAGCCCGCATCAGAAGCTTCTGGTAGTACTCTTTTAATCACCGTCACACCTGTTCCTGTCGGAGTACTGGGCAAGCATCCACTCCCAGAGCCGGAGCCATAGCCGTTGCGTCCGCCGGTGGGGGGCGAGCTGGTGGACGATGACTTCATACTCGACGTCATGTGTCTAAACGGGAATCGAGGGGAACGTCCCCCAATCGACCGACTGGAGTTGGAGCGGTCGATGACGACGTCAGAAGCACTGGACTGTTTTTGGCTTCCCCTATATTTGCGAGCATCACCACCAAACGCAGCAAGCAACAGCGACTTCGAGTCGATCGAGTTGCGAGGCGACGACTGCCTCGAGCCACAAGGACCGCTAATAGAGGCGAAGGTCCTTGAGGCACTCGGAGTCAATCGGCCACAACTAATCGGGTGATTAATAGAGCTTTGAGTTGTTAATTGACCTTCATGAGAGGTGTTGGCGAGGCGAGGTGCTGGTGAGGCGTTGGAGGATTCGCGGTCGTGCTCGTCGTCAGTCATCTCGCATTCTTCCATTTCTATATAATAAGGTGAAGGGAACGTTAGGACAAAACTTAAAAGGGGGGCAACCGGGACACCAAGATTAAGGGGGGAGAGTGCAGAACCCAGATAAATGATATGTGGCCCGATTGTGCTCCTAGACTTATACAAAAGCCATCAAGCGGTGTCACTTGTCTCCCGAGTAGCTAACTTACGTGACGAAGCCGTCTCTTCGCCCAGACCGACGACCTCGGGAGTCTCGCTGACCTCGTCTTCTTCGTCCAGCTTTCCTTCGCGTAAGAACTGCTCCATCTGGTGCTTCTCGATGTCAGCTTTTAGTCTCTTGTTCTTGATCAAGATCTTTCGCCTCAGCCTGTTTGGGGAAGGAAGTGGTACCCCTGGTTCTAGCTGCAAATTTAAATTAAAATGAAAGACGATGACAGTGAGACTTCGTCCATGAAATAATCAGCAAACCTACCGGGAAATCTTCTAACGGCTGCGACAACAACATATCTCCGAATATCTCCATACAGTACTTCGCCATTTTGAGCTGATTTGAGCGACAACAGTGATTTTCGAACGACAGAATCACAGGGAAATCTGTCCGTGCGAACGCCGTGTCTCTGATTTGGTACAAAACATCCTAAACCCATTCATTTGTAATGTGTATATTGGTTACCTTGAAGAAGACGTCCGTGCACATGGCCATACCGTGAGTAATGATAGGTTCACCCTTGTTCTCGCCGTTACCGTCCCAACAGTCCAACTCTATACAACGACACCCTGACAGTAGTACTTGGCGGTAAATTTCGGTAGAACTCTTTCCACCGTACTGGCGTCCTGATAAGTATGTGTTGTGGGAACTAAATGAATTCGTAATTAGATTCATAAAACTTTTATGATAAGGTTAACATAACCTCAAGATAAGCTACAATATTACCTGTTGATGTAGTAATGGCACAAAGGCTGGTCCATGTCCTGGTACAGCTCAGTCCGGTCAAGAAACACTGGGGAGTTTTCATCGTTCATCAGAAACCTCAAGAAGCCGTCTCCAGACATCTTCCCTTGATTAATGTAGCTGTCGTCGGTCTCGTACTTGGTGATCAGCTGTTGTACTCGATCATGGTCAAAGTGGGGGAACAAGATCTCATTCAGGCGAGGATCTCGTTGTTCTTCGTTCAAGAAGTTGATCAGCTTGTCACGCGTTAAGTATTCCTTCTGGCCGGACCTGGAACAGTCAGTGAGACGCTGCTTGTAATATATAATTAGAAGAATATAAATAATTCAAAGGTGCTTACAATTTAACAAATAGCTCCTGCACCTCGGTCCGCGGACAGATCTTGTGATACAACCTGAGGAACTTCTCGAAGGTAAACAGAGCCACGTCTAGCTCTTCCCTCTCCTGTAAATAATGTATAATGTCCATACGGCAATGTCAACAACGTCACTACCACAAAAGAACGATACCTTATGCTTGTGTTTTCGGGCTGTACCACAACTGTATATGGCCCGAAAACTACGAGACCAACGACCACGCATCACACGACCAGTAACCATGAACTAAAACAACAATCACGATACAACACCACTACAGTCACAACACCGCCAGTCGCCATATCAACTTACCTTGTCCCCAGCCAGGCCTAGATCTGTCAGACATTTGTGTACCATTCGTTCTGGCTTCCCGCTGGCGAAGGTCTTTATGATGCTACGCAACGGAATCTTACCACGTTCATTGGTCGATAAGGTTAAGAGTTTCCAGCTGAAGTTACAATTGTAAAGCTATTGTAGTATACTGTCAGTGTATCTGTTTACGACTTATTTTTAGAAATGTCGTTGTCATGTTATACACAACCGAAAACTACAAATAATGCCTACAATACATAATTATAGAAATGTAGTGTTTACAATATTACACTAGTAAAATAGTAAGCTTACTGTTTTTGTAATGAGATCATGGGGTTGCAGTGCCGGAACTTGTAATTTCTGATGAGTTCGTTAATTAGGTATCGCCATTCTCGTGCGATTTGTGCTGTTTTGGCGATGAGGAAGAGACTGTTAACATTGACGAGGTCTTGGCCGTACGTGATCCACACCGTGCGCTCTTCGATCGGCTCCTTGGCCCCTCGTTGTTCGAGATCATACAAAATCCTGGCATCTTTAATGGTTCCTGACGATCTGGCTTCCCAAACCTGCAAGTAAACACTCATTATAAGCCTACAAAAGATAATACTGAAAGATAAGAAATATGCTAAAAGTAACTGTACTGCTGTGATACTGACCTGTACGAGATCGAGTACTCCGGCATCTTTGCCTTTCGGGTTCCAAATAATGTAGAACCCGCACTCTTCAAAATATACATGACACGACAAGTCCAGAGTGTTGCTTTCGTCGTCGAAGCGATCGAACACGTCGCCCTCCACCAACTGGTCAGGTAGTTTGCATCGCCAGTTGAACTGATACTCCTTGGCCATGTTTAGTTAGCGGGATCGGCCAAAGGCCGATGCCCAGAAGGTGGGATCAATGGCCTGAGGCTGATTAATGGGAAAAACAAAAGAAGAAAGAGGGAGAGACGATATGGGCCCGTCGCTACTCGTCTTAGCATCAGCCAAGAGGATACCCCGAGATGGTTTGGGGCGAGCCTACAACAACATAATACAGTAACGAACCGACCCGAAAGGCCGAAAACCGCGCTCGATTTCTACACTTTGAAGGCACAAATAACTTCTTTAACCATCAACTCGCTAAACTCGAAACCAATGAAAAGTTGTATCAGAAGAAAAAAGTTTAAACACGCAAGTTTACACACTCCCAAGTTCATATCAGGAACGAGCATAACGTTTTCATACAGTAACGAATACATTATCATAACATAACATAGTATTTAAGGCCATTCAAAAACTTCGAGGGTGCAGAAACATGACTCAAACCATGCATACCGATTAAAAAGGCGTTCCAACATAAAGAAATCACCCTTTTCATAACACATACCATAATAAATATGATATGTTAACAGTTTTATGTCCCTTACTTATACCGTCGTAAGCAAATCTCCGCGAAACGTCTATGATAAGTTCATTCTGTGCTAAAGCAAGTTGAAATATGCTAATTGAAGGTAAAGTTGGAAAGCATAAGATGTGAGATGTTCAGTTATGAAAAGCGTCATAAAGGTGAACATACGATAGTCATTTAAAAGTCATAATCATATTCAGAAGGGTCGGCTTCAAGCAACAAATTCTCTAACAGAAGAATAAGCACGTGTGACTTGGCTCTTTTCCCTCCAGCTTTTTCGCGGTCCCAGACCGGCAAAATAAATAAAGCTAATCAAGGCTTTTATTCTGGAATGGACTTTGTTGAAGCTTATTGCACGACTACTTATCCCTCTTTTAATAGACACAGAATTCAACGGAACTCGGCCGTTAGAGACAAAGGACGGAAACAACGTGACGGACAGCATCTGATGGCCGTAGGTGTGGCTTCGGTGGTCCCCTTGGTCCATTCAAAATACCCATAAAACTTAAATCCAATGTTCTTTTGCCGCAGGAAATAACAGATACAGATCCCTCCACTCCACATCCGGAATCGGGCAACGTATTTAAAGTTTTGGCCGCCTAATTCCCTTTCGCTTGCATTATCGAAACCAAATTAAGGCCGTAACAAAGCCGACAACCTTCACGGACGACCTGCACCGTGTTAATCAACCTTCGAAAAGGCGTCAGGCCGTCGAAAGTGATTGGGCCGCGGAACTGGCACATCACGTTAACCTTCAGATACAATTATGCACGCCATCACGCTAATCACGCTTGAAACAAAACAGTGGCCTCGCAAGGAATGAGCAGAAAATGTAATCGGCAACTTAGACTCGGGTTTGGAACGGAAAAGACCCTGGGAACAGGGCGGCCTCACTCAACACGTGGGAGCATCCAATTTATACGGAGAAAACAAAAAGTGACCAGCTCGGGCGCCACCTCAGGTGGCGGCGCGATCGCCGGAGACGGCCCATTACTTTTGGAAAGGCGCGCATGAAGGCCGGCGGCGGCTCTGGGCCGACATCTTGGGCCCTCTGTTCCTTGCTTCGGGTCCAAAAGCTCATCCGGAGGCCCTGAGGGTTTGTGAGTTAAGGGGGAAGGGACGCCAAATCCCGCCGAAAGTCGGGACAGGTAAGTTATCATCAGTCTCAGCGACGCCGCGACAATCGAGCGGGTCAGAGACTCTTCCCCTCGCCTCGAGGGGCCCGCTCCAAATCGAGGTGAGAACCAGTCCACAACAACATCACAGGCAGAACACACCGTTTGGGGGCCGGGCTGTAGACTCCCGCAAGCCCCCGCCACACACCCGCTTTCCATTTCTTCGCTCATCGTCGTCTCTGTGTTGTCCTTCTTCATGCGCGCTCACAACAAAAACTGAAAAAAGGAACTGACGGCGGCCAAAGCTTTATTTGGTAATGCAAAAAAGCAAAAGGAAAAAGCCAAAAAACAAAATCCGCTGGAAATGCGCCTTGCTACGCGTCAAGCTTATAAACGCCGCGGGGCTCAATAATTAATCTAATTACTTTTGTTTTCCCTCGCTTATGGAACGGTCGGACAGGAGGTGAACCCCGCTCCAAACGATTCAATCCAACAAACAATCGATATGTCGACACGGAATGACATATGCGTTGTTTGGCGTTGAATTAAACTTGTTTTATGACCACCACATTAGCGTATGGCCGAACAGATTGCAACTTGATAAAGAAGCCATTTTAATTGATCCAAAATATGAAAGAGAAGGTTTAAATTGATAACAGGTGTGAGCGAAACAAAAACCGACCCATTATCAGCAACTTCACGGTATCAAAACACGAGAAAGCCAAAGAAAGAACAGTGAGATAACGGTGAAGCACGCTGAATCACATTAATTTTGTGAAAATAGAACTACATTAACAATCATAACAGAGTGAGCGATGGGGAAAACAACACTAAACCGTCTACTGCAAATATGCATGGTTTGATAACAGTAGAGTGGGAGAAGGTCAATATAATATGATGATAAAGAAAAGGTTGACTTGTTTTATGATAACCTAGGTATACAAAATTATGTTTTCTATTTACTGTAAAATATTATTGAGAAAAAAACCAGAAAAGCCGAGATACGACAGGTACACCCCAGGTAACCACCCATTCCTATTAAAATTGTAATCCCGTATGGCCCGGAAGTTTGGCCTGATGACCTTGAAAGTTGTTTTACGGAGAAAAGATGTCAAAAGCCATTCCACTCAAGCGCTCTGATTGAATTTAGTCCCGTTTAGGCCGTGCCTCTTCAACAGATGAAAAGTCACCAGGATAACCCCGCCCGATTAGCACGCCACGTACATCACAACAACCAATTCAGCATGTCTGATGACGTTCATTCCGGTGAATTTGCTGATGGGCTAGGTAAATGCATTTGCTGTCACTACGAATTTGGACTACTTTGTTTTGGGGCACGGTAGACGCCGTATTTGGCAATCTGGGTTCGGTTCGGCCGTTCTACTTTGGTTTTAAAGGTTAAAAACGTTGAAAACTAAACAATCTTATGCATTAAATTTAAAAAAAGCTACAATAGACATTCTATGATAAATTCAAGATCGAAGATAAAAGAAATCTGAAAGAACATCTAATTTTGTGACAAAACGTGAATAAACTCAGAACATTGGACAAACAATCAAACACGGTAAATAAAATTGTTTGTTTTGAACAAAACTTACACGGAATATAACTATAACACTACAATATCACAAACCCCCAATCCTATTACCATAAAATTTAAAAGCCAGCGGCGAGAAAAGAGTCAATCAGCAATATTATTATACCCAAACGTTCAGCTACTGACAACGGCTTTCACATCAAGAGTAGCCACAAGTTAAACACTACTTAGTTAGGTAAACTTAGTACTAGTATCTACTATAACGAGGGCTATAACTTTATTAAGAAATACAAAAAAATATATTTAAATTGGCCGCTATCGCGCGTATTATTGCAGTCCGCATCTTATAGGGCGCGAAGTGACGAACGGAAAAACGCCGAATTTTTGCGCGCAAATTTCTCAAATTTCTTCAAAGCTTGAAAATTATCTTTATTTAACGGCTTAATGAGCATTTTTATGATGTAAAGACGACTAATCTTCCGTGGTTATTTAAAATAACTTTTTACAAAATTTAAATTTAATTTTTAAATTAAATTATTTCAGCTTTAATCGAGTGTTTTAACCAACAACATCTTCAAAATGACAGAAGTTGCTGTAGTAGAAGAAAAAGTATGTCATTTTCAATGTTTTTGTTCAAAATTTAAAAACAAATTTTCAGTAACTATTTTAATCAAACTTTTCAGTCAATCGAACGACCTTTGAAATCGAAGCATCCTCTACAACACAAATGGGCTTTCTGGTTCTTAAAAGGAGACAGATCCAGAGATTGGGAGGACTGTCTAAAACAAGTTGTTGTTCTGGAGACTGTGGAAGATTTTTGGGGGTAAGTTAATTGTTTTTTAAATTATTATTGTCTTTAGCTTCTATCTTCGAATTATTCCTGCATCTGATCTGACATTTGGAAGTGATTATTACCTATTCAAAGAAGGAATTAAGCCAATGTGGGAAGACCCCCAGAACGTGAAAGGTGGAAGATGGCTGGTTATTATTCACAAAGCTCAAAGAGCCACCAAATTAGATGAGTTGTGGTTGGAGATCATGATGGCGATTATTGGAGAGCAATTCGAAGGACATGGAGACTTCATTTGTGGAGCTGCTGTTAATGTACGACAAAAGGGAGATAAGGTAGGAATTTGTTTTCTTTACTTTTGTTTTTATTGAAAACATTGAAGCTTTTTGTATAGTTTAAACTAACCAACAGCGTGGTTAGGCAATATTATTGTTAAACTTTTAGATTGCTTTATGGACATCAGACGCTTCTCTTGACGATGTGAACAGGCGAATTGGAATGATTCTCAAGAACAAACTGGGCCTTGATGATAACATCAGATACGAAGTTCACAAGGATGCTTCTGCCAGAACCGGATCTGTGGTACGACCAAAGATTGTCATTGCTAAAGACAACAAAGAAGTGCCAAACAAGAAGTTTGAAAGCACGTCGCCGGCTTAAAATCACGTGTATATTTTGTTTCCTAATACTGGTTTTTTGTATTAAACTGATTTGTTTTTAATGTTCTAATTTGGATATCTGTGGTAATAATATAGTTCACGGTTAAATACGATTAAGACAGTGAAGTATACAAAAATTAAGAATAAAAAGAACAAGAATTTTATATAGCAGTCAACGTTTCCGGACGGGCAATGGTTTATTGGTCGAGTTAGTTCAAAATTACATAATTTCTAGTCAATCTGAGAAGAAAACACGAGAACTTTGGATTTTTATGCAAATTGGTGATTTTTTGCACAAAACAAGCTAATACGTGGGTTCAGTCGATTTCAAGCACAACTCAAGAACGGTTCGTCATTCGGCCTGTTCGTTTATTATTTGTTTTATTTATTTCATCTTTAGCACTAGATATTTGTAGGGTTTATTATTCTTCCGTGGATTATTGGCTGTATTTATGCGTTTTTTTATCATTATATCGGTCAATTAAAAAAAATTTCAGATTTAAATAGATATTTCAACCAAGAACCTGTTCGAAATGACAGAAGTTGCTGTACAAGAAGAAAAGGTATGTGACTTTTACGTTTTATTAGTTTTCGACCATCATTCGCTTATTATTCTGGTATAATAAAAGTTTGCAGACAATCGAGCGGCCTCCAAAGGCAAAACATCCTCTGCGACACAAATGGGCCTTCTGGTTCTTGAAAGGAGACAGATCCAAAGAATGGGAGGACTGTCTTAAGAAAGTTGTTGTCATAGAGACTGTGGAAGACTTCTGGGCGTAAGTTTCTTTAGTTATTATCTACTTTTACATTTAGGTTCTATCTTCGAATCATTCCTGCTTCTGATTTAACTTTTGGAAGTGATTATTACCTATTCAAAGATGGAATCAAGCCTATGTGGGAAGATCCAAAGAATGTGAAAGGTGGAAGATGGATGGTTGTCATTCATAAAGATCAGAGGGCCACCAAACTAGATGAATTATGGTTGGAGATCATGATGGACATCATTGGAGAAAGGTTTGAAGGTCATGGAGACTTTATTTGTGGAGCTGCTGTTAATGTACGGCAAAAAGGCGACAAGGTATAAATATTGTTCTGTGTTATTTTCTGCTGTTCTTGGCAAAGGTGTATGGCACATAAGCAATCTTTCGACTTAGTTACTGCATTGTTATTTAAGCTTACAGTAAATTTTTAGATTGCTCTGTGGACGTCAGACGCTTCCCTCGACGATGTGAACAGACGAATTGGGATGATTTTGAAGAACAAGCTGGCGTTGGACGATAACATCAGATACGAAGTTCACAAGGATGCTTCTGCTAGAACTGGGTCGGTGGTACGTCCAAAGATTGTCATTGCCAAAGACAACAAAGAAGTGCCAAGCAAGAAGTTGGAATTGTCGACCTGAAGTCTCACGTGTATACTCTACTTGTCATTACGGGCTTTACTTTGTTTGTATTAAATTATTTTGTTCAAATCAGTTATCTAAAAATTGGCGAGTAGAAACATAATATCCTACGACGAATACCAAAAATCTTGACATTCTGTTGACGGTGTCTTTTATCACGAAAACAAATAGTTTGGCATTTCGCATTATTTAAAAATATTTTTTTATTTTACGAAATTTTGGAGAAGATTTCTTAATTCAATTGAGAGAAACATGATCACACGACCGACATGAACAACAACATCATCAAATACGATATTATACATGACACGAATCGATTCAATCTTTTGGACATCTCATATGTGGGAGATATTCATGTTGTTGGAGTGGGGTCGGTTTCGTTGAACAAACGGATAACATGGTTTCGAGACGTCAGATATGTTTGGAATCACTCGATTCCTTACAAGTATCCATCAGTCCAAGACAAAGTTATGAATTCAGCTAGGTAGGTTGTAAAAAATGTTTTTATATGTCTGTTCATGTTTAGAGTCAGAAGAACGATTGAAGAAGTTGCTGCTGAGGAACAAACTAATGTTTCAGCCATCACAAAACGAGCATGGGGATTTTTCTACGGGATCCGAGCTGCTTATTCAAAAGTGTGGACAAGGTTCCTTGGGTATCTGATGTTCAAGGTGTTCAGAAGGCTGATGAAAGTGTTATACGTGTGCCCGGAGCAGATGAACCGTCTTATAGAAGCGGACAAGGTCATGATTATATATTTTTTTAAATGTATTTTAGTTTAGTCTGGTGTTTCGTTGTTGTACCTACCTCTACACAGAAGCCATCTCGATTATCAGATCATAACTTGGGTTCTTTGGCACTGGGGGATTAGATTTCCGCATGTAGCAGCTGGCGATAACCTTAATCTTTATGGTTTTGGGTATGTTGTTGTATATTTTTACTACAAAAGTTGTTTTTAATTTATATTGGAATAACTTTCAGTTGGATGTTGCGTTTCACTGGAGCCTTCTTCATCAGACGCCGAATAGATCAGAACGACGAATCAACTCAAGATAAACTCTATCGTAACGTTTTGAAAACCTACCTGATCGAGCTTTTGAAGTCAGGTTTAAGTGTGGAATTTTTTTTGGAAGGGACCAGAAGCAGAATGGGGAAGTCGTTATTACCTAAAAATGGTTTGATCTCCAATGTCCTCGAAGCAATTGATACTGGAGAGGTAAAGGATGTTTATTTGGTACCTACAAGCATTACCTATGATTCTGCAGTAGAAGGAGTGTTTTACAACGAGTTGATGGGTGTGAGGAAGAAGAAGGAGAACTTCTTCAGAGTTATCAAAGGTGTTTGGGAGAGTTTCAGTCGAAAAACACCTTGTGGCGTGGTTTGCATTGATTTTGGAGAGCCGAGGTTATTGAGTGTAAGTTTTAACTTTTTTAAAGATACACATTGAAGAAACATGACTATGGTTTTTACAAACACAAAATAACATTGTTCAAACTTCATCACCTATTGAATGTGTATAAAAGACTGTTTAGGAAGAATTGAGACGAGTTACAAAATGGTTATCAGCAGTAGAACTTCCTGAGTTAGACTACGCGATGAATCGAAAGTCATACAGAGAGCTGATGCCTTGGTCTGATACCAGTTTGACCCACAGGAACAAAGTCCGCGCTGTTGGCTACAATATTGTTTATTGTAAGTTATTTTCCAATAGCGACAGGGTCTTTAAATAGTTGAAGTTTATGTTCTTAAGTATTACAATACCTTGAATAGATTATGAGTGCGGTAGCCTTGAAATGTAATTTTCAGTAGCCCAACGTCAACAACCGATTTTACTCTCCAGTTTAATGGCGGCTTTGTTCCTCAGTAAGTACAGAACGCGGAAGGTTACTACAAATGAATTGATATCGGATATCGAAACTTTGAGTGCCGAAATCAGAACTCTAGGCTTCGAAGTCCTTGGATGGACACCTGACATAAAGGACAACAATCATTTCGTGAGAGAGATGAATAAATACCTGGACCATTGCTTTATTATCGACAGCAATTACATACAACTGATCGACTGTCACAAGACCTATATTACCTTATCTTACCACAAAAATGCATTATTACCTGTTTATTGTTTGATCTCAGTTGCTGGTAAGTATTCTTTAATTTCAGTATGGGCTTTTGATGTTATTTATGTACAAACCGTAATTGTTTCTTACTTAATTAAAATTTGGTTATATTTTCCTTAACATAATGTTTTAAGCTTTGTTAAAACCTGTTGTTACCGAAAATGGAGATTCGGGAGTCCTGATTAAGCGAATGAGTGCCATTTGTACGACCTTACGATACGAAATGCTTATTTGTAGTGTAAGTTAAATGGAATTTTCTATTTTTGATTAAAATTTACGAAGTAAAAAAAATAGATATTGTATTTTAGCCTTGTGGTGCAATGGAAGAACACATGGAGATGGCCATCAACTTCTGGGAATCTGGAAAGAATTCCTTTGAGCGAGAGTTTTACTACAAGATGATCACACCATTCTTGACTACGTTAAGATACGTTTCCCTCAACATTAAGTCACACCAACATGAATATAAGAATGTTACGGGTAAGAACGTTTCTCAACAACTTTAGGCCCAAAAGTTCTTAGAATTTAACAATAAAGTTCGTAATTTGGTAAAAAAATATATTGACAACCATGTAGATTTATATTTTAAAAAAATGTTATAGATAACGATTACATCAGAACGTTAGCTCAACAAATGGCTAACGACCCCAAACTGGAATTACTAGAATCAGCCAATTCAGAATCCATCTACAACTCGTTGAAGGCTCTTCGTGCTTGGGGAGCACTGAACGAAAATGGAATCGAGATATTGAGCGAATACTTGATAACACAAACTATTAGGAAACTGAACTTTCTATTGTTTTAATCATGTTAATTCAATTGTTATTATGTCAATGTTAAACACTGCTCATGCATAATAAACACAAATTTATATTTGGTTTTTGTTGCACAGCCTTCCTATTCTACGGTAATCTTACATCTTTACTTAAAAAAGAGCAAATTTAGTAGATCTGACAAAATATTGTCGATTTTCTAGTTGCTAAGTTCAAAATCGACCATAACACATAAGAAGTCATCCATTGATTATAAACCATCTCATTCGACGATTAAAAACAAATATTCATTCAAACAAAACAATTTTATATAAAAACAACAAAACCCGCAATGGAAAGTAAAATATACACTTAGAGAGACAGAGGTTTCAAGCTGGCGACGAGCTTTGGAACTTCTTGTTTGACAATTCTTTGTTGTCTTTGGGGATGACAATTTTTGGTCGTACCACGGATCCAATTCTTGCAGAAGCATCTTTGTGGATTTCGTATCTGATGTTATCATCCAGAGCCAGTTTGTTCTTCAAAGTCATTCCAATTCTTCTGTTCACATCGTCGAGGGAAGCGTCTGACGTCCACAGAGCGATCTGAAAATTCTGCTATAACACAGATAAAATATTTTAGTCATAAATCAAAACTATATACTATGGTCTTTGTTAAGAGAAATTATGCTGTCTTACCTTATCTCCTTTTTGTCGTACATTAACAGCAGCTCCACAAATGAATTCTCCTTGACTTTCAAATCGTTCTCCAATGATATCCATCATGATCTCCAACCACAACTCGTCTAATTTGGTTGCCCTCTGAGCTTTGGGGACGACAACCATCCATCTTCCACCTTTCACATTCTTTGGATCTTCCCACATAGGCTTGATTCCATCTTTGAATAGGTAATAATCACTTCCAAAGGTCAAATCAGATGCAGGAATAATTCGAAGATATAATCTAAAAACAATATAGATAATAATAAAAATAACCTACGCCCAAAAGTCTTCCACAGTCTCCAGAACAACAACTTGTTTTAGACAGTCTTCCCAATCCCTGGACCTGTCTCCTTTCAAGAACCAGAAGGCCCATTTGTGTCGCAGAGGATGTTTTGCCTTCAGAGGTCGTTCAATCGACTGAAAAATTAGATTAAAACAGTGTCTTGAAGTTGGAAACCCACAATACAAAAGATAACTTACTTTTTCTTCGGCTACAACAACTTCTGTCATTTTGAAAGGTATTGTTGTCTAAAAGATACTGTTAAAACTGAAATTATCCAAGTTAAAAACTGGAACTTTACAAAAACAATTTCCCAAAAAAAGTAAATTGAGTTTTGATGATAAACAAAATCCGCTGACATGGTTATGGCGGGAATTCAAAACGCAGTTTCTTCAAAAATAAAAGCCGGAAATTTCGCAAAAAAAGCGAAAATTTAAAAAAAATAAATTGAAATATGTAAATTTCTTTATCACCTTCCTTTTTGTGACTATAAGAACCGTACGAAATGAGCAATCTACTGCAAATCTGTTATTTGTGGCGGTCGGTCGATTAGATCGTTGAGAATGGTAATGGAAGACATCCCCAAGTCGTTTAGAGTGAGGTCAGAGGATGTGACCGTCTTCAAAGACAAACATATTGGAGCTGGAAATTTCGCGGATGTTTTTAAGGGTAAATTAGTTGCTTTATAATAACTTTAAGAATTTGAAAAGGAAACGAACTTATTGTAGTTTATGTTTTAGGTACGTATCACAAGAAGGGAAGCAAAGGAGGTATGGAAGTGGCAGTCAAAGTGATCAGAGCTGGTCCTACCTTGAATTCAGTTGAAAAAGAATCGACGCCAGCCTGGCTTCACGAGATTCGTAATGAAGCCATGATTATGACATTGTTTGATCAAGAACATCTTATTTTACTTTATGGTTATTCGGACGTCGACATGGATGCGGTAAGTTTAATGCTTTAGATAATACTGGTTTTGTTAATTTATTTGAAACTAATAATGATGCAGATATTGAACATAAATTTGCTTTTTTCAGAGCCCCTTCCAACCTCCGTTTATAGTCCTCGAGTATTGTCCTGGTGGATCTTTGGATGTATACCTTCAAGCTACTAAGAATATCTCTGTTGGAGGTATGATTTGTATTTAATTTCAGGTTTTGTTGTCGATATCCGATACTTATTATGTGTTTTAGAAAAGGTGTTATATTTGAAGGAAGTGGCAGCAGGAATGAGATTTCTGGAGAAGGAGAAGATTGTCCACAGAGATTTGGCATCAAGAAACGTACTGATCAATACCTGTGGATTACTCAAAATCTCAGACTTTGGATTGAGCAGATCGCCGAACGTCAAGGAAATGCCAGAAACTACACATAATCAGGTAAGAAATAGAAGTATTCTGTAAAAAACGTCTTTTTGTTGAATAGGATGAGACAATTTTCAGTAAAATACGATGAGAAGATTTTAAATTTTATTTTTTCTTTGATTTAGATTCCAATTAGATGGATGGCTCCAGAATCCTTGCTACGAACACCTACTTTTGATAACAAGAGTGATATGTGGGCTTATGGGGTATTCATATATGAAGTGTTCACAGCAGGAAAGAAGCCTTGGCCAAACAAGCCTGTTAAATGGATTGCTACACAGATTAGGAAGCTTCAGATGCCACATCTGCCCAGTTCCATGCCAAAAGTCATCAAGGATATTATTCAGCACAAGTGTTGGGTCAAAGCTGACGAGCGCTGGACTTTTGCACAGGTAAGTATTTTGTTGTGTGGGTTTATTGTTGGTGTAAATACTGTTTGAATTCGTTATAAAAGTAAGCAGATGTTATGTTATTTTAAGGACATGATTGTGTATATACGAAACGTTGGTTAAATCTCTACCATTTACAGTTACATTCCGTGTTGTGTTTGTTGTCAATCACATTGTTCACCACGTCCAGAGCTTCGATCTATGCCTATTTGGAGAAGAAAGGTGTGGCACAGAATTCCAAAGGTCGCGACAAAGTGGAGAAATGGGATCGTGACAGTTCTTTGGTCGAATGGTCAGAAACCAAGGACATTGCGAAGCACGACACGGTACCAGCAAGACCAGTCGACGGAAATTGTGTGTTATACTCGAAAAAGAAAGGTGAAAAGAGAGAGGTTTGTATGTTATATTTTCCTTAACTACTTTCATAGTAAACCATATTCTTTTCTCTAAGATGACATATTATATAGACATTGCAATATATATTGTCATAGCATTTTTTCAGCGGAAGAACAGCAAGACAAACAGGGAACTGAACAAAACTCCTGCTATTAGTCATACAACAACAACTAGTCAAGGAAGCAGCGAGGACCGTAACCGAGAATCAGAAGGTCGTAAACATGCATGATACGTATAATGTACTTGTTTTACTGTAATATACTCGGTGCTTACATTTGGGGATGTTTGTTATTAATCGCAACAATTAGAAAGGTATTAGAATTGCTTTAGGATAACTGATATTAGACTGGTCAAAAAGTTTTTAGAATTGTAAGTGCTGTTCTGTTAGTTGTGTTTTGTGTTGTAGTTTCTATTATGTTAATTTTTGTTTTTATTTTTTTTTCTCTGTTCTTTTTACTAAAATTGTTCAGCTTTCTCATCACTTTTTGACCGTGTTAATAGTATGCACTTACCTATCGTAATATACTAGACACTGGAAGAGGTTACTTTCAGCAAAGTGACACTCGACGTTCCCCAGCAGAACTCTTGTTAGCGTGTGCCTTCCGGCTATTTGGTGTCTATGGGGATTACGAAAATATTGCAATTAGTCTACTCGTGCTTTTTGTTATCACACATAGTCCTAGATATAAACGTATATACGCTTTCTTGCTTTGTTTTTATATCTAAACTTGTAGTTGAAAACCAAGTTTGCTACCTAAAATGCTACTGGTTACCTAATGGTCACGTTATTGGGTGTATATTGCTATTTGTCATCTTATGTTAACAAGTTTAATTCATCCTTTTTATCGCCGTATTGTGTGAATCAACGTGATATTGTAACAAGGTTCAACTCGGAGTCATTAGTGACTATTCATATCCAAAAACATCCAACATACAACCATGTATTGGGGCTACCGCTTATATTCTCATGTTATGTTGGTCACGGACCTGCCTTCCGCGGCCGTCAAGAACTTGGCCACCGTTCTGTTCACGTTGCTGGCTTTGAACGGGATTCTTCTGAACTCGCTATGGTGTCTAATATTGATCATGGGTCATCGTCATTTCTCTAGGAGACCCTTCTACATCATCTCTAGGCATCTTTTAGTATGCGACTTGTTGTGTATCAGCGGGCAGGTGGTGCTGGCTGTTCCGTTGACTATCATGGAGTATCATAATGCTTGGTGTAAGTGTGACTTTAGTTGGAAAATAAAATTATTCCAAATTCAATATGTTCTAGTAAATAATCTGGCTGACAAATTTGCAAACCAAGATTTCAATTTTTTGTTTAACTTTAACATAATAAGTAAAACATAAAAAGTATATAAGATACGACAAAATATGTTACAGCGTACAAACGAACGGTGATATTTAACATCTTCTCAACGTTTGAGACTGTTGGTCATATGTCAACATTGACGTTTGTTTTCCTACAGTCTTTGAGTCAGATTGCGCCATTCCTTCCGAATCAAAAACAATTGATCCACCATCTCAGCTCGTCGGGTACTGTAATTTGCATGTTCGGATGGATGTTCAACATCAGTGAGTTTTATTAATATTTTAAGGTACTGGTAACTTCATTTTATTTTAATGCAATCTTCTGTTTGAAAATATACTTTCCTTTCTTGTTTTAATCCACTTTATCATCTCTCTCATCTATAATACTGTTTTCTAGTACATTTATGCCATTTTAGGCCTGATGTTCGCAATATACTTGACAAAATGTCGCAAAGACTTTGACCTGTTTGACTTTCACTTTTACTTTATTTGTACTGAAGACCGAGAACGTGCAGAGTTTATCTGGATGATATTGAACATAAATGTGGTTGTTATCATTGCCTCGGCCTACTTTATCTACATAATGGGATTCAAGAATACGAGGATACGAATCGGGTAAGATTACAGTTAATGGCACGTACTTGAGAGTACATGTACAGTTGTTGTATGTGTTATTATGGAAATTAAGTAATTGTCGAAACACTTACACTTTTGGCGACAGTATTAGTGTTGGACAATACGTCTGACATACTGTACTAAAAAGCCTATTCGTTATCTATTTTAACTTTTCAGAGCCCTAGAATCCAAAGGAAACCTAAACGAAGACTGTAAGAGGGAGCTGGTCGAGCTCAGGAAGAGAAGACTGATCATACTACAAGGTCTGTTGATCACATCCATGTTGACTGCCCGGATGATCGCGTACTATGTTGTTACTCCCATGCTGAAAAGCCTTAACCGAGATGCGCATACTGTAGGAAGTGTACTGTCGAATTGTGTCGAGATGATAAGTTCCTCGGTTCATCCCTACATCTACATAAAGTACAACGAACGTGCTCACAAGTACTTCTTGAGGATCATAGCATCGATCAAGCCTCAAAGGGACGGGGATGAGACTACCGAGTTTACTGTAGGCGACATGTCCAGAATCAAGTAAAGATACTGTATTATGTTATAGTACTGAATAGGTTAAACTGATAATATAGCGGAATAATTGTATAGATATGCATATTCGTACTGATACAAAAGTACCTAAATTAAAAACTTTTTGCAAAAAATGGCAAACATTTACCACAATATGCTGATTATTACTGTAATATATTATAAGGCTAAATTCACCTTGATTTATGTTCAAAATAGGTTTATTTAGAATTCTTACTGAACCCGTATAATTAAATTATTTTGCGGGTTTTTAAAGCTCGAAAATAGTCGGATACGGTAGAGAAGAGGGATACTGTAGATGAGTACAGGCCAGAGACCATATATCAACAAACAAATGTAAGATACGAATATTAGGGTATATGTCGGTAAGATATTGTCAAAATACGCTTGATATTACAGTTCAACGTACAAATATTATTTTGCACGGTGCAGTCCATTTACTACATTGTACCGTGCAGTATTTAATACCGCACCGTGCAACTTCTGATTAAACTTTTGAAAATAAAAAGGGTATAGACCATATTGTACTTGACAAGTTGTTATTAGAATACTACATCGACCAGTCGACTAATCCAAAACCTCTTCTTTGGTTTGGCCGTACGGTAGCGGCACATCGAAGATGATAGGAGGGTATACTGTATTCAGTTTGTGGTCACAAATCGAGGCGTTAATAAACGTTGTTTTGCCGTTTGTGGTAGCACCTCTCTTCTGATGCACATGGCCAAACACGTGGTATTTGGGTTTTACTCTGTATTCTACCGTATTCAGGAGTTCGGCACAGCCAGCCAGAATACCGTCCAGCTTGTTCCAGGCGTTGTAGTCACCGTGGCCTGAAAAGTGATGATAATATCACAATAAAGGGTGTAACTCTAGTAAAAGATAAGATTAGGTAGCAATGTTTTAAATGTAACAATATTGTTATAAGGTAACACATAACCTATGTTTTGTAAATGTAATTTAACCGATAACATACCAAGTGGAGGTGTGTGTGTGATAAGTACATCTAGTTTGCTTGGTATCTTGTCCCACTTCTGTAGAATCGCGGCTCCACGGTCTCTGAAGAAGGAGTAGCCGGGCATCGGATGCCATGGGGTACCGTATATCTTGAGACCATACAACTGAAAAGTCATACGATATACAAACACAAGTAGTAAACATGTATCTTGAAATATAATTGAGTATAACAAAAGTTAACTTTCTTACTGTAACAAGAGTTTTCTGCTACTGAAAAAAACAAGATAATATCCATTAATTTTGACGTTTTTTAAAAATAATTTCATATTATGTTATAGTAAGTTTTAAATAAACATAAAAACAACCAACGTCCTACCTCGATCTTAGAGTCACATAAGTAATGACAGTTGGTCAGCAACTCGTAGGCCTTGTTGATGCCCAACATGTTCAGGCCAGCCAGTTGTTGTACCGTCATCTCTTCTCCATCTTCGAAGCCCAACTCGTGGTTACCAGCGATGACCAGCTTGTGTTTGTGTGGCAGCTCTCCCATCGCTGCGTTGAAAGCAATCACTTCACTCACGTCGCCATAGTTGGTGAAGTCGCCAGCGTGAATGAGAACATCACCGTCCGGAATATCCTTCACAATCTCGTCCAGCTTACCGTGAGTGTCCGAAATACATACGAATCTGACTTTGTTCTCGCTGATTGGGGCATTTAGTCTATAAAGGATAATATTATTATAGATGGATAAGTGATAGCGTTAACAGAGCTAATATTTTTTGAAAGAATAATCAAAAAATAAAATTATATAATTAAGCAAAGAACAGTTAAGTTAAAAAGATATGTAACCATTTTGAAAATTCATGGGAATGTATTATATAATGTTTATACGGTGAAACCTGTCCGGACTGTTTCGCAAACGTATAGTATGACCTTTTTCTTTACTACTAAGTGTCCTATTATGCTATTTTTAAACATATATATTACTCTAACATACATTGATCAAAAATCCTTGGAGCCATTATTGCCGCTGTTTCTCATAAAAAACGTGAAAAATTGAATTTAATAAAAGTGAAAACCGAAATGACATTTTGAAAGCGAGATTTCTCTGTCATCGTGAAAGTAATGGCGATTGGAATGCTTCCAGAGATGACAGAGCAAATCTTATTTGATAGAAACAATTTGTTTGTTTTGGAAATGGTCGGTTTAATTACCAATATATTACCATCAATTAGTAATCAATCAAATCGTTTAAATTCTTTTAAAAATGCTAAAGTTCAACTTAGAATAGCTTTAAAATTTAAAATGTTAAAGTTAAAAACTTTAAAAATAAACTTAAAAATTGGAAAAAAACTTGCCTGAGGGTCTTGGCCGGCTCACTGACGCGGCCTTGTCGCTGGTACCGCTTCCACAGCTCGATGGGCTTGTTGGTCAATGGGTCTGGCCGAATGATCCCGTTCTCAAACATGGCCCAACTCTACAGTAGCCCTCTCTGCAATGAAACGTCGAATGTTTGGAGCTTAGCGACCGCGAGCAATTCAAAGACGGGGGCTGGAGGAATCCAGAAGAAGACGAAGAAGCATTGTCAGCGGGCGATCACGGAAATCGATCCAGACGGGACATAATTATGCGGAAAGTCATAATTTCACAGTGGATTTGTGGGGAATGATTTTAGAAGTGTTATTCTGCGGCATTGGCTAGTATAATATAGCAAAGTATGTAAGAAAAAACAAAGGATATATTTGTTTATACCATTTTGATGCCTACTACAATATAAAAAAATGTAAAAAAATAGTAAAAAATCATAAAAAAATACAAAACTACACTTCAAAAATGTAAATTATACCATTTAATCAACGTTACAAAACCCTACGACCTTATCAAAACAAATTTGTACTTTAAAACTCCCAAAATGTCCTAAAAACTACTACAAACTATACTCTGGTTGACATAGATCTATTGTGAAATGCAAAAACCGAGACACAAATGAGTAATGTAAAAGAAAAGCCAACGAGTAATAAGGCGTTGTAATACTTTAACTGATAAAACCGGAGATAGTTCCACCTGTAGCGTCACTCCTGACGTCGTAGGTCATGATTTACTTTCCGTTTGTACCTGATTCTTGTTTCACAATTAAAGTAGGTTACTATTTATTTAACAAACAACAACTCTTTATCATAGGTAACAAGATTTACTTTTTGTAAATTTAAAAACTTGTGTCTCTGGTCGAAAATAGGTAGAGTTAAACAATACGTTAAATTGTAGCCCTTTTTCTGCATTTTCTATTTAATTTTGGACCCCCTAAGCATTTTTAAAAACATTATATAACTTCTACAAGCAAAACCGACATCTTATACGTCACAAATCATCTTTTACTATTAATCAACTTTTGTTACGTTCGAAGAGCTGAGAACGCGGATTCTTTACATTTACAGGAGAAGGAATAGCTTGAAACTTCTGATTCTAAATATTTAGTGGAACAATTTAGTCTAAAAATGCCTAGATTTCATTAGTTTGACCTATTATTACACTTTTAATCCAAAACATAAAGATTAAGAAGTTACATCGTCTATTATAATATTAGCCTATCAAACATATAATCTGAGTTCAATAAAGGCAAAAACATAGTAACTTATACAGTAACGAAACCCACACTTCCTGCAGTAACTATTTACAGAATTTGCCTCCTATACGAAGCATAGATCAGGCGGGCAGCATCTTCTTCTTCCCACAACACATATGTATATGTTTTGAATAAAACTCTCGAGGTCACTCGACTCGAACTAAGAAGTCTTAAGCGCAACCATTCTGAAGAGAGATTTCACGCCATCTGAGGCAAATAACTTGGAATCCGTGTGAATCCGCTCTTCTGTTACATTATATATTTGTTTGTATTGTAGAAAGATACGACCATAACAAAGGTTTTGGCGACTTGTAAATGGGAAGGTCTACAAATAGCTTTACAACCCCTTATAAAGATTGTAAAGCTATATTAATATGTATCTACTGAACTTAAGAATTGTAATTAGCATCTTATAATTAGCATATTCTTCCTATTTAGCTATACCTAATCAAAAAATCAATTGAAGCAAAGCCCGTTCCGCCACGCCACCTCTTCACCCAGATCTTAACCTTTGAAGCCGAGGTATTCCGCGAGAATGACAATTTAAAACGCGCACCACCTCAAAAACGCAAAAGCACCTAAGCAGAAGAAACGATGATAATATCTGGAGTTATGCTGGACGGCGACTGATGTTATCGCCCAACATAAGTTTGTTGTCGTTTTTGGGGGAACTAATGGTCCTCGAAACACAAACCGTCCTTGAACAACATAATCGCTGCCAATACACGTATACTGTAGTTATTATATGCGCCTTCTTCACCACCACCTCGCGACAATAACATAATTACTAAAAGGCAAACGTTTCTCAACATTCCGCGACTCGATTTCTGGTTTCCGGCTACTACAGAGTGGCTTCTGAAGTTGGGAAGAAGCTGATCGTGAGGTGAAAAGCTGGCTTTTCAGTTTAGTATTTAACTCGCTACAGGTAATCGAAGATAAAGAAACTTTTGAAAGCTCAAGTAATCAACTCTAAAAGTAATTTTGAAAATCTTTATAAAACTTTTGTGGCCCAAAACTGACCAGAAAAGCCATAAAAAACCCAAGTTCATAGATTCAAAGCAATTATACAACCTTTATAACAAAAAAAAAGTTTTAAAATTTAAATTTTTCCAAAAAATACGTTTCATAACCTCAAAAACATCCAATTTCATCAACTACAAGTAACACAACTTCCACGGCCCATTACAACACCCAAACGCCAACAGAGAGCGTAGTTTCAGGAAGATCTTATGATCATCTTCTGCTGTCGTTATCTCCTTCATCTCAATCCACTTTTTCCGTTTTCTCCAGAGATCTCTTTATTAAACAACTTTTTCATTACATAACATTGTTGTAATATTCACAAGACAATATTGCACATTCTTATAACGTATAAAGGATAAAATTAACATAAAGTATGTTGGCCTTGTTAAATGCAAACTTCCTAGTAAGGTAAACTTTATACACTACGCTTTCGACTTTTTGTTAACATATTGCTGCTTTCATACAAAAATTGACTTTTAAGCGATTCGTACTGTAAATATAAACAAAGAGACATTATTATACATATACCATTCATATATCAACCAGTTAAAAATAAAAAGTATACCATTTACTTCTTTCCAAACATACCACCATATCCACCGTAAGGCATTCCCATTCCGCCCATTCCCATGCCGCCCAGACCCATGCCCATACCGTATCCTGGCATACCGTAACCTCCAAAGCTTGGGTAACCTCCCATTCCTCCGTATCCTCCCATACCGCCCATCATCATTCTGCTCATGCCCATCGAACCTAAAATTATACTTTGATATTACAATTATATTACATTCCTCATTACAATTCTAACACGTATTAACCTGAATCTTAGTCCATAATACTGTAATCAGGGGCTACCTGTAGACCAAAAAAAATTTTTTCGACCTCCCCCCCCAGAGAAAAACCGTAGCAACGTCCCTGACTGTAATAACAAGAAACTCTGTAAAAGTTCATACCAAATTGAGCCGAAGCAATGTCTAACATCATGCAAATGAGTATCAAAGTGAACATTGTCATAGTATCCATCATAATCTTAACTGACCAACCTTAATCACCGTAAAGCCCCCTTATATACTAACCCAACAGTAGTAAAAGTAAATATTACAATGCACTTGAGTTTCGTCAAAAAGACTTGAGATATTGTGTCCGGCATTCTTGCATTCCCACCAACCGGTCGGTCGGTTTGTTTACCATTATGAGTGACATCCTACATCTGTTTGTTACCACATCCCAGCTGATCGTGCTCACCCTGAGTATTATACAATGTGGCGGCAAAAAGAGAAAGGAGTATGCAGCCCAGTCAGTCCAGAAACCAGTCACAATTCAGAAGAAACCAGTCATCAGCTCTTCATCGTCGCCCGGAAAGAAGAATTCGAATGATGCACTGAATGGATCGGATTCAGATACTGCTAGGAAGAAGCTACAACAGCTACGCTCGAACTCCGCTGATCAGCTTCCAAAGGATGGAAGCAAGTCTGGAACTCAGAAGGGATCGGACTCCAAGGATAACATACAAAAAGCATCTGGCTCCAAAGACAACGAACAGAAGGAAGAAGAAGTCAAAGAAGTGAGTGCTGTGTCCAAATCGGAAAAGAAAGACGTAAGTTCTGATCATAATATTCAACTTTTTTCCTAATTTTGTTACCTAAAACTACAAAACTGGAGAATTTCGAAAAAAAAGCGCAAATTTTGAATTAAAATTTTAACCTTGCCTTTGGTACGTTATAACGCAGGACTTACCGTTTAGTTTAACATTAGGAGACAGGAAAAACAATGGTTTTTGACAATATTTTGTCGAAACTTCACAATAATTTTATTTTGGGTGCGGCTTGCGTCCTCGTATAAAATGTTTTTGCAAGTTGCGGCCTAACAATTTTCTAATTTTTAATAAAAAAATCCTTTGGATTTCATGGAATAAACATTATCTTTGATCTCTTATATGTTAATTTCAGGCTGATGACAAGAATTTGCAAAAAGGACCACTAATTCCGGACAAGAATCCTAAAACCGACGAAAAAGAGCAGGTAACGGTTATCAACTTCTTGTATATAAATCTTAAGCTCTCTTCTATACCTTTTTTAACTACTTCATTAACTTTTTTAAAGTTTTAAGCGTTTTTACACTATTTAAACTCTAATATATCACTTTTGATTTGAAGTTTGGAGCGGAATCGCATCCATTATAACGCAATGATAATATGTTTCAGTTGTCCGGATGCAAAGCCGACTCCCAACACTCGCAAATGTCCCAGAAAAGCAACATATCGGTCGACCAAATGTAATAAAAGGAACAGGTGTCGTCGTATCTTGTATAGTGTTCTCTTTTGATTTCCTTGTGGTCAGCCGGGTTTTGGATGAGATGGATCTGATTTTAATGCTGTCTACAAGTTATTACTGTGTAATCTAGTCTACAATGATCTGTATATTATGTTTGGGTGGCTTTAAAGGGTTTTTTGATTGCTTTTTTACATATTTGAATTAGTTGTGTTTTACTCTATTACTTTATGATGAATCTTGTTGTATGACACTCTGGGCCACGTAAGTCTTATACTTTTATTTATATAACATGTATTATTCTACTATATGATGTTAAAATAACGTTTTACAAAAGGTTTGGTGGAAAAGATGGTATCGCCTCGTAGAAACGCGATTATACAACCTGTTTTGTACGAAACCTTTGGAATCTGGAAATTAATATTTTGGTTCCAAACAATGTTCGATGTATGAGTAACGGCTTGGGGCATGCATCCCGAAGTCGGGTCACAACCGGGAACGGAAACCAAGGCCTTGACTTTTGTTAAGACAAATTGGCCGTCGAATTGGACACTGGTCAAGCGGTGCCAAAACAGTTGGCCGCTGTTTGCCCTCGGGCGTTTACCGGTTTGCGGGGTTATCGCGCCTAATTGGAATCTTGCTCCTTTTCTTGTACGATCGCTCTTTAATCCCGATCCGACGAATTCAGGCTAACAGGGGTTTTGGGTTTATTTACCAACAAAATGCATTCATTGGATTAAAACGTTTATGACTTTCAACTGTCACATATGCGACGACAGATCCCTAACTTTATGGGTTTATAGTAATAAATGTTAGTTTTTGCTGGGCTTGTTGAGGGGTGATTTGAAGTTTTGTTTTTATCAATACAGACTATTACATATAGTCATTTCTTATGCTGTTTTAAATTATGTATAAATTTTGCTGTTCTTTTAACTACTGTAATATATTTAAATGAATTTATGATAGCTTTGATAGTGTTTTGGCAATGACTTAGATCTTACTGTCTATTATACGATTTTATGGTAATTGACTACTTTTGTTTTTTCTTAATTTTGACTTTCGGAGCTGTTTATTTGTTATTTTCGGATCGGAAATGATTTATAATTGTCTTACGGGTCGTTATGATCAGAGGTAGATCATATTTTGCAGAAAATTGTGTTTTATGATTTGATTTGTTACTTTTGTACGCAATTGTTTCCAACTTCTTTTGGCAATTTTTTGGTATTTCCGTTTTCCATTTGACCATTTTGTTGTTATTAAAGCTATCTTTGAATTGTTTGTCGTAGCCATTCAAAGAACTTAAAAAACCAAAAAGTTTAATTTTAAAAACGGTATTAAGAGAAACCGAAATATTTTGTAAAATTCAAAACTTGATGCATTAGCAAAGGTTAAACAAACAAGCAGGTTAACCTTGAGTCAGCTGATAAGCAAGGACTGCAGAATACCACGCCATTAATTATTTTATTATTTACCGACCTTCTCCATTCACTTACTCGAGTTTGTTTTTCTTGACAGTTACCCAAAAACAAAACATCAAACTTTGATTCGACCAAAAGTGTATTGGGCGAAGAATGAGATCAGGAACAGCTCCAGCCTCAATGCATAGCACAACTCTCGCTCTGGCTCTCGTCGAATTCCCCTGACCATTTAAAAAGGACAAGCGACAGATAAGAGAGCCGCTGGGACTCGAACCAGCGGTCTTTGCATGTCAGTCCGCCGCTCTTCCTCTGCGCTATGCAAACTCCTGGTCTCTTCTGCGTTTTATTGCTCTATACTTTTCTTTTGAGTCTTTTGGAGAAGTCATGAGTTGGCATACGGTCTCTCCGTGGCTGTTTTATGATCCCAAACTTACTTTAAAGCAGTAACTTTTAATGATTTTGGATTGTGATATTTCTGATGGAATTCTGTAGTAATTGTCGCGGTTGCGCAACATCGCTGCTCCATAGCTGTAAAAAGCGTGGAAATGCACTTTGTTTTCCCTTCAGTCGCCAGCGACAGGCGGTTAGACAGGAACGTTGGAACGGTTTACTTTTTGAACGCTTTTCGAACTTTAAAAGACGATTTCGAAATGAAATTCGAAAAATTATAGTACTTTTTAAAGGCTTTTTCGTGCTTTTGTGTGATCCGAACGTTAATTGAGCTGTGTGTTTGCAACACTGACCTCATCGCCCTTGGGTTTCGAAAATGCGCACACTGATAAGGCTGTGGGTGTCTGCCGTCTCCTAATCACGCACGCTCCTCACCCAGGTTGGGAATCGAATTCGGCGTCGGTTTTTAAAACAGAGGGGAGAGGGAGAGGAGTGATTGCCTTGCTTTGTTCTTGTCCAATCGAGTAGCCGCCGCTGATCCGACTAGCCAAGAGCCTCGTAATCCAATTGCTCTCCGCTTTGTGGTCAGCCGAGGGCACTCGGACAACGGCCTTAAATCAGGGACGTGGGATCGCTCTCTTCTCGTCCATTGAACACGTCGGGCGAGGCTTTCGGGCCTGTCAGTCGTTTTTGGATATTCTGGGATTTCCATCGCTTTTGCGAGCTTTTAATTTTTGTGAAAAAACGACTAGATTTACGACTTTTTTTACGAGTTCTTGTGATTTTGATTTCGGAATGGCGGCAAACGGGGGAGAAGATTGCGCATCTCTTTCCTGCTCACATTGAGGGCGCGCCGTGCCAAGGACGGGGGCAACTGTGCGAAGATAAATGGGAAGCGGACTAAATGGTTTGGGTGCCAGAATTGTTCTAGATTGCTCAAAACAAAGGGTCATTGTGCGGGTTGCGACGTTCTCGCTATCTTCTCTGTGCGGGTTGCGACGTTCTCGCTATCTTCTCGATTGATAGTTAGCGGCCCTCAATCGACGGGAATATTCCTATTTTATTACAAGTAACTTCTTTTTTGTTTTTATCGAAGAATTTGTTTGCAGTTCCGTCGACGGAAACAACTAACACCTGTCTCTTCGCGTTCTCAAGCTTTTTTCTTCTGTTTATTTGGCTACCGATCCGATCGGACAAAGCCTTGATTAACATAACACTGGGCCGAATATCGTTTTGTTTAACATAAATTTGGGCCAAATAGCGCTGTTTTTGGCTATCTGCCGGAGTTTTTTTAGTAGTAAACATTTCTAATTGAAGAGCAACTCACAGATACCAACTATCTACTATACCGTGTTTTACATTTTTTTAAAATTTAAAACGAATTATTTTGCTTTAAAAGTTATGATCATTGTAATTAGTATCGCGCTACGTTGACCTTCGTGCAGCGCCAAAGACAGTGTAAAGATAGGATATTAACATCGAGTTTACAGGGAGTGAAATATTATTGGTCAAAAGACGGAATCGAACACAGAAACCGTGCTCGATTCCAAACATGGTGATCTTGTGCTCTGAAATCTGAGCAGAGAAATACTTTTGACCGTACTCATTTCAACTTCTGATTCCTTCACGTCAGGGAAGCCCTAGCTACTACAACATACTCATCTACAACAACCTACTCTTGAGTCATCCACAGAGCTGTGGAGCGGAAGCATACTCAACAGTACTACAACATCAACATTGACAACCTTGTCATACTATTACACATTTTGGAACACAAATTGTGGCAAAATACCAAAAAGTTTTGGAAGCTTTAATATCATCAACAATGTCACAGGAAAATGTTTTTGAGCAGTCGATCAATAGCAAGTACAGCGACTGGACTGCGGTCTTCGACCCGACTGAAGTGGAGCCGTATCGACTGCATTGGGACGAGTCGATGGTGTCGCGGAGTCGGCAAGCCTCCGGCGAACGGTCGAGTGATTCGGAAAGCGATATGGACGCGGTAAGTTTGCACTCTCGATCTCGAGAGCGCATGCAAATGGCACTTTTGTCGCCATTATATTAACATGGCATTCGGTTGTGGGGGCTGTTTGCTCTTAATGACTTTATGTTTTGCCGTAAAGTTATACCAAGTTTGTATTGGTGTTTTTGGGTTGTTTAGGTTTGCGAAAAAGATTTTTATTCATGAAATGTTTAAATATGTTAGTTAATCCTTGTAAAGTTATATGCTTTTAAAGGTATATTAACAGGAGTCATTATATTTATGTCATTTCAGAAAACCGAAGAGCTAGCTACCGCATTCAATCGCTACTGTGAAGCATTGGTGGCTGATATTCTTCAAGCCGAAGAGGGCTGGGACGCTGGCCAAGTGAGTTTAAAACTGTTTATATTAACATTGCGCGACCGTCAAAAGCCGAGAAACGGGACTAAACTTTGTTTACTCATTCACTTGGCCGCTCTAAATTAATAATCTTGCGTGAGCTGAACATGATTGCTCTGGTTATTAGTTGTCTTAGCTTGCGCTTCTGAAAGTCTGCTTCAACTATTGAGTTAGGGTAGATGAGGGTTGATTTTAATGAGTTTAGGGGGTGTTTTGGCTAATTTTAAGTGGTTGTCACGTTTTTAAGAGACGTTTTGTCAATACCTTATCGTGTGTTGGGAGTTTAGTATACACCACTATTTCTTAGTCTATATACCATTATATCTGACAACTAGCGAGCTTATGTTGCATTACCTTGTCTCATGTTGCAAGCTGTTTTTTGCCAATCTTTGATATATGGCTTCTGATTTCTCATCCTGCCGTCTCCCAAGTCATGTTTTTGAGACAAGGCCAACATCGCCGCGGGATTTATGGCCTGCAAAATGTTTTTTGCGACCAAATCCCCGGCCTTGATTAATTCGCTGTGATGAACTGAGAAATCGCCGTTGTTCTTCATCCAGAAAGACCTTGAGAAGGACCTTATTCACCCCATTTAGCGCCGAGTATTGAGTTATCAAGATGAGAATTGAGTCCTGATTCTTCGCTTTTATGCGCCAAATGCGCGCGGTTTGGCCACATTGGCCGGGCGAGGGGGGGGTTGCGCTTGGAATGACCGCTCGGCTGTTGTGTAAGATTTGTGCCGCTGCTGGCTCTTCATTATGTTCTGGCTAATTTGGAGCCGTTTGATTTGAAACATTGAGTTAGTTGAGAGAGGAGTGGATACATAAGGTTAGTATGGGGAGGGGGTTCATAAATGTAACTTGGCTACACTTTTTGCTACAGTAAGATGTACCAAGACTTTTGACTGCTTCTCTACTACTTAGCGGGTCTTTTGATACTTCGTAGTAAGAGTTGTTATGGGTTTTATGAGCACAGTTATGTGATGGAACATAATGTTATGGGATCGTTGTGAGAACACCGTTTATACGCGAGTAATTGAATGCCATTACTCTTTTATATTCTCATAAATATAGGTATAGTTATATTGAGTCATATATTTGGATACTTTGGCATAGCTCATACTCTACTGCAGTAGTTAGGAACATTATGTTATGGCTATTATATGTACAGTAGTGTGTTTTAGGGAGTGGCATATCATGCAGATAATCTTATACAATGGCGTCTTCTATCGTTCTTTTGTTACAGTGTAGTAGATGGAATCTTATTTATTATACTATTATGACATTGTATTTACTTGTTTTTTTGTAAAGTATACTGTACATTGTTATAGCCATAATGTACCATTGGATGAGTATTTCAAAGCCATGACTCAGATTACCCGTTCTGTGTACTCTTACACAGATTTACTGGTCGTTTCTGTCTTTTTGAGTCATATTTTCACTTTTCCGTCGCGCATTCGAAGCCTTGAGATGGCTAAATGTCTCGTTTACATATGCAAATTTATGAGGCTGAATAAACAGAGCGGGGGGGGCATGACGAGTGTTTGGCCGGTGATTTGTAAGAACGGATTAGCGTTCCGTCGACCTCTATCCTCCGCCCTTACCACAAGATCGTAAAATCAACATAAACTTTGTTTACGACGTTCCTTTCAGGAGATCGTTCTGAATGAACTGTTGGAACGGCAGATAATTATACAAGTTCACGGTAATCAGCTGACTGAGGTGGTGGGTGACATGGCTAACTATGTGCAGAGCAAGCTGGCTACTATCAACGTACACATGGAGAGGCTGAAGCTGAAGCAGGAGCCGACTGGCAAGTTTGGTAGGTTTACTTTGAAGTAGTGTAACTTTGCTTTTGATCAATGTATAAAACATAGTCAGGCTGGAATGACATTTTCTTTTGATTTTCAGTTTACAGTAAAGATTGCTATTACTATTAGTATTACTATTTTAGTATATATTGAATTTACTTATTTAAAACATATTTTTACACACTACAACTCAAAAACACGTCACAATATGACACACCCTTGAAATCAATTTTATTCGAAATGATATAAATTCACCGGTCGATGTCATTTTCAGCGTTCCGTGACACTTCTGTCGCCAGCCATTTGCGCAAATGGCTACAGAACAGTGAAGCCACGTTGAGTCGGATTCAGCACGAAACCTCGTTCATGTCAAATTCTCAGCCAGACCTGCAACGTTTGAGAGCGACCCTACAAGTAAGTTTTGAAGAATGTCTATATATTGTTTTTGGCCGTATACATCTGACAATGAGTTTTGATTTTCCGCAATACGATCTTGTTTTTGTGGTAAACTTTATTATATTTAGAGGTTTTGTATTGGACAAGTTAGTAAATGTTTTTAAAGGGCGAAAAATACGTAGGATTTTTCTTTTTAGGTAAATTTAGCTTTCTTAAAACATTTTTTGAACCTAATGATTACATTTTCATTAAACCTTTTTACTTGTTCTCAACTTTTCTAATCTCATGATTGTGGTCAAATACGGAAGAATGTTTATCCAATATGCAAATCTCTCAACGCTTGTCGCTAATGCCGCTTAGAGACCTTGATCTCGAGTTTACAGCTCCTTAAAGGTCTTGGTATCTGTCGGTTCGTATCTTCTAATCTCTTAAAGCTAAGCGTGCGGTTAATATTCTAATTATTTCTTTTAATTAAAGCTTACTTTTGTCATATTGTTGTAGTATTAAGGTCAAAAATTTTGTGGTGTTGCTTCATTTAGTTGAATAATGTTTATAAGCCAGTTTGATGTTAATGTAGGCTTAGTTTTGCTTCTTTTTGAACAGTTTGTTCAACGTCCTATATCCCAAAGAGTGTTTTAGTAATAATGTATCCAAGTGTGTAGTATAATATATTTGTACAAATCCTAGTCATAATGTGAAATGAACCGTCATCATATCACGTTTCTTACTGTAGCTTGACTGCGCATATCTAGGAGACGTGTATCTTTTGTTTGGTCTTTAAGTGTTAAAGCGAACGTTGAGATTAACTATGAACGTTCAGAACGTTCGTTTTATAAATTTCTCCGCAAATATGATTTTAGCCAAAGTACAGTTGGGCGGTTTTCTAAAAGTTTCTTGGGATCGCCGCCATCTGTCATTTCTGACATATTTACTGGTGGTTTTGCAGTAATTTTTGCTCAATCTCTGGGCATCTTTTGATATTATAATATAGGATATTCTTGTAGAAAATGATAGGGGATGCTAGTACGACAAAGGTTTGTATAGTATACTGTTATTGTAGCTAAAATGATGTTTTTAACATTTTGCTATCTAAATAATTACTTATTATTCTATAATTTAAAAATGCTTTATTGGTTCAAACTTTAAACTGTAATTAAGGCTTAAATAACAGTATGCAAATTTTTTTTGTGATATGGTACGCTGGGTCTGATGCCTTTCACTGATAAGAGTGGACAGGCGTTCATAACAGTTTTGTTGAGTCTTTAGCCCTTTGGTCGGCTGTCAGTAACCGTTCATAAACTGCTTTAATTGTTTTGTTTTTGCAGAAAAGTCATATACTTTTGCTAATTTACGATTCTACAATAATTTATTGTACGACGACTTTTAGTTTTGTTCTTACTGTGGTATCTTGGGAATCATCTTTTAGTTTACACTACTATAAGATTTCTTATAGCATACTATAATGTATTTTTAATGTTGTTTTAGACTAAAACAACTTTTTAATAGTATAATATTGCTTCTAAAACATCTTTTTGATTAAACGTCTCTAAAACAACATCCTTTTGAATAATTTTGGGTCTTTAAAGTGTTTTGTAACTGTGGAAGCACGTTTTGTGAATTCCCAGATTCATAAACAATAAATTTCGATGTTTTATCAAAAGTCGCGTTGCGATAATATATTAGTGGACATCTGGAGCGGACGCCATATGAGTTGCTTCCGTGTCTCCGGAGTGCCCCAAAATGGCGGAACTCTTTGGTCTGATCTCATTGTCCTCCTTTGTCACCGCCGGTTACTGTTTTTACTTTCAGACCCTCCAACTTGAGATCGACACTGAAGGTCGCCACTTACTGCGAGCAGCCAAAAGACATCTGACTAACAGGTAAGATGACATGCTTTGGAACGGCAATGTTGTTGTTGTATTGAGATTGACAAGATGGTCTTTTATAGCTTGATGGGTGTAGTAAATTACTCTGAGTACCTTGTATTTGTTTGTAGTACAGCTTAGACACTTTAAAGTTGTGTTACAGCCTTTTTGATGACACAATAGCTTAAAGTACCACGTGTTTTTTATAGTCCAGTAAATACTTTAAGATTTTAAACTAAACTTTTAAACTTTACTGTTGGGGATTTTGATGCCTAAACCATTTTGAAAACCTTCAAATGACATTTAAGAATCTAACACAACCTTAAGAGCCTAATACATACTTCAACTTCCTTAATATAATTAATTTTACTTTTGTAGAGCTGTCGAACCCTCAGCTGACAGTCTAAAAGTTCAAAAAGTGCAAAGGAACCTCGAGTTACTGGAACAACGCTGGCTGAAGCTCTACTTAGGGGGAGTCGAGCAAACCGAGCGAATCAACAATCTACTACAACGCTTTGAGGTAGGTCCAACCATCGTTCGATAATACTTTACTTAACTGTTTTTACCTTCATATAATATATTTAGGCATATTATATTTTTGTTTTATATTAACACGTCCCAAGGTATCTATAACACCTTATACTATAACTTAACGTAATTGAACAGTGACACACCTTGATTACTTTATTCTGATTACCTTTATTAAAAAATGCACTTTCCTTGTTAAAAGCGGTAAAACTGTTATTTATACGCAGTTTCTGAATGAATTAGTAGAAAGCCGGCAATCCCTTTTCGGAATATTCAGGTACCTTGTTTAGCGATATTCCGAGCCTCCCCCCCCTCTTCGTTCATGCTGGGAAAACAAAAGTGTGGGTTTGCGCAACCCAGAAAAGCCGATGCAAAAGTATTCGAATTCCACGCAAAAATATTTTAATAACCTTTCGGAGAGCAGTCCCACTTTGTGTAGGTTGAGGGGATGTAGATTATGGGGATGACCTTTAATTTGTCATTACTGAAGGTCCATTAGCAGCCGGCTCTAAGAGCTTAACACCCCTTATTAGCACCCGGTTTAGACAAATTAGCACCCCCCGCGGGGGCAGATGACATGCCGTGTCGCTCTGGAAACGGGCAGCTGCTCTTGATCCGGATCGCTCAGCTGTAATGGCCATAAACCCGCCTCAGGGTTATTATTTATAGTTTAGGCAGATCGTTTGAACTGCTTCCTGTGGCGAAGCGGTCTCAGCCTGTAGCAGCAGCAACAGGTGCGGTACAAAATCTATTTTCGCGCTTTCTATGCATCGGCAATCCCAAATTAAAGGCCGCTGCGAGTGGACTGTTGTTTTTGGGTGGCGTTTGCGCAATTTTATAATAATTTTAAAGATTTTTTGAATTTGAATCCTTGGGTTGGTTATAAACAATATAAAGTATGATCTACAAGTTTTATACTAGCCTTGACAACTATGTAGAAACCTTACACTAGCAGTACCATCTATAACAATCCCTCCAAAACTGTTTATTTTTCGCCTTTGTGCTATTTACATGTCCCTACTATAATATTTATATTGCTATCGATTGGAGGCAGCCATTAGGAAAACAAACCCGAGTTTTTTATTGTTTGATCAGCTCTCGGCCACGGTTAATCTTAAAGTGACCCCATCAAGTTGTCGATCACCGCCCCTTTATATCAAATTTCGTCCCTGTATTGTACTCAAGGCCCTCAATAATTGAGTGACGCGGGGAGAGGGGGGGGGGATCATCCATCTCATGGATATTCTCCTAATGGCGCCAGAGGTGTCGTCACGTCTTATGGGAAATGTGCGAGCTGCAATCCCCGTTCTGGATTGAATTTTTTGAAATTACTAGGGAACATCTAAAGTTTTAAAACAACGTTTTGTAATCAAAAATTGTATTTTCATTGAAGACATTATTGTAGGTGGCGTTTTTATTTTAACCTCTTTTTAACCAATTTTGAAATTGCCACTTCCACTGACCATGACTCTGACCACAATATATATTACCGTTATAGAGCGAGGATCAGAACGGTTCGGACCTTGAATCGGTGGGGAGTTTGGAGCCCGCCCGCAAAAGAGCCCGACCCTCAGCCATCTCGGACGGTGAGAGTTCGGAGGAAGACGAAGACACCATACCGTTCTCATCAGGCGAATACCGTCGTATCTCCATCAGTCAGATGCACGAGAAGTGAGTTATTGTAGAGTCATAATCACAGTAATCTTACGTAAAGTCGGTAACAACCACCTGTAAACTGAGGTAGTCGTTACTGAGTTGTAACTACGTGTAGAATCTTTATTGTTTTATGGTTTTTGCTTTACGGTGGTTTATGACGTGATACGACTGTGTTTAGTAACTCTGTGTCTTAAAATAGCTGTCGTATCGTTTTTTACTTTAGTATTTGCATTATATATCATTATTGGTTACCTCTGGCGTCTTATCAGCTCATAAAGCGTAGTTATGTGCAATATTCCACTCCTTTATTGCTTTTCGAATTCGATTGTTCAGCGCTTCAATTTGTCATCCTGAGAATAGAAGTTGTATGTTTGGGATGATTGACATCCCGCTACGTTCCCATAACATAATGTCGTCGTTTCAGCTCTGATCTGGACAACTCAACTGACAAAGGCTCGAACAAAAGCGAACGAGAGGATGGCTGGTCCTCAAGCAAGACCCAGGATGTTGGCTATTCCAGCGGAGAGAACTCGCTGCACGAGGCCTTGAACCAGCTTGACAGGTAGGAAGGAGCTCCATCGATCATTATGAAGACAGCGCTTTTCCCAAAACTTTTGGCCATGACCAATTCCTTGAGTCATCGCGGCTAAAGCAAAGTCGGGAAAGGTTGCATAGATTGTCCAACACGCTCGCGCTCACCTGTTTGTTTGCTCAAGCTGCATCCCGAAATGACCGCTCTGACATCCGTGTCCTTAATATATTTTAGCCCGGCGGCATTGCGTTTCGTTTTTGGCTCATATGCTACCGAAAACATTAACAACAACATGAATCAAATTCGTTTTTAACATGTTTGGCCTTTATTTTTAACACGTTGATTACTTTGCGATAGCATTCGATTAACTTGCTCATGATAATATTAATCAACATATGGGAAATGATTCCAATTTGCCTTGTTTTAACCTCGCTTTTTCAGCTTTGACACCACCACCCAGCAAGACTGGATGAAGAGTCAGAACCTGGTCAGCAGCTACTACAAGACCGTGCCCTTAGACGACGCCGGTGCTACTGACAATGAAACCCCTCGTCTTCCGGCTCCAGGGATCTCCTTGAATCTGCCGGAAGACGAACTGACTACATCAATGATCGTGAACATGGACTCGATCAACACAATCGACACGTTCGACGACTACAATGAGGTCATGAGTATGTTGGAGGAGAAGTACTCGGACCCCACCAAGCTCGGTACTCACTGGAAAGAACTGAAATCCAACACTAACAGGAGGCTGTTCACCCCTTCACGCCCTCAGGTCAGACACAGTTTGGTGTCGGATCCGGGCAGGGTAAGTTGAACTGATATTGGGGGATCGGGTTACAGTCATTTGCCATTTTTTGACATCCTTGCCTTGTTATAGTAAATGATTTCGTAAAGGGGAATTAACTTTGAACTATAGTAGGTGATATTGTAAAACTTGACATTTTAGATGTCATGCGACGCCAGTTCTGAAGATTCAGATGCCCAAATCTCGACGATTATGAGCGAATCCTTTAGTGGATGGTCGGCCAATGCCCTGAAGACATATACGCCACAAACTTCATCCATCAGAAAGCGAAGATACCAAAGGAACAATGCCCAGAAGCAAAGCGAATCCCTCCACAACTCCTTCATTACATGTTCGAAGATGGTATGTCACGAATTCTAACCTTTATTATCGTGTATCAGATGTCATCATGTTATTGTAATATGATTTCATGTTCTTACTGTATGATATGATTTCATGTTTTTACTGTAGCATAACACAATTTTCGAATTTTTTACTGAACAACACACTTTTCGATCAAAAGTAATTTCCAATTTCAATAAAATGAAATCAAAATTCTTTTCAGGACCAATCCGTGTATGACTTCGCTACACAAGACGTGATGAGTCAGTCTCTGAATCTCTCCAACCGAGCCTTAAACAATCGGCGGCGTTTCCTCAAACGCCGAATGCACAGGAGCGCTTCCGAAAACACAAACGTATTGGAAGGTAAACAATGTCACGGTAATTTAAACTCGCTTGCAGCACAAAAGGCTACAGTACAGCGACGGGACTCGTTGAACAGCAACTCATCGTGCACAACGTTCCACGATTCTGGAGATGCTCACTTCGAGTGGGACGACTACAAAGTGGGTTCGACTTTTGTTATATTGTGATAGTATTTTTATAGTTTTTTTACATTTGTTATGTTTTATGTTGTCTAATGTTCTTTGATGTTATAGTTTTATAGTTTTACACAATTTGATCCTCTGAACTAAAGATTTAACTAAATTTTGGTTTGTGATAATGGTCTGATTACTAAACCATAATATTTGACTATCTATAATCATATTCTTAACCATTAGAACAAAAATGTGGTCTCGCCATTAAAATCGAACGCACAATGCGGTCTATATTAATATATCGCATTAATTAGCCAATATTAACGTAGATCCATGCATTAATTCATACGAATCATACGTTGGACAGACAGCTGAAGTCGTTTTTATTAAAAAAAACCCACTAAAACGACTTTCCTCTTTGCTATAGTTTAGAATCGAGGGCTTTAGCGTGCTGATTGTAGATCAATATTATGTATAATATAATTATTTATAACCAATCCACCAGACACCGAACCATATTAGCATACAGCGATCGAGTTGATTTAATTAATCCGCTGGTATTCTGCCTTCCGCTCAGTTTACTTTAATGACCCTGTGTGGAATCGACAGAGCTTCTTCCTTCCCCACACTGTACTTATTCAGCACAAACAACTGGTTGAACACAAAAAACGGTGAGGGGAGAGGTTGCGCGTTTTTTTGTTCCCCGACGTGGCTGTCAACAAAGTCGTTGTTTTGGACGTTTGAAGAGAGACATTCGAAGCCGCAAACAGAGGGAAGGGGGGGGTTTCGGCCGCCTTTTCTTGGATTTATTGCCATGACTCGTTGTTTTTCCCCATAGCGAAAAAACTCATTCGGCTGCGTTGTTGTGAGCTTGACTCAGCGTTTTAATTCTAGAATTAGATGCCAACCTCTAAATGAATCTAACTCAACGTTTGGGGACCTAATTTATTGCCAGTGCCTATCAAAATGTTGTCTTAAAACTTGCCGATATTATGACTCTTTTTCACGCAAGATTAATCTTTTTCTTCCTCGGGAAAAAGCTGAAAAACACTTCGCTCCAGGCTTGAATCGTGTAGCGAAATGTTTCTTAGTATTTCGCTTGCTTAACCGCGCCAATAATAATATACTCCACTTATCTGCCACTTGTTTATTACTCTTTTCACCGAAAAGCAGTTATAACTCGCAAAACACTACTCTTTATAAGCTATCCTCTACAAAAAGCCACTCTTTAAAAGGCTACAACAACGTTAACCTTTGAAAGGATATAAGAACGTTAAAATTGTAACAGTGAAGAACATTACTTTAGACTGAACATTAATCTAAAATAATGTTCTCAATTTTATATTCTCCATTCTTACTGCCTTTTGTTTTCTTTTCAAACTATATTCTCAGTGATAAAAACGTTCCGTTCTCGACCGAACGTTCCAATCCATCATTCAATCTCTAATTACCTTACTTTTCATAATTCACACCGCCGATTTTAGGAGGAATCGGTGGTTTCTCATGACATAGACCAGTCGACCAACACCTTTATGAGTCTGGACACCCCACTGCTGGCCCCGCTGATGGTGGACGAAGACTTTCAGACCGAACTGCCGCTGATGGATTCGGCGGAACAAAGCGGCGTCGCCCTTTTCCTACAACAATCTAAAACAGCGCTGAAGGAGGCTCGCTGCGTGCTGGAGGCCGATAAAGAGGGCGGGAAGATGAAGGTAGGTGCCTCAGGAAAAGCAAACCCTCTCCATTACAGACTATCGCCAAAATCGCCGCCGAACATCTGAAAAGCATCCGATCACTGATGACAGCGACCGTCACCTTGGATCCCGTAAGTATTATACCTTGTTGACGTTTAGATCAATATTAATAACACGTTTCGTGTGGAATAAGAGATAAGGAACTGATAAGCGCCGTTATACTAGCTCGATCGAGAAGAACATAACGTCTTGTTACCTAAATCGACACAAGAGATTAATTCCTCCTAGATCAAACTAGAAAACGAATGTAAAACATAGTTAATATTATCTAACATATCATAATAGTAATGAAAACATAAGAAATATATATAAATACATCAGCAAAGAACGTGCAAACCTCGTAAAACCTTTTTCCGAAATGATTCTGTGACAAAATTTTGTTTTTGATGACATATTTTATAGATTATCTAGAAAACATGTCATCCCATAAATGAGTCACTCAAAAACGATATTTTTCGGAAAATAATTTTATTTTTGGAATTACATTATTTTACATGTATTTCAACGAATTTTGTAACATATTTAGGGAAATATGTTTATTTTGTATAGAATTGTGTTTATGGTAAGCGTTAAAACCTTCTACTATAATAGTAACGTTAAACTGTGTTTTGTTTCTTATCTCTTGTTAGATTACTCTTTCTGCTTGGTTGACTAGAAGCAGTCTTATCGTTCACCATTTGAATATAAAGCGTTTTCAGAGCGGCGCCGAAGCTTTAAACAAGCTTCACACGGAATGGCTGGAGCTTGTGAATAAGTTTGAGCTTCCTTCCAATGATTCCTTGAGTCCACACGAAGTTATGGAGGTCATGGACCTGTTCAGGACAATAAATCAACATTATCAGTTGTTTGGAGCGATGTGTGATGGTTCAGATGCAAAACTACTCAATGAGAGCACGTTGGATGACCTCAGGGACACTTTGAGGACACGAAAGGTAAGTGTTTTATATTATTTTAGATAAATTTAGGTAATTTTCACGTCGGGCGTTTATTTTTTTTTTGCTTTTTAACTTTGAAAAAGTTTTTTTCTGATTGTGTTTATGTTTTTACAGCTGGCTTCAATGCGTTAAATTATTTTATAGTTAGACTTTGAGCTATTTTTAAGATTTATTTAAAAAATATTTTTAATGAATGTTTTATTTCAGAAGCTATTCCAACAACTCCGAACAAACTATATGCGAATGATGACACTTGTATCTCGAGTACCCAACCTTGTACCAGAGCTGGAAAAGGTGATCAACAACATAAACGTGTTGAATGGATCAGTTTCGAACCTTGAGAACTTCTACCAATTATATTGTGTGAAGGAGAAGATCGAGGAGCTGGATGGAGGTGTAACAGAGCTTGACAAATGTCTCGAAGAACTCTCAAAGCGATCTGTCCTTGATTTGAACGATTCCCTGGGCAATCGTGTGAGGGAAATCGACGAGGAATTGAGTCATTGCCAAGATAGGATGAGTTCTTTGGAACATGTTTGTAACGGAATCATCTCCAGGCTCAGCTCGAGTCGAGTAGAGAACGACGAGGAGGAGTTGGAGTGCTGTCAAAAGTTCATAAAAGACTTTAATGACATGAAGAGGACAATCCAGCTGGTCAAGAACAGGTAAGGGATTGGTTTGTTTGCTTTTGGGTGCTTATTTGTAAGCTTATTTAAGGTTTTGTTTATACGCGATGTTTTATTTGTTTGAGCGTTTAAAGGAGAACATTGGAGGGAGTAATGTTACCGACGGCTGTTTTTGGTAGATTATACTGCTAAAGAAGGCTTTAGGTATTAAATTTCTGGAATTTCTTTTGTTTTTTGGTGAAATTTTGTGGATTTCGTCATTTTTAGTTGAAATTTCTCGAGTTTCTTCTATTTTCTTTTAAAATAAATGGCATTTTCTCGTTTTATTTCAAAGTTTCACGGACTTTTACACTTTTTATAAAATTTCCTGACATTTTTCATTTAATTTTCTTGGTTTTGGTACTCGAAATGTCAATTTGAGAGTGAGAATGTGAGAATTTCTGTCAGGTTGACGTAAATTTACATTTTAATTTAAACTTGTTTTCGGTTAGCTACGCAAATTCGTTTAATTGCGCGATAGTTTAATGGGGATTACTAATTAAAATGTGTTGTAAATTGCACGAAGACTAATCGAAAAAAATTATTTAAATATTTGTGTTTATTTTTAAATTAAATTTTGTATTATTCGAATCTGGAAGACCAATTTTGGCATTAAAGGACATTTCATGCAGGCGTGGGTGTTCATTAATTATGTGAGGATATTTACTATTTTGGGGCATTTTCTGAATCTTTTTTAATTTACGACACTAATTTAAGGTATTTACGAAATCTTTTTAAGTTTGCAGAAAGATTGCTTTGAGGTAATTAGTAGTATCACTTGTGTTAAGATAGCTAATAGTGTAATGTAAATGTTTACTGCAAGACATCAAGGTATTTACCACCCCAATTAATACGACCGACTTATCCGGTAATTGCAGAATGGATCGTTTGTGCAAGATAATTCCGGGATGTGCATCACGCTCCCAACAACACGATGACAGCTACAGTGACTCGTCGATCCCAGAATCCGTGTCGAAACCGCGAAAACGCCGCAATCTGACAGAAGAAACAAAAGAGCCGGAGACAAAAGAATCGACCACCAAAATGAGTTGGCTGAGTCCCAGCCGACTGGTTGCTCCATTCAAGTCGAGTCACTCTGCTCGAGGCGTTCTGATTTGCATGGTGATGTTGGCTATCGGGACACTGCTGCTGGGACTGGTCACTGATGAGGAAATCTTCTCACGGCACAGCCACTGGTCGTTCCGTTTCGGGCCTCAGCTGAGCTACGTGGACGGACCTCCGCCAGTTTAATGATCCCACCTTACTTTTGATCACATTTGTCGTTGATCAAGTTTTGATGATAATATGATTATTATATATTCTTGGCGTTCTTCCATGTGACATTTCTTACCATGTAAATTTGTTGTTCCTGCCAGCTGCCTGTCGACAAGGCGGCTCTCCCCAATATCACGACCTTGATGGTATCTTCCAGTGTAATTATGTTATTGTATATTTGGTCTTTTGGACGAAAAAGTGCCTTTGTATGTTGTTATGTTTTTATTCCCAGTGATGTCTCGTATCATACGCTGCCCATTCTGTAGCCTCTCAGTTGATATACTTGAAGTAGATGATAGTTATTACAAAACGAAAATCCAAAAATACTCAAAAAGCGTTGGAAAAGGTCTCAAAAATATTTTTATTTCGGCAATCATTGTTAATAACATAAACTATTGATAATAAACAAAAGTAAAAACCTAGCTCATGGTGAATATAATGTTCTTGAAAGCAAAGACTAAAGTTTTTTTGTATGTTTGAAGATACAATGGTATAACTATGGGTAATAAGATTAAAGCAGAATAGTACTAGTCCCAGTCATCAAAGTACTATTTTTAACCAAGGTGTACTCAATCAAATTGTAGGACAATAAAACTTGCTCAGAGTGCAGTTTTAAGAGGAGTGGCTTTAATCGCGTCCGGTACTCGAAAATGCTGCCTTCTTTGGCTTCGGCTCCGTTACGCTGTTTTTATACTGACTGACGCCTTAATATTCTCCGTGATTCCCGCAGGGAAATCGAGGCCGGGCCCTTGTCGAAGGAATCAGAAGCGAAACGCCTTTCACCGGCTTATCAAACACAACCAAGCCGGCTTCAATTAGTCCGTCGTAGTTGGTTGGGTTACGCGGATTCTAGGCTTTTTACGACAAAAGTTGTCGTATTTTAGGTTAAATGGACCTAAAGTTTTATTTGTTGGCGGGATTTTCAAGGTTTTATCATTTTTTTCTTTATTTTTTATTGCGCGGAATTTTTGAATTTGAATTTTAACTTTATTATCTTTATGAAATTAGTTTTTTTCATAAAATATGCCGTTATATATCTTATGACACTTCTTGCTTTCATACTATTGTCTCCTGTTTCGACCTTTACATTCACAGTCTTCTCTTCGCTCGCGAAACAATTTTTTCGTACAGTTAGCCTAGAAAGTATGTTACACATGGCCTTTTTTGTGTCCTTTGATCCTTTAATCCTTGCCGAAAAGGAATTCTCTTCCTTCTGATGTATGTGTCAGAGCGAAACATCAGAATATCGTTGATATAGGAAATTAAAACGGCAACTGTACCAAGACAAACAGTAATTAAAAGAACAAAAACCGAAGATGAAGCAGTAAAAAGAACAAGGTAGAGTAGAAAGACTCTGCCATGCTACTCTTTACACTTTGAGCTAATTGTAAGTCGTTTCTTACAATTAAAGGTGAAAGTGAGGTCGGCATTTAATGAGAATTGGAGCCGAAGCCAGCTCACACTGAGGCCGAGTTGCACTGTGGCCAAACTCTTCGGGGCCACAAAAGCGGTCAGACCTTATTTATTGGACGGGCGCATTAATTGTGGCATGCAACCGGACACTAGAAAGCATTCTTCCCTCCGAAGATATATTGCACGTTAACTCCCTTCAAATTTGTTTTTAACCTGCTGATACTCGTTCCGCACTTACTCTCGGCCACTTTTTCCAAAGCCCAAACTTTGTCGCAAATGCCGAGATTTACCTGTGGCAACTCAAGGAGCCGCCAACCCTCCCCCCGCGGCTTAAACGTTTCACAAAATGGGGCCGGATCCGCTGCTATTGTGTGATTTCCGGCAACCGATTCCCGGCCCTCAGGAAACGTTTCATTCCCGCTTTCGAGGGCGTCTGGTGCAGTCGAGCGAGAACTGTTCATTTCTTTGTTTCAGCCCTTACAACAACAGCCCGAGCAGTCCCCGAAACCAGAACGATGACTCAAACGTGCTGAGAACACCGCTCGTGGCGGACAGCGTTCGGATGCGCGAAAGATGGTCTACAGTTTCCGCGGCGATCGCCAAGCTCGAACTCCCCGTTTAGCACGTGGGTTGAAAAGGCTTTTCTCTTAGCACTAACTGCACCATAACTACAGTACAAATGTGTAGTAAAAACAATACTGTAACTTTCATGCACGCTGTGATGCTATTAACGCTTAGAGTTTACTTTACCGCAACTACTAACTTCTGGAATGAGCTTTACCACCATCTTTAACAATTAGAATAAGCTTTAACACTATCGCTACTACCTAGAAAACCAACACTGCATACGTTTTAGAAAACTACTGAAAACCTTGGTAAATAAATCCATGTGTCAATTGTCACGCCTTAATTATATACTGTCTCATCTTCGGAATGCATTTCCAATAACCACGTACTACTTTGTCTCCCTCCGCCAACAAGGCATCGCGAATTCATCCGAACTCACTCAAACACGTTGCACTAATGCCTAAGGGGTCAAGTTCATGTGTTATGCGCTAACAAGCTGCTAGCCGATGGGAAAACAGCGCCACGATCACCACTCATTCCCACCAGCCGCTCTCACACCCGAGTGTAATGTAACCGGGACATTTCTTATAATTTTGGGCCACGCCCGGCCCCAAACCCGAAAGTCGAATGTTACCGTTACTTCATTGTGGAATGGACGTGGCCAAGGTGTGGATGGAGGAGTGCTTACATTGCTGCGGCCAGGAAGAAGATAATCCCACCCTGGGGCGCCGGCCCTGGCCTAGTACCCCCTTCTGACCATTCTTTTCATTATCAGATTACACTTCTTGAATTTACAATTAGTGACACGTACAGTGATGACCTCCATAGCGTCAAGATTAGCGGGAGAAGGTTGGCGTAACTTCTTTCTTGGGCTAACTTTAATTAGCGTGGCCGAATTTAGGCGGCGTCGGCCTGTTTGTTTTTTACCTTGCCTCACGAAAGTAATATAATGTGCGAGAAGGAAACCTTGTAGTCGTAACGAAGGTTATTTTGATCGTTTTTATTTGAATAGACGTGTTATTACCTGGACAGTCTACTTCCATGATGAAACTTTAATTGCTTTAGGCATCTTATCAAATTGTTTTTGTAAAGTTCTGTCGTATTTCGTTGGCTTTCTTCGAGTTTTGTCAAAAATGTCATTTTATTATGGCATTATAGTGTTTTACTTGTCTTTTTGACTTTACTTTCCTTGCCATTTGTATTGTACCTTTCTTTGTTGACCCATCGTACCGGAACGTTTGCGGAGCGTGTTGCCAAAGCTTTTTGCTTATGTATCAACTTTTCAGAGAATACGGTTCCGTAGCGGGAATCATGACCTGAGGGCGCGCCGTAGTCCTCGGCGGTCGAGTCCGTGCTGACGAGGCTCGCCTATGCCCCACCAACCTGACCCAGCAGCACTGCCCCAGCTAACGGACCTCATCGTATATGAAACAGCATCCTCGCAAAACTAAAAGTAATCTTGGTACTTTCTTTGTTTTGGCGTCATGTTCAGGAGTTTTTTGTTCTTCGCAGGTCGCTGGCTTGAGTATGGCTTCCGGGTTTGTTGGCCGAGCGCCGAAGCGTGAATCATCTGCAGGCGTCGTGCTGACCCTTGTCGTCTTCGCTGACCCTTCTGCCTTCGTTCTGTCTGTGGGGCTGTAGCTCGCCAAACGCTTTTAGGGCGTGTGAGACGCTAATTGTCCAAGGATAGTGAGGATCTGGCCAGAGTTAAATGGCCAACTTATTCCGTGAGAGTCGAAAGTTCGGCCAAGATTCCCTTTTTTTAATTAACCGGCCTTTTGTCGCGAATTCGGGACCTAGGTGGACGAGTTTGCTAGCCAAACAATAAATTGAATTAGCTATTAGCACCTGCCCCCTCTACAGTACGGCGTGTTCTATGTTACTTTCGTACCGTTTATTTGTTTATTGTGAGCAGTAGGAAAATAATTAGCATAATCAGTCCTAATTTAAGGCTTTTAATCTAGTTTTTGAGGATCGGCGACGACCGTGAAGGCAGGAGAAGTCCGATGCGGCCGTAATGCGACGTCCCTGGTTTGGCGGTAACTCGGTGAACGGCGGACGTGACCCTCATCGACAATCTTTGCATTTCCGTTATCGAAGTGCGTTACATCGCCACACGCGAGAGTGATTGTAACACTAGTCTGTGGAGTTTACTGTGCGCTGAGTACGAGTGGTGTTCATTGGAGTGCGGTGTTCTTTTTGAGGGGATTCTAGGAGAGTTGTTGAATGAGCTCGTTTTATGGCACACAGAGGGAAAGAAGACCAACCCCCACGCAGAAGAACGAACCACGCTCAAATCTTTGCTGCACAGGAAATTATAATAGGAGGGGCCAAGTTGAGGCGCGCAAAGGCAACGGGCGCCAATTACATCAATATTGTACGGGTCAACATTATTACTTCGTATGTTTTTCCCCGCAGGGCTACGTCGTTCTGACGAAGGACGAAAGTAATCGGATTGTCATCTATTTTCGTATCACTATCGTCCAAGTTACTGTAACACGGTCATCTACCGTCTGTGTCTGCTACACGTCTCAAAACGGCGACCTCACTCTCCAAAAGGCCCGTGCATGGTGCCGTGGTTCTGATCCCCGAATCCGGATGGGCGATCCCGAATGAATCAAGAGTTCGCCGACGACAACAAGGGCATGGTATTGGCCCCCGACATCAGACAGTCGGATCACGCCACTTCGTCGTCCACAATCAGCAGCAGATCGGGCATCCCAGCTTTCCGAACGCCCGGAGGCAGCACAAGCCAGAAAAGAGTACAGTACCGGGCACTTAGCACGAGCCTCGGGTGGCTTTATTAAACTTAACAGGTTAATTAACACTCGCCATCCGAGGTTCTGTTAATTGTCGTGTGATTACCTTGCTGTGAACTATTGCAGTGTTTGTTTCTCTGCACTCTATCACTATCCCATGCACTTTTCCTTATCACTTCCGGTTGTAACTGCGACTGTTTAGGACACGGTCGGGATTCGCATTACCACCAAGCGGCGGTCATCGAAGTTGGAGCCATGGTGCTCCAGAACATGTTCAGTGCTCTTTCGTTCCTACACTACAGAAAAGATGACGACTTCGTAGATCGACTGTCTTACTTTTACACTTCTTCTTTTCTCACAATGATGGCCGTGCTGGTTAGTTTCAAGCAGGTGAGTTGATGTCAATTATGTGTCATATATTGTGACATTCTCTATATTACTTTAGCATTAAGGATGACATTACGTCTGTCATTTTGACGAGACATACGAAACATAACAATAATTTTGTTTTCAGTTTGGTGGTCGACCATTGGAGTGCTGGGTATGTCATCTAGTTGTCACGCAACCTGTCATCACAGTCATGTTGTAATATAGCAGTATAATATCTAGGTTTCTTTAATGTTTCCAGGTCCCAGCACAATTTACAGCGTCATGGGAGGCATATACGGAAATGTTTTGTTGGGCTAAAAATACATACTTCGTGCCATTTGATGAGGTATGTTACTATTGCACTTGAAGCCGTTTATTTATACGTACTTTAAGTACAGTTTAAAGGTGTATATAACGTTTGAAAGTGCTTTTAACATAATGAATATCATTATTATTTATAATATTGTGATCACAACTTCAGGACATTCCCGTAGACATCGCTGACCGTGAGTACCGTCAGATATCCTACTACCAATGGGTGCCATTCTTTCTGCTCATCCAGGCCTTCCTCTACTACATTCCTTGTCTAATGTGGAGATTAATGAGCGATAAATCGGGTAATCGTTCAATTTACCACAGTAATTAGAGCATCACAAAGTAATCCAACAATTACTTTACGTTTTACAATTCTTATTCTCCATAGGATGTCTAATCTTGGCGTTAATAATGTAAAAATAACTGTAATATAGGTATCAGACTCAATGACATCGTCCAGATGGCGACAGAGAAGGAGAACATCGAGCCAGAGTACCGTCTCCGTACCATCGAATCCCTCTCCAGACATATCGAGTCGGCGTTGCGGTATGTCCTTAATCGCAGTAAAAAGAAGCGGTAATTGGCTTTGTTAAGCGTATTTTTCCAGATACCAACATACGGCGACGTCCCGGACACAGTACACGATGCATCGCGTGTTTAAATGCTTCAATTTGCGTTACTACGAAAGCTATGTCACGGGTCTATACTTGGTAAGTCATTTCGTTCGTTCCTTCCAATTTGTAGGCCACAAAGGTACTGTACGTCGGCAACATCTTGACCAACTTGTTGTTGGTCAACAAGTTCTTGGAAACCGACGAGTACAGCGTGTACGGGCTTGGCGTGCTACGAGACCTGCTGTTTGGCCGCTCGTGGATGGAGTCTGGAAACTTTCCCAGGGTTACTTTGGTATGTTATACATCTTGCTACCTAGTAATTTACAAATAAAAAATAACTGTACAACTTGGTTTATCTAAATTGCCCCTATTTCAGTGTGATTTCGAAGTACGGGTCTTAGGAAACAACCAGAGACATTCGGTGCAATGTGTTCTAGTCATCAACATATTCAACGAAAAGATATTCATCTTGTTGTGGCTCTGGTTCTCCATCCTCTTCGTACTGGCCACATTAGACGGCCTTTATTGGTTCAGTATCTCTCTCTTTCATCGGGATCGTTTCCGCTTCGTGCTACGCCATCTCGAACTCACATCAGATCCCGATCGTCCCGAGCTGTTTCGAAAAGAGAACCGGAAACAAGTCGAACACTTCCTCAAAACATACCTCAAGGTTGACGGCGTTCTTATATTAAGGATGATAGCACTGCATGCCGGCGTGATGTACTGCACTGAGATAACGGATGCTCTGTGGAAAAGGTATCTATCACAACATCCAGAAAACTTGATTGATGAAGATTCTTCGCTGATTCACTTTGCACGGTCAGTTTTAATTCAGAAGATCTAAACTTCAAAATTAACTTTAAGGTTACTGAAACAAAAATAGACAAAGAAATAAGAAAAGAAAAAGTAATCAACCTTTTACAGCACACAATCCATTCGTCGAACTCGTCACCTAAGCGGAGGTGATGGAGCCGGCTCCAGTACTTCTCTCACCCCCAACCACAACGGTGGACATCAACGTCTTTCACGATTCCTTTCCCAACGTACCGGAGGCAGCTTCAGATTCCACCGAGGTCATTCCGGCTCCCGATCACTGCCCAAGAAACAAGATCGGACTCCAAGCCCTCAAGGTGCCACTCCAGCTACGACTGGTAGGTCAGACTGTTTTATATTTAGTGATTGCAGTTATACAGATCACGCCGTCTAGTCGCCCCAACAGCCGGACCGGACATCACAAAAGCGTGATCACGTCTGCCTCCTCCGAACCGGTGGATTCTGGAGTCTCGAGCACGATCAAGAATCGCTCCAAAAGCGCGCTTCGTGCTCTCCGACTGACTGGATCAGAAGGGAGCAAGGAGAAGTTGTCCCCCCACAAACACGACGCCCCGGTGCCATTATAGCCAATCTTTCACCCTGGTCTCGCAATATTTCTGGTCGATACGGGTATTCCGACCGTCAAAACACAAAAAGTTGGAAGTTCAGAGGCCTTTCACGCTCCCTACATTATCACTCAGGCTGTTTTTTTTTTCATTGTAAATTCTCGATTATCGCCCGCAGAGATAATATATTTCAAAAACTTCTACAAGAAGCTAACTAACGGTCGATTTTCGCGTATTTACTCGGTATAATAAACTTTGTTGAGTTTCGTAAATAAGTAAAAACAAAGATTTAATTACTAAATGTATAATATGGTTTCATTGCAACATATTTTTAAATATGTATTTAAATTTCGGAATGTCTAATTTGGGAAGTGCAAAAATGACATATGTGGCCTAGAAACAACGCCTATACTATTTGAAAAAAAACCTATGTTACAATCCAGTATTTTGAAATTTAAAAACTTTTAAATTTCAGTATTTTTTACAGTTTCTGACTTACTATTTTTATACCAGACCTGACGATTTGAAAACTTCTAGACCATTAACAAAACCTAAAATGACAATTAAAAACCTTTTTCAAAAATTTAAGTTCATATTAAGTTTGAATACAGTTTGCAGTTTTAAATTACTATTTAAGAGGATCTAAAGACAGAGAAAGCATTAAAACGCATAAAAACCTTCTCATTTCTTGTTTTACTTGTATAAAAAAATTTGAACATCAATTAACCGTACTAGCAGCTCCCAATGTAAGTAACCGTGCTGATCCACATCATGCCAAAATAAAAGAAAAATGGAAATAAGGTGGTCGTGGCATTTCGTTAACTCAAAAGTCTCAAATATTGATTCAAAAAATAAAATAAATATTTAAAATGTTGAATGAAACGTGTGAAATTATCAAATACTAGTTAAACTAAATCAAATTTTGAGCTGTAACTAATATTAAAAAACTCGCTATGTTTCGGCGGTTCTTTGAAGAACAAACTGGTCTTGATCCGTCAAAGAATCGTTTAGATATGACACTACAAGTTTACCACAAATGAATTTCATTTTCAAAATTCCGACCGCTCAATTTCAAACAATTTTTTACAAAAAATAGAGTTTCACACTTCGCATCGTTTTTTACACGAAATGTCACTCTGCACGTCAAAATATAGAACCGAAAACGCGTGTGGCATTTCGTCCTCCATACTCATGAAATAGAAAAGCGCTTGCTTTTCGTGAGAGCGAATAGACAAAAAAAGGAAACGAGAGAGTGAAAAACGGAGAGACCACCCACGTGGTCGCAAAGAGAGCGGTTAGACATTTTCTTTTTCGCCGAGATTTTGGGGTTTTTTTGGAAATAGTGATAAGTTTAAAGCTGTTATATTAAGTATAATCTAACAATTTAAATTTTTTTTGTAAAAATTGTTAAATAAAACCATAAACTTGGTCTTAAAAAAGTTTTTTTTAATTTTTTAAAAGCTAAATGGCCGAGTTTTCGTTCTCGATATATTGGTTGCGGAATGTCAAATACAGTTTCAAGTTTTTTGCTTTATTACTTTTGACGTGCTCTGTCTTTATTTCCTCATTTGGCATGACGTGTGATCCCACAAATCCTATCGCCATATTTTAATTCAGTGAAAAAAATAAAAAATTTAAACAATTTAATTAAATTGGCATAAAATAAAACGGCATACAAAAAATACCCTTTTATTAAATTTATTAAAAAATTGACGTGCCAAAACATAAACTTTCATTAAAAAACCATTTTTTACTCAAATTTTACCGGTTGGAGTTTTGTCTGATGATCTGATGGCTCCAAAAAACGTAAGTTTATAAAACATTTTTGTTTTATCATCCAATTTTTACTGTGAAACATTTTTTAAATTGTACTATTTTACTTTTATAGTCACAGAAAGTAGGAACGTAAAAAAAAGAAGTAGTTTTTAACATTCAACTTCAAAAAGCCTAGAACAAAAAAAATTTTTTAAATTTTAGGCCAAAGAAATGTTTTTAAAAATATCCAAACTATATCAAAAACATTTTAGGATGTCAGAGTAGACCCATCGCAACTTACATTTCTGATGCCAAATGTAGACTCACAGACCAAGATTACACAATTGACAAATATGTCGAATTATTTGTTAAAAATAAACGTAAATAGTAACCACGAGAAGATTACGGTAAGCCCTCGAAAAGGCTTCACTCTTTCTACAAGCGAACCTGTAAATATTCGCATCACGATAAAGCCAATGGATCTACAGACCGCAAACGAGATGAAGGATGCTTCATTAAACGTAGAAATAACATACAAAAAAAGGTCGCCAGGAAAAACTCATGTTCCCAAGAAAATGAAGGTACCAATACAAATTAAAATTCAAGGTATGCGTTTACTCATGATTATAAATCTGTCTATAAGTTATATCAATTTTAAAGCTTCTATATCTAGTTAGTTACTCATAGTTTTATAGCAAATTTTAATAACTTATAAAACGTATTTAGAAAGTGCATCAAGTCCAAGCCCTAAACATCATTCCCCTACTACCCAACCAACCTCTTCATCAAATATTATTAAAAATCAAGGCACTCGTAAGTTTTAAACCTTTTTGTAGTAAGGTGTGATAAAGAAGACCCAAACCAACGGATGCCCTGCGGGCATCCTATGGTCTGGATACCTTTGTTTTGTTTTATTTTAATGTAAAGTTAATTTATAATAACATAAAATGCTTGAATCTTTAAAAAAAGGCTCGGGCCTGCGGCCCTCGCACGTTTCTTTTAATTTTAACTTTAAAATCGAATGCTTTTTGTTATAATAATTTCCTGCTAATTCCATGCAGCATGAATCCTGAAACTACTTTGAGTATGATACGTTTTAACTCGAAAGTGATTTGATTATTTTTATGCTTAAAAACAAACATTTTATCAAATAAAAAACATACCTATCCTTACCATACTTTTCCCCATAAGATCAATAATTTTAAAAATTTTCTTAAATTTTACAAAATATTTAGTATCGTACTCAAAATAGTATCAGAAAACTAATTACAAAAATGCCATCGCATCTTTTACAAATTATTTAATATGCGACCGCACTCCTTCAAAAAAATTAATAAAACTGACCGGTTTCTTTTTTCAAAATTCCATAAAATTCTTTTTTTAAATAATTTTCTCAAAAATTTGCGTAGCTCTCTTTATTTTTTAGTCTTCCATACCTCCACCCATACCCATGCTATACCCATACCCGTAGCCATTCCATTCCCAAACGCACACCCATGCCATACCCGTACCATGCCATTATCCATATCCACCCCCGTACCCATTTTACACCCATACCCGTGCCTACCCCCATCCATACCCATGCAATACCATACTCATGCCATACCCATACCGGTACCCATGCCAAACCCATACCTGTACCAATTCCATACCATACACGTACCCACAACCATACCCATGCCATACCATACACATGCCATACCTATACCCGTACCCATTCCGTACCCAAACCCATGTCATACCATACTCATGTCATATCTGTACCTATGCCAAACCCATACCCGTACCCATTCCATACCCAAACCCATGCCATACTCATGCCATACCTGTACCCATGCCAATATCCATATCCACCCCCGTACCCATTTCACACCCCAACCCATACCCGTGCCCACCCGCATCCATACCCATGCCATACCATACTCATGTCAAACCCATACCCATACCAATTCCATACCGAAACCGATGCCATACCCATACCCGTACCAATTCCATACCCAAACCAATGCCATACCCACCCACACCCAACCCATATCCATGCCATGCCTGTAACCATACCCATGCCATACCCAAATATTTCATGTCGCAATATATAGTACCGTACTCAAAATAGTATCAAAAAACGTACGTACATCTCCTTGCCCAAAACGCGCGTCTCTATTAATTCTAACTTTAAAATCGACTGTTTTTATTTCATCCCCCCCCGTCACCCCCCCCTCGCGCCCGGCCCTGCCCTCACCCATACCCATATTTACACCCCTACCCATGCCCACATGTAATGCCATACCCTCCCCCATATTTACACCCCTGCTTATGCTCACATTTAAAGAATTTTTACAAATTTTTTTATCTTTTACTGATTTTCCCAAGAATTCTCACCCAGTACAGATGTACTCTTATGTTTGCTTCACCTGCTCTGACGAACATACGGCTCTGCATTTAGAAAGGGGAAAATAATATCTATACAAAAATTTTAATTTTTTAAGGAAAAAAACACATCTGTAACAATCATGTTTTAGAAAACACGCTGACCCAACTGAACGTACATGTAAGTCAATTTTAGCGCACATAAAGCCACTAAAAAAAGCTTTGTCACGTAAATATTTATTAAATGTTCATAAACCTTAAAAATTTTAATTTCTTACATCGTTATTTTTAGAACCCAAATAAGTGATGAACTACTGCCAGAGCCGATTTCACATTATAGTCAACAAAAGCATTGTATTGTAAATGAAAATAGAATAAAGTTTTCCTTTTTTGAATAGGTTTACAATTGTATTAAAATGTACCACTCCAACATATAATAGTTATACTGTTAGTCAAAAAATTTAGGAGCCAAGAAAACATTCATTCCCAACATCAACCCCAGCCGGAAGAAAATGAGAATTCAAGGCGACGCGTCCGGACAACTCGGCTGATCGGACAACTGGGCCGGTTCCAACTGGGCCGATTTCAACTGGGCCGATTTGCCTTATAGTATGTCCGGGCTATATATTCTTAATAATACCGTAGTAAAAAACTGCAATGTTAAGTGTTAAATACCACAGTAAAGTCGTATTTACCTTAAGATATTTATATATACCATAGTAAATGATGGTATATTTGCAAAACAATATTAAATATTTGTAATATTTAATAGTTCTACATAATTTTGGTAACATATTACTATGTAAGTGACTTTTAAAGTAAAGCCATGATTTTACTACATATATATACCATGGTAAGTCATGGTATCTTGGCAAAAGTTGACTAAATTAAATGTGGCGGAAGCTTTAGGGTATTCGGCGGAGAGTCGGCGGAGGCTTTAAGGGATTCGGCGAAGAGTCGGCGGAGATTTTAGGGGATTCGGCGGAGGGTCGGCGGAGGCTTTAGGGTATTCGGCGGAGAATTTAGGGGATTCGGCGGAGGCTTTAGGGTATCTACTACATCCTTATATAACCCGCCATATTATACCTTACTATGTCATACTATACCTTACTCATGGATAGTACACGATAGTGTTGTATAGGATTGAATAAGGTACGGTATGGTACAGTTTTGTATTGTATTGTAAGGTATGGTATGGTAGATAGTATAGAGCATGGCATAGTATGTTATGGTATGGTAAGATATGGTATTTTATGGTATGGTATCATATGATATGGAAGGTATGGCGTGGTATTGTATGGTAGGGTATGGCATTTTATAATATGTTAAGGTATTGTAGGGTTTGGTATGGTAGATAGGATAGGATATTGCACAGGACTTTGTATGGTATATTATGTAAGATGGGTATGATATAGCTGGGTAGGATAAAAGGGGCAAGGGTAAAGTTGTGTACTGCTAAAACGTTTAGAGGTAAGGTCGGGTAGAGGCCCTAAAGCCTTCGCCGACCCTCCGCCGAATCCCCTAAAGCCTCCGCCGACCCTCCGCCGAATCCCCTAAAGCCTCCGCCGACTCTCCGCCGAATACCCTAAAGCTTCCGCCACATTTAATTTAGTCAACTTTTGCCAAGATACCATGACTTACCATGGTATATATATGTAATAAAATCATGGCTTTACTTTAAAAGTCACTTACATAGTAATATGTTACCAAAATTATGTAGAACTATTATATATTACAAATATTTAATATTGCTTTGCAAATATACCATCATTTACTATGGTATATATAAATATCTTAAGGTAAATACGACTTTACTGTGGTATTTAACACTTAACATTGCAGTTTTTTACTACGATATTATTAAGAATATATAGCCCGGACATACTATAAGGCAAATCGGCCCAGTTGGAACCGGCCCAGTTGTCCGATCGGCCCAGTTATCCGTGCGCCCAAGGCGAGATTTGAGAAAAATACATTCAAACTGTACATCAAAAAGAAGTGTAACTACAAACGATATTGTAAGCAAACATAATATAAATTGTGTTGTTTAAATTTTTATAAAATGGATCATGTAACATAGTTTATCCAAAAATTAAATAAGTGTAACAGATTCTTTTTTACCATCCCAAATAGCTTCTAACTTTGATAATGCTTCAAAAGTTCATAACTTTTTAAAAAGTGACAACTACGGGTGAAAATAACCTAACTTTTAGAACACTAATTTGGTACCAAAACACAGAAACCTGTTAGATTTTACAAAGGTCAATGTACAAAGCTACAATCTCGAAGATGTGCAAATATCTGGTAACATGATTCTGAATCTACAGATTCACAAAATTTACTATACAGAACGTTCGGTAAGAGAACAAATTTAAAATTTAAAAATTTATTAATGGATTTAATAAGTTAACCTTCCTTATATATAAAGTTGCCGGAAGATCTCAACGAGTCCAAACACACGTTAAATTTACTTAATTACACAATGCTTTCAGATCAAGCCAATGAACAAAATGTAATTTGAAATACCGAGGAATGAAGTTTCGTCTTGTAGGTATAGTTTAATCTGTGATTTAAGTGTTTTTGAGGTTTCTTTTTGATCAAATTTACTTTTACACTTACTAGAATATGTTATTCATTTAAATAGTACTACTTTTAGTGACTCCGCAAAGACAATCTTTCTAATTATGTCTTTTTCATTTATTGAATTACCCGTTAACATCAATAATTACAGCGGAATATAATCTCCCTAAAGTAACATTTCGACCTTTCTGTACAACTATCATCTGTAAGGTGGCTTGAAAAATGTTTTAGAAGTATTACCCTAGAGAGACCTACAACAACATAAGTTAAAACGAAATGTTTCCTATCATTGGAGGCTCGCATCGTATGATTTCAGAAGACCGAGGCGAGTCTGAAGACGAGTAAGTGCCGTCTTCTGATCCCGTACTTCTGTGGTTGATTGAGCTTGAGAAACTGTCCGTTTGGCCGAATTCCTTTTCGAGCCTTTTCAGTTCATAGTGTAGCAGTCGTTCCATCTCGTAGCCAAACTTCATCTGGCTCACAGCGTAGTTGGCTAACAGATTCCAAGCTTCGGCTACACGAGGACAAACGCTACCAGCCCGTCGCTGGGGAGTGACCGAGAGGCTGGAGAACTGGGTGGGGGAGGGTGGAGTGCTGTTGTCGTTATCATTGGGCAAAAGAAACCGCCGGTCGAAGATGACGTTGGAGGGAGATTCGCTTCCTCTACTCGACGACTCCACTTGCAAGTCTTTGGCCGCGTAGTTAATGGCGAATACCAGCCCATCCCAGTAGCTTCCAGGGACTTTTCGTTCATCTGATTTTAGGTAAGTGTTGGCGTGTAAGGCGCCTAGTTCCTGTAGGCGGTCGATACTGGTGCGGGGATGGTCGAATGATCTGATCACTTCGTTGAAGGCTTCGCAGAATCTCTGAAAGTAATTGTTGATATAATTCGTCAAAAAGTAGCTTAATTTATGTTAAAAGAAGTCTGCCTTCTAGAATCTTTAATCACTTTCATGAACGTTTGTTTTACATTTAATCAGCGTTTATTTATGAGCTGAAAGGACGGCCGACAGAAAGCAAATCAATCTCGATTTCCTCAATAAAAAACGAATCAATCCCAATATTCTTGAATAAAAAGCCAAATCGACCCCTATTCATCACCATGCTCACCTTGATATGCTGCCTGTAGTTCACGTGATAACGCCATTCCAAGTCCCTGCGATTAATCAAATGTCCTAGTCCGATCGCCTTCAAACAGGCAGGTTCCTTCCTGAACAGAGTTTCGAACACATTTCGACCCATGTCCATCACGCCCTGCCCATCCATCTCCATCCATTTGGCCTGGATCAGCTTCTTTTGTGTGTTAGTGAGACCAGTTATGGGACAAATTGGCAGCCGAAAACTGCCGTTCGACCCACGTCCGTTGGGATTCCGAAAACTTTTAGCACGGCGTTGCTGAATCCGCCGACTCACTTCTCGCTTCTGTTCTTCAATGTATTCAACGTCGTCGGAGCCGTTTCCGATTCTAAAAAAATATTTTTTACAAAAAAAATGATTTTTTATCAAAAGAAGTTTTGGAAAAAATACTTTCTGAGATTTTTCTGAGATTGCTTTTTTATTTTGTCAGAGCATAAATCATTGCATCCTGACGTTCGGAAACATTACGTCAGATGAAAGGAATGTCAAAATGCGACGAAATTTATGTCGGAACGAAGAAAGAAACAAATTCAAACAAACACTTACTTCAACGAGGAACTGCGAGTAGGTATTTGAATACTGGGTGACAAGGAGTGGCGCTTGTCGGGCTTGGGATCACTTTTGGGGGGTGCAGTGATTTGTCGCGAAACTTTAGTATGTTTGATGTCCTGTTTGTCGAGATGAGAGTCACTGTTACCCATTGAACTCTGAAACTGATGGAATGCGTTCTTTAGAGTGCCTGAGGACAGGTGTTCAGAATGGAATTCGGAGAAGTGAAAAACACTCAAACGACGTGTTCACGGTTGACAAAAGTAAGAAGCCATTAAGTTGCAATAATGACCGGAACCACGGCCAAAACAATCCCCAAATAAGGCGTCTTAGGTGGCAGAGGAACGGTGGGAGCACGTTGAGAGGGGAAATAGCCTCGGGGAGGATTTGAACCCATTTGACAACTGTTTTAAAAGTTTCGAAAACAAAACCCAGAATGAGAATGGGAGACAAAGCGGCCAGAATACAGTGTTTTTTAGGTTTCAAACTTGTCAAATAGGTTTTGAAAGAGAGCATATTGTACTAGAAGGATACCAAAAGGTTGAAAAACAATATATCATAATAGACAAGACAACCTTTGTTATGAAGGCAACATGTTATAGTTTAATGGAACATAAAATAAAGTCACCGCTCAAATAATAAAAAAAACAAGATAAAATAATATTGATAAATCTAATGACCTTAGAATACAATAGGAAAGACTTTCTAACCTCCGAACCCCATACAAACCCAAAGTAAAACTCCAGAGTAACCCCAATTTCAAACCGTCCAAACTGTTCCACCCCAACCACCTTACTCACGAAATATCCGGTCCTCCCTCGCCCTTATATACCAGCCCGTATGCAAATGAAGACACAAGTAACAAGTACAGAACAATGGCGCAGATGCCTCAACTTTTGTCCCCACCCTCGAATCTGGAGACCACTTGAAGGCGGATGTGAATGTTTGTTATGCCCTAATCTCATATCCCCTCTTATTTCCGGCCCTCCGGCATGACGCGCGTTCGGCCCGGCGGTAAAAACCAAACACAACATACTGACGCAGATGCAAGAATTTCTCCCCAACGTTTTGAACCGTCACGTAAATATTGTGTTAGCGGATTGGAGACGTGTTCTGCGAACGCAAAACAAACATTAACGTATGTTCGGGTTTGTGCATGAGGTCCACCAAAAGTTGGCGTACATGGTTTGGCAAGCTAACTAGGGAATTGCACCAAATATCCCTCGGCTTTTTGAATGAGGCCTATATATGATGAAAGAGCATAAAAAGTTACCGGGAAAACTGTTTTCAAAAACTGCTAAATGGCCTTGGCTAGCGAGTTACAGTATTCTCTATATCTTTATATGTTTACAAGGTATAGCTTTAAAGTTCAAAAAAGGAGATTTTTTGATGATTATTTTTTTCTAAAAATGGCTAAAGCACAAAATACAACTTAAAAAATATATTTCTAATCAAAATATTGTTTGGCTAGCCAAAACTTCTTGTCAGTATGGCTGGGCGCCAAAATGAAACCGACGGGGTTCGAACTCGCTAATGTCTCGCTAGCCGAATCCATTTAGCAGTTTTTGAAAACAGTTTTCCCGGTAACTTTTTATGCTGTTTCATCCTATATAGGTCTCGTTTGAAAAGCCGAGGGATATTTGGTGCAATTCCCTAGTAAGCGTGAATTTAAGTGTTTGTTTCTTGCGCGTGAATTTGAAACGGTTTCTTGGGGCTTAAGCTCAGTCGCGTTAGGCTTTGCTGCTTAGGCTTGGCTGCCCAGGCTTAGCCGCTTAGACTTAGCCGGACAATATACTAAATATTATGTAAAAAGTCAAAACCAAATGTCTTGTAAATTAGAAAAAAATCCTTTCCTCTATATAAACTTAGCAAAAGTCACGCTATAAAATTGTGAAAAAACGCCACACTATCTAATACAACATCTGTATACCAAGACAAAAATCTACAAACCCTCCAGCCTCTCCAAATACAGCCAAAACGAAAACCAATCAGCCCTTAATTCAACTAGATCCACCGTATCCATTAGTTTTTTTAGTTCCTGATTAAAAGATCAGATCAAAAGTCCTGTTTATGTTCATCTTTTTATCCCAAAACAATTAAAACGTGGTCGTAAACGAGTTTTATGACCAGCCCCATGTAATGACAAAGGCACAATCTTGGACTGGGAACGTCGAAACTAAGGAATTCCGGGTCAAGAACTCTCGGGGAGGAACAGCTGTCGGAACGCTGGATCAGCTGCATACCTGCTCTCAATGTGCCAACTCTTCGGACGTGAAATGTGAAGCAGAATGTCATGAGAATGCTCGCGATTAAGTTGCATGTTACACGGTAGCCTTGTAAAGTCTTATACTGTACTTTTTTTTAATTGTACTAGTAGAATTTACAAAGTAATACAGACAAAAAATAAAAGCAAAGTAGCTCTACGGTTGATAAAATCCTAAGAAAAGCTCTAAATATAACATGTATAACACTATTCAAACGCCTCGCTCTTAGTGAAAACAACTACAGCCTGAAAAACCTAATTGTAAGCATGCATTTAATACCAAAAATAAGACAAATTACCGACAGTAATAAACAACACCAGCCGAATTAATGCATTACCATTTACATAGCCTAGTATACAAGACAAATCCCGATTCCAGCCAGAAATGGATTAATTAAAAGGTGTTTTCCGAAGAATGCCATTTTCTCTAATCGCCTGTTGTAACCTTATCTTCCTCCAACAACCATAGCTACCATTTTGTCATCTGACTATATTTGCAATCATATTTCTTCGAATTTATGAAAACTATGCCAAAAGTTGTTGTTCATGCCTATGAAAGTTTAAAAATCTTTTTTTTGTTAATACATTTTGGCCGCTATTTTGTATTACTTTTAAGCAAACAACACAACATAATACTGCAAAGGATCTAGTCGTCCTTATCGACCCCACCATGTCATAATACTCAGGTTTACCCCTTCCGTTCCTCAAAACCGGAATCCGGTCAAAGATTCAGATGAACCGGAGACCGGGTCGATAAAAAATAAGTTTACCAGAAACAGAGTTCGGATTTCCGCGGCCGCACCTTCAGCTGAAGCCGGGGCGTCGGATGTTCCCAGTTTCCCGATATTCCTTTTAGAAATTGTAAATAATGCAAATCGAAAACAACTCAAATAAAACATTTGCCATTCTGATTTGAGGTTAAAGACCGAATGTCTAATGCCCTTTCGGATGGCATCACCTCGGGTGTGCACGACGAGTACTGTTATTAAACAGGGCAAAATAAGGAGTGGAGGTTAAAAACAGCACCACCCTTAAGTGGCCTTACATAAATAGAGGAGAGATTGGCTCGGTTCGACTCACTAAAACTAAAGAGCATGCCCAGAAGTGACCTCTGCCAAATGTGAGTCGGAAAAAGACCCTATTTTTGTATGAGGCATCGGCAACATATAAAGGGTGTGGTTGTAAAATGCAATTTAACGCCACAAAATGCAACATTTATGCAAAGTAAGGTTGAAAATACACATTTTTCGAAATGTACTCTGCAACAAGACATGCTCAGAGACTCGTACCAACTGCACCAACTACAATAAGGTAAACCAACCTTCTGCCGCCGACTTCTATTCAAAAGTTCTCTGGTAGAGAACAGCATCGTACAACAATGTCCAAGATACCAGACAATACCGAATATCAGATAGACACCACTCTCTTATTCGGATCCTACGATTACTCGGGGAAGGGCTACAAAAATGTATCCGCCTCCGAAACGTGATTCTCCAGAGAGTTGGGCGTCAAGACAAAGTTACGCGGAATCACAGAAAGCAGCACAAAGAACTTGGCCTACTTAATTGGCATTCCCCTCAAGGCCAAATTAAAATTTTAAACTTTGGCGAGCAAATAGACACAGTAAGTCTAATAATATAATCCACAACATATTATCATGGAGACAGTACAACCATGGTATTAATAGCCAGATCGATTGGTATCATACGTCAAATCGTTCAGAGCATAACAACAAACAACGACGAAAACAAGGTCTCAATCCACAACAATTGTTCATGCTTGATTACGGTAGACACGTTTAAATGTTTTCTAAGTTTGTTATGACTTATGCCATTTTTCTCTTTTGGCACCTTTGTTGACACAGACTAATCGTAAGTTACTCATGAGAAGGTGCAATGTCCTTTTAAATGTTTTACTCTATAGAATATTACTTCCGTTGCGACTAGATAACAACATATAGGTTGATTTCATCATTGTACTTTTGAATTAGCCATCAACGCCAACATAAATAACAAAAAGATCGTTTGGTCTTTTTGGCCTGTAAGTGAACTAACAGCAGTTGAAGTGCAGAAAACTATGCAAAGTACAGTAATTGTACCATATCATGCCAAAAAAAGCAATATATTTTAAGTATTATAATAAAAAACGACTCTTAACCTTGTAAAAAGCAGTTTAACCCACCCAAACTGCAACAACTTCATTCAGTAAGCCGAGATTACCAAAGTAAATACTAATCGTTTGATTCTCTGCACCTCGAAATTAACGTCATCGCCGCCCTCAATCGACCTTAAAGTGCCTGAGGCCAGAAAAAGTAATCCGATTATATATGTTGTTTATTAATTTAGCATGGCTAATAAGCCGAGATCACGGGTCCGGAACAACAACAAACATTTGTTTAACCGTAAGTGGAAACATGTACTATTAGAGTTGTCCAAAATAGTACTCATGCGTTATTTTTCCAAGAGAAAGATAATTAAAGTGCAACCATGTTAACCTTTACGAGTAGGAACATTCTGACGTCTTCGTCGATTACTATAGCATCTTAGTCTGTCTTGCTTGGTATCATGCGTGATCATGTAGTTAGGTCCTGTGATTGTTAAAAATATTTATCAGGGCCAGCTATAGTACTGATAAAATTCAGTAAACAAAGGAATTGGTGAGAGCAATTAAAAAAAGTCTTGTCATTAATTTATATGCCTTTCAACGTCAAAAAACGACAAAAATTTATTAAACATTAGAGCTGGCTGATACCTAAACTAATAGAGAACCAACTCATCTCTCTTTGTACAACCTTGTGCTAACCAAATGGAGCTCATTCCTCTTTCCAGCTCACTTTTACTTTAAGCACGTCAACCTTCTACTTTGAGCAGTTTCCGACTCAAATTGGACCAAAGGCGGGCTGCCATTCCGCTTCGGTCAGCATCTGTCATCGTGCATTCTCGGAGTAGCGTATGAATCCGAGATGAGTGCGGCGGCGACAACTCGAGGACCTTCTTCTTGACTGATTCAATAAGCGGCGCCTGAGTATTATTTACATATATATCTTGACCAATTTCCTGTCTTACCCCAGGGCTTTTAATTCGAATGCCGTGGAGTTTGGTTGTTTTCTATGCATATCTACTCACACATCTGGAAGGATTCGGCTACAAGCAGCACGATGTGAGTGGTTTTTGATTGAAGGATTACTTGTAGATAACATTACGTTAATGGGAAGTCATCTCGGTTTTTAAGTTGAGTTAGTCAATAAACTGTTTAAGACCATGATAAACCTTTTGAACAAAGAAGATATTAAAATACTGTTCAGAAGAATGTCTTTGCTCAAAACCCTCATCGCTACCACGACTTCATCTCGACCTTGAGGCAGGATCACCAGTTCAGGTAAGCCAAAGTGACAGCCATTTACAGATTTGCAGACCAAAACGACAAGTCAATCATTTTCGGAATACGAAATTCGACCCCGACTATGCCCCCAACGACCTTTGCGAACCTTGGAACTCCGGAAGCCAGACCGACGACTATAACTGGTAATTAAACGTTGTTAACCGTATTTCGTATTAGGAGCGAGCCCGCCGACCGATTGTTTAAATTAATTACCCTCAACAATGGCTACAACATGTACATGCCGCCTGGCCAACATCACGGTGAGCTAGTTTAACGTAAAAGCAATATAAACCATGAAATCTCGATACTTTTCCCACAAAAAAGTATGTTATTCATGTATTATAATGATCCAGAATTAAAAAAAACACTATATATAGCCATGAATTCTCAAAAATAACAACCGATTCTAGGTCAGACCACGAACGTCTCAGTCGCCTTGTACATCGAGTCCATGAGCTCAGTCAAAGCTCAAACCATGGACTTTGAAGTAGACTGTTACCTAGCTATCGGGTGGTATGACAGAAGACTCAGCCATAACTGTACACACCCTATATTGGTAACTCACAAAGCCGTTGCTGAAGAAATATGGAACCCTGATCTCTACTACGTCAACGCAAAATACGCTTACCTCCAAGAAGTGACTACTCCCAACTTCATGATGTTCGTCTACCCAGATGGGCTGGTCTTCAAGTCGATGCGAACGGTCGTGACATTGTCCTGCATGGTTGATCTTCAGTTCTTTCCCATGGATAAGCAGAGCTGTCCTTTGACGATTCAGAGCTGTGAGTTCATACCTAAACAATGCTTTTTAATATTCATAAATAAGTATTGCAACAAAAACACATATAATTGTCAACAAATGCATAGAATCTTAATGAATTTGAAGTTTTAAACTTCATTTTTGCTTTTTGGCCTATTTTTCCATCAAGAATTTTGACGAAAAATCGTACGAAATTTCGTCGAACAAGCATTGGTCTGGGCGCAAGTTGCGTTTTATTACTTTATACGACGAAAAGTCTAAAAAATAAAAAAAAGAATTTTGGACAAAAAATTGTACTCTTCCGACCTTTCTTGTTATCTTACAAAACCGTTCTTTCGATAATTCACCTCATATATGTTTTAAAGTGCATTATAGATGCTTATATCGAGAGTTTGTTGAATTTATCATGGCATGTTGATTACCCGTTTTACCCGATAGCCAGTAATGAGGGACTAAAACTGAACGACATGGAGATCACTAACATAAACTTCTCCAAATGTTCTGGACCGTACGCTATGTTTAGAGGAACAGGTAGGGGGTGTTCTAGATAACATATTTTTTCATTTTTGTAATATTAGTAATAATGTTACCTAAAACGAGTGAACTGTCTAAATAAGATCAGCTTGTTCTTTGTCTTGAACTGTTTAAAGTAAAATATTGTGTTATAGGCAATTGGTCGTGTATCAGAGCTATCATCGAGATGCGGAGACTTGTATTATATCATGTTGTTCAAACCTATATTCCATCAGGTGAGGTATCACTATATTTTTTATTACAGTATCAAAGTTATTTACTACAATAGTAGAGTAAAAAGGCATTTTCCAAGACAATAATTTAAACTTTCAGCTATGTTGGTATCGATCTCATGGATGACGTTCTTCTTGCCAGCTCGTGCTTCTCCTGCTCGGATCTCGCTTACCATCACTAGTCTACTTACTTTAACTACGATGTGCAATGGAGCTCGGCAGGATCTTCCTCAGGTACGTTTTTTATATTTGTAACATTTTTTAAATTATAAAATTTTATTTTAGGTCAGTTATATCAGCGCGCTTGATGTTTGGCATTTTGTGTCACAGGTATATTAATTTATAGTATTAATCATACGTCGAACAGCAATAATAAAGGGACTAAAACTTGTTTATACGCTATATCAATTTTGTTTTGTAATACCCCCAATTTTGCAGGCTCTGATATTCTTGGTGTTATTGGAGTACTCGTTTGTCAGCTACTACATGACACGAGGCACGGGCCACTGTAAACATCGTATGTCTCAGGACTCGAGTAGACAGCTTAACGTACGAACATCGCCTTCATCTCAATTTACTCAACCAGAGGATACGCGAATTCGATTGTTAAACAATAATAATATAAACGAGTACCAAACCAAACGACACGGATCTTTGGCTAACACATTAAACGGGAAGGCTAGGCTAAGAAGAACACATTCTAGTCTGGACCGGAACAATTCCATTCATAGTCCAAAGTCGTTTTCAGTAGCCACTGGAGTGGAACAGTGTATTACGAATAGTGCGGTAAGGATAATATGATACTTGTGAGTTTGTTTAAGCTTTTGTTGGGACTGTAGCTTGGCTTATGGTTCCATTTGGGAGCCAGGCTTTAGTTTTCTATGTGGAGTAGTCTTTTTGTCAAAAAATGTATAGAATGGTTAGCTTTTCTATTAATTTTTGGGACACAAAATGCATTAGATCTATGAATAAGCATTTTATGTTGTTACAAGTTTAAAAGTACAGTCTTTATATATTAATTATGTTTTTTAAATCATCTCAGTTAGCCTTATTTGCAATATAACACAGTATGTCTTATAAAAATTTTACAAAATGATCACTTTTGGTAACGTACTCACTAATATCACTGGTTTCGTATCGTAATACTGGCTTTTGTTTATCTCACAGATGTTTTGTCGCTTGGCTCACCTCCAGCAGCAACAAGAACGACTTATGATCGAGTTTCAAAAGCAGCGACAGAGTGTGTTTGACATTGAAAACGACACCGCGGTAAGTCGCTTCAGTAATAACAACATCACGCGCTTTACTGCAATGTATTTACATGTAGCACTGGTTTATGTTCGCATTAGCTTTGTAATTTGAAACAATGTCAATTTGGTTGTTTTTAAAATTTTAAAAGGTATAATAGCACAAATGACACGTTGTGAACTGTAAATAAAAAGTATAACTATATGTCGGTGAATGAGAAGGTTCAACTAAATTTAAGACTATGTTATAAAGAAGTCTTTTAGGAGTTGCTGGCAACACACTGTAACGTCTCTATGGACAATATGCTCGACATGCGTAGGCCATGTGTGGATTGTCAGTTGGATAACGAAATTAAAGCCAAAATGATTGATTACTGTAGGTTTACGGCGTTTATAAATTTTTTTCAAAATTAAACGTTTGTTATAGAATTATGATTATAGAAGTAAAGAAGGTTTTTTACTGTGTTTTACATGATATATTTGTCAAAAAAAAACTACTGTCTGTATCTTTCCTTCTGATCTTGTTTTGACCTTTTTTCTATGAATTTATTGACCGAATAAATCTTCATGTTTTCTGCTAGTTGACTCTTAATTATAAATATTAATTTGTAATTGATTCGCGTGTCTGCATCTGTTTCCAACATGTTGTTTATGTTAGATCTATGATATATTACACGACTTTCACTTGCAGACAGTCGTATCGCGTTTCCTTCCGTTTTCTTCACCTTCACCATCATCTATTGGTTCTTCTACGGGTATTACACGAGATTGCATTAATCTTGCTTGTTTCACCTTCTCCACTATGACTAAAACAAAAGGAAACCAGGGGGCGGGTCGCGCTCACCCCTTGCCCTAAGGGCGAGCGCGCGATTCCAGAGCCGGTTTGCTTGATCTATGGCTGCGTTTGGGATCATTCGACAGGTGAGCGAGGTCGCTGGTCTCGCTAGCTTTCACTCAGACGGACTGGAACAGCCCGTTCCGGCTACAACAACATGCTACACACGTTCCGATGGTGGAGTTTGTTGGTCTTGACGATGGTCAAGGGGTTCGACGATGCTCCGAGGTTGGATCCGAGTATATCAACTGTCAGGTAGGAAGTGGCTGAACTGAATGATAATAAATAATATGATATAACGATGTTAAATATATTTTACTGACAAATAGTTTAGTTTTACCAAAAGTTTATTAATTTTAGCCCACACACAGCATCAACTTCAGAATCTTGTGTAGGTCAATGTGCTTTTCAATTCGTCGACGAAATGACCCAACAATTAGGGCCAAATCAATCAGCTGGCCTTCTAAACTTAAACTACAATGACTTTTTGACCGCTTTCTCAAATGTCACCTTCTTTGAATCATTTTGTGGGTAGGTGATGTTGTACATGGCTTTTTTAGAGTTGTTTTCGTATTTCAATTATTGTTTTATCTATTGTTTGTCAAATTTAAATTTTTACATTGTAAAATATCACAAAGTAACTTGATGTTGTTTAGACTTTACCACAGTTTTCAATTTTGCTACTCCAAGTGTCCCCATGGTTATATGCAAGAGCTTTTGTCAAGGAGTTCTGAAGTTGTCGACCATTTTTGTATTTACAACTACCAAGGTATGGGATTGTGGTATCTTTTGTAGTTTAGGCGATATTCAAATAATTTTTCGTTATCATTATTGTCTGTTTGGTTGATTATATGTGTCACCACTTTTAGAAATTAAGAATAAGTTTGGTTGCTTAAACAAGGTGGACAAGGAGATCAGCCAAAACTGTTTGAGAACATGTACTTCACATCACAGTGCCGTTACCTCGCTCATGCAGAACTTCAAACATCTGGCATTGAATGGAGACTCGTCACAAGCTGAACGTTATTTGGGCGAGAGTTGCGAGTAAGTTGGGTAATATGAGATGTTATCCATTATATGTCACATTTTGGTACTTTAAAGTTAGTGTTTTGTATAAATTTTACTGTAAAGCAATTTTAAATATGATAAAATGTTTTAAACTTGATATATTTAGATATGTCATCTGCACGATGCACTGTGACGTACCTACTATTGCCCATCTATGTGGCTTTGACACAGCCAATCTTGTTATAAACCTAACCAGGAGATCGTTCGATTCCATGCAGAAAATGGCACTAGACACTGGTGCCGTCGCCAAGTAAGTACCACTTTAGTCTTATTTTTCGATCAAAATTAGGTTTAAAATGATGGAATTCTGTTTGTTTATTACCATTGTCACATCATAAACAACAAAAACAGAGTAGTATATCAAGATTATATTAAGATTAAGCTTTGATGATGAAATTGTAATACTTTTCTTGGTATGAACTTGTAATACCTTTCAAAAACTTTGTTTCTAGATGGCCTGCTGTGTGTGGCGACATCAAGACCTACGCTCTTCCGAAGGCACCTCAGAATCCTCCGTCCACCGTGACCAAAGTCATATCGCAAAGTCCCACCGTGCCGTCCTCAGCCTCAATGTACATAGTTTACTTGTTTGTTGTCATTCCTTTGCTCCTGATCTCAACTTACTAATAAAACTCAAATTTGTTTGGTACTTTGATGGTAATCATGCATATAAGTGCTTGACTAAAGTTGGGGTAACGCCTTGACAACACGATGTGACCACGATAACAAAGTTGACAGTGCGTGGTTCTATTTGTTGACCAAACGTTTAGCGGCCCACACTGGTATCAAGGTCTACAGATCGGTTTGTTTCATCACAAGACTATTTAGATCATACTACTTCAACATTACATACGATTACTCTAACGACATTACTTTAAGTGGATTTGGATACGGAAATCTTTTTATAAACCAATTGGATTACAAGTCCAGTATAACCAACAAGTAGCAATGTTTATATTCATTTGGGGCTCAATTAGGGCACTATTTTGGTCCCATTCATTTTGCCAAAACTGTTTATAAAGGCGGCCAACTACTGAGGCCATTCAGAAGCGGCTTTTTTTTGTATGGCATAAACTTAATTTACGCTTTAAATTCCATGTCTTTATGCAAATTTGGTCACTTTTTATGTAAATCCCCTGTTTTTTTTAAAGTTTAATATTTTTCAAATTTTAAAATATTTTTTAAAAATATTAAATTATCTTTGAATGCCATTTTCATCAAATTTCAAGTCTGCCCAACAGCAGCTGATTTAAACTCATTGGAACTTGCGGAATGGCGAGGAACGGCCGCGGAAGGAACGGGGAGGATCAGCGGGGTCGGGAGACAAAAGGTTTGGTCAAATACATTAAGTGGGCTTACGAAGAGCAGGCATTCCCTTTCAAGTGTTTCAGATTCCAATTTATGACATTTTTTACTGCAATTACGATTTAAGGCATACTTGAGCCGTGTTTGCTTTTGGTTACATGAAACTGCTTTCATTCTGGTCAATGTGAAACTACTATAATATAGCTACTTAATGACTTGCCTAACTTTCTCTTGTTTAATTGAGCGACATTAATTGGTCAAAGGCCGACTGTCTGCACATTTAATGTGGCGGATAGTTAGGCCAAAGGGTTAGTTTTAAAAGTACAAACTGAGAGTTAAAACAGTTTAGCTTGCAATTAAATATTTTTTACGTTAAGCATTAGAAGAAGTTCAACTTTAAAGTCATATGAGTACCCAAAGTATCATCATTAAGCTTTACGACCCATATGTCGCTTCAAAGTCGTATTTGTTTTCATGTTGATACCACCCTTACTTACTTATACTTATCACGTTTCGTCTTATTTTAGATGTTTTTGTATTCAAAAGTTTACGCCTATTAGCAAATGACAGTTTTTGGCCATTTGAGATATTAAAAAAAGAGGTGGGGATTAGAATAGGTAATACTTACATTATAAATTGTATTAAGAATTGTTTTAGAATTAGAACCCTTCAAATATCTTAAGTCTTTTCCAAGAACGTTAAGCGTCTTAAAAGTGTCATCCTTTACTGAGCAATGGTGAAAAGCTGTTGTTTACCATAGTCCTGCCCAAAGTAACATCCTCTTTTTACTTTCCTAGCTTTTGGTGCTATTTTGGCCACAAAGTATATAAACGGTCAAAACGATAATGACGAAAACGGTCAAAAAGTTTGTGGATAATGTTTCTCTCACTCTTCATGGCTACTCTTTGACCAAATTATATTTTTTCTCAGGCTCAATATGAAGTAATTACTTCTTGTTATCAGGTGTAACATAACGTAAGCAGCTTCTTTTGAATAAAAAATGACAAATCCGGTCGATAATTAATATAAAATACATGTTATTAGGATTTTTACTTAATATTAACGATCTCCAAGCCTACCCTCACTTTCTTATATTTACCTCTATTTTTCGACCAAATCCTTTAGCAAACAGTAGGGCTAATTTGAAGCCATAGATAAGATCCGCGGTTGTTTGTGTTCGCAGAGATATTCAATTACAAGTTTTTACAGTTATAATTCGAATGTTTTCGGGCCAGTAGCTTCGGCATTCACGCGTTTCCTAATTCTAACTCCATTATTTGTTTATGTCTCCAGAAGGAATGAACGAACATAACAATTCGTTGGAAGACCTCATCTTCTTCCACACCATCGACATCTACATTGGGCTGATCGGAGTGTTCCTCAATGTGCTGTTACTGTCAGTGTTCTTCAGTAAACGAGCGTTCTTTGCCAAAAACAAGGTGAGTCCGGTTTATGACTGTGTTTTAAGTGAATGTTTGATGGATTTGGAATATAAAATTTTGTAAAATTTATTGCTATACCTACTTCAACACCTTTAAACCTTAATTTATTAACTTTAAAGCCAAAAAGCTGACAATAATGATGATAACGCTGAGTAATATTACTATCAAGTTTTTACCATTCTGTTTTTTGGAAAAGTCAAATTATATTTCCAAGTTTTGTTTTCAGATGCTGGTAGTATTAGCCTTGGGGGATTTGAGTGCTTGTCTAGGCACTTTTCTGCTCGGTTACACCCGTAAATCCATATACCAAGACGAGCTAAACAACACTCCATTGCCAATACAGGTAAACAACTCAAGTGTTTTTGCATATTTTGGCATTTTTAAGTTTAGTTAACTTCAAAATGTATGTCAAGTTTGAAGAAGTTCTCAAAATGAACTTGAAAATAGTTAAATTAACTCACAAACACTCATAAGCTAATAGTCAATTGCAATAACATCCCCGATACATCATTTTTAACGTCAATCAGATGAATTGTTTCAAGTGTCATCACTGACTGGGGGCAGCTGCTACTTTTACTACAAAGTCTTAATTGTCTTGACCCCAAGAGTTCAAGTCCTATTTTAAAAATGACTTTCGAGAAATGTTAGTATTAACCTTAAGGTTAAATGTTACATTAGGCAGAATGTGCAATTAAGCAATTAACAATATTTAGTGCGATATAAATAACTAAAGTAATCTTTTACTTTTAGAGTGTTCAAACAAAAAAGACAATAATTACTGCCATAAACTTTCATACTCTTGACTTGAACCACAACTTTAATAGCTCACATAAGCTTTCAGACGGCCTGGTCATGTACTCAGAAGTGGTTTGTGTGGTTTCGGTTGTGGGGAGCTGTTATCCCATCAGCTGCCGTTCTGTGGATTGCCATCGAACGCCTTCTGGCAGTGTTCGCCCCCATCTTCTTCAGAACTCATATCGTTAAAAAGTGAGAACCTCATTACTTTTATGTTGTTCTTGCGACAATTGACGTGGAAAACCATTTCAATTTCACGCAGAAATTTACTTCCCGTTTGAACGGTTCAGAATAAGAGAAAAATGACAAAACAATGCATTTTGTTGACCAAACAGCTACTACAATATAAATAAGCTGCCACCGAAATTAACATTAATATAATCACCGCAATTTTCAGCCCAACCCGCTCCTGTGTCCTCGTCCTAACCTATGCCTTGTTCATCACAATATCAGCTTTTTTCATTGCTCATTCTCGTCGCCTTCTTACCGTCAAAAACTACTGCGGTAGAAAGGCATCGTTCTCGAACACTTTCTCGACCTATATTTACATCTCTGCAATCACTGGCTACACTCTTGCCCTCGGGCTTAATTGTGTCACTCTTTTGAAATTGAAACAGATGCATTCCAAGATGAAGAACAGAGAACTACAATCACATTTCCGAATTCTACGCTACATGGTATTAATATCGCTGATAAGTACATTAGCCGTCATTATACCTAATGCACTTTCACTGTTCGGCGCATTCTATGGAAGAGTAAGAATTGTTTTACTATTTATAAAATTAATTTTTTAAATTACTGGTATTGTTTTACTACTTTTAGTTTACCAAAAATAATTAACAATACCAGACTTTTAAAACTAAACTAGTCCTATAACGTCCTATAACCCTACTTTTAACCTTTTCCTTATTTTAGGTAGATATCGCAGTCTCAGAGACAGCCAACTGGTTTGGAGCAGTGAAAAGTTCAGTCAACATATTAATCTACTTTGTTTTGAAACCCGACTTCCAAAGCCGTGCTCTAAAACTTCTCAGACTCGTACCCAAATCGAAAGCCAGCGAGTACGAGTCTCAAATAGTATCAAAGTCCAGTCCTGAACTAATGCAACACTCACTTCTCTCCAACTGAATTTAGATACAAATTTATTCACAGTTTACTTTCTTCTGCTGGTAACACTCTCCAAGGTCCGCGACATGGCTGACAGATGGCTCAAGATGGCGCTGATATTGAAGTCTTGGTTCTAAACACCACATCTTATCATATAAAGTGACCTTATCAATAATAAAAAGTATATTACTTTTACACTATAAATACATATTAACTAGTTAAATCTGACAGTAAAGACGTATTACTTACTCCACCCTCCTTCTCGATGAGTCGCAAGTGTCCCAGAAGTTCAAACAACAATCTTCTCATGTTGCGGCACTTCTCAAGCCAGCCTTCTTTCGGGTCGACAGCACTATTACCCTTCATGTACTGAACCAGCAGGTTAGTAGAATCATAAACTGATTTCAAGATGTTGATCAAAGCCCCAATGGCCAACTTGTTTTGATCTTCCAGACCAGAGGGAGGATTCATCATCAAGGTGTCGTCCATGTTGACTGACACATTTGATGATACAGTATTAGTAGTGTTCCTAAAAACAATAAGTGAATAAAGCAACAGCATCAATATGTAGAATATGACTTATATACTTTTTAGGTAACAAATTTCATAAAACAACAAACTTACAACTTGGCAGTCTCCGCAGATTCTTCGAATACCAGATTCTCTTCTAAAGTGATAGTTCTGTTCTCTTTGTCAGCTCTAAAAAAATATAAATTGACATAAGACCATTAGCTGCCATATACAACATAAACATATCTAATTTACAGTAGCAAATGCTTTATTAAAAGTTTAAAAATATTCACTTACGACTTTTGGCCACCAACCGCCATGAAGTAATTATCAGCCTCGTCAATTTCCTTCATCAGCTTCTTGATCTCTTGCTCCTTCCGAACCTTAAAGGCCTCAAACTCGGACCGTAGCACTTCTGATTCTGTCTTCACAAAGTCCAGTCTCTCTTCCAAATCGTCTTTTTCTCTCTAAAACAGAAATCACAATATAACAATTTAACTTACACGAAGAAGATCGTGCTCTTCCTCCATGTGCAATAACTTCTGAGCCGATTCGGTTTCATGTTGTTCGATAAGACTCTGAAGTCTGAAGATTTCCTTTCTGTTCTCTTCGTCAATTTTCTGCTAAAGATAAGTAAAGTTAGAAATTTATGTTATAAACTCCCAATTTAGAACAATTATATTTGAAAAATATCACAATAAGTCTTACCTCAGCTCCTGTTCCAGAAGATTCCAAAGCAGAAATCTTCTCCATGAGATTCTGATTCTGAGAAAGAAGACCTTCATTTGTTTTCTCCAATTCCTGACACTTTGCCAACAACTCTTCATGCTCTTTGACTGGAATACCCTTTTCAAGGTTTTCAGCACTGTTAAGTCCTCTGAACCCATCGACAATGTCGTAAACAACATTCTTGATATTGTTCAAGCTTTCAGCATTCTGTTGATTCTCACCAATATCTGTACATTCTTCCAAGGCAACAGCGAACTTCTCCACAGCAAACAGCGTGTTTATAAGGTTATGTGTGTTTGAAGGAAACTCGTCCAATGAACAGCTCATACCTAAAACAATATAAAAAACAAAAATACGTTAACTTACCAGAAAAAGCAAGATCAGCCGACATTATTGAATATTTTTGTACAATTATAACTCAAGTTCGATAAAAATAAACAAAATTTCATCGAAATTCGATAATTTTTTTTCCTTTGAATGTTTTCTTCGCCGCTAAATTAATTTCGTGTTGGGAGATGGGAGCATTGGTTATGTTGTAACAAAAATTTGTTGAGGAAAAATAGTCAACAACATAATTGGAATGATTACTTTTAAAAGATACAAGGAAAGTAAAATAACAAAATACTATGATAGCGCTAGTATAATTTTAAATTTATTCTTGATCAGATTGGTCAGTATTGTTTTGCTGGATTATTTCGACATTCTTTGAATAACATACCGAACACAAAATAAGAATCTTCACGTCTTGAACCCGATTCTTCCATTAACTAATGGAATTACATTAACCATAAAAGCCATGGTATGTTTATGTTTCCTTTTGTTTCGCGATGATCAACACTGTAGTTTTCGATCTCGGAGGTGTATTTCTACCTGCTCCGTTCACCTTTTGGCCTGGTAAGTTATTTATTATCGCTAGCAGAGCAATGTTTAGATCTGGAGAAGAAATGGGGGTTGGAGAAGGGATCTATCAGACGTACAATATTATCCAGCGAGTTTACTGCCACATTCGATGAATTGGAGAGAGGACAACTGACTTTGGAGGACTTCAAACCTTTGTTTACATGGTTCTACAACAGACAGGTGACTAGGTTTTTTAAATGTGAATTTTGATGTTTTTAAACCTAAATTTTGTTTTTGTTTTGCGTTTTACATCAGAATTGATACCTATTTTAGCATGGGACAAAATTGAAATCTCTGCCGTGCCTTGATTGGATCGTGCCGCAATTTGACACCAGATGGATTCCGATTCTAGATTCTCTTCGAACGCAAGGATACAGGATCTATTTACTGTCCAATAACTGGTACAATGATCGTGCTCGGAGTTCTAGTACTGTACCAGTTAATACTGACCTTTTTGATGGTGTATTCGAGTCTTGTAAGCTAGGAATGAGAAAACCCGAAACTAGAATATACAAACATGTAACAGAAGCGTTGAAGGTGCAGCCAAGTCAGATATTATTCATCGATGACCTGGGGGAAAACCTAAAGGCAGCGAGGAAGTTGGGATGGGTTACGGTGAAGGTGAGGGATTATACACCTCTTTTTACATTATATTATACCTAAAAGTAAATAAAACGCGTTTTAGTGTGTCAACCGAGAAGATACGGTAACCGAGATAGAAAAGAATTTAGGGATTTCCTTGAGAAATAGTGTTATTGGGGCAAAAGATGTGGATTATGGTAAGTGTAAGATGAGTTTTCTTGTAGAAACGACCAATAGTATTAATATTATCATCGTATTAATGAGTACTGGAAGTGTTATATATAAAAGCCTAAATTTCAGAGAATTTCTCAAATTATCACAAGCTTTTGACCTATTTTAAACAAAAATTCAAAACAGAAGATGAAAATCTGGAAATTAAAAGTTTTACTCACGGCGAATCGAATCCTACGTATTATGTTAAGTACCACAACTTTGAGTATGTTCTGAGGAAGAAACCGGTGAGTGAAGATCTATATTTTATAACGTTAAATTTTAAAACATTTTTAGTCAGGGACATTACTCCCATCAGCCCATTTAATCGACAGAGAATTCAGGATTCAAAAGGCTTTAAGGGAACTTGTACCTGTACCTGAAGTTGTTGATTATGTTGAAGAGTAAGTTAAGGTATCACTTTTAACCATTTGTGTAACTATTACGGTTAAGTATTTTATTTTTAAGTTATAAGTATCGATTGTTACCTTTTTAAGCGTTCTTGACACTCCTTTCTACCTGGTGAGTTATGTACGAGGTCGAGTACTATCAGACTATCAGCTCAAAAGTGTACCAAAAGACGAGAGGCATCTCTACTGGACAGAATTGGTTAAAACATTGGCTAAAATTCATAGTGTTAACTACAAGAAGATATGGCTAGCTGATTTTGGAAAAGAAGCCGGCTACATTGAGAGAAATTTGAAGCGATGGTACGATAACTACCAGGCTACAAAGACAATCGAGCTAGACATGGTACCGAGACTGTACAAGATGTTATGTGACAGAATACCTAGAGATACGATGACTACATTGGTGCACGGTGACTTTAGATTGGATAACGTGATCTTTCATCCAACTGAACCTAAAATCATTGCTGTTTTGGATTGGGAGACGTCGACTATTGGTAAGTAATACTGAATATGATAATCGATACTATAACTATGGCTAAAAACTAAGTTGTTGCATCTTAATATGTATAACATGTCAATATTTAGGTGACCCGATGACTGATCTTGGCACAGTCTTGTTCAACTACTATCACGACGAAAAGAAGTTCTACTCTACAGTAAGACCTCTGTCTACCCTCAAGGACCGTGGATTACTACAAGATTCTGAATTGTTCAACACATACTTAACTGAACTATCTTCAACGTCTGTACCAAAACCAAAATGGCTCCAGACGGGAGTAAAAAGCGACGAATGGAACTTCTACGTAGCCTTCTTATTGTTCAGAGCTGCAGCTATATGTCAAGGTGTATATAAGAGGTACCTTACCGGACAGAATAGTGCATTTACTGATGGTAAAAACTTTGGTCGATTAGCCAAGAAGTTCTTCGAACATAGTTATGTTAGACTCAGACAGTCTTCGTTTGGTATGTTTCCGGTTGTACCATCTGCTATGGGTAAGAAAGGACAATGGTACTACGACAATGTCAGAGAGTTCATGGATACGGAGATACTACCACATGAGCAAGACTTTATAAACTGGTTCAACAGCGACAAATGCTTCTCGATAATGCGACTGGTCGAAGAACTGAAGGAGAAAGCGAGAGCCAAAGGGTTGTGGAATATGTTCATACCTCCATACATCGATCCAAATGAGGAGTTTGGTCAGGGATTGACTAATGTTGAGTATGGACACATTGCCGAACTTATGGGACAATGTATGTACTCACCTGAGATATTCAACTGTAGTCCGCCTGATACGGCCAATATGGAGGTAGGGTGTCTGTAAAATTACATTTAGCTGACTATGTACCCATTATATAATATTACTTTTTAATTTTTTGCACCTCTTTTTATACTTTAACTTCAGGTGCTCATAAAGTACGGTACCAAGGCTCAACATGCCAAGTGGTTGAAGCCATTGCTCGAGGGCGAGATTCGATCGTGCTTCTCGATGACAGAAAAGGACGTTGCGTCTTCAGATGTCCTCAACATCCAAGCTCCCATCTACAGAGATGGGCGTGGTAACTTCATTGTGAATGCTCGCAAGTTCTTCACTTCTCACGCTTCTCACCCGAACTGCAGAATCTGCATCCTTATTGGTCGAATAGAGGGATGGCAGAATCGACCGCAGCACGAGCAACACAGTGCCATTCTGATTCCAATGGATACGCCCGGAGTTCATGTGGTAAGATCGTTGACTATGTTGGGAACGTACGACGCTCCGGGTGGTCATTGTGAGATTGTGTTTGAGAATGTTGTAGTACCAGAAGCGAATCTGATACTGAGAGAAGGAAGAGGGTTCGAAATAGCTCAAGGAAGACTTGGGCCAGGTCGGATTCACCATTGCATGAGGATGATTGGCCATGCTACACGAGCCATCGACCTTCTGAAGCAGCGTGCTCAATCTGATCGTACTGTGAAGGGAAAGAAGTTGATAGAGTACCAAAATGTTAGAATGGATCTGGCACACTCTTTGATAGAAGTGGAACAGGCCCGGCTTCTAGTACTGAAGACGGCGCACATGATTGACACAGTTGGGGCTAAACTGGCATTGAAAGAGATTGCCATGATTAAAGTCGTGGTACCTCAAGTCGCTTACAAGATCATCAACCGAGTCATTCAGATCTACGGGGCAGCCGGCTTGACAAACGATTATCCATTGGCTGGGCTTCTGAATCGGACAAGAAGTCTTATGATAGCCGATGGACCTGATATTGTGCATTTGGAGACGATTGCCAAGAGCGAAATTTCAAAAATTTGAAAGTTTTTAAATTTGAATGAAGTTTATATAATACAGCAATAAATATAACCTAATCTTACAATGTACTTTCTCAACACTTGTTGCAGATCTTTGTATTTTATAGTTATATTACAGCATTTTGGTAACAATTATATTGTTGACAACGTAAAAGAAGTCTCATATCATCAAGGATACAAAACACAACTTTGGCTACAGAATTTATAGTGATTTAGCGTGTTATATTATCTGAGTTCTTCTCTTGGTTTGTATTTATTTATATTGTTCAAGATGGAAACACCAATAAAAGCAATTGTCTTTGATCTGGGAGGAGTACTGGTGCCAGCACCATACACGTTTTGGAGCGGTAATCTTTTAGATAGATTCAAAAAAACAAGATTATTAAATATTTATTGTTCTTTGGCTTTTAAAATACAAAAAAAAACTGCTAATTTGGTCGGAAATTGACAAGAGGTTACTTTAGGGGCTAATTTATTTGAATTTTTCGAACTTTTTAAATAAGTAAAAAAAATTAAAAATGAATATGGTTTCTTCTACAAATAGCATTTTACAGAATTAGAAACACGATACAAGTTGAAAAAAGGATCCATTAGAGATACCTTACTGTCGCCCAAGTTTATTGGTCGATTTCACGACCTGGAACGAGGACTTCTGACCCTAGATGATTTCAGAAATCTCTTTGTTTACTTCTACAATAAACAGGTAAGCTGAAGGTTAATATTATATTATTTTTGCAATAAATTGTTAGTTTTGTGATAATTTTTTATGTTATTATATTGTTATTATTAATAGTTACCGAACTTGTCACTCATTGTTTCAGAACAGTACCAACTTGACCACCTTACCGGTATTCGACTATCATTTTCCTGAGATTCATTCTGAATGGGTACCAGTACTAGAATCCTTGAAGGCTCAAGGTTTCAAGCTGTACTTGTTGACTAACAACTGGTTCTTCGACCGTGCGAGGCTCTTACAATCATTGCCTATTAACGTATCTTACTTCCACGGCCTTTTCGAATCTTGTAGATTGAAGTTGAGAAAGCCTGAGAGGGAATTGTACCATCTTGTTACAAGGAAGATCAATGTAGCTGCAAATCAAGTGTTGTTCATCGATGACTTAGGAGAGAATCTGAAGGCGGCCAAGAGTTACGGGTGGAACACAGTCAAAGTAAGCTTCAAAAGGGTATTTCAAAAAGTATAAGTTTTATAAAAATATTGTTCATAATACATAGTAATGTATGAAATTGCATGCTTATTGGCTTGCGTCCCTAAAAAAGCTTTACAAGCTCTGTACTACTTTATGTGTTTGGGTACAATAATGGTAAAACGTTATAAATTTTAGTGCGTTGGTAGAAGCTCATGTATAACGGATATTGAACGGTTCTTATCACTGAATTTACACTCATTTATTCCCGGAACTAGAGATTGTTTACAACGTATGTAATGACTTTTACAAACATATTTTATTAGGAAATATAATTTCGAAAATAATTGATTACAGTATTTCTTGTAACTCAATTAATGTTATTTTTGTACAAACTTTTGTTTCTAAAATAGTGTTTTAGACGAAGTTCTGGACAAAAAAGCACTAACTCAATACCTACAACGATTGTTCAATGATCAGTCAGCAACATTGGAGGTGAAAAAGTTTGGCTACGGACAATCCAACCCAACATATTACCTAAAATACGGACACAGGGAACTTGTGTTAAGGAAGAAACCGGTATGTTCATTTTTTAGAAGGAACCACTGTATATGTAATCCACTAATGTATAAGGAAGTCTTGCACTGTAGGCAACGTATTATAGAGTGGAAAGTTACTGCCAGGGGCTCACTTGATTGATCGTGAATACAAAGTCCAGAAGACGGTACAACAACATGTACCTGTTGCTAAGGTGCTCGACTATGCTGAAGGGTAAGACCACCATATTCAAAAGTAAAAAAAAATATTTAAAAAAATACTATTAGCTTATAAGCTTTTTGTAAAGATATACATACATTACTATATACCAATTCATTTTAGAGTACTCGACACTCCTTTCTATATAATGGAATACGTCAAAGGTCGTATCATCACCGACTATGAACTGAAGTCAATACCAAGAGACCAACGACGACAGTATTACATTGAATTACTGACAGTTTTAGCTAAAATACATTCGATTAACTACATTCAGGCCGGCCTAAAAGACTACGGTAAGCTAGGAAACTATATGGAACGGAATCTGAAGACATGGTACAGGAACTACAATGCCTCCAAGATTTTGGAGTTGCCTGTGGCTGATCAATTGTATAAACTTTTGTCGGAACAGATACCAAAAGAAACCATGGTAACCTTGGTACATGGTGACTTTAGATTGGATAATGTCATATTTCATCCGACTGAACCCAAGATTGTCGCTGTACTGGACTGGGAGAACTCGACTATCGGTAGGTGATTCTTTGTGACGTTTAAGTACGTTAATATAGGGAAAGACACATTTTTTAAGGGCAATTTTCATATCATCTTTTGACCCAACAATTATAGTTCTTACTGTAATATCTACATTAATATAGGTGACCCTATGACCGACTTAAGTACCGTACTGATCAACTACTATCACGATGAGAGAAAGAACTTTGCTACGCTGAAACCTTTGAATACGCTTCACAAGAGAGGTCTTCCACAAGATTCTGAATTGTTCCAAGTGTACTCTTCCAATCTTACTGTAACTACAAAGCCTTCTTGGATGAAACATAATGTAAAAGCAAAGGAATGGCAGTATTACATATCATTCTTGCTGTTCCGCCTTGCTGCCATTTGTCAAGGTGTATATAAGAGATCACTGACAGGACAAGCTTCTTCTCCTCAAGCTGTTCATTATGGACCCATGGTTAAGAGGTTGTTTGAACAGAGCTACATGCTGCTACAATATCAACATTACGGTAGGTTTATATTGATGTAAATTATAATTTATGTTATATCTACTTTCATAATTAATTACTTTTTAGGTTCCTTGCAAGTAGTACCATCAGCCATGTCAGCAAATGCCCAAAGATACTACGATGAGGTCTACAAGTTTGTACACGAGGTAAGCAATTCACACTAATTACTTTAACCATCTACTCTTCAGAAGATCATTCCACGAGAACAAGAATTCCTGGAGATAACAGAAGGTGAGAACAAGTGGAAGCTGAACCCCCTGACAGAATCCTTGAAGAAAGAAGCTCAACGTCAAGGTCTCTGGAATCTGTTCATCCCTCAACACCTGGATCCAGAAGAAAAGTTCGGTAAAGGATTGACTAATGTTGAGTACGCATTCATCTGCGAACTGATGGGAAAGTGCATCTTCGCTCCGGAAATCTTCAACTGTGGAGCTCCAGATACTGGAAACATGGAGGTGCTGATCAAGTACGGAAGCCAAGAACAAAAACAGAAATGGCTGAAGCCTCTACTGGAAGGCACCATCCGATCATGTTACGCTATGACGGAGCCAGATGTAGCCTCTTCTGATGCCACCAACGTGCAAGGGAGTGTAACCCGTGATGGTAACGGCAACTTTGTCATTAATTCCAGAAAGTGGTTCACTTCGAATGCTGCCCACCCCAACTGTAAGATCTGCATCTTCATGGGACGGATTCCAGGCTGGCAACAGAAGCCGCGACATCAGCAACAAAGCATGATTCTGGTGCCGATGGATGCACCAGGTGTCAAGATAGTGCGGCCATTGAATACTTTGGGTACCTTTGATGCTCCCGGCGGTCATTGTGAAGTGTTATTCGAGAATGTTGTAGTACCAGAGAGTAATCTGATATTGGGAGAAGGAAAGGGATTTGAGATTGCGCAAGGTAGACTTGGACCGGGTCGGATTCACCATTGTATGAGGCTGATCGGACATTGCACTAGGTCTTTGGAGTTGCTGAAAGAAAGGGTAAGTCTTAATTCAGCGTTTGTAAACAGTGTGCCAATAACATAACTAATATACCAATTATATTATTGTAGATAACCTCAAACAGACTGGTCCAAGGCCAAAATTTAGCCGCTTTCCAAACCGTCAGAGTAAACCTGGCTGAATCCTTGATTCAGCTTGAACAAGCTCGTCTACTCGTACTCAAAGCCGCTCATATGATTGATACGGTTGGGCCAAAACTCGCGGCCAAAGAGATTGCCATGATCAAAGTTACAGTACCCCGGATGGCGTTTACTCTGATTGATAGCGTAATTCAGACCTTTGGAGGTGCTGGAGTTACTCATGACTATCCATTGGCCGTGTTTCTGATTTGGGCCAGAAGTCTGCGTTTGGCCGACGGCCCTGATATTGTTCACTTGGAAACGATAGCCAAGAATGAGTTGTCAAAGTTGTAAGGCAACAACAAATATATTATGATAATGTACATGTTTAGTCCTTGCAAGCCATAAAAATGTTTATTCCTCAAATTTTTACATTATAAAGTCATCGTTTTGTTAACATAGATATCATTCATTAAAACAACATTGTTTTCTTTATACAACCCACCTTTATGATATTATACAATAGCTGGCCAGTAATTTAATGCTGTAAATCATGAGGAAACGTTTGCACAATGTTAGCTGCAAAACATGTGAGGTTGTAGTGGATACATGTTGCGATATAAATCATCGGAAAGTACTGTACGGATAGTATCTTCCTGATCCATGTCTGCGCCAAAGAAGTTCAGAAGTGTTTTCACGTCGAGATCATGGGTCCGTGGGTTAAAAGTCTGGGGGTTTTCGTAGATATCGAACCATTTACAATGCCTTATTCTTGCCAATGCCAGTTTGAATGAGTTAAAGCATTCTGGAGACACAGCACGTGCAGGATTCCGTCCTCCGCAAGGGTCTTCTATGTTGAGCCTACAGTTGCATACGTCGTCGTCGCTGCCATAACTATAAAATTGAAATATAATATAACAGCTTAACTTGCTTAAGAAGCCAATATAGTTAAAATAATTTTTTAAAGTATTCAAAACAGAAAAAGAAAACCCGTACCCAGAAGATCCTTCTGTTTTATGAATCCTAATCACTTGATTGAAATCGAATGAACTGTAGTAGTTTACAAATCCAAAGAACAACTCAATTAATGTCTTTTCCTGTAAGCTAGGATCTGAAAACGTAAAAAGCTTACCTATTCACATTAATTTTATGATTTGTGATGAATGATATTAAATATTAGTTGCAATTTAAGCTAATAAGCAAAACTCACCAAAATCAACAATAATCTCCTGTATACTCTCAATCGGATCAATGTTGAATTGTACATTGAATATTGTTGGATTGGATTCGTGTAAATTGGGAAGAAGAGAAGGCTGAACACCTTGTTGTAAATAGTGGATCACCAACACGGCTATCGTAAAACTATTAAACCTTTGAAAGTATCCTCCATACAAACGACGCCGTTTTGCCCATTCCTTCACCATCATTCCCAACATACGTACTCGTTTGTCCATTCTAGAATCAAGAACCAACATAATATTTAAAGCTGATAATTATTTTCGAGACAACAACAAAAATATGCTAGAAAACGTTTCCATGACGTATAAAAAAGACCCTAAACCAACTAAATCAAACACTTCCAAAAACTTACCTCGCATAACAATTGAGAAGAACTGAATTAGCAATTCCTTGACGACTTCCAATGCCCAAGTCCAATTCGTAAGTATGACCATGGTGTTCACACGTCATTTTGATTAAAGGTCGCTGAAACACAAACTCTGTATAACAGGACGATCAAAAACAAAAAACCTAACAATTTGTAAAATATTAATGTAAGCTTACTGATCTGCCAACCAATTTAGCTTTGATCAGTCCTGTTTCCGCTTGGTTATTCTTTTCCATCAAGTAATCCCTAACGTCCTCCAAAACGCCCTCAGGTCCTCGACGCATCTGGCTGTAAATATTAATTACGTTTACTCTTTTCCGTAAGAGTATATTAGAGCATACCGAGATTAAACGTAACTTACATATGGTTGAGTCCAACAATAGTCAAATCAATATCCGATTCCAAAGACCCAAATCCATTTACAGAGCTTCCAAATACGTATACATCGACTTTCTTGTACAGTTTAATGATTTGTTCTCGAAATGTGTGATATAGGTATAAGCTGCTATCCACAACATGCTCCGGAGGTTGCTTTCTAAAGAATAAATAAAATATAACTCTAGCTTACCTGTTATATACTTCTTCAAGCTTCTGGTTTATGATTTTTATGTCCAATGATGTTTTATGAGTATTCATAGAAGCAAGATATGCTTGTAAATCCTGATATGCCTCTTCTTTATCTTCATCAAACTCGTGTTCGATCCGCGTTTGCAGGCTTTTACTTGAGCTCTCTTCTGGTTCATTTGCTTTACATACGACTTTAAATATGACTTTAAAAAACTTGACCTTCTTTAACCTTTCCAGCAATTGAAACTTGCTAAACATTTGGTAAAATTGAAATTAAAGTAAGACTCACTGGTCGAACAACTTCATAATCCTCCCTTTAACCTGACTTTTGGCATCAGAGACGCTTTCAATACCCGCTGAAAACGACTGCACAAAAAAATTACATCAGGATAAAATAATTCTTGAGAAACGAAGTGTCAAAAAGCGAAACGCCACAAAAATAGCGAACATAACAAAAATATTTTGTTTGTTTTTACAAAAAATGAAAAATGTTATTGCGGAAATTGAACATACAACCTTTAATATGTAAAGTAAGTATCTTCTAAATGTTTTACATTATAACTTAGAGGTTATCTTCATCTACGAGAATTCGAAACATTGGAATTGTGGCTCATATTGATGCCGGTAAAACGACGGTAACTGAACGTATACTGTATCTTTGTGGAACTACAAGATCTGTCGGAGATGTTGACAAGGGAAACACCGTCACTGATTTTATGGACTTGGAGAGAGAAAGAGGTATAGTGTCTATGTTATTTGTGTTTTTATGTTTTAGATATTATAAGACTATATTTTCTTTGTTGTCTGAGTCTTATATTTAGGTATTACCATTCAATCAGCGGCAGTGACAACTTTTCACAAAGACCATAGAATAAATTTGATAGACACTCCTGGACACGTTGATTTTACATTTGAAGTAGAGAGGAGTGTTCGTGTCCTAGATGGAGTTGTTGTTGTTCTTGATGGATCTGCTGGTGTTCAAGCACAAACGCTAACAGTATGGAAACAAGCATCGAAGAATAAACTACCAAGTTGCTTTTTTGTAAACAAAATGGACAAACCTAATGCTGATTACGAGATGACAATCGACTCTATTCAGCAGAAACTTGGTTTTGCAGGTAGGTTATTTACGTAGGGTTTCCTCATATTGTAAATTGATAAGTTAATACTGTCTAATTTCTTAATACTGACTAATTGTCTAATACAGTTTGAATTATATGTAAATTTTAGTTGCTCCGATTGTGAAACCTGTTGTTAAGGATGAAAAGCTACTCGGATTTGTTGACATTTTGAATTCTTCGGTTTTAAAAATGGATACAGATGAATGGACACCAATTCAGGTAGCATTTTATAATTTTATTGCAGTTTAGGTATATTACAAAAACATTTTGAATGCTTTTGAATTTTTTAAGGACAAATCTTTCGAATCTGATGTTGTTCATGAGTCAAAACAAGAGTTGTACGAGATTATAGCTGAAAACGATGATTTCTTTGCGAACGAATTCTTGTCAACGGAAAACTGTGATAACATATCAATCGAAAATGTGATTACATCACTTAGAAGATGTACATTATCGAACAAGATAGGCACGCTAGCAAGTGGTACGGCTTTGAGGAAGACTCATTCAGTGGTACCTCTACTGGACATGATCAACAACTACTTACCTTCACCTGTTGATACGAACATTGATATACCTGAAGAAATAATCACTTGTGGAATGGTCTTTAAAGTAAGTTTTTGTGTTAGGTCGTTTTAATATTTTTTTAATTTTGTTTAAATTCAGTAAAGTTTTATTAAAAGTTTATATTGTTTTAGGTAGGGCACGACAAAAGAAAGGGACAGCTGAACTTTGTGAGAGTGTATAAAGGAGAATTACTGCCAAATCATGCAATTACTTTGAACAACACGGCCAAGGGAATGGTATCATCTCACACGACGCAGCTCTTCACACCGTACAGTGACGATTTACAAGCTATAGACAAGGTAGAAACAGGAAATATAGCTGTTGTCACTGGACTGACTGGATCAGTCACTGGAGATACTATCACTGTAGCAAAGAATCAGAAGGATGCTTTCATTCTTCATGGCATCGAGTATCCAGAACCAGTATTCTTCTGCTCTATTGAACCTCCAAACATTGGCCAAGCCTTGCAGATGGAGAGGGCTTTGGAAGAGCTTTGTATCGAGGATCCATCGTTCAGGATGAGGACTGATGCTGAATCTGGTCAAATGATTTTGGAAAGTATGGGAGAACTCCATATTGAGGTTATGAAGCACCGGCTGAAGAAAGAGTACGGGTTAGATGTGTTCATGGGACAAATGAGGGTAGGTTTTCTGTTTTGTGCTTTTATATACTTTACCCATAATTTACTATAAAAGTATTTGCGGTATTAGTATCATTAACAGTATAACTTTAAAATTTTAAATTATTTTTGTAGGTCAACTTCAAAGAAATCCCTCAAGGCCGTAGTGTAGTCACAACGACGGTGCAAGACACATTCGACCAGAAGCGGCCTCAGTGGTGCACACTGAAAATAGAATTAGAGCTGGCTCCGTTGTCTACTTCGTTTAAACGAGTAAGTTTGATTTACCATTAGCCAATCTTCAAACAAGTTTATTATTTGGTGTATCTTATGTAGTGTAATTTATGAATATTTTGTAAAATGTTACTTTAATTCTAGGCTGAAATTGACTTGGAGGATTCAGATGCACCGTTTATCAAACGAGAATGGCAGAACGCTATCACAGAAGGTTGTAAGAATGCACTCTTTAATGGACCTGTTATGGGATATCCTGTACATGGCGTGGAAATCAAAGTCAAGTAAGCAGTTGTAATTTTACGTGTAGCACATCTATGTTTGATTTAAAAAAACGTTTTTAGACGACTGGACATAAGTGGAGGTCGTATCAACTCGGCATTACTCAGCGCTTGTGCAAGCGATGCTGTGACCGAGGCCCTAAAGGAGAGTGGTACCTATTTGGCTGAACCAGTTATGGATATTGAAGTAGACGTTATCGGCCAGAAAGACGGGGTCATCTCTGTCATTGCTAATGAACTGACACGGAGAAGAGCTGACATTCAAGACACCACCAACAATAAGGTCAAGGCCAAACTGCCGTTAAGTGAGGCCGATGGGTTGGCCAAGAGCTTGAGATCAGTGACCTCGGGACTCTCGACCTTCCACATGAAGTTCGGCGAGTACCAACAAGTGGGATCTGAGAAAGTGTCATCCATGAGACTGCAGAGCTTTTAGGAATAAATCGTTTTACTTCTTTTGATTTATATTCCGAAACGTGTGCCTCCGGAAACATTCAAAACTTAATCCAATATTCTCTCCGCCCTTTTTTGCCGAAACTTTTGGAACGGCGGTTTGCGGGGCGGACTGACGGTTACAGTAATGTTGTTACTTCAAATAGGACCTGTCACGGCCGTGTTTCTGCACTGGTTAATTGAAAAAATGTTCACTTCAGTTTGTTTGAGGAAGATTTGGGGTCACGCAATCAACGTTTCTGGCAGCATTCTGGCATGTTTGCAACTATTTTTTAATTATCACCATGTAGTCACATGGGTGGGGTGGGTATATTATTAAGAAAATTTGCGGGGTGGTAACAAGTTATACTTTTAACTTTTGGTCTTGAATCGCCATTTTAATTTTTACTAATTTGTCGAACGCCTTTGATGAAAATGGCAAGTTGGTTGTTTTTATAGGTAACCCTATCCATCAAATAGCTGACCAACATGTAATTGACCACTTGATTACCTTGAAACTTAACAATTGGCCTCTAATTTTTAATGTTTTGTCATAAAACTGTCTCATGAATATGGATATACACATTCATCCTTTTATCTGCATGACAAATTATACGTGCAAAGTATTGGCTCTTGTTTTTGGTTTTAAAATACAATATTATTATTATATTACACTAGGCCGTGCCAAAACGTGCCGCATGAGCGAGCAGATTTTCAAGTTTTGCGATAAGATACGTATTTTTAGAGGACACGAGATTGCTTTTACTGTAGTAGTCATTACTATATGTTATCGGTTTAGAAAATTGAGATCTGGTTATTATTTTTTAATTTTAACATAGCTTTATTAGACATAAGCCAAATATTAGAAATAATTCTTTAAAATCACGCTTATTACCGCCAAAAAGTTGAGAAAAGCGTCAAGTATGCCATGATGACCTGTCAGATGAGGCTGCCGAGATAAACGTGAAGTTGGTTTGAGGCACGTCCACAAACTGACATTGTTTTGGCTTAGAATAATTACGCTAATTAAGCCGTTCGAAAGGTCGGAGAGGTTCTCCAAAACCAAGACTATCAAGTTTCAGCAGTGTATCGGATTAATAGGACAGTGATACTTTCGAGTACGTCTCCTCTTCATTTGTACTCCGCTTAATGTGAACGTTAGGTTGTCGTTTCAAGTTTACTTTTTAGGACTTTCAACTTTTATTTGTTGCCATGAGGTTTGGGTTAGGAAAGTTTGACAGTTTGGTCGGAATCTTCTTAGAACTGCCTTGAATTTTTATTTTGATTAAGCGCATTCCTATGCTAAACTAGTACTAGCCTTCAAAGCACTAATTATCGAAAACTGTATCGCTTGAATTTCTTCATGCCATACTAATGCTCATTTCCATTATTTTGCAAAAATAGAATGGAAGGGATTAATGGATCCATCTAATACGACCACTTTTTGTTTAACCACGTTTCGGAAAAGTTTTGGCAAAGCGGGTCATGTATAATATCTTCACAGTACGTAATCTACTCTTGAGTGCTAATTGAAACTATCAAAAGTTTTTGGAAAAGCAGCTGAGATTTACTTTTTCACGCTTTACGGTATATTAGACTAAACTGTTCTTTATAGCCTTTTATACATTAGTTTCAAAGATATTGTTTAGGAAAACATCTCGTTTTTTTATTTTTAATAGGGACCCCTATAGGGATACTCTAGAAAACGCTAAAGATCAGTCTTGTAAACAGTATAAGTTGTTGTTCCACGTACTTTTGGACCGGTTTATTACAATATAAACGCGCCAAACAGCAAACCCTTTTGCAGGAACAGCTTTAAAGACTTATTTAAATGTCTGAATTCATCTCCATAACCGATGACTTAAACTTCTGCCCTCCCCGTTTAGGTGCCACTTTTTATAACAGCTCAATTTTGTTTGAGATAAGTATCGTGTTTGGGGTTTCCGTTCATGCCGTTCCATTTATGCGTTGTAGAACATCGAGATGACGTTTCTAAATCTATTTTGCACACAAATTAGCATTGTAATTAGTTCGGTACTCTCAAGTACCTCATACTCCAGAACAATAAAACGTCTTTAATTCTGTTTCGTGCCATTTCTTCTGCATTGTTCGCCTGGGGCTCTTGTTGCTTTGAATTAGATTATTTTATGTTGTTATGGGTTGCATAGTTGATCTTTTTGCATATTGTCTTACATTTTGCTTTTAATACTGTTTTGAACTGTTTAAAGATCGTATTTGAGTTATTTATTAGAGTATTAATCTTGATTTGAGTTTTATGTTCCTTTCAGAAGTGATGACAAATGCATCATCATGGTACACACAGCCACTCCGACCAGATGATCTCGTAGCCGGCATCGTTCTAATAATATTTGGAGTTGTATTTATATTGTTATATTCTTTGGTAGCGTATTTTATGTACAGTCATGATAAGGTAAGTGTTGTCATCATGATATTATTAACAAAAGCGTTACAATTCATCCATTTATCAAGTTAGTGTCTATTTTTTTACGACCAAAGTACTCCAAAACTCATAACACATTCAGTCCAAATGTAAACTAGATTGACTTTGCAGGACATCGTGGGATTCCGGTTTTTGTTCAGCGCCTCAGTAGCCGACATCATTCTTCTGTTTAACTACACGATATGGCCTGGGATGACAATATTGCTCAAGTCAGAGATCATCACACCCAATATGCGACATTGGGTACAAATGTATTTGGATTGGGCTTGGTTCTCCATGTGTTACCACTACATGGTGATAGCGTGGTCGAGGTTCGCCGCCATCAGATATCCATCGTCGTTTCGGATTCAGCCTCGGGCGTTCAGCTATAGTCTTTGCTTGGCGTGTTACGTTTGTGCCATCATTCAGGTGAGATACTGCATTTGATGCCGCTTGGTGAGATACTGTAATTAATACTAATTATATTATAATACTGTTTCAAGAAACATATTGTATGAACAAAAATGTAGATTTCTACATAATAACGTGACTTTTCGACAGTCTTAAACTTGATAATTTGTGTTACACAGCTTGAAGATCGTTGTTATTGTGCCAATCCTTTTCAGGTACTTTGCACGCACTTCCAGCCGTGGTATGTCACATTCTACTACGAGCCCAGTCACTACGGAATGTTGTCAGAGAACTTTGAAAAGTATTTGAACAAAGGCCAGTCCTTGTTCTTCGCCACATTCCACTTCCTCATGATTATCATCCCTGCCTTCTTCTACGGCACGGCCCTCTTTCTGCTTCTGAAGCAACGCAAGAACGGCCTTCTCGGACAAACCTTCACTAAACCGGTCTCTACACAGTCTCGGACTGAAGCCAGGTACTTTGAAAGCAGTTATACTTTGAAAACCTAAAACAATTTCAAAAAACCATTACCCAAGTTCATGTTAGATCTAAAATAGAACATAGTAAAACAAAAATATCGCCAAAATTAAGCAATTTAAATATCCTTGCAAGACCTTTATATTAACTATTTCCAAATGCTCAATTACCTTCGAAGGCCTTCATAAATATTACAACTTAATTTTAAACTTCAGGTTGATAATACCATGTATATTCAACTCAATTGTGTTTATAATTGGCCAAATTGTGATCACAATTGGCACAGGAGAAGGAAAGTGGGCTACGTGGACAGTTATGTTACTATTCAGCATGAATTCCGCTGTAAATCCAGTACTATTGCTCATGTTTTCAAACATTATAAGGTAAGAGATGACACCTTATGCCAATTTTTTTAAATTTGTTTTTGAAAGCAAATTAAACCAGAGTGTAGTGCTCAATATATATTTCGGTAGCCTTCCACCTACTTTTTGACCAAAAGCTATAAAAATGCTGATTAATGTTTTGAGTAATAGCTTGTTACAATTTTCAGAGAAAAGTTTAAAGCAATGTTCACGAAGCACACCTCTCCCTTCACCCGAATCTACAGCACCGTGCGCATGAAGAACGAAAGTTCGTCCACAAAATGTGTCATAGACTTGTCATCAAACGAGGCCTCACACGACGACAAGTCAGAACCCCATACCTATCTGTGATTAGATACCTCTGTTTAATGCATACGAGTAATAAATTAATATTGTTCATCCAGCTCGACCTGGTATTCGTTCTTCTCGTAGCTGTAGCTGTCCTCCACTACGTGGCTCCATCGCCGTACGATGGTTACTTTAGTTTTGTAGGAAGTGGCAGGGTTGTTGATCTGATTCCACAGGGAAAACAAGCTAAAATATAATTATTTGTACAAGAATTGTGATAAGAGAATAGAAAGCCACACCATAACTTGCAGTTAAAACCTGATAAGAAACATTTTTAAAAAATTTTGCGACGTAAAATTTAAAGAAACGATTTTGCATATTTGAAGAAATTTTACAACGACTACAACCCCACCTTGTTTTTTGACCCATAAAATATCCGAAATTAAGTAAACTTACTAAAAAAATACAAAATATTTCAAGTATCTTAGGTACGAGTTCTTGAGAGTCTTGAGAGAACACAGGTTTTTGCGAGAATCGACCATTTTGTAGTGGTACCTTCTTAGAATTTTCATTATATTGTTAGTCCTTTCTTCTTTGTCCAAAGATGACAGTACAAGATACGCTATGTCTTCAGCCGGCTCTCCAAAATGGCAGTTCTAAAGTTTTAAATAACTTAACATCCACCGTTAAACTTATAATAAGATATTGTATAGAAAGAAACAAACATAAACAGGCGTAATTAACAAAACAATCTTAGAATACATAGTGAATTGACAAAAACTTACTTCCCAGCTGCCAATGAAAGCTACACGATCGTCATCATCAAAGTCAATGTGCTGAGGAGACAAATCACCGTGACAAAACACCTTCTCCACGTTGTCACTGGCCACAAATGCATCTTCCAACGATTCAAATGACTTGTACAAGAACATAAGCTAAAGGCATCCATTATAAAAATTAAATTTATATTACAGCATATTTTACTTTAAATTACAAAAAATGTACCTTTCCTAATGTTTCTCGCCCGTTAATAAACACCTCAGAATACTCATTCAAGATGTACTGAAGGTAGTCATTAATCTTCTGCTTCATATACATCGTGTAGAAGCTGTTGACAAGCACACGGTTCTCTGCATTTACAATATCCTTAGCTTTAGTGGCTGAAAAAGTCATATAACTTACATCTAGCTCATAAACATTACACCAATACTTTCAAATTATTGTTACAGTACCGCGTTCTAATCAATAGTATTCCTAATACACTTACAAACATCTGGAGTCTGAATATCACACAAAACATCAATTACAGAGAAGATATCGTCGACAGAGAAAGTAGTCTTCTTCGTCGTCTCAACCGATGGCAATTGTAACATAATCATGATGAAATGGCTTTTCACATCCTCTTTAAATGCGTTCCTAACAAAAAACTTGTACTTGCCAACAGGTACCGCTAACTTCTTGTGTTTTACCCATTCGAACAGATACCTGGCATTGTAAAAGCCGGCCTAAAATACGAGAATGCCATTATTTTAAGTTTTTTATCAGTAGCTTTTTATCACTAGTTAAAAAGAACAGTAAAATTTATGGTTGTTAAATCAATCTGTACTAACATTAGGTAACAAAAAACCGCTCTTATTACCTAAAACCAGCCAAAACCTTACCAGAGATCCTGTGTAATTCAAATATCTCACAAATTCTCCATTTTCCTCAACAAAATAAACTTCATATCCATTTGTCCCATCCTGCAATACTAGTTCACATCAAACAACATGAAACCTACATTAACATAAAACTTCTGAATATCCGGCAGAATCGAGGGCTTCAAGTAACTCGTAATCAAACTGTTGTTACCTACACCCAATAATGTAGATATTGAAGAAACCGCATCAACATGCATTTTTCTTATCAGTAATCAGATGTGGGTATGTGTATTTATAACAAGTTTCATGTTTTTCCCGAAATTTTCGTCGAAATTATTTGCAATTGCCTTTTTTATCTTTTGCGACGAAAAGCCACAAGTTCAGACGAAGTGTCACAAAGTGCGCCGTAAAATAATTCAAAAATCAAAAATTAGTTTTTTTCGAATTTCTCGAGGAAGAAAAGTCCTTGAAAACGCCTTCTTGTACATAAAACACCACTTTTCAAAGTTTAACTTATTTAGGCTTAAAGCTTTACTTGCCATTTTTATTACTTATTTAGGCTTAAAGCCGTATTTTCTACCTAAAATGAAGTCCCCGATGAAAGGAAAGTCTCCTTATAAGAAGTCCCCTCACAAGAACAAATCTCCTTTTAAAGTCAAGACTTTCAATTCACCTTTATTGTCCAAAACTGCACTCAAAAGAAGGCACAGGTAAGCCTTTACTTATTGTTATCTATGTTTAGTCGAGTTTCATTGTTGTTTCAGAAGATTGGTGAAGGATCTAGAAAATCGTCGATAGAAGATAGTGAAAACCAAGAACCTGTTGTAAGTTTTCTTTATTTCTTTTAATATGTTTAGGTAGTACATTCTCTTATTTATGGTTAACTTAGATAACACTTACAAAGGATAGAAAGTGTATTCTTACTTTTTGGCTTTTAGTTTAACCAGCCGAAGAAGAAGATTCGTAGACAAAGCTCTCCTGAACGCATCGGAGTAAAGGTATTGCCACAAGATCTGCGACTTGGATGTAAATTGATTGTCAAAAGTTCAAAACCATTTTCATTTTCACCCAAGACTCTTCAGCCGACTTATGAACACGAAGTTAGGCTAAGTAAGACGGTCTCTAAGTATTTTTTGCACAACAACAAGGTAAGACAGCGCTCTTTGAATTTTGACAGTTTCCCATATTTAATTAGTACTTTTTTAAGTCGTGTGGAGATTACTTATAAATTTTTAGGTAACAAAAGATCCTGAACATTTGTTGCAAGCTTCATGTTTCTATTATCAATTCCCACCTGAAAAGTTTCCTCGATTAGAAGGATCAATAGGCCTTGGCAGAACTGACAAACGAATCCATCCTGTGACGAAAGAAGATGCTGAAGTTACTGGTTTAAAATGGTTGGTCATTCAATATTCTTTTAGTATTTAGCTGTTTAGTCTTTGGATAATGTATTCGTATCTATTTTTGATGTGTCTATTGGCTCAAACATTATTTTTTTGAAATTATGTTTGTGTTTAGGCTTGACGCATTCGAAGATCTCTATACGATGTGGAAAGACCATGATCTCGACTCGTTTTACGTGTGTTCTACTACGTTTACTGTGTTGTTTATAAAGCATCAGAAGAGTGAAATAGCTACGACTGAAGACATCGATCCAGGAGAAACTTCTTGTATGGGTTTCAGCGAGTTTACACAATATAAAGCCGTGATCACCCCATCGTCTAGAAGTCTTCGGAAGCTGTTCAATGAAAGTGGTAAGAGTTATTTATATGACAGACCTTTTACTTCATTTGAATTAAAAAACGTAATATAAGTAGTACTATGTATAAGGGCTTTACTGGTAAATTGCTTGTGTGATCAGACTTTCTTTTAAACAAGGTTTGCCCAAGAATCAGACATGGGGTGTTCAAAAATTTCAAACTATTTTAAAATTGTTTATTTTTTGACAAGAGGTAGTACTTAGGCATAGAAATGCAAAAATATAAAAAATTTTTCAAAATTTGGGTTACGGAGATTTTTTTAAATTGTTTGTCGCTATAAGACATTCATTTTATCTGTTGAAAACTTTTTTTTATTATGCCAGGAAGGCATTGAAAAAAATTAAAATTTGCCAAAAAATCATGAAAATTTTACGAAATTTAAAGTGTCTCAAAAAAACTTCACATGTGATAAACTTTTGATGATAGCTGGTATAACTACATGCTATTGCGGTTTAAATGACACTAATTTTGGGTTTTGCCAGCGGGGCCCGCGGTAGCTACGAATTTTTAAAGTTAACACCCTAGGGTCATTTAGCATAGGATTTAGCTGTAATTTCATTCAAAAAGTTTAAAAAAGATGCACGGCACATATTGCAAGTTTTATAAGTGTTTAAAAATAATTTCTTTTATATTGCCTTAGGGAATTTGTAATTAAAAAAAATTATTTTTTTTTCAAATTTAAATTTTAAAAAAATGTTAAAGCTTGTAAATTAAAATAATATGCCTTGGCTTTTGGTAAGTGACTTATACAAGATCTGTACGCAAAAAAACAAAAAAAAATTTTTTTTTGAAAAATTGGGCCACAGGGGGGGGGGACCTGTAAACGAAAAAAATTTTTTCGACTTTCCCCCACAGAAAATCAGTAGCAACGTTCCTATATAGGTCACTTATTAAAAGCCAATGCATATTAATTTGATTTCCAAGCTTTAAAAATTTTTTTAAAATTTAAATTTGAAAAAAAAATAATTTTTTTAAATTACAAAATCCCTAAGGAAATATAAAGGAAATTGTTTTTAAACGCTTATAAAACTTGCAATATGTGCCGAGCATCTTTTTTAACCTTTTTAGAATCAAATTACAGCCAAGTCCTATGCTAAATGACCCTAGGGTGTTAACTTTAAAAATTCGTAGCTACCGCAGGCCCCGCTGGCATGACCCAAAATTAGTGTGATTAGAACCGTAATAGCATGTAGTTGTACCAGCTATCGTCAAAAGTTTATCACATGTGAAGTTTTTTTTGAGAAATTTTAAATTTCGTAAAATTTTCATGATTTCTTTGCAAATTTTTAATTTTTTTTCAATGCCTTCCGGGCATAATAAAAAAAAGTTTTTAACAGATAAAATGAATGTCTTATAGTGACAAACAATTTAAAAAAGTCTCATTCAATTCTGACATTTGGCACAATAGTTACAAAAAAAGTTTAAATCCTACCGTAATCCTACCGTAACCCGAATTTTAAAATTTTTTTTACATTTTTGCATTCCCATTCCTAAGTACTACCTCTTGTCAAAAAATGAACAGTTTTAAAATAGTTTGAAATTTTTGAACACCTCCGTCTGAGCCATGTTCGATTCTTGGGCGAACCTTGTTTTAAAGAATTGAAACTTTTTAGAAATCAGCTATACCAGAGCTTTTGTCAGAGGAGAGGATACTGTTGACTCCATGCCATCGTTCAACGAATCTTATTCTCAAGATAACCTTGACGTATCTTCGTTTTCATTACAGAGTCAAAAGACGGAACGGGCTACTACTCCAGAAACCAGCTTTACCATGTTGGAAGCTCCAAAGCCTGAAGATGAATATATTAGGTAAAGTTTTAATATTTGTTGGTAGTGTTTCATTCTAATTTAGAGAAATTTTACTCTTAGAGCAAAAGTCTTACTGTTGACTTATATATAATTTCAGTCCAATGAAGCTAGGAGAAGATGCGACAAACGATGACTTCTTGAGAACTATTGGTCTCAGTCCTAGTGTCGTAGTCAAGTCAGAAACCCGAGATTCACAATCTTGTAGTCAATTTACGGATCAGAACACTCAAGATACTCTTAATCCGTCAGCTGGTACTACACTCGTTTTGTCAGACATTAGTTCGATTGATGCCTTCAGGTCATTACTATGCAACAACAAAACGGGTTGGGTGAGAACAGGGCCGGAGTCTGGTACCCCACCTACGTTAATATGTGCCCAACAGTTTTTAAATGCGCCTTTGTCATCCTTAAAGGTACGCTTTTGAATTCACATTATGTGGTAGAAAATGATACTTTTTTCTTTCATGTGCCAAATAGAAATAATTATTTTAATTTCAGTTAAGGACACAAAAGCTACGGAAGGAGAAGAACCAATATGTCCTGGAGATATTCGGGGGACCAATTTTGCCCCATCTTCCGCAGAAAGTGTCAGAATACTTGGAGAAGGTTAATTGTTTGACTACAAATGCTACTCTACACTTTCACGTCAATGGAAGGGATCATTACGATGGGTTAAATGAAGCAGTTTCATTTGAGATGAAGAACATAAACAACTACTCTTATGACACAGTCAAAGCACAGTACGAGTATTAAGTTATTTTTGTTTATTTTAATTAAAAAAATTTAAACTTGCCATCAGTTTGGACTTTTATTGGGCTACTCAACAAAAATGTTAAACAAAAAATATTGAGTAACTTTCATCGTATAAGATGAGCCTTGCAAGTCGCAACAGCATGGGCGCGAGTGTTCTAATAGATAAATTTTATTTTTTATTGCATCAGGAAACTAGTAATATTTCTGTATATTCAAGGGTAATAGTCTATCCCAAAACTGTTTTCTTCAAAATTTTTGTTCAACGTCAGTCGACGCTTTGGGCGCCAGTTCTTGTCCACCATGAAGATATCGACTCCAAAATTTCAAGCTATTTTAACTGAAGAAGTGAATACTTTGGTGGAGCTCTTCAAGAAACATGACTATGAACTCAGGTATGGTTTTTATTATGATTTGACACGTTTTAGGATAGCAGGCGGGCCAGTCCGAGATCTTCTGATGGGTATTCAACCAGCTGACATTGACTTTGCTTCTACAGCGACTCCAACACAGATGAAAGAGCTGTTCGAAAAGGAGAATATACGTATGCTGCATAAGAAAGGCGAAGAACATGGTACGATTACGTGCAGAATCAACGATAAGGAGAACTTTGAAGTCACGACTTTGAGGATCGATGTGGTTTGTGATGGAAGAAGAGCTGAGGTTGAGTATACCACAGATTGGAAGTTAGACGCCTTCAGACGCGATTTGACAATCAATTCTTTGTTTTTGGGATTCGATGGGACTGTGTATGACTATACGGGTGGGATAGAAGACATTGAGAACAGAAGAGTCAGATTTGTTGGTGAAGCAGAACAAAGGATTCAAGAAGATTACCTGAGGATCTTCAGATACTTTAGGTTCTATGGAAGGATTGCTGAAGACGCTGATCATCATTGTAAAGAGACGTTGGAGACCATAAAAAAGAATAAGCAAGGGATCGAAGTAAGTTTACAATTTTTTTAATATTTGAGGATAATTTGTTTAGTGGAGTTAAAAAATGCTAGCAGAATGTTGTGTTCTGTCTTCAAACCTAATTTACTAGGTTAAAATATAAAATTGAAGTTATGGTTAATTATGGATAAAGTTTTCAGAACCTAAGCGGAGAAAGGATTTGGTCAGAGCTGAAGAAGATTGTGATTGGCAGATTCGCTCCACAACTGATGAGAGCCATGATTGCAGAATGTGAATTGGGCAGTCACTTAGCTCTTCCAGATCAATTTTCCCGCAGTAGTTTGAATGAATTTGAACGAGTTACTATGAATGTAAAGACCTTATCTACAGAAAAAGAGAGTCCACTACCATCTACTGTGTTAGCTACATTATTGGAGACGATGGATGATGTAAATACTTTGAACAAACGATTAAAGCTGTCAACTGTAGAGAAGTCACTGGCTGAATTTATAGTGGAATACAGAGATGAAGCTGAGAAAAAGAAGGATGACATCTTGTTTTTCCAGTATCTGATTCTGGACAACGTGTTTTTATATGGAGGTGGGTGGGTTATATGGGTCGGGTATTGTTTTTAAAGTTTATGACATTCGAACAGATTATTTAATATTTTCAAAGCTTGTAATATTAGGTAAACCTTTAATATTTCATTTTCCAAGTTTGTTGATAACTATATTATGCTACTTTAAAATGCTGTAACACGGAAGTTATAATATATATTTTGCAGAACAGGCACGCGATCCTTCTTCCAGATTCACGTACGAACTTCTGAAATACGTTGGAGCTACCGAAACGCTGACGTCACTTCGAGAATGGTCCAAGCTTAAGGTCACATTTCCAATTAATGGGTTGGTGCTAATGAAAGCTGGAGCTGAGAAAGGACCAAAACTCAAACTGACCATGAACTACTTGTACGACCTGTGGAAGGATGTAAGTTGATATATATTGTTGGCTGACTGGCGAGTCAGTTATTATACTTTAGTAAACTGGGTAGAAAGATTTAATTGAGAGCTTTAACTTTTGCGATTCTACGCATGTTTGGCCAAACTTTAATGATGTCAATGCAAAAAGTTCACTTAAGATACGAAAAAACTGAGAGATCACCGTTCGAGCGCTTTTGGAACGCGCTAATACATAATTTACGGCGGCATCCGGTGTTATTGCGACATGTTGTTAATTATTTAAACATCTATTTCACAGAGTAACTGCAATTTGTCCGAGGAACAACTGACACATCACGCACTGAATGATACCATCCCGGACACGCCCCACAAACAATTCAGGAAGCGACGCTGGGTTCAGATCTCCTCATAAGAGTAGTTGTTGTTTTTGTTGATATTATTGTAATAAAGTTGTTACCATGAAGGTGGTGATCATGACACTGTTATCTCTCACCTGTTTTACTTTGTACTCAGCAGCAGTAAGTTAGTATAAGTAATACTGTAAAGCATATTTGGGTACACAGTACTATCTGATATTCAGTTATGCTTTGTTGACTAGATATTAATCATAAAAGAGCCTTTAATAGAAAAAAAGAACTCCAGCTTGACTAATACGAATACCTTTCAGACGCCGCAAAGGCTACGGTACCCATTCCGAAGCTACGAAGATAAGACCCAAACTCCGAAACGCCTGAACCACCTGCCCATGACCTACCCCACTATGATGTCGAATCAACAAGTAAGTATAATATATATTTATGTACACTCTAAATAGGGGCGATCGTCGATGGTACCGCGTAGTCGTGGAATGAAGCTGATCTCAAGTCCTAAAGACAAGGGCTACGTGTTCACGTGGAGCCCTCAGAAGAACGAAGGCAACTACTTCTTGTTGTAGTAGTCGTCGGGGTCGCAGAAGCCGCAACTCAGCGCACAAATCCGTCGCATCAGTTTCCAGTAGCGCCAATGAGTGCAGAGATGTAGCTTCTCGTCGCAATCCAACCCCCTATTCTTACAGACATCGGCTTCAAAGGGCGGCCGTTGAATCCCCGGATTCGGCTTCCATCTGTGGCTGGGTGGTGGTTGCCTTGTTTGCTGCAACAAGGGTTACATTTATATTTACGGTAATTTGTAGATGTTATTGTGTCATAAATTAAGGTTAAACAGGTCACAAGAATACTCAGTATTTTGCTCAAAGAGTCATAATATGATATTTTAAACCGAGACTTACCACTGGCTGAGCACCACAAAAACCGCAAGTCTTCTTGCAGTTATTCTGCATTACCGGCAGGTAAAAACGGTTGAAACAAAGTGACTTCAAGTAGAAACAGTTGGGAGCAATGTCCACACAGTTCTTTATCACTCTCCGCATTTTAGGCTTAACAGGAGCTGTAGGTGGAGGTCGTAGAATCATGTGCTTCATTGCTTGTTCATCCAGTTCTTCACTCTGAATCTCATCTGAATGTCCACCATAAGTGTCAGGTGGTCCCACGTAGTTGTCTGACGGCCCTCTGTAGCCAGATCTTCCTCTGTGTGGTCCTTGCTGTCCTCGGTAGGATTGTACTTCTTCGTATCCTTCATTTGAATACGATTGTTCTGTGTCCATTCGCGGGTACTTCCAGTTTTGATCTGAAGATTAGAATATTTATATGTTATCATTATTAATTATGATAAAAATGTTAACAATATGCTTATTTTAAACTCTGGTTTAGTATTCTTAACGTTTTTGCTTTTTGTCTACAACAATATTATATTTTGACAATTCCTACCGCTATCGGGTCGTAGATTCTCCTGGATGTTGACATTGAACACGGGATCGTCATCCTTTATTATCTCACCACATATTTGACATGTTTTTGCACATTTCGAATACATAATGTCCTTGAAGGCCTCGTTTTTACATAGACCTTTTTTGGCGTCACAATCGGTCGAATAATCTGAAGAATATCAGTGACCTTAACAGTACTACAATATAAATCATTCGTTTAAATTAGATTTTGTTATCCAAATTGGAAAGAATATTCCACAAAAATAAGAATTAACTACTCAAGCGGTAAAAAACTAACCAGAAACAGCTTTAAATCAAAAAGTGATTGATCTTACCCATGCACTCGACCTCATCGTTCAACGGCACGTAGAAGTCCAACAATGGAAACGGTAACACGGCGACGACTTCGGGAATAAGCAAGGAATACAAGTATAATATCCGCAAGGACATTGTAAGCACTGGTTTTTAGAACGAACCAACCGATCTCGGATACATTAAGTTAGACAAACAAAACCATAATACCCTTCCTCAGATGGACGGAGGCTGTCCGGTATTCCCGACAATAGCAAAGCAACCTCAATATCATTGTATATAGGACTAGTCAGGTATCTTAAGTTGCATTATATTTTGTTAAAGTAGCTGTTTTGCCATAACATACGGTACTGATAGCAATATGTTAATCTTATGGTATTGTACCCACATAAATAATCATGGCCTACTAACTCCTAGTCTACATTAATTACGTAATGTATTCTACACAATCTACACGTGAACATTTTGCAATGACATAACTCGGTAAACAGTCGTATTTTCAATAATTAGGAAGCGCACTGAAGATGGCGGTGCTGTAAGCGAACATGTAGTCGTGGAAGGCGATCACTGAGCAACAACAGACATTGTGGAGATGTTTGTTCTTGAAGGCCGCTGACATTCTACATGAACATCCTTCCAGCCATTCCTTGGCGTTCCAACGTTCTTGGTTACACGTGTAGTGAACGGCTTCTGAAGCACGGGAATTGATCAGACTGTAACGATGCTGATCCGAATTGTAGATTCCTGGAATGACTTTGGTTTAATATAGATGGTCCTTCTACCGTGGGAATAGAATGTAACTACTATGACAAAACAATGTATATCTTGAATAAATCTTAAGTATCTCACCGAGTTGAGTAAGGTCAAAGCTTTCCATGTCATATGCGAAGTAACATAAGAGCCTGCTTACTATGGTTACCGTATCCAACTGTTCTTCCGGTGTCATCGATCTGTTCAAACAACTGATTTTGAACTTAAATTCTATTTTTGTAAACTATTATAAAAAATTTAAGTAATTCAAGTAAAACGTATATAATATCAACATAAATAAACTTTCTTACCTTTCCACCTGATGACAACAACATCTCTGGCACGTTTGGTTCAATCGCAAGTGCTCTGACTGAATTTAACATACCCAGCAAGTGTGCCTCCAGTTCTGCTTTCGATTTTCCCTGAAATAATTAAATGTAATAAATCTTAATAATAATTTCGGTCACAAAGTGCGTAGAATAGATATTCAAAGCTCAACATCTCAACCAAGCCCTCCCCTCTATTACTTAACCAAAAAGTAATATATATATATATTGTCCATTGTATGTTACCGTACAAAAAGTTCGCGCGTTACCAGCATTCGACACGTGAAAGAAGGCCACATTCCATTCCTACAAATATACATTAATATTAGACATACTCATATAAGTAAACGTAGTACACTCGTACCTACAAGTAAAGGTAATATACACATTAATATTAGAAATATGCATATAATTAAAGATAATATACTCTTAAACTGTTACTCAAACCTACGCTTCATTCCACACTGTAGACAATCTTCTACACTCGCTGAAAAACTTAGATGGAACAAGTTCTGTTAATGCCATTCCTTTTCGACCGTGCGGCTCCAGAAAGTGGAGCTTTTGGTCGTGGTAGTTGTAGACGACGTCGTACTTACAAGCCACAGCTAAAAATCTGAAAATCATTTATTACTATGATCAAACAAATAAGTATAGTGTCTATATAAAGTAGGTAATCATTATGAAGATCTTACTTTTTGGGTTCCTCTTCATTCTCACCCAAATTACAGTCAAATGTAAATGCCTTCATGTCATCGTGACTTAGTTGTTTCGCTAAAATCATAAAATTCATATTACAAAAAAAACGGGTTACTGAACTTTTGGGGCTGGAACTTTCGGGGCGAGGACTTTCGGGGCCGACTTTTTGGGGCGGGGAACATTCGGGGCAAAGAACTTTTGAGGCAGGGAACTTTCGGGGCGGGAACCTTCGGGGCCTGAACTTTTGTGGCAATTTTAAAAAATTTCAATTTTAATCAAATTCCCTTAGGCTAATTAATTCCAACTTTAAAATTTTGTGAAGAATTATGATTTTTTATCAAAAAAATCATAAAATATAAATATTTTTATACTTGAAATTTTATTTTTCATTAAATTATTAAAATAAACAAATAGCAGTTCTGCTAATGTTAAATGTTTTATTACAGCGTTTTTTTGCTTAATGGAACAGTTGTGGTAATTACCGATCGTAGCCAGTTTTGCGCACCTAACATTAAAAAAGTGAAAGCCGATCTCATCAAAGCCAAGATTTACCGTAGTGCTGCAACATCGACTGATGTTCCAAGAGATGTGATTGGGAAAGCAGTACAATCAACAAACGACGTTGAAGTACTATGTCAGATGCCACAAAAAAAGCACATCGGCAAAAGTATCAATAAAATCAGACAGAAATTGGGCGCATCAACCTCAGGTTTTGCAAACCCGCGAACACTTGCCGACATTGACATCCCTGAAGAACTAGCTTATATTACTAGATCTGATGGCACTAGACACAAGTTCTTACAGTATATCTCACCGCCTGATGACCCTGAAAGATTCATGATCTTCGCTACTGAATTCCAGAAGTCTTTACTTGGCAATTGCACAGTATGGGGCATAGACTCAACGTTCTCCATTGCACCAACACTGTTTTCCTCTTTATACTCTCCATTAATATTGTTATCTCTCGTAAAATAAATAATATATAACATTACTTGTTGGTTTGAAATCCTCTTACATAATCTTAATACTAATAAAACCAAAAAAAAACACTGCAGTAAAACATTTAACATTAACAGAACTGCTATTTGTTTATTTTAATAATTTAAAGAAAAATAAAATTGCAAGTATAAAAATATTTATATTTTATAATTTTTTTGATAAAAAATCATAATTTTTCACAAAATTTTAAAGTTGGAATTAATTAGCCTAAGGGAATTTGATTAAAATTGAAATTTTTTAAAATTGCCACAAAAGTTCAGGCCCCGAAGGTTCCCGCCCCGAAAGTTCCCTGCCCCAAAAGCTCTTTGCCCCGAAAGTTCGGGCCCCCAATTTTCTCGCCCCGAAAGTTCCCCGCCCCAAAAAGTCGGCCCCGAAAGTTCTCGCCCCGAAAGTTCCAGCCCCAATAAGTCCTGACTCCAAAAAAAACAGTATTCAAACTGACGTGTTATAGTATACTGCAGTATACGGATATAAAACATACAAAAAAATTTACTTTCATATAACACAGTAATCTACAGAAAACTCACAGTAACATTTGACATGATTCTCCATCATATTATGACCAAACTCTTTTTGTACCGTCACTCCGAATTCCAGAGAGCAACAATGAAATAGACACTTGAGTACAGTGTTGTTGTTGTATGGCTCGATCTCTCTGAAGTTGCCGTCGTAGAACAAGCTTGAGTCGTCCAATTTGGTATAATTTATCTTTTTGTAAGTCTTTTTACTCCTTTTGCTGATCTTCACTCTTGAGATCAGATACACTTTATTACATTTCTTCCTAAAAGAGTAAGAATATAACTATCGATACATAACATAAGTATTTTACTGTATTGTAAAACTGCATTGTAAAATACTCTGATAGTAAGCTAGGTTCATATTGTTGCTTAACTACTTGTGTGTACCCTAACGCCGAGAATTCGCGTTGATATGGAGCACAGAATTATTTGAACAAGCTAATAAAGGCTTTGGCTGTAAATTCAGAGAATAAATATTTAAATAATTGCTACTTAAAACAATAATAAAAGCCGAATTTAAAAAACTAATCTGATCAAATATGAATATAATACAACAAACACTTACTTAAAGTTAATCGAATGCAAATTAGAAAAAGTGGCGTTCCGAAACACTTTCCAACAAGTTTCATCTGCTCCTTGAACCTTGTAACAATCAGGCCACCTAAAAATAAGCTGTTATTGAGAGTATATTTACGTGTAATAACATCTTTTCCAAGTTTATTTCAATAACTTACTCAATCGACGCTTTCTTGTGAAATTTGCAAAGTTTCAAGGTATCATCGTGTCCATTGTGATAGAAATAAGCCTACAATATTAATCAATACTCAGCGTTACACGTCAAACTAAGTCAAGTCAACATTTGAAGCAAAAACTACTATTCATTTCAAGATCACTTTTCTGTTATAAATCATTTTAATGTGCTTGTCTATAATGTAGGGTAATAAACTCAAAAACATACGAAGAAGAAACAAAAAATTATTCAAAGCTTAAACTATATAAAAGACTCTAAATTCGGTTACATTATCAGTATTGACTTACGTACCTTTCCTCTAGTTACATAATAACTAATTCTACCTCTGGTGGCATTACTGGTCAAATTTTTTATGAGACGCGGAGTAAATAAAACTTGATCAGAAGGTCCTTCAAGATAGTCGATGCAAAGGCTGTACAAATTGAGCATATCACGAAAAGCCGCCAAGTAGATATTAGGCGTTTGATAGGTAAACATCTCTCTTTCATATACATCTTTTACCACATTGCTCTGAAAAGTAAATGGCCATTAACTATTATAGTTAACTGATATTGTAAGCTTCATAAAATACCTAATCGTGATAAACACAATCTTAATCAAAATTAAAAAAAGCTTGAGCACAGCAAACAGAATGACCAAAATATGTCCAAATATAGAGATACACTTACAAAATGTCTGTTCACCTCGGCAAGATCCTTCCAATCGTGCCAATGGAACGTCTTGTTTTTACTGAGTAAAAGGAAAAAAGTCTCCTAAAACATTTCGTTTCAATCAACTAGTTGAACTCTTACTCTTCTCAAATTTGGTTTAAGTACAGGTCTATTACTTTCAGAACCACTTTGAGCAGAAACAGAACTAAACAACAGTAAAATTAACACGAACATAACGACCAGACAATATTCAAAATAACAAAATGAGCTAAACAGTTTGAAGGCATTTTACAAAACATCGAATTTGCATAGCAAAAATAATTAAATTTTTGGATAAAGATCTTTTTTTCAAAATTTTATTTTTTTATTTTATACGTTTCGTCGTATAACATGTCTTTAATTCGCGTGCTGCGCCCACAATAATATTTGGAAGTTGTATTTAGCCGTAATTCAGCAAATGTTTTGCTCTTTCTCGACATCTATCGAGAAATTTATTGGCTTGTGATGTTTATATTTTTTTCGGTTTTGAAATTATTTTCAGAAGATATTGTTTTAGGTAATGTCTGACGACCCAGTTGCCGAGTTTTTGGCCCGCGAAGATGGAGCGTTGGACGAAGAAGTGAATAATGCTCCAGAACCAGGTACGTGTTTTACAGTTTACGATATATTTTGAGTTTAGTCGTGAACGGCGTGGCACCGAACGGTCTTCAGAATGGGCACGATGATTCGGGAGTGGATTTGGTTGCACAGTCAGGTGATTTAAGTCCTCCGGCTGTTTCACAGCCACAAAATGGTGATACATCGTCTTCCTCTGACTGGATACATGTTTCAAATTCAGGTCGCGGCGCTAGTCCAGCCAGTTCTGTCCATTCGTCCAGTAACCACAGCCAGTACGTGCAGTCCTACCAGGAAGAGCCAGAATCGATCAAAAAGTGGAGAGAACAACATCTGAAGGCCATCAAAGAGAAAGGTCAGTTGTCTTAGAGCGTACATGACCTTGTTTTAGACGAACTGGAAGAGAAGCAGAAGAGTGAGTTGAGAGAACAGGCCAAGAAGGAACTGGAGAACTGGCACAAACAGAAGGAAGTTGAGATTGCGGAAAGGAAGAAACAGAACAGGTAAGAACAATGAGTATTGATTGGAAAAGGCGGTCAAAACTGTAAATCGCAATAAAATTATTCTTTTTTATAAAAGGTTTCAAACAAAATTTTGAGATATGCCTTCTGAATCTATAACTGTAAGGTTCGTTCAGCTTTTTTTAAGATTATTATTAACTTGTGGAACGAAGTCACTGTCTTCTTTATGTCAGATTTTTATCAGTTGCACTTTAACAGACATTTAAAATTGATCGTACTTTCAGAGTAGCAGAAGAGAAGCTGAGTAAGAACCTGGTGGAGTCCCAAAGTAACGGCCAAGGCTGGTCTGAGATTGCCAAGTTGATTGATACGGGAAAGCCGGCTAAGAATGCTGTCGACACTTCCCGTATGAAGGCGTTGATTCTGGAGCACAAAGATGAGACGGTTGCTTGAGCTGCTGAACCTACTGTAACATTAATTATTTCACTTTATTAATGTACAGACTATGTTCATTTGAATATTTTTGTGATAAATTATATTGTCTATCTAACGAATGCTAACTAAATAATTGAGTTCGGAATAAATCTAATCGTTCGAGAGCTTGGGGACAATTAAGCGTATGAAACTATGGGTACTTGGTGTTTTAGAAGCATTAAAGGCTTGGGGATTCATGATTAATATGCCGTTTTTTGGTTAATATGGTTTTTAGGTAATACTTGGAAATCCATATATCGGGTACTTGACGCTAACCTTCTAAAAGTTGCGTTTTCGCGTTGGTCTGGTAGTTTATGTTTAATATACAGTGAAATGGTCGGAAACTTTTAATCTTTTGAGTAAACCTTATATTATTCTTGGTTAGAGAGCATTTTATGTTTTCGAGTTATTATTATGGCCTCAATGTCGTGTAAGTGAGTGCTGTAACTCTTGACCACATCACCACCTTCAATTCGCGCGGCGTCGAACGACCTTGACTGGACTGATAAAAGAAGGAGGGCATCGGGGCAGGGTAACTCAGCCTCCGTTCCTTCTTCAGACTGAGTCAACGATGACGCTGAGGGATGACTCCGTTCTGGTTAATATCTTCCGCCCTTCCTTGTTAGCATTAATTAAGAAGGCCATGTTACTCTGGCTCGGCCTGATTACGGTGGTCGCTGGTTTTGCACCGCCGCCCTCGTATCGACCGTTCGTGGTCAACAACTTTGACTTGAACGACTACCATCCTCATAATAATGTAAGCGTTCGCTTGTAATATTGGATACTGTAAGATTAAAAAGTGATATTATTTTTTATTTTTTTGTAATTTTAAGTTTACTTTACTACCTTACACCATCTCATGTTATATTATGCTGGTTGTGTTCGGATTTTATTATTTTTCTTTACGGAAACTTAGTTTTTCATTTAATTTTTGGTCAAATTAGTGATTATATTGTAATTTAACTACGTTTAAATTATAAGGCACCATTTTAGATTTTAAAATTTTTAAATTCGATACAGAACAACAGAACGAGAGTCAGGTCTCTCGGCGTCTCATCAGAACGAAGGCATATTCCCATAGTAAAAGTAAGTTTGTCTTTGTTATTTTATCTTAACTAACACGTTGGTTTAAAGTATGAACTTTTAAATATTACACTGGGCAACTTTGAAACAAGTTTTTGTCTCAAAATTTCATAAAAAAGTTTGAAAATTTTTGAAAAAGCAAAACAAAACTGGCTTTTCAAACTCGCTTTTTAGCAATGTAAATTTGAGTTGGAATGAATTTAAAAACAAGCATAGTAAGATAATAATATACATCTACAAGATTAGTCTTTAAATTTTATCATATTACATTTACTGACAGTAAAATTACAGATAAGCGCTTTGGACGAGACGAAGCCTCCAGTAGACGTATTTGTAGATGCTGGGTTTCATGCTCGAGAGTGGATCAGTATTGCTACTGCATTGAACTTAATTTACAACGTGAGTGAGTTAAATGCCGTTTTAAAAGGTTTTTATAGTTAGTTCTTAAAACTTTAAATTTTAAGTTTGTAAATGAATAAAAGATTACAGTATTATGAATGTTTATTGTGTAAAATAGTATTACGTTGTTACACATAGTAGTACAAATTAGTAAAATACAAAGTAAATTATGATTACTGGATAACTGTAGTAAAAGCTTTACTTTTTTGTCTTCAGTTGTCGAGATCAAACGACTGGCCATCAAATATCAACTTGTACATAGTACCTGTGGCTAACCCAGATGGCTACGAATATACGAGAACGGTGGACCGTGACTGGAGGAATACACGATCAATTCTGGCACCTAATCTAAAGAGCTGTAGAGGTGTCGACGCTAATCGAAACTTTCCCTTTCATTGGGCTGGTCAGGGAACTTCGAACGACCCTTGTTCGTAAGAATAGATCTATTTACAATTATAACAGAGGCTGAACGGTGGAAAAAGCGGTGGTATCAAAAAATACTAATGGGTAGATTTTATGGATAGGATCCATAAAAATTTACCCATTACGACTTCATATTTATTATCAGTTACACTATTTGTTCCTAATCAGACTCGTTTAGAGAGATCTACCACGGTCCTCGGCCGCTGAGTGAGCCAGAAGCTCGTGTTGTCGCTCAGTTTTTATCGAAAAGAGCCAACTCTTTGAAGGTATACGTCAGCCTCCATTCGTACCATAATGCTATCTTGGTGCCGTATGGGTACCGATATAATGCACGGCCGAGGGATTACAACGAGTTGGTAGGCTCTTTCACTGATAAACTTATCTTTTAAACATTTTTATCTTTAAATTGTTTGTAGATGTGGACAGCTCTTGAAATGACACAAGCGATGAACTCTTTGTACGGTAACAACTACACGGCTATCAACTCGGCTCAATTATGTAAGTATTACACCATTACTCTGACTGATAAGGTTTACCCGCAAGGTTATACATTATCACAGTAATACGTAGTTGTTTTGGTGTGACAGAGTAATGTTATTAGAGCTGAGTAATTAGATTACTGACACAGTAAACAAGTAAACTCTAGATCCGGCAGCCGGCTGCAGCGACGACTACGCCAAGTCATTGGGGATCAAGTACGTGTACACGATGGAGCTGACTACAGGAGAGTACGGTGGACAGTACGTTGGGTTCGAGACGCCACGAGAGTTGATACAACAGACATACGATGAGGTACGGGCAGCGCTACTCACTTTGATGTGGAAGACGGTGCAGGAATGACAATAGCAACGTGACATGACACAAATGTTCAAAGCCTTTCTGAGTCCTTCTGAATTCTCCAAACTTCTTCAGATTTCTTCTGAATTCTTTAAAACGTTCAAATTTCAAAATTTTCAAAATTCAAATTGTTCATAGTCGTAGCAGCGACGTGGTAACGGGTTCTGTTGTTGTATTACCGAGAGTGGAGCCAAGAAAGTAATTGAAAAAATATTGTGGGATTTGTGCCAAAGTGAATATACGAGTTTGTTTACGATGAAAGAGTACGGCAGGGAGGAGAAGAGTTTGAAGCCAGACCATATTCGACGGAAACAAATTATTTGCTCTTAAACCGGTTACTGCGCGAACGGTTTACTCTACTCGGCATTCTGGCTTTATAGCATACGTTCCCGAAGGCAACATGTATTGTAATCAAGGCGGGGGGGGTAGGATGACACTGTAAAGTAATCTTTTTTTGGTTACTGAAACATAGTTCATGTGGTTAGGGTTTAGTATAGTACCAATACAGCGGTATGTAATAGGCATTCTGGTTTTAAAAAGTGGCTTTGAAGGCCTTATTGTAGGGCATGGTAAATATAAGTTTAATGTATGTTACATTTTTTTAAAAACTTTATAACCTTTAAGATAAACATACATACGACAGGAATATTTTCTCAATCTACTTACTAAAACACTATGACTGATATATGTTGGTACATACAATAATAATTCATCATTGTAACAACAAGCACATAATTAACATAGCCATAGCTGTCATTTCTTATTTATTATGTCACATCAGTCGTTTGTATATTACTCTGACAATGCCATGTCGTTTGAGGGGCATACACGTTTTCAGTAACATAGGTATATTCTTATAAGTATATATTTTTTATATTTCATGACATTTTAGTTAAAAAACTATGTCAAGATACCTTTTAAATATAATCTGACAGAATTAGAAATATTGAAACAACTTTGATAAGGTACATTTTGTAATATCTGTGGTAGTATATATGACATGTCGTGGTTGTAAGGTAGTCAAAGGTGTTGATAATGTAAAGTAATCGAATTATATGATCGAAAGTAAAATTGACAGACTTGAAGATGTACTTGCACTGTAAACATCTTTTGTTGCTTTTACTTTGCTGTATGTTTATATACGTATGTTTTTACCTTGGTTTAGCGAATTACATCTAGTTTAATATAACTGATAGTAATGTTTAGACAAACCTCGGTTTTTATACAGTAAACAACGTTACTACTGTTTTAGCAATACCAATTACTATAAGAAAACAATGCAGTACGTTGACTTTGGGAAGGAGGGGTGAAAAATACAAGATAATGTTAGGTTCATCAAAGCCAAGAACTTTTTTAAAAACGGAAAGAAATTGTGAATATTATCAGTAAATCCAATATTACCGTTTTTTAACTTTTTTATTGTTTAGGGCGGTATACCAAAGTACGTTATCGTATGTTATAGCAGACAAACCTTATTTTTTGAGTATTTTCTGGCATAAGTAGCACTATGAACGTATTTGTTCATGCAATAGCAGCGTAAAACAATATTATTAACGCTGATTGACTATCATCTTTGTCTTCCAGTCGATTTGGTGGCTAAAGTGGTCTAACTCAGTATTACTTTTGACTTTACTTACTAGGGTTTTTTAGAATTTCGAAGATCTTTCGTGGCACTCGTCTTCTATATCTTACCTTACTTTTCGATACCCTCAAAACTTGACTTTTTATTATGTTAATTGTTAACTTAACATACAGACCTTTTAATGTTAAATACGACCGTCTCGTGTTAAAATACGGCCAATGTATGCGCAGCATACGACCACCTTCAACTGGTCATAATTCTTTTTAAGTACCGTACTGGACGTGTCAAAACGTACTCTGTGATTGTTTGCAATCCGAGCCTGAGAAACGCGGCGCTTCAGAAGGCCATAAACGTTTCGAAAATAAAGTTTTCGTTCTCTGATTATAAAAGTCCTGGGGTGTTATTTCGCGCACAAATTAATTAAGTCCTCCTTGGGCTTTCCGGCCGAACAACAACTTCACAATGGCAGTACCACCTTTGTTTTTGGTTGTATGCTTACCTGGCATTAATTAGTTCTGTGCCGATGCATCTTGTTATTACTATGTAATAAGAGAGTTATTGCAGCTACAGTACAAGAGGATGTCTTAATTTATAGTTTTGTAGCTTTGCGGGGTATTGTTTAGCCATAGTCGAATAAACTCTGTTATCATTCATGTTTATAAGTCTTGTCATCACCAGGTGAAGTGGAATTACCTCGAAGATTCCGTTTCCTCCATCAAATATTATATCTTCCACATGTTTATTTTATAGTAATCTTTCAGAACATTGGCTGAATGCACGTTCAATCTTGTCGTGAAACACCCAGATTTCTTTGAAATTTTAAAAATAATCTTTTTCGACTTAAAAATAGCCCAATTGTTGGTCGATCCCCTCTTAATAACCCATTTTCGGCCCAAAATTGCAAAATCAGCGCTAAAATTGAATTAATCCGGGGGGTCAATTAAAGGGATAATCCGCGAACGTTCCTCAACGTTCCCCCAGCGTGCGTGGGTTATGGCAGAAGCTTTGTTTAAAATTAGGCCGTCCCTCGAGAAGCTGTTCTTGACATCCCGCGTCGTTTGCATAGAGATTATGTTGGAGAAATTAGAGATAATTCACACCTCCATCACCCGCCGTCCTTCGCCTTTAATTAGTCCAGTCTAATTAAAGATGAATTGAGTGGGAAAGTGCCCTCCCTCAGGGCCGAACCGTTTCCCGCGAAACCGGTTGGCCGCTTATGTTTCAGGCGATTAGTCAACTGGCATTCGCGACTGAATAGGTTTGATTGGTAGACTAGGCTAGGAAACAAGTTTTGTAGTTAGAAAGAGCTAGAATAACAAGTTCTTGGTTTAACAAAATTTGGTCGATAAATTGGATTAAAAAATTATTTTTTATGATTTAGGTAGATTTTTCTTGGATTTTAGGCATTTTAAGGTGAAACTGACGCTAGCTGATCAAAATGTCAAAAATCTCAAATATTCTAATTTAAACTTAATACCGGATGCCAAAGTGTTACGTATGTACTACGTAGTATACTGTAGGCAACTAATTTTAATTCAATCTTGCGAATTTCAAAAGAATCTTATTTTTAGTCAATTGGAGTGATATTGAAGGTTTAGTCCAATTGATGGTTTAGTCCATAAAAAGCCTAGTCCAAACTATAATTTGTAATTTAAGTTGGCACAGACAGAACTGAGAGTAAGATTAGACAACGTCAATTTCGCTTTGTACTCGAGTTAATTATCGGTCTTGCACCGGGCTGAGTCAGTTACTGAGATTAGCCTCGTTTGTTATGTCGCAAACTTTTCCAACTTGTGTTAGGTTGAAGGCAACAAGTTGGTAACGCGGTTGTAGTCAGCTTTCATAATATATTGTGACTAGATATTCTTGTAGTAATAGGCGTTTTTAAAGCATAGTGACTTGTAAAGTGGTTACTATTAACCTGTTTTCTTTTGAGTACCATAAGCCTTTCTTGATTTTACCGTATTAAACAATTGAATTTTGGGCAAAAATAGGTATAAAAGTTTAAAAAGTACTAAGCAACTAAAAGTTTTGAACTTTTTGACTGACGTATTACTCTGAACCATTAATGAACTCCTCAAAATCAGTAATGTTGTCTCTAATTACTGTACCATCCCGGGAAAGCCATTCCGCCCCTACAGACGGAGATATTAAAAATGAAAACAGCATAATATTATAATAGCCGCGCTCTCGCCAAGTCTACTATTGTTTACGTATAAAGTTTGTCGTCCTACTTTTTTGGCACGCCATGGATGTAATAATGCTCTTGAATTGGAATTACGACATTTATGACACGTCACGCTACCCGATTTTGTTTCCAATGTCGATTACTTTTCGTTTTCACGTGGTAGTTTGAGGTTTTATTGTGGTTTTTTATGATTATATTGAGGTATATTGTGATTTGAATGTGGTATCTTGCCACCTTTTAACTTCAAAACACAAAACTTTAATAAAGATTGTTCAAAACTCTACTACAATATCCAAAACCTACACAAAAAGTTTTAAAAAGCGTTTCAAATTTAGTTTTTTATTATATTTCACGATTCGTAACCTTTGTCGCTCCGCTTGTGGTAATTGTTTTGACAACAGGCCTTTACTATTTGTTTTATTTTACTACAATGTAAGATAAACGACGATTGTTTTGGGTCGGAAGACAAAAGGTTTCACTTTGACAAGTTAATGGAAACGAGTTCTCTCTGTTCCGTGACCTCCATTCAGCGACACAATCGTCGTGAATGACTCTTTCCCTCGCATTGTATCGTGCCATTCTTGGGTATAGTATAATTCGTATGGGCGAGTATCGTGTGGATAGTATCATAGTCTTGGGTTCTTCATAGTGTGGATATTATATTAAGGTTTATATATGTAAAAAAAGTCTTGTCGTTTATTTGTACTGTTTGTAATGTCAAAAAACGACATTACTTTTTTATCACCTTAACAATACTACCATTTCAGACATGTGGAGCTGAGGTAATGGACGACGAGAACAGAATCAACGAGTCCGGCTTCGGAGACGGGATGGGCGAGATCGTGGTCGGGGGCATCTCGCTGACGGAACGTGAGTAGCGCATCGTGCTTAACCGTAGCCTGTTTAGAATTCTTCTCATCGCTGAGTTTGTTTTTCTCCTGTGTTATGGTCTGCATGTGCTTAGCGGGTGCTGTTATGAATACCGTCAGTTTGTTTATTTTCACGAGGCCGTCGTTCCGAAAACGGTCGATTAACGTGCTACTGAGCGGGCTGAGTGCATCCGACCTGGTGCTATGCATTCTGGCAATTCCTGTGTTTTGTTTCTCTCAACTGCAGCAGATTATTCCGGGTAAGGCCTACTACAACATAACAGTAAACATATTTCGAAATTTTTATTTTTGTTTTATCTACATCAACATAAGAGTGCTAAACTGGGTTTTTGAATAATTTACAGTTATTTTATAGTACTTAAAGTTAAAAAATTAAAAAGATGTACTTTTAAAAAATTTCAAAAACTGTCGTTTTAAGGTATCTCTTTTACTATGTTGGCACAGATCTTGGTATATGCATATCCAGTAACGATTATGGCTCAGACAATGTCAGTTTGGATGTTAGTTAGTATCACGGTTGACAGGTATCTGGCTGTGTGTCATCCCTTCCTTGTACGAATATATTGCACAACGTAAGTTCATACTTTGGCCAAAAAGTACATAGAAACTTTCAAAACCTGCATAATTAAAGTTGTTCTACATACTTTTTGACCATAAAGTTAATTAAAAAATTATTTGACGACACTGGTTAATATATTGTTTAAGGACACGAGCACTGATCACAACAGCAGTCATATTCATCTTCTCGGTCGGCTACAACTTTGTCCGCTTCTGGGAGTACACGATAAGCGACGACCCCAACACTCCAGAAGACATGCTCATCGTGGGGCTACTGAGGGAGAATCAGATATACATGGTGCTGTACCAAAACATCGCCATGTTGTTAACCCAGTTCGTACTCCCGCTCATGGTGCTATGTATTTTAAATCTACAGGTGAGGCATTTGTCACAACAGACATCAATAAGAAATGACACCCTTGTAGATATTGTCACTTTTGGGCTAACTGATGTCTTACAATGTAAAAGATGGTACGATGGTTATTTTTCTTGAAGAATATGACATTCTGTTATTTATTTTGTAGACAAAAGAGTATTATACTTGAAGGACATAATGCCGTCTTGTAGGAAGTATTAGGAGTGACATTGTTTTTGCTTTCCAAAGATTACTTTCTGCATCATAATACCATATTATACTAGTTTTGTTGTTTTTATGCAAAACAAGGGTAATATGTCATGTACTGCAAGATGACTTCAAGAAAGCTATAGTCACTTTTATAAATTAGGTATAAATGCCTTTTAAACAAGACAAAGTAAACCATGTTAAAGTATCTTTTAAATATATAAACCATGTTCAGGTAGCCAAGACCATTTTGGAAGCTGGCGAGACTCGTCGAGAGCTGGTGGCGTCGGAGAAGCGTGAGCACAGCACGGCCAAGATGATGTTGTTCGTGGTTATTGGTGAGTGACGTACTCCCTATTGTTACTCCGACAATAGATTAGAGTTCTCTAGCTAAATTTAACTTGAGGGCGTAGAATTCTGCATATTAACCATGAGGCATTAATTGAAACCTTGGCTATTTTTAGTTGCATTCTGCTATCTCTGTCATTGTTGTGATTAACTATGGCATGATGTTGCTAAGTTTAGCTGTAAAGCTAATTTTAGTTTCATTAGGTTATTGTTAGCAACAGTTTTACTAACTTTAACAATTTCAAATAAGCCTAACTTAATATAGCTCTATAAGAGTCAGTTTGTCCGTTAAATTCAAGAGAATCGTTTCCAATTACTGAGTTAATTAATACCATGTAGACACACGGCAATGACGCCAATGTACTTTTAGTGTTCATCTTCTGCTACATGCTCAGCTTCTGCCTCAACGTGCTCGAGATCTTCAACCCCGACCTCTTCAAGAACCCGATCGGCTTCTTACTGAACGATGTCAACAACATCCTGGTGGTCATCAACTCCTCATCCTCATTCATCTTCTACGTCAAGTACTCTAGCAGATACCGTGCCCAGCTACGCACGATGCCCATCGTCGCCTTCTTTGTAGCCAGATGTTGCTTCGAGAGTAGGAACACTAACTTCTCAGACAAGTCGGCAGAGAGATCAGAGAATTACATGACATTGACTGGGTATTCGAGTAGACAGACAGTCTACACCTCCAACTCTCCCCAAGACACCAGCCAAGTCGAGGGCACGTTGAAGCCGCCAGTCAGGAAATTTTAAAAATTTTATTTTGATTTTAAAATTTTAAATTACGCAATTAGTGTCTTTAACGAAGCCAAAATACTGTATCTATGATAATATGCAACTACATAAGTTACTGTTAAGTTAGTACTGGTTTAAAAAAAGTTACTTTCCAAATATACTTTCTAATACAACGTAAAGCAATATAATTCCGACATAAATAATATTGAAAAACAAAAAACCCTTATTCTTGATCGTTGCGGGACCTAGAATGACTGTACATGCAAGTAAAAAATATAAATTTTTACTACCATTTTACATTAAATTTAACTGTCATTAGCTTTGCAGTGACTTGTTTAATCATATCTCAAACATACAGTACTTATTTTACTACCATCACATTCTACAGTATCTTATAGTTCTATATCAACTCCACCATGACTATTTATTATTGTTGCTCTACCTGATGTACATAGTTACACTCACTCTCTCAGGGTCTTATAAGTTATTTTATTTGAATAAATCGAAAGAAATGACACTGGGAATGTGATTCGTCATTATGACATTTGGGTTTACACAAAGTTCATCCACGAGTACGGATTCCGTGCTCGTCGCCCGTTGAAGGCCATGTATGGTGACTTCTTGGATTCGGAACGGAACAGCGAATCCAGGAGAAAGTCCTGATTGTTCCAGAAGTAGGGGTTTCGGGTTCGCTTTTCGTAAGAGTTCTGAAGGTGGAGGTAGGGTAATATTATGATTAAAATTTAAGTTGTGGTAGCGTAATACATTTAAAAAAATATGCTTTTGTTTCATACTACAGTCGTTATTACATAATTTTGAAAATTGTAACTTCTAAAACCTAAAAATTATTTTTAAATCTATTTTGTTACCTAAAATATCTGTTTTGCTACCCTTTCCCTACTGAAAGGCAGTTTATAGTCTAGTATTGTTTTTTGTCCGCTTAGAGTATAGCTCGGCTCTTGTTCCTCGTCAGATTGACGAGTTAAAAATAGACTAACAAAAAGTGTTGTCACTTTGAAAGTGATCAGAGTGACATACGATTACTAGTAGGCATTCGTGTGATTTACTATTATTGTTGTTTACTAAGCTATAAGAGAATAAAAACAACTTATGTTACACGTTCTAGGTATACTAAGGTGTACTAAACATTAAAAAATCATTGAAAGTAACAATGTAAGTTTAAAAACTGTTTTTCTGTCAAAATTTTGCTTTAATTTTGATTTTTTAACAACTTTCAGCTCAAAAAACACATTAAAATAAAAAATACAGTAAGAAAAAACAATTACATACCTCTTTTTGTGACCTGGCTAGCCATGAGTAAGGGTTTCGTGGCGTTGGAGCTCGTTTCCCCTCAGGCAAATAATCATTTTCCGATTCCACTTGTTGTTCCAAACTCCGTTTGATTTTGTAGCCGCGATTCTGCCACGAGTATGGGTTCATGGGTCTGCCGTTGCGTCGCTTCTCCATCGTATCTACACCGTAAACAACCACCACCATCAAGGCCAATATGCACGTCGATCTCAGCTGTACCATGCTGCTCGAACCTCCTTTAAGTAAATGTTGTTTTTTCGGATTCAGAAGGCAGAATTCACGCCGAAAAACTCTTGAGAATTGTGTGAATAAGAGGATGGGAACGGAATAAAATCATTATAAGCCTTGAGGGCTTCAAAACAATTCAAACTTTAACAGTAACCCCGAGAAACCCGATGTCATTTCCTGAATGAAAATTAGGAGAAGCGCGTCAAATAGGGCTATTTATGTTGTACATGGGACTCTACATGGTATGTTTAAGGCAAGTACGTTTATAGCGTCGCACGTGATGGCAATAGTCAGGTTCGTATGGTAAACACAAAAGTACTGACAGAAACTCGTTATATGCCCAAATACTGTAACATATTGACTAAAAGTAACCACAAAACTGTCCTTTTCAACATAATACTTTCTCAACGTACTACCCAAACTAGTGCGTTGACAAAACCACAGCTCAACTTAAACGTATTACCATGTTAAACAAAAACAACTCTGTCCTACACTATCTTGAACAACAACACTATAACGTGGAAGATGCCTCAACTTCCGCCTCACAAAACAGTGATTACCGAGGAACGTCAAATGATCCATAAAGTAGTAATCCCGAACGATTTATCGTCTGAAACATTCATCTTGTTAACCCCTGAACGTGCTGAACTTTAAGAGCAGTCTTACGAAACCCTGCAAACACTTGCCCTCGGGCTAAACATTTCAACAAATGTCATAAAAAGTTGTACAAAGTGATTAAAGATAATTAAAAGGAACGGTCACATAACGAGCAACGTTGGGAACGTTGGGAACGTTCGGTTTTATCGTTCAAAGTTTAAAATTCAAAAGTATTTTGGAATTCAAAACGGTAACTATATTTATTTATGTCTATATTACGGTACCCCAATAGATGGTTGCAAAAAATGTTTTTTAGATTTAAAAAATTTTTTACGCCCAAAACTTAGCTTTAATTTTAAGCCAAAGTAAAGGTTATTTGAAGTTGGCAAAGCCTAAAGAAAGTTCAAATTGGTCTAAAAACTGTCGTTTTTTTGTGTTTTAATGGGCTGTAACTTTGACACTAAACAACATATCTTAATGACACTGACTGAAAGACCTAAAAATAACTTTAGAAATGGCATATTTTCTGAAAAAATAAAAAACTTTGCACTATTGTAATTTAAACCTTAAAATTTTTAAAACTATCCCACTTTTCTTTTTTTTAAGTTACAGTAACCTTCGATAGAAAAGCAAAGTAAAACTTTAACTGATCTATACCTAAAAACAGAACCTAGCATCTAAGCCGCCATTTATAGCTATCAACGCAAGCAAGTACGTAACTGCACTTAATGACATGCTATTTCTGATCTCAACAACAACACTCTGATCCCTAGGCCAATATAAACATGCCATTACTCAGCCACGTGCCCTGCTAATATATTGTGACAAGTTAAGTCAATATCAAATAGATGGCAGGCGTTACAGCGCCACGTGCCACAGTAATCAGTTGGTCCTGCAAAAACCAAACTTTGATGACTAATGAAAGGGTTTGGCCAAGGATTGGAAAAAGATTGTCATAAAAAGAATGGCATAGAAGAGGGAATGTCATACTTTCGTATAATTGCCATGAAATAGGTACGATTGTCGCAAGCTTTTCCAGGAATGTCATAAAAATAGTAGTTGTCCTAAATAATGTCATTTTTCAAAAAAAGGCTTTAAAAATTATTACAAAAAATATTTTTTTCGGAAAATGAAAAAATGCAGAAATGGTCACAAAATGTTACTTTTTATTACTTTTTGGTCCAAAATTGTCGCAAGCTTTACGTTTGTCACAATGTTTTACCTGGACAACTCCTACCTACCTTTATCCTAACTCAATCAGTCGGAACGGCTGACAATTACCTAATTTAAAAGTTTTAAACCAAAAGCACTTGGCAATTACCGTAACCTAATACAAAGACTTCATAGTAACAGTACTTCGAGAGTTTCGAGAAAACCAAAAGAGTTAAAAGTCAGAGATTGAAATGGGAAAGTTTTAATAAAAATGTCATAAATAAAAAAATTAAATTTTTGACAAAACTAAGGTCCGTTTTTAATGAACATTAATAAGAATGAACTTAATAAAACCTTACTTTTGATAAAAGCTATATAAATATGATAAAAACTGTCATAAAGACCAACTTTTGACAAAGAGTGTCATACCCATTTAACAAAAGGTTTTGGCCGTTAACGTTCCGTGCCCTCATTGAAGTTATTGTTCATTGGATCCAGAATATTGTCATAATGTGGCTTTATAACTGGTTAATAGATACGAATATAAAGCAGAGCATGATAAATACATCTTTGTCCTACTATAATATAAAGCGAAGTAAGCACAAAACTTATCATTATTTATTACTATTTTGGTTGAACTGTGCGTAGAAATGGTTTAGAAAAATTACTTTTGGTATTTTTAGGCTTAATTTGGTTTTACCTAAAATTCTTGTTTAGCCCTAACCCTAAGCCTGCTTAAGCTTTCTTTAAACTATTATAGTGGTATCTTATGTAAAAAAGTAAGCAAAAAAATACTTAAGCATACATAACATACAGTACTAGATGAGAATTAACATAAGTCTTAAATTAATGTAAAGTTCTTATGCCACCTAATTTGCTTACTGTAAAAGCAAGATATCAGACGTTGAAATGCGACGTAAAATACGAAGAACTCAAAAAACAAAGGCCAGATTTCGTGTAGTAACTCAATTACTGTCTACCATCGATTCAAAAACATAGGAAGTTGGTTACTGTCACGGTAATTGTCTTGTAATCAGAATAAGTATTTGTATATTTTATGTTAAAAACGTATAACCAGTGATATGTAAAAACAACTTTAGTAGTATTTTTAATCAAAAACGTGCAAATATTTTTGGAAAATAGATAAAAAACTTTGCTTTGCAATTTATGAGTAGACAGACGTACGGGCACACATATGTAATGTAACTCTATTAATTCGTACGAACCATCGTTTTTTGCAAAAAATAAATTTTTAAATATAATTTCAAAAGATGTCAAATTTAGTAACCAACTGTATAATATAAATGTCATTACAACAGTTATATATAGGTTTACTTGTCACATTCTATAGTAAAATGCATTTACTATTATGATTAGATAGTCATTGGAATATCAACTATGTTACTAATAAAGAAACATGGAAATTGAATTAAAAATGGCGTCAAATATATTTTGAACTACTAGTATTTACTGAGTAAAATTGAATCAAGAAAAATGTTATAATGTCAAAGTAAAATAAAAAATAAACTTAATAACTCTGTATGTGTGATGTAAGCACGACGGTCACAGTGTGATATTAACTTTGTCTATCAGGAAGTTGTTTTGCACTTTGGAATAAAAGTTTTGTCAAATTGAATTCATGAATCTCATGTTGTCAAATTACCCATGGCAACTTTGATATGCTATCTGCAACTTTTCCATCTCACCATGGTGTGATTTGATATGTTATTTACTCTGTCTCACTCATGTAATTTGTAAGTGTTATTCATGATATGTTTGATAGTTCCGGGTTGTCCTCTTTTCGTGGCATTGTCTTCGAATCGTTGTTTTCGCCAATATCTTCTTCCACTGCCTGAGGCGGTATTCCCAAGACACGACTCCGCCGCCATATCATAGCATTCGACTTCACTTTGAGGACATCTCCCATTATATATTACACTGGATCAACTATTAATATTGCTACATTTATTGTGCTTAAACCTGTATTATAAGTAAAGGGGAACTTCTATAACAAGATTTTAATTGAATTCAAATCTATACTATTATAACATCATTATACGTTCAAAACATGTTTTTGAGTCAGATTGATGAAGATGAAGAAGAGCACGGTCTTTTTGTAGCTCCACACATCGCGGACTTTTCTAGTCTCAAAGGTGGAGCTTCTCGCCATCTATTGGCCAATGGAACACAACGGAGGTAACATTACCTTATGAAATCAATAGTTCGAACAGTATTTTTGAATGTATTTCTTTTTAAAATGTAAAAATTGATGATTTATTCATTTGTTCAAAGTTTAAATTCTGCACGTCTTAATGTTTTAGACTAGCCATCAAAATAAAGTGTAGCAACAATGCCTTGTACCGTGTGTCTCCAGTTTACTACGTTCTGGAGCCAGGAGAATCGCAAAGAATTCTTGTAAGTTGTTTTTATCATAGCTTCTTTGCTATGCATACCCTGATAACAAAAACATTGTTTTTATTTATGTAAAGGATGTCTTCAGAGATTCTTTTACAAAAAATGTTTTCAAGATGCTTCCGAGAACTCTTTAAGTCATTAGAACAACAAACAATATACCTTATTTACTATTTCTAGTCAAAATAATTTAGAATTAGCTAGCACACCTTAAAATTAGTCAAGTAATCTGTATAACAAACAACCTATCAAGTCAAAGTATATTATTGTAGGTAGTCCGAGACCCAGGAAAGCCAGCTGTTGACAAGATGATAATATTGTACAAGGCCACAAACTGTAAGAACGCTTACTCGGCGTTCCACTCAGAGGATGGCGAGGAAGTGAAGAAGTCGTTAATTGTTTTAATTGCCAAAGAACCCCCTAAACTAGCCACTCTGGATGAATTCTCTATTGACCCCAGTCCAGTTCAAGTAGAGGAGCCGCTCGCAAAGCCCGGAAATGAGACTCCATCGCCTCCGGGGCATCTGCGCGGACGGAAAGTCAACCACCGTGCTCGAAGCGTGCCCTTAAGAGGTCGACAGAAGAAGCCGCTTCCCGAACGTCATTAACGGAGCATATCGATCGTTATATCAATATTGTTTTAGATTGTTTTACTGTCTTTTTGTTAAGAATACATTTCTGAATTCGTTTTTCATTACAAAGAGCCTTATTTCCAAAATAACTATGACATTAGCCTCGACTACACTTATTTATGGCTGTGCATATGTCATTTGCCTGTAATAAACAGAAAAACGTCATCAATTTCATTTGGTCGCACGCAGTAGGAGACTTTGAATCCAAAACCGGGTTCGGGACATTGAAGCCGTCTTCTTTTCAATTAGACTCCCATCGAACTGCAAAAAACGGCCGAAAAAGGGATTTCGAAACCGAGTGTCCGAAGCATCTCAAAGTTGGCACAAAAAGAGTTGCGCTTCCCTCCCGAAAGACAAAGATTTTAAGTTCCCATGTCCATTTATAACGCATATCGCCTGTAAGTTCCTCAAACTCAAACTGTTTTCCTTCCTCGCGAAACGTGACTTTCTACAAAAACGTAGCTTATTACCAATTCGGTCAAAAAATGCGTAGAATCGTCCGGTTTGGTGTAGACTTTTCGAACTTGTAGTGTATGCCATGATATTTCAGATATGAACTCTCAAAGGTCCTTTTCATCTAGTTTTCGTCCTCAAGATACTATTATAGTATATTAGGAAAAAATAAGCTAGAAACAATTTGGCTAGCCACGCAAATTAAAATTTTAAACCGCGCTGCAAAAAAAAAGTTCGCAAACTTGTTTTACATGGTTCTTAGGACTTATACCACAATTTATGCTAATCTACGCTTAACTCTATGATTAATATACCTGTAAACACAAGTATAACTGTAAATATTAACCACATCCATGTGAATATCAAGTTTAATATTGACATGGGTGGCGCTTCCTTTTCACCTGTATCCACAAATGCACCCAGCGGGAGGGCGGATTAAACCAAACCTCAAACAGACTGCATTAAGGCTGCCTGTCCTTTGTATTAATTTCACTCAAATTCCACTGACGTGGGGCGCAGCTCGCCGCGACGCCGAAAATTATTACTTTTTTTCTATCGATTCTCTCTGACCTCGAGTTTCGATAGCGACTCATGGAGCTCATGTAACTTTTTTAAATTCAATTTTTCCAAATCTTTAACTATTATTTTTTTCAAATCTTTGAAATTTCAAACTTATTCTTACTGTAATTATATTGTTTTAGGAGGAAAATCGAAGAGGTGGGCAAAATGAACGGTCTGTCTCAAGATGAGATTCTTCAGTCGACTCGAACGGTTTGCCAAGGGTTAGAAGCTTTAAAAGACGAACATGAAACTATAAAAGGACAGCTGTTAAGCACGGCCGAGAGCTTGGAGCCGCAGGAACGGAACGTGGTCGAGGAGAAGGTCAATCTTCTCACGAAAAACCTGGAATCCATACAATTGGGCATTGAAGAGGCTCGTGTAAGTACTCTTTTTATTATATAATGTGTTTAGGTAAAAAGTAGCTTTATGGGATCGCATATTATCACAAAATGTCTAAACTTTGTTTAAAAACGTTGATTTAGATAATAAAATGTCGTTTTAGGTAATGGTCGCCCTTGCCACGCATTTACAACATGGAGAGGCGGAGAAGCAGAAACTAAAAAGCCAGGTGAAACGACTATGTCAAGAAAACGCGTGGCTTCGAGATGAGTTGAATTCTGTTCAACAGCAACAACAGATTCTCGGGCAACAAGTTGCGCAACTAGAAGAAGAAAATAAGCATTTAGAGTTTATGAACTCCATCAAAAAGTACGACGAAGATCAAGTAAATGAACCACGAGATGTCTCCGTGCATCAGAATCCAGAGAATCACCAGAGCACGCTACAAGAACTCGGATTCGGTCCAGAAGATGAGGATGAAATGCATGGTAATAGCAACTTTGGCGTCGTACAGCCGACTCCTCCGAACTTAATGGCAGCTAGTGCGAGTGGGGGGTACGAGATCCCACACAGATTAAAGACACTTCACAATTTGGTATGCTTTTGTGGTTATTCTGTTTAAAATCTCATTGTTAACGTAATTTGTAAAATATTGACACAAATCAAATTAATATGTTCATTTCTGTAAAATTATGCTATTCTTTACATTTTAGGTAATTCAATACGCCTCACAAGGACGATACGAAGTGGCAGTACCATTGTGCAAACAGGCATTGGAAGACTTGGAAAAAACTTCGGGCCACGATCATCCAGATGTCGCAACGATGTTGAACATTCTGGCGTTGGTGTACCGAGACCAACAGAACTTCAAACAGGCAGCTAGTCTCTTGAACGAAGCTTTAAATATCCGTGAGAAGTGTCTAGGAGAAGATCACCCAGCTGTAGCAGCCACCTTGAACAACTTGGCCGTGCTGCACGGAAAGCGAGGAAAGTACCGAGAAGCCGAACCCTTATGTAAAAGGGCATTACAGATCCGAGAGAAGGTGCTTGGTGAAGACCATCCGGATGTGGCCAAGCAGTTGAACAATTTGGCCTTGTTATGTCAGAACCAAGGGAAGTATCAAGAAGTGGAAGCTCACTACAAGAGGGCTTTGGAGATATACGAGTCAAAGTTAGGGTTGGACGATGCCAATGTAGCCAAAACCAAGAATAACTTGAGTTCAGCTTACTTGAAGCAGAGCAAGTATAAGGTATGTTGTCTTGTTTACCTTTGACCAAATTAGATTTAAATGTTGACCTAACTCGATGTTTATACCTTCGTCTTGTTTGAGTTGGAATATCGAGATTAATGAAACTCATTCGAATCGTTTAGGAAGCGGAGGAATTGTATAAACAAATTTTGTCGCGGGCCCACGAGAAAGAGTTTGGACCTCCGACCGCAGAGCACAAGGTTATTTGGCAAATAGCTGAAGAGCGAGAGAACCAGAAGGAGGCGGACCAGGCTGAGAACCTGGACCAGATAAGATGGGTCAAATGTGTCAAGGAACAGCCGGCTGTAGCCGTCACGCTGAAGAACCTGGGGCTTCTGTACCGCAAACAAAACAAGTATAATGCTGCGACAGTACTAGAGGACACCATTTTGAGGGCTAAGAGAGAGGTACTGATGTCTAATGTTTCTAATAATGGGTCTGCTGCTTCTCGGAATGTTTAGTTACCTAAAGTTTGTGGAAGTTGGTTTTAAAGTTTGTCTAATTATCTTTTATCTCCAGATTTGCTTTTATCTATTATGTATCAATATTTCCAAAAAACTTTTGGTTTTCTATTTCTAACGCCTAACCTTATGTGCATGTGTTTCATTTATATTTGAAGTGCATGTTTGTATGGTACAGCACATATCAATGTGTCTTGACTTTGGCTTATTGTGAATGCTTTTAGTTGGACCCCCAAAACGCTCCCCAGCCTTCGATGAACGAGGACATAATGACACAATCCATGAATCGGATGACGATGAGCACATCACAGTCCAGCAGCGGCCTCAGGTCACGAATTATGAATGCGATAGGACTAGAAAGGAACGGCCAATAACTGTAAGTCGGCCTATGTGGTTAGTGGCTACTGTAGTTTCGTTGGTGAAATGGTTTGAAATTTCAAAATTTCCCAAAAATCAACTGAAATTTTGAATTTTTTAATTCAGCGACCGTAACTGTACAGTAAGCTATTTCTGGCAAATCGCATAATATTGGTGCCTTATCTAAGTCGAAATGCACAGAATGTGATGTTTTCATAGTAATCGTAGTAAGTAACGGCGCAGTTTTGTAATTGTAAAGACCACCTGGTTGTCTCAATACCTACAAGACGATCGATATAGCAGTTGTCTGCATATCTTTAGTCTTGTTGGTTTTAAGATTGTCTATAAGATAGTCATAATGCAGGCTGCATGGCCATTTTATTGATCCCCGTAGCATATAATGTTTGTGATGTTCACCTTGAGCTCTGAGTTTGCATTTCCGTCCACTTGATGTTCCGTAGGGTATTTGATACGCTAATCACAATGTTTAAAGTCTGTTTAATGTTTGTTATCTCGTTTCACTAAATTATAATTTTGTACATTAATTTGATTGTCACCTAGAACGTTTATCACTATCAATATGTCTATCGAATCGTGGTTAATTTATCTATTTTGTAAGCTTGCCATTGCAACTAAAATAAATGTAAAAAGTCAAGAACTGAGTGATTTGGTGCGATTCTTCCATTCGAGGAAGCGGACTGCCGCTTCTGACAGTGATATGTCCTCTGTGTTGGGCTGAAATAGTGTACAAGGTGGTAATGTGAAGATAAACGAGAAAAAAATATATTAAACACCTTACCGTTAACCAGCCCTTGTTCTCAAGACGCTTCAGAAACGTTTTCCATTGTTTCGTGTAAATGTATTCCAACATCAAGCAGAATATTGAGCAGATCTGCAACTGATGTTTACCTTGAGGCTGCTTGTAATTATTTTGGAGTTAAGATTGAATTAATTGTATTGGAAGTGAGTCTTACCGATCCCATGGTTAACATTATGAAAGCACTGGTAAAGTTCTCCATCCCCAGTGGAGCACTTGTGTTTTGAGTATTTGTATCGATCACACAACTTCCGGTCAGCCAGAAGTTTTGCAATCTCTCCAAATCTCCTAGAATCGAGAAAAAATCACAATTACGATTTGTCACTAGTTCTATATAATCTTGATAAATATGATGAAAAAATATTTTAAAAATAGAAAATATGATAAAAGGTACTACTAGGATTAGAAAAAACTAAAAATTGGATACAATTATCTTGTTGTATGAAGAGAACTTACCCTTTTGCTGATACTGTAACATGAATTTGTTAACTTTGTTGACTAATTGAGAGTTCTTTGGGAATCCGATACCATACCCCGTCATACTGGTCCATTTCCCTACAGTATTCAGTTCACAATTTGGGTCTTTGCCAGCTTGATGTTCTAGCACCACTGCATCGTATATAAAGGCATCTAGTCTTCTGCAAAAAAAGTTATAATCTACATTACAATGAGTTTTTAAATACAACAATGGCAATCAAAGTATACTGTAAGATCATACCATCGTATTTCAAGAAAACATAAATACAAGATAAATGTTACAATATCACACGAACTTACTCTTCTCTGACCGCCTCCACACCTTGTGATATGTTTTCCACGAAGAACTTGTGTTTCTCCACATAGTTGTTCATCTTGATCCAGTTCCTCTTCATCAGTTCGTGAGTATTACCTCCGTGCACCGTACCGTACTTGAACATGGGAGTCTGGTATTCTGCATCTTGAATCTAATATCGTGACATTACCTCGAACTACTTACTCTATGATCGTCAATACCCTCCAGATTGTAGTACTGTACTCTGGTGATCATGAACGCCGCCAAATTGGCGGTGTAAACTGCCATAAAGGTTAAACCAAAAGCGGCCCAGACCAATGACATCATTCGACTAACATGAGATCGTGGCACATCCGTAGTCACACTTGCACTGAACAACGTCGCCCATACTAACCAGTACGAGCGACACAACGAGAACTTGTGGCCAGGTGGAGGGTGACTGGTCATGTTGAAGCTGTGAGGACTGACCCATTCGAACAAGAAGATCGAGAAGGCAGCGGTTTGGATGCTCACGAGCAGGATCATGGCCCAGGTCGAGTATTCGAAGGGTTCTGGAATTACAATGAGTATTGTTTTAGTAAGATTACATAATATCAGGCTGATGATAAAGAACTAGTTAACACTGCATACCCAAGAAGGCCGTCGGTGACAAAACTCCGCTTCTAATCTTGACAATAATGGCGATTCCAGTCTCTAAGAACGGCATACTAAAGTCAATGTCCTTGGCCCTTTCACTGTTCAGCTTGAGCGACGTTACACACATATCAGCCTTGTGAGTGATCAGATCTTGTATTAGTCCATTCCAGCCATCTTCACCTTTCAATCCCCACTTCTCGTCACGTACTTTGTAAAGTGTGTACGTGAAGCCGATATCTTCCGCCAGTTTGTTCAGAAGGTCTACACAATACCCAGTACAACACTTTAGGACTGTCGTGTTTCTAAACTCAAATTTATCTTTTATGAAGCGCTAAAGTCTAATTTAGAGTAATATGGCATAACAATTATCTACTAGCTTGATGTCATTCTAACAGTATAATATTCTTGACCTACTCAGTGCCCCAATCACAAACACTCCCTTGATTTCCTGGACATTTCTTGGTTTCTGGATCTAATTCAGAAACTGTCATGAATGGAGGTTCTTGTAGAGTGACTACAGTAAGATGGAACTTGTCTGGAGTCCCAGGTGGAGGATTAGTCCGGAAGCCAGGCCATTCAATGTCCGCCATCTTCAGTTCGCCGTTCGTAAATTCTCCGACCTAAAGTAACAAATAAAATTAAAGACAACAAAAATGGTCGATTTTGACAAGATATACAAAATTACCTGATCCCAATACAACATGTTCTCCTTCCCTTGTTTGTTCTTCCCATACCTCAAGTTAGATATAGTCAAGTAGCTGTCCTTTAGTTGGCCATCTTCATCAAACGTGTAGAAGAAGGAATCTTGGCCATCTTTTGGGTGATTCGGGTTGCCTTTTAAGAAGCCTGTCCTCATTCTTCTGTAAGTGAAACAATAATAACATACTATTTCATAAACTATATTTACAGTACTGCTTATTACTCCAACTTACTGATACAACGCTCCCCCAAGTTCCCATTTTTTAGTGAGATTGTCACAAGTTGAAGTTGGTTGAAATGTGACATTAACCGAAGGATTCAGCTTCGTTAGCCCTAAGGCAAACAGCTTTGGAGCCATTCCAATAATCATTGGCAGGACGTCGTCAGGCGGAGGAAACATGGAGTGTGATACAGTATGAAAGTTTACTGTAAGCATCCCTGGCTGAACCGGCATTATCGCTGACGACATACTGCCCTTGACTGACTGGGTACCAATCCACAAATAGTCCTCGGAGAGTAATCCTAGATCATCTGCCACTTGAAACAGAGGTTTTACTTTAGTGATGGTACTGTAGAGTAGAATGATACGAGCGTCTGATCTTCGTAGTGCCATTAGTTCTCGTCTGATGTGACTTTTGCCCAAGGAATCGTCGATTTCTTGTTGGTACACTATTTCAAACCTGTCAAATTGTTATAGTACTACTTAATTATTACAGTTTACCATCCATTTGAGCTTTAGTAGATCTGTTTATTACTTTTAAATAAATTAAAATTTACCTGTAATTAAAGGACCAGTTCGCCCATTCAAATATCATTGGCATTCTGTCGCAAAAATTCGACGTTCATTTTTTTTTGCAAAAAACCTGAGAAGGTCGGTCCCAAATTGGAAAATTCATTTCGACACCGACCCACTCACGTTTTTTGAGAAAAATGATTTTGATTGAAATTGCCTGATCTTCGACGCTTTTTGCGACAGAATGCCAATGATATTTGAATGGGCGAACTGGTCCTTTAATTACAGGTAAATTTTAATTTATTTAAAAGTAATAAACAGATCTACTAAAGCTCAAATGGATGGTAAACTCAATAATAAACTATTGTTACCTAAAATCCCGTTCGACGTTCTGCTTGATGTGATTTTGAACCAACTTCAAGAACTTATCACTCCCTGGTATTTTAGAGCAAACAACTCCAAAACGGTACCAGTTGTACCTTTTTAGCAATGCCAACATGGCACTAATTTGATGTTCTATTGGTGGTGCCATCTGGATCACTCGGAAGAAGGATATCGGCTAAAAGTAATTAAAACAACCTGGCCGAAACCTTACTTTAGGAAATGTAAAACCAGAGTTATCAGCATTCCAGGCCACAATCGGGATTCCAGTTTGGCCAGCCAAATGAAGAAAGTACTGGCCAGCTGCCGTCGTGGCTTCATAGTCTTCTGATGCTGTCACAAAGATTATAAAAGCTACCTAAATATTGGCAAACTACTTTTTTATGAATTTATTTTTCAGCTTTTTTCAAAATTTGTAAATAATATTCGGACAATTTTTTGTCCGATCAATAGTTGCAATGCGTCAAAACTCACTTTATTGTGCAGTAAAGTGTCACACAGACAGTTGAGGACATCTGAAGGTAGAAACTGTCCTTTTGACAGAATACAATCGACCGGAACCAAGGTATACCTATCAGCCAGCCGTTTGACAGCAGACATCGACTGACCATTGTTAATATTGCGAATGGTCTCTTTGAAGGCCTTGTTGTACACTTTACTCCTGGCGTAGTTCTGAAAGTAAGATTTTGTTAAAAGATTACAGGTTCTAGTTTATTTAAAAACAGGATTTTATTGATAAAGCTTTCTATTTTTCTGTATTTTACATTATTTTCAAAAAATATTGTTTTAGGTTGAAATTTTTAGTTTTTTTATCAATTTTAAATTGTAAAACTATCGAAATCTTAAAAAATATCTCAAAAATATATTTTACAACGTTTTAGCTGCCCGTTGTACTCTATTTCGATATGTGTTACGACGATCTAGCGCTCAAACACCTCTTCCAAGGACAACTACAACAATATTGCTCAACTTGCACTTGACAAACCTTGGACTGACCTGATAAACGAGTCCGACCGCAATTTCTTGTTTGGCCGATTCGGCGAACGGAATATTCATAATAGCCAGGAGGAAAGCCGGCAAAAGCATGGCTGGAGTTTACAGAGTTTGTCATCGTATTTGGGCCGGCTCTGGCCGAGTTTAAGTGGATAACCGGGTTTCGCCCGCAAAGTGGCTTGATAAGGGCCTATCATCAACATAGCTGTTTTTTCATATTAGAATTGACCTCAGCGGAGGGAAGAGGGACAGGCGCGACCCCCTCCCCTCACTCGCCTGGTCCACATGACAATCACTAATCACAACTTTAATTGAAGGCAGCGATGGGCTCTCTCGCCTTCCTTTTGCTTCTCCTTATTTCCATCGCTTCGGCTACTGTTAATCAACATGGTAATGATTATTTTTTGTTATTTTACTGTAGTTTAATCGCTATTTTTACTGTTGAAGTACATTCTTTTGTCTTGCTATACGCATTTTTGTTTATTTTTATATGTGGAACGGACTGTTTATTAGGACATTTTATAAAACTAAACGTAACTTATATAATTTTATATTATTTTTTGTTCACAACACATTTTCTTGTCCTATTTTATACTAAAATGACGTTTTGTTGCAGACCTAAAGTCCTACAAAGGCTATGACCTGGTCGAGATTAATGATCCGGCTGAGAAAAGTGCTGGGATCTACTTCAGAATCAGCCAAAGAGGGGTGGATTACCTAGCCGACCTCACCTCCGATGGGTTACCATTGATCTTCCATCGTATGATGTTGCCGACCATCTCGGAGAGTGGATTCAAGATCCACGATGCCGTTATTACCAAGATTGTTCGACCAGACATTTCTGTCAAGTTTCTGAAAGGATACGGTAAGTAATTGTTATTGTGATTTTTACTGTATTTTTGATGTTAAAATTGTATTATGCGAAGGTTGAAGAATAGTATATTTTCGCACATAAATGACGTTTTACGAACTTTTTAACAAAATCTAAAAAAGATCAAAAATCAGTCAGCTCTCGAGCTGAAATGTGACAGAATATCCAGTATCATATGCTCTTTTGATAAACATGTTTAGATATTCGTATATTGACAAGAATAGTATATAACGCTTTTGATCTTCTAATTTACAATAAAATTTTCGAAACTAAATTGAATTTTGTAAAAAATTATGACAAAGATGACAGTTTATAGCAATGTTGCAGGTGTTGACATTTCTATCAGAATGCCAGAATTAGAAATTCGTGGCAACGCAGAACTAGACGTGCTCATAGCATCGTACTCGTCACAAGTCGTAGCCTTATCCAAGAATATGACAGTCAGTATGAGAGTGGCGATCAGGAGGAACCTCAACGAAGATATTACTAATGTTACAGTAAGTCGACGTAATCTTAGATTATGATGTACCACGTAATAACTTATAAAAGGTTGGCATTGGACAGCTAAAGTATTAACATGTTATTGTTTAGGTATCTCACTGTTCTGTTAATCCAGGAGCGCTAAAACTAGATTACTACGGTAAAGACGCTAGTGAATTCTACAGTATTGGTAACCTAATCCAGAACGGTATCGACAGCGCCATCAAAGACAAGATTTGCGTTTTACCACCTTTGGTTCGAGAGTTTTTGAGGGAAAAGGTATACTAAAATGACTTTTTTATTTTCATTAGCTATAGTGGCATCTTTTTAATTTTTATTCGACATATAAATTTAGAATGTTATTTTCAGATAGACCTGTTGATGTCCAGAAGAACCCCCAAAGCTGAAGTCAACCCAGATCTGGCGGAAATGACCGAAAAAGAAGAGAAATCAGTAATCGACCACTTGTGTGGTGGACTGGAAGATGACAATGTTTATGACTCCGATCTGTTCGATGAAGACGAAGAAGAGCCGGCTGTCAGCATCGCTCACAAAGGTCACAAGTTCGTGCCCGACCTGACCCTACGATATCCACCGACCTTCTCCAAAAACGTAATATTATCTTTTAGGCTTATTACTCTTTAGGATCTGATCTTTGGCGTGGACGGAGGCGTGCTGGTCAATGGAAATCCACCCAGGAACGCCAGTGAACGGCCAAAACTGGGAGAAGTTACAGTACTCCGGGACCAGGTAATTTTTGAACTCAAAAGTAGTACAAGGTATTATAATATATTGTAATTAGGTAGAAGAGTCAACGTTAAGTAAATAACTTTAAACAACATTTTCAGATGGTAGGACTGATCCTGAGCGAGTACGTGTCAAACAGCCTCTTCCACCAGATCTACGACCACGAGATGGGACATGTTTCGGTGGTATACGGTATCAGACACATCCCCAAGGTGTTCCGCCCCATAGCCAAGCTGGTGTGTTCGGATTGCAAACTGCTGATTACAGCAAACCTAAGTCGGTATGCCATTTTAAGTTCGTACTGATCATCCTACAGAGTACCAGATAGCCAGATCGACACCACCGGCATCCTTCTGAAGCTCGAAGGCGACGTCAGTGCTTTGTTCTTCCGCAACAACGAGACCCATAACATCCTGACCACGAACGGAGTCATCAGAGTAAATGTAGGTTAATATGCAAATGTAGATAACTGTGGTAAGATTAAACCCAGATTCCGACACAGCCGCCTCTTCAGCGATGTTCTCCTGGCCGGAGTTGACTTCAAGGTTCATAGGGTGAGTAATATCTACGTAATGAATGTTACTTTTAAACAAGAAAATGCTGCTCCCAAACAATATTTGACCTTGATATGTAACAATATGAGAAAGTAACATACTATTGCCCACACAAAGCCTAAGCTTCCTAAATCTTGCCATTTCAGGCCGGGTTGAGCGGGACAATGTCAGGCCTTGTAAGGAAGATCGTGACCTTTATGATCCCGCGTGCTATTTGGCCAAAGATCCAGCAACGACTTCGTCTAGCCATGAGCTACAAAGGCGTCAGAATCCCTCGTTTCTGCACCCTTGAGCTACGCAACCTTCACGTTGACTACGTGAAGCACGCGGCTGTTTTATCGACCGACTTCGATGTTGACCTTCCTCTGCTGGTGAGCTCATTCAAACAGTTTGTGGACACGGCTACACGAACTACAGAGACCTTGGATCAGTACAGAGAAGTGTTCCGGTATTTGTAACTGCAGAAGACTATTTATGACACAGTAACTACAAGGCTACAACAGTATTTATAATTTGAATACCGTATCCGATTACAGTAATTCACATGCATTCCACCATGTATACAAATTTATTTAATAAAATAATTTCGAGTTAGAAGTTGGCATGAGCTGTGCTCGACGTGATTAAGAGGCGTTGCTGTTTCTCACTGCAATTTCACTTTCAGTATGTTGTTACTGATGGTGGAACAAGCAAAAACTAAGAGTTCTAATTTCACTGTAATCATTTTGTCTCATGTTATATACAAAGGAAATTTTAGGCCAAAAATTATTTAAAAAATAATAAATTTAAATTCAAGAAAGTTCTTTTTTAATCAAAAATGTAATAAGCTACTGAAGACTAACTATATATATACTAACATAACACACTAATAAAAAAACTAATTTCTACCGTAAAAGTAGTCTATAAACACAAATACTAAAGGACAACTCAGAGCAATCAAAAGCAACAAATTAAAAAGCGTTACTCAAAATACAATGCGAAGTTACAGTAAGAGAGGTCAAATAATATAAGTCTCTACTTTTCTTTCCGCAAATACACCACGAACAAGTCGGCCATGTAGAACAAGGAGCAGAAGAAGTAGAATGCCTATAACAATATAAACTTCTCTATGGCTAGATATACATATACGTATATATATAAAGGATAATGTAAAATATTCCAAAATCAAACTTTTAAAAACATGTGATTCTACAAATTTTATGATCAAAATGACATTACTGTATCTACTACTAGCATAACTCACAGCTGACGCAGCCCATCCTTTCACTACGAAACCGGTTTCACAACCAGGTATCCCAGCACAGCCACTGAAGGTACCTCCGCCGATCTGTCGAATAAAGGCTGGCATGTGGTCGAAACCAGTAGCATACCACGTCTCTACTGCTCCGAACACCAGAAATGCTATTAGGGCCAACAAAGAGGCCATACCTTGCTACAATATAAAGTAATTACGGTATAAAATGGGTTAAAAAGATTTTAAAAATATAAAAATAACCTAAACCTTCTCATATATGGCACTTCTACAGACTTTCCGACTAAATGTAGCACCGCAACTTTGAAATTTATGCGAATATGTATCGTTGCAAACCCGTAAATAATGAAAGTTACCTACCCACGTAATGTTGGTATTTCCAGATGTGTAGTATATGCAGCTGAATATCAAAGGTGGCAGAGCTATGAGAATTGACAAGATGATAATGGCCAGTTGTCCCCACACACTGTAAAGTACTTTGATACCTTACACTGTAAACTTACTTTTGGCCTCGTAATTGGAAATGAAGGGCTGTATTCCACCGGTCGATATTCATAGGAAAGAGAGCGTTAGATGGAGGACAGATCTCCCTACTCGTCTGTTGGCCATTGATAGTACGCCAGAAACATACTCCTGGTGCTACCATAATTAAAATCATCGATATTACACACAGTAACTGGAAAGATAACTTGTATAGTAATAAATTTCAAAATAAAATTACAGTAGACCGAACCCTCAAGTAAATTGTCATCATTCTTAAACTTAAACTCACCAGTACGAATAACCGTATGCCCATAGAAATGTTGTTGTAGATTCGTTGTGACATTCTGTCTGAAGTGCTGGTCAGGGAATCTGGAGGCTGAATCCGACCACTGTACTGGTACGATGGCAAGCTGGGTTCCCCCAGCTGCCGGACGGAGACGTTGTGTATGCGAGACGTTGCTGACGGTCTACCGGATAAACGACCAGCTCCAACTCGTCGGCCGTCTACCCAAATGCGCAAAATTTTCCGTTCCTCACTTAAAAAGAGTAATACGAACACAATAATATATACGTGACAATATGTTAACTGCGGTAACCCGATCTGCCCCAAAAACAAGTTGAAGAGGGCTCTTCAAGTTCGGGATCGCAAGAAAAGTCAGAAGGGGCCGCTGTAACTAAACCATATACATCTGAGCAACACCTTTTCTACCCAAATTGACTACAAAGCCTCCACAATCCGATTCCCGTGAGCTCGTAAAGCTTTGTGTCATCATCATCACCATGCTCTTCCTCGTGTAAAAAAGGACTGTAAATCATTCAACCGCGACTTGCCTCAATTCAAACAGCAGCAAAACACTGATCCGTTTTCATAATACTATCCTTACAGAAGGTTTAAACAACTTTAACGTAAGCATGACACAGAATGTCGTAACTAGAGTATGACATTTTGTTCCGCATTCACGTCTTGTTATATTGTTGTAAATAAAAATAAATAGAAACCCCTAAAAATAATAACTAACATTTAGTCAAACTATTCTATTCATTTTTAGCATATAAAGTATACACGAAAGTCTAAAATACAATACTTTATCATACATAAATACACTAGTTAAGAGATTTGAGCGCAATTAAAATAACTGGCAGACTAGCAATTAATCATATAAATTATGCCAAAGTGAAAGATTATTGCAAATGTACAAAGTGATAGGAATGTTATTCAAGTGAGGTAAGAACCAGAAGTTGTTTCAAGACTTTAGCCTGGGATGTTTCACGAACTTCTCCAGCTAGGAACATCTCGTCCACTACTGTGTAAACCTGAAAAAAAATAAATAATAGTATATAATTTATTTTTATATGTATTTCATATTGAGTAATAACAGTCAAGTCATGCTCTGTATCCTTAACTTTAAAAATTCCCACAGATAAGTATCTACAAAAAAAATACGATTAACAAAAATAAAATCGTAAAAGCAATCTTACCTTATAAAAATTAAACACTAAATCTAATTCACAGACATTGTGGAAGTATTCATTGAGAACTTCGACGAAGTTGTGAATAGCCTCCAAGTAATACAAGTTGTTGTCCCCAATATCCACACAAATACAGAAGTACAATCCTGCGTAGCGTCGATACACAATCTTGAAGCTGCGGAACTAAAAGACAGAATAAACACAAAAAATTCTAATCTCACCTCTACAAAGTTGGTATGTTTAGCATCTCTTATCGTGACGATAGCATGAACATCTTCTATAAGCTTTTGCTTTTCATCATCGTCAAAATGCATAAACCACTTCGCCAACCGAGTTTTACCAGCTCGATTCTGTATCAAGATGAACCTAATCATAGTCGAACAATCTAAGAAAACAAGTAATAAATTTCTTTTATCACTACAATTAAAAAGAAATAATTTTACAAGCTTCTTTCTGATTTTTTTACAAATTTTTCAATTCACTTGACTACACCAAACCCAAATATCAAATCGAGTTCAAGTAACGAGTTTCATTTGCCAACGAATAAAAAGAAAAACAAATTTAATATCGAATAACAAAAAAGATCGCTCGAATAGATTTACAATCGACGACCACGACGTCCACCCTTTCTGCGTGTGCGGTCAGTTGGGATGGGAGTCACATCTTCAATGCGGCCAATCTTCATACCGGAACGTGCCAAAGCGCGGAGAGCAGATTGTGATCCAGGTCCTGGGGTCTTTGTCTTGGTTCCTCCAGTGGCTCTCAGTTTGATGTGCAAAGCGGTGATACCGAGCTAAAAAGAATGTGTTAAAGCCTTCAATTCTATTAACCATGAAGCATTCAAACAAAATTATTAGGTGTGAACTCCTTTAGGATATCATTAAAATTTTCCTGATCAATTTTTCTCAAACCGGAAATCCAAAAAATTGCCTAAAAATGACAAAACAAAGAAAGAAAAAATACTTGTTTGCATCGTTCAGCAACATCTTGAGCAGCCAACATAGCGGCGTATGGTGAAGCTTCATCCCTGTCAGCCTTGACCTTCATACCACCAGTAACCTTAACAATAGTTTCACGACCGGACAAGTCAGTGATGTGAACGAAGGTGTCGTTGAAGGAAGCGTAGATGTGAGCAACTCCAAATACGTTCTCTCCTTCACGAGCTTGTGGACCCAAAGCCAAAGATGGCTGCTCTTCCTTGGTCTTTCCCTTTCTGGCGGCCATGTTTTCGAGATAAGTTCAAATCCCTAAAAATAAGAAAACAATAAAACTCAAAGAAGATAAACCACAAAAAAAACAGTAATACGCGCAAAAAATTACAATTATACATATCTCGCCGTAGATGTAAAGTTACTTCAATATAAAACAACAAAAACGACACTTTCGACAAAATTTTCACGTTAGCCAATATCGGAAAATCTTTTTTCTCTTTTCCTACAGCTCAAATAATACAGACTTCAATTGTTCGTGTTGGGACTCGAAACGCTCTTCTTGCGCAGCCTGCATGAGTGTGGGCGCACGCTTTCTTTCTTTTTTCTCGAAACGGCGAGAAATGTAATGGATAGATGAACAAATAATAACGAATTTTGCAACATTTGTTAAGTTTTTTAAGGAAAAGGTTGTAGTTTTGATTTCTTAAGAACAATTTAATCGGTCATGTAAGAATTTTTGTAATTTCACAAATTAAATTTGTTAAGCACCTTTTTGAGGTCAATAACAAGGTAAAACAAAGTACGCAATTGAAGGAAAAAACCACTTTACTAACGTATAAGTTGCGTTTTATTAAGTTGTAAAACTGCAAAAATCGGTACACTAGGTCCCACCACGAAATCAAACCACTTGGCGTAGTGACAAATTTTCAGTAGTTTTTTGTAAACGGCCGTACGTGTCTAATGTGTTACTATGTCAATCATTTGTCGTTTTGATTAAAATAGTTGCAGTTTGTTGCGAAGCTTCAACTTCTCAGAACACGTTTGTATTGTTTTAGATGGGATTTTTGTTATAAAAATGTAAAACATTGTTGTTTTTGTTTTGATTGGGTAATCGTATGTTGCTAATTGTTTCAATGTGTCATTTTTAACAATTGAAAAATGTTTTTTTTTTAATTTTTTTTATTTTTGTTTAATATAGCTCTTTTTCATATGTTAACTATGTTTTGCTGAAAACGACTGTGCTACAAGACTTTCCATTACAAATTTCGCGTTTCGAATTTTTTCACGTTGGTCCGGTTGCCCTTGATGTTTTTGACCCGATTTGAATCGTCCGCCTACCTTTTCCGTTTCATCATCATTTTCTTTAGGGGTTCTTGTATTTATTAAGAACAATATTCTGTAACCGATTGCGGCCATGGTGGATCCAGTCTTCTTGGGTCTCATCGGGCTGGGTGTAGTGTTATCAGTGATATGTTTTTTCATCTTGAAAATGGCACCAAAAGAGAAATCTTTCGAGGAGGTAAGTTCATTTACCTACGAGGTAAAACTAAAAATTATAGGTTTCTGGAGCATTTTTGTGTTAGTAAACCTATTATTTTATCGTTGTGATCGTATAATGTTATTGTTTTTACAGGCTTATGGCAAGAATGCGATGAAGTTGTTGAGTGAGGAAAATAATAAATCGAAGCAAAAGCCAAAGAACAAGAAGAGTAAAGAGGTACGTTAAGGTTTTTTGTATATTAATTTGTGTTTAGAAAAAGGAACCTGAAGAAAAGAAACCTGAGCCAGCAGAAAAACCTAAGCCAGATTCCAAATTTGAAGTAAAAGACAAGAAACCAGAGGAGAAAGTAGAACAAAAGATTGTGAAACCTGTTGAGCAGAAAGATGATAATGGTGAGAACTTTATTTTTTACGTTTGATTTTTAGGGAGTTTTGATATTGACTTATTCAATTTTCAGAACCAAAGGCTCCGAAGAAAAAGAACAAAGCTGATTCAGAGCTAAAGAAAGCTGAATCCAAGAAGAACGATAACGTCACGGAGCAAGTCCAAGTGAAGTCTGCCTCACTTCAAAACAGCTCACCTCCAAAACCAAAAACCAAGAAAGCTGGACCACTGAACTTTGACCGCCTTCTAAATCGCCTGGCTGAACTTGACTTGGAATCAGAGGTCGTCGAATTCATTAAAAAGCTGAATGAACAAGTTCAATCGGCTGAAAAGAAAAATAAAGAAGATCAGAAGTTTAAGAAAGAGCTGACTGATAAGGAGAGGGAAATTGACAGGTTACAGGACATTCTGGAGACTTCCCACACCGAGATTGCCAAGGTGAAGAGTTTGGAAGAGGCTTTGGCTGAATCTAATGGAAAGTACCAATCTGTAGAGCTATCATTGAAGAATAAGCTAACTGAGCATCGTCAAGTAATATTTACATACTTTTTTATCTTTGGATAGAAAACTCTGTAATTTTATGTGTTACTGAATTTTGTATTTTAGCTCACGGAGAAGGTCGCGTATCTCCAAAAACAACTTGCTCTTAGCGCCAGCAAGGCATCTCAGTCCGATCAGTTAGCTCAAGAGCATGAAAAGATCAAGAATGAGTTTAATCAGAAGATGAGCCAGTTGGTTATCGACGCCAAGAAGGATGAATCTAAGGTCAAAGAGTTGATCGCGGAACGAGACGGTCTTCATAAACAACTGGAAGAGCTGAAGCTTTCTGCTGGAGCGGTGGAAAAGGTTGCCCAACTTGAAAAGGAGATAAACGAAGCTAAGGAAACCGTGCAAAGATCGTTGGATGAACTGAAGGAATCCAACGAAAAATACCAAACTATCGACCAGTCTTTGAAGGCAAAATTGAGAGAAGAACAACAGGTAGGTTTTGGTTTTTTATTTGCAATTGGTATGTTTTAGTGGATGGAGAAGGTCGTCTCGCTGCAAAAACAGTTGGCGGAAAGCGAGACTATTGTCGCTAAAGCAAATCAGCTAAACAAGGAGAACGAACAGTTGAAGAACGAGTTCAATCAGAAGATTAACAAGCTGGCTGATGATCTTACTCTTTATGAAACGGAAAACAAGAACTTGAAGACGGAGAAAGATCAGCTGCAAAGCAAAGTAACTGAATTGCAGCAACCCAAAGAAGCTCCAAAGGAAACGTCTTCTGAAGATGCTGAAAGAATTAAACAGTTAGAACAGGAACTGGAAGATCAGAAGCGGCGAAATAAAGTAAGTTCCTAATAAGGATAGTTTAATTTTAACTGTGTGCAGGTGTCCATTTGTCTAACCACATACTAACATTTCTTTCTGTAGGAGCTTCGGGAGCGGAATTACAAGCTTTTTGATTTGGCCAAAGAAAAGGAGGAGTCTGTTAGGAGCGTCAAACCGTCACAGTCGGGTAGTGTTAAGGTGTGCTTTTTAATTATTTCGTGAATTGGGTACACGTATTTTTAATAAAATATTTGTCGACAGCCATTAACTAGTTTTTTTGCAGTACTTATGTATAGTATTCTTGTAAATAGTAATTGTCTTTGTTTTAGGAGGAAAAGTCGAATGACGCTGAAGAACTAGTCAAAAGCTTGGCCAAGGCCTGTGGACTTTCATCGCCAAGTGATTTCAACAGTCAATCGATCGAGAAATGGTTCAAACAGGCCATCAGCGATATCACATCGAAACATGAACAACAACCAGCTAATGGAACCAGTAGTCAGGACGTTCATGCTTTAGAAGAAGAGATCAAGAAGCTGAAGAAGGATGCTGAGCATTATCAAGTTGCCATAAACGTTGCGGTATGTTTTTATGGACTTGTTAAGAACATTGATATTACTGAAAATGTTATACTATTTAGTTGATACACGTAAAACGATTTGATGATTTTAGTACGAACAACTTGAGCACGCTGCAAAACTTGCGGATGATATTCAAAATAAACATCATCACCCCCATCACCACGATCATCATCACTCTCACCACGACCGTCCTCATCACGACAACCATCATAATGAGAAAGTAAGCATTCGATCGAGGTGATATTTTTTAAATAGTAGTTTCAGTCTCAGAATCTAAGTCAACGTCGGAACTCGGTCCCGTCTCAATGCTCCGAGGAATGGGAGGTCGTAGGGTAAAAAACTACAACATATCGGGCAGATTACTAATTACAGTTTGAATTACTTTGTTGAGTATCGTTAAGTTTGGTCTTGTCCCATTGCTTTCACTTCTTTGTTATCATAATACTATTTTAATTTATTTTGTCGGTTAATTAAATAAACTTAAGTATATTTATATTTGAAGGTGTTGTTTTAAGGATTACCTTGAATATATTTTTTTATTTTCTTTTTTGGTGATTGAGTTATACTGGTTTAATCAAGTTTATTTGCCTTTTTGAGCCGCAGCTCTCTTAATTGTTCATTAAAGTCTTCGTGAAAATGTTACAAGTTGACATTATCAGTCAGATTTGTTGGTCCAATTAAAAGTCAAGGTTAATGTTCTTGTAATTGTCATTCAAAGCCAATTTGTAAAATAATTGAAAAGAATCTGAGGACTTGTTGACCACTATGTTAGCATCATTAAATCGTGACATGACTACTGACTTCGAAGTTGTTTTGATTAAACACCGGCCCGATTCATGTCCGACATTACTCTTGACAAATGTTTGCTTGAGGCGCGACACTTTTGGTCCCTTCCTCTCGCACGTGGCCTCGGAGGTATTTGTGGATATGGCAAAACTCTGGAAAGATCGCCCGATCCAATTTACTTACCTGTTCTCTCACTTACTGGTCCCTTAACAGCTGTTCGAGGCCTTTGATCGGGAGAGAGGTTTGGGTCCAAAACTTCATTCTTTCCACCAAAAAGTGCCAACTTGGAATTAAACTCTTTAATGCTGACCATCTTTTTTATCATGGACTAATTCAATGTTTAAAGTAAACTACTTGCTACTGTAAAGTTATGCTTCTGTTGTATTTTTTGTTGTTTGGGTTGATATCAGGTAAGGGATCGTAACATTGTCGAAGATTAATATGTTTTAGCTGAGAATTGTAACTTTGAGAATGGGCAGACGTGTGAGCTGTGGAAGTTTACCAACTCAAAAGATGTCAAGGCTGACGGAAAAACTGTCAAGTTCAACAAAAACGAGAACTTTCGAGTCGTGGTTGGGAGTGGGTTCAACAATTCCAGTAAGTTTAATTATTTTTATATATTTTAATCATAATTTTGTAATTCTTTAACTGAATAACTAGCTTAAATATTACGTAAAGTACGAAATATTAATTATGGAAACTTAAAAGCGTTTTCAAAATTTAGGTTATAAACTTTTTCAAAATTTAAACACTTTAGACCACTATGCCTACTTTTCGAGCGCCGAACCCAAAAAGTTTATTCCCATGGTAATTAGCTTATACTTCCAACATACCGTATCTACAGTAAGTTAATTCAATATTTTTGAATTTCCGTTTAGTGTGAACTCGTCTTTCGTCATCAAGTTCATGGGTTACCTGGAGCTGAACTGCTAGTTACAACTCAACATCTCGACCACAAGCCCATGCTGGAGTTCGAAGATAACGATGAAGAAAAGGAAGATTGGGTGAGGCCAACCTTCAGGGCTAGTTATCGACCGACTAGAGAAGGGCAGGAGCGGTAAGATTCTATGTCAATATACAACGCATCTTGCTTTTACTCTGTAATGTAGTTATTACACAGCATACAACTCTCGTTTTCAGATGGGTCCAAAGCCGAGTACCAGTAGGCCAGATCCTGTATCCTACCAGAATCCGAATCGAATGTCACAGTGCCAAACAACAGAAGGACAACAGCGTCCAGAACGTGGAATGTCGTGTCGATGACATTCAACTGGAGAACTGCGACGAAGAAGTCTGGAGCGCGGATTCGTGTTCTTCGAAGCAAATGAAGAAGTACCTGTGTACCAAAAGTGATCAGCCAAAGTGCATCGACTATGCTGACGTCTGTGATATGATTCCCGAATGTGAGAACGACGAAGACGAGGACCTGGTCATAAATAAGTGCGATCAAGTACCTCAAGGTGCACGATGCGACTTTGAAGACGAATCTGATACTGGCTGTGAGAAGTGGAGATTCCAGAAGGGAGTAAACAGTACCAAGTATCTCAAGAGGATCTCCATGGAAGACACGATGGGAGTGAATCCACACGGACTGCCTCCAGATGGGTACTTTTATCATGGTACACATAGAAAGACGGGTAGATTAGTTGGAATTTTATATAATATACTCTGACGGTACCATTTATAATAAAAAGAGTAACAATATCTAATACAAAGACATTCTTATAGGTCACTTCTTGTTCTTTTCTACCTTCGGAGCAGAATTCGAACGTCAAAGCACGGGCGAAGTGTTCTATATATCAGCGTTCTCGCCAACGTTCCCAGCAACTTCTCCTAAAACTAATCTCATTGGTACTCCAGAGTACAAAGCTTGTATGGTAAGCATATTCTTTGCAATTGTTGGTGCCTAAACTAACTGTTACAGCTGATTGCAACCATTCGTCACAGAATTTGTTTATATTATCTTGTAAAATTACTTTTTAGGTAACACTTTGTTTTCAGGTTAGATTCTTCTTTTGTCACACAGGAGCATCCACCTTCCAGCTGATGCTGGAAAGGGGTGATAAGAAGGAAGTCCTTTGGACTCCACCAAAGTCTTCTGGAGCGGCACCGTGCAATTGGCAGAAAGCCGCCGTTGTCATTCCTTATCAGGTACGTTTTTACATATTTGATTTCGTACTTACTTCTACTGAAAGGTTTTTATTTGTAACTCAAGATTACTAAAAAATCTTTACAGCCTTCGCAATATCGTCTCAAGCTGGCCTTTGCCAAGCTATACAAACAACCATTAAGTGTGGCAATCGATGATCTAACTATGACCCCGTACTGCTTCTCAGAGGGTAGGTTACTATCCCTTCTTACATCAATAATTTAAAATTTCGAAGTTTCTACTAATACTCGATAGTTATATATGTTGATCGTAAAATAATTCGAATGAATAGTATCATAGAGAACGTGCTTGACAATCACTGTTTCAGATAACAGCTGGGATGCAAAGTACCTACCAGACGCCTTACGACTAGATACCTTGAAGAAGGTCAATGACACGGTACGGAATAGTTGGTCGGTAAAGAAAGACGGCTTGTATTATATCGAACTGTATGGTGCAGCTGGAGGAAAACTGAGTGGAAGTGAGAACAATAACGGTGGATCTGTGAAGGCAGAAGTCACGTTGAGCAAAGGGCAAGAAGTCAAGTTGCTACTAGGTCAACGTGGAGAAAGTCCGTGCTCTAAAGGCTTGGACAGCACGTTGCAGAACAGGACTAATAATGTAAGTATGACTATCGTATCAATATAAGTAGTCGACGCAAAAAATATAGCAATTCTTGAAACGTTCTTACTGTAACTTGTCATTTGTATTCCTCTAATGCATGCAAATTCAATTTTATAGGTGCACTACTCTCAATTGTACCGTAACATCTGCTCGAACACTGTAAATGACAGTGATTTGATCCGAAAAGAAGTTCAGAATCTGTTTGGTACTGGTGGTGGAGGAGCGTCTGCTGTATACATTGATAACAAGGTGGTGATTGTAGCTGGAGGTGGTGGAGGTGTAATACCGTCATCAATAACACCGATTGAAGATGTTGATGCTCGTGGTGGAGTCAACGTCAAGAATCAAAAAGTTGACGATGCGCAGCATTGGGCTTCTGGATTTGGTTATTCCTTCAGTAATAAGGTAAGTAAATTTTTCCAAAATGATCAAGAAGTCTCCATTCGTAATAAGACATAGCATGTCAACGTACCTCCCATTTTTGAACGCAAACAATATTTTACAACTTACAGTACTCATACAACTCCACCTGCTCAGACTGTCGCAAGATGAATGGCAGAAGCGAAGATCAACAAGTTTCTGGAGGATCGTGTCCTCGTAGCCGCATCTGGAGTGTGAACGGTGGTCTAGGCGGTGGTGGAGCCAGTTGCGGCCCCGGAGCTGGAGGCGGTGGAGGCTTCTATGGAGGAAAATACGGCTTCAAATCCTACGGTAGTGGAGGCAGTAGCTCAGTCACGTTGAAAGACGCCCAAGCCGAGTATTCCATCGGAGTAAACGAAGGCGACGGTCGTATCTTGTTGATGAGATGTGCCCTAGCGTGTCCTGACAACTCAACTTGTAAATTTGAGGAAAACGAGCTTGGAACACCACCTAAAACATATTGTTTGTGTGCTAATGGGAAGGAGACTGACGTCACCGGGGATTGTAAATCGATCTCATTGCTTGGTATGTTGTTGTAAGTAGAATTGTAATTGAATTATAGATATCCTGGCCATGTGGATGAAGGAGATTATGGACTTCAAATCTCCGTTCGCCTTTATCGCTATCTTTGGAACATTGATTTTCTTCATTTGTAAGTTATGTAACCTGTTAAAAAATTTAAACACCACTTACCTCCATAATCAATAATTAAAATAATTAAACAAAAAGAACATTATCTCAAATAATAAATATTAAATAAGCCCGATATTATGTTATACTTGATCATACATATTCATTTACAGTGCTAATAGCTCTGCTATGGTTCTGTTGTCGTCGCGGTGGCCTGCTGTACCTAATGAAACGCTACCGGTTTTGTTGGACTCGAAACAAGCGACACAACAATGAGTTCAGAGGCCTCGAGATGAGTGACACAATCGACTCCAGAATCCGGATGAGTGACAGAATCACTCCAAATCCAATATACGAAAGACTTACCATGATGGAGCTTCCTCAGATCTCTCGTCATTTCCTCCAACTGAAGCAGTCGATTGGCCATGGAGCGTTCGGAGAAGTGTACGAGGGGTTGTTCATACTGGATGGTCGAACTACAAGAGTCGCGGTCAAGACTTTGCCTATGGGCTCCAATCCCGAGACTGACATTGACTTTGAGAGTGAAGCAAGGCTTCTAAAGTAGGTTTTGACAAAATCTTGCGAAAAATAATTTTAATTTTTTTTCAAAAAATTAGAGATTGCGGGCGCAATTATCAAAAATAGCCTGCAGGTTGCAAAAGCAAAGTTATACAATAAGGTCGTGATTGTTATAACGTTAAAAACATAAAGTCTTCAACCTAAATTCTAAATTGTTTTAGCCATTTTGACCATCCAAACATCGTCAAGTTTTACGGAGTTTCCTTCGAAAAACTTCCAAAGTATATTATCCTTGAATACCTGGAGGGTGGCGATCTCAGAAACTTCTTGAGGGAACAACGCCCTAAAGTAAGAAGATTTGTCATTGAGTTTATTACCGATTTCTAATATTTAATTTTACTATTCATATTGTAGGACCTAAAAGCAGGGAATACTCAACTCAAAATGGTCGATCTTCTGAACATAGCTTTGGACGTGGCCTATGGCTGTGAATACCTGGAACAGAGCAAATTCATCCATCGTGATATAGCCGCGAGGAACTGTCTGCTGACTTCGAAAGGACCTGACCGTGTAGTCAAGATAGCTGACTTCGGAATGGCCAGAGATATATTCAGCCAGGAATATTACCGAAAAGGCGGTCGAGCCTTTTTGGCCGTCAAATGGATGCCTCCAGAAGCATTCCTTGACGGTATCTTCAACTCCAAAACTGATGTTTGGGCTTACGGAGTTCTACTGTGGGAGATCTTCTCCATGGGATACATGCCCTACACGGCCAAAGCTAATCAAGATGTTATGCAACTTGTAGTAGCTGGAGGAAGATTGGAGCCTCCGGTTGGATGTCCACAAGAAGTAAGTCATCATCGACAATCTTAAAATGTAGCAAAAATTCAATATCTAATCTTGTTTAAAACATAAAGACGAGATATATTGTAATCATTTCTAGCTCTACAATGAAATGCTACGTTGTTGGCACACAGAAGCCGATGCTCGACCCAACTTCACAGAACTAGTCAACTTCTTCACAATGCTGGCTTCAGACCCTGTAATCGCCAACCTACCGTTACCTCCAATCCTACACACACAACGTCAGAACACTCCAAGTGAAGCTTCAAGTTCTCTGAATCCAACAGAAGAAGTTGGTACTAGCCAGGCTACGAATAGTACTGTGATGACTGAGAGTACCACCAACTCTTCAGTACAATCCATGCCCACCAAAGGAGAAGGTGTCTCTTTCAACGTGTTTCCTCCTTATGAATCCAGGTGCACGAAGCCGTTGATGGAGTTGAGAAGTCGACCTCAGTTCTCGAATCGAGAACCCAGTCTATCGTCGCACGATGATTCTACATTGCATGATACTTGTTCGGTGAAGCAGAGTCCATACAAGATTGAGAAGGAGGCCTTTCAAAGGATGAGCGATATGCAGGTAAGTGTTAATAATATGAACTAGCTACAGATAGTGTTATATCAGCCTTTATTTTAGAGTGTAGTGGTTCTGTAAATTTCATAGAACCAATTAGCACTAAATAGCATTGTCATACTGTGTAATATCTTAAAGCCACTGCGTTTTTAGCCAAACTTCCCAGCCGACCCTCCGCCGACTCCGCCGCCGCGGACGAAGAAGCGAATGTCACCGAAGGCTTCGGCTTCTTCTCCTTGCTTTACTGGAGCTGATAGTCCCATGGTTTAATCAGATCTCAACATTTGTCATTCATTTCAGTCATACGGGTTCAACTTACTTCCAGTACAATATGGTTATATTTGTTTCGTTATTAATAATAATTAATAAACATACTAAGTCAATGTAACTTTTAGATGGAATCTTAACCATATTGTAATATACCTTTCATAACATTTTTATACACTTTTAGGTAATAGTGAAATGGGAAAATTAATGTACTTGATATAGAGTATCAAACCATAGTAAAAAATGCGTTACAATATAAAAAATGTATTTATTATCTATAGTACCCGCATATAGTAATCTACAGTAAAACTTTTTACAATATCTCTCGTAGTGAAGGTGTACCTTCGCGTTCCAGTATTGGGGCAGCACGAGCTGTATGTACAGTAACCACGGCACCTTTATTCACACTAAAGGCTGGGTAATATAAGCCTCGGGGTAGTCGTCTGGAAAGATTCCATTAATTATGAACTTTGTTAAAAGCAACATCATTGTCATATTAAGCTTAAATGATAAACGGAGCTCTTAAATAGTACCATAAACAAAGTTACATGTATAAGATCATTATTTTACTAATAAAAACAGAGTGCAATTGTCACCAAATTAAGACTTTACGATGTAATCAACGTTATAACTTACTGAAAAGCATACGGAGACCCGTCTTCAGAATACAAAGCCCTTCCATTCAGATAAAAGCTCAATCTCCCGTGATCAGAATCCAATCGTACACCGATAACTTCTCCTTCGTTTACTCCCTCTTCCGTGCGACCGTGATGATCGCCGTTGTGGAAGAACCAAGATCGTCGTATGTCCAGATACATGGCCCAGCCATGAATATCTTTGCCCAGAATCTTGTGGCGATCCACACTTGGTTGAGCTACACCTACTACAATATCAGTGTTGATGTCCAGTCGATCCACCGTAATCTCCCAGTAATGAACGCCTCGACTGAAAGCTACCGTGCCAAGAACGACAGAGTAGTCAAGAGAGGTTCCGCTTACAGTAGAACATTGATTTGATAGGGTAACGTCGGTCTGGGAGACTGATTTACAGAGTTGAAACCAGGCAACTAAAATGCACATTATAGTAGATGATCTACTTCAAAAAAGACGTCAATAAACAATAGTAGGTAAAATGAAAGTGCCAAAACTTTACCAATAAAACAATACCTACCTGGAGCCGTCTGTAGACAAATAGGTTCGCTGTAGCCACTTTCTCCAGCCGCGTTGAATGCCTTCAGCCTGGCGTTGTAAAGGGTGTTGAAGTGGAGTCCATCTATTGTGCACGATAGGTCCGGCCCTCTGTAGACCTCCTTGAAGCGACCGTCATCCTTCCCACTGTCCAACTCCAATACGAAGCCGTCCACTGATTGTCCATTCTGAGGACAATCCCAAGTCAAAACAACCGAATTGTTTTCGGCCGAACACTCATTAGCCAGGAAATACGGCCGCGGCGGCGCTAAATCGACCAGTTTTAATTAAAATCCTACAGTATCCCGCAATATTGTGCTTGCAAATTATAATTTTTTTATGTGCTGACTATACAGTGGGCTCTGACAAATCAAAAAAGGGTTGTTTTAGATAACAATGTTATACTAAATACATCTAGTATCGACAAAAAATTATTTTTATACATTACGTAATTTCAGATATTATAGCCAAAGTACTGATTTTACTTCTTTATAACTAAATCCTTCACAAAACAACATTTGAAAATACAGTACTACTACATCAGACCAACCACACTACTACACCGGTTACCTTTCTCATTATCCCCAGAATATGGTCTTCGCATTAAGCCTGTATGAATAATATAAAGTTAAGTAATCCTCAGACTTACCTTGTAATTGAACAAACTCCACAGATTGAATAGTAGTTTGAACTTGCTTCAGATCAATATTATACACAAATTCTGTGTTTACTTCAGGTTTGGTCGACATGTTTTTACTCCATAGAAAGTCCACTTCTGTAGCTCGATGATATAGAGCATGATCTATCTGTAATAAATGTTTAGGCTTTCTTGACTAATTTACTTTAATATAAATCTTAAGTTATCTATGTTAATATCCTATATACCATATGTCATTGTGACCCTAAAACACTTTCAAATTTGAATTCGCGCCTACAATAACCCGGCAATTAAAGTAATTACATGCAAATAGGCGATGGGGTCCGGCTCTTTCAGCACCTCGATGCAGAACTGAATCAAGGCCGTGGTATTGTTGAGATGGCCAACACATTTGGCCACTTGTTCTTTCAGAGTTCGATGTTTCCGTTCCTTTTCCATTGTCACGAATTCTAATAATTTGGCGCGTCGCTCTTCCAGGCTTTGAATCAACAGGTCGATTTGGACGTTCAAGCCGGTTTGGAATTCCAGGCAGTTACTCTGTAAAAAATGATTGAAATATGGTGCTAAAATAACATAATATGCAAAAAACTCAATTTTACATAATGTTAACTTTTATGTTGGGCAATGATAGTAAACTGTACAAGTCTGTGAGAAAAACTATTATACTTACATCTACAACTTGGTGTAGCCGTCTCATGATGTTAATGTCTTCTGATGCCTTCTTGGCCTTCTCTGACAGTTCTTGTAAGACTCTCGATAGTTCACTCTGTAAAGTTCTTTTATAAAAACTGTTTTTTACAATTGTAATTTGGTTTGATGCCTTTTGTCTCAAGGTTTCTTTATTTTAATCAATTTTAAATTTTTCTATTTACTTTTTGACCAAATTAAAAAGTTTAATATGTTGTTTATGTTATACTTCTTTATGTTATTTTACTGTTTATGTGTTTGCTTTTTTCAACCTCACATAAGAAAACTGTCCAATAACAATATATTTCCCTATCCTAAACCAAAAAACCCCTTTCAATACCGTAACCCAGCCGAAACACATTTTTTAAAAACTTTTTTGAATTAATTTAAAGTGACAGGTGTCTTATGTCGTATTAATCCGATGTGTACAGCTTTATTAACAAGATATGCCCGTTTAATTGGGTGTTGTGGCCGCGGCCTCCGAGGTTTATGGCCGTCAGGATCAAAGCGGCTAGCCGCCACCTGAAGCCATAGTAAACCCGAGAAGCGCGGATAACAAACAGAAGGCCGCGCGGTCGTATCTCGTGGTGGTATTATGTCATTCCGAACAAATTGGCCGGACACAATGAGCGATGGACAGCTGCCGATCAGCGGAATCGGATTTCCGGATTAAGAACAGAATGATTGGACATGACTTGATTATGCGACAAGCCTTGTTATAAGGCTTAATAGAAGCCCTGAAAACAGGACAAGCCTTAGAGTCGCGACAAGCCTTAGAGTCGCGACAAGCCTTAGAGCCGCGACAAGTCTTGATTATGACTTGGCTATGTCACCCGATTGTCTCGTCAAACAATGACATGCCCGCAGGGAAAGCGCGCGAAAAGCAGTGCAATTATGGTCCGCACAATTGCGCCCGTGATCCCAATTAAATCTGTCCATTCCAGAATCGCACGCTCCACCGACTCCGTCTTCTTGCTTCAGGCAACAAGAACAATATGCCGTTTTTGCCTCGACCTTGGCTGCGTGCCGGCAGAGGATTTGGGGATGAGAGAGAATGCATTAGACGTGTCGGAATTTTGCATAATTCATCCAAAGAAATCTGATTTGCACATAAATGTCTCGAAATGAATACTCATCATTAAGATTACTGTGGTTTCAACACTATTTTTAGATAGATGTTACCTAAAATATACTAAATCTGCCCCAATTTGCAGCTCGAACAAGATATAACTCTTCCAAGATGTTTTTTATGCCAAAACAACCATTATCGTTAGTTTGCAGTCGAAAGACAAAGAATCATATTTTAGAAATGGCAGTCTGCTAATGATTATGCAAGTTGTTACTCAAAGTCAGATCTAATGCCAGCTCGATATCGAATACGACTTCTGCTCCTAATCCCTGCGGTAAGCCTGGCGACCTCAACGATAACATCTTTCTAATATTATTATGGGGTCATATAATTATAATATTGTAGTGTCAAAGCTCATAAGATGTCATGAGGTTACTGTCTATTAAAGGATCAAAGATTCAAGGGATTACAGTACCAAAGATTCATAAAGACAGTAGTATAGTGACAAAAAGTCACATCAATCATAGTTTGATTCTTAAAACGTCAAAACATTCATTAATGGTATTAAAGGGTCAGGTCAGACAACCCCCCGCAGGTAGTAGCGACATGTTCTTGGATTACACCTGCGGGAAGCTGCAGGTGTCAGGTTTCGTGGTGAGCAAAAACATTTGGCGCAAAAAATAAATGCATGTGAAAGGCTTAATTGATTCCGCGCCGTTTTGTCTTTGGCCCAGCTGAGGATCTGTCAACGGGCTGTCCCGAATTAGCCTATCAAAGAGTAATGGATGGGCAGGCATGGTCAGCGGTGACACATCGACCGGTCTGAAGTGTCAATGTGAGCATTCGGCTAAGAGAACGCGTCAACCATAACCTTATATGTGATATTATAGTCCAGAATCACATTCGACAGGTCGAAATAACTCAAAATTTTAATTTTATACATTGCATTTGACTGCGCTATATTAACATAGAAGTTTGATCGGAAAAGTGTCAAAGCAAGGCTTTAATCTAATGGCTGGCCTTCATTTAGCAAAGAGTGACAAATCAGCTATTCGACCGGTCAAGTGTCAAATCAAGATCGGCTTTCGCGCACCCTCTAATCTGCCACCATATTTGAGCTTAATTAAAGAAACCATCCGCCTGGAAGGAACGCCTTTCGGCAGAGGCTGATGCAATTACAACGCTCGTCCTTAATGAGAGTACTTTAATGAAAAAAGGATTCTCCTGAGATTTGAAAGACGTAAATTTACATAAAAATCAATTTGGAATAACTACTTCATCTTGAGTATAATATACTTAACTGAGCCTATTACTATTCACTGTTTAAACTTTTTAATTCAATTTTAAATCTGAAATGAAATCCAATAGCTACTTTAATATGCAATTCAGCTCCCTCAACCAACTTTTGTATAAAACTGTCACAACATAAACCGTAAAATATTAAACCTCGGTATACAGTAAACCCCATAACTTATGCGCGGCATTTCCCTCCAACTTTTTTCCAACTTTTGTCTTACCTTTTTGGTCTTTACTGTAGTCGCGAGAGACTGGACTTGATGCGTCAGATGACGCGATGCCTGAATACACTGACAACACAATGACACGCTACATGTCGAACAGTACATTGTCAGCACTTCGTCCGGATGACTGTCACATCGGTGCTCTTCCACGGGCTCGTGCTGTGCCAACACTTTTCTATAAAATTTTAATGAAATTCGAGCTGTATTCTTCTTGTGTTAGTCTTTAATTCTCGACAAACTTTTTGATAAAGATATTCATGTCTTGATATCAGAACTTTGAATAGCCGGTTAGTTCAAAAAACATACGTCTATCATACTGAAACAAAACTTACTTCTTGACAATACTATCGGCCGCGACAAACTTGTGGTCCTTCAAGGGACCCCTGGGAGGATGAATGACTGGCTGACAATCTACACAGTAGAAGTAGCCACACGGTTCACAATATAAAGTAGCTTCATTCTGCTTCCCATCCTCACACCACTGACAGCACGATGGTGCAGCTACTGTATTAGACCCTACTGTATCACTGTTAGTCAGCTGTGTCTTTCTGAACCTATCAACCAGTCGTTTTATGGCCAGATTCGCGGCCTGATTAGTGACAGCCGACTCGTCGGCGAAGAACGATGTCTTCTGACATTTATCACATACGATGGTATGTCCGGTCGTGAGCGGTGTTATTAATGAGTGTAGCCGTGACGATGGCGTAGAAGAACTCGGAAGCGACCCCAAAAAACTGCTTGGCCTTGAGCCTGAAAAAACATTTTAGAATGTTTGCGATGAGCGACAGCGATAAGGCTTCTAAGGTGACCTGAGAATACCCGTTTATTACCTTTGCTAGAGTTGCCATTTGCGCCATTGTTGTATATACAAACACCGGAGTCGGTCTCGCTCACCATACTCAACTTATCGCACTCCTGGTCAGGGTCTGATATGCAAATTGAGGCCGTATCACTGGCTGAAAAGATTGAGAACGTAAATTTTAGGTAAGAAACATCAAAAACTGAGTAAAAAAGCATAAAATAGAAAAAGTTAAACAATTCAAAAACAAAATCGTAAGAAGAAAACACCGTTTAAATTTTATTTATACCTAAAAACTTACCAGAACTGCTAGAACAAGGTGGAGAGACAGCAGAAGTCGTCTTCTGAAGCGCTTTCATCGCGCATTCTCTACAGTAACTGTGAGAACACTGTAACAGTATGGGGTCGACCAGTAACCCTCGACATAAAGGACACTTTAACTCTTGCTCCATCACTGCAATATTAAGCATTAATAGATCCGCAAACAAAGATCTGGTATGAAACGAGATTTGCATAATTGAAACGAGGCAGATGGATAACGGATAAGCTCATAGTCTTAAAAAACAAACCCATAAAAGTGTTGTGCAAATAAAAATATTGTCGATATCTTGACGGACTAATTTGAAAAAATAATTTCAAAAAAAACTGCAAAAGCAATGTATAAAATTAATTTAAAAAATAATTTTCTAGACTAAAAAATTTTAAAAAAGAAAATGAAATTTAATTCCACAATATCAAAACAGATACAGCTATATGAACGAACAATCAGCAAGTTTCCCAAAATTCAGTTTTTGTAGAAATCTATCAAAAGCCGGCTTAAAAGCCTGAAGCCGTGCTCCAGACTGACGGATTTATTGGGTGCAAAAACTATTTTACTGCAAAAAACTACTTGGCTATGTTTTTGTGAAATCAGGCCATAAATCGGCGGAGAAAAGGAAACGCAGGTGGCCGGAAAGGCCAACAAGGCCCCAAAGCGGTTTTGCGCAGTCCCAAAAACAACAAACGTCAAGGCCTGAAGAAACGTTTCTGGCAGGACATGTCACTCCCCTACACTAATAGCGAGCTTGTAAATTTCGACGGGCACGCCAAAAAACGTTGTCCCGAAGTGACCAGCCCGACACCGATTAGCCTCAGGGGAGTGGTCCACTTCAAGAGTGCGCGACGTCAAAGACAAATTACCTCAGGGCATGGGAGAACCTTCAAAGCAGCCAAAGTGATACCTAATTGCCAAAATCTCAAAAGTTGAAAATAGAAAAACAAAATTTCGATAAACAATTCACAAGAGGCTAATTAAAATACAAGCTGTCTACCCACCCGTACCCCTTCTAAAGTATCCCATGCATCCTATTTTGCACCAAAATGTCCCCACGGGCACAAAATTAAAATCCTAATCCAATCCCACAATAATCGTGGTTATTATTGCAGCGACAAGGTTGGAAGAGAATGTTCAAATTAACTGACAAACCCCCTCCCCCGGCCCCGCCCCTTTTTCTAATATAGTGGGGTCAAAGAAGGGAAAGTGGACAACACATAGAGCCGGCTGAACATGGCCGGAGGGAGAGAAATCCAGGAATGATTCATCATATTATCATAACTACAGGATTTATGTGAGAAAATGAAACGCCTATAATTAATCCCTTCAGGCGGTGTAAAGTCCTGACAAAACTGCGTAAAGCCACAATTAATCAACCGATTATGAAAACGACACCCAATATTAAAAATGGCATCTAATCAGTCAGGTTTACAATCCTAATCACTCAATTACTCCAAACTTCAAACACCAATCGCAATGTCAAGTGACAATGTCAAGTGGCAATATTAAAGTAGCAATATAAAGCAATCTTAAGTCAGCACTCGACGCTCGGCACCCTTTCATCCTCAACATGCATTCCTGAGGATCAGCCAGAAACTCATAAAGAAGAGGAATGGCAATTAAGCATTACCCGCAGCCATTCTTCTTCCTATTTGAGGCCTAACCGGCTTCAGTGTAAGCTCCGTTAGTTAGAGAACGGTCGGGCGGACGCTCGGATCGCTTATGGAAGATGGCACAATAACCTTTCCGCGACAAGCATAACAATTCAAGCTGCGCATAATGGGAATCACCTTAATATTAAAACCTGGCCCGCCAGATGAGCGAGCAAGGTATGAACGTATACATATGCAAAGCCTTTTTTGGTTTTTAAATTTTAAAAATAAAAAATATGTGAAACATACATACCTAAAATAGCGTTTTTTGAACACTAATCCCATAATAGACAAAGCGTGATATGAATATACAATTAACTACAAGAAACATTTAAAATTACATTATTCACATTAAGCTATGCCATTCAATAAAGGAAGTATTGCAAAATGTATTAATAGATAACCCAACGCAACCTGACATAAATAAATTAAACATGTTTAAAATCTTGTTAAATATTTCATTCGAACCTTCTAAAAGACAGGTTTGTGACAAGCTCTGGCCACAAAACCTTATCCTTTGTCTAAAATACTGTTATGTCTCAATTCCAACAATATCATCCCACCCCACCCACCCCCAACCATACTATAAAGCCAACCTACTCCATTCGAAAACCCGAGTACCCCATTAAGCGAGCGAAACGACGGAACGACCTGAGGCTATACCTTGGGCCTCAAATGAGTGCAGGTGAAAAAAGTTTGGCCAAGTGTTTTTGCAGAATGGGCAAACGATAATCGTTCATGGGATTCGACTCACTTTAAGCCTTAATCAAGTTTCAGGCCCGGCTTCCCTCTTTTTTGATATCGGAAAACAATTGGAACAAGTCACAATAAAGATTTCCCGCCGACATTCCGAAAGGAAAAACATATAAACATGCAAATCCGTGTCCTTTAAGGTCCAACCAGTTTCAAGTCACACATGAATGACACAGTAATAAAATTTTATTATACGAAAAACGGGCTTTACTTATAATAACATGAAAGTCACTTTGGCGGTCTTTGGGATACAAAAACTCCTTAAAGAGCTTCAAGAGCTTTGTTTAGCCAAATACCAACTTTGTTTATCACAATTAGGGCAAGGTAATTAAATATATACAAAGAAGTGTTGGGCCGGTCTTCTCTGTAATTCGATACGACGGCCGTCTTTACGACATTAGGCGTCATTTTCATATGTCACCGCCTTTAAAAAACAAATTCTGCTTAAGAAATATTACATATTTGATTCAAGTCGATATTGTTTTAGACAAAATTCATACGGCAATCATAGTACTATACCTTTTTTTACTATGTAAAGCAAGTTTCTTTCTACATTTAGCTTTGGCCAAAATACTATCTTAATATTGATACTAAAAACTTTCTACAGTTCCAGTTCATGACCTTTTCAGTTTAAAATGTCATTTTAACCAACTATTCAAAGTGTCAGATCAAAAACTACAGATTACAATGTTTTCGAACAACTTTTTCTTTTTCTATTGTGTCGCTATCCGATGACACAATAGTAAAGGTCTTACAAATACCATAGCTTAGTTCCCACTCGGAAGAAGGCTCAACAATAAAGGCATTCAAAACATTAGTAACTAAGATACCATCGATATTGAATCATATTCGAACAAGACATAAATTACATATCCATCAACACAATTCCAAGATTAATTTGTAAACAAAGCAGCTCGAAATTGATATAATCTTACTAACAGACCCTTAGCTGCTATATTACTTCATATTCTAGCGCAGTAAAACCGTTTTCTAACATTAAAAAGTTTCCTAACTAATTAAAATTTTACGTAAAATTAAAATTTTTAAAACTTACATTAATTCCATCCTTTTCCCTCTTCTTCTTCGAAACAACTTTTGTAAATTTTACTTTTTTCCATTTCGAATTCGAGACAAAAATGTGTAAGAAGCCGCGGCCTGCATTGACATTATAAGAAACTTTGCGTGCTGCGCCCTAATTTCTCCCCCCGCGCTATTTTGCGACAAGAATTTGTCGAGAATCGCTGCTTATTGCGGTGAATAAATGTAAAAACATCTTAAGGAATGGAAAAGCCTAAAGAGAAATCACTTTCGGAGCCTCTGATTCCCACCATCGAGATTGTATTGCAGGGAATCGAGAAGGGTAAGATATTCAAATTTTTTCATTACTTTTTTAGGATTGGGTTTCAACATTGTGGGAGGCGCGGATACGCCGCATATTCCTGGTCACGATGGCTTCTTCGTCTCAAAGATTAGGCCAAACTCGGCAGCTTCTGATAACGGTCGATTGAGTGTTGGAGATCGAATCGTCGCTGTAAGTTTCGACAGTTTTGTGGAGTTATTACAAGTTTAGGTTGATGGAACTGTAATTACGAAGATGACGCATGACCAGGCTGTAAAAGTTTTTAAAGGAGCGTCTGGACAATGCACATTAACCGTGGAACCAGATGCTGAACGAATATTATTATCAGTAAGTTAAAATCCAATTAAACAGAATGAAGAACATTGGATGTCCCAATTTTTTTGTCAGATCTTCTTCTGAAAGATAAAATCTTGTTTTTTAATTTAGATGATTCATATATGAATCAAAACTTAAGAGCTTAGAATTTTGTAAATTTTTTGAAGCTATGGTAATTATATTGTTTATTTTATAAATTTTATTTTAAAGTTTAACACATTTTAGCAACCTTCTGATCTCATCGTACGCTCTCCAGCGTCGACCAGTAGAACCTTCAAGAGTAATTCAGGTCAATCAAGCAGAAGTTCTTCTCCTACCAAAAACCAAAACAGTTGCGAAAAGGAAAACTCAAAACCGGACAAGAAAGGAGACGAGAAAGTAGTAAAAGAAGAGGAAAAAGCAGTGAAGATTGAGGCCCAAGCTCAAATGGCACCACCTTTGGAAGTAAAGGAAGGTCATAATTCATCTCATAATACGGAAAACAGTGGAAAGCGGCGTAAAACATCAAGTAAGTTTTCTGAGAAAGAAAGGATAGAGTTGGCCGATAGTGTTGTAAAAATGTTTAATTTTTTTAATTTTAGATTCATTTTCAAAAAGTAATGACTCGACAGCTAATGGAGCAATCCCGACCTCTAAGAATGTACAGCATATTGTTCCGCATTCTCCGGCGAAAGCTGTACGAAGTAGAACAATGTCCAGCACTTCCTCACACTTCAATCACTCAGCTGCTCAACGACATTTGAACCAAGTGCCAGATGAAGAAGACGACGGTGCTTCGGTGGTTAGTATGGCTCCAAGTATAGCTCACAGTGTGATCGATGATATTCCGAGGACTCCGAAGAAATCGGCCAACATTTTTGATCCGTCAAAGTAAGTTGACTTAACTTTTTATGTCACTATTTATACTAAAAGTTTTGTTAAAAAATATTGTTGTGGTTTGTAAGTAATTATGATTTAAACCGTAAAAATCAAGTATCTAACTTAATATTTTTAGTCCGTCTATACTGACCGAAGTGTTGTTCGTGTCAATTGGAGTTGTGGCCTTGGGCGCTGGCGTCATCTTTGCTTACCGGTACTGGCGGAGGAGTTAGAATTTAGACAACAGTTTTATTGTTAGGTGTTAATACACGCGTTGTATTTACAATTTTTATTGTTTTCAAGGGATTATATTAAACTATACTCTCAAACTCGTCATTCGATATTTTGGAGTACGACGAGATCGTACTCGGCACTAATGTTGTTGTAGAGCTTTGGATCATTCCATGGGGTAGCCATCGCTTGTCTTCGTACTCGTTTAGATTGTAGTGTTCGTACTGCTCTTGATAGAACTGGACTAAACAATAAGGCATGGATTGTAGGTTCCAACGGTAGTTCCACAAGTCGACAGCCTTCAAAATGAGTTAATTAGTAAGTTGTATACTAACATATACTTTTGTATGCTGATATGAGGAATACTAACCTTGTTTAGTGTTTTCTTATGACAAAACTTACATTAAGCAAAGAAAAGCGTGTAAGGTCGCCTAAAGCAATGTCATTTGCACACAATGCCAATCTACACTTCATTATTATCTTATCACAAACATGGGAATCAAGTTCGTTCAGAAGTTGACCTGACCTAATCAAGATCTGTGCGACACACTGAAATTGTTAGGTGTTTTCAGTTACAATGTCAAAACTCTGACAATATGTCTATAAAATGAAGTAAAATTGTCTAAAATTACAAATGACTAACATGGATCACTCACTAATAGATCACCATCATCTGGATTAGATTCTGTCAGAATGAACATGCAATCGAACAGTGGTCGTACTAAACTGTTTCCCATGTATTTGTCGATTTCACTAAACTATCAAAGATTGTAGCAGATGACTTACAAAAATATAGGCATTAGCTCTACTAGACTTCGGCAGTAGTTTGTGAACATCTTTCTGTCGTTTCGTCTCATTTCGTATCTTCTTTTGTAATCGTCAAGTGAAAGTGATAGTATTCTTGATGACAATTTCATGTCGTTTGGGTTGTCCTGAAATATATTAACGTAGAACATTTGTAAAAAATTTCTTAAAAAAATTAACCGAGATTAATATCAGTGTTACTTTTAAAGTGTTAGTCTATATAAAACTAACCTACCCTTTGTATGTAAGCCAGAATCCGAGCAGCCACATTGCCAAAGTTGGCGTCTGACAGCCATCGTTGATGCAAATGCTCCACCAACACGTCGGTCCGAGCATTCTTGACGAGGGTTGCGAACGTTTGGACAGGAAGATCACCTTGGGCTGATAAGTGTGATAGGGAGTTCAATATAGATCGTAATTCTTCTTCGAGTAGTGCCATTCTTAAGAATTCGAACCGGATTGTTTAGTTTGTTTTTTGAAGAACAGGTGCTCTTCAAGCGAGCTCAAGAAGCCCAAACACTTCCGAATGTTGGGAAACATGTCTATCACACAACGGCATAACATCATACGTGATTTTACGTTATTTTATGGTCAACAAGTACATAGACAAAGGTTTAGTGAAGAAGTTTAAATAATTTTTTAAATTCGAAATAATACTCGAGATACTGTAAAGTATTACAATGGACAATGTACCAAAAAATGCTATACGAACAATTTATTTGCGATAAAAATAAAATTAGTCTAAAGCTTGTGGAGTCTTCAGTCGTCCCATCAGCACGTAGTTACTGCATTTCTTGGTCTCTGGCTAAAATACGAACAATACTACAATTACAGTATAAAACCCCCTAATATTAGTATAAAGCCCAATTGACATCAAGTTATATAACAAACTATATAAAAGAATAATATAGAGAAACTTCAAAGACAGTAGAAGTTCTGTAAACAATATGAAAGACTACTTCTAACAGCATTATACTGAACACCTCTTACCATGTATGTGTAGTTCTTGTAAAGGTCGTCCAATTCCTCTGTCAGTTCTACCATAACCTTCTTGAAGTTTGGGTTTGGATAAGGAAACATTGAAACGAACTTAATTTCACATTTCAGTTCACCCAGATTGTCAGCGAAACTCTTTTCGGCCTTCTGTTCCACTTTACCGTACATCTTCAAGTCGCCTTCCATAACTCGGAAGTTTCTGGTAATGGCATCCAAAGTCGAGTGCCCTCTGGCCAGGTTAGCTTTCAAATCATTCAACTTTTTCTTTTTTACCTAAAATTGTAACTAATTGATCTTGGCTAAAATTATTGTTACTTATTATATTATGAGGTTTTATCACAATTTAGTAGAAGAACCAATAAATAAAAAAGTATCAGACACCAAAGCAGTAAACTTACATTACTTTCTTGATTTTTTATCTTCTTCAGCTTTGATTCCATACGATTCAAGTCGGCTTCAACCTCATCAAGTGTTTCATTGATATCGTCAAACATCATCCTTTCTGAAAACTACAACTTTACGGTGTAACACGACCAGAAAAAGAAGATTTCTGTAAGACAACATACCTTGTGCTTTGTCAATCTGGTTATCACTTGTATCCAGCATCATCTCAACCCAACTTGCTTGTTTTTCAAGCTAAAACAATAATTATTATAACTTTAATCTAAAAATATTATTTTATGCATAGCATTGCATAAACGGTAAAGCAAGCAAGGAATTAAAGTATAAAATACATACGTATAACAAACTATGTAAATCATTACGTTTCACAATAAACTAACAAAAACTATACACTTACAGATGTCAGAGCTTTGTTCTTCGACTTCTCGGACCGTTTAAAACGATCTTCTTGTTGTGCCAATGTTTGGTCATCCTTATAAAATTTCAGAGTCTTACTCGCTAAAGATATAGCCCGGTCGAGAGACTTGACTAACGGTACAGGGATAGCATCATTGGCCATCTCTGATAAAAACTCCAAATTTCCACCAAATTTGACAAATAGAATCAGAAAAAGTAAGATTTTTGAATATTATCATGTTGAAAAATTTGAATTTTAGGTATTTGAATAGTAAAAAGAGTGCACCTTTCGCAGTTCGCACATTGTTGGGCGCGATTCGGGCGTTTTGGCGCGGACAAATTATTGTGAAAAAATATTTTTTTTCGCAAAATCTTTGCAAAAAAAGGTAAAAAACCTTAATTTAACGTTATTTATTTTCTAAATTATGAACCCACATTATGCAGCAACAGCTAACGAGTTCATTGTACCTATCAAAACAGCTTTAGGCATCTCCAAAGTTCAAGTAAGTTGTTACCTAAAATATTAAAACTTTTAGTTTTCCCCTCAACTGGACAAAAGGATACTGGCTGTAGCGTCATGGGACAGTTACTTGAAGCTTTACGATGTCTCAAATCCCAATAATCCACTTGAGCAGAGGAACATCTTTCACAAGAAATCTGTTTTATGTTGTACATTTGCGGTAAGTTCTCTACTTTGTTTAGTTCTAGAATTATAATGAACAATACGTAAATATAAATTTATATCAAAGTTTTATATATTATTACAAAGCTTATATACATTTTAAAAATTTTGTTTTAATAATTTGCTTATTTTAGAATCAACAAAGTTTGTTGAGTGGAGGATTGGATGAAATTGTGAAGTTGGTCGATGTTGAGTCTGGGAGAGGTAAGTTGAGGTTTCTTTTGTTATTGTTTTGTGTTTAGAAACTGTTATGGGACAACATTCGGCACCAGTACGATGTTTGGAGTTTTGTCAAACGATGAGAACTGCTGTTTCTGCTGGTTGGGACGGATATGTTAAGGTATGTTGTAGAAACCTTTAATAACTAATAACTTTAAAAAAAAGTTGGGAGGTCTGTCTATATTTTTATCTTATGAAAATAGAGAAATTTTAAAATTGACGCTTTGTTTATACAACATAAAAGCAACGGTGATTAAACTCATCTTGATTATGTTAAACATTTCTCTTCTTAATCTACTAAATATGAACTATTTAAGCTTTGGGACACACGATCATTATTACCCGTCGGCCAAATGGATTGTGTAGAGAAGATTTATGCTTTAGATGTTGTTGATAACCGAGCTGTAGTGGGTACGAAAGATAAACAGATTTACGTTTGGGACGTTCGCAACTTTTCTCAACCTCTGCAACAAAAAGAGTCACCTTTGAAGGTAAGTGTACATTAATTTTATATGACACTAGTCGTGGTAGTATTGGGAGCGCGGTAATTTGGTTTTTTGTTCTTTCAGTATCAAATCAGGGCCATTAAATGTTTCCCATCTGCTGAAGCGTATGTCGTATCTTCAATTGAAGGCAGAGTTGCAGTAGAATACTTTGATCAGAATGCAGAAGTTCAGAAGAGCAAATATGCTTTCAAATGTCACAGAGTGAAAGATGAACAAGGAGAACTCATCTATCCTGTCAATGCCATCGCTTTTCATCCTATTCACAGGACTTTTGCTACTGGTGGTGTGTTTTGCATTTTTCTACGATTGGGAGTTTATATTTTTATAAACTTTATATTTTTAAAAATATTGCTAAAAAGAATTATGGGATGCTTAGTTTTAACTACTAGTTAAGTAAAAATTAATTTTTTGTTAAAAACTAATGTTTTAGGTTCTGACCAGATGGTTAATATGTGGGATCCATTTAACCGCAAAAGACTGTGCCAGTTCAGAAAGTTCCCATCATCTGTTACCTCGTTGTCATTCACATCTGACGGATCTCATTTGGCTATTGGTACAACATATCTGTACGAGGATGACGCAGTGCCAAACCCTCTACCTGAACCTTCATTAACAATCAGAAAAATGACAGAATTAGAAGTGAAACCTAAGTAATTATTATAAATATTTACACATTCAAATTTTTTGGGGCTTGAAAAAAATTGAACTTGCATGGAAATTTAAAATGAGGTGTTAAATTATAATTTTATGACATTAACCTACGTTTTTGTAATTATTGATTGGAAATGTCTACTTAAACAACTCGATTTTATAATTATAATTAAATATTTCAAAAAATATGCTTTAAAACGTTATTAACGTTAATATTTGGATTTAAAAAGTGTAAACTGCTTTATTAATTAGCAAAATGTTGTGCAATTTGCAAGTTTTTACGAAATCGCGCGGCTATGTTTACTTAAATTTGGCAGAAATGCACCAGAAGAGAGTCGGATGAAACATTTTTTATCTGATCCGAAGCCATGACAAATGTCTCTAAGTTCGACTTTTTGATTACTTTTTTATTTTTCACTATAAGAAACATAAAAAGTTCCGAGGTTTGGAAGACGAGGGATCAAGGGGTCTGAAATTAGGTTAAAAAAGGTATCTACTATAACATTGAACACAAAGAGCTGTTGATTTATGTTTATGGTAACCCGCTTTGTATTTACGGTAACGTTTTGTGAGGAATTTATTGTGACGGTAACCTTATTTTGCCGGTAACTCTTTATTGTGAGAGTAAACCTTTGTATCCGAGGTAACTCTAATTCAATAATAATTTCACTTCTATTGTAATCTAAACGTAATTCGTTTAATCTCTCCTAAACGTATCTCTCTCATCTAAACCTACATTATATTATACGTTCCTTGAGCAAAACAAAAGTGAAAGTCGAGGGTTTTCAGCCGCGATGAATCAGAAGTGAGGGAGGGATAAGACAATTATAGTCGCACCGTTACACGAAACTGGATACCCTAAACACCTTGCTCGTTCCACACTCACCCCTCGTATCACAGTCTCGCATGTTGTTTTGTTTGCTGTTGTTGATATTCGAGACAGTATCATGTGTCGAGGAGGATGACAGGGTTTTTGGATTACCGAATGTCACTTTCAATGCCAAGTTTAAACAGTACTCTGGCTATTTGAAGGCTTCTCCTGATGGGGAGGATTTGTTTTTCTATTGGTATGTTACCTTGATTTGTTGTAGTACTATACTAATGTGTTGTAGATTATATACTAATTGAGAATATAATACAATCACAATTTAAAATCCAAAAAATATGTTTTCAGGCTAACAGAAGCGGCAGTAAATCCAGATAGTGCTCCTCTATTGGTTTGGCTGAATGGTGGGCCTGGTTGTAGTTCTATAGGTGGACTATTAGCTGAGTATGGACCATTTTATGTGACAAAAGATGGTTCAGCGTTGGTCGAGAATATATTTGCATGGAATCGAGAGTTTAATGTTTTGTTTCTGGAATCTCCGATTGGCGTCGGTTTCTCATACAAAACTGGGGATCCGCTACAGTACAGTACTGGGGATGACGAAACTGCAGGTAAAGTAATGGAAGGTCTCGGTAGAAGAAGGGATTGTTGTAATATTGTCACTAGATAAGGCATGGGTTTTCGATTTATTCAAACATACTGTAAATGTACGTACTGTATTTTCTTTACTATTATAATACTTTATTTAGAGTTGAATCTCCATGCGTTGTCAGACTTTTTCTTACGGGTTCAAACTAGGTATCGACGCAGAAAGTGGTTCTTGTCAGGAGAATCGTACGCCGGTATCTACATTCCAACACTGACAGAGCTCGTTCTTGAAGCCATTAGTCGCAAACAGTTTCCAAATGCCCGATTTCAGGTAATTTTTCGTTTTACATTTAATTTTTATTATACTAAAAGAGACTTTGTCGAATGTTTGAAACAATATAGAACTTGACTTTACTATTATTGTTACAGGGAATTGCAATTGGAAATGGATACTTGAATTCACAGAATCTGACCAACTCGTTGATACATTGGCATGTATACCATGGTGCTATTGGTGTAAGGTAATGTATTCTATCATAAATTTAACGGGGGCTTTTGAAGGTCCATACGGCATATTATAGTAGATAATACAGTCATGAAAAGTAATATAATAAAATTTGAAAAAGAGCTAAATTTAATTTTTTTAAAGTAACGGTATGTTCTGTTATAGAGAATGGGCCAATATAAAGGAAACTTGCTGCCCAAACATGCTTCACATTGAGCAATGTGATTTTCATGCTCATGTCAAAGAAAACTCGACAGAAGTGTGGGCTTTGGACACTTGTGGCAAACTTGTAGGTTGTACAGTTTTTGGTATTTTTAAAGTGCAATAATGACTTAAAAAAGACAAAAAATCAGTTTTGACTTCGGGTTATAAAATTTTACGAAAGAAATTTACATAACCTATTGTAATATTATCTTACTTTTTCCAGTTCATTGACGTGCTAAACATCCCGGAAAAGTAAGTTTAGTAAATAATATAGGATTGAGAGTTTAGCCAAAACGAGTACAATTACTACTTGGACTGTTACAAAGCTGGTCAGATAAGGTCAGGTAGAAGGTCGTTGAAACATGATTCTTTGTTGTTTACGGTATGTTTTGCTTTAAAAATGTTCTGCTACTTATACTGTATCTTATATTTATTTATATCATACATATATATGTAGTGACTGTTTTTTCACATATCTTTTGACAACGTTTGTGATTTTCAGAATCTTATAAATTATGACACGACCGACAATCAGATGGGCTTTCCTTGTTGGAACGAAGATGCTATGAAGGTGTACATGAACAAAAGGAAAGTGCAGAAGGCTTTGCATGTTGCGGACGAGTGGATACGACACCGAGAAACTGAATGGGAAATGTGCAAGTAAGGCTTTTACTCTACATCTTGATATGCTGTAACATTCACGTCTTAGGTTTTGGATAGAGCTACTTTATGGTACATATTATGTTTTAAACAACGTAATGTGACTTTAAAATATTTTTCTTACAAGGTTGCAATTGAATATGACTTTAACTAACTGAGTTTAGCGATGACATAACTGATGACTACCGTCCCACCTACAAAGACACCTTCAACTTGTTTGAGGAAATAATCAAAAAGCTGGTCAAGTTTAGAAAAAAGGTTTGTCTTTATATTTGTTTGGATAGATTTGATTTTTATTATGCATCTTCAACATATATGTAATGCAAGTATAATAAAACAATATATATTTTAGTTACCCAAGAACTTCCGTATGTTAATGTTCAATGGAGATGTGTAAGTCATCACCTTTTTACCTTCGATGCTATTAAATATTAAAATACTTCGATGTTGAGTCTAAGTTAAATAACATATTTTTATAAAATATTTACTCTTTCAGTGACACAGTGTGCAACTTCATTGGCGTTTCGTGGCACATGGATAATGTAGCTCATCGTAACCGCTTTGTAGCTCAGAAACGGATCTCATGGAGCTTCCGAAATCAAGTTGCTGGATACACTCAACGCTACACTAGAAATCTGACCGAACACAACCAGTTGAGCATCGACGTGCTGACTGTCAAAGGTGCTGGTCACTTTGTCAGCGATCGACCAGGCCCAGCTCTTCAGATGATAACCAACTTTGTAAAAGGAACTGGCAACTATTCGAGAGCTGATTTTGTACATAAACTCACAATCGATCAGACGACAAACATAGGAACTCACTTCATCATCAACCACGTGTTATGTGCAATATTTATGATTACGGTGTACTTTTGATATACGATCTCATTGTTTTTAAATTTCGATACTAGTCAGATTAGAATAAAGGTTTAACGCTACGTTTGATCTTTTTCAAAGACAAATCAAATAAGGTTAAACAACTAACTATTTTATCGTATAAAACGGCCTTGTCTTAACAAAACGCAGTTCGCGCCCAAATGAACGAGGATTTTTCGGAAAAATATTTATTTTTTCGGTTTATGTTAGCCTTGTTTGACAGTTCGTTGTAGAAATGGTAAAAGAAGTACAAATACCAAAGGGATGTTGTATCCAGCTCTTGAATGTGCCTTATGGATTCTTTGAAAAAGAAATACATGGCTATTTCTCTCAATTTGGAACTGTTGTCAGAGTTCGCGTCCCTAAATCAAAAAAGGTTTGTTTTTAATTTGTATTCTATGATTTTAGGTATGATTTGAAGGTTTCTGAAGCCTTAGCTGACTTAAAGTTTATTTAAGAGTTTTTATGGTTTTTTACTTAAGGGGGTAAGAGTAGTCAAGCGAATAATTTAGCTTTCTTGTAACATAAATTTTAACATAATAAATATAATTTAACATATTTTAGGGAGGCTTTAAAGGAAAAGCATTTGTTTTGTTCGATGATAAAGAAGTAGCTCGTTTGGCATCTGAAGCCATGCACAACTACTTGATGTTTGACAAGGTAGTAAAGTGTTCTGTGTTGAAAGACATTCCAGCTGTAATTAAGAGTGGACCTTTATTTGCTCACAACGACGAACCTCTGAAGAACAGAAGGAGAGAAGCAAGACATTTAGCCAGAGTCCGCACAGACGATGAGGTTAAATTGGAAAAAGTAAGCTTTTAAACTTATGGGTATTGAGGTGAATCTATTTTATTAAAGATACGTATTTTATTGCACATAGTTAAAACCTGATTTTGGGGTACACGTTTGTCAACACAAGTTGAATCAAAATTAAAAATATTTTTTATGATAAAATTTTGTATTCAATTTTTGTAACGTAAGTATAAACTACAGCCTATACAAATGATGCAAAAATGATCTGAATTATTATGTGTAATCATAGATATTTGATTTTTCTTGACGTAAATGTTAATTTAAAGGTTTAGCTATTGATGTTGGAAATGATCTGATTGGTTTTAGATAAGGATTGCCAAAAGCTTGAGGGCACAGTTGAAGAAGCTGAAGGATAAAGGATTTGAATATGAATTTGACTATTCGGCCAAGGAGAAAGCAGCGTTCAAAGATATTGTCTAACATAATATTGGTTATTTGTTGCTTGTTGTTGTTTTTGTTGATATGATTAAATGTTTTGTTATATTCTGGAGGATGTCGTCGTTAATTTGTAAAATCAGCCTTAATATTTGTTTGTGGGGTTTTCTATTTGATACATTTATAAGTTATGTTGTTAGTATGTAGTACAGGATGTGTTTTATGGTCTGGTCGTTGACTTATTTTCCGCGAAAAGCGATTCGAATTGTTGTAGGGGATTAGAATTTGAGACGTTCCTTTTGAATTCCTCTCTCAGAGTTGATAAGGAGCCTATTCTTCTGATATCATGTATGTGGAGCAATGCACTCGGGTATTCCGTTTCTGCTCTTGTCCGGGGTCAATCTACTCCTGGCTTCCGTTCAGGTTTGTGACAACAATCATCTGTACAATATCACGGATGTGGGTATAGTAACGTCTCCATCGTTTCCTGAATTGTATCCAAATGGCAAAGACTGTTACCAAGTTTTGTCAGCAGAGAACGAGGATGATGTTATCCAACTCATCTTCTACATGTTTGACACCGAGAAGGATGCTGACTATGTTTATTTGTACGAGGGTGAAGGAGCGAACAAAACGCTTATTGCCAGGTAAACGGTGTTTACTGTAACTTTGGAACGGTATTTAAATCATGTTTAAATTTTTTTGTTTGCTGAATTCTAAAAATTGTTTTTCTTGCGAGTAATGTGCTATTTGACAAAGATAACGTATTTTTAGATTAAATATTTTTGCTTATTCTTACTGTAAATCATACGGTACTTTCTTTGAATTGAAAAACTTGGTTTAAAAATATGTTTTTACTTAATTTTTGGTAATAAAAATTTATTTTTTAAAAATATTTCTTGTATGTGTCAAGTATAACAATGGTTTTCCTGTAGGTTGACCGGAGACAGCGAGACCTGTGAAGTGTATCGAACAAATTACACTAACACAATGACAATCAGGTTCAAATCGGATCTAGATAACAATTTTGACGGGTTCTATGCTGAGTACAGGCCTGTCCCGAGTAAGTGTTTCATGACGCAGATGTAAGATACTTAACGTTGTTTGTTTAGTGACACGGAAAAGGGTTAAGGTGCTTAGAGTGACATACTAATACTGCTAAGGTTTCAAAAGAACAGAAAGTATGGTTTTTGGTATTTTTAAATTTTGGTGAATTTAGATAAATATTAAGAAATCCAAGTTAATATTTCGTTTTTAGAAGATATACTTGTCCCAGTTCTTGATGACGCTCCTATACAAACGAAGGAATACAATGAGACTTCTGGTGTCTTAATAACTCCAAAATGGCCAGATTTATATCCGAACTCGGCGTGTTGGCTCTACCACTTCAACTTTCCTTACAACTCAATTACTTTTAAATTCAATACGTTTTCGACAGAGCCGAACGCTGACTTTTTGTATATATACCACGAAAATGAAACGGATGCTACACTAATAGAAAAGTAAGTTGTGTTAGGCATAGTTGGCTACATTAAAGTTTGTTTAAAGTTGAAATCTTAATTTTAATCTTTACACTGCTTCTTCTCCTTTTGTATTACACTTATTATTACCGTATATCATTTCAAATTCAAAATCATTTTAATCAAAATGTATGCAAATTTTGCAGAAAAACGGGTTTCTTTGATAAGACCACGACCTTGGCCTACACTGACCAAAATATTTTACTCAAGTTTACTTCCGACTTAGATGGGCAATCTATGGGGTTCAGTATAACATACAAAACGACGTGAATACGGTTGTTACTCGACTGGACCGGCCGCGTATCTGATTGTACCTTGACTTGTCATTTCACAACTGAAAATAAACAAACCTTAACACTAGGTTGCCCCAATATGTTTTGTTCTTTGACTTTGAAAGAAGATTACGATAAGTTTGTTGTTTCTTAAGGTATTACGTGACTTTTAAGGAATTAAAATTTGTGGTTAAAAGGTTAAATTTCAATTTTATAGAAATAAGCTTGTTTAAGAAACATCTAGTATTAGTTGTAACCAAGCAGAGATGCCTTTTTTGAATTAAAACTTATAAACTAGACGAACTTACCTGTACTTGGTCCTGTTCCTGATGATCTGTCCATTCAAGGGGATACTGTATCCATCCTTGGAGATGCAGTTGACTACCTCGACAGCTCCATTCTCTTTGCACGTCTTGTTGAATCTGTGATTCTCGATCCAATGTTCTCCAATGTCACGTTGTCCACTCTGTTCGTCGATACACTTTACAGCGTGGTCTTGGCTAAAGTTTTGTGGAGCTTTCACTGACTTGGAGCCATGGAACACGACGGTACCATTCTGGTACTGTTGGCAAACCAAAGTGAAGCCACCGACTTGTTTGGTACCATTCACTGGAATACGTTGACCATCTTCGGTTACACAGGCCTTCAGTTCGCGGACCCCGCCTGGACGACATTCTAGTTCGAACGACTTTTCTTGCCATCTACTGCCTGTAATTTTTGTTTTACTACATTTTCACTTACACATAACTTACAATCAAAGTAGTTTTTAAAAAATTCAGGAGTAATAGTTTATATATCTAAGCACTAATTATTTCAAAACGTACCAACAGCATGATTACCACATGTAGCGTAGGGGTTGGGGCCTTGGCTAAGTGCCACTTTGCCTTGATCGTTGTTGGCACAGCTCCACTCGCTGTTGTCTTCAATGATCTTACCGTTCAAAGGGATTCTGGAGCCAGAAGGAGAGAGACAAGCGACTACTTCTGTCTTCCACGATCCGTCGTTGTTAATGGTACAACGCATAACAAACGAGTTTCTCTCGGTCTACAAGTTTTTTGACATACTTCTTTACCTTTATTATGAAAAGACCTACCTAATTTTATAAATTTAAACTACCTAAAAGACTATTAGATCTGTCCAAGCCTTACCCACTCATCGTTGTTACTATAGCTCCGTCCACCTTGCTTACAGGCAGTAACTGCGCCGACAAAAAGTAAGGCCAGAAGACCGAGGTGGGCCATGTTGAACTTTGGATTAAAATAAAACAAAAGAATAAGAAGAAGCGACGGGCGACAACTGACGATCCTGTGATTTTCATGGTCAAGAGATAAATCTTTGGCTCTTTTATTTACAAATTAATTTATTAGAAAAGTTGGGGATTAAAGCGCTTGTAGGACTAGAAGGAGGACCTGTTTCCATAGCATTGGATTTCGTAGGCATTGTGCTACTCAGTACTCGAGGTTTTGTACTGTTGGTTCTATTAGTTGTAATAGGTACCGTAGTCGTAGTGAAATTCATAAGAACTTCTTGTATTGTTAGCTTGACTTCAGTACAAAGTAGTGACTAACTTATGTAACTCATCACAGTTTTAAAGCTTGAGCACAGTCCCAGTCGATTCTGGCCAACGATTCCAGCGCCGGCTGAATAAAAACTTTGGGATTTAAAGCAACTACACGATGTCGTTCGATCTCCGTCTTCAATCGCTCCACCTCAAACCGAAGCCTAAGGTTTTCTTGTTCTAGTAACGCTGCACGGATTGCTACTTCGTCTTCCTGAAATTACACGTGTTAAGAAAATACGATAAAGATGCTTTAAAGTTAGAAACCTCCTCATTTGCTTAATTTTGTTGAATATTTTATCTTTTACTCACAATCAGTTTAATACTAAAATTTGCATAAAACTTAAAAGGTCAACAAACATGGTTCAAAAGCTAAAGTTCATTTTTTTCTGACATTTCTGTAACATAAAGAAAACGAGTTAAGTGTACTTAATCAATATCACTTCAACTTACTTTTTTCCTCCTCGAGTCTCGGCTCCTCTTGGCCGCGTCGTTGTTCTTTCTCCGCCGTTCCCAGTAAGCCTGGTCTCTGATCAGTTCTTTTTTCCGTTTCTCATTCGAACTCTTGCTTTTACTGCTACTGAACGACGCTGTCGACAAGCAGCCATCACTGTCAGAGGCATTCGATGTCAGCTGACTGTCCAGTTTGGCTTGAGATATAGAAGAAGTACAGTCTGGTAGAAGTGACGTGCTTGTTGATGTTGTGTTAAGGGGATAGTCGAGAAGGAATGGGACTTTGTTCTCGACATCTTGAGGGTCTACCTTTAAAGGTAGAGAAGACACTGAGGGATACTGTAGAGGAAAGTTGTTGGCTCCAGTGTAGATGCCGTACAAGGTTGAGTAGCTTAGATCAAGGGGAAGTAATGGCTGAAAGTTGAAATTGTTTATAATCGAGAACGATATTATCAACAACAAGAATGACGTTATATTGAATAAGATGACTTTTAATTAGAAAATGAGGAGGTAACACTATCTTTTAATGAAGATACGCTGATTAATGAAAAAAACCTACCTGTTCCAACAACCGCTGGGTGGAGTGAGCCAACGATGAGGCCATGTCAGACTACAAAAATACACGGTGAAAGTGAAATCTGGAGCGCCGATGAATTGTTTTGCGGGAAGCGTGGAAAGTGAAAGCTGTGGAAGCGAAGGGGCGAAAGTCGGTCACCCAGATTTCGGGGGCGGCATCGTTCATCCGTGTTGTGGATTCTGAGGGCAGTGCCGGAGGCGCCCTTCTCTGACCGTTGCGTTCCCTCCGGCAACCGTTTTTTACTCTCTCTTCCGAAACCGTGGTCGCTTTTCGTAATCGCTTCAGAAGAGGTCAGGGCATCCGGAAAAGAGTTGCGCTCTTTTACATTCGAATTCAGAAGCACTTTCGAATGACGACGCTCGGCGCTTACATCGCCGCAAAAACAAAAACCGGAAAATGATGGAGCCTTCCAGGATAAACGATCCACTGTAACGCGACTACAGAAACGGCACAAAAACAAAAACTGGCTTTACATCACCGTGTGTTGTAGTTATTGTATGTCGTTTCATATACGTTCGTATCAGTTTTTTAAGTTGAAGTCATAACCAAAGTGATAACCAGCTACAATGTACCAAAACAGATCACTAAAGACTTCAAAAACAATATAAAATCAACGTTGCACTCAAGTTTAAAGTAAGAAATATTATACGAAAAAACAAAGTTAAGCAATACGAACTCGATATATCATGTTCGAAGCAATTACTGCAGTAATAGTTTACAAAAATGTACAATAATTAAGTGGTCGCGCTTTGAAAACCTGTCCGTCTACTGAATTTATACCTTTTTGTTCACTTTGTCAACATGTTCTGGGCATATATTGTGTTGTTATGGGCTTGCTTATCAACTTGTCAGTCTGATATTGACATTAAAGGTAGAGATAGCTTTGTTTCCAAGTAAATAACTTCATTTTGATGTATTACTTTTACATCATTTTGTACTAAAGTAATATATCTTGTTATAATATCTTTGTTTTCATAAAATACTGTAGACCTACTACCTGACGAACTCAACGACCTTCTGGAGAATCTGTCGTCAGCCGAAGAAGAAAGGTTCGCGACTTCAGATGGCGTCGACGATCCGGAATTGTCGCTGAAACTGCTGACAAGCCATCAGCAGATCAGCGAAAAAACAAGAAAACTGAATCCCCCAGCTCGAGATTTCTTGAATGACGTAAGGGTTATTTCACCGTTAACGCATCCCTTTCCAGATGTTTGGCGATCTTTATGAAATCGATGATAGCGAGTTGAAGACGATTTCGAAACGTTACCTGAAGCGATGGAACGGGCTTCCAGAAGCTGAGAAAAACAGCTTGAAATCTGTTTTTCCCAAGATCTACACTGTTTTGAACAGTAAGTTTGCTTGGTATATCGAAAGCAAAAGGAATTCTCCAAAAAAGCTAACTATTGTTTTCGTGTTGGGACGCAGAAGTGCTCTTGGCGTACTAATTTATTTTTTATAATTATCAACGTCCAATTAACTAAAGTCATTGCAGGTCCTGAATTCGCCAAAATTGCTGATTCATAACCATCTCAACATTAATTTTAGTAATTTTAAAATAAATCATGTGACAATAAATGGCAGCCCAAGCATAGTTACAACATTTATTATCTTAACAAGTCTTATATTACATTACCCATAACAATGAAGTGATAAATTAAAGAGCCTATGCGACATGCCTATGAGATGATACGATGGCAGGAATGTTTACAATGTAATCTCTATACAGTTTTACTATCGATGACTTCGGCTGGGGCGGCGGTTGCTTTTGAGCGAGGAACGGCGGGATAAAATCGACAAACACAACTTCCGCGTCTTCAGGCTGTACACGTTGCGGCAGAAGTAGATCTACAAATGGCAGTAGTTGAGATTTGTGAAATAAATCATTAGTTGAGATATGTTAAAACTCTATTTTTGATTTTAAAATTATTAGGTTGTTCATATATTTCTGAGCCTCCTAAAGATTTGGCTTGAAGTTGGGCTCGGAAATACATGAACAATTGTAAACTTAGAAATGTGTACTATAAAAGGTAAAACTAGTCAATAGAAGATTGTGATAAGTTCTTACCAAGTCCATCGGAGTATCTTCGTGGGGCAGACGGATTCTGCGTTGATATTCTTCTTCCCCTCGAGGCCAGACATCTCTGCTTTCCAATGGTCGTTGTTCTGGTGGCATTTCGTCGATTCTGGTTTCAGCAATGAATCTAAAATTATTTTCGTAAGTTTTTTTCTTTATCAGTTGATATCGTAGCTTTTGACATTTGTGTGAACTCATATTAATATTTGTTTTAAAATTAAAAATTAAATTTAAAAAAACCACTTGTGTTTTTTTAAATTCAAACAGGTCGGCATTAAAATTCGTGCAATAAATACAAATCATCAGGGTCTATTACATTACACTGTAAATACTCGAACAGCCTTATGATACTTATAAAACAAACGTACTACAAAATACATAAGCACACTCAAGGTATTACACTAAACGAATGAAATTATTACACAGTAAACTACATATCCTACAATCACATACCTGCAGTACTCACTGTACGACAGCACGAAAGCGTGCTCCTCGATACTGTCCACATTGATGACATCGATGTGTTTTGAAGCTAGAAGCTCATTGTGCATCAGACTGATCTCGTCCGGGATCTGTTGCTGAGTGTAGTACCACATGACTTCTGCGCAGATGTTGCCAGTCTCTTCATCGTAAAAGATTCTGAAGATCTTGCCAATGTTTTCGAGGCCTTCTGAAGAGCACACTCTCACACAATCCTTGATTCTGATGATCTCGTCCTGCTCCTTGGAGTGTCTGATGGCATTGTAGCAGATCCGCTTCTTGTACTGTAGCTCCGTAGGAAGACGCAGCTCTTTGTAGACCCCTTCGTCGACTGATCTCCAGTTGGAGTTGAATTGTGTAGCCTTTCCACGGCGTTTAACTTGCGTAGCCTTCTTCTTTTTTACGATCGTCGGCTTCTGACGTCGTTTCATCACATTCTCAGCGATGTTGTGTACAGAAGTCAAAGGCTGGACCTTGATGGTGTCGAGTACATCGTGATGGTCCATTTTGAAATCGTGAGAATCGTTCCACAACGATGAGTTTGCACTGCTTACACCACTTGAGGATGACTCATCCAATTTCTCCACTTTTGTAATAATTTCGCTTTTGTTCTCTTTGGTGACGTCACTTGATGAAGTTACAAGCTCGAGACAAGAGTCTGATTTTTTGGATTCTGCTAATCTAAAAGAGGATTCTGATGTTTCAAATGCAGATTCTGATGATTTAAAGCAATTTTTTTCATTTCCAGAATCCATTACTTTGAAGTCAGAATCCGAAGCTCCAGAAGCCGAGATGTCGCTGTCCATTTCGTGCATACTGTCAATCGAAAGTTGTTTTTGTAGCTTTAGAGATGGGAATTCCATGTTTTCTGACGTATCTGTCATTACGTCATTCAGTTCGAGAACAGGCATATCCATCGTATCTTCTTCTTCTGATCTGTCGTAACTTATGTAATCGTTTGGAGATCTACTTGTTGCTGCTAACGGAAGTTGTTCTAGATCAGTAACTTTGTAATTGCCTTCAGAAATTAGTTTTTCAGCAACTTGTTGCCCAATATCACTAACTTTTCGCCCAAAATCCCCGACTTGTTGCCCAACTTGTGCAACGTGTGACCCAATATCAACTGTCTTCTGCCCAAACCCACAAAGTTCAGCGTCTTCAGAAGCAGAGAACGGTACGATGTTGTGGTTCACAAAAGGAGTCGGTTTCTCAATTTGAGGCAACGAAGCTTGTGAAGTCTCTGGCTTCAGATACAGCGGTTCGAAGTTGGCGGGCTCTAGTTTAGGGGGTTCTAATTCAGTATCCAGAAACTCGTTGGCGTTAGGCAGTAGCGGAATCTGTTCTTCAAAGACCGTGCTCTGCCGTTCTAACACTGGAGGCGCCAAGTCGTCCTTAAATTTGAAATTTTAAACTTTTTTTTCGAAATTTTGAATTTTTAGATTTAAACTTACAGTAACATTAAAAAAGACATCATTTTACTTATACTATAAAAATTAGATCGAGAAATACATAGAATTTGAGTTAAAAGTTGAATTTTTAAAAATTAATTTAGTTTGGAAGCAAGTATAAGACAGTAAACAGGACAAAACGACGCTAATATCCCGTCTTCAAATGACCTCTCCAGACCAAATATAAGTGGCGCGGAATACCTAATCACAACATGACTGTCATTAAACGCCTATAAAGACAAAGCTACAGTAAACTTAAGAATATCCGGTCAATAAGTAAATAGAACATTTTATATTTAAAAGTACACTTTAAATGCAATTCTATAAACTTTTTGACCAAACTAACTTGAACTAATTTGCATAAAGAACAAAAAAAGTGAAATTTTAGTTTACTTTGGCTTGAGGATAGTATAATTTAAGAATAGTATTATATAAGACTATGGTTTCGAAACGTCATTTTATAAAAGTTTCTCCAAATTTCGAGAAATTTCGAAAGTCTCGTGACATAAACATCCAAAAACAATATATTAACTCAGTACTTTGCTTTCGGCATTCTTGTTTTTGAAATGAGGTGTTGCTTTTAACAAAAAATGGCACAAAAATAGACTAGACCGCTATTTATAAGTAATCTAATAGTACTGGTGTTTTATGCACTCTAGACTTTGACTTTTGACAATTAAATAATGCTGGAGTTCCTAAAATTAAATAAAAAGTTGTCCCTTAATGTTTAATTAAAATTTACAAGCTACAATTTACAAAAACCTACGGCCAAACCTTGAAAACCCGCCCAATCTCAAAAACACAAGAAAACTTAATGTTTTATAAAGCCTAAGCTATGACTCATCTCAAGTTAGCCTCAAATAATTACGCAACAGCTCTCCCTCCGAGGACTGGATTGGGATCCCGATCAATATGACAGTCGTACAATTACGACATGGCCACAACCGAGTGAATGGTGGGCGTTTTCGGGCGGCGTCGCCATTTCAAATACCAAATCGCGGCGAAAAAGACTTTTTTAAAGCGACAAAGTGGACCTATTGGTTGGAAAAAAGTCGCAAATGAGGTGGCATGACCAGAAAAGTAAAATATTTTAAAAATAATTGAAATATATGAAATTTTCTCAAATTTTAAACATTTTTTGGTAAAAGATTTAATTCAAATCAATTTCAAACATCTAAAACAATATAATTTGTGTCATTTTATTTTCCCTTACTTTTTTCTTAATTTTTCGACCAAAAATATAGTTTGCATAGTAAACTTTCATTACGGCTATTATAAACTTATTTTGAAAACTTTTCCACATCAGACCTTTGCCTAATCCCCTGAGGCAAGATATTAAGTTAAACAAAAAGATTAGCCGTGTGATAGAGTATGATGAGTATACCAAGGTTTGGTAATCTACCCATTACATTTCCGTTGCCATTTGAACAGATGTAAACAGTTAAATTATTCAAGACGTCTACACACGGTAATCGTATGTTTGGTAAACATACAATGTTATGTTTAGTAAACATACGATATAATTGTATTGGTTTGTGTAATTAAGATAACTTAGGTACAAAAGCAAGATACGTACACACTTAAAAATGTCACCTAAATATACAGTAATACAACATACCTCAAAACTCTGTAACGTAGGCAACTGTGACATGTCTTCTGCTGGTAGAATGTCCATGTCATTCATTTTACTCTCTTGATTTAAAGCAAACATTGACTGTGGGATCGGCTGGACTAGCGGGACAAAGTTGGATGGCTGGATGAAGAAGTTTTGGGGGAAATACGATAAGTTACATGGCATGTAGACAGGCTGTGATGGTACTAGGATGAAGGGGTTGACGTTTATCCTGAAACAACATAAGGTGGAATAATAACTGTGTGTAAATCAATATAACATACATTGTGACAGATATTGACTCAACGATTACACTATACATTCTATTATAGGTACTGCTGACTTTGTGTTTACAATCGTATGTTTAGATAACAAAAGTGTAAAAAACATGTCATGTTTTAGCAGCAATACATTTGCTAAGATACCACAGTAAAAACAAAGTACAGTATTGAAAATCTCGTAAGATATGCTAATTAGAATTATAAATAACATACTCAACAACCTCTCAAGCTTAACCTACAAAATGTTATATTTAACATATTATTATGCACACAGTGTCACATTTCATTAAGATTTCGTATCTTTAATTTAAAATTTCGAAATATTGTTAAATGCTTTACAAAGTAACTTTGAAATACCATTTGTTGCAAACACTTTTTAAAAAGTTGGTTAAATTTTGAAATTTAAAGATATTTTTAGTGGTTAAAGTGCTAACTAACATTAGCTAAAGGCCTGTAGTACATTTTTGAGTTTAAATTTAAAACTGTCAAATAAACTGACTATTATGTAGTTCAAATAATTCTGTGCTCCTATCAAAGCAAAGTTTTGGAGTTAAGAGCACAGAATTTTTTGAACAACTAAATAAACTACAGTAACAACTTACATGTTTGTGGGTAATTTAAAAAACATTTGGTTTCCAAGTTGTTCGAATTGACCGGTCAAATTGGCCATCTGGTTCTAAAACATAATATTGTGATATCTTTTAGAGTATACAAAGTAATGTCACAGGGCAATGACAAATCATATCAATGAATAAAGTCGTATATACAATGCAATGGTAAAAAGACAATAGTTACTGTACAGTAATGTAAGCAAATATACAGTAATAAGCTAAAATAAGCAGTAAAAAACAGTAATGACAACATATAAAAACTTAATTTATAAAAAGTTTGAGAATTACACAGTAATTGCCGTATATTACAGAGTGATGATAGTATGTTAAAGCCGTTACTGTTAAAATAGTGAATGTACTATGAAAGGAATAACTAATAAGCCACGTGAAATATTATACGAACATGCAACAAACAAAAACAACATGTGTCTATTAATAACAACATGTTTTCTCTCAATGTATCCGGCTAGAGTGTAGTCTTACTATCTGAAGGTGACAAAGTTCAAAGAAATACTGTGATAAGATTATGCAAATTATCAAAATTTCAAAAAATTTTTTAAAATTTAAAAATATTGTACTACGGGATAAGACAATATAAGCATAGTAAATGTAATTAAAGTGAAAGTAAAAGTTCGTAGATAGAGTAGAAATTAATATAAGCCCAGTGTAACATACGTCGAGAACCAATTCGAGTTTGAGATAGAGGAAAGATGGTGAAGATAAGTATTCAGCTGATCGGCATCTCTAATCCCGTCGTGTTTAAATGTAAGTAATGTATATTTAGGTACGTTGAAGGATTTGATACGAACGCCGTAAACACAAAATTAGTTTTAATTAGCGACAGACTATTACAATTACAATGGGATTACTGTACGAGCACACGTACTGCAGGAGAAGACTTTACAGAGTGTAAACAGGTCTTCGTGAGTATCATACTATTGTGAACAAGTCTTAGAGAATATCATACAATTGTAAAAAAGTATCGGGTAGTAACATACTATTGTACATTTAGATCTGAATTATGCTACAGCTTGTCAAAAGTTTATCGCAAGACTTGTTATCAAAATTATCAAAGACATTCTTGAGATAGCAAGGATAATATATTGCTATTGCTTAACTTTCAAATTTTTAAAACTTGTCATTAAAGGTTATGCAAATACAAAACCTCAGCTTCAAAACCAATCCAATTGACGTCATCTTAGCCATGTTTTAGTTTACTTAATCGCATTTTTAAAATAAAAAATGTACGATTTTGACAAAAATGCCCCTAACAAAAATAGCTGACAATAAAAATAGTTTGGAACAGTTAAAAGCACACAACAGTCTTGCCCTTTGTTTTGAAATGATAAAGGAGGTTGATTGAGTTTCAAAAGACAAAACACTTTTTTATGCCTATGCTTGTATATACGTATACTACGGTTGAAGACAAAATTATAATTATAAAACCAACAGTAAAAAGCCGCTTTAAGTGTTAAATTACTGACTTTGTCTACAACAATACCACTGTCTAATCAAACCAACTGATAGCTTTAAAAACTATTCTACTCTACCGTGTGTTGCTGTTTTTGTATTTAAGTATGCCATGAGGCAACATTATAATTTAAAACAGCATTAGAAAGCTCTTTTAAACCTTATGTTACTAAGCTTGTCCATAATAATATCATACTCTAAGTGAACATTGTGATCTGATAGCTTTAAAAACTATTCTACTCTACCCTATGTTGCCTTGTTTATATATGAAACTAACTTATAAAGCTATTTCTAATGTTTTCAAAAATAAATTTTGAAAATTTGAAAAATACCGTTAGATAACAATAACAAGTCTACAAACACGCTATAAATACACGTATTACGTAGTGAAACAAGACATCACGTATGGGTGACATTAGACAGCTACACGAAGTAAGTACGACCGTTAAGGACAATCGAGTAAACAAGGTAATTAAAGGTCACCATGAATTATGTAAAGTGAGGCTGTAGACAAAAACGGTTAGCAATACAATGTCGCAGCAATTATTAAAATAAAACTAACAAACTCAAAAAAATTGTATTAAAGTGCCTACCACAGTAAACGTTAGATACTATGTAACACTCTAATAGATAGACATAGATAAACATGCACATCTTAGTATAATAAAGACGCACATAGTAGGATAAACACATTAATGTACATTCTATAACAAGATACTACAAATACCCTAAAGTCATTACAAAACCAGTGTAAAGACCTTACTTTACAGCACTAAGCTATGTATGACAACTTCTATAAATAACCTTATGTTTATAACCATTGTAGGTAGGGAAGTACGATACAATGGACAGATATATCTCCGTAAACATGACACAATTTTGAAACACGGAACGGCACGTTCAAGGACACCGGTTTAAGAGTACATTTGTATACGAATGTTACATTAACTATACTATTGCTACAGTAATAAGTGTACTTTGTACTAATTTAGCCTGCTATATTTAAAATGTACTTAAGAATGTACATCTAATTTTAAATAAAGTTCTAAATTTGTTACCCAAACTAAACAACTTTAATCGAAAAAGGTTGTAAATGACAGTTTAAAGCAACTCAAAGTAACTAGTTACCTCCGCATATGTTGTAATACCTACAGAGTTGAACCCCATGAATATGTTTTACCAGTCTCTAAACACATCAAAAGTCCCTGAGGGCAAAACACTCAGAGTGTGTCCAACATGCATGGCCAAACTGAGTGCGTCCTTGGTGGCAGCTACAGTAAGACAATGTAATTAGTACGAAGAGATTAGAGGTTGATTAGGTAGATGATCTAGTAGATCTGATTGTTTATGTTGAGGACAAACAATAAATATTAAAGTAAAAAGGCAAATTCAAAAAAAAGTTTTAAAATTTAAAATTTTAAAATTTTAAAAAATTTTAGTTTTTTAAAACGAAATATACTTTATAAACAGTAAAGTAATTACCGAGAATCAGAGAATACCTGCCAAAACATAAAAACAAAGACATGTGATAGTTACATTGTAACATTAGCTGAACAGTTTTGTCATGTCCCCCAGAATGCACTGATAACAAGCCCAGTTGATTATCTGCAGACCGAGTAGGCTTATGCATAACTTTATCAGAGAGAAGAAAGAATCGTTTACATTTGCCACCGTAATGTGTTTTCCGCAAAACTTTTTCGAATCTGCACAGAGATCGTGCAAGGCGGGAGGCATCAGAAGCCGGCACAGATGGCTAGCAGAGTGTAGACTAGCAGAGTGTAGTCCAATCTTACAGTCCCCCCTCTACCACCAGCGAAACACAATGTAGCAGTGTAACGGGCAAAAACACCAGAGAATCCAACAAAACGGAACACTCCTTAAAACTCCAGAGGGCAGTGCGTAGCTCTGGCAGCGTCCAGAGAGTTCGGCCCGTCTCTGCCCGTCTCCACCCGCTTCTGGTCCACTTTCCTTTGTTTTGCCATAATCTTTTGATGCGGTCGGTGAGGGCGTCGCTCAGAGTACGCGCCTTCGAGGAGAGACACACTTGTTTTATGTCAAGCAGAGGGAAGAAACATTGCTTTCAGAGATATTATTTGAAGGGAAGAGACGGCAGAGTGTAAGAAAGACGAAGAAAAGAAGAGAGAGCGACAGAGCGCCAAGAAAACTAAAAAAAAATTACAAAAGTGACTAAATCCAGCCGCGCTTAGGTGTTGTCGCGCGAACACGAGATTGATGAGAAATATAAAGTAAACACTGGAGAGTCTAAAATACTATCCAGATATTAAAAAATATAATCTTAGCCCCAGATAGTAAATAATACAGTGCAAACACGAGAGAATACAAAAGCATCGTACAAGCTTCAGAGATAACAAAAATAGCGTTCGAAAACGAGAGGAAAAGAAAAGACTGTGCAAATACAAGAGAATGCAAAATACAGTGTAAACAGAAGAGTGTTTATCGGCAGGTCCCGTGCCTCAGTTGCACAGCACTGACAGTAAGTATAATATAAAAGGGAGGGCCTACCATAGAGCCACCTGAAAGTTGCGCAATAACATTACAACAAGGACGATTGCGTCAGGCCGGGACGAGTGCAATATTGCCAAAAACACTGAACAGTGCAGTCGCCCGAACCGGATACAATACCTCGTTCAGTAGAGTAGTAATACAGGAAGTGGCAGTAGATAGAAGAATGGTCGTGTAGTGAAAGTGCGAATACAAAAGTGCACTCTGACATGCCTATCACAACATAAATATCACGACCTGACAGTCACAACATGACTGATATCACCGTTAGAAGAGCGTCGACGGATGAAAGTGAATCTGTTGACCGCCGACATTTATAGAGGCCCTTAAGGTGTCTTCAGATGAGTGAACAAGCGAAGACACCTCCATTCAAGTTTTTTTGCGCCCAAAAAGGTAAACTAACTAAAGCGACTCCGCCTTTCAACGACGACGCGCACCCCCGAGGGGCCATCAAGACCCGTGTCTCTTTTCCGTCGACGAATCGCGCAACTTTCACTTTTGTTCGAATGGAACCGATCCCAAAGATTCTGTTAAAACCTTGACGAAGAGAGTGTGGACGGTGGGGAGACGCCAGACACTTTTACGCATCCCTGTTCGTTCATTCAACCCTAAGGGCATGGTTACGCAACCTAACGAAATAATTTATTTTTTATTTCAATCAATAACAAACATAAAGTGCTAGAATGTCATCCATCAAAGTGAGGATTCTGGAGATCGGTGACATTCGTTGCGAGATCAAGCGATGAGATAGCAGAGAAAAGGAATTTAGGCAATTTCACTACGGGTTGCACCAAGTACATGTTTAGTACAACTATTAATCAGCCTTTGTACCAATGTTAATATACAGTCTCATAATTACCATAAGGCTAATATACAATCTTATAACAATATACAGTGTTTGCTCAATGAAGTAGTAGTCGTACTATGATATCAAATGTACACCTGAATAGAGCCACGATGAATATTTTCGGTTAAAGGGGGTGCCAAACGTGGTACTTCTTGTTGAATAGCACCAAACGCTGGTCCACCAAATCCCAAGGAACATCGAGACTCTCGACGATGATTCTGATTCAACGGGACTGAACTACTGCTGTGAGATGGCACGGTCTTGCGGGTCCTCGAGATTACATCGTTTACTATAAACTTCAATGTTAATATTGTTGAATATTGTCTTTTTACTTTATGTTGTTAATGTAATATATTTGTAAATTAATCAACTACAGTTCACTACTGATCATGCTAATATAATATAAAAATATGTATCGTCATTTATGAGTATTTAGTATAAAACCCTAGATCATAAACGTGACATCTCTTCGGTAATCTCCTGACGTAACGTTTCCTAAAGAAGATGACTTAGAGATATCTTCTTTAAGCAGGTGCTAATTAAGTCTGTCGACAAGACAAAAGGTAAAGGTATAATTGCACTTACTCATGTCTTGAAGCCCAGGTACGATCGTTGCTTTATCCAAAGGTTGAGGAAACCGGTTGAAGTAGGCAGCCGTCTGGAGATAAACACAGATTTGGAGCGGCAGAAAACTCAACGAGGCCGATAGGAATGCTTTGCCTAAAACAATATTGTCATAAATTGACATAACAAGTCTAAGAGACCAGATGCTACTACGTGTAATCTTTGACAGCTACTACAGTATCTTCTTCGTATAACATAACATTAGATCTTCAACTCTACAAAAAATATTACTACTTAATGGTGTTATGATCATTATCACGTCTATGCATATTTGGTCCCCAGAATAACATTTACTCTTAATACTAATGAACCAATAATCTGTTACGACATACACCTCGTCATGTACAATAACATTGTTTTTTTTTTCTTTCTCTCGTGCTGTGTTCAGCCATATTGTATATCCACTTACTATATGTGTAGGTGAAATGCGATGGGTCTCCAGCAGCGTTCGGTTTCATCCGAGGTGTCATTTCGTCATCGACAGCAGCAATTACTTGAAGCAACGCAGCGAATAAACAAAGACCTAAATTATAATATTAAAGCAACAATGCGGTTCGTGTAAAATGGAACTAATCTCCGAGATCAACCTCAACGTTACCTCTGTTTTTGATGGAAATTAGTTAAAAACAGATGATGACTATGATTAATGTCGTGTATAATATAAGTGTGAAGCAAAAAAAGGAATTGTTACCTATATACTATAAATTAAAACTAAAAAAGTATAAGTCTAGCTCAAAACACAACCAAAAACATAAATGAATATGACTTTTTTGCAAACTTACCCCCAAGAACATAGAGTACAGCTGAGTGCACAGTATGATTACTGCCTCGCACCTCTCCGACGATTGAAAATATTACAGCAAAAGCACATAAAAACAATCCAGGAACGTGTAGAAGGCCTGGTACAAACAGTCGAGCTAAAACAACCCAGATTAAATATAGTTTTTCATTTATCATCTAAACTTTGTAAATATTGTTCATTCCTCAAAATTAAAACTATTTTAAACTAGATACAGAATAAATAACAATCAATAAAATATTATTTTACAAAATGTGTTCTCCTTACTTAACACAACGTTGCTAGCAAAGCTGAAATCAGACAAGTCATCTCCAGTAAAGATTGGATTCATAACACAGATTTCTGGGTAGGTTTCATGTACTTTACTTTCATCAACATTTGGCATACTTAAGTTCGAAGCTGCGTAACGACACATCCCAAAATAACCAACTTCAAAGAAGAAGGGTACTTCCTAAATCGAATATACATCGCTTTTCTTCAAAGATATTACACTTGATGTCACTTCTGTATTAATAAAACACTTGATTCCTTTTTTAAGAGAAGCCTTACTGAATTAAAAATAGATTAAACAATATACTTCTGGCAACCACAAATGGCATTCTGTTAACCCTGCTAATATAATTTCAAAATATTTGTCTAAAACATTTAAATTCCTGTATAAAATTCCTGAGAATATACATAAGCTTATATTACGCATAAGACATGATATTGAAGACTTACAAGCTGTTCTCCCTTCTCGTTTGTCTGATTAATTGGTTTCGGCTCTCTGATTATTACCCAATGTAAGAAAATGGGAGGAATTTGCATAATGGCAGCCAGCAGTCCCAGCGTCAAACTCAACGAAAACTTGGCTCGATGGTCGCATTTTGTGTTTATCAATGCCTAAAACAACATATTTCAGTCAAATATTTGCATAAACTACGAGAAATTCGAAATCTAATATTGTTATTGTCAAAACACTTAGTAGAAAAGTTTTAAATGTACATAACTAAGGCTTTTATTTAGTTTTCTATTAACGTTCTGACCAAAATGTCTACAAAAAATATTTTTTATTTGTCGTGTTATGCCAAGATTTCTTAATCAGCGCTTTTGAAACTCACGTCCACCTTCGGCAATTTCAAGTAATTATTTCAAAAAAGCCTTCAGACTTGACTGTTCATGACCTGTTAACCCAATAATGTCTTTCGAGCAAGCCATTAGAGTCAAAACATTAACTTTTTGCTTTAATTTTCATAACTTCGTTTTAATAAAAACAAATAAATGTTGCAAAACATAGTCATGTTATAGTAGTTTAGGTACTTTTTGAAAGATTAAAATATAAAATGTAGAAAAGAAAAGAAAAAATAAAAATTTTTAAACAAGACATTAATATTAACCTTGAGATGGTGCAATATAAATGTATTTTTTAATAAACGAGCTTATAAATGGGTAACAAAAATGTAAAAAAGAAGTAAAGTAATATAATTAGAGCATGTTTTCGTTAAGAACCAATTACCAATCTAATTATCTAACCAATTAGTTTTACAAATTACAATAGTTTTCGAATGCCTTCAAAAGTTACAATAACATTGAAGGCTTTCTATTAATTCTTCAAGTATTGACCTTACTTTTAAAATAGTAATAAAATACGCATTTTAGCTTTATCTTATACATGAAAGGCTATGTTTACGCTTTGAAAACATATATTTACACTTTTAAAGAAAGTAAAGGTATTTACTTTTAGTATAATAACACAGCACTATAACATTTTATTGACAAAGAACTTGTCAATAACCTCTTTCAAACACTTTCACTACTATAACATAAATACTACAAACTCACGTCAGCTACTCGATTACTGAACTCTTGACGATGTTGTAGTTGATCGAAGGGGAAGGCCGAGCAGGACGAGTCTCGAGTGATGGGTGTCAGAGATTGTTCCATATCTCGCTTCATCGTGCCGAAGACAATTTTGTTTCGGGCTTGGTCTTCTTGGCCCATTTACCGCACTCAATTACGGCCCCTCCCCTAAGGGCTGACAGGGTCCGCACCTTCTTTTATCCAATAAAACTTTCCTGAATAACCCCAAACAAATATTCGGTTTTTATTCCCAGGATCCATTCAGAGCGATGGCTTCACAAGACTGTCATCATGTATCAGGGCTGGTGTCGGCTTGTCAGGAGGTGAGGTTACTGTATATATTTCTAGATTTTTAACAATTATTGACTAATTATATTAATTATACTAGAGTTTCTGACTTTTTATAAAATGTAAAGCCTAATAAAATAAAGTTACTTTCAGATGTTTTACCGTAGTGTCATGTCATCCCACTGCCACCCTCCTAACGTATCTTGTCATTACCGTGTTTTCAACTGCCATTTCCTTGTATTTGGGTATGGAGATAGTGTCGACTGACCCGCAAGAAGTAAATTAATTTAAATTCACATCAATTTTTAAGGGATTTGAAACTCGAGGCACTGAAATGGCAGCTGAACGAGCACTTCTTCACCTCCTGGAACAGAACACAAAGAATAGAATAACCAGAAAGATGAATTCAAAAGCTCGAGACAAACGTGACTTTATAATTTTAGGGAAAAACGATTCAGATGAGCTTCAGCAGCAGCGTTTTGACCACCATGAAACCTCAGAAGGCCTACATTTAGCTATCAAAAGCAATATTGGCAAGCTACAGTACCAAAGTTCAACTTTACAGTCCAAAGATTTAATGCCAAGACAAAAAAGAATTTCTGAAGAGTCTTCAGGAACTATGGATTATAATGACTACGGTAACCAACCATTGGGCATCAATGACATATCAAGTGGTTGTGAACAATATTATGCTCTGGGAAGATACTACCCTTTTAATATTATTGATCTGATGTCTAAAGTAATCTTCGAAATACCTAGTTTTGACACGGTAAGCGTTTGTACTACATTCTTATAAAGGTGACAGCTATTTACAGTAGAAACAATGAAGAGATTATGTAGATTAGACGACATTTTGGATAAAGTCTATAACAAGTACAGTAAGAAGAAAGAGTTACCGTATTCGTTCAATCTCTCACACTATGCTCTGTGTATGAACTCTAGTTATACGAAGGAATGTGGAGATTTGAATCAAGAAGAGTAAGTATAAGATATTACATTTTTTATCTTTTTATTGCTACAATAATATCACAGCAAAAAATCTTTTTTAAGTATCAACAAATTTAAAAACGAAGTCTTGAATTGTCAAGGAAATACGGACAAAATGTCAATATGTAACAGTAATATTGGGTTACAACTCAAGAACTACATCTTAGAGAAAGACTTGACTCGAGACAAGTCTCCCGTTTATGTCAGTGCTATTTTGAATGTAGGTTGTATTAAATATGATCTGTAACATACGATGGTTAATATTACTTCACGTAATTTATACCACAATTTTTTTATCTTACCGTGACATAAACATAAAAATACTGTTTAGATTCCAATGAGTAATGGATATGACGTCGACTATTATCAAGACATTCACACTGCTCTACTAGACGAATTCAACGACAAAATTACAGTAAAAGGCTTGGAAATGAATGTAAAATCTTTATTCTTCCAGCGACAAATCTCATACGATTGTGCGTTAGCCACAGTATCAGTACTAGTAGTACTAATGGGGGTACTTCTCTATACGACCAACTTCATATTGACTATAGCGACGTTTGTTTGCATGATGTTGTCGATCGGATTTGCCTTTTTTGTTTACATTTTTGTTTGTAACATCAACTTTTTTCCGTTTTTAAATTTACTGGTGATTGTGATCAGTATTGTCATTGGGTTTGATGACTTGTTCTTGTTGGTCAATCACTACAGACATTACAAAAGTTTTGTAAGTTTTTATATTTAATAACTAATAAAACTTACAGTATGCCAATGGTGAAGCCATGATAAATGCTTTGGAACATTGTGGTAAAGGAATGTTTGTGACATCAGCAACAACAGCTGCTGCTTTTGTTTGTAATTTACAATCCAACATTCTTATTCTCAAGTAAGTGACATACTTTTAAATTTTGGAGCTTTTACTGATAAAAAAATATAGTCAAACTGCCAAAGTATAATCATTTTTAGAAGAGCAAAGGAGAATATTACACTATCTTATGACATTAACTGTTTTTCAGATGCTTCGGTGTGTTTGCTGGACTAACAATAATAGCAAACTACATCTTCGCAGTAACCGCGCTACCTTCACTTATATTACTGACTGACAAAATCAACTGTAAAAGTCAAAAACTGATAGCCAGATGTATGATCTTCAACAGAATCAGAATCTTCTTTGTGTATCACATCCCAAATGTTATATACAATTACAGAAAAGTGATAGTGTTCTTGGCATGGCTTTTGCTTATTATTAGTACATTGATTACTGTAAAGTATATAACATTACCACAAAACAATCCAATGCAGGTAAGTTTGGCACAGTTGAAAGCTTTATATTGGATTATTATATATTTTAATGTTTTTTGGTCAAAAAAGTTTATGGAATTTGAGACATCTATTTGTTTTTACAGTTTTTTTAATTTGTTATTTCTTAGTATCTATAAAGTTATGTTTATTAATTTTAAAATTTTTCAGCTGCTACGATCAGATCACTTATTTGAATGGTTTTCCGAATATAACAGTGACTTGTTTGACTACTCGTATCAAGGTAATCGCCAAATGAATATCTATGTCATATGGGGAGTTAAGCCAGCTCAGTAAGTAATTATTTAAAATAATTTTAATCATGTATTTACTTACTAAAAAAGCACATATGTACAGGTATCTTAAAAGGCTCTATACAATAAAAATATATAGATACGGCTAAAACTATAATATTATGAACTCTAACATAGTGTAAAAATTTTAGAAAAGTCCCTCTTCTTGACCCAAGGAAGTTTGGAGAGTTCACGACAGACAATACTTTTAAAATTGACAGTTTAAAAGACTTACAACAGTTCAAAGATACTTTATTGTACAGTAAAGCAGTGGTCAATTACAAATCCGCAACATACGATCTACCGTTGTGGATAGAAGAGTTTACAGAGTTTGTCGAAGAAAAGAATGGCACTAACTTTGTACTACAAGATCTACTGGAAGAGTATGTACAGTATACTCCTACCTTCAAGTTCCCTGATGACTACTCTATGAGTATCAAAGATGGTCCCTTATTTGATCATGATAACAACTTTATATCGTACTTCATCATATTACCTACACATCACAGTCTTTCATTCTCTTATAAAGACATTGCCAGCTTTATGATTACTGTAAGAAAGTTAGAAAGTAAATTAAGAAACAAAGATGAATACAGTAATCCTATCGTATCCCCAATACCGTTTATTTCAAAGATGGCCGACTTGATGAATGTTATTATGGTGAATACTATGGTATCTGTCTTGATCTCAGTAGTCATATGTATGTTGGTTATATTCGCTACAACAAAAGATGTAAAGCTCGCTGTTATCAGTATATGGACTATCATTATCGTTGTTATGGGTGTGGTTGCTTTTGTTTTACTACTAGGTATATTGTGATTTATTTAGAGATATTTAAAAACATTTACTGTATCGTAACATATTATTTTACTAACTTAAAGTAATATAACTTTAATAGGATGGACTATAAACGTAGTAGAAGCAGTTATTATTGTGATTACTATCGGGCTGTCATTTGACTACACTTTACACGTGGCTGTATGTTTCAAATCGACTCCAAAGTATCTTTCCATACCAGAAAGGATAAGGTAATCGTTGTAAGAACTTACAAATCGTATGTTAAGGATAGGCGTGACTCAGAAAAGTTTGAACTTAAAGTAAAGTTGCCAAAAGCGCGGGAAATCAATCTTTTTACTCTATTTTTAGACCAAACTCGCGCGTTTAAAAGTGCAGAAATAGTTGCAGAATCATTAGAAAATACAGTCATAGACAAGTTGAACTAGCCTAGAATTTTGGAAATCTTATTTTAAAAAAATAATAAGATAACGCAAGAAAAGAGTATATTTTTCAATTATTATGACGACCTCGAACTACTTTAAGATAAAACAAAACAGTTATAACTACCATATACAACATTTTACTATATTGCAGTAGAACCCTTGAGCTCATCTTCACGCCGATCTTCCTGTCCGCCCTGACATCTGCCCTCGCCGGCGTGGTGCTTCTGTTTTCGGGGACACAGCCCTTCTACGAGATCGGCGTCTTCTTAGGGACAATGGCGTCGATCAGCTTCGGGGGCGCCGTTTTTGGGTTTTGCGCGTGTGTTTCGTATACGAACTAAGTAAAGGGTCTTTGTTCCATCTTTGGGCTCTTTTATGGTAATTTTTACATAAAGTGTTTTTATCTTCCATTTGACGTAATTGTGTCAGCTTTATTAAAATTTGTGCCGGTTTTGTCTTCGTTTTTGTGCGAAATAAAGTTTTTTCAAAATTTTTTCATTCGTGAAAAGTTTTTTGAACTTTGACGGTCGAAATAATATGTTTGGTCCAGGGTTTTCTGGCGACCAAACTCCGTTTCAGATGTCATTCTGCAGAGGTTTAGCCACGCCTGTTCATCAACCTGTAAGTTTTCTTCGTTTTGTTTAGTTTTTAAAGTAAAGATCTAAAAAGTTTTGTGAATTTACTGTTTTTTATCAAATTATCGACAAATTTCGTGGGAAAAAATATAAAATTTTAATTTTCTTACAAAAAAAATATTTTCTGCTTCGTATGTTTTCTGTCAAATCGCGGCCTGGGCGCAACTCGCTAATATTAATAATTTATGCTTTTGTACTTCTAGAAAAGTATTTTCAAATAGTCAAGGATTAGCCAGTTTTACTTTTTTTTAGTTTTTGTTTGAAATTTTAAGTAGTCTTTGTTTTTGAAAAGGGTTTTAAAGTTTTTTAACTTCTAGAGAAAGTTTGTTTTTATGTAAATAAATACTTTGAAAAATTAATCTTGAATTCTTTTCAGCAACCTCTGAACGTGCCAGTAACTCCTCTCTCATCTCACAACTGTGCCACTCCTAACCAAAGCTGCACTCCACCTTCTAACTACGATGAATACGACTACAATAACAACGACAAGCTACCGATCAGCAAAATCCCTACAACGATACCTTGTACTTCGACTTCCGACTACACGGTGCCTGTTCCTGTGGTCGAGAACATTGTGTCAACGTGCTTCTTGGGGACGACTTTGAACTTGAAGGAGATTGCTACTCAAGCACGGAACGCTGAGTACAATCCGAAGAGATTTGCGGCTGTGGTCATGAGAATCAGAGAACCCAAGACGACGGCACTCATCTTCAATTCTGGCAAGGTTGTGGTTACTGGGGCTAAGTCGGAAGTTGCTTCTAAGTAAGTTTTTGAGGTTATTGTAGTATATTGTAAGAATTAACTAAATTTTTTTCTCTAAAATTTTAAAAAGATATTGTCCTCCGCTGTAAATGTAGTTCTTATTATAATTTATGTTATTTTTCAGATTGGCTGCCAGAAAATATGCCAGAATCATACAGAAGCTCGGATTCAACGCTCGTTTCATGGACTTCAAGATCCAGAATCTGGTCGCTGCTGTCGATGTTCAATTTTCTGTTTACCTTGAGGGAATTAACATATCTCACTGCCAATTCAGTACATATGAACCTGAAATTTTCCCAGGACTCATATATCGTATGGTTGCACCTCGAGTGGTTCTACTCATCTTTGTCAGTGGAAAAGTAAGTGATAACATGTTAATATTAGGAAATTGAGATGTAAAAAGGAAGTCTTGAAATTCGAAAGGTTTTTGAGTTTGCTTTGACAAAAAACGCAGGAAATGTGTTTAGCTAAGTTTTTATTCGAAATAATTGAATTTTTTGTTTTTGGCCAAATAACTTTTCTGGCTTTTAAAAACTAAATTTCTCTAAGTTTTTGACCCCAAAGACAAAGTTTTTGTTAATATTTACATAGCAATACCAATATTTTATCGTTTTGCATCGATCTTCTTATGCGGATTATATTTTTATCATGGTATTGCACCAAACCGCTCTATTTACTTTGAGGATTAGCCTTATTCTCGGTATATTCAAATGTCTTTCTATGATGTCACAAAGAATTTATGCAAATTACTTTCAGGTTGTAATAACCGGTGCCCAACAACGAACCGATCTCACCGAAGCCTTCCACCAGATCTACCCGATTCTACGTCGCTTCAAGAAATAATTATTTTTTTGATTATTTAATAAACTATGTATATATTTAGTAGGTTTATATTATGGTATGTAGCTGTAAATGTATTACTGGTATAAACGCTAGTTTTTTAAGTTTATTGTGATAAGTTAGTTGTTATAGTAATAAACTATGATGTTGAGTAAAGTCTTGTAGCCATTTTGTATTACGTTGAACGTTCAAACGCCACAAATCTGCACCTTTAACGATAAAAACTTCATATTACTTTTGTAAATTTTAAAATTCTTAATACTTTTTGAACGCCGCTTTTTCCCGACCCTTCTCCCCCTCATTCCGCTTTTATCAAAGTGTAACCCAATAGATATTATACTTGAACATCAACTTGATCGCCGTGATTGCGCAACTAATCCGCCGGCAGTGTTTCTAACAAGTTGCCATTCTTTCTCTCGACATTCTCGACCTGAGCCGCGCGAAAAGTCTTAAAACTTTTACAACTCGGTTTTAGTGCTAATGGGCTTTTTATTTGATGAGCACGAGAGGAGGGCGTGGTAATAAAACGTTATGGCGTTTCAATTTCAAATGATAACTCGCTGCTTTCCTTACCTGCTTGTTACTTATTCTGGGTTTGGAGGGTTGAAACGTATTCTAAATCTGGATTTTTGAATTTTAAAATTGAGGAATCTGTTGAATATTTTAGATTTTTAAATAGTTTTGTCAAAAATTTGTAAAAAACTTACGAAGTTTTAATGTTTCAGCTTAAAATGCACTTTTGAAAGCTTTCTTATGGTTTGACACTTCAACTTCTGGCACTAAAATAGCAAAAACCGGATATACAAAACATATTTTTTACTATTTCTATTATAATGTCATTTCGAACCTATAAACGAGTACATTATAAACATTGTGTAGTGTCATACCTTGCCTAAATTGACACATTTTTTAGTACTGTTAAAAACCTTTTAAATCTACTATTATATCATGTCCTTTCACAATATATCCACCCAATTATCCTTCAAACATTACCGCAGTCAGTAGCCCCATGCCCTTGTATTTAGTGTTATATCCGACTGAGCGACGGAACATGTCACTTCTTTATCTATTCCCTTTTATCTTGAGATCTAATTGTAGCTTAACGTTGTGTTACATAACATAAGTTTCGACTGCCACCTGGCATACCTACTATATGTTTAAATTGTTGGTTTAATCTGTAGGAAAAGGTCAGGGTTTCCGGTTTCCGGGATTAAGTTTTCGCTTTTCGAGATCGAGACTCTCGAATATACAAACTGATTTTCTTCAAGATACGACTGTGACTAAGTCGTTGGGTGGACTTTCTTATAAAGAAAGGGGTTTACAGGAGTTTCTGTGGTTCAGTTGTACTATTATATGATGGACATAAAGGCTTTGATATATAGGTTTTACAGTAACTACTTTGTCAGTTACTGTATCTTTTGGTAACTATGGTTCATTGTTTACTATAAACTTTTATATCTTACATTAAAGTATTTTAACTCTACGTATGTGATCAAGAAGATATTGGTATACATCCTTAACATTATGTGTTTAATTACCAACGCACTTGTATTACATAAGTTGTGTTTCTTTTGTCATATGTGACACAATACCAAGTGGCCGTAAGTATAGTGTGATAATCGATTAAGTACGTCAAAATACAAAAACAACAAGTTTAAATTATGTATAGCTTGTTATCATCGTCTTTTTATGGTATTACTCAAGAGTTTTAAACAAATTTAAATGTACAAGTGACTGTTTCAAAACTGTAATGTTGAGAAGACTGTATCTGAAGTTATGTTCAAATTTTGTAGAAGTTTTTAAATTCTCAACAGTTTTAAAATCTAAGTTTAAAAATTTTATTGGTCTTTTACAAATTTATTTTTAAATTTTCACGTGAATCGAAAGCCTTTACTCTGTAAAATAAGGTTAAACTGTAATTTTCCTAAATTAAGCTACTCCAACTAATTCCAAGGTAAAACACTGTATCGGAATGTAAAGTATGTTATGTTATCTTTAGATCAGTGTAACTTCCTGTCGATTCTGTGGTCGATTCCTTCGAATCTCGTCTTTCGTGTTTAATTGAATTAAGAAGATTCCTTTCAGTCAACCGACCGAATCATTGATATCGACGTTGTTTACGTCGCCGTCTTGGTATACGGCTGTATCCTATTGGTTTAGGTGTTTTTTGGGGGTGGTTATGGTGTGATATGTTGCGAATTTTAAGTTTTAGATTATGGGTTTACACTGAATTTCTATATTAATAGATTATGTATACTTTTGTGATAGCTATTTTTACTTTGTTTTTATATGGTATATTGCTCTATAAAGTAAAAAAGTTTATATTATAACAACTTTAGTACAGTATAATTATGGTGTTGCAAAAGCAGTAATTGTACAGTATATATATTGGAAAACCTTTATTTTTAACTTATAATTATTATATATATCTTATCCAGATAGAGGAGTAAATTACCTTAATATCTGATGCAAGTGTCGGTAGAGAAAAGATAAAAGACTTTACCGTAATTACCTTGTGAACAAAACATATATGTTTTCAAATTATGTGTAGGCTTTGCTTTTGCTAGTAGTATCTTAACCTTTCGTGACTTGTAGCTCTTCACGACTCATCATATCATTCTGCAAAGTAATGTTTTTACTAACTATTAGTTTGTAAGATATATGTCTTATAGTATATCTTTTTACTGCTCTTACAATATCTTCAAAGGTCTTGTATCTTGTAGTGTTTCGAAGATATCTTGTCAAGTATATTCATCAAGTATCGTTTAGCCTTACTATTGTAAGCCTACGTAATGTCGCTTCTCTAACTTTGAAGATATTACTCTTGAGATGTCATCGCAAAGAAAAGGTGCGATTTTGAAAGAAAGCTGCCATTTCGAGTACAAACCTTTTCTCATTACTACTTGAGATTACCGTACTCTCTCTGTTCCCCCGTGCCACTCCCTTTAAACACACATACGAACATATACAACCTGTACCTGTGAGCATCTTCTTCTCCCGCACTCGACCGCGCCTTTCTTGTCACATTGTTTGGATTTAATTATAATATTTACACACCTTGTTACAGGTTGCTGTAGGTATTATTAGTGATAATACATGTAGATCAGGTTTTAAGTATCAAAAGTTGAAAGATATTTCAAATCATACCTAATTTTAACTATGTTTAACATGTTAGTTGTAATAATTGTAGCTTTAAGCTGAGTTTCATTACAACTCTGCAGTTTGTGTGAAACGGTAAAATGATTTGTTATCTTGTTGTAATAGCGCTACAAATCTTATTTTATATCTTGCTTAAGGCATGATGTTATTGTAATGTTTATAAACCCATGTGTTACCGTAAGACTTTACATTTCGTGCCAATTTGTGCAATTTCATTTTCGAATGTTATCAATGCCATTTTAACCTTATTTTTCGTGGTTTTTCGAAACTTTAAACTCAGCTTACATAAATTATATATCTTTTAAGTATAAACCTTACCAAAATTTTGATTTCAGAAGCGATGGGTCTGCCTTACACTAAGCTGCCATTGTTCATCATTCAGAACATTGGCAGAGACATGACAATCGAGGACAAACTCAGTTTTATGGTAAGATTCGGATCTGAAACGGCTTCTTTATTGCAACTTTTAACGGCGCCGATCCCTCCATAAATATTGTTTTACACGTCTTTGACTACTTGTTAAGAAAAAGTTAATGGCTGAGGGGTTTTATAGGTTTGACTCAAAGATTGTGACCAAACTTATATGTTTTTGGTGAAAAAATTAGCTTGTAGAAGAAAAATTAAAAAATATTTTTAGTTTTTCTAAAGACTTGTTGACCAGCTTAATTAAAGAGCAAAGAAAGATAAAATAGATTATAAAAAATTTTAATTACTTTTTACCCAAACTAATTTCGAAGAAGTATATTTATTCATACTATCTGATATTACACTTAAATTCTATAATAACATGCCTTTAGGCGACAAGTCAGCGAGTGGAGCGAGCAATGCTCCCCCTCTTTCGGACGTACAAGATCCTTCAGATCAGCGACGAACTGTCAGAGACGTTTCTGCAAGAGAACGAGGATGGACCTCGCTACTCCTTCCCTGCCGCCAAACTACCCCGACTGTTGTCGCTGTGCACGTCCATCGAACACTTGTCAATTGCCATCCGCGCCCCCTTCTCGGCGGAACCTCAGAAGAACGGAACTAGCCCGATCGTCGGTGAGTGACAGGTTTACAGGCCCTAATTACTGCAATGTAATCGGCCACATCAAACACAAAGTAATTATGATTGCAGTGTAAAAGCACGTGTTTTGGTGTTCTCTATATATATTGCAATTGTTTTTGAAATAGCTTTTGGCAAGAAATTTAAAATCAAGTATAAAAAAGATTCTAAAGACTTTTTGACCATTTTACGAACTTTCTGCCACCTACGTTTATAAAAAGTAAAAAATAAATTAAAATTTTTGAAATCTCAAATTAAAAGTAATTATGATAATTACAGAAACTTTGTTTCCAGGCTGTCAGATGTATGGTGTGGGTGGTTACATCGGCCAGTTTTGGACCATCGCCCCAGAATGTTTGTTACAGAATCTGAAGACCTTTTCGTTAACTGTAGACTTGGTATGTGCGTATCTACGACATGTGCCTCTGCCATTACCCTTCCACGACCTCTACTTTGCCATCAGTAACTTCAAAAAGTACAACTTTACAACGTCGATCCAGGTAAGCTTCCGTTCTGATTTGGTTCAATGCTTCGTGATTTGGTCCAAAAATTCATAGAAAAACCAAAAAAACAATATATCTATTTTATATTAACCATGCTATTCAGATTGGAATATGCGCGACAGAAGAGCCGACCGTCCAAGACATTCCAGCCGTGATAGACATGAAGGAGAACTTGAAGTGGGTGGCATGGGACATGAAGAACAAGAAACACAAGGTGAATCTGGAGCTGGACGACTACACTGGATACAACGATGTCACGGTGGAGGCTGACAACATCGACTACTCGTTAGGCTTCTTCTACTTCAACCCTGACCTATGTGAGCCTGAAGATGACAACAAGCCAATGTATAACACTTCTTCATAATGACATTTCGTCATATTACTGTGCTTTGGGTATACTGTATATTTTTGTTCTAACTTATTATTTCTGTATCAACAAGATTGTATTTACGCTATTTTTACTCTATATCATATTGTAATTCAAAGGTTACTGTCTACTCTAGCCATCACCATACTGTGTTTTAAAGATTACTGTAGTTTTAAGAGATTCGTCGACCGGTATAAGGATCTGCTCAAAAGATTGGTCTCATTGTTGTTGTTGTTCATGACAAAAGTGTTTCGCACAAATTTGCATAAACTAAATTTGAAACATTTTATTTGGGAATTCCGAGTATTTTTGCCATTTTCTAACAAATTCAAACGACCGGTCGAAATGGACGAGTCGACCATTGACATTACCCTCAAGTTGGAGCCCCTCAGGGCACGAAAGCCTTCTCAACTCTCAAACTATGTTTGGAAGCCGGTTGTCAGTGATAAGAACCCCGTCCAAAACGCAGCTCCATCATCCAAAAAGCACCGTAGATCCAGAAGTTGTTCCAAAAGTTCTCAGAAGTCGTCCAAGTCTTGTAGCAAGTCGTCAAAACCTTCCAAGTGTCCCAAGGCTACAAAGAAGTCACGAGTCTCCACACCGTCCGTAGGCTCCAGACGTAGTTTCCATACCTCAGAGGAACAGAATATAAAGAAAGAGAAGGCACAGCTAAAGTAAGTTCATGTTTTAGGTAACAACCTTATGAATACCTTGGAATGTTTGAGAAGAATTTAACGTAAACCTTGTAAATTTCAGTTTTAAAAACTCTAAATTGTAAAGATATAGCAACAAAATAATTTTATAGATACCTAAACTTGACTGTTTTAACTCGAAAACTGCAAAAAAGACCTAAAACAAGGTTCTCACGGTCTTACATCATTAGCGGATAAATAATAAACAAGATTATACGACTCAGAGTAACTTTGGAAGACGAAAACGTATTTTGTGCATAATTATGCTACAAAATATTTTTCTAGGACTTTCGGAGAGTAGTATTCCTTTACAAAAGCGCGGTCTGCAGTATCTTGGGCGCAGTTCACTTCAAATTATCGTGTTGAAATATTTTTATTTTTTAATTTCAGGAAAATTAGGTATAAAATTTAAATTATGCTCATTTTCTCCTTCAAAAAGTCGATATTTTTGATATATATATTGATTTAGATATTAAAATTTACGTTTTTTATTTTTTAGGTAATATTTAGATATATAAATTTTTATTTTACTATATTAACATTATCCTTTACAGGACTGCCCGTGACAAAGACGAAACCTCGATCAGCTTCCGCGAACTCAAGAACAGCATCACATCCAGTCTTTCGAAGCGTCATCACCACACCAGCAAACATGACATCAAGAGTTGGCACGGCTCGAACCAAGGTACGATCAGTCAGTTCGCGCAATTCACGTTCCTCCAACAGAAGCGTGCCGAGGCGAGGCTGAGGTGTGAGCTGTGGTCGTGGTTCGTGCTGGCGTTGTTCATCATGGCCCTGCTGCTCTACCGGACCGAGCGAATTGCCGAAACGTGTCAAAATGCAAATTAGGCTAATTGAGTGTGGACTAGTCCCCTAAGGCGTCTTCGAATAAACGTTTATGTATTTCTTGTCATTTGTGTACTTTGTGACTGAAGATACGGTGGTCTGGGGGTGTTAATTGCTGGCTGGTGCATGATGTTTGGATAAGGTTGTTTTTATGGGTGGTGGAGGTTCGGGAAGGGGAGGATTTGAGTGTTAATAGGAGGGTAGAGATATTTTTAAAGACAGGGTGTCCTCTCCCTTCCCTGCTTGACTTCTCGGTGGCCCATCTAATACTATTTATGCTGCAAATTATTCCTTACTTAACATACTGTAGCATATTACGAAACGTCTCGAAATAATGACAGCTAATAGTACTGTTTATAAAAACGCCTACATTTCCGAAGAATGGACCCTCTAAAGTACAAGTTTTTCTAAAAATAATGGTATGTTACTAGTTGCGGCCCGAAAAGTAATAACTGGAACCGCCGTTGCCTAATTGGGACAGTGTTTTTATGCAAATTAATTGGCGGCAGTTCTTTGAGCATGGGAGGAAGTTGCGTGTTATGCTACGTTGTTTATATACGATGCTATGTTACACGACTTTGATACGAATAACTAATGTTTATCCAGGCATCTTACGGTGGTATATCTTCGTATACGCATGTCATATACGAGGTTACTTTGGGGTGAGTAATGTATTTAAATGTGGGATTAATACAGTTTAAGGGTAATGTAAGTGATGACATGTTTTTGAATCTGGGATTTTGTGCTAAGTAGGGTCATTCCTGCGCTGTTTGATGTATGTGGTATCATGTCTTTTATGGTTGAAGGGTGTTAATATTACACGGTTTAGTATTAAGACTTGAACTGTAAGCTTAGGTTCCTTTTAGGTAGTTTTAAAATGTGCTCTGTACTACAATATGTCCATTAAATATGTTCACCTACTATAATATAACACCATTTTTTATACTACTAGCTTAACACTCTTAATTTGTTATTTTACTATGCTTTATGTAATAGTACCTACTATCTGTATACGTAATGTGGCCTATCCGTAATGATTTAAGTGTTTTAACGTATGATAACAAGGGTCCCTGAGGGCGGGTGTTGTCACTCTGTCACTTCAATTTGCATGAACGTCCAAATGCGTGCTTAATTAGCTTTATCTGATTTTAATTTTACTATTTTCAAAACAGGATTTGGGGGAAATGGAGTATATACATATGTTACTGTCCTCGTAATTAGCGAAACCAGGCCTTGTCGTATAGTGAAGAGAAGCTGCTGTCGTATACGATGTCTTTTCAAACTATCGTCAACGAAAAGTGGTTGTATGCTAGCTGGCTTGATTATGTACGTATATTGTCATCGTATACAACGAGTATGCTGTATATTTTCATCGTATACGACAACCAGATTTCTGAGGCTCTGGCGTAATCGCTACAGGGCTTAATGGCAGAATTTAATTAAATTTTAATTCCACTGGTCTCATTGGAATCTTGTGTTGCGCGACGTGGAATATGTTTGTTACAGTAGGAAAGGGGTTACAGTAGGGGGTTAAAATTATATTGTTTGTTGTTATATTGATTTGATTATTAAAATTTGTAGCTTTAAATCAATCTTTTGATTTTGTTTTACTGATAATACTGCATGTTTGGTCAAAAAATAGGTAGAATATTTAAAAAAGGAGGTCATTTTTGTACATAACTAACCATTCTACTTATGTTTTGACCAAAATAGTGTTCTAGCTTCTGTTTACAATTTATGACCTTTTGCAAAGAACTTCCTTGTCATGTAATATACAAGTCCATCTCGTATGTATATCTCATATGTATAACATTATCTTACTAAAATATGATACGACGTTACGAGTATTAAACCATGGTAGCGTTGCACCATGTTGTTATTGTTGTGTGAATAACATCTTGCTACTCCAGGTTACTGTAGGTCTCGCGCCATGTGTTGGTTGTTGAGGATTGTGTGCTCACTAATTGTACTACTAATAACGATATCCCTAACACAGTCGTCTCCGGTTGGTAAGTTGCGAAACATGGTCACTGAACATGACATTTTGTGTCAACAAGTATGACAACTTGTTGATACTGTTAAAAATAGATATTTATGATACTGTAGAACGGGCTATGGGTATGAAGTTTCAAAATTTTAGGTATGACTATATGTATTGTAGAGATGAGTGTATAGCTTTAAGGTAACTTGGTAATTACTAAAAAGGTATTTCTGCTTAAGATTTGTTTTATTATCTTTACTCTTATCTTTATGTTGTTGTAGATCGGGGCAATCTGAAAAAGGCGTCAGATAATCCGCAATGGGAAGATCTCGGATGGGCGTGGGGAAAGCGGTCGGTGGCGGTGGAGTTGGTCGATCCTGAAGATGTAAGGCTTGTTTTTATAACTTTATATTAAGTAGTTCAACTAATCCTGTGCTCCTAATCTAAAAAAATATTTTGAGCAGAGCGCTGAATTATTTGAACATACTTCACTTTATCTTTTAATACTTTACTCTAAACCTTGACTACCATTACTCAACTTTATGACTAATTGTTACAAACTGCCAATACTTTTTACTACTCTTTCATGATAACATCTTTTCGTATTACTAAAGTTAAACAAACGACTACCCTAATACAGATCAAGCCATTGTAGGTAATGCTACAACGATACGTACGATCACTGAAGGCAATCAAGAAGAACCCGGACTGGCACGACCTCGGCTGGGCCTGGGGCAAGTAGACTAGCCCGCGATCATCGACTTTGTTTTCCTATACTTTGTGACATTTTGTTTTTTTCCTGATGAAGAGTGCGCTTTTGACTATAGTAAACAGTTCTTTACTTCGAGTTGGTCGCTGATTGACGTTTCACTGACGTCATTCCGGTGGGTGGTGGAAAGTGAGGGTCCCTTATAACCGGTTTCCCTTTTTTGGCCATTTTCATTTGGTTTCCATCGCCGACGATGCTCGCGCTTCTGATTCTCTCGCTGGCCGCGCCGGCCGACGCCTTCCTCTGGGATCTTCTGGGCTTGGGCGGTGGTGGTGGCGGCGGAGGCTGTGATGCCTGTTCGGGCGGAGGTTACGGCCAACCGTATGGTGGATACGGCCAACAGTATGGTGGGTATAGTCAGCAATATGGAGGATATCAAGGTGGAGAGTACCAACAAGCTGAACTCATCGAACAACCCGTGTACGTTAGGCCAGCATCGTACCGTGCTCCAAGCTACGTGTCACGACCAGCAGCAAGACGTAAGAGATTAGAATTTGTAAAACGAAGGTAGCAAACAGAGAAAAACTTACTGTTAAGGGTTTTTGTAATGTTTGGAACGGAAGGGAACGTTGCAAACATTAGGTAATCACTTTACCAATGTTTACAATGGGTAATATTGCTTCCACAAAGGTTTACAATAGGTAATAAGTGTTAGAAAGACAGCAATATAATTAATTAAAAAAGTAATGTCAAATATGAAATGTCAGGCAACAAAAGACAAGGTCATCTACAAAAGGTAACGTTATTCTAAAACATTTATTGCAGCTGTAACATATATTATCCGCAAGAAATACTACCGACCAGTCGTTGAACGTACCACAGTAGAAGTTGCTCAACAGCCGCAACCCACTTACAGCCAGCCGGCTGCCTCTACTTACAATACTGGCCCAGTAGCCTCAGCTTCTTCAGCCGCGTCGACTTCGTACAATCAGCCAAGTGTATCTACAGGTGAATCTACGTACAACCAGGGAGGATCAAACTACAACCAAGGTGGTGGATCTACTTACAGCCAAGGGGGTGGATCTTCTTACAGCCAAGGAGGATCAACATATAATCAGAATGTAGGTACGACATACTCACAGAGTCAAACTGAAGTCGCAGCTCCAGCTCAAGTCGAGGAAACAGAAGTTGTGAGTTACTTTTTACTATATGTTACTATAATATGATACATATTCTTGTATTTATTATAGTAATATGTACAAAAATAGCATCAATAGAACTGATAATTAGATAACAACATGTCTCTTTTGCGCATATTATACATTTTATGCTTGTTACGCTATTTTTAAAAGTTGTCGTAACAATATCACTTCCAAACCATCTCAGTAGCCTAAACATCATTTCCCATAGTCGAATTAGTACAACCCGGAAGTAGACTTTCCAGTGATTAAAGATGTATATACAGCATGTGTATGTATACATCATGTATATGTATATATAATGTATATATTATTGTTTTTATACATAATTTATAATATATATTGTTATTCCAGCCTGGAAACTACAACACTGAGACTTCTGGAAGCAGCTACAAGAAAGCGATCAGAGCGTAGAATTGTCATTACGATTACACTGTTCGGCGAATAACAGACTACAGAAAAGGTTGCAAAGTAAACACGTTACTGTAATATATTATATTGTGAATCATAATGTAACTGCCATTTACAATCAATTGTTTTAGAGTAATAAAACTGAAAGTATCTTATATTATATGCTGTATATATATCTAAGTAACATGATCGAAAAATCAAACTATTTCGAGAATCGATCTCGGTTTGACGATGAAGCGTGGGCGCAACTCGGAAACGATTTGTCAATTTTTTCGTGGAAAAATATTTTTAAAAACAAGATTTTGTCGTAAACATCCTTGCAGAACGTTTCACTTAATGTGTATAGCATTACAATAACTTGTTGATGGTTTTTGTGACCTAAACTGCATTCTAATTCCATGAAAAACGTAGTAATTAGTAATTACTTCCATCAGATAGCTCTGCTTATTGTTTTGAAACTTTATCGTCACCTACTATAACATCAGCTTCGTATTTATAAAGCGAAAATTAAATGATAAAAATCTAACAAAAAGTAGCTATTCTACTATAATATGATACATAAGACGAACAATCTAAAGTAATAAAGACAATGTAATGTAAAAGAGTTAAAATAATATTTTCTGACATCCGAAAGTAAGATCACAATAAAAACATTTTAAAAAAACGGCAATATGTGTAGATATGACAAGATTTGCAAGGTCAGTATTTCATTTTACCCGTTTCGAAAAACAAAAGTCGTATTTTAGAGCTGGGCTTGGAGCGGCGTCGTCTTTGGGTCCTTGCCCAGCTTCTGCTCCACCAACTCCAGCATCAGCTGGGTCGTCGTGCTCAGGTTGTGCTCTGGATTCCATCCCCAGTCCTCACGAGCACAAGAATCGTCCAGAGATCGGGGCCAGGTATCAGCTGAAAAGTTACAATAATATTATCTATACTTTTTTCTGTTCTATTATATACAATAGTATTCTTTATATGTATATCATGCCATGGGTAATATAAATCTTTTTTATAGCTTTTCCTATTGAAATTCTGTCGATTCCAATATCTTATACATGATGCAAAAATAAAGTTGAAAAAGTCATTTTGCAGCGATAATCTTTGAACTAAACGCCAGTTTAAAGTCGAGATATTACACTGGACATACCGATCTTTTGTCTGATGGGGCAGACGTTGTATTCGATCTGGAAGTGAGGAATGTAGCGTCTGATTTCGTTGGCAATGTCTTCAGGAGTAAACGAAAAGCCAGTGACATTGTAGGTCCTCATATTCAGGGATTCTGAAGGCGCTGCTAAAACCTGCAAATTGTTATTGTACTACTTCATATAACATATTCCATAGTAAAACAATCGCAAAGTCTTTATAATTTGAGTAATTTTTGTAAAATACCTCACTGATATCATCAGCTTTTGCAAATGTTTATTGATGTTATTATGGAATAGACCATGAACTTACTTGAATAACAGAGGCCATACAATCAGTGTCGTACATCATCGGCAGCATGGTATCCGGCTTCAAATAACACACGTGCTTTCCGGTCAGTAAAGCGTCAAAGAATATTTGAATGGCGTAGTCTAAAGAGCAATAACATTTATATTAGTTTGCTACGACTCTTTATATACTAAACTTTCACGTATTATAATTACTGTATTTTAGTGAAAACTTAGATTATTTTAGGCTGCTTACGCTTTACTTTTTGAAAATCAAATTTTTCAAAAAATAACTTCTTTTACAACAAAAACTTTAAAAAACCGTACCAGTAGTACCACCTCCAGGCTGGATGGCGGAAATGATTCCAGGGAATCTGAGAGACCTGAAGTCCAGTCCGAAACGTTCGAAGTAATATTCTCCGAGTAATTCTGCATAAACCTTGGTCACTCCGTAGATAGTACGAGGTCTTTGCACTGTGAGATCAGGAGTCAGGTCGCGAGGTGTGGTGGGACCGAATGCACCAATTGTGCTGGGAATGAACACTTTCAAGTTGTGGGCTCTGAAATTTCATAAAATTAACTTTTAATCTTCCAACATACTGTAACAACACTAAATTTATATTCTACAACATCATGCCATGGTTTTCATAGCAACACAAGTTGCCGTACCAAAGATAAGAAACAGTCAAAAGAAAGTATAAACGCACCTGCAAACCTCAAGTACATTCTGAACTCCTTGAGCATTGACCTGAAGTGCCAAAGGAACATTATTCTCTCCGACAGCACTCAACAAAGCCGAGAAGTGCACGACAGTATCAATGTTGTTGTTGACAATAGTCTCTTCGATTGAGTTCCTGTCCAAGATATTCAGATAACAGAATGGTACTTCTTTCAGGTAGTCTGGTCGCTTTCCAATGTCTGTCAGAATGACACTGTCATGTCCGTAAATAGCCCTGCAAAGTACTTTTATTAAGGTCTGAAGGTGTTTTAAGTACAGTGCTACATGGTTGGTACTGTAATTTGACTTCAGTTTAAAACGGCTTTAAAATCTTTTAAAAACTCAGCTTTTGTATTAGGACAGTTTGTATTACTTACCGTAACACCAAGGCCAGGCTTTTGCCGAGTTGACCCAATCCACCAGTAATTAGTACTTTTGGAGCTATCGGAGTCGTTGAAGCATACTTGTAAAATCGAAATAACGGGTCAGTCTGAAATAGTAAAACTATCAAAATTTGTTTAAAAATACCTTTTTATACTTTTTTATAGTTAGTGTGATTACTGTAACTTAATAAAATTTTTAGATATAAAAACACAATATGCTCTTCGGATGTATATTATGCTTTATATTAGCTACTTTATTTCAGATTTTGAGCCAAAACCAGGCTGATGTATGAAAGGTGTAGTTTATAGTTTAGCGAGCAGTTTCTTGCAGGACAAGCTGAACTATAATGATTGCGTTTCGTCGATAAAAAAGGAATTGCAACGAAAAGGAAGCAGACTTGTCGCTACTCTTTAGTTTGGCGATCGTAATTGGCTTCGGAAATGCGCAACATTCACTATAACTAAAAACTGTTTTGTCATTGCAAACACAACTGGTGAGATCCATAAAATATGGTTAGAAATTAAAATAATGGCTATAAAATGATTTATTTGTTGAAAATATGTCTTTAAGTCATTTTGAATTTTTTTTAATTTTTTGGTTTTTTTAAATAATCAAAATTTGTTGTTTTCTTTAGGCAAATATAAAATGTCCGAGAACTTTTGACAAATCTAATAAATGTTAATTGGGTTTCCAATTCCTTATAATTAGCTAAAAATGCTAGACAAAAATAAATGTTTCCAGACTTTTATGACATTTCTAATATGACCATCCAATTTTAATCACTATGACAAACAATGATTTTACATTTTCCTCAATTTTCTTTTATTTAACACATTAATAAAGTCTTGTCATCATAAAGTCGACAAACATCCACAATATAAAAGATATTATCCTTACCTTGGTCGCGTTTCCTCGCCGACACTGTATCAGTGAGCTAGTCCGAGTCAGTAGCCGATTCATCTGAAATCATAAAACAAGTTAATCTCCCACACGAAACCGCCAATCGAAAAAATGGGAATCGGCTGAGAATCTGCGACTTTAAGAACGTTAAACACGTGGGACGGTCAGAAGAAGACGTCACCTGAAGAAAGTCGACCAGTCAGTTGAGCGGAAGACGGTTGGGAATGAAATTCGATCAGAGGTCACAACATAACGATCTCACCGTTTACATCACTTTGATAATTGATTAATCGACGCGGCTTGTAACATCCACCCCTCCACTCTCCAGCGACGCCGTCAGAAGACCGAAATTCACAAAATGTGTCATCGAAAGCGTGAAAGAGTAAAAGTTACAACTTTCATTGTTTTATTCAAATTTCTCTGTGAATTACCAAAAAACGAGTGATGTGCTTGCTAATAGTATTCAGCAACGTTTTGTGTCGGATTTCCTGAATCCATGAAAAGTTGGCTTTTTTGTTTCAAAAGTTTTGAAGTGCCAAAAGGTAAAATTCATATTGCAATATACCTACTTGCCAATCAATTAAATTTAAATTTTTTTATTCCTTTAATCTTTGTTCTTAACAACTGTCTGTTGAAATGATGAAACCAGTCAGTTCTTTTTCCATATTGTTATTTACTCAACTCAAATTTGGAAGGGTTCGCCAACTTTTTAGCGCCTTACTTAATTGGTAAATCACAACAGAAGTAATTAAATTAACCAGAAGGTGATCGCTTTTAAAGTGCAAATTTACTTTTTGATTTTTCAGGCATACCTAAATTTATAATTTGCAAGCATTGAATAGACTAATGGGTTCCGCCACGAAAACAAACAAGCAAAAATGTGTGGCATAACGTTTTAACACACTATTTTATTTTTTGTTAATTTTTCTGACAGAATTGAGGTTAGAAGGCTTGATTCAATGAACGAAGAACAGCTGAAGGAAGCTGTAAGTGACTATATTAACAATGCTTTTGATGAAGTTGTTGAACCTATTGGATTTCCGGACGTGATAGAAGAAACAATCGCGAATCATGTTAGAAGGAATGAACAACTACTGAAGGAGCCTCCTTCTCATGATCAGAGCGATCACCGAGCATGTCTTCAAGCTAGGCTACTGAATATTGTTAGGGAAAAGCGGATGAATAAGGTAAGTTAACATTGTTTGCTAAATGTTATTTTTGAACTTTGGAGTTAAGTTTACAATGTTTATGTGTTTTCTAAATATAACTTTTGAGTTTCAGTATCAAAACAAAAGCGAGGAGATGAGGGATAACATACGACAATTGTTTGAAGTTAATGCAGAGGTGAGTTTCTGTTATATTACTTTATCTTGTGCTTTAGTTACAATCCATGATCTCCCACAACAAACACGAGAATCAGAAACCAACACAGCTCTTCTGTAACACCAAAGAATATCACGACGAAAGCTATCAGAGTTTTTTGGAAGACTTGAATCGGAGGTTGAAGCTGGAAGTGGATTCAAAGCCTCGATAGTCGTATGTTATCATTAATATCTTAACTGGAATTGTAGTCTGAAATTATAGCATTAACTATATTCCAATTGCAAAGTCGTTATGCATACATTCTTTTTCCCAGGTATTATGATTTATAGGTAGTCTTTCCAATTTGAATAGCGACTCTTTATGCAAATGTGATGATCTCATAGTTTTATTAGCCGAAATGAATTCAAATTGAACAAACACGACGGTGAATTATGTGGCGTTCGAAAAACACAAAAAACCGCTCTTGATTTTGCATGAGAGAACGCAGTAATCATTTTTTGAAGACTTTCAATAGTACGAGACGTTCTTTAAGTAATGAGCCTGTGATAAATGTATATGTCCAAGGACTACTCACACTAATATAAGTACACTGCATTCAATTAGGTCGTGATAATTTACTTTATATCGAACGATAGATAATGGAGAGTTGGGTTTGTAAAGTATACGTAAATGCTGATTTTGAGATAAACCATACTTTCTGAAAGTGTGAGTATACCTTCTGTAAAATTTAGCATATCTACCACATGAATAAATTGATTTTTTATATTATATTTGAGTCCTGAATGCAGTTGTCTTATATAAATTCAAAAAAGGTTGTAATTGCGCGCTTTTTTTAATTTTTTTGGCAAATGGCTCTTTTAAATTCGCTGTGAGATGCAGCCGTGCACTTTATGATGCTCTTTCTGAAGCACCAATATTTTGTGCGTTTGCTTTTTTGCGCTTTCTTTGTCTATGTATAATTAGTATATTTAAAAAAATTCTTATAGATCTTTTAAAACTACAACAAAAGATGAAAGCTTTTATTAAAAATCTCCCGAACGAAGTAAGTTATATTATGATGTCCGTTTTACAATTTTAGGTATGGGAATCTATTTTTTCTCTTCTGGATGGCATTGACAGTCTGGCTGCGTTGGCTTCAACGCATAAAAAATTTTACAAGATGTTAAACAGAGACTTTAAAACAATGTGTTTTTGCGATGGTATCTACAGGTTTAAGGGAGAAACATGGGCGACGGCTTTTAGTTTGTAAGGATTTATGTCAGTTGCTACCGACAAAAATATGTTAAAGTCACGTATTTCTTTGGCATTTCTAAACGCTTACGAAAACATACTACTCTAGTTTTAGGGCCGGGAACCGTGCTTTCGATCTATCTGATTTTCATGTAATGAGTTGTCCTAATAGTGGCATGCTGGCATTTTATATGGATAACAGTTATCTCATACTAACTCATATCGACTTTTCGCAGTTAAGATTTGAACTTATCTACTTCAGCAAATACTTTGACGGGTACATCTATCAGTTTCTTTTGATCAACAGAGGAAAACGTATTATTATCAATTGCCTAAATACGCCAGAAGAAGAAGCTTCTCTAAATCAAACCGCGTACTTGTATGATATAGAATCAAAACAAGTATTGAAAAAGTTTAAAACTACTGATTTCCAAATTCATTGGTATACGCAGTTACAGAATAAAACCACTGTGTACGATCCATTTAGTAACAAACAGTTTGATATGCCCTCCGGGATGGAGTATTTTTATACACGTTATGAAGACAAGTTTAGTGAACACCGTTATGTGGGATTGTTGGCACGTGTGGAAGAGCAGTTGTATTTAAAAGACATGAAAACTGATGAACTCATAAAGTTTTGCAAACTCACTGCTAGTGGTTTCGGTCATTGTATTTTTGAGAAAGCTGGTTTGCTTTTTATCAGAAGTAAGAATGTTGCCGTAACGTTTTACTTGTGAAATTACGTACAAAATAAGTAGAACAATTTTGTCTATTATTTCAAAACCTTTTCATAAAAAACTGAGAAAAGCTTTTGATACGTTGTTCATAAGAGGTTAATTTCAGATAAAGCTAACGAAAAATATGGCTATAACAACATGGAATTCTACGACTTGAAGACAAAAACTAAGCTTTACGAACTGCCTCTGCAAAACAATGAAGATGCTTGGGATTGGAATTGTGTTTCGAATTATTCTGTACAAAATTATATAATTCGCGAAGTAAGCATTATACATGCCATGTGCGTTAGCTCTGCGATTGGCTAGCCAGTCTAAAACCGCCAATTTTGTCTAACAGGTCATTAGACAAAAATTATGAGTTCTTGTCTGAAAAGATATAAGTGACCATGCTTTCTCGTCGCGAAAAGAACAAGGTCTTTTTTCTCTACACACTTTTAGACTAGAGTTTACTGTTTTTGATTGACTAACCAATCACAAAAGTAAAGAATTATTCGCTCATTAAAATTACAGACTGAATTTCAAAGCAGTATTATTTTTAGTTCGTCATTTACAATCCTAGGAAAGTAGAATTCTACACCAGGTTTAACAACTGCTTGTACCCAGGGGCTCATCAACAAAAAATTAAAGAAGAAGTATGCAATTACGCACTTAAGTTCAAAATTGACGGCTCTAGACGTTTTGATATTTGCAAAGCTCATAATACTCCAGTGTACTTTGATTACTCTACAGGTAAAAATTTAAAAAACAAACGGTTTGTAAAACAGCAAACATTTTTTTGGAAACAAAACTGAAACAATCTTTAAAATATACTGTAGTATTTATATATACAGAGCCGGGTGCTTACGAGGGGCGGAAGAAGTACCCTTCCCCACCAGAAAAAATTTTTAAAAAAAGTGGAACATGGTTCCCCAGTTAATTTTTAGAAAAAAATTTGAATACAATCGGCATAGGCTACCGGTGCTGATTTTTTTACGTTATAAAGAACCAGAAATGGCAAAGGAACAGAAAAATTTCAAATATAAATTGTGCGCTACAAATTTTTATATTTTTTATTTAAAATTACGTTTATATATTTAAAACACGTTTTTATAATAGTCGAACCTCAGTGGCACACAGAATTTCAAAATGATTTAAATCGGTTCAACTGTTACTTACCTAGGCACTACAAATGTCAAAAAACGCCAAAAAGTTTTCCAAAGTTACAGTATCCCGGAGTACTGTAACTGGGGTTGAGCTTTCGTACCGGATGCACCATCAGTTTGAAGACGGTACACTACCATATTTTTAGTAGTAAAATTTAAAATGTTTGCTGTAAGATTCTTTTTGACGTCCTGAGCCACTCCAAATAGCATTAAAAACGCTAGTCCACATTTTTCACTAAAAAAATTTAATTTTGATAATTTTCGGAATTACAGTAACCTTGTCACGTATTTCGAAATTTAATAAAACTTTTCAGTAAAACTATTAAATACGTTTGTGGAACGCAAAAAACTATGATTGCGTAGTAAGTTGTGTATCTATATCAATCACACTGACAAAATTGCGTTTACATAAACTACTACAACTTATAATTATTTTAATTTATTTTAAAAACACAGATTAGTTTAAAAAATAAAAAGAGGGTACGGGTTTATATTTTTCCGAGCAATTTTTGAATTTTTTTGAAACTTCTCAAAGTGGTGGAACTTTGATATCAATAGCAAAAAATCATTATTTTGAAGGTAGAACATTTGGTGAAAACTGTTTCTACGTCTTTTGGTTTTTGAGGTGTGAAATCTCAACCCCAGTTACAGTACTCCGGAGGTACTGTAACTTTGGAAAACTTTTTGGCGTTTTTTGGCATTTTTAATGCAGACAACATATTTTTACATTTTAATTATTTTCAGGAAAACTAGTAATGATGAAACTCAACGGTTTTAATGTGCTAAACGACGTACCTTTTGTTACAAATATACGCAGAAAGTGCCAAAACTTTTTAGAACAATGCAAAAAAGATCCATGTTGCAGTAGTAGTTTAGCCAAAAAAGTAAAACCCTTTTTTTTCAAACCAACTGCAATCACTTCTTACTCGTCAACCTGCTCCAATAATCACAAAAGTTTCAGACGATCGGACTATACGTATAACAAAATTCACTTGGTTTTTAACTGGATTTTAGCCAATGTTGATATTTTTTGATTTTATTAAACCATTTCTTATATTTCAAATATTTAAAATGTGATGGTACAGTATAATACGGTATATTAGGTTATAGTATACGGAGTGGGGTAGCGGTTGGTTCCTGAACACGAGAATCAGAAACCAACACAGCTCTTCTGTAACACCAAAGAATATCACGACGAAAGCTATCAGAGTTTTTTGGAAGACTTGAATCGGAGGTTGAAGCTGGAAGTGGATTCAAAGCCTCGATAGTCGTATGTTATCATTAATCTCTTAACTCGGATTGTAGTCTGAAACTACATCATTAACTATATTTTAATTGTGAAGTCGTTATGTATACGTTCTGTTTTCCAGGTATTATGATTCATAGGTATCTTGTCAATTTGAATAGTGTTATGCAAATGTGATGATCTCATAGTTTTATTAGCCGAAATGAATTCAACTTGAACAAACACGACGGTGAATTATGTTTTGTGTTCGAAAGACTCAAAAAGCCGCTCTTGATCTCGCAGTAGAGAGCGCAGTAATCATTTAAAACCGTGTTTATTTTATATTTTCTGTTACAATGGAGCAGATCAAGGGTAAGTCGTGGCTTTTACTTTCGTATGGGTTTCAGAAGAGGCCAAGACAGACTGGAAGAGTATCTATGTGGTCACCTTGGTCGCGTTCATTGGTTCTGTCCACACACACTGCATTGCTCCGGGGATATGGCCTTACATGAAGATGATGGAGCCAGGAGTTTCAGAGAACTTTTATGGATTACTTCATTCGGTGGCTAGTTTCGGAACGGTGTTTACAGCGTTGATTGCTGGTTATGTGAGCAATGTGAAGAAAGACACAAAGTAATTAATTTTTTGCTTTTTAATTTGTATAAAATCTAAAAAAAATTTACAAATTCATCGTAAATTTTAAAAATTTTGTTAATTTTTGATAAGGATCGGTCATGTTTTAGAAGTTTAGCTAAAGTAAAAGCATAAATGATTACATGCTCATAGTTGATTTCACATAACTTTAGAGCTCCAATGGTGTTTGGCAAAGTAATGGCAATCTTTTCTTGTATATTATACTTGATGATTGAGTTGATGAACAGACATGAAAGGCTAGGAATGTTTCTGCTCTTCGAATTACTTCTTGGCATATCTGGCGGAGCTGCTCAGATATATCGTACTCACATTGCTATGGCCAGTACAGAGAAAGACAGACCTCGTGCTGTTGGAATTTCTTCTTTGGCACCAGCTATAGGCCTATTCATTGGTCCTGTTGGGCAAGTACTGTTTACCCTTATTGGTTACCCTGGTATTCCTATCTTCGGAGTACACCTGAACTTGTACACTGCCCCTATTTGGATGACGATCGTTATTTCCGTGATCGGACTGTATCTTTTGGTTAAACATTTTAACGGGAAAATGGATCAGCTGGGAGCGATTAACAAAGGTATACCTTTAATTTGTTTTTGTTCGTCCATGTGTGAGCGCACACATTGTAAGACAAGTGCGAAAAACCGTTAACTTTTATATAACATAAATTAGGTATCAAAAAGGAAAGGTTGTATAAATAATATATTTAGAAGTGGACGAGAAAAGAGATTACGATGTGACAGCAGTAATCGTATGTCTTGTCACGAAGATGTTGGTCAGCTTGTGTACCTTTAACTTCATGACCATTGGTCCTCCATACACAATGACAGTATTCCAGTGGACACCCGCTGAATCAGTACTGTACTTATCAGTATGCATGGGTTTGGTTGGGCTTAATATATGCTTCTGGAATGGCGCATATGTGTTCTTTAACCTGCGAAAAAGAATATCAGAACGTCGTGCTATCATCTTCTCCATTTCCATGCTACTCTTGGCTTACCTACTGACTTATCCATGGTCATTTTTAAAAGCTACCATACCGTATGCAAATGTGACATCGTCTGTGGAAAGCGTATTGCATATGCAAGTAGGTATGGATCTCGATGATGTTGATGTACCCGGGTCTACCGGTTGTAACCCTGCCTTCGCATGGTGTGCTGAGACTCCAGCTGTTAATATGTACGTGTTCCTAGGCTCTCTTATTGTCGTGTTGGGCTTTGCCTTACCTTTGTGTTTAATCAACCTGGACATATTATTCTCGAAGATATTGGGAAACATCAGGTATGTCTTGCAAGTCGGATATCTCCGCGATATTAACTTTATTATCCGTAGCCTTTTTCAGTAGATTTTAACTGATTATCCATAGTTTTTGTAGCTGTATTAGCTTTTCTCACGATAGATAAGGTTCATTTTGTACGTTGTAGTTGTAATGCCACCCCCAAGTATTAAGTTTTAATCATCCCATGCTTAATCCTGTTTATCAAGGACACTGAAGACGCAAATCGTTTACGGTGGAAATTATAGTAGATATAAATATTTACACCTTGAATACCAGATTGAGGGGCTAGTTACTTGTTTCATACAACTTTAATTTCATTTTTAATCTACTAATTTTAGACAAGGCACCATGCAAGGGGTCTTTATAGTTTCTGGAGAATGTCTTAACGTCATCGGACCCATCGCTTTGACTAGGTTGTACACATGGAAGGGACCCAAACCCATCTGGCAGTTCGAAGTCATCTTCATTTTGTTATGTTTTCTGTTGTGGATTATCTTCTACAAACGTATGATCGGTCACTCGAAACGAGTCGCAACAATGTCGCAGATGTCTGAATTCGCGTGTTAACGAACATCAATATGTCATTCTTAAAACGGGTTATGCTTAGTATCGATTTTATAGTGTAAAGCGAATTTACTATCAATTATGTGATGGTATGTTGTTCTTAAGTTATGGTTTAGGTATTTTATGCAATACTGTACACATTATTATGATTTCAATATTTATTTAATTAAACGAATACCCGAGGTTCCTATTAACATATACTAGGTGTGGTAACATAATATAGAGGTTGAGCTTACAAAACATTGTACATAGGATTTAAATACATTATCAGAGAACAACTGATGAGAGACCTGTATGACGAAGGGGGAAAAGGATATCACCTTCAGATGTTAAGGTTGTCCACTACGATCATTGACATCGGGGCGGAGTATCTGAGGCTTTGCAGGAATTGCTGGACGTCACGGACCGTGAAGCCTTTCATGAGACCGTCCTCAACATCGATGATCACATCTGCTTTTCCGTGTTTGTCGCCGGGTAAACAGCTGAAGACAAATAACATGTTATTTCGGTTGAAATTATGTGCTTTGCATCATAATTAATATAATTTTTGGCTTCGAAGTTATACTCTTTCGAATAACAATGTCAAATTTATACTTGTTTTTGAATAATAAGGATACAATGTTAGATTTACATTCGTTTTGAACAAACAAACTCTAAAGCAACATCGACCAGCTGGCTTTTGCTCAGAATGTATAAAAAACCGTCTATGTTAATATAGTTAAGTGAATAAAACTACTCTTACCGTTTAAAGTCGGCGGCCCAGTAGATGTCGATAAGATCGCTCTTGCCCCAGGTTCTCTTCAACCCATACTTAGTGTTGTCTTGCTCATCGTAGTGCACGATGCGGATGTTCTTCACCCTCACCACCTTGGGCTTCATCATGGGGAAGAAGTAGCGTTTGATGGTGAGCAGATCCTCGGTTAGTTCCACATAGTCATCTTCGTACAGGACTGGAGACATTGTTGTAATTAGAGTTAGTTCGTAAATGCCAATTAACATCGGCTCTCTTCGGACGCTTTTATACTGGGCTTCAGGGGCCGCGGGCTCCACCCTTTAATTTCTTTAGCGGATTAACGGCCTTCGTCAATGTTCAAACCTTTAGCACATATTCGTATGATGCAAACCGTACATACGTAAGAGTGCGGGCGGCCGAAGGCAGCTTAGGTTCTAAGTAGGAAACCAGAAATGTTATATTATGCAAATGGCATTGTAAGCCTATTACAACGTACACGGAGCCAGCTTTGATGGACATGTTGACAGCATAACATTGCAAGTTACGTCCGTAAAGTTAAGGCTATTAATAGTAAAGCCAAGTTTCTACATTTACGTAGCAGGTCATGTTCGCACTTACTTTACAACATGTTGTTGTATACGTATGTAACTGAAAGCGCCATTTACAGCCTGTAATGTTTGTTGAGGTATAGTACAGTACGAAACGAGTACGTCAGGTCTCATAAAGGTTTACAATGCTATAAAATTTTGCATGGTAGTTGGGTGTGTAAAACCACCTTCGTATTTTACAGCTACAGTGGAACCTGCATATAACGAAGTGTCAGAGGTTTAAGATTTGTTTGCTACGAAGAGATTTCGTTATACAGGAGTTCAATGTATAGTGTTAGACTAAAATTCAAAATTTATTCTTTATACAGGAGTTCCTGATACAGAGGTTTCACTGTAATTTTTTATTTTATGATGTCATGAAATGACATTTTATGAACCATTCATTCACAAAGGTTTCCTTGATGACCCAGTGCAACATGTATAACATCGTGATATCACCTTTGTAGGTGCAAGCACGCAATTTACAAGTAAATGAAATGTCTTACAAGCACTACTTGCTACACACAAGGAAACCCGACCGAAGCCCTACAATCGAATGGCATCAACTTCTTTCCAAATCGTACAAAACACATTTCCCAACGATATTACAGTAGTTTATTAAAGAACACCCCCACGAGGTGCCTGACATAAATAGTAGTTGTTATTAGTATACAGGTCTAGTCGATCTTACTGGAATGCTAAGCAGCTCAAGTTGTTGATGTTATACGTGCAGTACACATCCGACTTAAGATCAAATCCAAGTTCCGACTTGGAGCAAATTACATTTACAGTAAGCTGTAGCTGTTTGGAAATGGCGGCCTTTAGGGCTTTGGTCGTTTTGGCAAGATCGTATGTACGGAACTAAAAATATTATAAAATTTGTAAATATCAAGTTTGAAAGGTCTTTAAGCATAACATCAAGTACTAATTTTGAACAAAAATAACTTTACAATATTATACTACTGTATACTACAGTAGTAAAGTAATTAAAAGATGGTCCGAGCAGGTTTTACCTACATAAAATCAACATGTGTAATAGTACAGCAAATGCTATTAGCTTTAGATATCAAAAAACAAAACTAAAAATAAACTCTTACTTCCTTCAGAAGTCGTTGTATTCTGGAATGATGACATCTGCCACCTGGAGATGATCTTCTCCTTCTTGACTGTAGCGGAGCACTACGAATGGGAACTGTAAAGGATTTCGTACAGAACATTGTTTTAGCTTTAAACGGTATTAAAGGAAGATTAGCGTTTCTACTAATTACAGACATATCAGTCTGGATTACTACAAGTGTTTACATAGTATTGCAAATTCTTGGCCTAATATTAATGTTGTTCAGCAAGTCTGAATACTATTGCTATACAATCTGAACTAATCCAATAACAATGTGCTATATATGCCCATTATTTTATATATTATAGTTAAACAAAATTTTGCCTGATACGTACCCAATAGCATTAAAAAACAAAAACTACTTCAAAAATAACAATCATATAAAAAGCATAGTAAACCATGGTATACCTACTTGACTTTGTGACAGCTTCACCCAAGAATCCAGGGTTCACATAATCCTCATCGTAGTCCGGTTTGGGTGATGCTGATACCTCGATCTGTGGTTGTTGTGGTACAATTACACCTTGTTCCACTCCTGGAGGTGGTCGATAAACTATTTCAACATCATTCTTGTTGTTGTAGGCCTTCTCTTTGTTGGAGTAATATCCGGTAGACGGTGTTGTTGTAGGTGTTACAATCGAGCGAGAAGAATGAGTGGTTTCGTAATACTAAATTTTAATCTCCTTAGGGTATAAACAGAAAACTGACACTAACTTCAACAAAACAGAACATAGTACAAGGGACAGTAACATATTGCAAAGTAACTTATTACACGTATATCCGAATATAGAGTTACTAAGAATCACAATCTTCAAATAAGTCCACATAGAATAGAGTAAACTCACGTTAGTCTCCTGATAAACTTGAGCAACTTCAGGATATAAGTTTGGTTCTTGGGCTGGTGGGGCAGCTGGTTCTTTCGGCAAGTACTCATTGTCGTGGACATTGTTATTGTTAGGTACACCGTACTCACTGTCTTGTACTGGCTTTACCACAAAGTTAGGAGCAACGGTAGTCTCCTGGTAGGCTACGGTAGAACCGTATCCAACATTTGAGACAGTATTGGATTCATAAGCATTTACCGTACTCTGTTCGTATGTTGGCAGCGTTGTCTGTGCTTGATACGGTGTTTGTGTCACTTCCTGATATGGTGCTTGTGTTGTAGTAGGTGTGTACACGCTTTGAGAGTGTGCTTCTGTAGCCGCAGAGTATTCCGTTGGTGGTGAATACGCTTCTGTAGGCACTGTATACTCAGCAGCCGGCTGACTAGTAGTAGCCGAATCGTACTCGTTGTCCTTCACAGTCTTTCTTTCAGTATACGATGGGCTACTGTAGGTATTCTGCTCGTCATAAACCTCGTTCTTACCAGAACTAGGCGCAACTTTAACTGGTTGTTGATTATATTGACCTACACCGACAGGTTTGTAGCTTTGTTCATTGTCTGCATACAAAGATGATGCTACTGGAATTCCATGAGGAATCGGCCGTTCGTACACGGGATTAGGATTAATGTAATAAGTCTGAGCTGGAGGGCTTGGGTACACCGGAACTGGATTAATTTGAACTTGTTGTGAAGAAATGGGTCGTTGGAACTGACTTCCGAAGTTGTACCTATCCACATAGCGGTTGATGGAAGAATAGGATGATGGATAAGATGCTGGATATGATTCTGGGTATGATGACTGATACGAAGCTGGGTATGATGATTGATATGAAGCAGGGTAGGAGTTTGAAGATCCGGAAGAGCATGAGCATGGTTGAGCTACTGGACACTGAGGTGCCGGAGGACATTGTGGAGCAGGTGGACATGAAGACGGTTGACATCCAGAACTTGAGCCAAAGTTAAAACAAAACACAGAATTTACATAAACAAACAGCAGTAATATTAATAACATGTCGCCTCCAAACAGCGAAAGTCTCACTTTAACGTCTATATCAACCTCAAATCTTTCCGGATTCTCGCATTCTTCAAGAGTTCCGATTCTGGGCGCGATTTTATCTGAATTCACTTTTTACAACCTCAATTTACATAAAACTGTTTTACAGCGAACTACAGTACAAAAAATAAAAGTGTAAAATTAAATTATTTAAATTAATTTCAAAATTATAGCTTACCCTTTGTCAACTTGTGAAAGTGACGACAAGTTAAATACAGTCAGAGAACAAACATTCTCTATTTTCAACACGAAACCGACCGGTCGGTGTAATCATGGGGGACACCAACGCCTCCACCAGAAGCAAAACGATCGACGATGAACCTGAACCCACCATCAGCGCCACGCTTGTTAACGGTAACACCGGCCTAACCTTCGATTCTGAATTTCTTATAACCGCAATTGATAAGGAAAGCCCATTCCATGGAAAGGTCAAGGTTGGAGACAAAATTGCACAGGTAGGTGAACATTGTCTGAGTTATGCATTATTTGATTTTTATAAATATTTTGAAAAATTAAAATAATTTTTTAATATGTAAAATTAAACTCACATTGATGATTTTGTAGATAAACGATTCAAAAGTGGAGAACGAAGAAGATTTCAAGCATGCCATTGCGAAGCACGGTCCCAATGTCACGGTAACTTTAGCCAAAAGTCTGAAAGCCGTGAGTAAACCTAACCTAAAATGATATTACTCAATATAAATGTTTTTCTATTGTTAAATATGTGTTTTTTGTCAAGAGCTAATGTATTATCAACCTTATAACACATAGAATTTCAGAGTCAAGATCCGATTCCAGAAAACCGAGAAAAGAATCTGAAACGACAAGAAGGATACACCTATCACTTGGCCAAAATTGACTTTATCAAAGGATGCAAGTTTGGATTAGGCATCAAACACTTTCAGAACAAAGTCTTGGTTACTAGAGTTGATCCAGGTATGTCGATTTGTTTACCGTCGGCCGATTTCCGCAAAAGAACTTGTTTTTCCTCGACACAGTTGTTTAGCTGCTCCCGAGGCTTCGCAACCTGCTAACTTTACCATTTTATACGAAAGAAAACAGAAAATTGTAGATAATGTGGAGAATTTTTAGTTTTTCAACTACAAACTAAGTTTTGTCTGTTTTTCTAGTTATTTGTTCCGTATTTTAGGTTCATTGTCTGCCAAAAGCCTTGTAGCAGCAGACAGAATTGTGGATGTGAATGGGAAACCAGTAACGGATAAAGATGTGGCCAGAGCTCTTCTTCTTCAGTCTTTGAAGGCTAAAAGAACTGTCAGTTTGCTGATCGAACGACCGTTTAGTAAAGAAGCCAAGGAGAAGGTAACGTTTGCGTTGTCACAGTCAGAAGCTCAACCTCCGTCTGTAGCGATGGCTTCCGACATTCAAGAGATCATAAAGAAGCAGAAGAACAAAATGGAGCAGAAAATTGAGCCCAAGAAGGTAATAATAACATAATACTTAAGTTATATGGGAAGATTTGGTTGTTAGGGATGTTAAGGTTGTGTTGTTGAGCTTTTAAGTTTCTGTTATCGTAGAATTCATCTTTAAATGGTGTTTAACTTGATTTATAACTATCACAAGGTGATGCTCTTAATTTATGGACATTGGAAATGTTTCCAAAACCTTGTTAGTGATTTTACACTAACACGCTGCCAATTCTGTGACATAATCTATTAACACTGATCACACATTACAGAGTGCGTTGAGAAAGGGAAACAAGAGCGGAGCCCAAGCCAAGGTTCAGATGAAGGACGAGAAGCCGAATGTGTTATTGATTGCATCAGATCACGAAGGCAAGGCTCTGAAGCCTGTCAAACAGGAGACTAAGCCAGAGAATTCGTCTTCTTGAAGCTACTGCCTTCTACCGTGCAGCTGCCGCCTTCTCGAAGCTGGTTGAATAAACGAAACTTTTATTTTTGGGCGTTTAAATTGTAAACTATGACTTATGTTGGTATCGTAATACATCTTATTTTGTTGAAACCAACCTTGATTGGTGACGATTAGTTTATCATCACTTTAAAATCGTTATGTTGCTTGTTTTGTTGGCGTTTTACTGGGTTAATACTTCATGTTGTTTAATATTCTTTTGGTCAAAAAGTGCATAGAATTTTAAAATATTTGTTAGCTGTTTATCTTTAGTTGTTTTTATCTCATTTTTGATCAAATTGATATCTTAAAACTAAGTTTTGTAGTTAGTACTTGAGTTTTTAAAGTTTTTAATTAAGTCTATATGAAAATATTATTTTACTGTGTACCTTGTTATGTTACTTCACTTTGTATATATTGCAATGCCAAAGCAATTGTTAATCTTGTTGCGACAAAGACCAATAGTCAACTTAACCAATTGGAATTTCACAGTTTGACATATTTGGGGCTTTAATTTAAGTGTGACCAAAAGAGGAAGGCCGAAGTCGAAGCCGGTTGTTCCGAAAAGAAATCAATTCTCTCTCTCGCCCAGCTGTCTGGCCTTCCACGCTTGTGCCAAAAGGGTCGAGGGAGGGGGACTCGTTCGGCCTTCTAGCTCTTGTTTAGCTCTGTTGATTTACAAACTCATGTTAACGGCCATGTTGCCTATATTACGGTGTTTTGCCTGATCTTGAGGATGTCTTTTATTGTTTTACCTTGTTTTCCTGAGGGTTAGAAGATGTATTTGAGTAGCTAAAGCAGTATAATATAAACTATTTGTTCCAAACTAAGTTTTTGTGTTGAAAATGTTTTTGCAAGTTATTTGTTGTGTTCTTCCGACTTTCAAAAGTTATGGGTTTGACTAACCTAAGGTTTCTCGCGTTGCACTTATATTATTGTTGTGTTTGGTTGAGGTCATCCTTTGATTCGACTCACTTTCCCTTTTCAATTGTTACTTTTTACAATAATGTAACTACCATACGAGCGTTTCTGTCAAGTTGCGTTTGAAAAAACACTTTACTTTGGTTTTTATGGTTATTATTTTAGTCAAAAAACAGTTAGAAATCATCAGGGGAGATTAAAACCGTATAAATATATGCTTTTACAGACTTTTTGATTAAATTCAGGTGTTTTTATAAGCTTTGAAGTAATATTTTTTAGAAAATTGAGAAGCGAAAAACTTAAATTTACTAATTTTGAGACTTGATTTTAGTCAGTTTTCTACTTTTGAATACTTTTCAAGACCATTTTCGAAACGACCTCTTATTAAAATTGGCCCGAGAACCTTCAGTGTGGTAGAAAGTGCAATTTAAGAACACTTACCATGTAAATATATGTGTTGTTTTCAACCTTGGAGGGCCTTAAAGTACGACTATTGGAAGTTAAACTAATATACGACCAGCGTAAACATGTTCTGTCATTCTCTTTTACACTTTTCGACGCGAGACTCTTGAGAATCTGTTTTCGTAACAGACCGGAAGTCTAAATACCTGTACCTGAGTTATGAAGAGGCCTGCGGACATTAAGAGATCCGGGCGGCCAGATAAGATGAGATTGTGCTTTACCTGTTTGTCGCGTGCTTCATCGTGATCACGTCTTCGAGCCTTCTCACTCCTATCACCCTAATTAGGTATAACCATTCCTATAACGGTCTTGTGACGCGAAAGTAAAAGTGAAACGTGTGCGTTTGTTTTTTGCTTTTGTGATGTTCCCCACAACAACGACCTTGGGATAGGGAGTCGCTGTGGATGGTCGGTTTCGAACCCTGGGAGCGTTACGAGCTCCTTCTGGCTTCTGACCTGACGCTTCTGGGGATTTTGACCCTGGTTTGGGATTCTGAGGGTTTCTGATGGGCTTTAGGCTTCTGGAAATTATTTTTGTGATTTAGAAATGAACGGTCTGCATTTGGTTTGGTTTAAAAATGAATAAGGAATCAATTTGTCTTTTTGGTTTACTAGTTTTTTATGCTTTTTCGTGTGAAAATTAGAATTCTCTTACCTGTTTTAGGCTTCCAGACATCAAGATCTATATCTTTAGCTCTTTGAAGACATTGTTTGAGATTTTTTAACTTTTCATTTTAAGACTAAACTCCTAACGTTCTCATAGATGTCTGACCTCATTTTAGGCCTTCAACCGTAATTATGACTCTGTTTTTAGACAAATCTTTTGACCCTGTTTTTAGTACTATCAGCTGTTGGTAATGCACTGGTTTCGAGAGCTGTTTGTTCTCCTCCTTACCTCACGTCGAGTTTTTCTTTTCGCCTGAGAACACTCCCGGGTCAGCCTTAATTACGTGTTTGTTAACGCTATTACGCAAACTTTCGGAATCAACTTTTTGAGTATTATTTCGGTTACTTGGAAGTAATTGTAATCGCTTTCGCGTGTTTTCGGTGTAATGTGCCTTTGGGCTTTGGTGTTTTTGCTTTATTTTGGTCTATAGTCATCTTTAATTGCTGTTAACAGGGCTTGTTGATGTCGTCGAAATTTCCAGATTTTGTGAATTTTAAACAAATTTGTCGTTTTTGGATGTCATAATAGATTTCTCAAACTTTGCTTTGACTTTAAATTTGGTGATTTGTCTTCGTTTACCTTTTATATTTAGAAATTTCTTCGTAATTTTAGACCAATACTATATTGTAATGACAACAATCTTTCACTTTTTGTAAAATACACACATTTTAAACTCTTAAAAATATAGTTTCCTTGTTTTATATCCCAGACCTTACAATATATTCCCCATTATCTCGCCCATACGTAACAAATCTTATTGTGGTGTTTGTTTTGGCCGGCTTCCGGCGGTGTAATTAACGGAATGTACGATGCACCAATTAATGCACTTGTTCATGATGTTCCACCGTCATGCCTCCTGGGTTGACAAGCTTTTCTAAAAGGTCTCCTTCCTCTCTTTCTGCCGCGACAAACGAGTTCCTTTCTTCTCCTCCGCCCCAACTTTGTGATCACCTGTTTAGACGCTCTTCTGGCCGCTCCTTTCCATGCTCTCTTGAAGCCCAACAACACAGCCAGGCCACGCCGTGCAAGTTATGGCCAACGTGCTACGGGTTCTAATCTTCTCATCCTGTTATATTGTTCTCGCCGAAAAGTCAGGTAATGTTAACTGCCTTTGTGGAGGTAGCTCTTTTGTTCGCTAATTACTTTTCGGGGGAATTCAGGCCATAAACCCGAAATTTTTTGTTTTATGGCATTTCTGGCGGAATTCTGTTCGACAATAGGTAAAAGCAGCGTGAATTATTTGAATTCTTTAGATTTTTAAAGGTTAAACAGAAAGGAATAACAAGTAACTACTATACTTTTAAAGTTTTCTCAAAATATGTTTACTTTTCAGTTTATCAATTAAAATTATGTTACACATGACAAGAAACTTTTGATTTAGATCTTTATGATCAACAGCCCTCTAACCACTCCACTTTAAACATGTTTACATAAAAAGGCATATTGTAATTAGATTAAACTAATTTTGTCGCTTTCAGACTCCAATTCCAAAGAGGAAACCGACTTCACGCGCACCGACCATGACCTCAGATTCGTTTGGCAAAAGGAAATGGAAACCTTCTACTGCTGCAACGACGGCTCCCCAGAAGCCATCGGTCTGGCCAAAAACTTCACCGTGCTAGGGTCCTCACCTCGAGACTCTCAAGATGTGTCCGACTTTAACTGTCAAGAGTTTAAAGTGTCGTATCTGGCACGACGCTCCAGATACCTATCCGACGCTGAAGACGACACGGACGAGGAGCACAACAGAATCCGATGCAAGTGTCCTGTAGCCAGCGACCATATGCTGGACGAGCACTGTCGCCGCCTTCCAGCGTGCAAGAATCTGGGCGTGAGAACGGTGAACAACAAGTGCTTGTGTCCAGTACCGTTCTTCGGCGATCTCTGCGAGAAGTACTGTGATCAAGGACAGATCATTACTGGCCAAAACGGCCGAAACTACTGTAGTTGTGTACCGTACTACCAGGGAGAAGAATGTCGAGATCTGATATGCATGAATGGAGGTAGGGAGACCAATGGACGATGTGTATGTCCACGACATTACCTTGGGTATCATTGTGAGATTAATACGAATTCTTCAACGCAGTCGAGCTCACGGTTTCAGCGATTTGGAGATCAGGTACGTTACCTTAACTTAAATATTATAACTAATATCATTTCTATTTGAATACCTGACTGCTACTAATGGTATACTTACGTGATCTTGGGCTCATATAAATGTTAAAGATAGTACAAAAGTTTAAAAAAACTAATTTCAGGGTTCCGACATGTTCACCAGAGACATCTCCGGCACAATCTTCAGTCTAATAATGATAGTCGTACTTGTCGTCAGTATGTATCTACTAATGAAACACAGAATGCAGGTATGTCGCCATGTCTATGATAATATTCAAACTTTAGACGAGGTACCTAAATAGAAGGCCAGACCTATTAACGGCTTGTAACTTCCCCGTGCCTGTCCCTGCAGCTGTAGCCGTGGCCGCAAATCATGGCCCCGGAGGCTGTTTCGCGACAAGGAGGGGCGATTTCGACGACCCAAGGATATACTCTTTCAGACAAATAATCCCCGACTCTGGGCCACCGCCTTATATTCAACCAGGACAACGAAGTAAGTCTTATTTTTATCAGAAAGTATCTTTATACATGATTTAGAGCTGTTTTGGCTAGGTTAATGCGTTATATCGAGATAAGAAGGCAACTATAATATAAAAACATACAAATATTATTTATTTTACAATTTTTTGAAACATAAACGTAAAGTTGGGTATGGTGCGACAAGAAAAGACCAATATTTCCGATTTTTTTCAAGAAAAATAGTTTGAGGGTTGCGGCCTCAGTTATAAAACCTTTGCAGGCCGCGGAAACAGAGTTATACGATACATTTTTTAAGCGTAATTTTGAATGCTAAAAGTAATACGATGCGAAAAGCTTTGGCATTACAAAAAATGAATAATATAATATTTTACTCAAAGTTTACGATTTTTTATATAAAATCTTGTTGACGCTCTGAAGACTAATCCAATGTTTGTTTTTAATAGTTTTTTGGGCCTGATTGATTGCAAAACATGGAGTATTAATAGCAACATAAATAAATAAATGTGTTTATATTGCTCTTTCAGGACGTCGCTCTCAGGACGAAGCTCTTCCGCCGCTTCCGAGCTACGAAGACGCGACAAAACTTCCACCACTACGGTGAGTACAAGACTATGTACTATATAGTACATTAGGAGCGAAAATAACAAAAAGTCATGTAAATATAGATAAATTTATGTTTTGAATCTACAATATTTGAAAACAGTTTACTAACTCAATATAATACCAAAAAAAAATCAAAGTGAATCGAGGTTTAGATGGCATAGATAACTTTAAAATTAAAAAATGATAAACAGGCTCCAAAAGTTAGGTGCATCATGACGCAATCCGAAAAGATTACAAAAAGTTTGTTTCCAGACACAACCTCGGCGAAGAGAACGCGTCCGATGACAACGTGGAGAGTGGCCAAGGCGCGGCCATAAGCGACGATCGGGCGGAGACCCCGCCCACGTCCCATCAGAATCTGGCTACGTCCAATCAGGACGAAGACGACGCTCAGTCCGAAGTCCCAGAAACCTCATCTCTTAGTTCAGGCGGGTCCTCAGTCTCCTCAAAAGGCGACTAGTCCGTCGCGGATGTTGTAGTAGTTGTTGGTTGTTGTAGTTGTTATCGCGCAGTTCCTGACTGTTATCGCACGATAGTCATTTTCTGTTTAGACATCATAATATTGCAGTGTTTACTACAGTTTTTTTTTAAATTTAAATTTTTGAATTTTGTTTAACGTTTACTTTGAAACATTATATTGTAGTTGTAATACTTAGCACCACCTTTTCACAAACTTTTATTTATACTATGCATTTACACAATAATGTCATACTTACCTACTTTTACGTCGTACTGGTACCCTTTCGCCGGCATGCCTAACATGCCCCTCTTCTAGGTCTATGTGTTTGTACAGTAACCCGTGTACAGTAAGCCTCAACAATTGTAATCCGGTTGATTTGTTTTGTTTCGCTTAATTGTTGATCATAATATTGTAAAAGTAATCTCCCCCAACTTGAAGCTCAAGTTTTTGTTCCCTTTGACAATAAATTTAAAGGCTTTGTGTCGGCCCGAATAAAAGTGTTTTTTGCTGTTCGATGTGGCCGAGACGAAAGGCAACATTAAACGGAACAGAAGCCGCAGACTCTCTGATTCCGCGATAGACTGATATGACTCGGCCCACGGTTTATGCTAATTTAACCATGCCTTTTTATGCTAATTCCCCCAATTTGTCATCGGGTTTCGCTTTCGCTGGGACGCGGTTTAGCTTCCGATTCACGATGGGAATCTGAAGATGGGGTTTGGAGGGAAGAGGCTCGTTTTGAGTTATTTTAGGTAGATCAAGGAGTATTTTAGTGCTGGGCGGGTGTTTTTTGGTTTGAAAGGTGGTTTAGTGATAAAAAGGAAAATTCAAAACAGGATATTAACATTTGGCTTATTATTCTACATAAACAATATTGTTTTAGGTAGGAAAATTTTAATTTTATTAAAAAATCAAGTAGAAAAGTCCTTATTCTACCTAAAGAATTCAAATTTCACGCATTTTTTGATCAAACATTAGCCAAACTAATAAAAATCACTCTTCGTTAGACCCTATATTACTATAATCAACAAGATTCAAAGCCGCTACGTGCCACAATTAAAACAGATCAAGTTTTCGAGAAAATATTTTTGTTTTTGAAAATTGAATTTTTCGAAATTTCGAAATTCAAACTTTGCTTCTGAATTCTATTATAAGAACATACAACATGTGGCATAAATAAGTAAGACCAAAACTCAACTTCCGCTGTGCTTATGGTATCCGATTCTGATTTATTGAATTCAATTAGTTTTGGCTTGGAATCAGAAGATCACTTCCGGGCGGGTACTTTTTGTTGGGAGTTACATTGGAGATTCAAGGGGCGTCATCGTGATGGGTATTTTAGGTTGAAAAGACGTCATCATGATGGATGTTTACAGGGCTTTGTACTTTTATGAGTTTTAGTTATGTTATACTTCCTTTTCTTACTTTATATGGTTATAGGTTTAGAAATCAAGTTTATAGTAAACGTAATCGGTCAAATAATAAGTAGAATAGCCATATGTACACTATTTTAAATTTAGTTTTGACCTGAATTTTAATAGCCGCTAGCATCTTTATTTTTAGACCAAACTTCTATTTACTTTTTGACCAGTCCCTAAACACATAAGAACCCCCTATAATAAGATACGGCTCAACGAATTACGCTGTGAAAAACGCTTTTGACCGTCATGACATCGCAAACACCCTGAGGCCTTGTTGATCCGTTCCGTTTAGATTAATGATTAGGCCCGGACCTTTTCGTGTTCCTCCAAATCGAGAAATGCTTTGAATTCGATTCGGCCGCTTATCGCACAATCTCGGATTTTCGATTCGGCCATCGTCGCACGTGCTACAGATGCGTTGTCCGCTTCCAGAACTTTTCTAACTTGTTTTTTAAAGTTTTACTTTCCAAGTGGTACTTTGGGGCTGTGGTATTGTAGTTTTAGGGCTTGATCTTTGTTTTTTTTGTGATTTTATATTTTTATTACTATGAGTTAGTGCTTGGGACTTATGTTGCATAAGAAAGTCTTTGCATCTTTTAACCACAACTTATTACTGTAAATTGAAGTAAATTTAACTTAAATAAATTTAAAATTCAAAGCCCCAAAATATTTTTTTGTTTTTGTATTTATTTATTGACCAAACATATATATTTTGAAAAGTTTATATGTTCGTTTTTAAACCTTTGTTTGATGACATGCTTTTCCAGTACTTTTTATCACATTCTTGTTAACATCATTTGCCGAAAAAAACTGTCAAATGACGTTTTGTTGATTTCAGAGATCATACGATGTCTTCTGTCATTCTAACATCACTTTTGTAAAAAAACTTTTGTTTCTAGTTTGTACACGTAAAAATAACATTTTTTATCAGTTTTAAAATGAACACAATCGTTTTTTGGGTGGAGAATGTTGGCATGAATTCAAAATTTTAAATTAAGTAATATTACTTTTTAATAATAATATAATTTTCTTGATCATAGTTATTTACTAGCTACAAATATGACAATTATTACTTTATAGCTACTCATCAATTATTACTCAGTAACATAAATCCAACACATAAAGTCTTGTGTTGTATCTAAACTTGCTTCAGAAGCCTGAGTGGCGCCTCATTCCACTTTTTTCTACAAAACCAAACCACTTTCAGACTTTTGATGACTTGGGAGCGGTGTCGCGCGACGGTCTTACGGTAAGGAAGATCCGGATTGTGATGGTTTTTGACCTTGGGTTGATCTAAACGGTTTTAATTTTATTTTATGCGGAATTCATTGTTTTTCCAATTAGTCAATATTGTGGATCATCGTCCGATCTTTTTGGTATGTGAGAGATACGATGGGAAGAGGTTCGTACATTCTGTGGTTCTATATATTTTTTGTGGTAAAATACGAGTTGAGCTTGTTTTTTATATTATCTTGCTCATGATCATTAAGATTATTGTTTTTTTCACTGTATATATCTTATCTTTGAACTTACAAACCTTCTTTTTCACTCAGCTATAACCTTCTTTACTAATTTATCAGCCAAAATCTACATGCCCCAAGGCTACAAATTCCTCGCCATTCCCTTCTACAACAGAATGACATCAGCTGCAGAACGGTGTCAAGAACAGCTGACAAAACAACTTGATCAAAGCCTTGATATTGCGGTTTTTCTGAGTGTTTACGTGAAATGAATATGTAGCCGAGGTCCTGATGGAGTCGCAACTCTGACAAGCGACATATTTTCTTTTAAGTGACCGCCATTCGGCTCTTTGCCGATCAGATTTCATGCCGCCGTCGAGTGCGGTCGAGCACTTCGAGACTATCTATAAAACCCGACCGATTGGCACCGATTGCAGGATCGCCTGACCCTGGTCGACTGGCTGCTGTAAGTACGAGTGATAGCGTGGTAGCTTTTTGGTTTAAGCATATGACTGTTTGGTATCTACTGAGTTTTAGCGTATGGTATTGTATACTTTAAGTTGCTTGATGGTTCTATAATCTTTTTGGTTAATTCGTACAATGTAGTACATATCGTATAGTATCATAATATTATTTTTAGTTCTTTACATTTGCTTAGTACCATTTTAAGTTTACTTTGTTGTTTATTTTTCTTTACATTCGTACTGAGTTATAATTGCATATAAACGACTACGATACCAAGAATAGTCATATCTAATAAAAATGTAAAATACGCTTTTTTACCATACAAAAGCTTAAAAAACACTAACCATAAATTATGAGGACAGTGGCCAAGGTTAAAGATGAGTTAGTCTCCGAATATCGGCTAGAACAAAGTTTTTTGTGGCCCTCGGGGGATCTATTTGTTCCTGATTCGGTTGTGTCCCGAAGTCAAGTTACTGACCTTTTAACCCATAACTCTACTTTTAATTTTTGTCAGATTTTCATTTTTGTTTTTGGTCAAAAAGTTCGTAGAATGTGTGACAATAAGCTGCACAGTGCAATTAAGTTGACTTTTTCACTTTTCCTGTGGACTTTTTGACCGATGTAATGACTTTGTCGTATTTTACGTTATATTTTTTGTTATAAACTTATATATCGTTGCTTTTAACCAATTTTTGTTGCAATGTCAACCACTATTATATACTACAATATCGTGCTTACAGAAACGTTGCAGTTTTAAATGTATTCCAAGTGCTTAACGGGCACTTTTTACAATCGACTGGGCCGGAGATGAGTATAATTTGGTCGACTCAAGGTGATCGGTTTTGGTCCTTATTGGTTCTAATGGTACTCTCGTTTCTGGTGCAAATGGGAGCCGCCCGCTTCGACGAAACCGAACGAAAACTTTTGAGACGGCTATTTCTGAGACGATTCGGGTTGGACGACCTGATGGAACAGAGCTCACGGCCCCTCAAACTCGATGTAAGTTTGGAAGTAGCGGTTACTTAGCCTAGCTGTTTTACTGTGCAATGTAGAGAACCAAAAAGCATACAATAATATAGTAGTTGCTACTTTCAGATGCCCGACTACATTTGGGAGCTCTACGAGAAAGCTCAGGAAGAAGATCAAGATATTGTACGACATCACCTACCTTCACAGAAGTCTGGGCCTGACATTGTGTTTGATCTTGGGGTACAACACTCAAGCCTGGATGATGAAGCGGTTGATAAAGCAATGTTAAGGGTGGAGCTGCCTCGAGGGAAAGTGTTACGCGGTATATTTACAGTATCAATGACGGGTTCTTCTAGTGTTCTGGATTCTAAAATACTTCCACAGTTCTTCACACGCAACAACTGGATCGATCTGGATATTACCAAGGCTTTTACTGCCAATGTCAAACGGGTATGTTAGGTATAAGGTTTTTTATACAGTCTTTAATAATATACGTACCTTATAGTATTTTAGCATATAATACAATTTTATAATGTGAAAGTTGCCTAAACTCAACATACTGTACTTTATCTTACTGTAAAGCTCTATGTTATATATATTTAGCTACAGTACCCACCTCTTGTTTACTAAACAACCCTTTCCCAAGTAAAACAAGTTATATTTACTTTTCAGGTCGCCTTGACTGTCAACTTCGTGGCGGCGTCTGAAGCCGAACCCTGGACAAACGCTTCGGATTCGGCGGCGTTGATCACTTTTATCCACGACAAACGGAACCCCCGGAAGCGGAGGAAACGGAACACAAAGAATCAGAAGCGATCGTCCCATCGTAAGCATCGCAAACAACATGTGATGGGGTCGTACGATGGTACACAGTGTCGCCGTACCAACTTGTACGTGGACTTTGCCGAGCTCAACTGGGGCGACTGGATCATTGCACCAGGTAGGGATGGCACTGGTAGTCTTTAGACTCGGAATTTTAGTTTAAATGTTCACTTAGTGAAATGATGTTACTTTAACTTACTGTAATGTTTTCATTGCAAAGTTGAATTCTGTCGTAAGTATCATATAAGCAGTTGATCCTGAGGTAAATGTCATATAGCTACAAGTAGCTAACTACGTACTTTCAGCCGGCTACGACGCCTACCAATGTCAAGGTAGATGCTCTCACCCGATGCCTTCCCACCTCAACACCACCAACCATGCCATCATCCAGTCTCTGATACATTCCGTCGATCCCTCCGCTGTTCCTCCGCCGAGCTGTGTGCCGGTGGAGACGTCTGCCATTTCCATTCTGTATCGCGACGTCAACAACACAGTGGTTGTGAAGACATACGCCGGCATGAAAGTAGAGGCATGCGGCTGTCATTAGGTTATTATCGTATTATTGTTAACTCACGGGTATATTACGGGTGATTCGGGTGCTGACATACCATATTAACATAGGTTTACTATCTGAGGAGTATTTATGTTTGACTTTTTGGAACTTTACTTTAACTAAAAAAGTTAAAAACCGAATTTTGCATGATGTGGACCTTGTTGTTACCTACAAGAACAGCCACCACACAGTAAACATTCGGAGTAGACGTTTACTGACAGTAGACATTACACTTCCTGCTCGAGTTAATTTATGTCAGCACCGAGTTATCTGATACTTAATTTTACAAATTCATTCCGTATGTCATCTCTCTATGATCTCAGCTGTAGTAACGACTTTTATGACAAACATGAGTACAATATGTTATACGTATCTTCTCTTTTGTGTATTTATCTACAATAAATTCTATTTTTCAATTTTAATTGGCGTTTCTATACAGGTAACCCTGTAAATTTTAAGAACGCAATAATAAGGTATGCTTTTTGAAGTGATACCTCTTGCAGTTTCAGTCATAGCAAAAGGATGAGCAGTAGCTACTGCAGTAGAAAATGTTGAGCTTCTTTTTGTTAATATGTTCGAATAGTTGTGTGCCTCTTCCAAAAAATTTTTTAGAGTTAAGAGGCACTTAATTATCTGAAAAACCTAAAAAGTATGAAAAGTTAACAACTCTGCCAAAATTAAAAAAAAAACGAATTCATTGAAACTTGAAATTGTTTTTTTATTCTAATTTCCGGCGGCATAAAACGCAAAACTATTTTGGACGATTAGACGTACTAATCTCTTTTAATTAGTAGTTTAATTGTTTTTGGGAAATAGCCAGAAAGTTAATTGCCCTAAATTTGACTATCTTATCTACTCCATAAGCAAGGTTTAAGAATGGGTTCAAAAACTAGATCAGCCTTGCAAAGCTATTAGCTGTTCACATAATTTTGTGCCTCCTGACTCTGCGTATTTGCTTTGAGAGGAAGCACAGTATTACACGAGCGACCTAATTTTAAAATTTTAATTTTTTTGAAGGTTAAGCATAGAATGACCTTAAAGACAGTGTTTTCTAGACATTTGTTGTTATGTTTTAGGTAGTAGACTTCCAAAGGGCAGTATGATAATTGGTATTACGGTTCAAAGAATTCTAATTACAACTAATTGCTCATTTGCATATTTTAGTTATTAAACTGACTTTTATTGTTATTGCACACATTGGCAACTGTTTCAAACATTTTTGAAAAAACATGTTATTTTAGCTTATCAAATTAAGTTATGATGGTTGAGATGTTGTCCTATACTGGAAATATTGTTTTCTTATAGATTGAATAACATCAAGTTATTCTGGTTTATCAGGTAGAACGTTAAACACCTTTACTAATAAAATTTTCATTAGTAACTAAAGTTTACATTAATCAACAAGTTATTTTGATATTGTTGCTGTTATATGTTTACGATTTATTGTAAAAGTAATCATATTTTGCTAAAATAATAAAATTTAATCAAAAATCATTTTACACAGTAATAACGTTTTACAGTATTAAAGGATATTTACTGTATTAAAGAATAAGTGACATAGTTAAGTACAATACATAATGAGAAGCTATAGATGGCTTGTAGGTATGTCGTGCAAGCCTATGTCATTTTAATTAGATCACAGCCGGATGTATCGTTCGAATAACACAAATATTATGGTCGTGCTGTGCTGAGACAGGATTAAACTGTTTTGATTTGAAAACTACAAACACTGTAGATGTTACAGACTTTTGTGGTGACGATTTTTTTACTACAAGATAATTTAGAAATACTACGCGACATTTACAAGATACTATAGTAATTTTTTATAATATGACATTTACAAATGAAGACTGTGTATTATAATACAGTGTATAGCACGTAAAATACAATGTACAGTTTTCGGAGTTAAGAAGACGTTTAAAGTATGGTCTTACAGTACTATGTACTAATATACTTAAGTACTCTCTGACCACCTAAAACTAATAAAATATGTTTTTCCAAGTTATTCTGACATTTTATTTACACAAAATGCTTAATATATCATGTTTGCTGAGATTGTTTTCAAACACAAAATTTTTAAATGAAGATATACATTATTACCACCGTACTTTGCGTATTTCATAGTTAAATAAAAATATATAATTGTAGTAATTATATTTTCTTATCGCTAATTGATATCTGTAACATAAACATTACGTAGTTGTGCTAATCATTTTAGCGTGTGTATCATACTATAGCATAGCATGTGCATCATACCATGTGCACGATGATCAACCCGCCCTCTCCGTTACGGCCTTAAAGGGAGGGGTTTAAGAAAGCAAACTTATTTCGGCCGTCGCTCTCTTTAACACGAATTACCGACGGCCGAGTACTAGTACTCACGTCGATGCAAAGTGCTCTCGAGGTCGGATTCGAGAGTGTCGGGTAATAGTTTTAGGATAAACAACAATAAAGGTTTTAAATGTCTAAATAGTGTTTACGTGGTAAGTCTACGTAGTAGAGCGGTAAAAAAGTGTCATCTAGAATTGTCATTATTTAGATTTTTTATTGTATAAAGTAATTATCATTTTAAAGATTTCGTATTACAGTATAATTTTATATGAACAAAGTAATGTATCATTCACTGTAGTAAATCACTACAATTCTTTAAACCGTCAAAATTTAAATAAAATGATGATTTAAAACTCCGAAATTTACGTCAATTTACATTGTTTTGCTCAGTGTACAATTTACAATTGTAGTTACAATGATATAACTATGTGATGACATTATATTCACTTTTTAAGTAAATCTTTCTACCTATTTTAATATACTTCTTTGACGGCCATGTAGCTATATTGAGTAAAAAGTAAACCTTTGTATCAATTACAATATACTAAAGTCAATAGACTATATTGAATATAATCTATTGACTTTCTTTATAACATAGCTTTACTGCCTTAAAAGTAAGCTTTTGTACTCCCGGTAACATACGAAGTGAAGTCCTATATTTAAACCGAGGGGCGTTATCGTATGGTATCGCTAATCTCTAAATCATTTAGAGATTACAGAGTTTAGGAGTTACTTCTTGGTTTTTCTTAATTAAACACTGTTATTACTTAAAGATTTAATGCTATTTCATAATTGTTTTTATTAAAAATGGCATTAAACACAAAATTATTGCTTCAAGTGGTATATTATAATAAGCTTACAGTAATTTAGGCTTTTAAAAACTGTTATTATCTTACAATTTTAGTTATATTAATGTATTCTTAATGATGCTCTGTTAAATAAACATGTTATCTTATGTTGTGGTAGCTTTTCAAGCTAAAGTATAATTTTAAGGCTTTAAGTCATGCACAATTAGATAATAGTACTACTTAAAGGTGTGGGAGTAATGGTTTGAGTTAAGAGTACAAGTCAACGAGTTTGCACTTTACTTAAGCAGTAATTAGATTACACTCTTATTGGCCATAGAGTAACGGCTACTTGCCATGCCTCTTGGTCATCTTGTTGTATATAATACTTGTTTACATGCAAACTTAATTACTGTAATTCTGTCAAGACAGACAGTGGTACGATGCCAATGTTACTTTTGTTTTGTTATAGTTACACCTACGTTTATTAGTAGGTGTAACACGTTTACTAGAGGTAACTATAACATATTACATATAGAATTTACCAAGCGATCGTGTTATGCTCAAGTTTTACAATAGTGTTACAATATAATCAAAACTTACTTTGAAGCATTTACAGATACAATGTTACTACGTATTTTGGCGCTATGTCTGCTGCTCAACTTGGTTTACAGTTCTATATGTAAGTTAATCAATCTTTATAGTGTATAGTCAAATCACCCATAGAACTTTTATATAATACTGTAGAGCAGGATACTCCTTTGTATCAAAACTCATTTTTATATTTCAGTATCATGCAGAGTAATCAACAGTTTATGTCAAGAAGATAGTTTTTGTCTAGAAGAGATGAGGACTCGGTTTCCACACTGTTACCTTGGTAAGTTACTGTGTTTTTTGTACTGTTAACTATCATAATACAGTTATGTTTTTGACAGTACCACGCATTTGTTATGGTAAATAGTTATCATTCTCCCGTAGGCGTTTGTAGAAAATACAAAATTTTGGAAATGTTACCTATTTACATATGTATTATGACTATTTACAAAGTTACGATAATATTATGGTTGTTACATTCAATAATATTATGTAAATAAGTCACGTAGGAACTCTGCAAACCTATAGTTAACTTATAACATATTGTTAGTCAAGTAGTAATTTGAAAAAAGTATATCTCTGAAAAAAGTAACTATACTTACTTAACTCAATCATAATGTTAACATCTTGTAATTGTAACTACTTTAACTTAATAATATTGTTATGTTAAGGTAGTTACCGCCATTTCTTGAAACAGTGGCTTTAAATAAACATTCGGTTCTTTGATACAACTGTAACTTACTTTCAAGTATAACATAACTTAATTTTGTAAAATAATATGACTTTAATATCCAAAACAAAGTTAACATAACATTATTTTGTATATAGTATAACCTTAAGTTAAACAAGGTTAATATGACATACATTAATCAGCCAACAACAACATATCATTCATATAACCTCTACTATAATATAGCCAACTCTAATATCGCTCTTCCTTTCAGAAACCTTCAAACGATCAGCCCCCTTCAACGAGAAGCGAGCCAACTCCTTCAAACTTCTCAATATTCTGATGAAAGTGGACCGAATCCCGGTTGGGTAACGTGCTCACCGTGATCGTAGCATACTCCGCCACTGTAAATGCCTCCGAAGTAACAGAATAAATGTCCTTACTGTAGCAATATGATCCGGGTCTCTCACATAAACTATTTAAATATTCGTTTCAAATCTGATTAATGGCTTCGGCTTCGTTCGTGGGCTTCTGAAGCCCACGCGTGGGACGTGACAAATCGAATGACAATGTAACATGGGATAGACAATGTAGACCAGACACAGTAAATTGTG